TCAAGAAAAATATTACTACAGTACTGATATTAGATATTTTGAATAATGAGAATCAGTTTAAAGTCAAATACAATATATTGAAATATGCTATTAGGGCTGAAATTGCATAGAAACAGAATGAACAATGATAAACTATTGCTTTCTTATCAAAAGTCTTTCACTAGCTGAAAAAACTATAAAATCTATAATCGAGAAATACTAGCTATTATAATCTCATTAGAAGAATGGTGCCACTTCTTGATCAGAGCAGTGCAATAGTTTGAAATTTATTTCAATCACAAGAATCTTAGTTATTTCAAAAAATCTCAAAAGTTAAATTATCATTAAGCACAATAGATCCAAGAATTGTAACAATATAATTTCAGTTTGACTCATAAACCTAGAAGCACAATAATGAAGAGAGACCTTTTATTATGATAGATCCATTATAATATTAGTGATAGTCATAATAAAAATATTGTTATGTTTAAATCAGAATAGTTCTGAGCTAATGAAATTTTTAGATCATCAGCTTTATAGAAGAAAATTATAAAAAACATCAACAAATATGAGAACAATATCTGAATAAAATTATTAACCAAAAACTCTAATTTCTCAGAGATCAAGAATAGTCTCATCTGGAGAAGAGAAAAGATTGTCATTCCTTTTAACAAGACACTCAGAGGAGAAATTATTTATTCACATCATGACTCGATTAGTGCTGATCATACTAATGGTTTTTAATCAAAAAAGATATAAAAATATATGTAAAAGGCTGTGAAACATGCTAGAAAACTAAAATTAATTATTAACTGAAGAATGCTTCATTGCATCTGAATGCAATTTTAGAATACAACTGAAAATATTAGTCTGTAGATATGATCACATATTTATCAGAGTTGCAAGAATATAATGCAATTATAGTAGTTGTAAATATAAAATCAAATAACTATATCAAAATATTAACTACAGAGTAATTGACATCAGAAGGATGGGCTAATCTATATATAAAAAATGTATATCCATTGCATGGATTACCAAAAAAAATGCCATCAGATTGTAGATCACAATTTGTCTCTAGTTTTATCAAAAACTTGTATAAAAACTAGAAATTCATAAGACTTCCAATATGGCATATTATCTGTAGACAGATAGGCAAACAGAATAAATCAATTAGAAGATTAAAAATTATCTATAAATATTCATTAATTATAAATAAACTGATTGGCCTAAATAGCTATCACTAGCAATATTTGCATATTGAAATAGAGTTCACTCTGCAATTGAATTTTCATCTTTTTATATGAATTACAAATGAGAAGCCTACACTGCTGTAGAAATAAAAAATGAAACTTGTAATAAAACTGCTCAGCAGTTTGTAGTATGAATGAAGAAAATCCAAGAAGAAGCATTGGCATCACTGACATTAGCATAAGATATCGTAAAAATATAATATGACAAATATAAAGGAGAAGCTGTAAATTATAAAAATAAAGAACTTGTATAGCTTGAAGCTACACATATATGCATAAATAGATTTAATAAAAAACTAGATAATAAAAGATGTGGACTATTTCAGATTATCAAGAAAATTGGAGCTAGCGCATATAAGCTCAAATTATCTAAATCATGGAAAGAAGTATATTCTGTATTCAATGAAACACTATTATTACCATATCATGCACCAGAATTTCCAAATCAGAAAATCCATAAAAACATTTCAATAATTATTCATACTTTTGAAAATAAAGTTGAATCAGTATTAGACTTCAAAATGGCTCAAGGAAGCCTTCAATATCTTATTAAGTGAGCTAAAAAACCACATTCTAAAAATACATGAGAATCTCATCATAAAATTATTAAAAATATAGACAAAAACTTGATTAACAATTTTTGTAAAGAATATTCTGATACACTAAAAGCACCTATAAGAATATTGCTAAAGACACAAATAATGAAACAGTCATTTTCTTAAGAGGCTATGCAAGAAGAATGGGATTATTGGGATCAGAAGATATAGAGATAGGCAGAATGTCATAAAAAAGAAAAAGCAATAATATCTGTAGATTCAGACCTAATTAAATTATTTGAAAATTGAAAAAAAGCATAGGTCATATCTAATCAGTATTATCTGAATGCTGGTGTCAGTCTCAGAAAGGTGTGCATAGTGTATATGACACTGAGATGCAGTACTCAAGTAAATAATAAACTCAAGTATCAAGCTGCACTTCTTCTATAAAGAAATCTTGAATCAGTCATTAGACAATATTCTCTATCATTTGTTAAGTTGTGGGGGGTTATTGTAAGGCTTTTATATTCACTTTAGTAAAGTGGAGAATTAGACTCAAACTGACTCACAGGCAAGTCCTTATCTGACAGAAACAGTGAGCCTGAGATTATGTGAACCTAAGACCTTGAGAGTGATAAGTTATAGAGGTGAAATACTAGTTGAAAGAAAATTTACAAGCTGAGTATATCAACTTATAAAATAAGAAAAGAATCAGTTTCTTGCTCATTATAACTAACTCTTGCAAATTACAGTAGGGTTTTATGAAATAGTAAGTTGTATTGCATATCAGAAAAAGGTGCATTACTTCTAAGAGCTTCTGAGAGCTATCTCAGAAGGCTCAGAAGGGGTCTCAGAAACTTCAGCAGCTCAGCCCTCAGTGAAGTTCAATTTTGGACTGGTGCATTCTCAGAAGTGATTTTATTTATCATGCTTCTTGGGCATCTTCAATCTAAACCTCAAGCCTTTTTTGTATATATATTTTCATATCTCAAATACATTTTTCAAGTCATGAATCAGGCCATTTATCCTTGAGACATATTCACTGTGAATTTTGCAAAGTTGACCATATTTAAACTTGGCACTTAGAGTATCAGAATATGTATGATTTCCTGATGCAATCAAACTTTAGCTAGTAGAGTCAGACATAGACAGTCTGTAACTTAAGTGAGCTACAGGTGCTAGAATAGTTATACTTCAGATAGATACAAAGCTATAGATATAGAAACTCAGTTCTATATCCTTCAAGAGAAAACTTGATTCTTAGAGACAGCTAACACTAAGTGAATAGTAATCAGGACTCCCAGGTCTAAAGTACTAAAGCAAAGAAGCACATAGGCCTCTTATTTTAGCAGAGAGATACTTGGACCTCAAATATCTTTAACAGAGAGGAACTAGTGAGCATAGAAGTAGACTCAGTTCAGTTAAGAGATTAATCTCTATCTCTCTGGATCTGGATATCTGGCTATTTTAGAGTTCTTTATATATCTTTTTCTAAGTTCTGTCAAGTCTTTCTTTAACCAATCAGCTTCTTTCTTATACTAGTAAGCCTCTTTTCCTTTCAATCAATTAAAATTTAGCAGAAATAATTTATTCTAACTCTCGTCTAATCAGAATAAAGCTAAATAATCTTACCTGATCTAGAACTTGAAATAGAATATACTTAGTAAGCTTCTGGCACTTGATTAGTAAGAACTTACAGGCCTAGGCCTATATAGACTATAATTTATAAGTCACTTAAGCTTGCTTTATAAGAATGCTGCATAGTGAGTCAGACTCTAAAACACTTGAGTCAAACTTATTAAAGTTGAAGGTTAAGATGTCTTAAATAATTACAAATCAAAGTGAAAGTAGGTTTAGTAATGAGGGTGCTTGCTGAGGAGTCATTGACAAAGTTTCAAAGAACTGACTTTATTATTAACAAGATTATCTGTCAATAATATTGATAAGTCCTATAGACAAATTCTGATTATCTCTGAAGTTGAGTTTTCTTCTTTTTCTATCTCGCAACAAACACTTTTGGTGCATGATACTGGTGAGTTATAGATTATCAATAAGCAGATGCTCAAACTGATACATATGGCAATCACATTTGCACCTATAAAAGTCAAACTCAAATGGCAATATCCTATTCTTTCTTTCTACCAACTTGTCAATTCTATTGCAATTTCAAGTATAAATTCTTCTATTCTAGAGCAATTATTTACTTAACTCATGAAAGCTCTTTGATAAACAACATGGAGAAAATTGTCATCATAATTATTGTATTATCACCTCTCACTGCAATCACTGCAGTATTTGTAATATATGTATGCATATTGCAAGAAATAGAAGAATCACAAGAATGGTTTGAAATAGTGTAAAAGAACAATTTATATATTTTATTACCATTAATTATGAGGACATAATTCTAGAGGAGGGAGTAATGTTACGATCACTTTATTTCAGATCTTGTTGACACACCTTTTTCTTATAGTCTACACTCTCTTTTTATTTATAACCACTTATTAAAATCTATCCAAATACACTCATTAATTTATGCTGAAATCTGACTAATATTGTAAGTATTTATAGCACATTGTTACCAAATGTACTTAGATAAAACCTGCATCAGAAAATTATACATATTCTGGCACTCTGAGTGCCAAGTCCAAATATGGTCAACTTTGCAAAATTCACAGTGAACATGTCTCAAGGATAAATGGCCTGATTCATGACTTGAAAAATGTATTTGAGATATGGAAATATATATACAAAAAAGGCTTGAGGTTTAGATTGAAGATGCCCAAGGAGCATGATAAATAAAATCACTTCTGAGAATGCACCAGCCCAAAATTGAACTTCACTGAGGGCTGAGCTGCTGAAGTCTCTGAGACCCCTTCTGAGCCTTCTGAGACAGCTCTCAGAAGCTCTCAGAAGTAATGCACCTTTTCCTGATGACTGTATATATACACCAGATGAACTTCAGATATACTCCAAGTTTTGAATGGTTTTACCTACTCATTTCTAAATTGATTTGAGTCCTATCACCAGGCCTGTCATACTCATACACTTCAATATATTTCAACAACAATAGAAATTATGTTAGACAATCTGTTGTCTTAGCAAATTCTAGTACAAAGACTAAATTTGTTCATAGACAATATACTTCATTTGCCATAAAACATCTATCATACAGACAATAGCTGTGTAAGATTAAAATTTATTTTCCGGTCTTCCTGGCAGTCAGATTGGTGTGTGAAACGGCAATCCATCCGACCATCTACATTCAAGAAGGCTGATTAGGTCCTGCTTTGCTGTGAATAGATCTACTTCCCACAATACCTGCCACATCGTCTCATTGCAATATGCTCCTTCCCATTGACAACCCTTCGGCTGACTTGGAAGCAGAAGTCGTGCGGATGTACCCTGAGCACTCACCTTTTGATATGATCCCTCCTCCTTCAGAACTTACACCCGTACGACTCCCGATAGAAATCCCTAAGCCGAACGTACTAGCTGCGGCATTGTCCCAATTCAAACTTACATCTCTCAACCCATTCCATTCATTCTACGGCAGTAATCCGCTCTTGCTCACTGCCAGTGTTCAGAAAATGCATATGCCTATCATCCCTCACGTTGCCCGGCCTCTGCCTCACGTCAAGGCAGGATCGGACATGAGCTTCAAAGAAGTTATCGATGAGAATCATTCTCTCGTTCTGTATGATAATAAAACTTGTGTCCTCAAATGGGTGAGTCACTCGGCCCTTATACTTTCTAGTGTCCTCAAAGCCATTTCTAGTTCATCTCTCAAGATTCCGCCAATGACAACGAGGAGTTTGAACGTGAAAAGGATGCTTATTCTCTTCTCGAAGATTGTGACTCGTCGAAACATACAACTCTTCGGTGCTTCGGTTGGGTAGTATTGAATTCCGCCGATGCTTTGAAGCTGCACCCGACCCTCCCGTCATCCGGCGCAACGACTGTGAGGGCTCTTCTACTGGAGCACTTCGATGGCACCATTCCCCTCTCTGTGGAGAATGTGACGATAGACATAGCCAAAGCTGCACTGATAGCTCTATGTGGCGTACATGCTGCTTATGTTTTACACGGGGACATTAGGCATCAGAATGTACTCCTTCTCCCCGATTCCCGTGTAGTTTGGACGGGATTGAGCTCTTCAAAGACTGCATCGCGTGATAGTCTCCGCCGCCAGGATCTTTTGAACGAGCTCGCCTCCGCTTGGTGGTTGTTCCATTCTAAAATGGTAAGTCCTTCTCCTCGAGAACACTACACTGTGAATTAATTGGCATCCTATTCTGGTCATCTACTTTATAGCTTCCGGACAAGCTTATTGGCAACACTCATCCTGACTATTGAGGACTTCGATTCGAGGTTGCGTTCGGCGAATTTTCCGCATCGAGCACTTTGTCATATTTAGTTCTCCATGAGGCCAAGCAGTCAAATATCTACACTCAGGGTCATACATTTTCAGAGTAAGGATAAGGTCGTCCAATCCATGAAGGAGCAGATAGTAAGCCTAAAGTCTTGAGCCCAGAAAACAACAGAAACAAATGTAGTAATCTAGATGTGGGTTGTAATCCCTTTTATCAGGCCGGCACCCATTCTCTCAATCTCAGCCAGGACGGCTTCTTGATTGAGAACGACAAGTCCCTTACCCTTCTCTTTGGACGACTCATCCTCCTGTACGTTAGCTATTAGTCGGCAATGGGTTACTAGAACGAACCTTGCATAGACGTACCTTCCATTTAGGAATGCTGGAAAATCCACCGAGTACTCTGAAGGTCCGCGCTTCTTTCAATGTCGGATCCCATACCGCACCAAAGCGGTCGCCGCCTAATGGATCGTAGAAGATCTTGAACGTATCCTTGTAAGCGTTCTGGGAACGTAGGATGTTAGTTTTTTATTTTATTTTATGGAAAAAAGGGCCATGTCGAAGTACTTACGGATAGGTCGTCAAACAAGAACTGCGCTGGATCAAAGCCCGGTCGTACACCCGGAGTAGATGACGTCTGCTTGGACAAATTGACATATTTCCCTTTCCGCTGCCAGACATTCGGATCCGCCTTCACGTTCTGGCAATAGCGGGAAAGCACAGAAGGCTCAAGTTCGATGATGAAGTCGTAGTCTTTTGTAGGATGAGCAAAGAGCGTCTGGATCAAAGGAGACGTAAGGAAGGATAAAAGGGATATAAACCGTGATATACGTACAACGACATCATAACCTTCAGACTCGATCTCCTGAGACGCGCCCCATGTGGCCTTAGCCACCGCTCGTATACGTCGAGCGACAACAGCATCAGGACCGTTGCTGGTCCACATATGCCCGTCTCGATCAAACTCAGTCGAAACCTTCCATACACCTGTTCTAGAAGAAGGAGATGTAACGGGAACCGTTGATGCTGTTTCTCCCTCAGGCTGCTCTTCGCCATACAAAGGAACGAAAAGGCCCTTCTCCCACTCCCAGTCCTTGAGCATCTCTATCACCCTTGCAAATCCGCGTTCTTTCGTTCCAGGTGCACGAACAAGCTGTTTCGATCCTGATAGTTGACCACCAATGAGAAAAAAGCTTGCACAAATTAGCTCGACCACTTCCCGGCTGACGTGGTTGCCCAAGAGCCAATGTGATGCAAACCATCTCTTGACCAGGCGGACAGTACCTGCGAAAGCCGTAAAGCGATGACACAGAGCGGCTATCGCTCGATGATGTCTGGGTGCGTGAATGAATCGTCTGGTATAGAGCTCTTTTGCCACAATAGCAGCTTGGCGTTCTTTGGGATCTGGACCTCCAGGGAGATTCTGCTTGAGATGCTTGGGAACGTGAGGCTTGTCATCAATTGTTGTATCGAGAAGATGTGCTTCGCGTTCATGCCATATCCTAGCAGAGAACGCCCAACCTTGAAGTGTCACGATCTCAAGTTTTGCAATATCTTGAACGTCTGATACAGGTTTAAAGTCGCCTACGACGACCGTCGCTTTCAAACCCTGGGTAGAGTTCATGAGTGCAGTCGCAAGTCGCTCGAAGAAAGCCAATTTGATCTTTTGAATAGCACGCAAGTCGTCTGGCCACCTTCCAGACTTCTCGAATTCGATGATAATATCCATAGGTGCGAGATACTGAGCACACTGTGGGAGAGCAGCGGCAGCGGATCGCGGAAGTGGGGTAGGATTGAAGACATTGGTGTAGCGCAAGGACTCTGAGACAGGGCTAATATTGAGGACAGCGAGAGGCAACTCGTCATCCAAAGCTTTGATAGACTTGACCAACTGGTCGAACGCGGATTGAGCTGCCTTGAAACCAGTCTCTAGCGTTGCCGACTTATACATATCAGCGATCGACTCGGGTAGTCGAAGTAAAGAGTCAAAAGATGTCTGCCAGTGCTGCACATCCGATTCGGGAATACCACAATGTCTGTGAAGGATGTATCGACAGATGTAGAATGGTACATGTGCGCGTTCGTCGGCAGTCTTGACATCCCAAACTACGCTTTCCACGATACTACCATCCTTGAATCGACGGAGTTCGGCTTTCTCACCCCAGAAATCACGGAAGCGCTGAGCAGCCATTGTCTCGGCTTCCTCTGCAGAGGGTCCGTGGTCTACTAGGCGGAACGCGTGTTCAGCGTCAAGGAGGAGCCCAATATAGACAGTAGGTTGGTTCGTTGGATGTGCTTGTGAAAGCGACCAGGCCTGGCCTGATGGATGGAGAACAGCAACTGCTTTGACACGATCACCAAGTCCATGTCGGAGCGAGCAAGAGAGTGTCGAGAGTACGGCATTATAGGGAGAACCGAGGTCCAACGTAGCATGCAAAGAGGGTTCCCGAAGTTGTGCTGAAGACAAGTCTACACTGGAGGCGGGTTAGGACATCACGCACGACGATGAAACCGATGAGCTTACCGTATCACAACATCGAAACGTGACTGTAGGTCGCGATGGTCCTTTAGAAATACCTCTGAGAACGGATCCTCTGATATCGAGTTCTCATTGAGAGCTTCCAGCGTTAGTGCTGCGTCGTGTTTAAGCTAGAAATCCATAACAAATCAATTAGCAACTCTTGACAGAAACAAAGGGTGCAGCATACCATCTCGAGGGACCCTAGCGGAATACCGGCAAGAACATTCACAGTAGATGTCGAATCAACAAGGACAGCTTCGTGCGAGTCATATTCTTCAGGGGGAAACTAACTCCTTGAACAGTCAGTATCCAATTCACTGATCGAGGTCTACAATGTGACATACTCGATGTCCCCTGTCGGATTTCACGAAAACATGAGATTGGCTGAAATCGTGTCTCGCTGGGTGTTAGCAATTAGTGTCGTACTGTCAAAAGATAAAGATTAGTTACACACCTAGCAGATCCAGGGCAGCCCGAAATAATTGATACGAACTCAGACCCTTGCCAAGGGGCTTCTTCGTTACTGAAGACTTTCCAACCACGTTCGGGTTTGGCTCTTCTCCGCTGATTAACAAATCCAGAATAGTACACCATAAAGACCCAGCGCCATCGAACCCTCTAATACACAAGCGATTTCCTTGGCCGTATCCTCTCTGGTTCGCCCAGACTCTCAATAGCGCAAGTGCATCACTGAATGCGTAAACACGCTCTTTGAGAGAATGCATCCGGAGAAGATGGGGCCTGGGGGTAGTGCTGAGGAGGATGGAGGTATTGTACAGAGGTGTAGCGAGCTCATTCGAGGCCTCTTCGCCCGACGAAGTACGGACGTTGCAGCGTTTTGGGGAGAGACGGGTCAAGAGAATGGGGGAATTAGAGGGAAGAGTTGGAATAATTCGGATTTCGGCGTCAAGTCTTGTGAAATCGTTCTGCGACCCATCTGAGGACCATAAGCATGAAGACGAAACCTATAAGTAGTTAAAATATACCTGTTTTGGGACGTAGAATGAGACAAGTAAGTCGAGGATCACCTCGAGCTGTGCCATATAAAACATCGACGTTCACACCGCTTTTCCTGCCCTCAAGCGCAGCAGCTATTGTAGCAAGGTAGTAGGCTCGTTTGTGAAGATACCGCCCATTTAAATAATCTTTCTCTTGGAAAAGATCCTACGGAACCTGATTAGAGATATAAACTAGAGCGAGATTGAATTTTACCTACACCAGGCATGATAACCGCAAGGTCCACACTAAACCGCTCCCCGTCCTTGGCTTTTACGCTCAATTTGTTCGGCCAACTTCCGACCAGTAGAATTTCACTGGGCTTCTCGAACGAGACTTTCCAGTTTGTATCCTCCGTTGGAAGAGGGAGTGGATAAGGTACCGCGATACCCTTGGCCTGGAGTTCCCTCGAAGCTGCAAGCGGATGTTTAGGCGGGATAGATGTTAGCGAAGAGAGCAAAGAGTGAAGGGTATGCAGAAAATGATCGAGAGGTGTTGAGCGTTGGTATTTTGGTCGGACGTTTGGGAGGAGTGCATCAATCTGAATGTATTGAAATGTCATGTCAGCGCGTTAGTTCGACTAGAGTGAATACGCACCTGAAGCTTGAACGAGCTTGACCTATACAAGTCGGTTGCATCCTTTATACTCCTGAGTTCTTGAGCAGTTGGCGGTTTCTTTTTATGTAAGTCTTTGGCTGCGCCATTCAGTGCAGGTTTTGAAGACGCCTGACCGTCTATACCACCCCACTGATCATCTTCGGCCGCAGTTTCGTGCCCTTCAACGTCGTCATCGTCAGAGCTTCCACTTCCAGAAGCTGCATCTGAGACCATTTCGTAGTCCTCTTCATCAGGCCCGTTCACGGGAAGAATAACGTTCGAGTCCTGTGAAGAAGAGGATAAGAGGTGAGTGTGATTTGAATACTTGAACATACTTTTTCAACTGCTGAGCCTCGTTTTCTTTTTTTATCAAGAGCCATACTCGTAAATCAAGAGTAAAGAAAGAAACCGGGATGACTAGATGACACTCGTGAGTGATCGAAGCCAAACTCGAAGCCAAAGTAATTTTGGGCGCTTATGTCAAAGGACTCGCGCGTTTATGGAAGGCGTTGTAGATCAGACGCAAATAGCGACTGACTACAGAATCTTGTCCGCTTCCTGGCTGCCGTGAATGCTGCGACCCTCGAGGGAGGAGAGGACCAGTTAAAGCCTCTTAATATAGGAAGTCACCAACTTGAAACCCAGTTCTGAGGTGAAACGGGATTATAAATCGCTATACTACTGTTCAGGCTTGCGTCGTATATACAAATGCAACGTGTCTTATGCGATCAACAATGGTCATCCGACACATGTGAATAGCTCAAGGAAACAACGTTCTAAAGGCAATTGCACTGTAAAATGACTTGCAATTGCCTAATCGTGACCCCAGCGTGTTAGGCGCCACCTAGTCGTCGATCACAATAACCTCATCATTCCTACCTGGACCAACACCTTCACCAGTCCGTCTCCGTCTACTTCGCTCAACAAATTCCTGTTCGATGAGATCCACAACACCATTCTCACTTCCTTCTCGTTTTCGCTTTCGATTCTGCGGTCTTGACACCGAACGCTCATCATCAGAATCATCGATAACGATAGGAGTAGAGGTGTTGGATGCGGTTGATCTTGTCCCTGAGGGAAATGGAGACCTTGTAGCGGGAGACGCTCTTGATTTGCCCTTCGCACGGGAACTCGAGCTGGGAATGGAAGGAGCAGGGGAGGGTGAGTGGGCTGCTATTGGTGGAGGTGTTGGTGGTCGTGGCTTGGCGTAAAGTTGCGTCCAATGCCGAGCAGTTCGATCATGCTGGGCCCGATTCCGAACGTACTCGGTGGCTATCGAAGGAACTGAACAGAGACTTCAGTTACACCACACGTCAAGTGACATGACAACGTGTGAAACTGACCTAGAGGGTCCTCTATAAGAGTTCGAGTAAGCTCGTGTTACGGCAGAAAATTAATGGAGACTCACTAGGGTTGGGGTCTGTGAGAAGTGATGATAAGGACAAAATGACCTTATAAAGTGATAGTGCGGGAGACCAATTATGCTTGAGAATGTCAATACAGATACCTCCTCTATCGGATATGTTCATATGATATATTCTTCGCAAAAGGACGAGTTTAATGTTACCAGCCACAACATACGATGCTGGATACTGACCGAGTTCGGAAAGTCATTCTAGGCGCTGAGAATCTTTGAGGTATTCTGAATAAGCTACTAGTTCACCTATGGAAAAGGGAACTTACGGATAGTCGGGTGCCAGGTTGATGTCCACCTCAAAAACTCCCCCTTCATAGCAACTGCCCTCTGGCCCCGGAATGGTGGCCTTCCAGTTGAATAGACTGTCGGACGAGGGAGCAAGTTTGATGGCACCAAGGTCTTCCTTCCTGAGATCAGCAATCTCGCGATGGATTCGTTTAATGGTGGTCTGTATATTGTTCAGCGAAAGCTACTGAAAGTATTCTCAGAGGTACTCACAGCAAGAGGCGGGGGCATTGTGGCAGACAGTGTCGGAGCACTTGCCAAGACGCACGCGGGAACTTGTAATGTATGTGCACGTGATCTACATTATGTAAGTTCGATCATTTACGCTTTTGGGCCTTGGCGATCGCGAAATTTCGAGTTTCTACAAACACAGAGACGATTCGCCTGTAAGTTATAGACTATGCCGGGGCTTGTGGACAGCGACGAAGGTGTGCATTGAATATTTTGCAGTATGAATACGAAGTAACTTGGAAATCTGGATGTGCAGAGTTTCGACCCGACGATGCTCGAGTGGTTGACTATGATCCCTCTGAGGAATTACCACTCAGCTTAGATGCTGGAGTGATGGAACATTATCTGGACGTCGGGTGAGTAGCCAACCCTGTGTCATTTACCTAGAAATTTACGGAGGATATAGGCCATCGTCCTTGCGCCATGATACTCTGAACGACCCCAAGTACGGCGGTGCTCGTATAAGACGTGATCAGTTGTCCGACGAAGACGAAGACGAGGAACCCCCTTCAAGCAGTGAAGAAGAAGGCTACTCTATTTTGTCTCCTTCACGAGATTCTGAAAAGCGTTCTGCACCTGCAAGAAAACATCCTCCTCAAGAACAGACGGATGCCACCCCTGCGACAGAGAATAACGTCTCAACTCTACGAGTCGTAGGTTCTGACGATCGAAACAAGGGTAAGGCGGTCACACATCAGATCGTAAGCAGCTTTAGTTCGTCTTCGGTTTCTGCCTCTAAATTTAACAGGCAATGTGGGATGCACTGCTGGATGCAAGAATACGTTTGCAGAAGGCTCTCACAACTACCAACATTCTAACATCAGTAGGCTTCGCTCTGTAATTTCTAACGTTGCTTGCCTGATAGTTTCTCGTTCCAGCCATCACGTTTCCCCGACGTTTCCAGACATCCTTCAGCATCGCAGTCACTGAACTCCATGCTTGACGAAGCGACCGCACTTTCCCGTGAACTTTTAAAACTTCAAGAAGTACGTAATTGTTCTCATTACGCAGCATCCCTTCCCAACTGATAATCCTTCAGAGCATCACCAAACGTGATACTCTATTCCCTTCCTCACCCTCCACCCCGGTTGTTGAGAAGTCCGAATCTAACGCAGAAGCTAGTATTTCTGCACTTTCCGCTGCTGAGTCTGCACGTGAAGCTTCGCAACACCAAGCTCTCGTTCAGACGTTGTCAAAATGGTCAACGAAAATCCAAGCTGCTCAACCCAGTTTCTTGCTTCCCGCGAAGTCGTCGTTCAAGAATGCCTGGAATAAGGAAGAGAACCATCGACCACCCGGGGTGATCCAAATCATCCAAGAAGACCTCAACGACAGCGAAAAGCTTCTCTCACGCACTCGAACACTTCGTAATAACAAAGCCCGCACTTCCGCCTCCGGCGCGCCGGAGGACGGCTCTGCAAACATCTTCGACGACACCGACTTTTATCAACAACTCCTGCGAGACGTGATTGACACCAGAGGTTCAGGCATAGGCGAGGAAGAGAGTTGGGTAGCAAGGCAGCATGCCAGGAAAGCTAAAAAGAAGGCGAATGTAGATACGAAGGCAAGTAAAGGGAGGAAGTTGAGGTATGAGGTGCATGAGAAAATTCAACATTTCATGGTGCCTATACCAGTCGTACAGGGCGGGTGGCATGAGGATCAGATTGATGACTTGTTTTTGTCGTTGGCGATGTATGATGGAGAGCCGTGAGGGAGTGGTTAGATGTTGCATATAGCTTACATACTATTTTTTGTGTCTATCGCCATACTGTCGATTGGCACGTTCTCATATCATATAGACGTACATGATGAGCAAATGAATCAATAAGACGAGGTTCGTAGCCTGAAACTACGTGTTTAATGCAAAGAATCCCAGACCTCGCCTGCTATCCGACTCATAGTACCCTTCCACTCCTGATTCCCTTCCCCTACAAGCATGTAAGGGACACCGTGATCACTGGCCTCGCTCACACCGCCAACAAGCGGAAGCTCCCCGAGCACCTTTGCCCCTACCTGTGATGCTGTCTCGTGGAAAGACTTCGGTGAGCCGAAGATGTAATGCGGAGTCGCACAGTTCCTGCAGATGAAATGTGAGGTGTTCAGGATCAAGCCCGTAATCTGTTATGACAAAACATAGAATGAATGTGAAGATCCTAGAGGGAATGCTTGATACGTACTGGAACGTCGACCTTCTTGAACATTGAAACGCCCTTACGGACATCTGATATCGCAACGTCTTGAGGTGTCGATACAATGACCGCACCTAACATACAATATAAGATTGTACAGATCGAAACTTTTCATGAATCATGCGAGCGTACCATCCACTTTCACGAGTTGTCCCAAAGTGAGAGGGACATCTCCAGTACCAGGCGGCATATCAATCACGAGAACGTCCAAGCCAGGTTCACTCTCATTGTCGCCTCTCCAGTCGACGTCAAACAGCAGTTGTTGGACGGCTTTCTGAACCATCAGACCTCTCCATACCACAGCAGTGTCTACCTTCGTCTGGCCGTCCGCGGACCGACGTAGAAGGAATCCCATAGACATACATTGCAGTGCATGATTCACCAGCGGAACAATCGCGCCCTCTGATAAGACGTGTCAGATTGCGGGGTTTAGTGAGATGGCGAAGAGACAGACTTTGTGTTAGGCGAGGTTCATGTGCAGACTCCAAGCCCATGAGTTTGGGAACCGAAGGACCGAAAATATCCAGGTCCAAAACACCGACTCGTGGTTTCCTCTGAGAACCAGGGATCTGATGCATTGCCAGGGCAAAGGCAAGGTTCACTAGTAATACGACATGTCAGGCAAATAGTAAGTATCATGAATGCGAGCCCTTGAAAGTTACCTGCAATCGTACTCTTCCCTACACCACCCTTCCCACTTGCTACAGCAAGAACCTTACTCACGTTGGGTATGGGTCGTTTCTGAATGGGAGCATTTCGTCGAGGAATCTGCGGTAGTGGACCTGGTCGTCTAGGTAGCCCCTAGTGGCTTGATTGAGACATGAGATGGAGGTGAATTATATCTTGTGAATAGATCTCACCAGCGGATTATCGTGACTTCGAGCAAAACATGTACTGAACAAACGGCGTGAAGTCCCCATATTGTAATGCCGTCCTTGGACACTCCAATGAGAATTTTTGCTTTGAAGCCGAAAGCTTGTATTTGCGCTTTGACAATGGAGTCGAGAAAAGAGAAAGTTACGTGCAAGGCTTATGATCTGCGATCCAAGCCAAGCCAAAGTCCACTTTTGGCAAGGGCTGTAGTTGTCTCGTTGAAAGTACTGTACCACTCGCTCACTCGATGCAGAGGGACAACGAGCGTTTGCAAAGTCTGTAACGAGGCTACCATTTTTTGTGTCAAGTACGGGGAGTACTTGCATAATAACTATTTTTATATAGATCAACCTGCTGACCCGTACGCATCATCTCTCGAAACCATGGTGCCTGGCACTGTCTGAGTCTTCAAAGCTTCAGGCCTTGGGGTATGAACCATCACTCCAAAAGAATGCTATACACATATTATTTGTGGGTTCTTCTAAAGGGGGAGCTATCATCGACAGCCCACCGAGATCTTCCGCTTGTTCCATACAATCATCTCCAGAAAGGCCTGCGTTCGCCAGAATGAGTCCTGGGAGAAGATAAAACACAGTATCCAGACCATACCATTCTTCTAGACCCTTATTTCCCCATTTCAGTAAAGCACGAGCTAAGACCTTGGGCAACAATGCGGTAACATCCAACGGATATGGTCTAGCCTCCTTTTCATGTTTGACCGCCTGAAACTTTGCACATCTAAGTGACAGAAAGCTAGCACGCGAGTGCGCAAGTACGAAGGGTTTCTTGGTATATTTGGCTCGATGGACGGGAATAAACTCCTTTAGGGTGAGGTTTGTACAACCTCGTCTAGATGTCACATTTGGAGTCAATGACTTGCTCCCAGATCTCCACTGCGAGTCGACGCTACCTCATGCCTGTTTCTATGTCGTCTATCGACATGGGCTGAATGAGCTTAAACTCGAGGAAAGTCAGTTCGACGATGAGAGGGAACACTGACCAGCTGTGACTGTCGTTGACCATAAGATGTAAAGCACCCAGGGATTGATCATCATACTGTGAAGCTGAAAAAGTCAGTGCGTAGGCTGAGCAATACCCTCTGAAAGGAAACCTTATGCCCTTGAAACTGAATATACATGCAACCTACTGTATCGCGAAAGGAAAATCACGAAATGGGTGCGATCTCAATGGAATGTTCAGGAACAGAGTTAGATTCCAATAGGGATAAGATACCCTACGACGTCCATACGCGGGAAACGTCTACACATGAATAGCCATGTCACGACTACACCCATACCAAAATGGCCATATAGACAACCTGTAGCATGGCGACGAGGAAAAGAAACGTGATTCGTCGTGACCGTTGTGCGGTGTTGACTGGTGAAGCTGTTGCTGAGGCGTCTGGTAAGACGACAGAACGTAGGGAACGGAGCTGTCAAGAAGGGTTAGGGTTAGAATTGGTATTCATGACATCGGGAACACCCACAGGGCATGTGTGAATGAAAAACAGAACTTACTAGGAAAAACGCAGTGGCAAAGAACGAATATAGGAATACCAGGAGGTATAGTGTCCCTCGAATATTGAGCATACCTGCTATTAGCGTTACGATGACCCTAGGAAGCCAGTTCAGCCACCCACGAATATGTTATTCACAAGCAGGTACGCACCCTACGAATTTGTATCCATTGTAGGCTAGCAAATCCAGTACTTGGCTTGCTCCCTGGTCAAGTAAGTCATCATGAGTTGAATAATCCGCCTCCAGTTGTTAGATATACCTACCTGAATGTTCAAAAGGTAGCAACCTAGCTTCACAAATGCGAAGTCCAGCAGGATCACGACCAAACCAGTCGACGCCCTGACGCCGAGGATGTCTGGACGGAAGTCTGACTTCAAGCCGAAGTGCAAGGCCACTGCGAGAATGTATGTAACAAACGCCATGACTGGAACGGTAACGTTCGGTGAGCTGGAGTCTTGGTGCACGGTCTGCGAAGGGACGTACGTGGGATATACAGATCCGGTGCATTGACATCTTCCTTGGGCGATAAGAGTTCCACTTGTCCATTCTCAGCACGTCTGCTTCGACGCGACCATGGTTTATGTCGCCAAGGGAAGAGGAGGATACGAAGCTTGTGAACAACATATGAGTTGGACACGTTGAAGTACCGCTTTACAGCTGTGATTGGTATGAGTCCTCCGAGCTATACAGCAGTTGATTCTAAGTAGCTGGTCCATAGAAAGAACAAATATGCCACGAACGTTCTTCTGCACGTAGTCCTGACCCGCAGCAACTGCACTCTGACCCAACTGCATCCCAAATTGTGCCGTTGCATCGTTCAAACCCCACGCAGAAAAGTCTACTGGCGCTGTCGGAGGCATATGTGACGGGACTTGTCCATGGATAGGCTGTTGTCGTGGTGGTGAGCCTATAGGTTGGTATTGCCCTCCATGTGAGATATAGCTTGGCGATATATGTTGTTGAGGTGGAATTGGTTGAGGGTAGGATTGAGAGGGTGGAGAGCTGGTATAACGTTGGTATCCTTGTGGCGACACTGGTGTTGAAGGTGGTTCCGGTATGTAAGCAGGGTGTGTTGGTACAGGATGTTGGAGGGGTGGAGGACTGCGGTTGTTGCTGTAGTATGACATAGCTCTGCGTCGAGGCTTTTGGTAGACTTTAGACTTCTAAGGTCAAGATAAGAACGTCTCTGGTGGCTTTGAAGAAAGAAAATGGGTGCCACGCGGAGTGCACACGACAGAGCCGTTGGAGAGCAAGAGTTGAGTCGAGTGGTCGACGTGGAAGCTGCCGTCTTCCAAATCTAGCTGCTTACCGCCCAGATGCGGTTCTCAATATCCAAGTTTGTACATCTCACCCTGTGTTTTATTTAAGAATAGAGAGAAGAATGAACGACATTGCGTGTTGCTCAATGACAACTAGATAACAAGAGGGACGAGAACGTAAAGTCATATTAAATCCAATGATAGTACAACGGCGGAGAACGAGTAATTTAGGCTTCATATGTACGATACAGGAATGATTCATGATGGCTCAGCGTCTTCAGTCGTAGCTTGGTTCTTTCGTCTGCGCCGAGAGCGCGTCCGAGCTGACTTCGACAGTCTTCGCAAAGCTGGTTCTTGGTAGCTATGATATAATTTAGCCCAGGCTAACGTATAATGCAAAACAGTCAAGATCTACCTGGCTCCTTTACTTCGCAGCTCAGGAATGCATTTACGACTAAGAGTGATCTTCATATAAGCTATTCGCGGTTGTTTCAAACTATAAGCTATGAGACTTGACGTGAAAACGCATGGGGGCAGATAACACTCACTGATTCTTGCCCGTCAAGGCTGCGGATATTGCTTGTAACCTCTCTGCCTCTGGATCCTCTGCCCCTGCCGGAGATTCATCTGGTAGCGTACCGATTACGTTGTATTGGTGCAAGCCAGTCAACACGCCCTCCTGCGCATCATCTGAGCTCAGAGTCTTCAGGTATTCTCTCTTGATGATCTCGGCCACTGAGATCAATCGAGGAATGGTCGACATGGATGGAGGCATGCGATCCGGTTTGGCCTGCGAACTATCCTTTGGTTCAGGAGGTTGCTCAACCGCTGGCTCGGTAGGAGTCTGCCTTTTTGGTGCAGGTAATGTGTGCAGCGTTATACCGGTTTCTGGATTTTGCTATCCTATATCAGTGTCAAGGGGTGAAGTAGCCGAGAAGTTAAACGCAACGTACATGGAGGAAATCGAGGGCAAACTCTACCCATGCATTCATCTTCCCGTGTTGGGTTATACGCATGTCATGGATGATTGATTCGTCTGGTGTCGATTCATCCACGGCTGCAGCCATAACGGTGCAATCCCAGAAGTCTTTATATAAGATACGTCCAGGTGCAAGTCAAAGAGTGGTCAAGGTGTACTCCAGCGCCAAATTAACTACATTGGAATTAGCGCTGAGCCTACGGTTCAAATTCAATATTCAAACATCGACATCGAGAAATTTAACGAGGAAAGGGAAATGACAAAAGATCGGTCAGGTTAAAACGTAGGGAACGGTGATCTTAAAGAATAATTTTCAGGCTGTATGGGGCGAGCTTATACTTATTATTTGTAGAGTGCTACCATACGGATAAAATGCTACTGTGGACAGGTACAATCTGAAGGATACCGAATTTTATTCTCCGGCACCTGTGGATACGCCGTAGGTGACTGTAGCCCGACCTCAGCGCGCATTACGGAGCTTCGTTCATCTTAGAGTCGGAGCGACGTGCCCTTCTATAAATACCAAAAACGATCTCGCCATCTGATTCTGCAGCATGCAAACCAGGTCGCACGCCTTCATCGCCAGAACGTTCACTGAACATGTTCAGCGGGTCGGTCTCGATAGACAGGGCAGCGTGGGATACGCTCGGATTAGTTGGTGGGAAGAGTGGCGCAACCAGTGCGACCGGGTTCATTAATCGTGCGCGAGCCAACTCCAATGTGGACACCTGCTTCCCATCCCCAGCAATTCCATCAGCAATGGATACGAAATCGGTATGCGTGGCGAGTGCCGTCATAAAGAAAATGATGAGTGCTACGATTGTTTGCAAGTATAGTAGGGCCAATAGAATGACGACAGGCCAGAATGGATATCGGCCGACGATTAAGTTACCGAGACGACTCTGCGAAAGCGTGTCTGTTGTGAGGTTGGTGATGACCGCGGCAGAGCCAATAGCTAGTCTGGCTAAATCTTGCTGTATATGCCATCACTTTGTCCGTCGAGTTGTCGGTGAACGCGTGACCTTGAACATTGGAGATGAGATGGGAAGCATAGTGTCCGAGTCGAGCCGAGGCAGCAAGGCCGTCAGAGAGACCGACATTAGTCAGTTCCTCGTCTACGCGCACGTAACTTCCGTTACTGTAGTCAAGCGTGACGTTGTAGAAATATAGTGTGCAATTAGTGACCATGGTCGCGAGGTTGCTGTAGTTGTCGATCGCATCATTGCCTTCCGGTGGGTGCCCAAACTCCGTATCGCCTGCGGCTTCCCATAAAAATGGCATCCACAGAGAATACGCGTTCACTGGCGGTACTTGAGACGAGAGCGCAGCCGCAAGGGATGTGATCATATCTGCGCTGATATGATCGCAATCGACATCCCAGGGACAATTCGGAGATTGGATGAATACTTTGGACTCTCCCCCATTCAATCCTCCAGAGTCAAAGCCGGAAATTGGAGGGAAGGTTGAAGAAAAACCGCTACAATTCTGAGGTGCGTAGCCGTGGACACATAAATGATTCACAGACTGGCACGAAACGCGTGCACCAAAAGTCGTCGCACGAAAAGCAACGGGTTGCGGGACATTTGGCTTCACAACTTGAAGGACGGCGAGATCATCGGCTTCCGCAAGTGTTATGGTTTGCAGGTCTTCGGAGCTGTTCGATGCGACGAGCATACCGGGAGTCAATGACCGGACGCCATTAGCCATGCACCTTCAGTCATTAGGCATGGATGGATTGCCTCGTACCAAGGATCTGGGTATGGAGGACAAATGTTTTGTGCAATGCTGTATTGAAAGGGTGTATCAATGGGAGAGATCGTTGGCAGAATTATGGTCGCGGTCACAGTGTGAAGCCAGAGATCTACAGCACTGTGAAGGGTTGTAAGCTTTATGAAACATCGAAGGAATGGCGAACCAAACCTGATAACGTTTTTGAGGACAAAAATTGTAAGAATCACGAGGAAAGAACGACTAAGCATAGAGCTCGCCCGTGCTCGTCGCCTATGACTGCGGGTCATATAACGAACAGCCTGCACCAGAGCAGCTAGACCTGAACCACTCAAAAGGTCGACCACGAGGCCATATCTGAAACAACCCTTCAAAACAAAGAAGCGTACGCTAGGCAATAACACGTACTGCAAAGGAGTGGGAAGATCTTCATCGCTCTCTGAAGCTTCCTTATGTGCCGTCAAAAGCCAATCACGAGCCACGCGAAAGGCGTACAAGCCAATCAAGATAGGTGTTGTGATACCAACCACCTTGGACTGGAAGATTGTCAGCGTATTGAGAGAGCTAATCTGTTGAAGAATACGAACGGCGGCAGAGGATATTGTTAGGCCCAGTAAGCGAGCAGATTCAAACTGACCTTTCACCGTGGAGCCTTCATTGAGAATAAACGCGCCATCGTTCCATACGTCCTTCGCTGAAGCTTGCGTCTTGTGCGAGACTAACCAATATAAGAAAACAGTCGCTATTCCAGCTGTGCCGATGACGACAAGGATAGTCGGGAGGATAAGACTTAGACTAAGCCGTTGTCATTTATCTTGTATTAAGACCAAGGACTCGGACCCATGGAGAGCTGGGTCGTGGACACGATTATAACTCAGAACCGTACCTCGAGCATGAGAAGGATCAGATTTCGGAGAGATCTTGGTGTATGCATGGCGCGCCTGAAAAGGTTCCGAGTCGAGTGTAAACTTTTCCGTAGAGAGCGGAAGCTCAGTGTGTGACTGAAGGAGTCTATGTGAAGACACTGGTGTGAGGGGAAAGGAATTCTGAATAGGTCGGCGCATTTGAGAAAGAGGGAGGTGATATGGTGTCCTCTATGGGCCATAGATTCCATAGCCAATTGGCTGCTATATCGCTATATGGGTATCTACGGGTCGGCAACGGCTTCCCTGATGCAGCGGTATTGGATTGAATATTATACTACGTCCGGCGTTGTGTGAGATATCTGACTTCTAAATTCATATTGGCTATTTGATTGGCTACTCACAAAAGTACATCCAACGGGGAACGATGCCATAAAAAAACCCCGAGCGAAATGCAGCGTTCAGCATGTGGAACTCGTCGAGGCAACAGCTTATGCATCACTGGATGGGAGTATACTGAACCTTTTCCAACGAGCTTCCCTTGTATCTAACGCTAGAATGAACTCTCAGCGCCCAATGGAGAGTGTAGTTACATGTCAATCCGGCAGACACAGAGCACATTCTCGGAGGACACAAGACTAGACAGCATAAGCGCCGATTCGGAGTGACTCATCCACTTGAGGACACAAGCTTTATTACCATACAGAACGATAGAACAATTATCATCAATGGCTTCTTTGAAGCTCATGTCTGACCCAGTATTGGTATGAGGCAGAGGCCAAGCAAGGATCTGAACCAAATAGGCCCTGAGGAAGCTTCCTCGAGGCGCGTCAGGGCGATGCCCATTTTCCTGATGAGAATCAGTAAAGTGGCGATATAAAGCCAATACGAGCATCAGGTAGCTAATTAAAAAAACATCAGCTAAAATCGAGTCAGAGCAAAAGCGTGCTCACTAATAATTGATAAAAGTATCCCCAACCTTCACGTATCTCATTCCAGATATCCTGGCGGCAGAGCGTTGGATCGGAAGCAGACTTCGCATGATCAAAGTCAATCCAGACAACGCGGTCGTCTGGAAGCACCAAGACATTGCGACCATTAATATCTCCGTGTTGCACGTATGATTTATGCACGGTGCAGAGCGCCCTTAATGCCCTTTCCGCAACCGGGAATGTCACGTTGTATATGGAAACCTGGATGGCATCGGGAAAGTGCTCTAAGAGAAGTGCATATGGCAGATTTTCATCATCGACGGGAAGGTCCCATCCCATTGAGAACTGTCTGGATATATCGATTGCCTGTTGTCGAGAGAGTTGGACAGTGCCATAACAATTCGGCACGACGCCTGATTCGCATGCGCCGAAGTGGCGAAGATGAGCGTATGCTTCCTTCTCTGCGTGGTAGAGTCGCAATGAAAGCTTTGGGTCGAGTTCACGCGCATACGCATTATACCAGCTAGGCGATGTAAGAGACATAAACTATGATCTGTGGTCAATGAATTCAAGTATGTGACGTGGGCACTTTCGTTGACGTACCACTTTAAGTAGTCTCGAGACGCCCCCTATCTTCACCTCAAATAGAGGGGTGTTTCCCCCGGGATTCATATCTCTGACCAACACGATGTCCTCTAGCTTGATTTCCGGAAGAGGCGGCGGCGCCACATAAGTCTGCCACGGTATGTCTTCGTCCTTCTCCGCTTTCGGGAGAGGTCTCGTCCCCAGCCAGTAACATAGTGGGTTCCAACTGATTTTGCTGGCCTGAATTAACGCTTCCCTGCGAAATTCAGGCGTGTCTAGAGCAATTTCACCAGCGTCCTCCGGTATCAAGTTCTCAAGGAGTGGCTCCCATTCGAACAAGCTCCTCTCGGGGTAGTAGCGCATCATCCGCATAGCTGTTTGTGTTAGTATCATGGTGCTAGATGTCAATAACAGGGTGCGGGCTACGGTCGTGGAGGAAGGCCACGGGAAGGCTATTGATCTATTACTACCTGCTATTACTACATGTTGACGTCCCAAGATCGATCGAGTTATATTGCTTCCGCATCTACTCATGCCCACAATAAGTAACCAGCGCTAGACGCCCGGCGTATCACATCGCGTCGATTTGCGGAGTGCGCAATATAATGTACACTCAATGGATGGTCCTACAAATGTATATACAGTATAATAGAGACCTACTCTACCTATATAAAATGTTAAAATTATTTGTGTCCACTGTCAACAGCCAGGACAGCCTGAACTATGTCTGGCATTCAGCTGGTGTGCCTGTTCATTCTTTTATAGGTAATTCATTCCATATGTAATGGACAGCAGCTTGGAGTGTTTTAAGGTATTTATAGGATGCCTTAGATTGTGCAGGGCTGAATCGAGCCCATCCCAAACACATTCAATTGGATTGAGGGATGAATTACTTATACAAGATGTGAACAGGCACATCAGCTGGATGCCAGACATAGTTCAGGCTGTCCTGGCTGTTGACAGTGGACACAAATAATTTTAACATTTTATATAGGTAGAGTAGGTCTCTATTATACTGTATATACATTTGTAGGACCATCCATTGAGTGTACATTATATTGCACACTCCGCAAATCAACGCGACATGACATGCCGGACGTCTAGTGCCGGTTACTTATTGTGGGCATGAGTAGCCTGCAAACCTTATAACCGTACAGTATATATGTATTAGAACCACTTTCGCTGCTATTTAGGGGGCCATCGCCCCCTTTTACTTAACCATGTCTGATTCAACCTCCCCTTTACCCTCACCTAGGTCTCAGCCTAGATGCTGCCAGGGATGCGGAACTTCGGCCAACTTCGTTGGCCTGAAGGCTTGCTCTCGATGTAAATACGTACACTACTGTGTACGTCTCAGATTCACGTCACTTCCGACTGACTGATTTCCATCCTAACTTCCTTCGCAGTCTGAAAAATGTCAGAATGATCATTGGGCAATTCACAAGGAGATCTGTAAAACTCGCAGCCCGAATGAATTCTGGGGAATAAAACTCCTTTGCAATGGTGACTTCAGACGTCTCAACACTTCTGACTTTATGGCCCAATTCGAGTATTGTCTCCTCACCCCCAATCACCCCGAAATTTTGAAATCTGAACCTTGCCCTGTTACAGACATGGTCGGGATGCCGATACGCATTTATAGTGAGATTGCGACTGAAGATCAAATACCTGCCGAGGTAGTTTGGGCCCCGAGTGTACCAACTGATCACTTCGAGAACCAGCCTGCTGTGTATCTACAATTTGAACCAGATTCTGGGTTCGCACCAGCTCCGTGAGTGCTTGTCTGGTTGGTTTTGGGCAGTGTACTGACGCCTTTATATCGTTTCCGCTAGCTGGCGAGTAGATTGGGGTGTTGGATCAAGGGGCCTCGAAGATCCTAATTCATGAAATGAACCCCCCAAAGTGCTGGGCAGGACCCCTGGCACACCCCAATCTGACAACCATGGGTGTTTAGCACGTATTTAATACATCCGTTGCTCACAGAAGTTCAGTTCGGAGCCTTTGAATAGAAAAAGGTTGTCGTGTTGTGTATATTCAGAGGCTATGATAGGTGTACATTCAAGAGGTGACTATAAATTATTTACTATACAATCTAAGTACAAGTCTATCAATATAATGGTAAAAAAAAGCTGAGGAATGAAGTGATTAGAAAGTTTGCCAGTGTAAGGGTGAAGTCTCGAGCCTTGGTGGACAGAGTTTCACTGGAAGAGTTGGAGGAGAAGCAGAGAGGCTGGATTACTGGTGTTGGAATGACGGAGAGTTACAGTGAACACGGACTAGAGTATATAAGAGACAGGGCATTCCATGCCCATAGGATACTAATGACGGAGGACAAGGAAAATGGAAGTACATATGAAGCAAGTCAGTTGCCTAAACGGGATATGCATGATCGTAGATAAGATAGTCCGTGGATAATCTACCAAGGGTGGTGAGTCTTAGGAAAAGTGGCCATGGTCGGTCTATGTAACATTAACCGTTACAGCCAGGCCCAGTATTGTCACCGGCAGAGTTAATCCCAGTCCATTAGATGGGTTAGAAAGATCAGCAAGGGAACGAGATGATTGTACTATTGAAATACATGTCGCGAGGGAGGAAAGCGAGTCATTACATTTGACCTCATTGAGCTCTGAGGCAAACGGATGGGGTTACATACAAGGTAAGTAAACTACTTATATATGAAAATATGCCAAGTATGCAGGACTCCGTCCCGCTCCTCTCGTCCTTGCGCATAGCGATGCTCACCGCTTCTACTATATTCCAACATGTACAGTGAATTGTACACCATAGGTTAGTGAGCCTGCATCCCCTATGTGCATGAGTCTAACAGTGATATAAAGTAAAATGTGATTATGGTGCATCACTGCGATGCGGTCATTCAAGTGCGATGAGTAATTGCTATTACATCCACATTTATTACCTCAGCATTTGTGAGCCTGATTAGGAACAGATTCTTAAATGACCATGCTACAGAACACGGTCTGTGTATATTATCACCATTTTATCTCTCAGGTTTGACTTCAACTACTTATTCATTGAGAACCCACAACCCTAGGAGGCCAGGCAATCGGAGGAAAGATTTATTCAAACAAAGTGTGAAGCAAAGTGCTTCCCGCTGTAAATGTCAGGACCCCGGAGAGATGGTCAGGGTTAACCCAATGGTGGTCGATTTTGCGCGCTAGGATTTTGGAGGCCCCTTGTGTTGGATCGGTGAGTGCCCGCTATTCATACCGCACCCTTTTACTTACCTCTTTCACATAGTGCATCTTGCACAGAGAAGACCGCCAACCGCTTATCCGAGAACAGCTAGAAGCTATGTGGCAATTCAATGACTACCTGTTGAATTATGTCTTCAGTGATGGCCATCCTAATCCCAAGAGTGTCATGACCCCCGCGAAATGGCATTCGTTTGCGGCGCAATATTATAAGGACCAAGGACGTCGCGCAGGACGGAAAGGGTTCAAGGATCTATTGTCGTTTTGTGACCCAGAGAATTTGAAAGGTAATATGGACGAGGCGTTCGAGGATTAATGCATAATGAAGGATGTACGTGGGGCGCCGAGCGACGCTTATCGTCATCGTCGAGTCTTCTGGTCCTAGTTTCCACTCGTAAAGACTTGTTTCTGGGTGGTGATGCATCATGTATTCAGCAGTTTGTTGTAAAAACATAAGAGGACTGTAGTGATATGACTCCAACTTGGCCCGGTGAAAGTAGCTGTGGTGAAAGTAGTGAAACTGTGAACCGTCCCTGAAAAGTCTCAATATATTGACCGCGGCCCGATCAATGCCGGAAACGCGAAAGTCCATGAGGCGGTTGAGGACAAGAGCATGTCTTCGACATTGACCACCATGAACCAGTCTGGATCTCAAAGCATCGAGCAAGCAACAACGGCGATACAGTAATAGCCATTCAATTTAGTAGAAATATCCTCTGACATTTGAGTTTGCTAGGGCTCAACCAGACAGTAAGACAAGACGTTATGATCGACAACTGAGGTGCGTAAAGCTAGGAGACTTTACTAACGAGATTGTTAATCGTATCGTCTCATGCAGGTTATGGGCTGCCTCAGGTCAAGCGGCCCTGGAATCGTCACGGATTCTTGTATTGTCCGCTTCCGCAACGTCAACCTCGATCTTAAAGAACCTTGTCCTACCAGGCATTGGCCACTTCACGATCCTCGATCCTGGTACTGTAACGGGTGCCGATGCCGGCAACAATTTCTTCCTAAATGGCTTCTCCAGCATTGGAAAGTCCCGTGCTAAAGAGGCTTTGCCTCTACTGAAGGAGTTGAACGATAGCGTCGATGGTGAGGCAGCGGTCAAGAGCGTAGAGGAGATCTTGGGAAGCGCAGAAGGAAGGCAATGGGTCAAGAGCTTTTCCTTGGTGATCACGCATAATCTACCTCAGACACCCTTGGATGCGCTGTCGAAGTTACTTTGGGAGGAACTTGAGGATCCACCGCTCATTGTTGTGCGATCGGCCGGGTTCCTCGCGGATTTCTATATTCAGTTCCGTGAACAGTGCAGTAAGTTTATTCCCTCAATTCGCGTTTCTATCCTATTGAATACTACTGGTTCCATACACTCAATACATTTCGTTCATCTTGTCAAAGAACGATTCGCTAACGACGACCCCTGCAGTCATTGAGTCCCATGATGAGACTGCGCCTCCGTCTCTCCGTCTCACAAAACCATTCCCTGCACTTCAAGAATGGGCGACAAATTTAGATATCTCCAATATTGACCCCACTGAACACGCCCACATTCCGTTTATCGTCCTCCTGATCAAAGAAGCTGACCAATGGCGATCAGAGGTATGTCTCGCTCCAACTTTCGGCTGCTACATACTATCGATCATTAATTATCATCTTAAAGCACAATGGTTCCTTACCCAAGACCTATGATGAGAAAAAGGAATTCAAGAAGCATATAAGGTCACGGATGGTCAAGATGGACGAAGAGAACTTTGAAGAAGCTGAGAATCAGGCGTTCAGGATGTGGTCGGAAGCAAAGGTAAGTGTCACCACATCCTTCTCCATCAAGTTTCCTGGTCACTCAATTTTTACACATTCCACTGTCAGATTCCATCCGACATCGCTGCTCTCTTCGACCTGGAACCGCTCCAACAGCCCATCTCTTCTTCGTCCACCTCCCAACCAAACGGCGTTACCAAATCTCCACACAAGTTAAACCCAGAATTTCACGCTCTACTCCAAGCGTTGCACAAATTCGTTACTTCACCCGATGGCCCAGGATGTTTGCCCTTGTCAGCCTCATTACCTGATATGAAGACAGACACGACGAGCTACGTGAAGTTACAAACGATATATAAAGATTGGGCCGCTGTCGAGCTGGTGAGTATCTTTGATTCACATGATTGGAAGTTTATAATAAGGGACGAGTGATTGATGTGTGTTCGTCGACCAGGCGAAATTCAAAGAGATTCTAAAAGCGGAGTATCCTGATCTTACCATCGACAAGGCTGTCGTAGACTCGTTCGTAAAGCATGCACACCAAATCAAGGTGCTCCGTGGAAAACGATTCGGTTCTTGGGAGGAAGACAAGACAGCAGTTGGTACGTCCAAACTGCCTCAATTAATTAATTCTTCCTTCTACTAATCCATTTTATTGACGTGTTGTGTCCGCAGCACAAGCACTTGACTCTTACCCCCAAGAAACCGCGACTCGCCTTGCTTTGAATGCACTCTCCACTCTGCTCCATCACAACCCAGGTTAGTTTGCGTTTAATCAGTCCGATGTATACATGGTCCTAACTACGATTGTCACTTTAGACCCTACTTCCATCACCGCAGAAGCACTCAAAACTGAAGTACAAAGTCAAGTCGGACAGGGTGTCGAGCTTCCTTCATCTCTAGACGATGCTGTTGGCGAGCTGTACGTTTCTATCTTCCCCTCCTCGTTATTGTCCTGGAACATGTTTCACTGATTATAAAAACGTAGGGCCCGAGCACCGACAGCAGATCTCCCGAACACAGCCGCCTTCGTCGGAGGTATGATCGCTCAGGAAGCTATCAAGATGATCACAAAGCAGTACGTACCTGTGAATGGGTACTGTGTTGTTGATTTGGTGGAGAGTAAGACCGGTATCATTGCCAACTGAGCTCAGAGGCGGTAGAGTACCGGGGGCGGGACTGATTGCTTTGGATGTTGCTTGAAGGACTAGCTAGAAATCAACTTGTGTATATGTAGAATGTGTCTTATTCGTTCATTGCTGTGATGAAATGCATTGCTATCGTTAAACTCATCTCGGACATTCATGACAATTCTCGTCACGTAGATATGCAAGATATTATTTCATTTCAACGAAGACCCTCTGGATCCACTATATCACCTCAATAGCTACTTGTGACAAGCACCAGCTAAATGAACAGCCCAAATCAATGGACAGAAAACAACAACATAAAACGACTGAAACACCTAAGAATATTAGAAAAAGAGAATCACGAAAGCCCGAACAGTATGGTTAGTCTGAGGGTATATAGGAAAAGAAGCGCGCAATGTGTGACGGAAGACACGGGGAAGAAGCAACTGGGTGACGCAAAGTTGGAAAGCAAACGAGGAATGCGAGAACGAGAACAGAAGAGGAAGGGGGACGTCAGAAAAGCGAAGTCTTGAGCTTTGTGGGTTGTGAACGCGGTGAAAGCGAGAGAGAAAGACCGGCTATATCCCCCTCCTAATCCAGACCAGTTGTGATGCTTGATGCTTTCAACTAATGACTTCGACCAATATGCAAAAAAAACCCCTCTCATCCACAATATCTCATTCACTACACTCCTTCACCAGGCTTGCTTTCCATCGGGATAACATGTGTTGTTTCTTCTCTTCCAGTGACATCCGTAAGGGAGGTCGTGTGCTGCAACGGGCTCGGCTCAGTTGAGCTCGTCACACCAGGGGAGCTCCTCCTCCTCCTCCTCTTCATCGCAGTCCCCATCATCATCATCATCGTCAGCAGGGACAGGAGTAGGAGTAGGAGCGGGGGTGCTAGAAGCCTTAGTGGGAGTGGCAGGGATAGCACCGGGAGGGATGGTGGCAGCGGGCATGGAAGAATTATCAGGAAGGGGAGAAACAGCGGAATCGCCCTGAACACATACAACCTAGAAACATCCTTGTCAATGACAGTCATGATGATAAGAACGGAAGCAACGGACCTCGCCGACGTAAAGGTTGTCACACTCGGCGGTGAGCTGAGGGTTGTTGTGGTAGAGGAGGGTGGAGTTGATGCGGTATGTGTTGGAAATGCCGTCACAAGTGTCTCCGGCCTTGACGACGTGAGTCGTCGTGCAATCCTCACCCTGGAACCCGAGGCAGATGCTGCTGCCGGCCTGGAGGTTGGTGCAGGCCTTGTTGATCTTATCGGAGTTCACAACCGCAAGTTGATACCTTTGCATATGTTCAGAATGGAGAGCGAGCGGGGCGATGTAAAGTAGTGAGACTCACGTAGAGACGTTGTGGGCGGCGGAGATGGTGTCACACCATTCGCCTTCCTGGACAGTGTATGTCCTGGAGCATGTCGTAGCGACAGCAGCTGTGAATTGCAAATATGGGTCAGAGGGAAAGTGCCAACGCGCGACGTCGGTGTCAAAGCCACGTACATTGAGCGAACAAGGGCAACGCGAAGAGAGCGGTAGCGACGGTGCTGAAGAACATGGCTACAAGAGAGGATGCTTGGAAGACAAACGAGGGTGGGTGCTTGATAGCAAAAGAGAGACAGAGACCACAGCGTCGAGCAAACCGTCAGAGGCGTTGGTGAGAGGAGGAGGGAAGGAGGGAACAACTCAAAATCTGAACCGCTTGATATGTGCCTGGATTCGCTTGGCACCCGTGATCTCCTCCCCTCCATCTCCTTGCCGACGACCAATCAATAACAATCATACTCGCCTCCGCTAAGCCTCTCGTTGTGCGCGAACCTTCTGGAACGTCGTCGGTGTTGTACTCATCGTCCGTATTGTACTCAACGTCGGTCATAGCGAGCGAACAGCGGAAACAACGCGGGATCGTCGTCCGCTCATTCATATATAGACACATGAGAAATATTCCACAGACATGCACATGCCGAAATCATAAAGCAGGCTAGAGATACAGACTCCATAAATATCTCTACCACGTATCAGGACTGTGTTGCAATCAGTGATCTACCTCAAACGCTTTCGTTGCAACTCACCCAAATGTTTCACCCTGCCGGAGGGTTCTAAGGGGCGTAGACTGCCAGTCTGCAGTACGCTTGAACACAGTATTCCCCCACCACAGCCGGATGGTGTTCTCTCCAATGTGTCCATTTTCAGGGTATTGTAAGCTGGTGGAAAACGTTCAGCACCGAGAATATGGAAAAAAGCTGATTGCAATTCACCAAAAGTACACCAGTACCAGTGCAACTGCTGTCCCTGCGTCCATTGCCGCAGACAGAACGTCTGTTGAGCCAAGATCAGCCATTGCTCGGCGCCCAGCTTTGAAGAACATACAGTTGTACTTTGCCCAGAACGGGAAGTACTTCCTCCGCACGTAGTACTGCGTGACGAAGCCAATGATTGCCCATGGTATATAGTTCGCTGAAGTAGCGGGTGGGCTCAGGCCGATTCCAGCACAGAGAAGACTGTCATGTCAAGTGAGCGGGTCGCTGAAAATATCATTAAGAAGACAGCTTACGGTATACTATGGAATACATACTATCAGCACGAGGCATCAGAAGTAGACATCGAGACACTTACTTGACATAGTTGAGGAAGGAATTTGGGTACTTCTTCGCAAGTAGCCAAACAACGATTGGAGCTACGGCACCCAGAAGAAAGAAGAACAGAAGAGCTGAGGCCCAAGGCGGTCAGTGAAAGGATACCCCACCCCGAAAGGCGTAGAACATACGGCTGTTGTAAATATCACAGTCAAATCGAAATTGACGTCAACGAGAGTCGCGATAGATACGCACTAATATAGTTGCCCCTTGGAGAACTGTAGTGCTGGACCAATCAAACCCCACTGCGGTGAAGGGTGAGCATCGATCACAGATCCCGCGCTCTAGAAAATTTCTTACCACAACAGATGCCGTTGCGAAAACCTGGAAAGCGATTCAGTTACATGCCGACCCCTTACGTATGAGCTACTCACCTGGGTGCTAGCACATGTGAATCCAGACCTAGAAGATACCACAGAGATTAAAACCTAGATACATTCGAGAAGTCAAAACGCACATCTCCATTTGAATTGGTTGACAGAGGTGCCTAAGAGGAGTTGATGAAAGTCAGGGAGCGAGCTAGAACCATGAAGACTCATCTTACGGAATATTTGTGAACATCCTGGAAGAAACACGATTGCGCTTAGCAGAGTTCAAGCTAGAGTGAACGACGATGGCGTACCAGTTCATCACCCCGAGTTGTACCGTCCCCGCAATAGCAGCGGCAATGACCTACATCCCCGCGTTCAGTAACTACACATATTCTTCCTATCGTTATACACCTACTTGAGACCAGAACATCGATCTTGGAGGCTACGACACCTTTAGTATGTGCAACAATGAAACGTGGAATACATATTTACTATCTTCATATAATGGCCCAGCTTGAAGTCTTGTGTGAACGTCAGTGCTAAAAATGATCATGAGTGAGAAGCTTCTTTTGCAATTTCGCCTCGGAAAGGTGACCTTGGTAGACACCGATATAACCCCATGTCTAGAGTTCGGTTAGTAAGCAGTAATGTAAACCGGCGATGTGAAGTACCTTAAACCTGCGAATGAACTAAGAAAGCGATACAACAGGGATAGAAAGTAGATGGGAACGTACATCATCATCGCAACAGGTTTCCCTTGAAGCGCATACCCCACAATGAGTTCCGTTATGACGCTAACCAATCGGTCAATCTCCCAACTCTAGTGGAACCGCATCAATCAAAATACTCACTTCAGACCAACTTGTCGATTTGTGACAGCCTGAATCATACCTGGGGCACGTTAAGCCATTGAAGACACAACTTCATCCAGAGAAATAGAGTATGCTTACCAACTGGAATGACATAAATGAGAGCGATGACCAATGCTACTATCACGGCCCAGATGGGCATTTGTGTTGGATACACCATGACGCATATGCACGCAAAAGCAAATGTGACAACTAATACGAATCCGAAATGAGAACATGGGCTTGAAAAGAGTAAAGCACGTAGCCGACCAGCCGACTTACCGAAAATACAAGCATACCACCATTCCGGCACTATGCAATCATGATGGTTATTATTAGATATAGAGAGAGGATAAACGGTGTACACTTGCCTTGGGGGTACTGAGTCATCAATTGTGCATGAATGTCTGGCTGTTCCTTCAATGTTCTATGAAGATGGACGCTGATTGGTTTCCTGAAGTAAAGGATAGCATGGACGATCGTCGCTGTGATAGCCGCGAACGTAATCCCGTAGGACACCGCGAAGCTTATCCTATGACGACAAAAGTCAGTTCTCGATCATCAGAGTGAAATGTTTCCCCATAAAAGTCGTACGGAAGGAATAACGGGCTATAAGTTTTATACGCCTCCAAGTTGAACGTTGCATCATCGTTGAGAACCCTAGACGTATCGTAGAGCTTGCCTAATAAACATGGTAGAGAAGTATAGATAATCAATGGCTCCAATCATACATAATAATACATCATATTTATGTGCGTCATCGTGAACTCACCTGTACGATCGTAAGCGTTCAAGCCCGAGATTCTAGTGTCGATCGATGATATAAAAAGGTAAGCAATTGAGGGTCTGTCTAGATGATGAAATGAAAAAAGCGCACGGCATGTATTGGCTATACCACGTGTTTGTGAACTGAATATAATGACGATGAATGACGTGTTCAGTTATAGAAAACACGAAACGTACGTATAGAATTGGGGTCAGGAACCCTGTGAGAGTCAAACTCGGGGTCAATATGGTAATCTCAAGCGAGGAACAAGTTTCTCGCACAGTAAAAGAGCAAGTAACCTGCTAGCACATTCGCTTCGGCCCACCCTGCAACAGCTAGTTGAATACTACCGACGCGCATAGTCAGTCATACTTACAAGGCGTTGCTAATCTAAATTACACAACGCCTTCTGAGCACGGAAACATCGAAAAATTAGTAGTACACTTACGGACTCCCGATAAACGCAATCTGAGTCCAGTCGAACGATAGCAGAGAGAATCCCATGCCACTGTGATAGCTGATCGACATAAGGGCCAAAACTAGGATCAGGTCGATTTGGAAGAATGAACGGGTAAACTCGCCCAAAGAGTGCGTTCACCGTCTTGCAAGGACATATTAACTTCCATTACGGTAAGAGTTATGGTCACAGGGACATACCACGTTATTGGGTGCCAACCAGCATACCTATGTGAAGTCAGTGTACATTAACAGAACAAAGATCAGAAGTCAGCTCATACCCAGGTGAACATGCTGCGAGAGTCATGAGTATACGGCATTTCGCGATGTGCCACAACGACTCACCTGAGAGCTTGGAACAAATACCCCGGTACGAAATCTGTTGACGATTGTAAGGTTGATAGTCGCGACGCATGATCAAGGGAAACATACACCAAAGAGTAGCCCCAATAAACGCATAGGCGAAGAACCGTTCTCGACTGATGCCATCCCTCTGTCCAATACCGGCGTAGTTCTGTGAGTGGAGTGTGTTGTACATCGCGCAGGTGACGAGGGTGTTTGGCCAAACTGTTTCGTAATTCTGGTCAGGGGAAAGTTGGAGAGGGAAGTGAAGAGAATGTACTCATTGAAGCCGGGGCCACAAGCTACAAATGAGGAAGGGTGAGTGAGAGAAAGTGAGTGACCAACGATAAGAGTACGTACGAGTCTCCTAGCTAGGCCACCAACCGAGAACCCTATCATTTGCGTCGACATTACCAGCATCCATTGGTCTAGGTGTACCTTGTGAGCATACAGACATTCCGTACATTTTTTCAAAGAGCTGAAAAGACATACAAGCGAAGTTGAACCGTTGATTGTACCATATCCGTTGCACGGCAACAATTTCAGTCTACATAACGAGAGTCAGAGGGTATAAGAGTACTCAAGAACAACGAGGAGGCAGGGCAATGTGAGCGAACATACAGCATATGCAGACTGTGCTCCAACGCCAGCCATTACCGTCGCTAGTACCTATGATCCCAAAAGACGAAGTACTGGATAAGAACATTCACAAATATCCGAAGAAAGTACTCGAACGCACGTGCTCCTTTATAGTGAAGGGGCCGGGATTCAACGACCTCCCCAGCACCTTTACTCGAGGCATGAAGCGTGCCCATAATCTCCCCATGGGAAACGTAAGTAATTGAGCCACGATCTAAATGAAGTGCAGTTTAACAGTCAGTTATTTGAATGAATACGCAGGCGAGGGTGACATACAGGTCCAACCATGATAGTGGGATATCGCAAGTAGAAGAATTGGTTCACGCCTGGTAAGACCACGGCCCAACAGATCCCAATGACCCATGCTCTGACTGTACAGACGGGCATCTCGGGGTCGTCAAAGTTAGCCACGGCGGAACGGACTTCGGGATATGGTGAGTCATTTTCTGTCAAAAGCAAACGTTCAAAGTCAGAGGTTCCCAAGAACAATAAAATAAGACGTGCACGTACCGAGAAAATCGGCCTCGGTGTCAAAGTTGGGGTCGAAGAAATCTGGTACCGACGCAGCATGACGAATTGAAGGCGGTGGGGTTACCGTATCCATCTCATACGGGTCTTGCGACGTTACTACGTGCAAAGGAGATGTATGAGTACTTTCGACTGCCATACACATATTTTGAGTAAGGAGAATTAATAATGAAGGTCTCTACCAAAGTTCTTTTCAAGGTCGCCGCTGTACGGCGGAGTCACAGTAGCCGGTTCACTTAAGTCCTCTGCCTTTGCGGACATTTCGCCGACAGGCACAGACGCTGCTACGGGAAATGACAGGCGCTGCAAAGGGTACCCAGTCGTATGGACCACTTGTTACGCAAGAATGTTCTTGATCAATCGCGTGTGGTATGGTTTATGGTGCCAGATAACACAGCTCTAGTCACAAGAGACTAATTTCCAATAAGCAGTAACCGAGTTTCAAGGGGTCAAGAACGCTAGAATAGACCAAAGAATAGCACGATAGTAGTGGTTGAAGGTGAAGTGATGTAGGATGGAATGTGCTATCTGGCAGGATAGTTCGGAAACTGGCGCAAGACCGCAGGGAGCAATACGAGGCTGTGGAAGAGAGGTGGAAGAAATGGTCGTGTGAAATGATAGCAGTTTATGCTTGTAGAATCTCGCCGACCTTAGGACAAGGCCATTGTGCGGGTGCGTCGTGTGGGTTCCCAAGGTTCGGAAGGGGTAGGGCCGCCAGTATCTCGGTGTTCTATCATAATCACAGTCCTGGGGGCAAGGAAGTGATTCTAAAGATGTTTCCTAAGAAAAGGGTTCCTGAGTTGGCAAGATCAGCGTCCTGATAGGTGTGATCAGACGACCTGGCAGCAAGCATCTCGACATCGCCGTCAATGACCTTGAACAACAGTCAAGTAAACGAAATAAATGTGACTGTAAATCACGCATGTTGATTGTCAACTCTCACGCAGAGGTGCTAGAGCTTTCACTTAGAGAGTTCAGTACTGAAATTGTTGCTTTGTTAAGAGACGGAAGGCTGCCTTGCGGACCGGCGGCAATAGCCGATATAATCCGACATGCCCATGTTCTTCGTGAAGACCTTTGAGATGGCCATTGGGGAGAGATAAGGACCGTGTCCAAGTTCCGACTACCGTGTACGTGACAAATTAAATGTTCTTGCCTTCTGTGCCTCGCACTTGCTCCCTCGAAGGGTGGCCGCGAACATTGCACAACTTACGAACTTGCCTTATGTGGACGATCGCAAACTGATCACGATGATCGTAGTAGATCGAATTGAACGTTTCCATGTTCACGATGACGCTTGCAGTCTTGTGAAGTCGCAAGCAGCAGTGACTTGTGGAAGAGTTGAGGCGGGCAAGCATCTTGTCATCAAATATGACTGTAAGGCACCGAAACATCAATCTGACTTCCCGGCGAAGCTAACTTCAAAGTTCAGTGGCATGCGGTCAATGTGAACAGCCTACCTGCTCCATGTTGTCTAGTGAACTTCTAGGCCATATCCCAGGAGCGTGAAAATCGACCAAAACTGCAGGGTATACATCGAAGCCAGCTGTTCAGCAAGGACATCGACGTCAGCAAAGGTAAACGTCGTGAGGCAAGACAGACCAGGCCTGATAGGAACGTCATGGGTCATTACCAAGGATATACCCTCCGGCCGATGAATTCAAGGACGTACGAGCAGGTCACGATGCATGAAAGCTATTTATGAAGCTACCCGCAGTCCAAGAATGCTTCGTCCGACTGCAACCGACTCGCGAAGAGGACGACATTGGTGCAATGCCATGAGAGAAGGCCTTGCTGAGTTGAGACATTCTTAAGCCAAGCAAGTAGATTTTTGAGAAGAGAAGTACAAGATGATACAATACATGCTGATGGTACAAAACAATGAAGGAATAAGAATATCTAGCTGGCAGGGCATAGAAACGCACTGTCGATGTATGGTACTGTCTGTAATGAATGATGGTAGAGATTGATTGGTCTTGCATTGACAGGTGAGGATGATCACCTAATAAGACATGACGTTTCGTCAGGAAAGAGCAAAGCCTCCGAGGTTCCCAAAATCGAGGAAATCGTCCTCGATAGACAGCTTCCGAACCACTAACGCCTCCACGATCAATCGTGGTTCTAAGTTACCGGCACCTGTCGCCGTCTTCACCTCAGCTGCTTTCTCCTCGAGGTCTTCGTCCACATGCGATACCAGTTCGGACACAGCATTGACGGTCTCATCTGCAGTCAAATTGGATGGAGGGTCCTCCATGGTAACATGAAGAGCTTCCAGTCCTGTAACCAAACCGTCCGCTTGTGACTCGGCATCCTCCATAGAGACGTCCACAGGGATAATTGGCGAACCAGCCACCGTAAGTTCGGCGGCAACAAGTAAAGCTTTCCGTCTCTCCTCCCTCCGCTTATCCCTTGCGGTCCTACGGTTACGCGCCCGAGCCTCCTTCGTCTCCTCCTCATCCACCGGAGCAGTTGGATGAATGAAGTGAGAAGCTGCATGCCAAGGATGGATTTTCCTCTGCTTGGGCTTGTGTACCCGTTTACCGAAATGGCCTACGGTAGATGATCCATGGACGGCATGCACGGCGTGGACGCTGTGTGCGTGTTTACGGAGGGGCCGAGGCTTGAACACTGAGGCGATCTCCAGGGCAACCGAGACGTCCAAGTATACATCCAGGTCAACGTCGGGAATGACCGGGTCGGGGGTACTCTTGCTCTCCGTATCGCTGAGAGCGGGTTCGGGCTCCATGCTGAATAGCGCGAGGTCGTCGTCTAAGGACAAGAGGGATGGCGAAGACTGAGCTGTGGGTCTCTCGGGATTTAAAGCTATACGATGGGTAAAGATGGAGGGAACGGCTTGGTGGAGCGATAGATGCGACGCCAATGCAGGTGTATTCAACTGACAACCGTCCTCAGCGTCCGTTGACTCCGCAGTGGATGTCTCAGTCTCAGCTTCTGTCATAGCAGGAGTGGTAGACGTCCCGCTGTCAGAAAGAGCAGCTCTTGGACGCTTGCTGCTCATCTTGTCCGCCCACTCTCCTGTCTCCGGATCAAGATACCCACTGATCTTGTCTGCAAGTGCAACCATAATGGGCGGTACCTCGATCTCTTTGACGACGATGACTGAAGCACCTATCTCGCCTGCCATCATCTCGAGGGTCTCCAGAGACTCTTCAAGGTCAGCTCGTGTCAAGCCGATCAAAGCACCGGTATCGGCAACACCAAGTTCGTAGTATGCTTGACCCCCGCCTTCGAGGAGACGCCACTTGAGTTGGGTAACCAACCGAGCAAAGCGGGCTGGTGAAATCTGTGTAAGCTTGAGCTTGTATTCCACATTCCCCTAGACATTGTTAAGCAAGAGTTATTGGAGTATGCAATAAATAGCACCATAATTCATATGCTTACCTCTTCGACCTCGGGAACAAGTTTCGGAATGCCAGCCTTTCCGTTCGCCTGAAAAGAGGACGACTCGGAAGGAGGAGAGGGCAAGAATGGATCCCAAGGACTTGGGACACGAGGGCTCTCGGACTCGTACTCTTCAAACAACATGTCGGTCTTCGGAATAAGGATTTGGGAATGTGTTATGAGTTAATGTATAAGGACTAGGAAGGAGATGGGTTTCAACAAGATATTCGAGGTATCATTGTAGGCTTGAATATCGCTGGAGGCTGAAAGGATGATGGTCTGAACCAAGTCTGAGCAGGGAAAGCCAGTCCGACCTTTAACGAATGTCGTGACTCGACAAAGGGGTTCCCACGCCTTAGTCAGCTTCCAAAAATGGCAGATTTCAAGAATGAACTCGACTGTTCCTGGCTCGCAGAACATCCACCTTGGGAGCCTGGCGGAAACGTGAACCCTTTGTAAAGTTGATTTGGAGGGCCCGACGTTTCTGCGTCGCAGAAACACGCACGTTTGTACAACAATCCTCCTGCACCTTCCCCGACACGTGCTTGCGGCATTTGCCGTGAAGGCACCTATAAAATTCTCATCTTTTGTGTTTGTTCTCCTGGTGTTTCATTGGTGGCCGATTATTCCAGGTTTTGGGTCAGAGGAAGTCTTAATAGTTGGAGAGAGTGAGTGTTCAATCTTAACCCTTCTTTCTGATGATTTCTTGCCGCCCCAGTTGTAGCATTTGCATTGACGATAGGCAGAGCAACAGCCAAACATTTGCACTGCTGATTTTTCATTTCGAGTTCTGAATCATTTGAATAAATGCTGACATGGATCTCTTGCCAGATACATCTACGAAATGGTCTCGACCGGATTCTTGAGTTGATCGGTCTTTGAGTTAAAAGTCCCTTGTGCTATTCACATTCCAAGCATCTGAATATCCTCTCGAGATGATCTCAACCGAATGCAATTAGGAAGTGCCATATGAAAATGTTCTCAATGAGAGCTGCGCTCATCGAAGCACGGTTCTCTGACCTTCCTCCATGGTCTTTGTATTTGAAACTTGTATGATTACTGACTTAATATACACAGAGCGGCCTCTAAGCCTTCCTGTAATAAGGCTCTGAGTGCTTTCATACCATACAAAGCAGTCAATTGTATATAAGTGAGTAAATCTTATACACTTCATACTGAATGACTTGTTGTACAGTATGTACCATGTCATTCCCTCTCGCTTGACTTCATGAAATATGATCATGTTGCTTGCTTTACAATATGGGATTGGACATCCAACATTCTACAAAACAAAACAATAAGTGACATAGCCACTGGTGTCCTCCTGCACTTCCTGAGACAGAGCTTCTATCCAGTTCTATCCCAGAACCTCTTGAACCTGGCATCCCATGACAAGTCATGTGTCAAGGCTGCTAAATGTGCACACCTCGAACCGTTATCACCTTTCATGTCATTGCAAGTCGCCTGGGGTGACAGGATGTCAGGAATGTCAAGCACCTACGGAGACAATGGGAATGACCTTTCTTCCGTACATGTAATTGATCAGTCCATGCATGAGAGACTGAGATCATCCCTCAGGTCTATCCATCTTTGTTCCCATTATCACAGCTTCTAGCGGGGCATAGGTTCTGAAAGTGGGCCTTAGATAGTGCATCCACCACTTCTTGTTGCTTGTGCTGAAGCTTCAATATGCCTTCCTATTAACTTATCACACGGATGACAGTCAGGATGTCACAATGTATGCTTTGATCACTCATCATGATTGACTCATTATTGTGGCACTCATGAGCCTTCATTACCACAAGAATATGCCACAAAGAAGACTGATGAGACAGGAGCTCGAATGATTGATATTTCTGTTACTTTTTTTTTTCAATGTCGTCAGGCATTCACAGGCTTTAAGGGACCCCCATAGAAAGGATTGCTCAGGATTTCCAGGAATCCAACCCACTCATTTGTCTTACCTACTAGTCTCGATGGCCGAAGTATCGACGCCTTCGAGCCTGTTGGGCGGTCTCATCATTGAGGTTTGCCTTGCATTAATGTGAGCAGTCTCATACAAGTCTCCATGTCTGCTGGTATTCAAACCTTTCACTTGCAGACCATTTGGCATCATTACGATGCAGTCGTACATTTACATGCTAAATTGCAAGGATGATCCAACATCCTTAAAGGCTACAGTGAGCGCTGTATGGTTGGTCTCGTAACTGCTGTTTGTAAGGCAATGATGTTGACAAAATTTCATCACAACCCGTAGGATCCTGGAGATGGCACATACTGTCTTCATTACTCATATGCTATACCACTACACTATTTCTAGCTTCAAAAACCTCCTTGAGGTTAGCAAAATTGTTTGGTATGCTTTGTCTTCCACTGAGCCTATAAATCTCCAACTAATCTGGGTTTGTCATACAGGAGCGCGGGTGTGAGTTCCTGAAATGTCATAATCCCAAGAGATTGAACTGATCATTGACATCATTAGGCTTGTGTTCTTGTTGAGATGCTGATTGTTTCTCTTGTCCAAGGGTGAGATGCTCAGCTAAAGTGCCTTGAGTCAAACTGACGACTTTGCATAGCTTCTATATTCGTCCTGTCTGGATATGCAAGTAGTCCTCCACTTCATGCGAAGGTTCTCTAACATTGATTGCTTTTACAGTGAGCAATCATTCTATTTGGCTCACATTCCTTACTGTAAGCAATCATATGAACGAGTCAGCATACATCAGGACTAAGAGATAATACTAGAGTATCTTGCTCCTTGCTCGTGTCGGTAAGTGAATCAAATTCATAATCTGGGTTAACACTGAATTGTGTCCCCTTCTAGCATTTGGATTAGGTTCGTGGCACGAGACTCACTTGGAAAATATTCATGATTCACTTGTGACCTTCGAACAGCAACCTCAGCTCTGACGTATGACGAGATCTACCATGAGTTCACTAACATTCACTAACCCAACTGTAGATATGTTGTCGGAACCTGGCCCGCTTTTCGAGCGGAGAAGGGTCCTTTGGTATGTCAATTCATCATCCAGCTTGTATTCTTCTGGTCTAATGTCCCCGAATGCGAAGTTCACACTTAGTTGTAGACTCGCTCTCTCGGCAGCTGTAGACTTGGCCATCGCTCTTATCCTCATCTTCTACCTTAAGCATGGACAAACCGGTTTCAATAGGTGTGTACACGTCATCTGTCGAATTCCTTCTTGCAATTAATCCTTGTACACCTTGACAGCACTGACAATGTCATCCGGTCTCTCATGGTTTATGCCGTAAATACCGGCGCAATTACCATGTAAGTTGCATTTATCTTTGTTCGTGAGAGAGTGTCTCATGCCCTCACATCAGGATTGTCTCATTAGCCGTTGTCCTCACGGTGCGCCTTCTCTTATTCAGATTTCCGTGAGTCGTCAACTGATGGTTCCCCTCCAGTTCATTTTCCTAAAAGAGAGTCTGCTATTTGCTGGACTCGTCACTATGGCAAGCAAGCGTGCATTTGCCTGCCATTCTATGCACTCCCAAATCTCATGAATGCATGTACATAGTCTATGCCAACTCCTTCTTAGGTACATTGAATACCCGCCAAATCCTTCGAAAGAAGACTGCCATGGCTTCCACATATAACGGAGTGGCCGAGCTGTCCAACTTCCAGCACTCCGTAGTACCTACTCAGTTGGTCCGTCAATTTCCTCCTCTAGGTGATCTCTAATACTGACTGACTTAGGTATCTGCTGGTAAACAGCGACACATCCAGATCTTCCAAGAGACCACAAAAGTCACTGATGCTCAGGTATGCGCTCCCTTCCTTGATGATGTGTTTGTTATTCAGCTTTCAAAGATTGCAAAGCGATTTTGACCCTTGAATGGATATTAGGCTTATTCTCCCAGGTCCTTAACTGAACAAGAGCGACGTTCATCGCTGAAGTTTGACATGTCGGAGGTTTGAGATGTACTTTTGGGACCTCGACGCCAGGTAAATGGACGTGATTGCTTCTTGGGACATTGCTGTTCTATTTCCTTCTGTATTGAAGATATGTATTGGTTTGTTCATCGTAACTTCTCTCATCATTGGAAAACACGGAACTTACGGAATAACTAATATAATACCCATACCTTCATCTGTGAAAGGGAAGCTGATGCAGATTCGAGTTGAATGCAAAACGGAGTTGTAATCTGGAAAAGGGGCTCGTACCCCGCTGCTATGAGTGGCTAGCATTCGCATCTTCAGAGTTTTAACAGTCAAGCTCTCTTCATAGTTCGCCTGATTTCGTGAAGCTGATTCCACCACGCCACATCGATGGCGCAGCCAGTGTCCATCCTCCCGTTGAGAACATCAACACAGATATATCAACAACGGCTTTGAAAACCCTGTATCGCACACACAAAGCATATACCATCCAGCATGAAAGCCTTTTACGCAGAAACATGCTGCTCCTACCAAAACAATGGCATGGTCATCAATTTTGGTTGTTCAACCTGTGGATCGATACCGCTTTCCGTCGTTCAGACATGCAGAATGAATGTGCATCTGAGTGGACTGTCTCGCACAACCGTATGGTACATTGTGACCGTGTGTACCGACGCCGTCACCGGTCTAATCAACATGCAATATAGTAATACTAGTTACCTGACAAGTTTACCGGATATCAAAATCCTGAACACTACAGTTGAGCGAGTTTTACAGTACTATCAAAAAGATACGACGTCTCGCAACTCATACGTTCATGTTGTAGAATTTCAGAGGTGCAGGGCTTCGTGGTGTCCCGTCGTGGTCGAGAACGGTCACCTTCGTCGTCTCCCTGAATATCTCTATGTGTGGCTAGGACGTTGTTGTCAGCCATGTACAAAATGAGGCAGCTATAATCTCACTTGCTCAGATGTTCTGGAGATGTAAATACTGCGGTCTCTGTTTGAGTCCGATGTTCCCGGTTTCTGGATTTTCTGGCGGTGCAATTGTCTTGCATTCAGCCTATTAGAAGTCAACTAGGTAAAAGGCAGTTGTTCGATGCTATGATCTGCACGCACGTTCCGAGAAAGGAATTGGCGTATACTAAGGTACGAAGTATCTCAGCCACAGAATAGACAGAGTATCGGGTCTGCTCACGTTTGCTAGACATTGTGACGAGTCCGGCATATACCAGACTGTGATTCACAAGAACGTACTATGTTTATTCTTAACAAATGGGGATGGCAGAAGTACGAGGATTGCTCACGGTCAGCAATGTTGCTATTGAAAGAATCCTGTAATGAAAACGCTTGGATGAAATCGGTTGTATGAGACTATATGGAAGGCAAACCCACATGGATATGGCTCCAGTATGCACTGCATAGGCCATGAGCCACTTAACAACTCCATCGGTCCTACAGAAATGAGTGGTATATGAATATCTGCACACGCTGAACAGCCTGGACACTCTCATACCTGTCAAACCCGGTTCGACACCGGTAGAGATAGAACATCAAGGTTGCGGTGATCAGGAAGTCGACAACAACCGACAGAGCGAGACCAAGTGTAACGGTGAACTGGAAAACGTGTCAGTGCAAGGCTGATGATGTTAACCTGATGTTATGAGACGCACGAATGGGCCAAATGAGTCGCGATAGACAGCCCATGTCTTCGCCGAATAGCTGTAAATGACAGCTTAGAAAGATTTAATAGAGAACAGCATGTTTTCACTCACGTCAATCCTCCGCTTACTGACACAGCCCGAAGGAGTATCAAAGGAAGAGCAGAACAGTGTTTACGCGGCAACGTACCTAAACCAAACCCTAATGAAACAAATGGAAGTCATCAATACTTCGGCAACGATAGATTGTATAGATTCTTACCGACACGAATAAAGATGAAGAACCCCTTCAAAGTTGGATTCAATAAGAAGGTCACTGTTTGTACTGTGGGCCGTACCGTGGTCACGGTCAGCAATAGCGACTTGCTGCTCACTGGACTCAACAAGCCTTAGGAATTACGGTATTGAAATGAAATGCTACTGACAGATCCATATGCGCCATAGATAGAAGCTGACGGCGGTGGTTAGGGAATTGGTCTTGAAACAGAACAGCATGATGCTTACCCTTGTGTTAGAGATATAATCAACATCTGTAATGCATTATTAGTACAGCGTTGTGATATGGGCCGAAGCCGCTACCTCCATCAAGACAGATGCCTGTGCCAGCTACGTCAGAATAACATGCTGAGAAAGAAAAGCGGAGACTTACGCCTGCGCTCCTGTGAAATACATCATATATGAGGCTCTGTTGTCCATATTGATACATTAACACAAACCAGACGATATGAGAAACCTTTTCAAAGTTTCCGAAGCCTTCAACCGCATATGAATAGGCCATATGGACAATGAAAATAGTATGCAGAGCCTCAAAAGAGCTGAAAGCGTGGACAATTGGATGAAATCTTTAGGCAATCTGGATTCTTCTCACCAGACCGCCCACACAACAGCTCGGAGCATGACCGAATCGCCACGAGAGTTAAGCCAATAGAAATAAATCTGCGCTATAATAATTCCATATAACCTGCTAGCAGTCAGTCTCACAAGAGGAGGTGTAATGTGTGATTACATACAGGATAGCGATGCAGATCTCTATAAAGAGACCTCCCATGAAATGGGCTGGAGTGATGTCTGAGGGTAACTCCATCCGATTGAGGTGCAAGAGTGGTTCACAAGGATGGGACTAAATACCGTCTCATAAGCTTTGGGGTATCATGAGTTTGCCGATGCTCATCAGATGGGTGGCGTAGGGCGACAACAGGAGGCGTGGAAGTCAAATTCCCACTGACACCGATGTAAGAAATCACTGCATTTCTTCCAGGTGAAAACTCCTGGGGATTGAAGCAGAACTGAGTGCATGTTATCAAAAACTGAGCTCGAAACGAAGGTTTCAAAGGTGCACGAACGTGCGGAGTTCCAGGTAGTACTGGATTGCTCGCGGGGACCATATTGATTGTATCTTTCAGGCCTAAATGAGTACGATTCTCATGCCTGACAGGCAGATTCGCTCGATCTAGTGGAGGCCTAAGTGGACCATCTGGTAACGGTCACTATAGGGTTAGCTCACCGATCGTTTGCGGAAGTCTGGCTGAGAGACATTGAGTGAGAAGGCAGGCCAACTAGTTTGACAGATAGCCGCGTGCTCTGTAGCATTTATTCACATGTCAGTCAACAGCAAAGACAACGCACTCTGCTGTAAGTCAAACTGATTCCGGACCAAGTTGGACTCCATAATCAAGAACTCAACTTCTCTCTCCCTCTCTCTGTCTCTCTCTCTCGTCATACAGACAGATGCGCCGCGGACTAGGCAACCGTCGCTTTCACGCACTGTTCCTTCTGCTTGGTTCGGATATCCGTTATCAGTAGCTTCTCGTTGCGCATGTGCTTTTTATTTAGCCTGAAGCGTCATAGTTAGTTTTAAGAGCAGACGAATTACAAATTCTACTCACAGGTCCGGTATAGAGTTGGGATACGCTGCGACAACCATCATCATAATCAATCGAATGGGATAAAGAATGCCTTACATATGCGTTGTATCGACCATACAGATAATCGGCTGTAATGTACGACTGTGCTAATGATTTCTTAGAGCACGCAAACTGGCTAGAGCGGGGCGTACCGTGAGTAGAATCATAATGTAGACGAACTGTCAATCAGCCATAGATTTGCAGGGAACGGTTAGTGGCGCGCACCGCGGTATCATCAGTATGAATCACTGTCAATAAAGGCACGAAGGCACCCAGACTCCAGGCGATACAAATACGGAGAAGAACGACAACTTGACCTCTTGAATGCCGTTCTATACCGGTATATATGGAAGACGAAGAGAAGGTCTGGATAAGTCGAGCGACAATGATCGATGCATGAGAGGCCATAGGCACAGCCTACAGGAACGAGAGGTAGGTCCAAGATCAATTACGGCGGAGCATCCCCACAGCGAAACCACCGATGTCACGGAACTCAATCTATGTGCCGGCGCGATCATCCATAGGGTGTTGCTTCGTGGTCGTCGGTCGCAGTTACCTCCAAGAAGTGTCACCCCCGTGACTGAAAGAGGGAATTGCTTGATCGAGACGACACACCTAAGCCTCAGGTCACAGATTCAAGACTTATCAGTGATAGTGTTTACTGGGCAGATTGTGCCATTTGCCTACCCGTACAAGGAAAAGCATATCCTGAAGAAATAGTCATGAACTTGGAATTATGGAATGAACAGAGACGCTCACTGAAATACCGATCATTAGCTTAGATCTCTTGCTTACTGAGCGAACGACATATCACGAAAAGCTTTACAAGATAGATTCAACGGTCCACGTACATATCCAGATTCTCCATGTGTCAAATCTGCATTTCTGTAGTTCTTCAACTCTGATCACAGGCGTACAGTAGAAAAGAAGAGACACCCTTGTACGAGGAGGATGACCAATGCCTATGAATGCGGTATGAAGGGTCTCAAAGACGATGGAGTAGTGTGAGGCAGCATATGAATTGGTAGGTCGGATATGAAACACGACATACTCACATGATGGCTAACGCAGCGGCTCAGCGCTCATGTCGACTGTCTTTCTCGGATTTCAGCATGTAAAAGTAACATTGTGAAACAACAACATCGTATAGCCTACAGGGGGAAGATTCATAAGTAGACAGTTTATCAATTGGAGAATTAGCGGGGCTACAAGAGGGAAATGCCAATGCCGACCAGTGTGCCTCCCATCCATTGCGAGGGTTTTAGAGAGTCGGCCAAGTTTGCCATGACTACTTGTGCTGCATAAACGTTCTGGATGACTTATCATCCGAGCCCCCCTGCATCAAGTAGGGGAGGACGCAGAACCTAGTATCATCGCCATAGCACCAGATCGAGAACTCATGGCCAAATGTGACGGTTGGATGATAGTACGCACAGATGAGTCGCCGAATAATAATCCCTGGACAGTTAACTGAAAGCTACTAGGACTTCTTTGAAGCCCGGTATCCCTGAGTGCACATGAGGCGGATAGACGAGCGAAGCGATGTAACTGTGTAAGGAGAAGACGATACTCTTCTCGAGAAGATCCATGAGCGGTTGGCTTATTTGTATACGAGGTGATGGCAGATCCTTAGAAGCGATTTAGGCATGGCTAAGATGCTGCATATAACCTGGACCGTCTAGGCGAATGACAGACGATCGCCGGAGAAGGCAGTGTACGGTCGAACATAATCGACATAATCACGACTATGGCGAGCATGCCCGTGAGCCTTGGGAAACTGGTGGTACAGCAAGAGCGAGATCATGCGCATGATCGTCGGGATAGCATTCGAAGTATTCAAGTGGAAGCGCCCACCGATGAAAACCTCGAGATAGACGTCCCGAAAAAGAGCCTCAACGCAGAACGAAAGCCAATCATTTGACGAATCAAGATGATCTTGCGTAAATGGTAACCTTTTGCCGCCGGATGGAAGAGTTGACGGAAGCCTGTAGTGTCGTTCAACCTGAATGAAGTAGATAAACTTCCGATTCATCAACGGTTTCGTCCAGGCGTGCGGCACGAAAGCCGATTGTTGCTTGAAACTATTCGAAGGGAAATAAGCTGTGAGGATGAGCGACGATCCCCCTAATCTCATTGAGAAGTCGATCGCAAGACGCCGTTTGCGTGCTGCTATGACAGAATACACTCAGGATAAAGTAGTTCTTCCGGCTAGACCCGAGGACTCCTTTGCTTGCATTCTTTCCCGCCGTAACGACCTGGTGTTTAAGCTGCGGAGGACTGAGGTGAGTGATGTAATGTACGATGTAAGGTACGAGAATGAATGAAGACCCCCTCACAGTCCGAGTAACGAATTGGCGTAATCTGGTACGAACCGGTCAGTAAGGAATGATCAATGAGCAGTTAAGCAAAGGCAGGATTGACTGACGCTTGCTTCTTACTGCTATTAACCCAGCATACAGGGTCTCACCTAGAAATATATAGTGTCTGTCGTATAATGTCAGTGTGCACGGCAAGACGAGAAACAGAACAGACAGTTAGCAAGATGGAGAGTGAAATTCTTCTGCAATGCCATGAGCATTTAGATACGTCTTGACTCTATACAGCGCACGTTGTAATGGCACCGGTCTGAATAGCATGTACCACCAGCCAGTGGATGATACCGTTAGATGAGTGCAGCGCGTAGATGTACATCTGCATTGTGAATACGCCGTAAAGGCTGCGGGAGAATAATGTCAGTCTCCATATCCGCATACCAGCCATGTAGAAATCGCATGAAAAGGAAACATGGCAGGCCCCCCACCAGAAACCCTCCCATGAATTGTGAAGGGTTAGGCGAAGATCCTCTGAAGGCAAGGTCTGACATGGAGATCCGTCACGATGGAGAGCACCAGTCAACCCCCATTGAATATAAGGATGAAAGAGGCACTGTACCATCACTACTAATCCTAGGATCTGCGGTACTTTGTTCCGACTGCGTTGCACTTGTATTACACGCCGTAGCATCCCCTGGTACTGAAGGTATGAAGCAAGATTTATACGTGAGAAAAAGTTCTTCAGTTTGAGTTGGCATTGCGGCTTTGGTCAGAATCTCTGTCGGAGAAGTGAGGAGCATGGAAATAGATAGTCACCGACCCATTGACACTCACCTCTGAGCCGGTTCCTAGACAACTGCGCATATTCGGAACACTTTCGAGGGCAAACTACCGTTTCGTATGAACAGGACATCAATACGGTGAAAACAAATTGCCGTTCTTTCTATCCTGTGCCACTTAAATGATTTCGATATCGACAGCGCATCGCCTTGGCTGCTGTACACGGTGCATCCTTGGGACCAGATCACCGACAAATAGAAAAAAGATAGTTGCCAACGTACACTTCAGAAACTGCAGCAACGGGGTCAAAATGCGACTGAAAGGCCCGTTGAGGTCGGTGGGCTGCATCGTAACCAAAGCCAGAAGCAGAGCGGGAGACAAATGCGTATAGCCTTGCAGACAGACCAAAATGATTATGTAGGGTGAAAGTGAGGACAAGCCATAGAATATGTTCTCGGTGGCAGCGTTTTTGAACGTCAACAAACCCGTGAACGGACACTGGCCAGGTGAAGCGCCCATTTTCATGCCCTGCCGAGACGCGACGCACTGAACTTGAGAGCTCCCTCAAATTCACATCTTGCCTTCAGTCTGTCTTTCTCCTCTACAGTCCCCAGCACCATGAGCACCACATGATAAGTCTGTAGACCATCCTTAGTACAATAATGGTTCCTCAGAACATTCGTTGCGCACGAATTGGCCTGTCAATACGAAAACCTCGCTGCTGGAGTGCTCGAAACTTGTCTTTTGCAGCAGAATCTCCTTCACATGCGAGCGTGGAAGAAACGCTTCCATCCTTTCAGAGTTCTCATCTCCCTGCATACGATGGTCCTGTGCTGAAGCTTCGTCCTCATGCCGTGAGGGACGCGAAAGTGCCGCCGTCCTTTCAGCTAAAGAGTGGCGGACTATTGCTAGCCCAAGCAAATAAACACAACTCAGGCCCGACTCCTGAGCCAGAGAATGGAGAAGAAATATCTGACCAGGAGTGGGAGATCCGCACAGGTACGTTTGCATTTTCAGTACTTTCACTGCCAACATCAAACAAAGGAAAGTCTGATACTACGTCAGATGTCTATCGATTGAACGCATTATAGGAAGAGCCATATACATCCTCCAACAGACCTTGCCCGACTTCTTTTCGACCGGACTCGTTTCCTCATTGGATACTCCCATCGTACCGCGTGCAGACGGTCGGAAGATCGAACCAGACGAACGCTCAGAGAGTATATATAGTCCACGGGTACGTCTGGAGTATGAACCACCCGTAGCACTACCCACCCCCTTGCCTCGAGTGCTTCGCATAGAAGGTCAGTCCATAATCATCGGTGCCTTCTTTCCGATCATCACTAACATTCTTCATTAGGTCTGCATCTCTACATCGCTTCCTCAGTGTTTGTGCGACATACGTTGAACGCACTCTACGCGGATCTCCATGTCGAGATTCGTCGCGTACGTTTACATGGTCCTCCACAAAACTCCTCAGGTAAATTGCTAGGTTCTTCTCATCAGCGCCATGTCATTATTTGACGGTTTCGTTCTCTCCTGCTTCAGGTTCGACACCAGACGATCGTCCGCCAAGTTCATCCACACGACCGCGAAGTACGCGAGAGAAGACTCTCGCCATCGGTCTCACCGTCACTGGGGCCGGACGTGTCAGCGGTGCTCCAGCTCAATGGGAAGTGTAAGTGTCTCGCTTAGCTCTGTCTCTCGCGGTTTTTCTATAATCTTTTGTCCACTTTGATGCAGGAACAGCACATACACGTTTTCTCCAACGACAGGTCTAATCCAACTGCACACTGTCGACTCAATTGAACCGGCTCCTCATCAATCCATATTCGAGGCTCTAGGTCGATTCGGACTGATTGGTAATGGGGCCGTCGATAACGGTCTGAAAGGTGCCGGAGGAGCCAGATAGATTGTTTGGACGCATCGCGCAGTCATGCGGAGTATGGTCGGACCTCTCAGTTCGAATCACTTTGTTGTTTACTCGCTACCACCACTCAGCATCAGCCTGGATGGACTTCGGACATTCTGAAGACAAATGTACCATACAGCATTACCGTAATAATCGTATCGTATGAATTTCCTTTCATACCCGAGCGCTGTTTCAAAGAACCGACCCTAAACCATTGGTATCGCTTCTCACATAAAGACGTTATGTCTACGAGGCCGTTGGTTTGGGTATCTCCTACAGTATGTACACGTTGGGTATACTTTTGTTTTCAAACTACAGATATCTACAAGACCAACGTCCGGTCATCCAAACACCAGCTGCTTAGACAGCATATTCACTAGAAATTCTTTCCTTCACATCCGCTGGACTCAAATCCTTCCCATCTGTCGCTGTCTCTTCGCGAATGGTGATTCGAATCGGACTCCGTGCATCCCCCTTCGACGCAAATGTCGAAAGACCAATCGTATCCGGCGACCGGTCTCCTTGCAACGTCTCGCTGATGTCCGTCCTTGTGCCCGGGAACTGTAGAGTCGAGTGACCAGTTCGACCGAAGGAAGAGTGCGTTGGCATGGTAGGGTTGTCTTGGATGATGCCAAGCTTGAGGAGACGGAAGACTCGGCAGGCCATAGCATTCTGGAGGGCGACGTTGGGGACAGTCATCATCCCTTGGTAAACAAGGGGAAGCGACGGAGTGAGGAGGAGAATCATGGCCACAAGATTAAGTACGACAGTGGTCCTGCATTAAGACATAATGTGAGTATGCGATATTGGACTAAATGCGGTTCGGGATTGGGACGGGAAAAGGAGTTAGACATACATGTAATAAAGCTGTCCGGTTTGTAGTAGCGCCTTAGAGACGTGGCCCATGCCATTGCCAGTCAGGAAGGATTTCATGCGGCCTTTCAAATCGTCCGCCATCCCGTAGGAAGAAATTTTGAGTGAGATGGCGATGAAGACCGACGTGTCGAAGAAAGCGATAGCGACGAAACTGGCCGCGCTGAATCGCTTGACGATATTGTTGATACACACATTCGTAGGGCCGAGACGAATAGCATCGAAAGAGAAAGGAGTGGTAATCGAAGCGAAGGTGGTAAGCCAGAGGGCGAAAAATCCCCAAACGATAAATTGATTTCGGTAGAAAACGCCCCTGGCTCTGATGAAGAAAAGGAATGAATTGCACGGTAGTGCGAAGGCGGCGAACCAGCTGACGACTTTGATGGCGGCGTGGCAGTCTTTCAGAGGAGCAACTGAACACGAAGCATAAATATGGAGCTTTCATCTTAGAGAACAGAGGATACTTACTCAACAAAAGGAATGTGCTCATGATGAAGCCACCGGTCAGAAGCCTATCATGTTCGTTAATATCATTTCAGCGCCTACGATGAAGGGGACTGTCTTACCGCGACAAAATGTACGCAACGTCGGACAGGCCGAACTTGTTTCGAGTGAACATCCTAAAGTCACTGGCTAAAGCCATCAAGACGTCCCATAACCAAGCCTACATCCCAACGAAGTACACAATCAGCCAAATTCAGAAGATCGATCGCAACAATCGCGGCAGAAACTCACCCCAACGACACAGGCTACGAGGTACCTCTCGATCTCATATTGAAAGGCGGTGTCTGGAGGCAGCCATGCCAAAGGAGTGAGCGGGTTCGGCGCAGGAGGCAGGCCTGCCAATGGGTCAGTACTGTTGGGGCTAGCCATAGTGCATCAAGTTGATCTGAGGACGAAGGAAGGAAATATATATGCACCAAGAGGTACAAAGCGTCAAAGCTCTAGGGCGTTCGATGCATGATGAGCTCGACAATCATAAACAGCTAAACTGGCGGTCGCCCCACGGGAACAATCGGCAGAATCGTCTTCTGACAGAAGTTCTGACCGGAATTACTGATGAGGGAATCCACTAGGACGAAAATTAACACTTACCATAGAGACATCATTGCTTTGACGATACGGAGCCCTGGCATGGGAATTTGGGGTATCTTAACGGGAACAAAGGAACCACAGGCGCTCTCAGAAGCCCGAACGGAGCACAAGCAGACTTCCAAAGTTCCTAGAAGTTGCTCACGCTGCTGTAAATCGAAACGTTAGCGATATACTTACAGAGAATCCATGGGATTGAGAGAAATAAACATACACATGGGTCCTAGAACCATCCACAAATCCAAACTCTGATTTACATTTTCTGTAACGAATTTTTGATCGCGGGAGAAGTGAGGTTATGGGTGCAGTAAATATCTAGATTATATAAGTATACCCTATTGTTTCAAGTTTGCTCAGAATAATGCGCCAGTATCAGTAGCCTATAGGTTGTATGCTGTTACTGTTATTAATAATTTCTTTTACCTAATGTTCTCTAAATAACGAAGTCCATCGCGCCGCAGCCTTTGAGCCATTTACTTGATCATGACCATCCATCCGTACGAGCTCGTTGGAAATGGTAGTCTCTCTACGAAGGTTGTCTTATATCCTACGCAGAAGAACGGTTTGAGCCTCGGAAATCTGAAGAAGGGAAGCCCCGTTGGTTGTTCCTGACACGCTAGCTCCAATATGATTGAGAACGGGAAAGTGAGAAACTTGCAGTCCCCTTGTCTTACCATTCAGGTCCTGATCACCTCCGGACTAGTCGCGCGAAGGGCTCGGCTTTTTCAAGAGCAAGTCTCAGGCTGAGTTCAGGCTGAGTTCAGCCTTCTCTGCCGAGGCTGGAACGAGTGCGCAGAAATTTTATTCATCAGACGAGACTCCCTGGCGTACAGCGGGTCGCTTGGTCCTTGCGGTGATTTTTTTCCTTTCATGATGCGGGCAAGTTGTTGCTGCTCGTTGTCTGAAGAAAAGTCCCACAGAACCTTGAGCGCTTGAATGTTCCTTTGTTCCTCATTCTGTGCGCACAAGGCCGACAAGATATCCACTATCATAGTCTATCGTCCTCTTCATGGCGGACATGTGCTCTAAGTACTTGCACGTTCAAAGTAGTGTTCCGCCACCGGTTTGGCACGATTAAGCCATTTACGTGGCATCTGCCGCTGTCAGCGCCATTTGCATGATGCGAGCAGGTCTTCCCAATTCTCAGCGAACACTAGTGTATGGAAGCATCAGAATGTCGACTAACAGTTTCCCATGCTCTCAGCTAGCCCCAGAGCTCGTTAAAACGGGGGTCCATGCTGTCGGATCGCCAGCACTCTCATTAAGGCGCGGATAGCTGAAAGATATCCGAGGCTTCCGTAAGTACCACAGCGTCACCAAATAATAGTATATAGTGTGAGTTGTAGGTCTGCTGGAATCAGGATTTACTCAGCTTCACTATGGCCCTTCTGTCCGACGCGACAACTTTGACTTTCGTTTCTTCTCTGGTTCGTTCCCTTCTCCTTTCTATGTCATTCGTGCTGATTGGATTATTGATAAACGCAGGGTGTATATGGTATCTATAAACGCTATGAGCCTGCTGGTGTCTTATCGGCTCTTGTACTTCTATTCGCTGTTCCGGGGTACATAGCGTCGCAGGCTCGTTCGCAATTCTCGTACGCCATCGTGGCATACTTGACCACATTCGTTTCATTCTACGCTCTCCTTATTGCTTACACTATCGGATACCGCCTGTCCCCCTTTCACCCCCTCGCGAAATATCCCGGACCCGTTGCTTGCAAGGTTTCGAAATTCTGGATCGCCTACGTCGCCTCTCGCGGAAAGACCCACAAGTACATCTGTGATTTGCATAACCAGTATGGTGACGTTGTTCGTACTGGTACGTGCCAACCATATTGTGGCGTAAAATGGTGACATAAGACGGTACTTTGTAGGTCCGAATGAGCTTTCATTCCGCCATGAAGACACCATTATGGCTGTCTTCGCTAACAAGGAAGTCAAGAAGGGACCATGTAAGACTTCGATATCTCTCTTCCATGTATCATTGCTCATGCCCGGCGTTTCAGATTACGACTGCCGTTATCAGAAGGGTGTGACACCCTTGGACGGTATCAAGGATTTCCATGAGCACGCTGGGAGGCGTAAACTCTGGAACCGAGCTTTCAGTATGGCAGCCGCCAAGGAGCATGTCGATGATCTCCAAACTGCCGTCAGCGAACTGTTGCAAGAACTGGAGAAGAGACAGGGCGACGTTGTTGACATTTCTCAATGGATTTCCTTCATCGCGTGAGTATAAGTTTAGACATCGCTCTTTGTGCGGATGTGATGCTAATTTTATCCTGGCCAGCTTCGATTTCATGGGTTCCCTTGTGTATGTTTTATCTCCGCCTGCGAAGCGTCATGAGACTCAAGTCATGTGTTTACAGGTTTGGTAACCCATTCGGCATGGTCAAAGCTGGTAAAGACACCGCAGGACTTGCCGAAATTATCGACACGTTAGCCTAGTATGTATTGTCTCTGCGCTTAATATTAAACCTTGCTCACACACGTTCATTTGACAGCGTCTCGAACGTCATGTCGCACATTCCCTGGGTCTGGCCTTTCCTTACTCAGATCCCCGGCGGTGACGCACCTCTTGAAGTTGCTCGCACGGCTTGCAAGAACTTGGTTGCCAAGCGTGTCAAGTCGACTAACACTAACAAACGTGACCTCTACCACTACCTTGTAAGCATTCTGAATTTGTTTCGGCGAGAGTCAAGACTGATGTGATTTCTCCGATCAGCTCGATGAAGATGGCCTTGAGCCCGTCAAACCCAGTGAGAAGCAAGCCTTGATGGAGGGAGCGACAGCGATCAGTGCCGGATCCGACACCACTGCTACGATGATGGTTCACACGCTGTTCTTCCTCATGCAGAACCCGGATATGTCGAAAAGGCTCCAGTCTGAACTCGACAACGTGTACTCCGCAGGTGGAGAGGCCCCAGACTACACCAAGCATGTTGAATTGCCATATCTGAACGCCTGCATGTGAGAGCATCTTCTAGAAATTCTTCTTGAACTTTACTGAAGGTGATGCTATAGCAACGAGACCATGCGTCTGTATCCAGCGGCTTTAGCTGCTCTTCAGCGCCGAGTTGACGTAGGATCCGGTGGTAAGATGCTTGGACCATTGTAAGTATCCTTCCTCTTTCCATTCACTACCTTCTGACGAAATTATCCTCGATAGCTTCGTGCCTGAAGGAACCCAGGTATCGGCCCATCTTTACACCATGCATCGCGATCCGCGCTACTTCTACCCCCTCCCCGACACCTACTGGCCGGACCGCTGGCTCACTCAAGAGTCTTACATTCTTCCATCCGGCGAATCCATTTCCTCTTCTGACCTTATCGTCAACAAAACCGTCTACCAACCCTTCTCTTATGGGCAACAGAACTGTGCTGGCAAAGTCGTTGCGAACATGGAAATGCGTGCCGTATTGAGTGCGTTGTTGCACAAGTTCGACATCAAGCCTGCGCGCGGGTTCAAGTTGCAGGAGTACGAGGATTCTATTTGTGATGTCTATATCACCTATCGCGGAGCGTTGCCTGTAACGCTCCATGCGCGTCGTTGAAGGGAAATTCTTTGTACTGTTAGTGATACCACAACACTGTACATAGCCTCATACCCTTCGATACCTCTTGGGCAATAGTAAATCAATCATTGAAAATGTTTGGCAGTAAAATGGTCCTGAGAGTGCGTGAACTTTGAGCCCTTGAAGATACAAAGCTGAGAACATCTCTATGGAGATATTGTAGGTTTAGAAAACAAGGTACATCATGACGTTACTTATAAGCCTGAGTAGAAAGCTTGTGCTTATCACCAGTACTAACGCCATCTGTCAAGAAAGGCTACGAAATCAAATTCCCCTCTACAGTATTCCCTTTGTTTCTTGCCACGGTTCCATTTATGATTCTTTCCCCTACCATCAAAGCTTATATGTAGTAAGCCCAGTGGAGGGCCAGGAACGCCGGGAGATGCACTCGCCCAGTCCGTTGTCCACCCCTCGCGACCGAGGCCTACGCTGTTCTTCAAGCCTTTTCAAATCGGTTGGGAGAGGGAGAGCATGAGACGTAAATGTTGTTGGGATTAAGCTCTCATCGGTGGTGGCCAAATCGGAGGTTCCACAAGTCCGAGCTCGATGTATTCCGGAATCCATATGGGCTTATCGAGCGACTGTCACAAGAAAATTTGATAGCAAGGTTCATTTATCTTGCATTCAGCCTGAGCAACAGATCGTCATATCAAGAAGCAGCAGGACAAACTTACATCGAACACCAGAATAAGTACATTAAACTTCCTCTAAATAGCCCTGCACGATGAGATGCTCCACATCCGCACGTCTAACCATGAATCGTTGCCCACGACGGAAGTCGATTGCTCCGACCTCCGTCTGAATAACACCGCAGTCGAGAACGACGCGAACAAGAACGTGCAAATCCTTCGGCGGTTTGAGTATGGGAGCGAAGAGATCAACTTCTTCTGTCGCCAGCACTCCCGATCGGAAAGTAAGTAGGGACGCATTGTACGACCTTAAGAAGTCAACTTCGTGCGGCGAGAGTTTCGACCGTATGTCCGCGGGCGCAGAAGTTGCATCCGCACCCATATTGGCAGCATTCGAAGGTGCAGTCGCATGTGTTGAAAGAAGAAGAGGTAAAGCACCGCCGACGGACCAGTAAAGGTCCTTCAGTCGTTCTATCCGATGATGGTGGTAGGCGAGGAGACAGCGTTTGTTACGAAGAATTGCTGTTTGATACAAAAGTACTGTCGGGGTCATGGGGTCATTTCCAGGGTCAAGACCGTCTTGATTTGAAAGAGCAGACTGGATGAGGGATTCGAGTTGACGCTGCTCTCGAACAATCGTCCGCACAAGCACGTCGTTGTACTTCAAAAGCGTGTCGGTCGCAGTCGATCGACGCGATTCTTGAATGAGTTGGGTTGCCAGGTCTCCATACTGTCTGGTGGATGTATTCATCACGTAAAATACGCGTCCAGAGGTGATAGATGTACAGTATGCTCGTCGTCAAGGTGCAAGCCTAACGAGAAAGCTGGCGCTTGATGACTTGATATTGCAGACTAGATTAGATGGCACAGCGGCGAATGCTGAGTGCCGAAGTTGCAGGGTGGCTCAGCCGTGCTCGAGAGGAAGCAGCTGTGGCGGGATGAGTTCACTAGAAGAACCAGATATTTCTGTATCATCCACCTGCCTATCGGGCTATGAAGTACGTACAATCTCTACATGTACCGAGCATGGATGCGAGTTCTGGCTCTCCTGGCAGTTGTGCTCTTCATAACAAGCGAATTGTAATGCAATCAGTTTGCTGAAACGTCGTTCGGCTGATTTTACAGATGGGCAATGGTTTGTCAAATGGCGTTCATGGATGGCGATTAATTTTAATGAGGACAAGTCTCTCATGGCTTGAATTTCATTGAACGTGTCACACTGTCTCGGACGAGCGCTTCAGGCTCTATTATTCCGTTATTTATACTCTCATTCGATTGTCACTGGACTATCACGCCAATACTCTCCGACCGTTTGTATGATGCTATTACAGCTCCTATTCGCACTCTGCCTATTGAGATCCTTATTCTCCACTCGTTCACGTCTTACTGCTCGTTGGCTTCGTTGATAAGTTGGACAAACTTGAAGAACCCCAACCCCCCTTTATGACGGTAGGAGAGGCAGAATATGATGCATCAGAGATAAACGTGATGACAACCTCTTACCGAACCACTGACCGCTGCGAATATTGTTTTTATCCCTATAGATGCTGTAACCGTCAGTTGCCCACGAATGTTTTGTCTCGATCTGCCTCAGTCATCTGATGACTGTCCAATTGAGGAGCAAGGTCAACTTCATTCTTGATAGCAGTACCCTCTCGCTTCCGCTCTTACACCGCAGTTCATCAACCTCTGTGGAGCGAAGGTCCCATCTTTGATTCTATGCACTTTGTCATGCTTGAACGGTTCACCCTACACAGTCATCGTTCATTGCGACAGATGTACCGGAACAGATTGGAAGCCGTGGGATCTATTGGGTTGGCGGGGACAGGCCTGGACAGGCACTCAGCGATACGCCTATCGACACTCCCCTCACGTGGTTGATTTTGTTGCTACTATTCGGTCCCTCTTATGCAGCCCAGCCCAATTTTAATGATTCACCAGTTCGAGTAGCGGAATCGCGCAGTTTGATTTGCATGGCGGTGCGTCGAATATATGCCTGACTTGTAAGTCAAAAATTACTCTTCATCATCTCATTTGCCTCATGATCTTTCACAGGTCTGATACTGAGTTTCAACGATGATCGTGTGTATGCCGAGGCAGGCCGCGAGCTCGAGTGCGTTCTTTTATAATCGAGACTTCAACTAACACCACGGCTTCCAAAGCTCGGCCCCTGCTGTGGAGGGAAACTTTGTATGGCGGCAATCCGCCGTTCCCCCAAGATGCTAAGATAACATCCTTTACCCAGATTCCTGGCAGAAATTTTGATATTTGTGCATCCATTCTGTTCCCTACGAGTCAGTGATTCTGCGTTGTATGGGACGTCTGCATTAAATGTGTTGCTGCATTCAGATTCAAACAGAACGAGACGGTGCCAGTTTGGGAGGTATCGTTGACGCCCGCGTTGCCGAAGTTAAGGTTAACGTTCTGACAGTGTCAAGAAGTTCTCGGGCTGTGATATGGGCTCGCTTAATATGGTCCTGTTGGGGCTTATCATGAAGATCTGATGCCCGCATCCTCTGCCTTGCATAGGTGAGCCTTGAGTGTTGAACAAATGTCCATCTAGGTACCCAAAACACGGTCTGAACGCCAGGGGTGCCATCGGTTTGATTCCATCTGTTCTACGACTGTTGCATATTAAGGCTCTCTGCTTGGGTCCCTCTCGCTGCGTCTTTGAGCTGTATCTTTCTCTCTGGACTCCCTCTTTCTCGCTCTCTTTCTACAGACTCTCCTTGCAAGTAATCATGTCGTATAATACACTCATCGGACTTGATTCGATACCAACGCCGGAACAATGGTTGGGAGGAGTCTTCATCTTGGTCTGCCTTTCCCTAGTGTAACTTCTCGCCCACTTGTCTCAATGCGAAGTCTCACTGCGTTTATCTTTATAGCCTGTACGGCATTGCCGTCGCGCAAGCGTATTCTTACATGCTCAACTGCAAGAATGATGGGATGCCGTTGCGGACTGCTGTATTAGCCACAATGCGAGTAACGTATCTCGGAATTGACTGTATTGCTTATCTGATTCAATTGCCCTACAGCCTTCTAGAGACTTTCCAGACCGCATCCCTTCTTCATTTGGCATGGGCCTACGCAATTGCAGGCTTTGGAAACTTCGTAGCGAGTTTGCACATTCCTTGGTTCGTATTCAGTGTTCATCGTCTCTGTGGCATACTAACTACTCCATGATTTCTAGGAGTGCTGGGGTATGTATTTAAATGTAATGCATCGGAAACTACCACTGAGCATGCTACGTTGATCTTGTAGGCAAGCATCATCTTGGAGGTATGATACTTGTGCATTCTGTGATTTTTCGAAACCCATCTTTCAACCACAGGTAGCAATCGTTTTCCTGGTTCAGGGGTGAGTCTAGATTGTTCTCTTTTGCTGCATCTTGGGTCTTTGACAGACATGAATATAGTTTTTATCTGCGTCGAATCTGGATATGTAAGTACAATGCTCGGTTAATCACCGCGAAGCATACAATAACATGGTTTCATCTATGAGTGAGCAAAAAGTCCAAGCTGCTGACGGGCCTCATGGTGAGCGTGTCCGTTCTTGAGTACCTTTAAGCCTGTAATTCACCCCTGCATGAGGGCGTGTTGTTGCTCACACGAGTCGGTGAGCTAGAGAGCCTTTGCCCTTTAGTCGTTATCACTGATATGTGTGTACCTAATTGCAGCTTTGGGTTTGGGTACGCTGTTTCCAAGCAAACATCCTTGAGCGCAACTCTTATGATGATATATACGCGTCATAGCCACGGGTATTTGCATGTAAGCACCGATGACACGAATTCCACAGTTGAATTACTTATTTTCCTTCCAGATGTCTGTCCGGCACATGGATTGAATTTCGTGACGAGGCGCATTATTCTGTGAGTGTCCCACACCACAGTCAGCCCTGGCTCATTTTAATATCAATCTGGTAGACCATCCTCACATGCTCCCATGCGTCAGCTGTAGTGCTCGATTTGTCGATGACACTTCTGCTGATGTTCCATATATACCAATACAAGACTGGATTTACAAGGTCCGGCTGGTCTTCTTTCTCTCATTTGTACCATTTCATATCTGGGTATTCCAGAACCGACGACGTCGTCCGTTCATTGGTAGTCTACGTAGTTCATACTGGCGCAACCACTACGTACGTCGTGTTGTCGTGATGACACCATCACTGGCCTGATTCTTGTGTGGGACAGGTTGGTCTCCATCGCCATAATACTCACGGTATGTCCTGGTTCTACTCTAAACATCCACACGCCGTAAATCTCCATTTCTATAGTACCAGCTGGTGCATAACAGCCTCCTGTTCGCAGGGTTCTATGCCATACAAAGCAAATGTGATCGCATTCTTTAGCTCCCTCCAATTATATTGACTGACGATTGTCACAGTGTATGCTAACTCGTTATTGGGCATGTGAGTTAGATATCCTTGTCATAGCCCATGAATTTTGAAACCCCGTCTCCGTATCTCAGGTTGAATACAAGAGATATGCGCAAGGGCAGAATGTTTGCCACGGACGCTGTTGATCTAAGCCATAGGACTAGCATTTATGCATCACAAATCAATCCTCAGGTGAGCAGCGGTCCTCCTATTCCATGTCTGAGCTTCAAGTTTGTCTATCACAGGGGATGCCGATCGATATGCTGTCGGAGACATGCATGACAACTGACTTGAGCGATGGAAGTCAAACGAAGAAACCTCAGGGTCAGCTCGTATTTGCGTAGAGTTCTGTTTGTCTTTTCTCCTGATGAGATGGGTGGATGGAGTGTATTTAATGCCTCAGTCCGGCTCATACCTTTTGGGTCGTTAACATTGGGACTGAAGAAGTCGAGACGCCTTGTAATTGCGCCTGCGTCCTTATATGTAACGAAGCCCCCGGTTGATGTATATGCGTTTCTCTCAATAGGGTTGGAGAGGTCTGACCTTCTGACCTCAAATCCCATGATAGTTCGGCAGAAAGGTTGCACTGCTGTCACTGCGAGGAGTATTTTGAGCCCGACATGATGGCATCTGCCCTTCGGAAACTCTTATCTTTGTGCGTCGCTCATTCACTTCTTTGATGCACTGTGTGTGCTTGACGATTATTGATAGAGAACGTGCTGTCGTGGAAAGGGCGAACTCGCGCTTTACAGCACAGCACCGTCCGCCATCAACGTCGACAACCACAGACGTTGTTGTTTAAGATGCTCGAATGCCTCATCGAGCGGGCCCTGCCCTCAGCACCGAGCATCCCGACATCCATCACAATTGAGCGAGCATCACGAGGCTACATCCCCCATGTTGTTCGCCCTTTTATGAACGGACGTCCCGAGACGGCGAGGATGTAATCGGAAGAACCCATTTGCAACGTGGGCTCTTCCGTAACACATCAACTTTTGTCTCGTTGTTGAGGTATCACTGTAGAATCTACGTGGCGGCCTTTCCAACGCAGAGCCTATCAATGACACCTCTTCTCCCCCTCGTCGTACGCTATTACTAATACACTACTCTCACTGCCACTATCTTACGCTCACGGTCACTCATGCCTTCAAGCGATCACACGATCACACAGCTAGATAGATGAAGAGAGCGGTTAGTCAAAAAGACCCTTCGGAATTGTCTAGACGGCCTACCCGACCAGCAGCTCCTGCATAAGAAGTAGTTAGCTATCGTTGGTCGCGAAGAGATCCTTATGGCGTGCACTCATTGAATTTATACCATGAAAGGCTCCTCCTGTCCTTCGGTCTCCTGTCTGTATGCGGGGCGAACGGGGATGCGGGAGTGTGATCTGTACCTGTGATAAATTCCGATGCAAGAGTAAGTTAGCGAACTGAATTACAAGTTCTTGATCTTCATCCTTCGAAACTAGGATCTTACCACGCCTAGTTTCGAAGAACTTTACGGTCCTACCTGCAGATATCCTGCGTGCGCGGGGTACGGAGGGGGGATGGGAAATGCGGGGTAATGTGCCTGTAATGCTAAGAAGATGTCAATCGTGCCGCAGCAACATAACTAAAGTCCGATCCAAAAGGCAAGTGCCAACATTGGGTGAAGGAGTCCATATCCAATTGTCCGTTGTGAGACTTTATATTTTACCATTTTTGTGTTTTCTTTTTGTGACTTTTATTTTATTTTTCTTATAAGACAGTCAGCCTCAAAACTGAGATACACGCGGAAATGTAGGACTCACTTGTGATTTTCTCCCCCCGACTTTGATCCCGCAACTTCTACTCCCGATTAGGGAACGCCCTATGGACGATATCGTCCCGACTCTGGGCTTCGTCCAGCGAAAGGAGCGTATAATCGAAAGCCTCCAAGTAGTACGGAAGCCAATTCATCTCCACCCGTCGCCCGTCGCCGAGATGTAGGATGCGGGGCTTCTCAGCTTTTCCACTCGCCTTCATTTTCATTTTCATGACTTTAAGCACTCTCGGAGCTGCAGTCCCGCGAGAGGCATGAAGACGGAGTGTACTTGGCTTACGAGTGGAAACATAGCCAATGCGTTTGGCGGGGGGTGTGGGAGGGGTATAGGTGAGTTTGGAGAGGGAGTTGACAGCTGACTCTGTCTTCTTCTGGCTGCGAGGTACCTTCGAGGTGGTGCTGGCAGCACAGCTTGGGTTGGATTGGGGCGTCCCCCGTTCCTTCCTTTGCTGAGCACTGAAGGTGACCGCGGCAGCAGTACGTTTCGTGGTGCTCGAAGTTACCGTCATTGTGTGCGTTATGGGTATGGTATAGCAGTGATAGTTGTAGTGCGGATGCAAGATGTCTTGGAGGAAATCGGCCGACTGGGAGACTCTATATACTTCCTAGAGGGGCTATTTTTGGACAGTCAGCTCTCGAAGATCCCTCGCTGAAGAGGCTGACAGGAACCAGGAACCACTCTTCGCCCTTCCGGATCTGAGAAACATGATTCTGGGGAGGTTCCGGACTTTGATACTCTGCATACAATAAGTGTGCCTTCGGAAGTTCAAGGAGGCTGTTATTGCAGGGAATTTTGTTATTCTAGGAGTCTTGCAACCTACGCTCCGATAGGTGGAACAGCCACAGTTTCTTTTGTGCATGTCAAAATCTCCAACGATATTGACTTTACTCTGCTGGAGTGAAAAGAGATAGAATAGTGACATCAATATCATGTATCGTAAGACCTGGAAAATGTTAGAAAATCAAGCCGCCGGGTCTCGTTCTACTCAACGCCCGATCATTCAGATAGTTTATTACCTTTTCCGTGCACGTTGCACCTCTTTCGTTTTACCCGCGTTCTCGACCTACGCCACAGATTCCGTTCTGCATTCCTTTAATTCCGCATTATTCCGTTCCGTTCCTGTTGCCAAATATTCCGTAGATACTTAACCAACCGTCTTCCGTAGAGACACCCCAATCGTTAGCTTCGACGCTGATTGGGGTGTGTACCTATTTTCTATTCTGTACCGTTTCACTCGTGCTGACCTATACCTTGTAGAATCTATCTGTTTACTCTTTTCTATAGAAAAGGCTCGGTGCACTGATTTCAAGTTTGAGTTTCCGTGAACGCGCTGCTTGTCGTTATTAGCTTCCAAAGCATTTGCCATATTGGGAATTTTGTTACGGCCGGCTGCAAGAAATCTACTGTCCTTGGTCTTACTACTTGATAGACAGACGAACGACGCGGAAATCGACAATGATAGGAAACATATGGATAAGTCTGAGTGTCAGGTCTATGCAAGTCAGGATATACGGAAGTTCTAATATTCATTGAAAAGGTCTTTCAAGATAGGTCTTCCTTTCGCTAGAACATCCCCTGAGATGTCACTCCTCCTCGGTCTCTTGGGTGGTCTAAGCTCATCTTTGAGACATAGACGATCTCTCGCACCAGAGTCGGAGGAACGTTTTGACAAAGTGCGGCTGCTGACGCCCTCATGAAGTTGGTCCGCGTTGGGAGGCAAGGAGAGAATCCAGCCTTTGCTGTCCATAAGCTTGAAGAACTCTTCTAAGAGTGGAGCAGCTTGGAGGGTTTTGTGAGACCCGAAGATAATGAGTTTAGATCGTGCTCGCGTGAAAGTCACATTCATGCGCCGCCAGTCCTTTACGAGATCACCGATCTGAAAAAAACAACGCGACTTATTAGATGGTCAAACTCGGAATGAAACATCGATAGAAGCGTACCTGTCCTAAGTCATTCGACTTGACCATAGAGATGATGATACAATCTTTATCTCGTCCCTGGCTACGGTCAGCAGTGAGAATCTCGATGTCTTTCCAATCTTCAAGTAGGTACGATAGAAGTTTGATTTGTTGACGATACAGGGAGATGACGCCGATCTGTTGCTGTTCAATTCCACAGCGGAGCAAGGCTTCCGTGACTTGACCTACGAGCCGTGCTTCTGTTATGTTTTGGACCAGGTCTCCGACCCGCGAGTCGTGTGCGGGAATCCCGTCAGTGTCCACAAATACTGCTTTGCAGCTTTAAGCGCATGTCAATAATGGAACCTAAGTCAAACTACCGTGCTTCGCACCGTTCATCCAGAACACGATTCAGCCAGCAGTCATTACTATCACAACTCGAACCCAGATGCAACTTCCGGAGGTAACCTCTGTTTGGTATTCTGAGGCTTTGCTTCGCTACCTCTTGGGAACCACATCGTAGACGGTCACTGTAGATGAGCTTATTCGAGAGCAGCATGATATCTTCGTTCATTCGATACTGCTCTGTGAGGTCGATAACGGCGGCAGGATGCGCATCTGACAATCGACGGAACAGTGATACGTCCATACCACCTTTGCGAGCATCGCGATTGCGGACCTGATTAAAGCATACGTTAAAGACATTTGTATATATGCCGGAGAATACGCACCAGTGGCGGTAGTTGAAAGTGATCTCCAACTAGTACAAACCTATCCGCGAAGCGAAGAGGACCCAAACAAGTCGGCAGGGTCACTTGGGAGGCCTCATCCACGATACAATAGTCAAAGTGTCTACGAGAAAACAAGGCACTACGTTCCGTTTGATCAGTGTTACTCTCATCTTGCACGGCGAGAGGTCACTCACTGATCTATGGTCAAGCAGGTAGTGGCAACGACGGAGGGCGTCATTACCCTGTGTTCCAGCTGTTCAATAGATGTGGCTGCTCCGAGGGATGACAAAGTGAATTGGTGCATGTCCGGATGAATCTAAAAGAAACAGAGGTAAACATCGATACAAGTCGAACGTGAAATTGATGGGAGGCATTTGTCTTACCTTGTCCAAATTTCCGAGTCGCAGGATACCAAAGTCCGCATCATCCTTCAGCTTCCGCAGGATGGTATCAACCGCCGAATGGGTGTACGAAGTGAGGAGAACAGTCTTGCCCATAGCGACTAACACACGAATGAGTGCAGCAATGACCGTTGTCTTCCCAGTTCCGGGCATACCAAGAACGAGGGCATAGTCTTGAGCAGATAATACTTTTCGTATGGCGAGCTGTTGATTGGTATTGAGCTTCGAGATCGTCTTCGCTACGGGCTCGTTTTTTGAAACCACGGGTCCATCGAAGTCGATGAAGGTAGGTGGCTTGAGATCTACCACGAGTTCACGTCGTTTGGTATCACCTTCAGCGTAGAAGAGCTGAGCCAGATTGTCTCTTATGCGACCCATACCACCAGAGAGTTCATCTTTGTCAATCCTGAAGATGACCAGAGCTTCTGAGGAAAGCCAGTTTCGTCGACGAACGCTTTGTAGGTCCACCAGATGGTCTACGCCGAGGACAACTTGATGCGGAGTGAGTTGTACGATGAAACCTCGAGCCAAAGCCAGTAGGTCAGGTTCAATGGACACAGTAACAGCGTCGCCTACGCTCATATGTCCGTTCAGTAGAGTTGTGTCTTCGGAGTTCGCCTTGATGAAGCGATACGTGAACTGATGTATCTTTCCTTCCCTTTTCGACGTGGATTGAGGTGTATTCGGGTTATACTGGTACTCAACATCCAAGACCATGTTGGCGAAGCATCTTCCTTTCTCCTCTCGTTCTTCAGCGCCCATGGTCCAAATCTCTTTCCTGAACTTGATGAGATCCTGTTCTTCCATAGAGATGAGTGCCTCCCATTTCTTGAAGAAAGTAGTTTGAGTTGGCGTGAGATGTGATGTCTTCAATGCGTACATGTCCGCGATATCAGAGTGGTCATCGATGACACCTTCAACGGCCTTGCGATACAGCATACAAGTGTCCAAAACATAACACTTGCCGCATATGCGAGCGTCGTCGATGGTAGAAGGTAAGAAAGGTTCTGCTTCGATATTGACCTCCTCACGAGCGTCGACATGAATAGCTTGAGTATTCTCATGACTCCTATGCCTCCACGTCTTACTTCTGGTTCGGCGCATCATATATGCTGCCATCCTGTTACGAGCAATAACCAACGCCCTGATCTCATTACGAGCAGCGGGGACCCTGATAACTTCGTCACTTTGGGTATAGTACAGCAGCCCACTCGGAACGTCCGTCTTGTATCGTTCTGACATGAGAAGAGTGTAAAGCATTGTCTGCGCTCGATGTTCCATACCAGCGACTGCGCGACCTGTCTTAATCTCGAAAGGCATAGTCAAGGACTCGCTCTGAGAGACGTTCGGTTTACGGGAAGCGATGGTGAAGGGGTTGGGAGTGGTATCCGTTTCGGAGATAACAGCTTGTACGGAGGCGTCAAGCTTGCCTTTGAGACCATAGCTAGGTGACCAGATGTCCTCTTCGACATCGAGAAGCTGGGGAATGGCTAGAAGGGTTTTCTGACCTTGTTGTTGTCGCGTGTTGCTTAGGACAGCTTCCGGCTAGAATAGTCATTTAAGCATCATGTACGGGCTTCGACAGAAATGAGTATAATACCTTAGGTTCCTGAGCAATATACCGCTCGGAGAACGTTTTCAGGCCTTTGGCTCGAATCTTGACTTCGCGCTTCGCCTGTTCAACGCTGACATTGATGCTCAGAAGGTCCTCCAATCCTTTACTAACGACACCCCCGATCTTCTCATCTACTCCTTTCTCGCTCCAATCGCCGTCACCAAAACACATCTGCATCACCTCATGTAACATGTTACCCCAAACTAACGATGGGGTCATGTCTGATGATGCTCGAACCAGATTGGAGAGGAGAGGTTTCCTCGCGCACTGCGTGGCATTGGAAAGCGAGGTTGCTGTGATTAACAAATCTGGATGATGAATGAGCAGGTTCTCCTTGGCCGAAATTACGATGCCTAGGGAACGAGGAGTCGATGATGAGCAAGGTTGGTCTTGGAAAGTTCCGATGACATTGACGACATCCCCTGAACGTATATAAGTGATTCTGGTCAGCACGTTGCTCTTCCAGGAAACTCACCAGGTCGTACGTCAGTGCCTGTCCAATCATCTCGGAGTACAACCGTACGAATGTCTTTCTCTGAGACGGCTTGGACAATGAGCACCTGATGAAATAGGTCAGTTTTGAGAATGAGAAACACGGTCAAGGGCAGCGACAATGAAGTCGGAGACGGAGAGTTAGATGTTACATGTTCCCCGCCCTCGTATGAAAAGGAGCCAAAGAAGCGGATAACGAGATGCCAAACCGTAGACCAGCGTGATCCGGCTATACTGTTCGCGACTCGGTAGACCAAAAGCGATGATATTACGGAGCCGCGTACGTAGTATTGGGATTGCAACCGACTGTCAGGTTATTCGATAGACGTATATGAGGAGTATATGACTGGCGCCGCCACATGTCTCTGCTAGGACAACCGTATAGCATAGAACAAGGGTGTCAGATGTCATCGAGTTCGAGTTCAAGTTCGAGGATGTCGCCCCGCTGTATTGTTAGACATGGATCTTGGACGCACCTTTTCATAATAAACACTTTGCATATTTTCCTGGACTTCCTTGACGATACAACGCGTCACGACAATGTTGTCGACTCGGAGCGATATGCTGCCTGCATTCTCAGACTGCAAAAACAAAATCATTGATACGGTCTCAGTATGACCAGTACTTTCTTCTTACATTTAGATGCTGAATGCAGTCCCTGTGCTCTGGAGTTAGAAAATCCGTGTTCATATCATCCCAATCCCAGCTCTCAGCGCCCTCGAGGAGCAAATCAAGACCTTGATCATTACCAGCCGACGCGTTCTTACGCGTAGAGAGTGGAGATTTCACTAATGCCTTTCGTGGAGTCCTGTTTTTTGTTGGTGTCCTTTGGATGAGTGATAAACGCGACGTAGTCCTGCCAAGAACGTGTCCTTTCTTAGGAGTTGGGTCTGGAGAAGGGACGGCATTGAAAAACGAGTCGTCCACGCCAAAGAGCAGATCATTCATGAAGTCCGATTCCTCCTGCTCTGAATGGATTACTGGAGGCATGATGAGGAATGAAAGAGGAAGGTGGTGGTACGCTGTAAGGAAGAGACACCACTGGCCGACAACACGTTGACGCGTCGCGTGAAGAATACCTTTGATCACCATGTCGCGTTTTGCACACGCCACTCAGAAAGGCAAGTCTTCAAGAAATGGTTTGCAGCACAAGATGAAGGAGCAGAATATGTCGAGACATCCTAAAGACAGAAGCTAAAGGATACGAAGGTTTACTACGAGAGTGCGGATATTTGTGTTAAGAGCGTTGACATTCCCCTCTTCTCCTTATCTGCTTCTAACGTCTTTCTAACATCAGTGCTGAACCAAGTTCTCAATGTTTTCTGCAGCGACTTGTTCTTGTCGCCACCAGACACAACAGTCTCGCACAATGCTGTTACCAGAAATACACCATCGCCCTTTGTCAGTGAGATTGTAGCGTCCTGCCCTACAATGTCGATGAATTTCTGGGCGAAGTCCAATGGTGAAAAAAGTTCGGAGCGAACAACAGTTTTGGTCTGTTGCGAGAAATGACCCCCTTGCAACAGGAGTTTGTATAGCCGCGAGGCGTGTGGCAGAGAAATTGGATGAGGAGTGGCTGGGTCCTGCGAAGGATAAGGAGTAGCAATGGCTTTCAGGAGGGCCTCCGATGCTGCGGACTTATCTACAAACATGATACATAGTCAGTCCATATATGTTGAAGTGTGATACAAATCTGAGATACATACCACCATCGGCATGAAGCATGATCTCGCCGAGGACAAGACTTCCTCCTGGGTCTCGCAGGACTTCGGCACCGTGTTCTGATATCCACGCAAGAAGAGGCTCGCTAGCAGCTTTTCGAATCTCTTGCATTCGTGTTTGTTCATCCTTCTTACTCGTTTGCGCTCGAATAGGATCCGTTTCAGCAAGTAGAGATATCTGTGCGGAAAGAATCAGTAAGGAAGACAAGTACTGGAAAGGGAAGGGGCATACTTGAGCAGGAGTGAAATGCCGTCGTGTACGAGGCGATACGAGGTATATTAGTGACCGTCGACCTTGAGGGGATGTGTATAGTTTCGATGCCGAGCCAACGATATCCGAGACTAAAGACTTTGACGTGAGCTTTGTGTCACTAGAAACAACCCCGATCAGTTGGAATTCTGACATAAATGCAAAGATGGACACTTACTCAATGACATCCAAGGCAGTGAACAGGACAAGTTGTGCCTCTTCATCAAGAGACATTCGCTCGACGTGGGGCTTGATAGCTTTCACGATGATCTTCCTGTCCTTGGCTGTCCCGGTTGCGATGAATTCTCTCACTACACGACTACCATCTCGAGTATGGACCATCTCAGCAAGGACGTCCTGACAGCTAGAACACGTGTAAGAAAAAAGCTGGAAGAATCAAAAATGGTTATGACGCCTACCTCTCGAACAATTCTCGACGAAGTTTCTCTCGCTCGGCCTCATCTTCCACTCCACCGAGGGCGGAAAGGTACTCCCAAAGTACGCGATGTACAATCGCGTGCGAGACAGCACCCTTGTCAGGATTGTTGAAGCTGAGATTGGGTAAGTTAGAATAAACTCGGGATAGGGCAAGTCGAGCTTACATGGATGTGAGATTCTCTTTCACAGCCGTCAACGTCCGTCTCCTTCTTTCCTTGTCGACGCCATCTAACAAGCCCTTGAGTCCTTTCTTTGACTGCTCTTTCTCCTCGTCACTGCCGCTTGTCAAGGTGAACAGGCTAGCTTCCTTGCCGTAGAAGTCACGAAGCAGCAGCGACCGCTCATAAGCATTCGCGTACAGCTCAAAAGCATCTGCCAAAACGCTGGATGCTTCCCTATGAAGTAAAAGACGCCTAGTGGAACCTTGGAATTCCTTGAGGATAGACGTCCTGTGGTTGGGACATAGACGTATGAGTTTGGAGACGAGAAACTGCAATCCTACGTAAGTCAGTAAAACACACACAACAGAATACGTGAGGACGTGCCTTTGAGTATTTATTCTGCGCCAATTCCTGATACCTTCCCTTCAACTCCAACGCAATCTCATTCCGCTCCTTTGCACCACCGTACTTCACTACGGTTTGCACGATACGGCTCGCATCGTGCTTGAAGACAATCTCCTTGACATGTCCACGGATGATATCCATCAAGGCATTGATGTGTTTTGTTCGTTGCCCTTTCGAGACGTTTTTCTGGCGAGCAAGCGACCATGCTGTCTTCGCTTCTGTCAGTAGTACAGAGTGCGGTTTCGCTGCACGTCGCTGATCCAAAAGTGCACGTTGTGCTTTATGCGACTCTCGGGCAGCTTGAAGCAATATAGGTCAATTCCGATCGCGCAGTAGCTCATGGATAAGCAAGACGTACCATTAGGATCCTTAGGCACTTGGGGTTGGGAATCTACCTCCATCTCCTCTGCTTCCTCCAAGTCCACGCCATCCTCTCCTACAAGTTCGTCTTCCTCCTCGGAACTTACGTCGCTGTCCTTCTGTATCGGCGCGGTGACAGGTTTGCTGCGTTTCTTCGACTTGTCATTCGATTGCTCGTTCTTCTCTACGTGAGCTTTTTTGCTTTTGGGACCTTGTTGTGACGGTGCAGGCCTTTTCTTTGTGTTCTTCGCACTAATACCGGGCATACTGACTATATAAGCCTGACAACAATGAGAACGGAGGGGAAGCTGAGTATGTCGAGGCTGCGACAGTGAAGACTTTCGAGCCGCTTTCAGAAATAACTTTTGATATTCAGACGCCCGATCAACCCAAGGCAATCACCGAGGTAAAGGAGGCAGCCCAGGTCGGAAAGTTGAATGCGGGTTGTTTCACTTACTGCCAACTCAGTCTACCTTGTCTCTTGCTTGTTCAACAGTTTGAGCCATAGTGTATTGTAGATAAGGACAATACATATCTCAAGAAATTCATCATATTCTTGAAGAACAGTCGAACAAAATGCGTATACTTATGACACAGGTCCCTACTACCCTGTTGTTATGTCATGACGGCAAACTCAAAACGACCGAATTGGTTAGGGTGTATATACTGGAAGGTAGGGTAGCCGTCTCCTCCAAATAGCGTACTTCTGCAGGAGTATCTGAGCTTTAGCCATGGGCTTCACCGGTAGTTAAAGGTCTGTCCTACGTTCATAGATCGACCACTGTATTCATTTGATTTTCAGCTTTAGGGTACCGTTTACGAAGTCATTATGTTGTCTCAAAACATGAGACAACACTGGGTCATCGAATCCAGTGCGTCCACGCCAGAATTTGATTGAGTACTCGTAACATGTGCTGCATAGCTGATCTCTTTTAGAAGCCCTATTATGTATCCAGTAGGTATTCTCGCATTTTCAGATAACCCGATGCATCATGGTTCCAACATGTGGACAACAGGATGTTTGGATACTTACGGTCTCCACATCAGGCCTGAATATATATTGAATGGTATTGTTTCTTTTTAATCTTGTCCCTGTGGTTTATCTATCTATCGAAGGTGACCAAGGCGTATTAGCGAACGAAATCGATGCCCGACCAACATGAAGTATAGCAGCTTCTGGTATGTTGGCAATGCTGTTTGTCATACATATCGATTATTCTGATTCTCGAATACAGTGAATACCGCGATGGCTTCGAGCTGAATAGCAAATTATCTCCAATCTTTCGTTCGTTGTCCAACCAAGAATGCCCTAAATTCTATTGTGTAAATCCGGTAGGCGAATATTCCGTTTATGTATAGTCTTTGACGTCTTCTCACCGTCTGTTTGAACTCAGAAACAGGCCCATTGACCATCTAATTCGTTTTGACTGTGGTAGCGCAACCCACGCCACTCTTCGGCTCCCGAATGCCCCCTCATTGTCCTCGCTCGGGGAGGTCATGCCTGTATCCCCGCACAAAGAGCTGTAAGGAATCTTTGAGAGTGGATCCACACTGCTGCATACGTAAGGCATTTTTGGGGATCCTAAGGGATGTACTCTTCACGTGAGCACTTATGTTCCAATAAATCCTGGACGGTGGCCGCCTTCCTTCCTCTCAGCTCGCTCTGACACACTTACTGGACTGTGGTATCCCAGGGGGGAAATCCCAACTCTCTACGCATACTTGTGCACGGCCCGAAGTGTCCCTCCCGACAACGCGTCCAACGATGGACAACTTTGAGGTACTCATGTCTGGCACCCCCGGCCAACTCTCGACCGACGACTTGGGCGAAGTACTCGAGCCATTCGTCAACTCAGAGGGCTTACCCATTTACTCCTTGGATAATGTGTTAACCTTTCAGCAAGACGACTTCAGTTCTCCTTCAGCCCTGTGCTCGTCGAGACCCCATACTCCCCCTGAGCCGTTCAAACGTGAAGACGTATCCTCAAGTCACTGGACAGAAGGAAAGGAAGACGGTACCCAACTACCGCTCCCCCTCGACATCACTACTCCTAGTAGCGACGCGACGCGATCAAGTGTCGAGCCCTCGATCGGCCCGAATGAAGGTGAACGGCTCCCAACAATCTTTAGCTTCGATCAGCCACAAGCTCGAGAACCGGTTGTCGCCACTGGTTATGCTCACGTTGAGCCGATCCCATGGGAGTCCATCCAGTATTCCGAGTTCTCCATGTTGTAAGTGTATTTCATATTTACCCCCGTCTGGCTCTGATAGTGATGAGCCGCATTAGGCGTGGACCCAGTATGGATGCTCCTGCCCCGTACAACAGCAATATCTCTCTCGCTGGACAACCTACTTGGATGCAGCAAGCCTCTCGGGGAACGGAATATCCGATGTACGTTCTGTTGCAGCTCCAGATCTATTGCCTCTGCTAACTTCAGCGCAGTCCTGTCTTATCAGTATATCCTCAGGCGCAGGTCGCCTATAATCAACATCCACAGGCACTCCAAATGCCCAATTATACTGCTCGTCGTCGTTCCATCTCGCGTTCCCGGTATCCCCGCGCCCCTCGTCCAAACATGTACTATCCTTACCCAGCTTTCGGATCGTCCGAGTATATTGGCAATTCATTCCCCTACTGTGCACCTTCCTTGAATATTTCGGGACCTATGTCCAGCTTCGCTCATATGACGTATCCACCTGGTTCCTCTGTCGCACCTACCAATCTCGGCACCGACATGCTTACTGCGCCGGTATATTCTAATGTTCCGGGTCCGTCGCAAAATCCTTCGGTCGTTCACCAACCTATCATTCACTTTGGAACGCAAAACAGCCTCCCCCATGACGACTTCGGTATTTCTATGCCTCAACACACTTCTGCTTTTCCTTCTCTTAATATGCCTACTCCCGTTGCTGCTGCGTCTACCGCGGTGTCTCAACATTTGTCACCGTCACAAACTGTATCTCGAAAGCGTCCTCGCGAGGACGAAGAACTTAGGAACCAATTGCCTACTTCCAATGCAGGCGATCCACCCGAAACCCAGTCCAGGAAGGGAAATCCACGACGAGACATCGTCCCTCAACCGGGCGTATTATACCAGTGCCGATGGAGGAACGCGGATGAGTCGCTCTGCGGAATGAAGCTGCAAGTTGTCAGCGAAGAGGGGAAGCCCCTGCGTAACGTTTGGACTGACCATCTCAAGTCTCACATTTCTCCTGATACTTCCAAAACGGACAAAATCGAATGTCGATGGAAAAATGCCGATGGAAGTGAATGCCCTGGGAAGTCTCAATTTGAACGTTGTGGTCGACACATCGTCGAAATACATTTCGGATTGGCAGATATCGAGTGCCAGAAATGTGGAAAATGGATCTCTGGGGGTATCACACGTGTGCGGGAACATGACAAACGTACGCACATCAAGAAACAACGCCTATAGCAAGCAGGCCGCCCTTCATCGCACTCGGTGACAGTCACAGGTTTTTGGTTTTTTTTTCTGTCTCATGTTGTTGGTCCCTCGTGTTTTCATCTCGCTGAAGCTACCGCTACGGTATATTACTTATGCTAATCTATTCAACTGCTACTGCCTCAACTCGTATCCTAGGTAATAGGGAGTAGTAGTCTGACAATAATAATAATATTCATTGATATACTATGGACTTTAATAAGACTTTCCTTTTAAGGGTTCTGAATCACCGGCTAATATCTTTCGACCAGGAATCATTTGCACACTGCTTGGATCTACACACGCACTGATGTCTGCATGCCTCTAGAGCCCTTGAACAGTCTATGAGCCTCCTAAACCAAACTAGAAGTTGAACGTTTGAACTCCCGGTACTCATATAATTCCCTCATGCTGGTAGCCAGGCTTCCCCGCCGGATTACAATACCATTCGATCTTCTGACTACTTCCACGACCTCACATGTCAATCCTGGACTGTCTGTTTCCCTGCGATATCCAAACGTCCTTGACCTACGGACTTTCCATACTTCCCGATGCTGCCTTGTAGAAGAGTCCAAGAGTACGGGGAAGAGCATTGATATTGATACTCGTGGCAACATAGACCTTGAGAGTATCCTTCCGACGCTGTCTTCTATTATTCAAGATTCCCGTAAGTTCATACTCGCACTATGCTCTTGACGATGGATGTGAGTCATTTCTCACCTCTCAGATATTCCAGGTCCTGCCTCGCATGACTCAAGCCCAAATCATGCGGACGCCACATTGAACGACCAATCAAAAGGAGGCCCTCAAATACGAGAGTTCCCCCTTGGTGCAGACGACCCTGTAAAGGTACGAACTGTGCTGCATTAGGAATACTGTCTATCTCATACATTTGCACCGCAGAAAAAGCATGCCGCCTTCGCCGAGATTATAAAAAGATATAGAGCGGAAGTCGCGACTTTGGCTGCTACGGCCCAGCCCGACGACGAGGAGCTTCAAAACCTGAAGAGTAGTATTCGTGTACCATCTCAGTACCTGCCGATGAGAAGAAAGTTTTCTTTTCCTGCATTTCTCAGGTCAGAATCTAAGCTCTCTGCTAACTTGACCTTCTGTTGATGATGTCCCGCTGTGATTTTTCAATGATCCAGATATCTGAGTGTTCGATACCCAAAGAGCAAACAGGTTTCCGACTGGTGGCTCATCGAATCCGTTGAGTCGTGGTTAGCGCTGTCCTCACATGAAAGAGCAGTTAGTGCTTTCTTCTTTCGATCAATCCATATCCATAACATCAATTCTCTAGCGTTGGAAACCGCCCAGTAACTATAATGCTGCTCACACGTCGAGTAGCCAATCCGAAGCCAACAGTTCGTCTACATCTAACACGCCGGTGGAGGCTGGCACGGATGCGGACAACGCTGGCAAGGACGCGGACAAGGTGGACACTTGATCATGACTTCTCCGTTGTATGTAAGTAACTGTTGTCAGATCCTTTGAAAATACTGATATGATCGTGCCATTATCCTAGTATTGACATGACATGTAGAAGTTCGGGTTGCAGCAAGTGAGCATGTCCTCTGCTTCGCTTAAGCGCACAAATCTTACGTTGCTATAGCTTGCTACATAGGACGCATCCAGCGCAGTATTTCTCCAGTAGATAATCAATGACTCGGGTAATCAGTTCGAGTGGTGTTTTGAGGGCACGAACCGTTGAGGTGAGAGTAACTGGCAGAACTGCAGTCAAGATTCTTATATCAGTCATAAGCGACTAGTGGAAGACCCAATCATCTTGGGCACGCCCGAGGCTTGACAGGTTCAGGCGTAAGTCTAAATCAGCGTGCTTAAGGCTTCACAACATTGTAGCATGATATGCCTACTGTCCTGCGATAATATTCTATCTCGGGATGCGTATTTACCATAAAGATGGGGGAGCGGCGCGATCAATCATGGCGCTAAATGAGACCAAAAGTCCAAACTTCAGCTTCAGCCCTCAGGTTCTGGTTCGGGAAACTCTTAGAGTTTCTCACATGCTCTACCGCGACGATTCTGTAAGCTTAAGGTTTCAGTGTTTACTATCATCTACATGAAGATTCACCTTGCGATCCACTTACGTAGATAGAGAGTGTAATTTGTGGGTCAAGCTGCCGCGGGGTAAGTAAACTTCAAGCACATATCAACTGACATCCCGTTGCTAATCTTAGGGCAGGACAATGTAAAGCATAAGCACGTAAAGGCAATTGTTGCGATGCACTATCGCAATACATCGAAAAGCCTTGTCACTGTTGTTATGAAACACAAAGAGTCGAAGGTCTTCGTCATTCGTTAGTATTTTTGCTCAAATTTTCATTCGTTCAAACTTTTGCTTTTTCGCTTTTTGTTTTGTTCACCTTCAAAGGGACATATAATGCATCCTACGCTTTAGATGACGGACATAACCAGGTCTTCAATCCATACGCGTTCGGCTCCCTGGTGTAAGTCCAGATTTAGATTGAAAGGCCACGGGATACTGGGTCCGAAACCAGCTAATGCTTGATTCGATGGCGAACGATCAATTCGGCATTTGTAAAGTACAATCCCAAGTACGTCTTATATTATCAGACGAATTCATGCTATTGAGTACAGCTACAGACTTCGGCACCACTTTGCCTATCTACGATACTTATGTTCGAAGGGCCATCCTCGAGGATCTTTTGTAATGGGTGGCTCTCATCAATACATGTGCAAATCCGCGGGGCTCGCCAGCGCCTCAAGGCGGCCACACCAGACGTACTCTAACAGGACATTGCTAGACAGAACAATGTGCATTGTGACCGGGTCAAGTATTATTTCCTGCGCCTCTCGTTGTCAGGACTATACTCTTTCGTTTCCGGGCAACAAGGACGCTATCGACGAATCCACATTGCGGAGAACATGTGAAGGAAAGAACCCCCAATTGTGTGGACAAACAATGCAATGCCCTCGATCTCAATCGAGTATATCTCTGTGTCTGGCATGAGGCAGGTCTTTCAGCCTCAGATTCCGTTGACGCCATCTGGTCCCCTTAAATATGGTTCCTCGTACCTTTCGACGCTCTTCACCCTCACTTGGCCTTTCCACTCGTTTCCCTATTATTGTGTATCGCTCCAGTATCGTATCGCTCCCTTTTAACTTTTACGCGCATTTATGGACGCCCCACCCTTCGCCTACGGCCAAGGCTATCATGGTCACTTGGCGCAGCCTCACGCATATGGTTGGCCTCGGATGCTAACACGCATTGACACGAGTCCTCAGATCCCTACCGTCGTCTGTGACAACGGTACCTTTCCATTATCTGGTCTTACCACTCTGCAGGACCACACGGCCGGCACGTCTGGTCTTGAAGACTTTTTGCGCGACTGTCAACATGTACCTCGAACTTCGCTCTCGGGCAATATCCCTGTAGATGTTGATACGTCCTTCCCGTTCCCGGCTCTCGTACCGCAAGTTCAAGACGTCTTTCAGAGCTCCAACACGTATAGTTCTACTGCGGCTCGAGCCCGCGGCTCTTCCCCGTTCTCTCAATCCTGCCACACTGTCTTGGCCAACGATGAAACAGAATTTGCGGATTGGTATGCATATCTGGAAACCGACCAGTCATGTGCAACGCGTGCTGAGCCCCGGATGTTGGCCGACTGGCACATTCCATGTATCGCCACTACTAGTAAGGACATGTCTGCACCTCCCCCAGGTCTCGAAAACGCCATAGTGCCCGCCCGCACTCAACAGCAACTTATCACGCACAACGTCAGCAACCTCTCGTCCGTGTCGCACATGATGCAACCACATGTGTATGTCTCTAAGGTTCACTTAACAGTCATAGTATCCACTTATCTTTCTCTAGGAATGCCGAATCTCAATCTCCTTTTCCGCTACCGCCTATGCAGACTTTTTCTCAGATCTCGTCACATGCTCACTCAGTTACAAATCCTTCCTTACAGACACCCAACTTTCAGTCTACTACTCCGTGGAAGGATGAGCCTGCTGTCAGATCGAACACCCCATCTTCCACTTCACACCAGCCAGGACCCTCGACTGAGTGAGTGTTTTACGTTCCTTCTCAGTTCGCGATCGATATACTCACCTTACGTCGTCCCTAGACCTCATGAAGAACAAATTCACCAAGTTGTATCCACTCGTCCTACCCAGCAGGCTGCTAAGACCGCTAGCCGACCAGGCAGGAAGAAGAAGAGACAACTCCTCCAACGACCCGATCCAAATGCCCTCCACCTCTACGATCCTCTCGACCGCCGCACTTGGCACCTTCCAGATGCCAGACTTGGCCAGTGTAAGAAGATATCGAAGGTCCTGACAAAGACTGGCAAGCGGAAGAGGACCAACGTATTCAAACTGAACCCAAGGCTTGATCCATCAAAGCTGATATTTCCACAGGGTACTCCGCTCTACCGATGCCAATGGGGAGGCAACTGCACCTTGGAGCTACCACCCATCCTGATCCTCTGGACGAGGCACTTGATTGAGCATACCGGAAAATCTACAGACACGATCCAATGTGAGTGGGGAGGTCAATGCGGGGCCGCAGTTGCAAGTATGCATTCAAGACACGTCTTCACTCGCCACCTCTATGAGGTGCCTGGGTTCAAAGACAATGAGACGTGGTATATGAGCCACTTTCCTGATGCTCTTTAGACCCTTTCTTTCTTTTCAATCTTCGCAGGCATGGACTGATGGATTTTTCTTCTCGTGTTGTGGCCGATACTTCTTCCTTATCTCCATTGGAACTAGCATGTAGCTTGCCCTGTTCCAATTAATTCACTTTCTGTCCCTGAGGTCGCGAATTAAAGTAAGTGAACTGTGACTCATGTCTGCGGAACGCAACATGACACCGCTATGTGTGTTGGTACCTCTGCCCAAGCCTCGCGAATAAGAAGACTGCGGTTGAGCAATCGACGGCAATTGGGACTGCAATAGTAGTACAGGCTTAGGTACCGGAGAGATACACGTTGTAAGCAGTGATACACAACTACCAAACACGATAAAACTACACACTCCACGTGCGTGATATCAGTTGGTTCAGTCATTTCACGATGGGATTGACGCCTCTCGCTGCAAGGTAGTCCTTTGCTGCGGTCGCACTCTGCAGCAAGCGGATCAGTTATACAAAGTGATATCAACCCAGACAAGACTATGGAAACGTACCAGACCCTTGATCAACTCATATATACTTTTGTCATGATATCGAAGACCGGTGGCAGGATCTGTGTAAGGGCCCTGACAAATGTGTTTGTAACGTGTAAATGAGATAATTCGCAGAGAGCTTACCTCGAGACCAGTGATATCACAATATCGACCAGGAGGGAGTACAGATGGTGGAGCCTCAATGGATGAATCTGATGGTTATCAGTAAATACTCAATACTCACCAACAGATGAAACGCGAACAGGTAGGCAGATCATCCGCTGGGTTCTGTTCTGGCGCCTGACCATCTGTATCCATGTTCCCTTCTTTCTCCAGTCGTATTCTCTCCCTTTCTGCTCGTTCCCTCTCGCGCTCTTGGGTTAGCACAGTCTTCAGGTTCTTCGTTCTCCTATTGACATTCTTAGTATAATGGGGATTCTTGAAAGGGCGCGGCTGGTGCAGATATGAGAACTGTTCTGCTAAGGTCTATTATACTGTCAGCATGTTTGGTGGTCCTCCCACGACCGAGCTCGGTAGACCAACCGGCGTAGAGGCTGCTGAGCCATCATCGTTTGCAGCTAAGCGTCTCTTGGTGGATCCTTTCGGCGGCCTGCTGAACATACCATGCTGAGCAGTGAGTTCTTTGGAGGCAAATAATTAACCCACATTGTAGTTCATGGAGAGCGAGATACTTTCGATATGTCACGCTACGCGGAGAGCATCTGTGACCAACATCCTCAAATGGTAGTACCCAGCAGTCACATAGGTTCGACAACTTTAGGAATTCTGATCTCACTTGGTTTCAATCAACCCGGTACTTTGCTCTGACGTTGCATATTCTTGTCAACTTACTTACTGTACTGCGAACGACAATCCTGGTCTACGTCTAAAACTCTACATGTGATGGAACTCTGTTGCTCCCGTTTACGACTTGAAATGCATGTTTATCGGCTCCGAGGCGGCGGTCGCATACAAGCGCGACGCGCGCTCAGGCTGTACACCTAGTTCATCTCTCAAGTTCCCATCTTTTACAGTTTTTCCTCTTTGCGAGCTTCCACGACAACGTTCAGTAGCATGACAGCCTTCTATTAGCACCCACAGGCAGCTTCACTCTCCAGAAGACGCCACTGCAGGGCCATCGAAGCCGGTGAACGCGCTGTGAGTCATATTGCCAAACTCAAGCCAAACCATTTTGATCGGAGCGGGACGAAGAATGGCGCCGAAGGATAACACCGATAACACGTCCAAGCTTGACTGGAGAGTCAATGCGTTGAATGCAACGACCGCATTCCTTGTCCTGAAGAACACCCATGACAACAACAACGTGCCTCATTCCTATCAGCTCGGAAGCAACCGCTAGGCATCTGTCTGGCTGAAACGTAGACATCTGGGTTCACTGCTAAACTGGGACGTGTTGTTGTTGTACGTCAATAGCTGCCGTGTCCGGCTTCGCTCCGACCGTCCGACTACTACTGGGCGGTCCTACTGGTGTCGATGTCCACTTGGTTTTACCCCCGCCAGCTGTATAGTCGTAGGACACTCTGGAAACAGCACGATGCATCGACAGCTTGTGAGCAGGCGGTTCGAAACTGGCATCATACGTCGCCAACAGCAAAGTACGACAGACTAACCTTCTGAAGCCACCGCGGCATTTAAGCCAGCGCCCTTTCGTAAGATCTTCGTGTATCAAATACAGTGTTTAGACGCGTGGGTATATATTTCGTTGCCTGGTATTCGAAATCGCCCTTGGTGCATCATGGCCAGCCCCTCCGAACCTGCCTTGCCTCCTGCTCCGAATCCTCTTACACCTTTGGCATGGCTTCCACCAGATATTGCCTATCAGTATGAGATTCAGAGGCATCTTACAGCTTATGTGGTTGGGGTAAGCGTGCGATATCAGTACATCCCCTTCTTCATTAATTTCGTGATTCACTGAGTGTAGGCCTGGCTCTGGGATGTCCTTAATAGTCTATCGGATGACGTGCACATGTTCAGGCGACATAAGACAAGACCCACGGATATTGCTTATGTTCTGTCTAGGTGAGTTGGGTATATCGAGTGATACTTAACAAACGTTGAACGTAGATAAATGATAGGCTCTTGACTTGCGGTTTCATCATGAGCACGTTCATTTTCATAAGTGGGTCCGTGTTGCCTTTCCTAAGAAATATGTTCGCTCACTCTGTTTCAGTTGCACCTCTCAACGACTGTCAAGCGGCCATACAAGCTGTCAGCTGGTTTGCAGCTTTCGCGTGCCCATGCAACTCGTTCTTGATCTTCGTCAGAGCAAGAGGAGTCTTCTACCGAAACAAAATAATCGCCTGGGGGTTCTTCGCCCTTTGGCTCACCACCTTCGCTTCCCTTACCACTCCTTTTTCCTACGATGCTGTCCACCTCGGACCCACAAAAGCGTGCATTAACGACGTCGTTAAACGATTCAGTGCAGCGAGTTTCGTTGCCATTGCTGCTTTCGATACCACGGTCTTCATCGCCATTTCACTGAAGGTCTCGTCTTATGGCATGACTGAGGGGTGGAAGGGTCGTCTCAAGTCGATCTTCACTGGCAAAGGTGTCGGATATGTCTCCAAGGCTCTGCTGCAAACTGGCCAGCTTTACTACATGTACGTGTATGCCTACACTCTAAGACATGTATACGCTCATGTCGTACCTTTATTCAGGGCGACTGTCGGCCTTAACCTCATAGCCATGGTTCTTCTTCTGACACCGTCGTTGTCCTTGGTATACCAAGGAATGTTCACTGTTCCGAACGTCGCTCTCCAAAACGCCATGGCTTGCCGAGTCTATCGTCTTCTCAAACTCGGCATCATCCAGGAGAATCCCCATGCCCCTATTCATTCCAACAGTGGGAATCAACCTTCCGCCGTTCAATTTCCTGCAACCAGAAGTGCTATTAATGACACCGTGCAAGATCCGGATGATATTGGTTTAGCTAGCTTCACCAAAAGGTACACCCAAGGTCCAATCCGGATTAACATCAGCGAGGAAACGACTACGGATGCGAAGGATAGGGATTCAGTGGCTTTCGCTGGTGTTTAGATTTGATTTACGTGATGGGAGAGGCAGTATTAGACGTATGTAAGGAGGCGGCTAACGTACGTTTCGTGTACAGATACCCAAGCCTGTCCTCACCTCCATTCGTTACGAGTCCCAATTTTATGTTATATAGGTGTTTGTAATTTTGTTACACAGTTACAGTACGAGTAGAACTACGGTACCGCAGTGGACTGTGTACATTACATGAACTTGCGGCGACTTGAACATGTAAAGAAGTTCTTTCGTGACGACGTGATATTTCCATTTCGAGCTGCTCGTCACACACACATCCTCTGGACGTGACACGTTCTTGAAGGATCATTTGGCACTATTGCTCTAAACGTTCCTCTACCTTTCCCCCATGCTCAGATGAAATGAAAGCCGTTCTATTTCTATTCGCACTCGTCTGCACTCTCTGGCAGTGTGTGCATGCACAAATACCTTCCGAACAGGAACAACACGTTACCTCGTTCTTTAACAGCCATGGAGGCTCGACATCTCGCCACACAAATAATTGGGCGGTTCTAGTCTGTTCTTCCAGATACTGGTTCAATTATCGGGTTCGTAAGCTTTACATTGCTCATAGAGTCAATAAAGAATAATGTGGTATCCTTTGTTCAGCATATGGCTAATGCCCTCGGCATGTGCGTCCAGATCTCAACGTGTCCTCTTCATGGTTCCTCAGCCAACGCCCCGCACCTGACTTAGGTACCGAACAGTGAAACGGCTCGGAATTCCAGACTCGAATATCATCCTCATGCTTGCAGATGACACAGCATGTAACTCACGTAACAAGTTCCCCGGCTGTGTTTATGCGAGTGCTGCTCGAGATCTCGACCTGTATGGCGACAACATCGAAGTAGATTATCGCGGGTATGAAGTGACAGTTGAGAATTTCATTCGGGTGCTTACTGGTGCGTATGCCGTTGTGAAGCTCGCCTGGCAATGTCCTTGACTTGGAATGTAGGACGCATGGACCCGAGTGTCCCGAGGTCGAAACGTCTATTGACAGATGATCGCTCGAATGTGTTTGTCTATATGACAGGTCATGGAGGGAACGAGTTCTTGAAGTTCCAGGATAATGAAGAGATCAGTGCATTCGACATCGCAGACGCTTTCGAGCAAATGTGGCAGAAGAAGCGGTAAGTCTGCATCAACTTTGCACCTTACAGTTACCATGACGTCCCACGTGTAATGAATTTAACAGGTATAATGAGATCTTCTTTATGATCGATACATGTCAGGCAAATACTATGTATTCCAAGTTCTATTCTCCAAACATCTTAGCGACAGGATCGTCAGAACTTGACGAGAATTCATATTCGGTGCGTGTGACCTTCTGTTGTTATGAATTAGGTATGTAATTGCTCATACTACCATACGCACTAAATCAGCACGAGAACGATCGTGACCTTGGTATCTCCGTCATCGATCGTTTCACGCACCACATTTTGCGATTCATGGAGGGCGTCAACAAAACCAGTCAAGCGACAATGCAGGACCTAGTATGTGCCCTTTCATTGTAGCCGTACTATGCCTCTGACTTTCATCTCTCTCCTCATAGTTCAACGTATATGACTACGAGAAGTTCATGTCCCACGCCGGCGTCCGTTCGGATCTGTTCAGGCGACCTCTTGACCAAACCTACATCACGGACTTTTTCGGCGGAGTGTCACAGGCAGAAGTCATGTCACCTCCATTGTCTCTGTCTCCCTCTAGCAACGAAGGATCTGAACCAGAGAATGTGCCCGAATCTGAGCTACCTGTCGAGCTCGATCAGTCGCTAGACTTCACTTCTTGGATTAGCTCAGACACAAACGCTACGGTGCGTAGCGCAGATGAGGTATACGGGTATGACGGTATTTTGCACGAACTAAACAGTCGGGCGCATGCACCAAAGCAAGGAGAGAACATGCAGAGTGTCAGGGCGTGGGTGTCGACTGGACTTCTAGTTGCTCTTGTAGGATGGGTTGGGAGTAATACTACATAGGTTAAGAGTTTATTTCCATAGGCTCACGTAATTTATCCTGTGTATATGGACTCTACTACATACTAGTACTAGACATCAGTTTTGGCACCTAGACACGAACAAGAGATGGCCTTGTATATCCTGAACGTGCACACTTGCCAAATACAGACGGGATCGAAGTCGATCGCAGTTCGCAAAGCGCTCTGTTATTTTCCCCGAACATTATTGCCTTGTTCTTCACTCCTAAGGCCTCGCGATAAACGGAATTCACCCACTTCACTAGCAATGGACAGCCTGATAGCAAAGGCAGATTCCCTTCGACCGGTTTCGAAACGTCGAAAACTCGATAATGGCTCTAGTTCCAAACCAAAACCTTCAGGCTCAGACGACCACACACTTCACTCAATTAACCAGCACACCGCTGTTCCCAAATCGCTCCGTCCGACCTCCCCGCCACCAGAAAATGCCAAGTCATATTCACACATTCAAAACCCCAAGCTGCGGCAAAAGCTGACCAGGGAAAGCGCACACGCAGCACGAGCGAAAGCTTTAGTCCAAGATGCCGAATTATTACTTCAGGAAGATGCTGGTGGAATGCAGGTGGAGGGTGAGATGGAGAAAACGTGGAGAGTAGGTCAGGATGAAGTTGTGAAAGCTTCGGGACAAGAGGCTGCGAAAGGGAGGAAGGAGTGGACATTAGATGGTGGGCCGTACCGATCGAGGTATACGAGGAACGGGAGACATCTTGCTGTTGTGGGCAAGAAAGGTCATGTCGCTACGTTTGACTGGCAAACAGGGACATTGCACTCCGAGTTGCAGCTGCAAGAGACATGCCGCGATATAACGTGCGTGACTTCCTTTCCTTGAAGAGTTCTACACTCACGTTCGTTCGGGATAGGTTCTTGCATGACCACTCGCACTATGCGGTGGCACAAAAGAAATATGTCTTCATCTACGACCGAGACGGTGTGGAACTGCATCGCCTCAAATCACACATAGAACCAACACGCCTAGAGTTCCTTCCATACCATTGGTTACTAGCTAGTGTCGTAAGCACCTATTTCATCTGCTCGTCAAATCAGTGACTTACGCCAGATTTCTCTTGCACAGGGTAACACAGGATACCTCAAATATCAAGATACCTCAACCGGCCAACTCGTAGTCGAACACCGCACAAAACTTGGTGCATGTACAACCATGGCCCAAAATCATCACAACGCTGTCATTCACCTCGGACATCAAAACGGTACTGTTACCCTCTGGACGCCCAACCTGCCCCACCCTGCTGTCCAGCTTCTAGCTCACTTAGGACCTGTGGTCGGGTTGAGCGTCGACCCAAGTACGGGTGGACGATATATGGCCACAAGTGGTCAAGACGGGTTGGTAAAAGTATGGGATTGTAGGAATTGGAAGGGTGCGGTGAGGACTTGGCAGGCGAGAGGTGGGGTTGGGGAGGTTGAGTGGAGTCAGAGAGGTGCATTGGCTGTCGCCAGCGGTGGAAGCGTTAACGTCAGTTTTCGCATTTATTCTCAACTCTCGTTAGACTCATGTTTTTTCTGTTTGTGAAGGTCTACACCAAACCATCTATCCAAACACCATTTGCCCCCGTAACACCACCACCTCTTTACCTGACCCATCCGATCCCCCATCGACCACTCACCTCCCTTCGATTCTGTCCCTTCAACGATATCCTTACCATTGGTCATAATGCTGGGCTGTCGAGTATCCTCGTACCAGGGTCTGGAGAACCCAACTTTGACAGTAGTGAAGCGGATCCGTTCGAGAACAAGAAACAGAGGAGGGAGAGGGAGGTTAAGAGTCTTTTGGACAAGGTCTGTCTTTCTCTTTCATCTAAAACATTCGTTCATAATTCTGACACTGCTATTTGCTTTATGTCTTATAGATTCAACCGGACATGATTTCCGTTGACCCAGACTTTGTTGGTTCTCTCGCCCCCGAACCCAAGCTCTCTACTGCGGTGACCGAAAACGCAAAGAACGAGATTCCCTTCGCGCGTCTTCCCAGATACGAGAGGTTACGTGTACAGGGTAAGGCTGACGAGACTGAGATGATGAGTGCGGATGAAGCGGAAAATGCTGAAGGTGATGATGATGAGAAGAAGACCAAGGGGAAGGAGGAGAAGGAGAAGAGAAAGATGCGGGGAAAGAACAAGAGTTTGAAACGGTATGTTCTTTTTTCGTTCTCTCCGTGTTCAAATGAGACGATTGACGTTTCGGAATAATAGGTACTTGCGGAAACAGCGCAAGAACGTCATCGACCCCCGCGCCGTGGCAGTTCGCGAGAAGCTCGCTAAACAACGAGAGGAGCGGGAGAAGAGAAGGAAGGCGGAGGCTCAGGGTGGAGAGGGCGAGAGGAAGCCGAGCGCATTGGATAGGTTTAAGCGGGCTTCGTAGGTGCTGGTAGACTTCTAGGCCGATCCTCACATATGTTTCACTTCGTATGCTATCACAATTTTAGGTGCTACATTCCACTAGCAACGGATGAAACTGTTCATGATGTTCAGGTAACCATCTTACGGTCGGCATAACCATATTCGAGACTAAGCATACGAACTGGCTCTCGATTCAAAAGGACGACAATACACTACGAGCTATAAATACAAATGGAGATACGGATACATAACAATCAAGCATAAAAATACAGTTCGAATCAATTTCGTCCCCATCCACAATCGAATGACAACCAAAATGCCCTACGGCGTATGGAACATTCAACAATCAATTTTAAGCATATTCAGTGTCATTCAAGGTCTCCAAGGTCATCATACCCAGGCATCCCACTCCCCATGATCGTATTTCGATGAGCTTGTCCCTGCAACACTCGATCGAGCCGCTTCACGACCTCTGCCCAAGCGCAACACATCCCCGCAAGACCTTCATAAAGGCTATAAGGCCTATCCGGGACCCTCATATCGCCCCTCTGAGTCAAAGTCTCGTACGAAAGGGCGAGTTGGGAGAGATGAATGGCGTAGAAGAAGTACTGATCAATAACGACGGCGTGTTGACCTTGAGTACTTGGTGTAGGGCCTGGGGAAATGGGGGAAGAGAGCGCATCCGAGACAGCGAGTAGGGCAAATACGCTCCCTGCAACCCCGTGACAAAGTCCGACACCTTTACGAAGGAGGCCATGTGTATAGACGAGATCACCTCCGGAAGCTAGAGCTTTGCGAGCCGATGATACAAGTGTTTCTGGTACACCTAATGATCGGTGCGTTGACGAACTGGTTGTGGCGGATGTTGACTGTGAAGAGAACTTGCGTAGGAGGGTGGAGAGGAGGATGAGCGTCCCTGTAGCACCATGACACCATCTACGAATACCGTTCCAAGGATAAAATAATTTCAGAGATACGTTTACCAAAGACTGTGTGAATGTGTGACGCACTGAATTAGCTGATCTCTCTCGTCCTCTTCAACTTTCTTAAACATATGTCTCCCAGCTTTACTCGGCCAATTTCCAGATGGTAGCTGAATATCAACCAACCACGAAATAGTCCTCACGATCATGTCCCAATGGTCGACCAAAAGGTGTTTTGGTGCCGAGATAAGCATCTGTAGTATTCCAGCTAAGAAGAGCACATCATCAGTAAATGATTGAACGAGGAACCAGACTGACGACGTACCGACGCCATGAGCCCCGCCCAAGTATCGTTTTCCGTGCCAACTCCACATGAGTGGCGGCGCAAGCCTACGTTCATCGGAATGCAACTCCTCAGCATAGGACCCTGCACCTTCTATCCCTCTTGCGACAATATCATCCACGAGGGACCTGATACTCGCATCGGCGGAGACCGCCAAGATCGCCTCGACTACAGGTTGCGCCAGTTGCTCCTTACTCAACGCCAACTTTCCGACTTCATCCCTCAGTCTCAAAAGCGCATAAAGCAACCCTGCGCGGCCATATAGGACTTCACAGCCATCTCCCAGAGCATCCAGTTCCTCATTAATTGCGAAGTATAGTGCATCTGTGACTAACCCAATGCAAGGTTCCCATGTCTCGCTTTTGATTTCACCCCTCCCCGAATGGACGTTCCGTAATTGTTGTATAAGCATCAACGTGGCAGGTCCTACGCTCGTCTCAAGGAAAGACGTTTGTGCACCGGAATGGGTAGGTGAGATAGACATGGAGAATGCTAGTGACGATGGTGGTTTCATTGAGATGTCGGGTAAGGAGGAGACGACCCAGTCCATTAGGATTGTACCTATCAATCAACTTAAGTTGGCGTTTCGGACGGGAAGAGAATGGTGTCGGACGGGAAGAGAATGGTGGAATGCGGCGACATACCTGCGCTGCCGATGTAGACACCTGCTCTTGAGGACGGATGTCGGTGCACTCGTCGGACGCTCGAGTCTAATGCGTCCACGGTAGCATTTCGGGTGGCTCGAATGTCAAAGTCGTTAGGGTCCGCGGGTGTGAATGGAATGTAACGACTGCTCTCAGCCATCTGGGACTACTGTAATATCAAAGGATGGTAACTGTCAGTAATTCTTCAAAGTTTGACGTTAAAAGACGAGAAAGCGTCGCTATTCCTGTTAGTACTTGTAGACGTGTAAGTAGAAAGCTGAGTGGCGAACCCTATCATTCCTGAGCTATTATCAGAACAGTGACGTCAGAGAGCCCAAATAGCGAAATTGAATATAAATTTCGTTATGAAAAACGGAACGACCCAGGTCCAATATTGCTGGAAGACATTGGAGAGAATGGAATTTAGATTTGATGCAGATGTTTCGAGTAGAACATGGAACCATTGAGAGTCCAGGCGATTCATGGAAGCATGTAAAGTAAACACTACAGCATGCGCACAGAAACAGAAGGCCCGAGTTCAGAAACAATGGAAGTCTCCTTCGTAATATAGTGATCAGATCCAGCTTATCCGTAAATTCGTTCCTCACGCATTGCACAAGGAATAGCACTAGACTCAGTGTTCCTGGTTATCTGAAGAGTTGATCAATACGATAACTTTGCAGCAGCCATTTGAAACGATACGCCTGGAGTCCGAAGAACCATAAAAGAAGGAATCAACCTCAGACGGTATGGTGGAATCAGGCTCACATACCGCCGTCAAAAGCACTTTGGTAAGCCCAAGTACCTTGCTTGCTACGGACTACGAAAAATGGCGTAGTACACCTCTGTTGGTCTACCCAGGACTGAAAGATATTTCTGGGTACGCCAACAAAGATAGTCTTCGACCATTTGGAAGCATACACCCTGTCAGCAACGATCAAAGGAATCTCGCTGTATAGAACGAACAACATTCATACGGGTTTCAGGAGCACCGAAGTTTGCTACCTTGAGGGTGCGAGATCAGGGTAAGTGCATAGGCTCAGGAAGGTTTAGAAACTCACCTGTTGCCATGATCCTTTCTGCATCGATGATACGACCCCAAGTAAGAGCTTGGGGATCTTGAAGCTCTTCCTGTTCGACCGCATGTTCCAGGCGTCATGGTGACGTGGATCCGTTCTCCGGCTTGCATGTTCTGTGACTTATGTATATACATAGCCGGCTTTATTTAGCGCATATCAGTAAGCATGAACGACCTTCTGTGATACAAGTACTGCCAGAGTTGTCAGTATTAATAGCCCCGTCCTGATCGTCGTTGAACGTTGATGCAGATGCACGGACTGAGTTCAAACGTGCAACTTGGCGTCAAGTCATCCAGAAACTTGAAGTAAACCGTCGAAGTCACACTAATGTGATGTACTATAGTTTCAACGTTGCCCTCAAGCTTTATCAGGGTGGGCTAAGATACTTACTAGAGTAACGCAGTCGCACAAGAGAAACGGCGGTGTTCGTGGCGATGCCCTCGATGGACAACTCAAGAGCGACAAGAGGGACAAGCGAGCAAAGTGCGGCCAAGCATTTAGGATATATCGCTCATATCCGGTAGGCTGTTGTTGAGTCTGAGAGTGATCGACGGGCATGTCAAGACCGTGGCCAGACACGTCCGCTTGGAAACAATCAAGGCAGCCTTGAGCTTCCGAGGGCTAAGGCGCTCCGACACTTGGAAGAAACTATACACTAGAAAACGTCCCGGTCATTCAAGTTGGCGAGCTTTGCGAGTTTCTACGACGACCTTATAACCCCATAATGAGAGCCCGAGGCCCTCCGACTTCTGCACCTCGAGGTTCGTTTGCATTACAAGTGCAAGGTTCATCGATCGCGCAGCTCGCAGTTGCTATGATGAAGGTAAAAATAGTGCGCCGCGCCGGAGCCGTTAGGAAGAATGAAATAAGGAGAACAAGACATAAGACGACTTGGCCAACATTTGGGCAGTAAATTGGACGTCATTAATTAGGAGAATCGTAAAATGAAGGTGGTATGAACACAGAAGAAGCAAGGGAGGCTGGAGATAGCTCGAAAGACCCAGAGTCATCTTGGGCAGGCCAGACAGCAAACGGGGGGATGGCAGAAAAGGCTCGCCGAGTCGAGCCGACGCGCCTAAGGAGGGGCGCTGGTCATTACATAAGCTGAGAATAGGCGTGCAGGGTAAGCGGGGATGGAAAGAGGCTCAAATAGGCTAGCTAGGCCTGCCACGAACATCCCACTGTCTTCATCCTCCTTGTCCTCCTCCATTCTCAAAAGCCTCCGCCAGCTGCCAAACGGTCCTTCACTCTCCTTTCATTTACTACCATCATCTCTAGGACCTTGGCTCCGTAATCTTCACCAGTACTTTCCGTCTAATCCTTGCGTCTCTTCTACCATCGCAACCAACCCGACCCACGACCACTTTTACGATGCTTAACCGCCAGCTATCATTGCTGGCGTTGGGTCTTGCTGCGGCCACTCCAGCAGTCCTCTCGCAAAAGCCAGGCTCTTTCGAGGATGGAGGTGATACCCTAGTCAGCGCCATGATGGTACACTCTTTTGTTTTCGTGCTCGCTTCAACCATGTACTAACAATAGCCTACAGTTGCTTCTCGGTAACGACGAGAAGGTTTACATCCTCGACAAATCTGAAGGCAACCCCGCACAGATCAACGGCCATCCTGCCATGGGTGCCGTCTACGACATTGCCACGCGCAAAGCTCAGGTCATGGATGTCACTTCAAACGTTTTCTGCGCATCTGGAATGCATCTGCCAAACGGCTCTTTCATTACTCTCGGTGGTAACGGTGCCATTGGCCCCGGTGGTAACATTGGCAGCGTCCAAGCTGAAGGCGGTGGTTCCGGTCTCTTCGACGAGACGTACCAAGACTATGACGGCACCAGGGCAATCCGTATCCTGAACCCGTGTACGGGTGATGCTACGGGACCTGCCTGCGAGTGGTTTGACGACGCCAATGTCCTTGCCATGCAGAAGCACAGGTGGTACTCTACCGCCGAGCCTCTAGGCGATGGTTCCATCGCGATCATTGGTGGTTTTACCAACGGTGGTTACGTCAACAGGAACTACCCAAACCTTGATCCTGCTTACGAGGGTGGCGCAGCTGAGCCTACGTTCGAGTTCTTCCCGAGCAGGGGTGAAGCACAGGTCATGCAGTTCATCGTCGACACCTCCGGTCTCAATGCTTATCCCCATACCTACACCCTGCCATCTGGCAAGCTGTTCCTTCAGGCCAACATCTCATCGAGTATGTATCCATGTTGCGGGCCATTCTTGACCACCACTGACCTAGTGTTTTCCAGTGATTTGGGATCCGGACACCAACAGCGAGAACCGTCTCCCTAACATGCCCGAGAACATCGTTCGCGTGTACCCTGCTTCAGGTGCCGTAGCCATGCTTCCTCTGACGCCTGCAAACAACTGGACTCCCACCATTCTTTTCTGTGGTGGTTCCGATATGCCCGACTACGCCTGGGGTAACTACTCGTGGCCGTACATCAACACCTGGGAGTACCCAGCATCGGCCAAGTGTCACCGTATCACTCCCGAGCCCTCGGATAACTCGTCAGCCGACTACGAGGAAGATGATCCCATGCTTGAGACCCGTACCATGGGTCAATTCATCGCGCTTCCGGATGGAACTATGATGGTTGTCAATGGCGGTTTGAACGGTACCGCTGGCTACTCAACTCAGACTCTCATCACCACGTCCTACTCAGACATGCCTTACGGTATGTCGTTGGCGTCTGGTCCAGTCGGTACTCCTGGTATCTACGATCCTCGCAAGCCCAAGGGTCAACGGTGGTCGAACACAGGTCTTGATGCGTCCGAGATCCCTCGTCTCTATCACTCATCGGCTCTTCTCCTTCCTGATGCGTCCGTTCTTATTGCTGGTTCTAACCCCAATGTTGATGTCAACACTTCGACGATCTTCCCTACGACTTACAAGGCGGAGATTTTCTATCCTTCATACTTCAGTGCCAAGACTCGTCCTACGCCCCAGGGTGTCCCCAAGACAATCTCATACGGAGGCGACAAGTTCGACATCACCGTTCCAGCAGCGTCCTATTCTGGCGCGGCTAACGATGCTGCCGACAGCGCTGCGGTCATGCTGATGCGTCCCGGTTTCACCACTCATGCCATGAACATGGGTCAACGTTCGATGCAACTCAACAACACGTACACGGTCAACAGTGATGGTTCTCTCACTCTTCACGTCGCTCAGGCGCCTCCCAACTCGAACATCTTCCAACCTGGCCCCGCCTTGTTGTTCGTCACCATCAACGGTATCCCATCAAACGGAACCTATGTTATCGTCGGTAACGGTCAGATCGGTAAACAACCCACTGCAGCAGCATCAACTCTTCCAGCAAATGTCAGACTCGACAGTGTCAAAGGTACAGGTGAAGGTGGATCAAGTACAAGCAACACTACCAGCAACAACTCGAGCGGAGCGTCACATACAGGTCCAATTATTGGAGCAGTAGTGGGCGCGATCGCACTCGTGGGCATTCTTGGTGCGATATTTGGTATTTGTTTGGCCCGGCGGAGACGCGCCGCTCTACGCAATAGCCCTTCGTCGTCGTATCCTATGGGAGCGGCGCCGAATGCTGGCGGCGTAGGCGGGACATTGGCCCATTCCCGAGGCATGCGAAATTCTGACTCTAGTGCGTTTGTGCCATTGCAGCAGGATAATCCGAGTATGGCTTGGAATGCGAGTTCGCTAAGCGTCAACTCGCCGTACTTGGACCAGACCCCGGCTGGTGCACGAAGTGGTGGCCAGAGCGTTGAGTTTGATCCCTATTACCAGAACACGCCTCGGATGAGTACTGCTCACGGACAGCGATAATAAGTAGAAGGGGTGTTTTTATAATGACGGACTCGTAACTTTTTTCTCTTTTTCCCAGTCTCTCGTGTTTTCACCTGACTTTTCTCTTCTTTACACATCGAATTCTTGCTTACCTTCATCGTCACTTTTTGCTCCTGCGTCCTCACCCCTCATCACTTGCACGCATCATCTTTTATGTTCTTCCTCCTTTCATCTTCATTCCTTTAGCATAGTCGGTTTTCCTACTGCGTTGGTGTTGATCTCTGAACTTGGTTGGGATGCCGAGGGTGTGTATCTTACGATGAAACTTTTTGCTCGCAATACGGACGGCTCATCAGCAATTATCTACGCGTACAATATCCTTTCTCTCTGTCACTCTCTCGTCTTGGTCGCACGCCGCATCTCATTGTCGTTCGTTGATCAACTCCTCCTCATCGCTCACTCGTACGTGGTTCCTTCTATGTTTCTGGTGTCTCGTCCTGGTTCTGACTATTGACTCTTTACTTATGTTCTGTCTATTGATTTTACGTTTTGTTGGTTTCTCTACGTCTTTCTCTTGTGCATACTGCTTGCGGATGTACATATAGACTAGCACTCCCTCCTCTGACTGGTTTAGGACTATCCGTATACATAGTGACCTAGTCTATCGTATTTGCTACATTATCGATTCCCTTTGATTCATGGTTGTTTCGGACGATGGTTTGAAGTTTTCACTCAGATACATACTGAAGTCGTTTCTAACGGCTGTCAAGATTCGCAGCACACGAGAGCATGAAATTGTGAACGATAAAATTATTATGGTGGCGACGCAGCAACAAAAGCATTAAAATTATACGAGGGAGGTTTCGTATCAAACTTAAACCCAGCCGGTGAGAACGTCAACGCCGTAGTGGAATTCCGCGTAATCGTCACGTTCACACTACAATCCTCCTTCAACGCAAGTTTGAGCTTCGACAAACCAGCCGGGACGGAACTTGTTGACGTGCTTGCGCCACAGGCCTGAGTGACGTTTGCAGGTGCGGTCAGCAGGACGACTGTCCATAGGTAGTCTTCAGTCTAACACAAAGAAATTATGCGCTTCAGATATCGTGTATATAGAAGAAGAGAGAGGGGGAGCGGATAAAAATTGGGGAGTACGTACCCATTGATAGTTTGTAGGTTTTCCGATGCTATCCGGAGCTGTAGCGTTGACGGGGTAGAGACGAGCCCAAGTGAAGATACGGTCCTTGGTGATATCGGAATACGTCCCGCTCTTATAGGCCGAGATGTAGTACTTCATCAAGTCAAGCCATCCTGCAGGCCATTCACATTCGTAAGTTATAGGAAAGGAAGCAGACGAATAAAAAATGATTTGGTTACCTTGATGGTCGAAACCGTTGACCCATGCTTGAGACATAGGCTGGACACCTTCAACTGGACCGACGTAATGTGACTCGCCGTAGTCGTTCCAAGTCATGACTTCGGCAAAGGGGAATTGGGTACGATTTTGGATGAGAAGTTCCCAGCGTTGGGCGAATAGCCAATCGTCGGCTCTGTATATGAAGTTTTTGTTAAATGTCTGAGGGCTGTAATGCTAGAGAAGTATTCAGGTGGTATTCAGTTGACGATGACGAGCTTGCGATATCGAGACCAGAAACCAGAAATATCATCTTACAGTGAAGAACCAAGGTGAGACACCGGCCATGTAGGTACGGTTCCCGAGGTTGGAGAGGTAGGTTTGGTCAGACGAGAGGTTGATATCGTTGTTGCCCGCTGGCCAGGCGCCGTTCCACTATCAAACAACACAGAAATTAGACAGAAGTGACGCGAAAGAGGTAAGAAGGGTTACATTGAACGCGCCATCCATGACGGTAAGGGTTTTGAACGTAGCAGGGTCAACAAAGAACGAAGGGACGAAATAGACATTCGTCAAGTTGGTCTTTAAAGTATTGATCCATCCCTGATTAACACTGCTAGCACCGAACTTGCACGATTCGCCAGCGAACGTGGACGCAAATACAGAGTTATTGTATAGCAGCTGATTCGGATGAGAAGCGTAGGTGGTGATGTAGTTTCGGACAGTCGAGGCGTCGTTAGCAGAAGCACAGGGGATCGAGGACATGTCAAACGAGAAGAAGAGTTTGAATGTCGTATTGAGATTCTTCGCTGCAGAGTAGGCATTCGCGACTTGACCAGGCATCCAAGAATCACCACCGATGTTGAGAGCGAATGCATCGATACCCTTCGATGCGGCGAGGACGATGTCTAGCAACGTGTCAGCCACAATACAGAACGTTCAAGCTACGTATACACTCACCATTCTTCCACGTTTCAACAGTGTAGTTGAACGTATTGCCAACGATATGATGTGCAAATACCAAATTCCCGGTGGCCGTCGTTGTATTTGTCACATTGTTTACTAGTACAACGACATTAGGCAACGAACCATTCACCAAAGCTGACGGGTCTACGACTTGGACAATCGGTCCCAGAATTTTATCCACAGCGGTGACTAGCTGTCCAAAGAAAGTATCCTGAGGGCGAGCATGGACGGAGATCGCAAGTACCGAAGAAAGCAGGAGAGCATCTCGGAGGCTAGGCATAGCAAATAGCATGAGAAATATGAAAGCACTTGCCAGAAGTACGAAGAGCAATGCTAGTAACGGTAGAAAGCAGGGAGCGGGTGAGGAACCCAGTATTAGCTGAACCACCTCTAAGACGGAGAGGCTGACGAAAAGTCATCATATATACCAGACAGAATTGAAATCTTCGGATATGCGTCATAACGACGTCCCACGCGATTTGAATATTCTGGACCTGCAGGTAAAGAGGATGCATTGAATCGTACGAATACGGACGACAGGATGATACCGGTAGTTTCGGGAAATGACTACAAAGTCAAGGACTTGTGCATGCAGCACGGAAACAAACTCGTCTACTCTATATCTCCCGTGACCATTGGATTTGATTATATCGTTCGTGTCGGGTGGAGCTGGTAGAGTCGTACGAAATTCGGCCGGCCAGGGCTTGTAGAGAAAAAGTATTAGATATCTGGATGTTCGAGATACTGCAGAACACGATGCAGATTGAAGCATTTATAGAGTTTTCTAGGTATTCCATGGGCAAAGTGAAGGGGTTACAACGATGCGCAAAGACGTTGTGAAGGTCTGGTGGTGGTGGAAGCAGAGATGCATGAGCGCCGGGACGCTTTCGTTCAAACTCTTTCAAGCGTTCTACCATTATCCACGCGTCGATAACCTTGGCCTCCGTCGACGTTCCGCGACTGGCATGGGACCACGTCTTGTCGTCTGCACCATTTGGTTTTGGCTATGCCGGACATCCGAAGAGTCAGCACGAGAGCAAAGACCAGCAAAGCCGTTCGGCGATTCGAGACATACCCATGCTTTACCCATGCTTGACCTCCCCTGCTTTCCGAATCCAGCTCGACCTTCGTGAGATTCGAGAGATGGCTTCGGGGACTGTTGACCCACATAAGATTGGCTTGAGATTGCGCTCAAGCCAATCTTACGTGGTCAACTCCTTCCCTTCAGTGTCTCTGTCCTTGAACGTGCTCGAGTTTGGATTCGTCTGTAAGCCGTCCTTTCTGTTGGCAAGACACCGACTTTAATTCTTCAGCATGCTAGATCTCGACATCTATAGCCCGCATTTGTTCTCAAATCTTGCTGCGACACTGTGACGAGGTATAACATGACTTTGGAGTCCATCCATACCCGCTCGTACGCTGCGGTCGCTCGTGAATGTTGTTGACTTCAACCATTCCCTTGTCCTTCCTATACAATGGAGTATCTCATTCAGTTTCTGATTGTCATTGATGCATTGGCATCACTCACTTGCATAGGGTATCTGTGCAACCTGCATACTCCTCTGCTTCTCATGACATTCTGTCTTCCCTTGTAAGTTCTCTCATTTATTCAGGATGTTATTGGACATATCTCACCTAAACTCTCAGAATGGAGCTTCACTCCTCTGAGTATCATTGCAGCTGTTGAATCTTTGTCTGCCTCATCCACTGGTAAGCACTGGACCTGAACCTTTGGTGATTCACTCACAGACTAGCCTTAGACAGATGACTTACCCAACAATATGTGGGTCTACCAGCATTTATTCAATGCCATTGCAACATTGAATAAATGATGGTGGTATCTCCTAGGGAACTCTGTGACCTATGGCAGTACCAATAGTCAGTAATTGTCAATGGTTCTCACGCTCTAGACTCATGGGCAACATTCAGATGGCATATATCATTGCTTTCGGGCAAGCGACATCGATGTTATGGACGCACATAACGATCGTTCACAAGCTGCTATGATACGTTCGGTATGTCATGCCGGCGGACACCATTAGGGCGCATGAGTGACGGTTCTGAAGCTCAGACGTAGGACAGGTATCCACGAGAAAGAAGGGGTGTATTCGACGAGCAGGGGATGGAGATACATGAAAAGAACAGACGTCGACGCATCTCTGTGCTTTGCGTAGCCCCGTACATGCACTAAACCGTCATTCTGGAAATAACATGATCATCTATTCAATGAGTTCTTGTCAGACGAAAGAGCGCGTCGACGAAGAAGTAAGTACTGCACGAACCTTTGAGTATTGTCATCTAGAGTCACTCTGACGAGGCAAGTCTCCAACGCCTTCATCTCCTAGGTACGCACAACCCTGTTGTCGATTACAGTAAGTGTTCCTGTCCTTTGACGATGTCACCGCGCAGAACGATACCTTCTCTGGGGCCTTGGAACAATAGTCATATGTCGGGAGTTCTTTACCAACGCCTGACCGAAGGATGGCCAACGGCCTTCGGGCAGTCGGGCTCGCACACTCTTCGTTCAAGATAACCGTGAGCGGCGGCTTCCTCTTTGGTTGCGAGGCGTATGATCCGAATCTTTGGGGCGTTGGGCGGGACGTGGTCGGAGTCCATTGTCAGGTGTGAAGACGTGTGAGTAGGGTATCAAGAGGAATTCAGGGCGAGTTGTCGGGCTTAGTATTGTTCGACCGACAACGTTTGAGGCAGGGTGGGAGGCAAAAGATTGTAGGGGAAAGAATGTGGGGCCCTTCAGAGAGCAAAGGGATAGTAAATGGGGGGTGAGGACGATTCTACCTCTCGTCGCCTATCCTTCCAAGTCTTCACCCTTACGCCACACCTTCTCACCGTCACCATCACCTCGCGTCCTCCCCATCTTCACGTTGTAATTGCATATCCACATATTTCCGAACACGAGGACTGCGCAAAACTTCTTGGTAGAGTCCAATTCATCGGCCTCCGAAGAACGACGAACTTCTAGGATACTTGGATCCATTCCGATGGCAATTACGTCCAGACGCATGGGCCTTAGCGAAGGCACAAGGGTGTCAGGGGAACGAAAGAACAAGATCTCCGACGCCGATGCTATTATACAACAACAATTGACCAATGGGGGTCGAAAACCCTGGAACGAAGATTTCTTCTCTCGTTTACCGATTATCGTCCAAACCGTATTAGGACTCATCGTTCAGCGCCCCTCGGGTATGTATGATAATTTCATCACGATCCGCATGTCTCACTGTTCTGATTTCGGCACTTTTCAACCAGTCCAGGTCCTCGTCGACATCCGTCGACTGGGACCAACGCCTTACCGGAGGAGGAAGGTCAGAACCGTTCATTGGCTCGAGAATTGTAAGAATTGTAACAACTGTGGCATAAGGACATTCTTCTTAGTTCTCGGTCTGCGTTGTCTCAACTTCGACCAGCCATCTCCTTTACAAAGTCCTTTTGCGATGACCGTTTCGCGTTTCTTTGTGCAGCTTAAGCAGACCCTGCACTCGATCCTCAAGAGGCTTTGGACTCTGCCCCGCTCGCGGCAGGGACCTGCCTCACGGTTCCCTGACGTTAGACCATCTGTGAGTAGTCCGCCTTCGTTCGATTGGTGAGAGCTAATATTCTGTGATATTAGGAAGATTACATCAGAACGCCTCTAAAAGGGGACTACGAGGAGGGGTTCAGCCCCGAGTAAGTCCATCCATTGCCTGTAGGATACCTTATAGCCGTACTGAAATGTGTTGGTGCATGAAAAGATCGTGGTACGCCACCGGAGGCGGGTCTTTTGAGGACGCCAACGGCGTCATCAAGGCGTTGAGCTCGATCCAGTGAGTACAAAATGTCTCATGCTGAATTTCCGGGGGTTGAATGTACGCTTTACAGCCAACATTCGCATGTTGCTATTACTACTGAGTTCTCCTTCTCAACGGAAAATGACCAAGAAAACTCTGCGGTATTTGCGCCACCAAACACACCGCTTCCCTCGCCACTGATCTTCGCGGCTGTCGATCCATCCGACGAGCCTGTTGTCGTGACAGTGGTTTGACGTAGCATATTCCACGATAAAAAGTAGGACGGCCTCTCCGGTACCTCCTCATGTATCGTAATGTTTTCATTAGCTCAAGGATTGTCATGCAGTTGTTGAGACATCATTATTAAATGTTAAACGTTGAGCATTGGGCAGTGAATTTGGGTGTGTAAAATGTTTATCCGGGGGCGCTAGTGGACCCACAACTCTAGCGCTAGCCGCAGCGGTCGTTTGAGTCAATCACGCCGTCATCTGATGTGGCTTTGGAAAGCAGTATGAATACCCTACAATCTTATAACGTTACGACTGTTTATGCGTCAAAAGCCATAGCACACCTGTGTTAAGTACCGAACACAAAGAAGCATGGCAGTGAAGCACATGCTACTAGCATGAAATCTCATTCTAAGTGTGACCATCAGAAGTTCGCAAGGAAGTCATGAGGCAGTGGTACGTTTGCACCTCATCTGTCTTGGCTGGACCATGTCAGAACAACGGGCTCGTGTTGCAATCACATCTGCAGCGCGGCAGCCACCATGTTGTGTGTTCGTTTCCGATAGATGTTCCAATGACGGCAAGAAAACAAATATTCTGTTGACTCCATGGCGATCCTGATTGTTCAGGAGCTGAATGCTGACGTTTGAGCCCTGATTTTGGGATGCATAAAAGGGTATGAGTTGGTATGCGATCAACATAAACGGAATGTCTTCGACGACGACGCCGACACACCAAATGACTCTGGGGGAACTTGTTGAAGACCTTTCCAAAAGATATCATGATCACTTTCCTACGGAATCCAGAAGAAAATCCGATGTAAGTTGTTTATTATCCCGTCGTCACCATAATTTGAGATGCAAATTGTCGCCGGGTCAGACATTGGTACGCTGCACGACATGCCGGAAGCGGATACCATCCCGCAAAATGGGAAAACATATTCTATCAAAACATCCCCAGCAGAATGGTGAGTACGCTTCATTTTTTAAGAAGGTGATATTATGGGTAATATTCTGCACGATGACTCGGAGGAGCTGACCAGTGTCTTTCACAGAAAACCCAGCACCCTCGTCACAATCTCAATGACGGTGTCACGAATTTAGCTAACGGTTTCATTGTTGGGGGATTTCATTGCCGATGTTGACTACACCCTTGCTGTATTGTTTATTATTATTGTATCTCAATGTCCAGTGATATTGCAATAGCAAGCATCGATTAACCTCGAAAGTACACTAAAAAGTACAGTAGAGAGGAGGTGAATAGTGATCTGAAGAGTAAAGGTTCTCGAGAGTATAGGAAGCAGTGGTTCATATCGATATAGATAGTTCATTTTCGAGACTGTCGTGTCCGCTGCCGTTTGGGGGCAGGCTTGTAGTCATCATCATCTCCGTCGTCATCAGATGATTCATCCACCGCCCTCGCGCGTTTGCCTCCAACTCGACGTGCCGGCTTCCTAGGAGAGGGTTTCGTGTACTTAAGAGTAGAACCTTCACGATCGGTGTTCTCTTTTTCAGGACAAGTCTTATTAAAGTGTCGAGCGAGGCTGTCCTTCCTCGCGAACGGTCTGTCGCAATATGGACAGGTGAGAAACGTCTCAAAATGAATAGCTAGATGGCGTCGGAAGGAGTCCGCTTTGAGCGGCCTCGATTCACATCCAGGCCAAGGGCAGGGTGCATAAGCGTCATGATTCTTCGGCCTATGAATAGCGCTGTGGTTTTCCAGTACCCGCACAATGAGGGGCAATACGACGCCACATCCAGGAACGCTACAACGTTTGTAACCGGGCCCTGACGTGTGTGATTCAGAATCTGAAGAGGGAGCAGAGATCTTAGAAGGGTCGACGCAGGGAGACATTGGAGGCGGAGAACCTGAACTCTGTGTATCAGAGGAGGTCCAGTTACGGAATGCCGGTGGGTTCGATGGCAATATTGTATTTTTGGTGCTCCGTGTCAAGGAGGGAACAATGCTAGAAGAACAGCGATGGGGTAGTTAGTACCCACAAGGTCTCCACATGAGGAACGAGGCGTACTCAAAAAGATCACAGCTATTCTGGTGTTTTGGCTCTTGGAAACCTTCACTGAAATCGTGTCGGGTGGGGCGTTTGAGGATGATGTCGATGAGAACGTCGCCGTCTTGTAGATCGAGGCATTCGTCGGCAAGTAGAGTGTCGACCTCTCGTAGCCTTGGGTCAATAAAATCCTCTATGGCCCCGTATGAGAAGTGTGAGGATGAGGAAGCCGACGCATAATGCGTCAAATGGGAGATAGACTGGTCTGTGATGGGACCAAAGTGTCGCATCCAGGAAGGCCTGGAGGTCATTTGAGACGTTGTTGAAGGGATGTTGGCCATTGCAGATGACGGTATGAAGTGAGGGGGAACTTGCTACACCGACGCGTGACAATCATATACGAGAACAAAGGTCACAGCGCGTCGAGTCGCGTTATGGCCAAGCCACAGAACCATGTGACCGCGTGGCTCAACAGGTCAAAGAAAGGGTCATAGGCTTAAATTGAACAGGAGCAACATCATATGCATCGCCTATGGTGTTGTTCCCGTTCAATACAGAAGCTGTGAACTTCACTGATTAGCCTGGGCCTGAAGAAATGTCTGAGCAGGCCGATAGTACAACTTGTCAGACACAAGTGATAGGGTATACGAAATTCAGCCAAGAAGTGGGGTATCTCATTAATTGTATTATTCAAAGTGAATGTTTATCGCCTGCATAGAGTGCATGCAAGGACAGCCGTCATATGAGTCGCATTACATGTAATCACATCTTGAGACGATGAGGATAAGGAAGAAGGAATACAATAACCATTATTGACGCCCGATCATGTTCTTAATCAACTCAGACAGACGCTCCTCGCCGAAGAGTTCCTGTCCTAGGTAGACGACGGCCTGGCAGTGAGATTTTCGCATTTATCGCCACAAAGGTCAGCTGGTCCCTCCAGTGACTCTTCATGAAAAGGTATGTATTTTCTTCCGGCAGATGATATGTCAAATGAGATGTCGTCGACTCTGGATCAAAGCTCGAAGTGACACCAGGGGATTGATCGGCTTCTCGGAGGGGCGCAATGCGCGTGCCAGTGGTGTTCGGGACTTTCATGGTCTTCCCCTTTTCGAGAGAGATCCAGCAGAAGTGTATACCGTCAACTGGATTTCGCAGTCCTGCACGACGCATTGTAAACATGTACTGGGTACGCGATTACAATGCGCCGTCTAGTTCTGTTAGTCGAAGCTGGTCGCGATTGAATAAGCTCAAGCTTTGTATCCATGACGTGTCCCTTGGTACGTCAAAAATAGTTCTTAAAGCGATGGTGGTGACGGCATGCTGAAAGGAAGAAATTGTTTCACAAACGATTACGATGTAAGTATGAAGTTCAAAGATATATTGATTTGTACGTTCGGCGAATGCACAGTACACTCTTTGATAAGAAGAGCAAATTGTTGGTGGACTAATGCAATGTAGTCCGCTGGAGATGCTGTTTTCCTTAGACAAGTCCTACGAATGAGTGCGTTCAATGTTTTCTCATAAGCCAAGCTTACTGCTTACCTTTTTTCTCGCAGACTAGGTCGGTGTCGTTCAAGCTGGAATAAACAAGTGTACTTGTAACTGATGAAGGTTTGATTCATCCGGTGGTGATAGCTTGAATGCCGGAAACAATGTGTGAAGAGTGGATGTTCAATACTGAGGTCGGTCGTATAGTTCAGGCTGAAGGGGAACAATGCTGAAGCCTCTTCTATGAGCAGCAAGGACAATGATCAATATCGAGACATTGTATGTACACCGTGATCACGAAGGCCGATAGCCATTGGCCCAAGCGCAGTCGGTGCTTGGGCCCATGCGGTCCATCGCAATCCCAGAGCGGTGAATGTGTGGATGAATCGTGTTTTTCTGGAAGTGAGCTCGTCGTGTGACGGCAGCTTTTCGCATCGGCCCGCCCTTGCCTAGCATGGTTCCCGACGATGGCAAATTTCTATGTCAGAATGTCTTTTCCCAATTCTTGGTGTGTATACCGCCCTCTTCCCGCCGGCCTATACCTTTTTCCGAGTAATGCCTTCGCTTATTGACGATGTATGCAGCTCACGACCCTTACTCGACAGAAAAGGGAACTTCGCCGAGCACTCAACTCACTGAGGCGGATTCTTTGCACTCCAGCGTTTGTAATCGGGGACGAGTAAATGCAGACTTCTAATTGAAACTGATTGGTAAAACCATGCGAGAAGCCAGGAGGCCTAATACCATCTCCTCGAGGCACTTTCCCTTCTCTTCAATTTTACTGGACCTGGATTCCCGAAAGGAGCGCTGCAGGTATCCTAGAGCTCGGCGGTGATACGCCGCCCAAATAGGATTGATGCAGACCTGGGGTCTGTGGTTTAGCGGTAAGATTTGGGATCGTGGATCTTATCGCGCCTGCGCACGCTCATCCCTTCATTGTTCTGAAATTTAGGGTGCTCTCGTTCGAAAGCATCCGGGCTCTGGATTGCAAAGTGTGACAGAGCCGTATGTTCGCTTGCAACACTTGTACCATTAAAGGAAATATTTGCACAACGGAGACCATGGGTATGGGTTAGCACACAAGTGATTGTGAAGAGGTCCAAAATGTTCTGGCGGCTCGCATTTTCCATCTGAGCAAAATAGGAAGTATGACGAGGAACGACTCGAAAAGAGTCACTGTGAAAGTATACAAGTAAGTATTGCCCCATATTCGCGGTCCGCGAAGCTGGGTAGCGTCCTCGGTTTTGTCGATCACCCTAGTTTGCATGTGCAAGGTTCGTCGTTTCCTTGTTCCCGCCGAATCATGAACGGGAATCTGTTCTGATCGACTTAAGTATTTCTCTATTTACCCTTTCTCAAGATATATAAACGTGGGGTGTTGAGCCACTTGAGCCTCTCATCCAAGCTCCCTCCTCCGACAGCCACTTGACTCGCCACTCGAAGACCAACTTCTTTTTCTCACTTCTACCCTAATGGCTACTGCCAAAGCTGGCAAGTCAAAGCGTAAGTCCATGTCCAAGCCCAAGACCAAAAGAGCCAAAGCCACAAAAACCAACACCATCATCCCTGAGGTAAGCTTCAGATTCTTTAAAATTTACGCAACTTATTTACTGACCGCTTTATTCGAAAACGCCTTTAGGATTCAGTGCAGTGTGGGGAATGCCTTCTCTGGATCTCACGCAAGAGCGACATGGGTCGCCACCGAAAAAAGCACAGAGAGATAGAGTAAGTATTCTTCGTCGCCTGATACTGGAAATGAGAGTGATTAAATTCTGTTGCAGTGACACACATACATGCGAGTTTTGCGGCAAGAAGTTCCGCCAACGCTCCAACATGGTTATTCATCGACGCCAGCAGTGAGCAGCCTTTTCTCTTTACCTAACCCGGCCGCATTCTGACACACAAAGCAGCACAGGTGAAAAGCCACTCGTCTGCGGAATGCCTATTCCCGCGTCCAAAAGGGCTCCTGCCCGCAAGTGTCAGAAATGCTTCGCTGATCCCGCCGTTCGATTGAAGCACAAGGTCAAGGACCACGGGTATACACCTAAGCCGACCAGGCCTCGAAATGCGGGCCTGCCTATGCCCAAACTTGCCTCTTCCACGCAAGCGTCATCTAGGGGAACTTCTCGTAAGAAGACTCAAGTCGAGGGGCCAATCGCGGGGCCATCATCCGTTGCGAGTGCAATGCCGACTTTCGATCCTGCGCTTTTGGAGGCTGTAAGTGGCTTACAACTTCTGCACCGTCGCGCGGTTGTTTCCCCTTCCCCTCCCCCACTATACGCGTCGCCTTCCCCATCGTACGCATCCCCTTCCCCATACACCACCCCTTCCCCTCGATTCTCCCTTGACGGATACACTCTGCGTCCGGCCACTTGGTCCACAGAGGAGTGCCTGTCCGGTGTTTCAAGCGCCTCTCTTCGTCACATCCTCAATTAAAGATTCCATTCCTACTTGTTGGCTCTCAGCCGATGCTTACTGCGCTTGATTCAGTATTGTATTTGTTCATCGCAATCGCGAATTTTCTCTTCTAGACCCCTTTGATTTCTTCTCATTTAGACTTTCATTTTCGTCTTTGCTCTTGTATGGCTGGAAAACGGACTCGAGTTGGTGTCTATAGTGGGTATATCGGATATATGCAGGGTTCTCGTATTGTCTCTGAGTTGTTGCTATTATTTTGTTTTCGTATGATTTGCTAGAGTGTTTTGAATATATACGAGGTGGCCAAGCAGAGATTCGAACTTCGCGACAGACGCGTTGACGCGTTGACGCGTGTGGCACGCGTCGCTCTTTGTCCTCCTCCACTCAACTCTCCTTAGCCCTTAGAACCGACTTCCTGAAGGCGACATATATTGCAATATTCATTAGCATCTTTACCGAGCTATCGCAGCATCGTAGGATGCCACCTAAAGGATCCAGTTCTCAGAGGAAGCTGAGACAGCCCGCTGTACGGAAAGTATCTACATCCTCCACAGAGCCAGCAAACAAGAAGCAGAAGTTGAGACCACTATCTGCCGTAAGTATTTAGTCAACGATGGGTATTGCAACTACTTTCGGTGGTCTTACGATCTTCAGTTAGTTGATCAGCCCTGTCGTCTTTGACCCTGTGAACCAATCTTCGCAAAGCCCATCTCAGGGTACACAATCCAAAGGGAAGGGGAAGGAAGTACAACGCGACGTCTTATTGCAGAATGGTACCGGTAAGCTTTGGCTATGGCAAATATTGGATGTTTCTCCCTAACTCATGCTGTTCGCAGAAGATCAAATGTGGATTGACTTGCATGAGCCTTTAACAGAAGTATGAATTACAGCCTGAACCTCACTGGGTCTCGCTCACCTCGTATCAACAGGAGAATCTGGCCGTGCATAGACGTAAAGTGCAAGACGTTCGACAGTGGTTCCTCGAAGCTTTTGACGGTGGTCCTTCTGGGAAGCTTCGCAAGTACCGCGTAAGATGTAGCATCTTTTACTACATTGGCATAGCTCATGTTTATGGTATAGCGCATACTCGTACTCGCTGGCCCTGCTGGTACGGCCAAGACCGCAACTGTCCGAATGCTATCCAGAGAACTCGGCCTTGAAATTCTGGAATGGCGTAACGGATCTGATGAAAGGCATCATCGAGACGACATTTACGGTACCATCCTTTGACTTTTTGATCGTATTTCTTTCTCTCATATCTCATATTTAGAAGATTCATACGATCATGATGAACATTTTACATACGAAGGTCTATCGGAGAGGTTTCAAGCCTTCCTCACTCGTGCAACGAATTGTCACTCCGTCGTAGGCCTCCGCTCAAATAATGTCAAGTCATCGTCTGCATCTAGCTCAGGCCAAGGCGTGAAACGTCAAATCGTCCTATTAGAAGATCTTCCGAATATCTTGCATGCGCGAACACAACAAACGTTCCATGAGGCACTGGTTGCCTCCGTGAATAGCAATTTCCTCTCCACCTCACCAATCGTTATCATCATCAGTGATGCCGGTCTACGAGGCGAAACTGACCCAGATGACATGTCGTACGGGTCCTCATGGAAAGGCAAAGGAAGAGAAACCTTGGATGTCCGTACGGCCTTGCCTCGAAGTCTAATTGGGTCTCCCTATGTCACACAAATTGAGTGGGTTTGTCTGTCTTCACCCTGATTTCATTCAATAGTGACGCATACAGCCAGATTCAACCCAATAGCACCCACTCTCATGAAACGTGCCCTTCAACAGATCATCGACTCCGAGTTCTCTTCGTCCGCCAAGTCTCGCTCTAGACCTTCTGCTTCTGCTCCTTCGAAAGAGGTACTGAACTTCATAATCGAATCTTCCAATGGAGATATCCGGAGTGCAATCATGGCACTTCAATTCGCGTCCACATCTGTAGGTATCAGTTTGGGACCAGATTCTCAGCCGAGTGGAAAGGGCAAATCGAAGTCGCGAAAGTCAGCTCCTACGAGGGCTCTGATGGAGGTGGTGACGAGACGCGAACAGAGTTTGGCACTATTTCATCTCATCGGGAAGTTGTTATATAACAAACGTACGAAACTTAACAAGGCGCCATCGCATAGAAGCTGACTTTGTTGCAGGGAAAGGTGATCCATCAGCTCCATCGGCCCCTGCAAAAGATATCCAACGAGACCGGGAGATCGACACTCGTCTCAAGGATCTACCTAAGCTCCCATCTCACCTCAGTATACATGATCGAGAGCCTAGTCGAGTAGACGTCGAAGTTTGTCACGCTGAATTCACTCTGTCAACTGAATACTTACCGTCGATTTTTCAGACTTTGTATGCTGATTCGCCTATTGACTCGGGATTGTTATCCCTATATATTCACCAAAATTACACCCAATTCTGCGATGATCTCGATCAATGTGAAGGCGTCATGGACTGGCTGAGTTGGGTTGACTGCAGTGGAGGTGAATCAGTACGTGCTTGGGACACCTTGACGCGTTCTCGAATGTCGTTGACGTTTCGTGAATAGTGGTACCAAGCAAACCCATATCGGTTTCACCTCATCAGTCTTGGCACCCTTCATTCGCTCCCAACTCCAGTCACAAGACGGAATCAGAAGAATTTCAAACCCGAGTTTTTCGACGTGTTGAAGAGAACTAGGGATTGTGACGATGGCGTCCGAGATGTTCATCAGTGGTTGAGAAGGGTACGAGTTCTTGACATAAAGACCGATGGTCCTGGTGACTGACTGATGTGCTATCTTTAGGATGAGTACGGTAATGCAGGCGGATGGACCCAGACAAAGGTTGTTTTGGAGCTAGGGGCCGTTCTGAAAGCAAGAGAACAACGTTCGAACATTCCCAGCGACCAGCCATTTGCTCCACCATCTTCCCGTCTATTCACACGTATGCCGTTCACCAAAGAATCCCATTACCATCTGGAAGTCGTCAAGGATGACAATACTGGTGTTGACATGGCTTGGCTGGAAGACAATGACGACGATAGGACAACTAGGGATGGAGGTGAGGCGACTCCGCTGACGGGTGGTTGGTTGGAGGACGATGACATTGAAGAGTGCTGAAGAATGCATATTGTGATATACTTCTTTTTGTGGTTCTGCTCGTTCCGCATCGATCTAGTTTCGCGCCCGGGGCGAGGTTCGTAGCCCAACAAACTTGTGCGTGGTTAGCAATTCGGCAGACAGGCAAGAAAGAATATTATACTCGTGTTCACGAAATATCACACGCATTCAAAAATATAATCAAGTGTAAGCTATTTCTGATATAAGTTATCGTCCTTACGTCGTAATCGAATCTTTTGTCACGGATGGGTATATGTGGGATGAATATCGCGAGGGATGTTTGAAGGTTTTGCTTCTACCAATATGACCACAACTACCAGGCAATGCCGACACCACCGGGACTCTCTGAGAGAAAGGTTGAGACACTGGAATTATATCCACCGCACTCATGTGCATATGCAAGATCGGGTGTACTCGAAGGGGTGCCGGCAATAGTCGATGTCAAAGGAGAATAAACTCCGGGGTCAAGGACATCGGTGACATGCCTTGTCGTTGTGCATCCAGAGGACGAGGGTGTCGAAATATTATCTGCATCTGCAGGATCGGCGTTGTAAGACAGTCTAGACATAACGCGTGGGCCTTGGGTCTCCCTCATGTCTACATTGGGCGAAGGGGGCTTTACTAAGTAATCAGGCCAGTGGGATGATACGCTCGATTCTTATAAGTCCAAAGAATGAGAATAATCAATATCTTTAAAGATGCATGCAACTGACCTCGCAGCAAAGTGGTGTTCCCTCTGTTTTGCAGTATTTTCTTCCTTCGTCTTGCGAAAACGCAGACGACACCAATAATGAGGAAAATAGTAACACCAACAACAATCCCGGCTATGGCCCCGCCTCTCAGGCTAACGTGCGACTGGGAAGATGTAGCTGCCCCACTACTTGAACTTGGTGCTGGTTGCGTTGAGAGGCTTCTCAATGTGTCCGAGGTCGTGGATGTAATTTCAAGTTGACTATCAGAGGCTGTAGTGACGGATGCATGTTCGTCAACAGACGCCTGCGAGTCGAGGTTTGGCTGTGGTTGGCCAAACGGTTCCGGAGGTCCGGAAGAAGCTGGTTCAATGCCAGTATAGGTAGAGTCGTTGGTAGAAGAATTGGACGCAGCGGTTGGAGAAGGAGTGCTCTGTATCGGGATATCAGAAGCCTGAGGAGTCGAAGCTGTGGGTGTCGCACCAAGCGAGAATGGAGGTGTCGGAGTGTTGGTGGTCTTCGTAGAGGTGTCCAACACGGTTGTCAAAGGGGAAGGGGAAGGGGAAGGGGAAGGGGAAGGAGGGATATGAGTAACTGGAGGGGGCAAAGGAGGCGAAGTGGGTGAAGGAGGCGAGGTGCGTTGTCCATGGATGATTTCGTAGAGACAGCTCGAAAGTTGAGGAGAGAGGCCCTTTGGAAAGGGTAGATCTATTCTCAGTGAAAACTTGTCATTTTGGGACACAATGGAGTGGTCTTGACCTGAAGCTAGTTTTTGGCAAGAAGCGGGAATGTTGTTGAACAAGAGTCGTTTATGAATTGGCTCTTTGTGCATTCTGCAAGGCGACACGGTGTGGTCAATAAGTAAGAAACGAAAAATCCAACTACTCAAACGAGTACAACGAGGAGAGCACTCGCAATCAACTATATATCGATGTTTCTGAGAAACGTACGCGCCATCTGTTATGCATGGTGTATAGGCTACATCGTTGAGGTGCTCAAACTGGGGCTCAGTATTCGATCAAGGGAGGGAGGATTGATATCAGTGGGTCAGCATGGAAACTCATAATGCACCTTATTCACGGAGGACATCTGAAGCGACGCAAGAAGAGAATCTGCCGGCATCTGTCAATAATCCAAGATGTGGATGAGCAGGTACATCGATGAAACGCGACAGTCTTACTTTGCATCATCATGAGGTGCAACACGTTCGAATCACAGGATGGACGAAAATGTCTTCTTGAAGATGGTTCAGAAATCGCCTCGACAGGCGCTTATATGAATGCGGCCAGCTGAGTCTGAGACCATCGTGAATACGTTGCCCATATGTCGCAAGTTCATACAGAGATCCAGTCAGTAGTTGTTAAACAGCCACTCACCTAAGAATATAATGAGACGCAGAATAATTGCAAAGTTTTGTGATAGTATTGGCCATGACCATGAAACACGGAAACCATGAGTCGAAAGTGACCGGAAAGCACAGGGTTCCCTGCGAAAATCATCGAACGCAAGGAAGGTGATGAGGTCAGAATCATCGCTACGCTCAGGGTTGCAAAAGACTACCACCCCTGCACAAATGATTTCTGATGATCAGTGTATTGCCAGTTGGCGGTGCACCAGCGGTTGATACTCGTGCAACCTGAATGAGGCGGAATCAAATGGTTCAGGGTTGAATAACAAATCGTTCGAGAGATTCTCACCTTATGGTCTTTTCAAGCCTAGACATGTACTGACCTTGGTTCAGTTTGCAAGCAACATCAAAGTAAGATTGTTTAAATGATTGAAAATATTATTACTGGATTGGAACGAGGATTTCAAGACCGACGAGTATAAGAGGGTCCAATTACGGCCATGGTCACGCCTCACCGACGAAGACATCAACCAGTGATCCGCAACTTGAACTCTCCGGAGAGTGGCTATCGAGCAACACCAATGCTGCTCAAGTCGGAGAGTCGACCAGACGACCTCAGACTATCATTGCTGCTATTGTCAGTGTAAACAACATGCACAGCGCTCGTGGGAGTACTAGGATTCGAGCCTAACTGCAAATATGGTCCAACATCACGGCGTTCAACGTCGGCAGCACTACGAGGATAGTCGCAAGATGAGAGTATCTGAGTTGGATCTGTTATCCAAACACGATTAGTTCGTAGGGAACCTGGAGAAGCTATACCATTTCTTACCTTCACCTTGATTTCCGTTCATATGATCAATAGGAGTTGGCGACCTCACTAGATAATTGGGCCAGTCGGATGCCAAGCTCGATGCTGTGAACGTCGAGTTGAGCATTAGCAGATTGATAATTTTCATTGACTTACCTCGCACCATGCTTTCCCGAGTCCTCAATTTCAGTTTTCTTCTGACAAGAATACAGGTGATGCCGACGAGGAATAGAAAGACGACGACACCGACAACAACGCCTGCTATTGCACCGTGGCTCATCCCCGAGCGCGAAGATGTGGATGTCTCGTTCCCGGAAAGAATGGGGGTGGTGACAGGTGTACTACTCGGAAGATCCCTCGATGTTCCGAGGTCCGATCTTGTTGTAGCGATACTTCTTATGTTACTAGTGGAGACCAATGTACTCTTCGGTTGTGATGATTCGGGGATACTAATAGAGAGTTCGCTCGTAGAGGAAGTACGGGCGCTACTGCTGTACGGAGTCGAGTCACTGTACGAAGAAGTCGTGGAAGTCGCGAAAACACTGGGTTGGGACGAAAGACTCCGACTAAATGTATTGGAATTTGAAGTTGTTAGGTATGTGCTTCCATTAGGAGGACTAGAAGGTAATAGCGATATTCCAATGGAGGTCCAGGTTTCTGAGGCCGCTGTTTGAGAAACAGATGGTGTGACGGAGGGTGTCGTAGTGACCGGTTTGGTGGGAGGAGGTACTAGGCCAGAAATTGATGAACTCGAAGAGATAAAGGGAGACAGTTTTGTCGAAGAGGGTAAACTGGAAGTCTGACTAAGTGGCACTATACGTATCATAGTTCCAACACGAGCGCGACATACAGCCCAAGGGCTAGACGTCAAGCTTTGGCCCGACATCATATGAAGTATTCACCAGGAGCCAAAGGCTACAAATCCACAGTAAGTGGTAGTGACATGCGATGTAGAGCTGTGGATATGGGGTGTGGCGAGTACCCGAAGAGCTGAATATCTGGTGAGAAACATACAATTCGTTCAGCTCAGCAGCATACCTCAACAACTTGGTATAGGGGGTTCACCGCTTTTGAAGCGATCTGAGTTAGATGGCCTGGGACATGATGTAGGCCACCTCTTGTTATATAGGGTACAGAAATCATCACGAAACACGAAACATTGTTTGATCAAGTCGGCGTCGATTCGATGTTGATCAAACAGTGGTTCAGGCAGGGTCACGGCAGGACCTACCCAGTAAACTTGGACTAGCCGTCAACATTCACCCGGCACCTTTAGGGATTGAAGATGATGTAGACCAACCCAGTGCAATACCCGGCTAGTATGCCAATCATGAATATGATACTATACTCATACTCCGCACGTTGCGGTAGACAAAAATGGTACATACTTACCTTCAATTATCGTACACGCCGTAATGATCGCCATTCTAGCCGGTCATGATATGGATTACCTTTATAGTGGCTGAAACTGAGCCTACAATTGCAATCGATGAAGAAGAAACTGAAGTAAGACTCTATAGAGCTTGGAGGCTTGCTGGCTCAGGCTCACTGTTGTGACGTGTTTATCGAGGGTCTGCGTTCAGAAAATGGCCACGGGTCAAAGGTTCTGATCCTGCTCGTCCCTCGCACACCAGGTGACTTATGATTTATCCAAATTCTCTGTAGTCAAGAGACAGTGGTTCTCTTATATAAATACAGCAGCAGGTACAACGACTGTGATTCGTAGATGGCGAAAGGTACAGCGGGCCGAAAAGTGCACCGACGTATTTGCACATGGAAGGAAGGGAAATAAAAGCATACGATCAACGAGTGACGGGCCCTTTACCATCGCTGTCCAAGTGGCCCACCTGCAATACAGACTTCATTGGGTCCCGGAGTGTTATGATAGCATGGAGGTTGAGTACGCTGTGTAGCGAAAGTTTTGACACTACTGTGCGCAGATGTCAAACTGAGCCTCGAGGTGGAAAACATATGGCGACGTGTTCTACGTCCTGTGTTGGGACCCGGAGAAGGTATCAGTGCAGTAGCACTCGAGGGTGTGCTTGGATCTGTCAAAAGATAGGGCGAATGTAGGAGTGGTTTATCATCTTGTGAACTTAAGACATTGCTATCTGGCCTCGGGCTGGGGAGATCCACAGGGTTTGCCGGATCCTCAGCATTTGCAAGATAGGACACAGCCAGCGAGGCATGATCTACGGAATCTCCGGAGGAAAACATATCCGACGATGTTTCGGAGATGCTTTGCGTGTCCGAAACTCTTGCTAAGACCCTTCGTCTAAATACGGCAAATTAACGAAGGATGAATACTCACCAGAGCAGTTTGACACGTTCAGGTGTTCTCTTCTAGACGAATCAGTAGATGGTTTGGGCTCTGGCGGGCTTCAAGTATGAGTAAATGGATTGAAAGAATCTCCGAGGGAAAACTATACTTGCCAAAACAGTCCGACTGTGATGCTTTCACTCTCCACCCTCTGTAACGAGTTCGGAGAAGAACGAAAATAATGAAGCAAATCAGAAAGAACACACAGATACCGAGGACGATCGCTGCAATCTGAGCACGAGAGATCGAAGAATATGAATGTGCAGGTGAGTCGATCGTGCTCTCTGTAGGAAGTGGTGTTGGTGCCACATTACTTTCGTCTCCGTGTAAAGCTGTTTGTAATACTACCACTGGGCTGCCGGGAGTCGCAGATGGCTGGGACGGGCTCGGGGAACTCGAGATAAGGCTTTTCACAGGGAATGGCGCGAAAATGATAGAGAGGGCGGATGGAGAGGGGGACGTAGTGTCGACAGAAGAGCGCGGTAGAGCATTGATTAACGGCGAGAATAAAAATGATGAGGATGAGGACGAGGATGAAGAAGGTGGAGTGGAAGAAAAAGAAGATGACAGAGAAGAGGATGATGAAGAGGATGAAGAGGAAGAGGGAGTAGATGGGGCGAGTTCGGATGAAAACAATGACGAAGATGTAGGAGGGGGTAAAGGTCCGCCAATGTCGAATACGATAGAACTGGATATGTTGGGTAGCACATCTGTCGCGATCCCGTTACCGCTGGGTAATGAATCGAGAGTGAAAGATTCAATGATGGGAGGCATATTGCAATGAAGTCCTGAAAGCCATGCAAAAGGGAACAAGATTGAAAACTTAGGAAGGGATCCAAGAAGGGAAAACGAAGGGAAACAACGTAAGGACTGTGTTGCCAACCGATCCTGCTGGTCGAGCAGTAGGGCAGGAAGATTCAAGGTTTGAGACGAAAGAGACCTGGAGGCGTGCTGAGGTGTGATTATATGTATGAGTGAAATTATAAATCAAAGTCACACAAAAACATCTGTTGGCGATCATTTCTTCGCAGATTCCCAACACCACCAACTGTCGAGGCAAAGTTAAGTAGAATTAGTAGCACGCAGCGACACGTAAACCAGTTCCCTCCAGCAACGAATGCTGCCATGCAATCATCTCCAGCGCCAGGCAGAAGTCCATCAGGACGAAAGAGCCATCCAACACCTCTAGCACTTATGGTCTGCATTTCAGTCTGGCCTCGTACCTGTGAGACTGCCACGGCGGTCGAATCAAAGAGAGATCAGCGATACTTCTTACATCCAGGGAGGACGAAGGAGATCTTCCAGGATCGATGGTAACCATGGCCGATGCGTCCTCCGGGAGATCAAACTCTGAAGAAGAGGCCTAAAGAGATGTGAAATAAGTGATGGAGAGCAAAAAAGTATTATGAATGAGTATGCCAACCAACCTTACGAAAACGATAAAGGGGTAGTTCATCATCAAGCAATGTTTGATATCTGCGATACCACAGTTAGCATCAGCCGCGCAGATGTCCGTCAATGATGACGAGCCAACGATCATCATGATGGGTGGAAGAAGGATGAGAGAATGAGAAAAAAGGACAATTTGCAACGACTGCAACAAGTGAAAAGTTCACAGATCTTGAGGAGAAACGGCTGGGGTACACACGGGGAAACGCTTGGAATTATGGTCTACAAAATTAATGCGGAATTTATTGAATCTGTCCATACGCGGGTTGAAGTGAATCACCACCCACGAACAAACTCTGTTGCACTGGACCTCCAGCCATTCGTACTCCACCATCTACCTCGCGTCTATCGGAAGTATCCGTATGAGCGAGAAGGTTGGTGGTCGACGCAGTCTTTTCAGCTGGTAGATGTGATAATGCATCAGAATCATCAGAAAAGATGGAAGGGTTGGTAACATTGTAGCGTTTCAGAGATCGCTGACTATAAGTGTCCGACGACTTTGCAATCGGCAAGGGGCGAGGGGGATATCCCGCGGATGACGAGCCAGCGGATGTGAAAGAATGGTTGGAAGAGAGAGTAGAAGCGGTTGTTGAAGGGTATCGTGATGGTGACGGGCCATCCTGACGGTTGGTGAGAACAGAGGGTTCGTATTGAGGTTCGTACGGCTTGATAGCAGCAACCTTCTTAGAATAGGCTGGTTGTGGAACCGAACGTGTTGTTTGACCATTGTAGGTCATCGTCATAACAGGAGCGCCATCGTTCTGCCCGACTGCTAGACGCGTGAGTAGAAAGAAAATACTGACGGCTCGATCGCGGTACTTACCAGGCGGCTCGGACGTCATCACTTGTGGTTCATCGTTAGTCTGAGCATCAAGCGCAGGCGATCGGACAAACTCGAACGACCCGAAACCCCGAACTTTGTTCTCAGCGAGTAAATCTAATGTAACATGCGACGAGGCTGAAAAGGTGAGGTGTGACAGAACAAAACAACGGTGCATACCGACTGAGATATGAGCACGCCTCTGCCTTTTCCGTCGTCTCATCCATAGAATCGCTCCAATAGCGCATACAAGTAGAGCCAGAACAACAGCTAGAATGACGAAACCGATCAACGAGGCGTTCGGCTTCGAGAGGGATGCGCCAGCTGCTCCACTGGTCGCCGTTGTAGAGGGAGATGGGCTTGTTGAGGTGGAGGATGGTGTGTGTATATGGTCTGTCGTGGCCGAGGAAGGGAGGGAATGTGATAAGGACCCACTAGTCATATACAGAAGCGAAGTTTGCACTTCGGAAGATGGATTGGATCGGGGAGAAGTCTGTATTAGTTCACAAGTCTTGGCTGGAGAAACGAGAAAGTAATGTTAAGCAACGATGGTAGCGCAACGTGTGCAATACTCACATCCGGCTTTCGTGAAGAACGGAGCTGACGAGGTCGTCTGATCAGTGCTATCACCGAGCGTTATCACAATTGGGACACCTTCCAGGAAATTATAAGCAAACTTGTTGACTTGAACGGGTGAAATATTAAACACCAGGTCCAATATCTATGTCCCAGTCGAAGGTTGAGTTATTGAGAATTACTGCTGTTTCTCGGTCTTCCCCATCAACTTCACTAGATCCATGATCAGTTTCTTGAACGAAGAGCAGGTAAAGAAACCTACAAAGCCTTGAATTCAAAGTTGAATATCCCGGATGATCAGAGAGTATCACTGTTATCGATTATTCATGCACGTACGAGTGTATATGGAGCTAACAATGCAGGAAAGTCAGACGAAGATCTCAGGACGATCACATAAAACACACCGGATCCTCCCTCCCAGGAAAGAACGGTAGTTTCGCATGCGACAAGGTTGGAACTGAAATGATCAGATTAGTCGAAAATCTAGGAAAACATGCCATGTGCGTACGGAATAGTGAGTGCCAAAGGAGCGGAAAGAGCCTGAAAAGGCAGAAAAGACAGGACATAACAGATGAGAGTCCACCACGGACTCGTCCTCCTGAATTCGAAACTCATCGAGAATGCGTCGAGTCCAGCTTGAGACGCTCCTCAGAGACGTGGACGTATCCTAATGAGAGTGTTGAAGGGAAAAGATAACGAGGGAAGGGTAGCTAGCAGCGCTCATGTGGGACTTGAACTTACTGTCGCGCCCATAATTTCGTGCTGTCGTTTACCCGGTGGGCATCTCTCATCAGTGTATATGCTGTCAATCTCGTTACCACTGCCACACTTGACAGGTGGTCGCGTGGCATGGTGTGGCCGACGGTGTCGAGCGCGGTAATGTTCTGACCCATCAGCATGAGAACTAAGTTATCAAGAGCAATACTAGATATCTAACTCACAATAGTATACGTGTGTATCAATGGGTTGAGCACACTTGGCCACTGTCATGGCTCAGTAGTTAGTCGTCGTTCGATATCAATTCTGAATACGAGGAGCGCCCGATCAAAGTTGCATGACTGCATATTTCGTGAACGATGTGGAACGGATCCTAAGTATTCTGGAAATGTGCAAAATTATCCTTAGATGCCACAAGTTAAGGGCCCTGCCAGTAGGTCTTGTACATGAACTCTCCGGAATGTACACGAGGCAGATCTACCAAACAAATTAGTCGTATATGGATATGTGATTTCCATGGAGTGAAGGGGTCCGTCGTGATGGTCGAGTTGAGTCTGTCATTACCACAGTCAGTCATGCTAGTTTGGATGAAGGAAAAATCACGGCGAATCAGGGAGAAGCAGTGTTCGTTTTCGCAACCTCCGTCTCCGAATGCAAATGAGGATGATGGACAAGAAAGACACCAATACGATCCTGAAGATCGTGGGGTTCGATGGACTGTATATAATGCTCTGGAGAACTTGAGACCAGCTTGGAATTCGGCAGCAGAAATGACACAACAAAAACTAGCCCACATCTACTTCAAGGGAAAACATCGGAATATTGACATCAGTGTCATTTACTGAATTGTGCTTACCGCGATCAACTTGAAAGGAATCCGAATGTGGAATGGATGTGGCCGGCAGCCAGGGCGACTTGTTGACTATGCAGAGTCCTGAAGGTTCGTACTACCTCAGATCTCCCGGCAGGGTGGACATCAGAATCCGAGATACACAGATAATGGGCCGGATTCTTCAGTATAAGGTTCATGTCAATCCTGCCATGTCTGAATGAATGCATGTACGAGATGGCGCCATAAAACCGGTTGGCTGTGGTCCCGCGTTATACCAGTTCATAATCGTCAGTTACCGACGGGGGCGGTTGTTCTGTCGCAGTGGAATATCAAAGCGATGTCCCGTAAGTCGAGTAAATAGTTTGTTCCCTTTTTGAAGCCACTTGTTACTACTAACAAGTGGCTTCAAAAAGCGTCCTAACAAGTTGTTAGGACGCTGACGATGGTGGATGTCAACGGCAAAACTTGAAGGATGCTCGAATTCAACTACGTTAAGCGCTCATTTCCAACATGCTTCTGACCGGTTACGGTGGGCCTTCGATCGACCAAAGTGCGATACGAGCAACTCTAGTTAGGCATCGACTATGAACGTCTCCTAGACCAAATGAACTGTGCGGATGCTGGAAACATGGATTCGGTTGTAACGCATAGCATCCAGCCGTGAGATCGATGACATACCTCTTTCGGCCCGATCTGAGATGACGGAATCATCTTGCTAGGCTTTCTTCCTCAGAATATTACACATCCGCCTCCTGGTATTCTCACTCGTGCTCTCGGGTCTTCTTGCTTATCCTTTACACCCTTGCACCTCCCCAAACGACATCAAGATGGTTCTTGGCCCACCTCTCAATTTCCCTAAATGGCTTTCCGAGAATTCCCATCTCTTGTCACCTCCTGTGAATAATTTCTGCTTGTACACTGGGAAGGATTATATTGTTATGGTCGTTGGAGGACCTAACGAGAGGAATGACTATCATCTTAACGAGACTGAGGTAAATTCACTGAGCACTCGATATTCTGTTCACTCCTGTTGACAAATATCTTTGATGCGTAGGAATGGTTCTACCAGCACAAGGGGGGAATGTTGCTTCGCGTAGTTGACGGGGACCAGTTCAGAGATATCAGAATTGAAGAGGGGGAGATGTTTCTGCTTCCCGGCAAGTTTCTTCCGTTTATTCTATGAATCTTTTTAACACGACTGTATCTTCAGCTAATACCCCTCATAACCCTGTACGGTTCGCCAACACCGTCGGACTCGTAGTTGAACGTGTGCGCCCAGACGACGCTACTGGTATGTTACCCGTATATTTCATTTATATTTCGCTTAACTGTACGCCTTCATCAGATCATCTACGCTGGTACTGCAAGTCCGGCAAGCACGAGAAACCAACGATTATCCACGAAGATACTTTCCATGTTACAAATCTCGGAACCCAACTGAAACCTCTTATCCAACGATGGATGGCTGACCCGGAACTAAGAACATGCAAGGAATGTGGTACGACCGCCGAAGCCAAGTAATGATATCGGGGTCCTTGGATTGAACAGGGCTTGAAGACAAATTAACAATGTGTACATGTATCTATTTTTCATCTATTGGCTGTCTGTGTCCATCGATAAGCTTGTATAAATGCGACATCTAGATCATTCCCAGCCTAATCGAGCCTTAACCGGAGTTGAGTGATAGGCCATGAATCGTGATAGTCTCGACCTAGAAGGCGTTGCCTTATTTGGATGATCTTGTCCAAATACGTCCGTGCAGTCATCAGCGGAGTTCACTCGTAGGTTACGATGACGCAAGGACACCTATGATCAAAGCCATCTGAATATTCCGTTGTACCTATCAGACTTTCGAAGAGCAAATATATTTTCATCGTGTAAATGTGGCACCTTTACTGTGGCCCAATATGCGGGAAATAAGCCTCATGGCAGGGAGCTATGTGCTGAAATGAGTGGAAATTTCCTCACGCCGCACATGAGCATCTCCATCACACGCGAGACTCCATTGTGACAAACGTCATGAGGGGTGCATGGTGGAATGGACTGATGTCAGGTATCCCTCATACAACTATAAAAATCTTGGTGCCTCATATCAACATCGTCAACTCACCTACTCACCACAAGTCGCTCATAAAGCTCACACTCATAAACAACAACAATGGCATCTTTCGAGCCTCAGAACCCCCAGGGAAACTTCCAACAATGCGCTCAATCCAGTGCCCAGCAGCAAGGTGGCCAAGAGCGACAAGACTGGCTCGACAAGGGCATCGAGGATGCCGGCCAGAAGGCAGGAGTTAACATTGTGCGTATGCGATACTCGAGTGAAGTCTTCTGAATGCACGCTGAGAGCATTCTCGTTGAGCAGAGCAACCAGAATGCCGACAAGGCTGGTGACTTCGTGGATAAGGAGTTTGACAAGAAAGAAGGTATGTTGGCCTGTTTCGACTTGTCTTGAGTTTCTTTTTTATACAGAAAGCTCAATAAGCACTCTGCGGTCAGGTTTCAATCTTCCCGGCGTACACTAGTCGAAGTCCAGCTATTTGAACCTGCTACGAAGAAATGAAATGTTTTAGATCAGTATGGTTTTGCACTACAATTGAAATCATACACCACAGCCAATATGTGTGCAACGGGTCGTCATTGGAGCGCCTGCATCTAAGTGAGCTCATCGGGACCCGAATATTGATCTTCTCGTTCCTTTCGTTCTCACCGTCCTCACAACGCATCATAGTGTTTCCTTGCATCAACCACAATTACCTTGTATATTGGTATACTGGTCTGCGTTTTGTAAATAAAGAATGAACGCCAGTCAACCGGCACACCTTCGATGTTGCATGTGTTGGATGAGATTGGCACTGATCGGAGTAAGCCTGGTTTTGAAGTCACTGACTTGGACATAATATTATAAAATCCTAGAGCGTTCCAGACCACCGGACGCGGTATATATTCCGCAGCTTCAAGGGAACATCGCAACGATGTCATTGCGACCCCAAAGATGGTAACTGGATTACCAACTTTAGGTCAGGCCAGACGGCCCCACAGTGACGCAACAGCGAAATTCCGGCGGTATATAATCCATAGGCTGCGTTACCTTTTAACTTCAACAAAACCAATTACCACCCTTACCACATAACATATTCTTCCTCTTACCTTCATCATGAGCGGTTTCAACGACAACAACAACCAGGGAGCCGGCGGCTTCAACCAACAGTCCCAGCAAGGCGAGGGTTACGACTCTGTTCGTCAGACCCAAGGTCAAAGCACCGATATGGGAGGAGGTTACGGAGCACATGGTAGCGGGGTCGCTGGTGGATACGAAGGGAATACTCAGGGCCAAAGTGGCGGCATCCAGGGCCAGAGCCAGAACACGAGTCAGGGCCAGAGCCAGGGTCAGGGTCAAGGTCAAGGTCAGGGCCAGGAAAAGGCGGACTGGCTTGACAAGGGTATCACCATGGTCGGAAAGAAGTTTGGCATGAACGTCGTCAGTAAAGAACCTGCTTCTAAGCGAACCATGAGCTGACGTTCGTTGTCATCCGCAGAGCGAACAGAATGCCGACAAAGCTGGAGATTTCGCTAACAAGGAAGCCAAACAATACGGAGGTACGTAGCGTCTGATATACATATCCGGTGACTTCACGTCTGACTTCATGACGCTACTAGGTCGCAACCTGCCCGGCGTGCAGTAAACTTTATAATCAATGAAGATCACGCACATGTATCTCTAGACTCACCGGAATCATTGTATCATAGCAGCCGTAGTTTCTTAGCAGTCAATCATTGGAAGATTTGATATCTACTGAACTGCCGGAAATTCGGACACTGGAACGATACAGCAAGTCGGCTGGTTGGTTTACTCTGAGGTGGCCAAGCGACATGCCTAGACGCCTTCGGAGTTTGGAATACCCGTTTTGGAAGTCTGAGCTCAACAAGACAGATCGATCCGTTCGAATGTTCAATACTTACAGTACCAATCACTCCGTGTCTGGAAACAGCATGGCTCGAGGGATTCATTGAACGAAGGAAGAATCCTGAGACACTTTGACAGTGCACTGGATCGAGTCATACGAGAGCTTTGACCTGCCAAACGCATATCGCGCCACAGACACTGTGGCGCGGGACGTGTTTGACGAAGGACAAAGAGATCAAAGAAACATGACTCTTCAATATATAAGTCCTAACTCAAAGGTCCCTGGCGACTTCTTCTCACCTTCCACACTCTTCTCTCATTAACGCAATCAGCGCTTTCGCTTTTGCACACTACCGTATGTACCCTCGTATTGCACATGCCTTGATGTCTACTGACTTGGTCATTTTCTCAGGATACGATGTCTTCACGACGCACATCTTGGTCCTCTTGGGACACCAGCCTTCGCGAACGTCTTGATGATTACGATACCTCTGAGGCTTCTTCTGAGCTTTCCGAGTCTACTCTCGTTGGTTCTGCCTTAGGTGCAGACGAAGTCCGTGATGACGCCACACAGGATTCATATTCCCTTTCAGAATGTAGCGCCATTGACTTGAGACTCCGAGCACTTGGATCCCAGACTAGTATCGACTCCGTGTCCGCCTATGATGAACCCGATAGCCTCCACGACGCCATAGCTGATGTCGGAAACCTCTATCATAGAACCACTACTGTTGGACCATCTTCCGTCTATTCCAGCGAACCTGGTGGCCCCATGGTTGACGTGACTGGCGTCGGAAATCTCTACCATAGGACTGATAGCTCTGCGTACGATCTAGAAGAAGGCATTCGGGGACTTCGGATTATTCAAGACGATGCACCCATTCCGCCTCCAAACCTTTTCCATTACCCAACGGGTGGCTACCCTGACTACAACGATGATGAGTACGAGGACTACAACTGCGAATCTGAAGCTGACGACACTCCTGCTCACCTACGCATCCAAATCAGTGGTCCTTATTCCGACGACACGAACCCTCTTCCGCCTCACATCATTAACAAAGCCCTTCCTCCAACGCCTCAAGAACCTACGCCTCTCCCTCGACTCCCACCACCGACTCGGAAGCTGTCGCTCAAAGGAATCAAACGCAGGATTTCAGGAATAGTCCAAGGTCGCCGTCGTACCAGTTCTGATTCCACTACTAGTGTCTCTACCTCTCGATCTGGTTCTCCATTGTCTCAAGTGGCCAGCTGGGATCACGATGGGATGGAAGCCAGTACTAGTACAAGTAGGTCTCGTTCTCCAGCACTGACTGCTAAGTTCCGTTCCCTTGACTTGGGCCGGAAGAGGACCTCTGTTGAAGATGAGGGTCAGAATGAGACTCCGACGCTGCAGACGTTTAGGGTGGGAGAGACGAAGATGTTGTCTTTGGAGGAAGCGATGATGAGAGATGATATCGTACATCGGCCAGAGGGTTTCGAGATCGATGAACTCAAGAGGGCTCATGCTCGAGGCAAGGGTCGAGATCTCTTGTCCTAATTTCCCGTTTCTTGTTCGTTACTAGTGCGTATACCCTTCACATCATCATTCCACTCGTTGACCACAGACGTCTTTTCAGATGACCCCTTTGATGAGACCACGACGAACTTTCTTGTATCATCCTATCTTGTGCTCTTTTTAACCTTTTCGAACTGTATTATAAGAACTTAGACGTTCTAATACGTCGTTTTATTATTGAAGGTGTTCTCTCTCAGCACTGACTGACACCATCCTTTGGTATATCACAGCGTCCGCTGTAATTATTTATCGGAAGGTCAGCCATACTCGGCGAACTCTGATACCTAGTCCGATGAGCACCTGAAGCCCTCGTCATCGTCCTTCTATTTTCTACTGTCGTTTCGATACTTGTCTTCCATGCGGCGGTCCGTTCTTCTCTCTAGAAATTCGAGAAATCGACGCGGTGCTTTATATGACAATGATTTCCAAAATGAAGTGCGAGCTTCTCAAGGATTAACTCGGTCGATCAGAACTACTTTGACACAGCAGGGTTGATCGACGCGAAGCCTGTACTTTGAACGTCTAACATGTTACTCGGATGCTATGGATCGCACCTAGCAACGTGTTTCATGAATGGAAAACCTAAGAAGCTTACACTGTTCAAACTGTTTACAACGGCCATCGGAGGGGGGGAATCAGCACGAAGTATAACATATAGCATGAGAACAATGCAATTACAAGGAACAACCAATACACAACTGATTCACAACTACGACGAGAGATAATGCGACTAAGACCACCAACAAATAACGGGTACAATTCTAAAATAATAAGACAAATAAGAGCGTTAAAAGGGAACACAGTTAAAAAAAAAAACGGGATCGAGAACAGGACGATAGAGAGACAATAGTATGAGAGGATCAATATGGAAGGCACATAAAGTGGACATCAACAGCGACATGGTTGACGGGTTTGAGGGCGTCCAGGAGGAAGTCTATTTTCGAAAGCCCCTGAAGTTCGGTGGTAGCGACGGACCGGTCATGTCTGTCCACTTCATAGGGCATTGTACTGGTGGCGGTGGCGGGGGCGGGGATGACGGTGACAGAGACGGAGACGGAGACGGCGTACATGAACGATGACCTCCTTGACAAGCAGGCGGTGGGCTCCAAGGAGGAGTGGGGAGTTCGAGAGGAATACCAGAGGGAGCCGAAGCGAATGCACCAGTCAATCCGGGCCTTGGACGTCGCGCGAGGTATGGATGCGAGTTGATACGGACATTCTCCGAATAATATCGGAGTGGATCAGAGTGATTGGACGTAGGAAGGTGACGACGTTGAATGCTACAAGCGTCCTCGACAACTCTCTGGTGATAGTGCCGATAGTGATCCGAATGCGTAATGTTGAGGGAGGGAGGATACGGGGCATGCCTGTAGGGCGACGCGGGATGCAGCCTAGGTGGAGGGTATGAGTAGAAATCAACCTGTTGGTATGACGGATGAGGAGCGTCATCAAACCGAGGAGCGGGCAATCGGCTCGAAGATGCACAAGGCGGTTTGGGGGGAGGTGGGTAAGTAAATTTGGGTGATGTGTCTGGAGAGTCTAGGGGATTGTAGGAGCAATCAACATCACTAAGCCGAGGAGAGGGGAGCAACCGACTTGAAGACCCGCGAGGTGGTTCCGGCGGCATATACGAATATGCGTGGAGGGGATCTGAGCGGTCTCGAGCGAGTTGATAGGAATGAGGTACAGCGGGCAGTCGACTCGATGAAGCACGAGGTGGTTCGGGGGAAGGGGAAGGGCCGATGGGGGACGGAACCGAGTGAGAAAGGTGAGGAGCATCGTCAAACCAAGGAATAGTAGCTATCCGACTCGACGATGCGCGAGGCGGTTGCGGAAGCGCATGACCAGAAATGTTGTATGAGTCGTCGTTATCGGAAATCAAACGCCTGCGAGAACCATTACGAATAGTACGGCGAAAACGAGACCTAGCTTGGTTTTTGCCTCTCTTGAGAGCCTCATAAGCTTCTTCAACATCCGAGGCACGTTCTCCCGACCACTTTTTCTTGCCCGCCATCTCATTGTCCTCTTCAATATGAATCTGGTAATAGGGTAGGCCTGTTTGGGGAGAAAGGTGGAGGGTAGCTCCTCTGACGGGCAGTTTGAAGTTAATATCCGGCACGCCGCTAACGTGAAGATCGTAGAGGCAGCTAGCGACTCGTTGCACGTCCGATGGTCCCCTAAGGACGCGCCTCGTAATCGGTCTTGGAACCCCATCGACGTGTTCGACTGGATCGTCCATGGCTTCATCCTCGTCCTTGTCCTCGTTCTCGTCATTCCAGCCATGCACTTGGATTCTGTGTTGACATCTGTCATCACGATTAGAAAAGCGCTTTGTACACCAGACTTCGCATGCTATCAGAAAGCCACATGTCCATGGCTGTCTGACGACGCTATACGGAAATCATGTCAGCGCCATGTTACAAGGAACATAATGGATGTGCTCACTGTCGATGCATATGCGTCATCAAGTTGTGGAGTTGCAAGATGACTTTAACGTCCTCTTCCGGAGCCTGGCAGACATGGTTCCAAGGACAAATGTAGCCATTGCGGCTGGACGAAGCAAGCTTTAGTTCAATGGATTCCATACGGCATGCCGTGAGGAACATACCCTGCACGGGAATGTGTGCCCCAATGGCGGCCGAGGTCGCTCTTCTGAGACAACCACTTCCCGCATTCGGTGCACTGAACCTGCGGGGCCTTCTGTAAAAGAAATTGCGGATGGGTTAAGCAGACCAGGTCAGTAAAATAATGCTCACTTTTTTGCTTGTCCCTTCTACAACCTGGTCATGCTTCTTCGCGTGAGCATCACCACAGCCCTAGATAACAACGGTCGGAGTCTGGAAACGGGTAAGGGATAGAAGCTCAGACGTACCTTCTTGTTACTTGACTTGCGATTATTGTCGTGACTGTGCCGGCCCATGGGGAAGGGAATTAGAATGGGATAATGAGAGGGAGGAATAGCAAGATCAGGATATGGCACAGGGAAGTTTGCGCCAGTGAGAAGGAGATAGTGGCGGGGAATTGAGGAACATCTGGAACTCACAAACGACGCTTAAGTACCTAGTCATCCGCAACGCAGGTGGCATAATTCACTGGAAATAACAACATACAAGGAAATGGGAGCGCTCGACAATGTTCGCAAAGAGCACTAGATCCTTGCATGCGATGCTTCGACTCAAACAAGCTACCACTGGGTCCCAATACCCAACTATGGTTAACATCCCCGTCAATCTTGCGCAACCAGGGGTCCCTCCTTCCATCTGCCGCCCACCAATTTCATCCAGAGAAATAAGCGTGTAACTACGTTCCTGCAGCACTGCAGCTGAGGCAATCCCAATTAGCGGTTATCTCCGAGCCGCATCCAAGAAAAACGTAGGTTGGGCAGCTAGCCGTGCGCGCCTCTCGCCTCAAAAAAGTCGGACTTGAACGCAAGGTGAGAATTCATGGATCAGAACAATGGAAAACAAGGAGGACACATGGTGATGAGGTGATAAGTCCCGCATCACATCTGCAAGATCCTACGAAGCTCGATCACTGAATATGGTGTGTCTTATTTCACGCCTGGGCCGCCGAGCGCACAAACTTCTGTCTCATGCCCGAGTAAGCAAACTTCAGGGGATCCGCTGTCGGCCTTGAGGACGTACCATTCTGTCGGTTGTGCCTCCCTCATTTCTCATTGACGTTTTCCGATCTGTTTCAATTAGAAGCAATGACATCCGGTGGACGACCGTCCCCCAGAATTCTGACGGACACCAAACGCGGAAAGGGCGAGGGCAAACAAGGATACTTCGTGTTGTGCAAGTCGTCGTTAAGCTGATCCTATTGCTATCAGATGAGGAGAAAGTTCGGCCGATGGAAGACGGCGGACGCACCACAATTCGTTAAGGACGAGGAGCACGCCACACTCGAAAGGAAGGAAATTTCGACCGCCATGACGTTGGGAGAAGCGGAGAGCAATACAGGCAACTTCAGTGAGTTCTAGAGATAGTCCCGAGTGGCTGCTAAGTGGCTCAGAGCGCGTCTAGTTTCTGCTTGGACCTTCCGAAATCATCCTCTTTATTGTTTGAGACAAACCGGCCCAATATGTCTCTACGCTGTCTCTCCCTTGCCTTCGTAGCATCTCGAATTATGGACGAGTCTGCTACTCATCCGGTCCGAATATTTGCTTCCCAGGACTGAAACAGCCTTGCCACTCCGAGTCCTACGACCTCGCCGCTTCTTCTGCCTCACCAACGTCCAACTACGTGTACGTCATTTGGAGTGGTCCATGGAATGCACCTTCCTACCGATTGAACAGCTGAATAGGACGTAATCTTCAGTAACGTGTGGTGTTGCGCTTCCTCTAAATGACCATATCTCGATCTCGCCACTCCAAAATGGAGAAGAAATATCGATGCGAAGGAAGTCCTAGATGAGGATATGTGAATCCTGGTAAGCAGGAATAGCTCTTTCCCGGTGAGGACGTGCTGACATGAGTTTGCGTTACAGTTGGCGAATACGCACGATTAGGCATGAAAGGGATCAGTCATTATGTTCTAATGCTTTGCATGATTTATGACATCGGCACCGGATGAGTGGATCTCTTGCGGAAGATGTCAATCACCCAAGAGGTGCACTTAGACAGTATGGCAGTAAACCATTGCTGTCGGTAAGGAGGTGAGTGTGAAGGGTCCTAATGATAGAGAAAGTTACTAACGGACGTCGATACGATGGATTTATTCCTGATGCAACCTTCCCGACGTACCATTTCAACACCACTCATCCAAACCTTCCTAAACTCCCCTCTAGTCGACTCCTTCATTCACCATCACCTCCGGGCCTGAAGCGGGCTCGAGGATCTTGTGAAAGCTGACTAGCCAGCCATACTGCGTAAGATAAGTACAAGTTCAACCTCGCGTCACTCTATTCCATGGCTAGCGACCTAGCAACATGGTAGAATCGACAACAGCCTGAGCATCCATTGACGATGACAGACTCTGGCTCTGAGTCGAGAGCAGCTTCCGTCGTCGTAGTCATGCCTAGCAAGAGGTTTATGTCCAGGCATCGTTCTTACTGCTTCCCCACCAAGATGAAAGGCTTGTCGAAAAGAATCCTAGAGCTTCAATTGACTGGATGACCCAGTACAGTGCTGTGCTGCGATTCTATCCTTCCAACTTGAAGATCACTCTAGCGTCTAGCCTCTTACGTATACGTTGCTCAGGCTGGCTTGCATCAACGATGCCTCACACTGCCGCGTTGAATCGCCCGCTTGCTCTAAGACGGAGAAATGTCCTGCCAAGAATCGTCCAGACAAGAGGTTGAGTAAATATTATTATAAGTTTCAATCTTTCGCTTTTACAGCTTCGCCCAGCTCAATTCCCGCCGCTTGGTCGAAACTGAGACAATCTATACACAATTCCCCCCGCTCTCTTAAGCTCTCGTCCTGAAGATGACGAGATCTTCTGCGATAACAACCAGGTGACAGCAGACATCGATAGGATACGATTCAGCATTCCGCAACTCAGGAGCCTCTGAATCATTAGGAACAAATCCCAGAATGAGAATAAGTTCCACATGAAAAAGAAATTCGACTTCGTGGTATGTGACGTACAACGATGATGGGACTAGGTCTTGGTCATCACCGTTGTACCTCGCGGACTTTATGGTCCATTGCCTATTTTAGTGGAGGCGAGAAATAAAGTAGCAATCAAAGGTACGAGAGACTTACAAATGATCTAAAATAACGAGCTTGTGGTAGCTAAAGAGCAGGTTGAAAGCTAGCAACGAAACAATGACAGCAAATACAAAGCAATCTGAGGTTTTGGAAGGTAAGGGCTGCGCCTCCGCAGGCTGTCGGATGGTTTCCATCGATTCGCCCTCACCGCCTGGATTCTCCAATCCCCTGATCGACCTGTGAGTTATACCGAAGCCATACAAAACTACTTGGTTGTCTGTCCACACAGGACCGTTCTATCCGGGCCCGTTCAGCCGCAGGAGAATCTAATGGGTTGTACCTGATGTAATGGACCGTCTGGGTGATCGTTTGGCTAACAGAAAGGTCATGTCAGGCTCATGGTCGTCTTAGAACATTCGGTGGGCACTTACGTGTAGCAAACATGGATTGCATCACCCAGCAGGCGCCACGCAATTGGTTGCTCGCAGACGGGGCACGTTCGAGATTGCGCTTGCGACGCCACATACGAAGATTCAGATGAATCGACTTTGGACCCGTCGTCCATGACTGACAACAATGGTTAACGGAAACACTTAACAATTGGATGGCAGTAGCGGACATGTCAATTCAATGTAATGAAGGCCGAATGATTGAGCCACTCACAGTCTCGATGTATACGAGGATGCCTGAAGGGCTGTGACAGAAGGAGGTGAATAGACGCAGTGGGACGCCTGGAAGGCGTGTTGGGAATCCGTCCATATTTGAGCCAAGATCCGTAGTTGATAGTCCGCATACTAATCCCTCATGAATAATGTGTTCTTCGTACTTCAACCACAGTTGGAATTCCATCATCGGATTTCACCGACAGACTTGCAACCGCCCATAGCAGGTCGGTCTGGAGGCTAAAGCATTTTGCGCCCCTTCCACGCTTATGAACGCAAGTCCTTGGGTACATGCTGCACAAATGAAGGAAGCGGTTTTCTTGGGCGACGTCAGGCCGTCCAGGAAGACGGGGAGTGGTCGTTTCACAGATGCCGGGATCAGAACGATAGAACATAAGGGTTCTTGATCAAATTGCGCTACTTGTCCGACGCGCCCAGCAACTAGGTTCTCAGTATCGAACCAGACCGTCCTAGTTCCGGGGTCTGCAACGCCATTGGACAACAACATGTGTCGGCGGAGTTGTATTACCTTAGTACCCTTGTTCCTTTTATCGCGATACCTGGATCTAGATAGATTATATCGTTGAGAACGTATCACAACGGTTTGAGTATTCAGTACGTACTTATTATCTTCAGCGGAACATGATGAAGACCAGAATTCCACCTCGTGTATCGAAGGTTCCAGCAAGGACACCATGAGGAAAGCGCCGCGCAAGTGCAGATGATACTGGGAATGTCGAGGGGCTGTGAGGAGAGTGAGTGGCGAAATGACAAGAGGATCTTCTGGTAGTAACAATCCTTCCCCCCACGATTGCCCCCCTCCTCTTCGACGGTTGCATGCAGAAACAGATACTCACGCGCGTCCCCCGACTATGGGCAGCGGCGGCGAAGAATCGTCCTCTGCGCACACGCAACGACCTCGCTAATAGAGCTGCCGTGTGAGCTGAAGAAGATTGTTCAGACCTCTGTCTCATCAAACTTTGCTGGTGTCCTACCCTCTCAGGTCCATTGGTCCATCGTTAACGAGAACGTACAAGCGTTCTTCTGCCCCGCCGAATGGTGACCTGACAAAGGGACCCTACGCTAAGTTGCTGTGCACATATACCGGTTTATGAGACGACAACTTACTACATATCCATCCTAGACTCGCAACTATCATTTTCAAAAGTTTCGTGTCGTTATATCGTCGACGGGGAGTCTAAGGGTGTGGAGTCGAAAGTTTAGGTTCGTTCGTCATCAGAGCAGTCAAGGTCATCGAAGTCTTAACCATGCTTGAATAGATAGGCATTCTGTAGGACAAATGGAGTCGAATTGGACCCAGTACACAGACGTCGCTGAACGTATCAACGAGATGACCCATCCCGCCGCCGATCCCATCCTGAATATACTCGTCTTTGCTATCACGATGATCGTTTGATGCATGAGAGTACCGCAACATCGATGAGTCTGTCCCCATGAACGATTCCTCCAATCCCAGTTTGACGAACTCGCTTTTCGTCACCGCACCTCTCGCGTGACGTGAGACTGTACAACGACGGATCCTGCAATCACTTTGGAAGCGTCATTTATCCGTTCGGTAAAGTTGTGTCGTTTCGAACATACCCGTATACATGTTGAGGTCAATGTATCCTTTCGCGTCACGCATTGCCCGCTGGGTTTGGGATGGTCCCTCTCGAGCTCTGGTGTGGGAGGGTACTGTGCTGAAAGTCATATGAGTTACATATGAGTTTGAGCATGAGAGTAACTGCTGCTAACTTTGATTGGAATACCAGGTCCTAACTGTTACCTGTGAATACCCCAACATATCTTCAATGTTTGACTGGCATTGGAGGTATGCTGGGATACCCACTATCCTCTTAGTCATGCCTGTAAGTAAACCATTGCATTGGAGATGGAAGACCTACCTGTCCACTATACCCAGTCCATACAATCTGGCAGAAGTCTAGGAAGTTAATTGACAGTCTACTGAGATACATGGTGAGCTAAATAACACATTCAAAACTGTACAGAAACAAAACTCACGAATGAATGCAGCAGATCCTCACAGATCCTCTGTCAGGCAGTTTCAACCTCTGTGGAGGTTTTGCACACCATGTCTGCCATTAAATCTGGAGAGATAGAAGACAGGATTGGTTTCATCAGAGTACATATTCTGTTAGAAGAAACGACATGAAGATGCTGCAATCGCTCATCGAAGTGAGTGAATTTCGGCGATCACGCCCGTAACGAGTACTCAGCATAAGAACCGACAGCTATATACGCTTCGTCGAAGCTGGACTTGCCAAGAACAACAAGGTTGCGTCGTGTACCCTCTCAGTCGAAACGAATTGCTGAGGACATCGGTCAAGCAGATCGTCAAGCGCAAGCTGTGAAGGCCCCAAGCGGAAATTACAACAGGACGAGCAGGAAAGGCCGAGGATGAAGACAGGATGGGTGAGTTCGCGTCCGCCGCTATCTTATGTAGGCTGAGAATCATCCACGCCATCGCTGAAATCTTAGGGAGGCCAGCTGGATTCGGAAAGCACGGACGTCAAGCATGGGTGGGCGTATGGCGAATTCTCCCAGCATCCTCTGCTCTCGTGCTTTTAGTCGGACATCCGGTGTAAATACAGTCATCTTGTAGCAGTTTATATGACAAATTTCCAAGCCATGACCGAGCATCGTCAATATCTGAGAAAATAACAAGTCGAAACGCTTGAAATGAGTGAGAGAATGAGAAAAGCGCCGAACTGGACGCAGCTCTGTGCGGCTATGTCCACGTCGGCTTCACTTCATCCTTTACCATAGCCTTTGCCCTCGACTTCTCTTTCTTCACGTCATCCTCAACTTAGTTTCGGAAACACTCTGGAAACAATTCGGTGAACGACGATCATGTTTCCGACAGCTGCAACGAGCTGGCTCTCGGATACTTCGCCACTGAAGGTGCTGATCACTCGAGCAACTTATCCCTCCCAGCCGGAACCCAACTATGCACTCAATCTCGAGGTGGCGGATTACATCAAGGAGAAGAAAGGCAACACGTACGCAGTAACGAATAGACTGTTTTGTGTCATGTGTACTGAGCTTTATGCGTTCCATAGACCCCGAGAAGCTGCAATGACCATTGCACAACTAGTCAACCATCGAAATCCTCACGTAGCCATGCTCGCACTTGCCCTTCTAGACACTCTGGTACAAACATGCGGATACCCTTTACATCTTCAGATATCTACCAAGGAGTTCCTCAATGAACTTGTTCGCCGATTCCCCGAACGTCCGCCGCCTTTCCCCGGACCCGTCATGTCGCGCATCCTAGAATTAATTCATGGATGGAAAGAGGGAATATGCCAGGAGTCGAGGTTTAAGGATGACTTGGGGAATATCAGGGATATGCATCGGCTCTTGACCTTCAAGGGTTATCGATTCCGTGACATGCCAAGACAACAGTCCGTCCCCCCTGCTTCTGTGAGTGCTGTGATATATCTTCTCTTTGTTTCTTTGTTTCGAAGTACATCCTGCAACCCCTTCCTGAATTCTCTTCGGAGAAGAGAGGGTGTTCGTTAAGATTGTTCGATTCACCAGAAGCACTATGCGCAGTATGATAACATCTTCTCCTTCGATTCGTGCATTCAAAGGTGTGCCTCGTATGCTAACACCTTTCCTCTCAGTACCTGAAAACCGCGGAAGAGCTCGAAAACGAGGATCGTGAAGCACAGTCCGCCAAACTTCAAGAACTTATTCGACGGGGTACTCCTCGCGACCTCGCACAGGCTCAAGAACTCATGAAATCACTTGCTGGTGCCAACCCCGATGCAAAACCGGACTATCGGTCACAAGCCTTGACTGAGCTGAATAAGCTTGAGAATAAGGTTATCTTGCTGAACGAGATGTTGGATAATGTGGATGTTGCCAGAGGGGAAAGATTCGCTCAGGGTGATGTTTACGATGTTAGCGATTTCATCTTTTCACAAAATTGCCGTAAGCTGACGGACCTATAACCGTGTTCCAACAGCAAGTCGCCTCAATATTGAAGAGCGCACGACCGAAGATACAAGGATGGATATCAAATGCCGAAAGTGACGACCCTGAATCGCTAGGTGGGGATCCATCTCTTGTGAGTTTGTCGATACTCACTCACATGTGTACCTTTAGATACGTTCTTGCAAATTAACGATCAGATCAACACTGTTTTGAATCGATACGAATCGTTCAAGAAGGGTGACTTCGTAGCTGCTTCGAATCCAATACCTGCGGAACTGGGCCCGAGACAAAACGACTTATCACTCATTGACCTCGATGAGCCTGCATCATCCGGTCCAGCAGTGGGCACCGGGGCGGGAGGAACTTCTATCAACGAACTTGAAGACCTTTTCGGGTCTTCATCATCCTCAGCACCACCTTCAAGTAAGCCTCAGGCTCCACCTATACCGTCAGGAATGGGTGGAATATCATTTGGTGTTGGTTCGTCCTCCACCCCAGCGGGTTCCCCTTACCCTACGACTACTCCATTTAACCTCGCTGGTGTTGCACCAGGTTTTGGATCGATGAACACGATGAGTTCACCTCCCAATCTCAATATCTCCACACGACCGAGCACTGTGTCCCCACAACCTTCAACTCCTGCTCATGGATCAATACGATTACCTGGTACACCTCAGGTGCACGCACAGAGTGGTCCACGGATGAGCTCCCCTACGCCGAATTACTTTGGTTCGAGCTCAACTCCAAGTGGTCCTGCTCCTGGGTTTGGATTGAATGGAGGCGGCTTCGGCCAGCAAACGTTGCAGCCGCAAACACAATTCTTCCAACAGCAGCAGCAGCAACAACATCATCCTCAGCAGCAGCCACAACAGCCACCTCCGCAGGCGCAATCTGGGCAAGCGCAGGGAAAAGACCCGTTCGCAGATCTCGTCGGGTTGTTCTAGCTTTCTTGTAAATTGTTTTGACGGTGCAAGTGTACGATGGGTGAATGGAATTTCTTCAATATCATATCCTGTCGCAAAGTATTTGTTGGGACTAGTGGGATTCGAACATACGGTTCTATTTGTGTTTTTAGCTGTTGTGCCATGAGCGTGATTACATAAGCCGCGACATGGGTCCCTGCGATCCATATTTGGGTGAACGTCTGTTCCATCCTCCCAACTCAATTTCTAGGTCTTCGCTGTACTGAACGTTGCCCACCATGTCAACACGACCATTGAATGATGATGAGGTTATTAGCGAGATGAACAAGATGGTTAGTAAACATTTGTGCTACAGAGGTCGTTTCGTGTAACAGCCGTTCGGGAAACGAAATCAATGGACTTGGGTACTATCTGAGTGTATGATTATTCTAGGTGGCGTTCATCAAGCAGGAGGCATTGGAAAAGGCCAGAGAGATTAAAGTCAAAGCGGATGAGGAGTTCGCGATCGAGAAGGTATGTTGTTGCCCGCGTTGCTGTATGATTTGGTGAACAATTCACCCTAATCATACGTCAGGCCAAACTCGTGAAACAAGACCAGCAAGCTATCGATCTGCAGTATGAGAAGAAGCGCAAGGGTGCTGAAACTGCACAGAAGATGTACGCATTGCCTTCATTTAGGATTGGCGTATCGTCTAAACCAAGCATTGCAGTGCACAGTCAACCTTGACGAATAAGTCACGTCTCAAACTCCTTCAACAACGAGAGGAACATCTTCAGGACCTCTTTGAAACAGCACGCGAATCGATTCTTGACCTCGCCGCAAACGAAGGCCAATACGTTCAGTTCCTTGAGGGCGTAATTGTCCAAGCACTTCTACAACTTCTCGAGTCGGACGCGACTGTACATGTCAGAGGGAAGGATGTTGATATCGGAAAGAAGGCTGCCAAAAATGCTCAGAAACAGTACACCGAGATCAGTGGCAGGCATGTCGACGTCAAAGTAGAGGGGTCATTGTCGAATGAACTGTGAGTGTTGTGACTACGCTCCCCTTGCAGAGTACAGGATGCTGATGGCTCTCGATTTCTAGAGCTGGTGGTGTCATTTTGATCAGCGGGGACAGGCGCATTACGGTTGACAACACTCTCGACGAACGGTTACGCCTGCTCGAGGATAGAGTAAGTCATAACTGACACCCTCAAATCGAAGCATCAACTCATTCCAATCTTTAGATGCTGCCCGAAATTCGATTCGATCTCTTTGGAGCTAATCCGAACCGCAAGTTCTATCACTAGTTGTGCGCGGATACCAGACATGGAGATGGATCCTGTACCAGTATCACCGAGGATTTTATATAACGGACATCATAATCTACACTCTGACGATTGTAGTTGAGCCGGGGGAGCTGTTGAACGACGACAATGTCTTTCCTTTGTAGACAACCTGAATCGGCCTCGCTTTCGCATGGGTATCAGTCTTGATCGTGATGGGACCAAGTTGGCTGTTCGTCCATTGGAAGTCTACCGTCAAGCCTCCTCTCACCCTTGCGCCCTTAATTGAGCCGGAAGGCCAGTTGTCCGGAAGAGCAGGAAGGACCGTGATGACTATTGGCGTTGTCAATGATGGAACGTCAGGTGCTTGCAGCAATCCGTTCTGTGAACGTATTCATGAACATCAATGACGAATCGTGCAATTATATCATGAGACCTACCAGCAATGCTGCGGGATATCCGAAGTTTGCGTCGATCTGGAAGATTGGATCAACATCGTCCGGGGTATACAAACTGAGTAGATTGGCTCCATAATTCGTCTTGATTGCATACTATGCGTGCTCTCATAGTCGGTTTTAATTTTGATAAGGATCCTGAATGGCACTTACGGAAAGCTCAAAGTAAAATTGACTAGCGTTTCGTAGTTGTGCCCATGCGGCAGCTCTCCAGACCTTTTCCCAGCCGGCATCAGCGTCGGGACCAGTCCCAATCCCTCGATGAGCCAAGCTCGTTGTCGCTGCATCCAGGACTTGGGCTTTGGTAAATGACCTGGTCGCATTTGAAGGGGAGCCCTGAAGAGATGGCTCATAACCTGATACTGCATAGCCGGGGTAGAGTCCAATTAAGTGAGAAAGATGGCGATGTGTGTCTGACGGCGAATCCATGTCGACCTTCCACTCTGTAGGGAGTTCAGCATATTATTTTATCCAGGTGATTAAAGTACTTTCCTTGGAGTTGACCCCATGAGCCTATATGAATGCCTTTGTCCATCCGTACTCGTTTGTCTCGTACCTCTATCGGGTGGATGAATAGCCGAAGAAGATTCTATGAATAACTGCGCCTCACCTGCTAGGAAAGCGGTGTCCGTATCGCCTGAAGCTGGAAACCCTTTCTCGATGGCATTGAAAAGTTGCCAAATGAGCTGCTGGGCGTGTGCACAACCTGCCAGCGGACAGGTTGTTACTCGCCGGCGCAGGCTAAGAGTCACGCAGACTTACCCAGAGTGATAGGGACCTGCTCCGGTGAGTTGCAAGGGCTCACAACAAGAGACGAATCGTTGAAACGAAGGTCAGGAATCAGTTTGTCAAGATGGAACGACGCGACGCCCTACACAACAAAGTTTGTCGATACGAGTTCATCAAGCAATTCAACCCGGACTTACCTTGAGTAGAGGCCAGCCCTGCGCTTTGAACCAATCGAGGTTGTTGGTATAGTCGAAATGATCCCACACGTGAATCATCTATAAATCTTAATAATAATGGCGATGGGGGATATAAGGCACCCACCATCCATACTGCAGATTCTATAACATAGCACGTAAGGGTTGTGTCTTCATGTTTGAAATATAAGCACCCTACCTGGATAATTGGCCCATTGAGCAGAGTTCCCGCTGAGCTTCATGCCCGTATGGCCAAATATCTAAGGCAAATTAAGTACACAACCGAGCTGTCTTGGGGGAGACGCCTACGTTCATCTGAACAACAGTTCTCAGTGGATCTTATTTTTATCCATCGACAAGGAAAAAGACTCACCTCGTTGTGTGTAACCCAACCTCGAGTAATATTGTATAAGACTTGAGCAGTCAACGTCCCTCTTGGAGCCCATGTTTTCTGAGAAAACAGTGAGTAAATCGGCCAATTGGTTAATGCACACTCACCTCGATATAATCGAACAACGGTGTAACGAGGTTCATGTTGGTCATCTCGGCAAACCAGTAGTTCATTTGAATATTAATGTTCGAGTCTGTTGATGTATAAGAGATGCTACCAGTTACATTAACATTCACTCACGATAGTCTGGCGATCTTTGTGAGCATTTTGACATCATCAATCGAGTATGAAATGATGGCACATACCAGCACTCCAAGGATTGCTGATGTCTCGAGCCCATTTGCCTTGCAAGTTAGCCGGCAAGACGCCAGGTGCACTGCCTGTCAGTAGATATCGCCCATAATTGAATAACAACCACTCCAAGTATGTGTCACCAACGTCGGTTTGATAAGCAGCCACCAGTTCGTCAGTCGATCTCGTCAAATCAACCTTCTGTCCAAGTGATAGACTGAAACCTCCCAGGAAGCTCTGATATGATTTCACATGTGTATTCATCAGAGAAGTAAACGACGAAAGTGGTGCTCCGATGGGCGAAGCAGTGTTGAGTGTCGCCACCAGTCCTGAGTGTGGATCATTGCCTTTAAACGAGAAGCTATGAGCAGCATTTCCAGCATCCATATCGTAGTCGGTTGCTCCAACCCAAGTGATCGAAGAGGTAGAAGCGCCAGAAACTATGATAGTAGCGTTCCCACTTCCAGTAGGTGTACAGTTGACTCTCGCAGAGGCACCTGCAGCGTTGACGCGTCCAATAAATTCGTACGTCATCTGAGACTTCACCACGCTACCTCTCAGAATGAGGGTATTATGATCGAAACAGGAAACCACGGGTTGAGGAAGTCCGAGCTCGATCCCAGAGTCGAATGCGTACGTAACTTCGGGGAGTATGGAGGAGCTTTTGAGTTGTTGCGTGCAGGACTTCGAAGGATTGGAACAGAATGAGGTACTGCATGAAGTAGTGAGAATCAAGAGTTGCTAAACGGAAGGAATGGATGTTACCGGACAAGCTTGTTCTCGGAGTCCTCCCAAGAAGTGAAAGCGACAGCTTGATCGAGATCGAGCCATCGAGCATAGTTAGTAACATTGTCCGTAGAGTTCAGGGTCGTTATCAGGTTCCCAGCACCGGCATATGACCCTGAAGAACATGCTCACATTAACATGCCTACAACCAGTACTGAACTATACATTACCGTATGCGCCAGGATCCGTAGAGAGTTCTTCAACATCTGGCTAAACGTTGATTATGAAATTCATCATTATGGGAACCAAACGACGAACTGTCAATTGTCCCACTAGGACTATCAAAAATTGATTGACGAATCTGCTGCATTGCCGCTGCAGTAGCAGCGCGTTCAGAAGGTTGTTTATTTCCACCATTGTAAGTCTATGCGGGAGTAAATCTGATGGCTTGAAGATGATGCTGAAAGTACATACGGGATCTTGAAAAGGACCTCCCGACCACAACGACTCGATATTGAGCTGTGTCACTTCCTTGACAGTTCCGCCGGGTGTCATGGCTATTTTTCTGAAAATGAATGTGCCAGAGGATTTGGTACTGTGGAACTATACCTGCAAGATACCCATTACCGATTGGTAACCATTCCTTCGACCACGATGAACCGGGTGTCTTGTACCACAAGCCATTTCCAGAGCTAGGAAATCCAGGTGGTGCCGCATATGTCGACGAAGCAAAGCTCAGAGTCGATGCAACGACAAGAACAACTCGTATAGACATGGTACGTGTGTCGCCAGGCTGCTGCAAGAAGGGAAAAGATTCTAGAGGAGCTATTGCTGTTCATCGCAGTACCTTATACGCTGAACAATAACCCGTATGCCGAAGGCTTTCGCCAATTACGGGAGATACTATGCCTGGTGACTGCAAGTGAAGCCACGACAAGCATGGTTCAGCTTGTGCGCTCGTAGTTCATGCATTCGATAGCGAGGAGAAGTGTTATCCTCATGACCGGAATAACGCATGAAGTCGAGACACGTGAAGTGTCCTACGCTTGATGAAAACATATTCGGCACATACGTAGATTTCTGTGTTAGAAAGGCTGCGAGTCAGAACGCCGGTCGCGTAGAACTCTACATGCCGCTGTCAAAACACGCATGCTACGCATCGCAGGTGACGAGGTAATAACATTAATAACACTCGGACCGACAGAGAAAGAAACGCGGACCGCAGATTCTAAGAGCATGCTTGAAATAATGTTACTCAATCAGTGGTCCTCCCTATATCCAATGAGCTGAGACTGACAGGAAAGTGCCAAAGTGCCAAAGAACCTAACCCACGTAAATGACATCAGCTGGCATTCATTTGAAAATTAGAGTTCTCAAGGAGACCCTTGAGAACTCTATTTTTAATATTACTTAGGCTCCTTCAGGGGAGCCTAAGTCACCTAGTTGAATAAGTATCGTACCAGCTGCATGGCTGGGGAATGAAGTATGCTGCAGCACGAAAATCAACGACTGTAAGACTTGAACCGAACGTAGGTCTCCTACCTACTAGAGTAATTGAGGCGGCTGACATGTACATACACAGACGTGCCCCGCTTAAATTTCAAAGATTTGGTTGGACCAGCGGTTGAGGCAAAGGTTATATTCTACAGGCAGATATTAGTAGTTGCGAAGAAACAACAAACCCATTGACTGCGTGGGGCCTCTGTTCATCGCCGCAGCGCCTACAGACTGAACAAATTCCCAGCACGTGCAGTTGGTGATCGATACTGGTAGATCTCAATCATCGCGTCGCAAACGCGTCCACTCGCGTCCCCGGTGGTTGCAAATGCGCGTATATAGACTATGCCAGGACGAGCATCGATTTCAAACCGACGATCGTTTGTACTTCATTCCACGAGGAGTCGTTTTTTTTTTTGGAAAGTTAGTGGAGTCAGTGAGCTCCAAAAAATTCGACATAGAACTTGGATAAGGCGAATTCATTAGTCCTGGGAGACCGCTGGAACAATCCAGCAAAAGATTGCGCGGTATTGAAGCAGTAGCGCGACGAGTCACCGCACAAGGAAAGTGAAGGAAGACGTAGCGGGTTTATAGTTCGCATGTTGCATCATGAGAGCGAGTCGGTATGATAACACTCTGTATAACAAATTCGCAGAAGAACGAACATTGAGGTCAACTTGATTCGGCAACCTGAAGATATTCGTCGTAAAGTAGAAGGTGACCACAAAGTGCACCCTGTTGAAAATGAGTGATAAGACGGGACGCCAAGTCCGACTGTCGTTCATGTCGATGGCTCTACGGGACTCACCATGTCCAATTAATGGAGATACCTCAGGACCTCACCAAAGCGTCACAGTCAGAGACAACCTAAGGCACTGATCCTTAGTGTCGGACAATACCCTGGACGCACTTGTCTCGGAAGAATCCAAAGACACATATCGTTATCCATTGAGGTATACATTTTTGACGACCACTTCCAAAAGAATAGCACGCAGGCCTCGGATTCCAGCTGTCTCCGACGCGAAACCGATAGTCATAGGCTCCAACGAAATGCCTTCGACAAAATAAAGTTGACGAGGCGTCATAGAGCCCCATTCGATTCAATTTTCGGTCTTCCATGTTTCCAAACCGTCCTGCTGTGTCAAAATTGCGTATTCGGTCAACATCTGATGATGAGTGACAGAAAACTGAAAAATCACCGGAACTCCTTGATCATCCGGTTTGTACATGGCGATGTTGGCTTTCAACATTTTAGATGAGAGGCGAGGCTGGTCGACCATAAACAGTCAGATGATCATGCCACCAACCTGTGAGTGCTTAGATAGACGGTCTTAGACGGCTCTCTGATAGACAGGGCGAAATGGGAGTCCACCATAATCCAAGCCCATCGTGAGACCGTATAATCATAATCGCCATTGAGAACTGGTCTGATACTTGTGAATCTATCACAGCATGGGATCAAGCACATTGATATGAGCGTACCGAGGCAGGAACTTCGCTTTGAGCTCGATTTCCGACAACACAACGCGCACATCCAAACTGTGCTCGCCGCAGATATGCATCGCAGGTGCCACGCGCTCTTGATTATCGACAAGGATTCATAAGGCTCCAACTCTCATGATGCCCGTACCTGGCCATAAACGACCAGGGGTCGAACATACGTCCTTCCGAATTCGTCAATAGCCAACGCGCTTCTCGAAAATAGAAGACGATGTGAATCCCCAGCGGCCGGAACGCCACCACAAAACGTCATGCACGAAGCGATGCGAAAGATAGCAGAGGCCCTATATATACCGAGGGTTCAATCGACATGTAGTCCCCAGCTTCCCTCTTCCTCGCCATGTCGCACCCGAAACAATACACTGCGTACGCATTCACCGAGAAAGGCGGGAAACTGCAGAAGATCACCGTCGACTGGAAAGATCCTCAGCAAGGCGAGGTTGTTGTCAAGGTCCTGGCGTGCGGCGTATGTGGAAGGTGAATATCTGCTTCGACATCGATGATTATGGCGAAAACTCATTATGGAACGCGCATATAGTGACGAATTCGTAGAGAATGTTGCGATTCCGTCCATCAAGCTTCCTCGCATTCCAGGACACGAGATTATAGGCGAGGTTGTAGCCATCCCTTCTTCTGAGAAGCTCTTCAAGGTCGGACAACGCGTCGGGTCTGGCTGGCATGGTGGTCATTGCTTCACTTGCAACAACTGTCGCCGGGGAATCTTCAACCTTTGCGAGAACGAGGACATCAACGGTACAGATCGCATACATCGCCCATAAGTATTGTACTTCGACTGACATATGCGAAGGTATCTCGCGCGATGGAGGATATGCCGAATACGCGACCTTAAGGTCGGAAGCATTGTTACCCATCCCGGACGATTTGAATGTTGCAGAAGCTGCCCCGCTTCTCTGCGCTGGAGTGACTACGTTCAGTGAGCATACACCATCTCCGCAATACATTACAACTCACGCACAGTGTCTAGACTCTCTTCGTCACATGGATACCCAACCTGGGGACATTGTCGCCGTACAAGGCATTGGGTGCGTATCATCGAACCGCAAGTGGTCCAAACTGAGTCCTGATCACTGAAACAGTGGTTTGGGTCATCTCGGTATTCAGTTTGCGAGCAAGATGGGTTTCCGCACGGTCGCGCTATCATCTTCTCCAGACAAAGCGGATCTTGCTAAAAGACTTGGAGCCACAGCGTACATCGACTCGTCCCAAACTGATCAAGGCAAAGCTCTACAGGAGATGGGAGGAGCGAAGGTCATCATGATCACCGCTCAGAGCGGGAAAGCGATTGAAGGCCTGATCGACGGTCTCAGCCTGGATGGACAGATGCTCATCCTTGGATTCCCCGAGGCCACTCCAATCTGGTTGCGTGAGTTTCTACTTGGCCATGTTGAACGATTCGTACGACTCATATCTTGGGCAATCCAGCTGCCTTGATCGGCAAGCGTGCTTCTATCCGTGGTTGGCCGTCTGGCTCAGCCAAGGACAGTGAGGAGACGATCGAGTTCGCCAAATTCGCAGGCGTCAAGTGCATGATCCAGGAATTCCCCCTCGACAAGGCTCAAGAGGCATATGAACATCGCGGGAAGGCTAGGTTCCGTGCAGTTATCGTTCCATAAATTAGCATCGTTCCATAAGTCAACAATCCATGGAGGGTTCGATGAATCAATAGAGGGTAGAAGGAAGTGACTCCTGTTCGTAGGGGATACAAGGGTGAATAGTAAGAGCATCTGTAAATTAGGCAATCGCCGATTAGCCACCATTGACGTTCAAACAAATCTGTACCTCACGGAGAGCGTTGTTCTATATACGTCTTTCATTTTGGTCTGAAGTGTTGTTGAACTGCATGCTGATTGTTATGAGAACAAGAGAGCTTGAGGAGTTTAAACGTTTTGAAGTGTGACATGATATTAATCGGGATTGTGACACTTTGTGACAGATCGCGTTTCGATCGCGGTTTTTGCTGGTTTTTGCGCGTCGACTCGGAGACTGATGGAGATGGGTCGTCGCTCGCATCAGGCTCAGGTCTATCGTGTTCTTTCTTCATACCGCATATCCGGATCTTTAAAAACACGAGTTTGAGGGGAAACTTTCTTTTGTTGTAATTATCCCTATCTTACAAATGTTGTTACTTATGTACCTTCTCGCCAGCAACAATCGGAGGCCGCATTCTCCCAGTGAGGAGGCCAATCTATAAGTTCATTGGTTATAATTACTCTTGATAACAATAGTTTAATACGGCTAACTATCCGAAGAAGACTTCAACGTCAACCCGGAGCTCCCTCTAGGCCCACAATACAATGGAGCTGACTGAAGTTGGCTGCGGTCATCTGCGGTTTGCATTATCTTTACAGTATTCTCCCGCCAGCAGATGACGTCGGGGGCTCTTACAGGTATGCATTCCCACCACTCACCCATGTAGAGTTTTTGCCCTGCTCACTGGCAGGGGTCCTGGACACACGGTGGCGGCCGCTTTAGCTGTGCTTGTTCGTCGATAGTCAGGAAATCCCAACAAAAATCTGTCATGGTCACACCGACCTTCCACGGATGAACCGTTTATCCTGGTGCATGGAAATGCAATTGCCTCTTGCAATCCCATCTTACAAGCAGTTTCAGGTCCGTGTAGATTGTGCCTCGAGACTCAAGTTAGACAATTGGCAACAAGCTATTGATAGCCAACAAGGTTAAAAGCGCAGTTCCCCGCACTTTGTTCCTAGGACGATACCTTGGATAACGAATAGCTGACAGGCCAAGCCGTCTTTCATGAGAACCTTTCAAGCCTCAAGGTTCGAGGCACCTGGGCGGCGTGGGGTAGGTGAGGATGTAACGGAGGCAGTCATGCGCATCATCTGCCAGCGAGTGCTATGCCTGCTGGCTTTGCTTCTTCATGAATTCCAACGCCAATGCTGTTTCTCTTTCGTCATCTAAAGGCTTCTATTCTAACTCGGTACGTTATGTCATCCGCTGTGGGGTTGTCTGTACTCCCCCCGAACGCAGTGTGATCAGATGAGCACACGACCTTATGCGCATGAAGTTGTAGTGTCAACCGTGACTAAACGTTTTGGGGCGATCAACATCGCTATTCTGGACTCATAGACTTTGTCGTACCTCAAGCATGCACAACGGAGAAGGGTATTCGCAAAGGCGCACGAGTCACGACTCGAATTTAAAACCAGGTATGTACGCCATTATCACTGCAACAACAGAGGGTAACTACAAAAGCCTAAAAATGCATTGCGACAAAAAGGCATAATCGTAAGTGCTTGTCCGTGAAAGAAATATCGTACGTTAGAAAGTCGCAAAATGTGGTATATGATACACAACCATCAGAACAAGTAAAAAGAGCAGGAAGAACACGTCAAAGAGTCTATGATGAATGTTAATAGGAGTGTAGGTATTGTCAAGTCTGTAGGTATGGAGGGTAGGAATGCAAGAAGCAAGAAGCAAGAGTCGGGTCAGTGGCTGCATTCTCTAAAATGAATGGCATGTATGAATGAGTGAAAAGCCGCAAGCGGCTTAGGTAGCAAGCAGAGTGTCCGGGGCACGGGAAATAATCTACGAGTCCATGTCCTATCAGGAATTGAATAGGACGGAATGTGGTATAAAGAGGATGCATGGTGATATCCGTGGACTGATCAGTATGAGAAAATCATGAGCCATGGGTTTAAGATAATCTGTAAAGGAAACTCTCAGTATTGGTGCACAACTGGAGGTTAACTGTGCTACTCACGGGGAAGAGAATGTGGCAGCCTGCAGAAAGTCTGAACGTAGAGTCTCGAGTCAGTAACACAGAGGAAATCACGATCGCACTACTCACGCAAGTGGGAAGATAACGGCCCAACCATCTGAGCCTATCCGCCATTCTACGGGAACGAGCGGTGTAGCAACAATGATGATGCCGACGACGAGAATGGATGACACGAGCAGTGGGAACCAGAATCTACAAATAAGACCGTTTGTTCAATAGCCTGAATTAGGTGTGTGCGGAAAGAAACAAACGTACCGCTTGAAGATCTTCGGGACCTCCTTGAAGAAATTCGAACGTTCGACTTCTTTCTTCGTTGCACCCCACGTAATGTTATACGAGAACATGTGTGCAAGGATGGCTTGGCTGACGGGAATAGCCAGACCACCAAAGAAGAAGAAGCTTCACAGACATCACAGTTAGTCACCTTGCATACGCCGACGAAACCAAGTTGCACTCACAAGAAGGGAATCCACAAGAGGTTCTCGAGGAACGACCTAATGATGGACTTTTCTCCCAAACGATACTCAAGAAGAGTAAATCCAACGTTACCCGAGCCGAAGAAGACGACAGTCGTAGCTAGCCAGATCTCGAAAGAGTGGATATAGAAACCGTCAACAGGGAACTGGAAGCCAAGCAAGACATAGTTGATGATAGAGATCGTGATCGAGCCAGCGATACCATCTACGAAAAGAAACATCAGAAAGTTGAGCTATACTCAACATTGAGTGGGAGAGATACTCACAGTAGGAGAACATATACGCCAACATCGAGATCTTGTAATGCAATGGTGCATTGCTCCACATGAACTTATGGATCTGATGCGCGATAGGGCCCTTCTTGAACCACTGAACGAACGGGTTGAACAGTAGCTCACTACACCCATAGGCATACTTCTGCCAACGATTGAGTTCATCGTCAACGGTAAGGGACACACCCTCCTTGAAGGCACCAAGAGAGTAAGTAGCCCAACGGATGATGAACCCGCGCATTTGAAGACGAAGCGCCATGTCGAAGTCTTCGGATACGTTGGACTCGGACCAGATCTTCTCTTGACCGTCCTTGTCGACAAAGGCAGCATCTTGGATGGCTTTCCATCGAAGGAAGGCGTTGTGACCGACGAAAGGAGCAACTTCACCGTTTGCGCAAGCTACGAAGAAAATAGGTCAGTTAAAAGAGTTCGAGAAGAAGAGTGTAATGCAGCTTACCAAACGAGATACACTTGTTGATACGACGAGTGAAGTAGGCAATACCGTTCTCGAAGTAATGGTGTGCAACCTGCATGACGTCTATGAAAAACAAGCGCCGTCAGCCCATCACGCACAAGATAATCACATAGTTCACCAACTCACCAGACTCGTGCTGGATGATAGCCACCGTAGGACACTCGGCCATCTCCCGTGCAGCATCTCGCAAACAATCCTACAAAAGGACCTCGATCAGCGTCTCCCTCTGTACGACATGTCTCGAAGAGGACTTACTTCAGGCACAATGGTATCCGAATCCACCAAAAGCACAATCTCACCCATCCGAATCGCCCGTCCATTCGCAGCCCAAGGCCTAAATTTCTGTCCTCCACTTTCGTAAACTTCATCAATAGCCATCTGCAACGCCTTCTCCTCCAAGTCCTCCCACTCATATCCTGCGTGAGCCCCAGTGGGACTAACTACATTCCCACTGGCCTCGGGAGCATTAGGGTTCTCATCCACAGGAATCTCCATAACACCCTGATCCTCTCCATCATGATTCTGATACTGCATTCCATACCTTGCCTCACGTTCCCTCTGCATCTGTGCCCTCTCAGCCGAAGAAGGTCCATGTTGATCCGAAGAAGATGCAGCGAGACTGTTCCGTTCTTCCTGTTTGCGCTTCGCCTGGTCTTGCAACTCCGCAAGGTGTTTTTCAACTTTGAGTGAGAGCGCAAGTCCGTAATTCATGTTGGATGCTTTCTTAAACCGACCTGCTCGTACGAAGCCTCCGGGGTTGTCATCGTGTTTCGGACGCGCGACCCAGCCGATACCGTGGTTGGCGTAGAAAGCGATTCGAGCGTCGCGTTCGGCGATGGGAAGTACTCGAAGACCGTCGTCGTTGATGAAAATGCTGGACGTTCCACCCTGGCGAGCATATGTCTGCATGGCCTTCTTCAAACTATCAATCGAGGGTGTCCTACGTACGAATTATAGTTAGCGATATCCATGGTGAAGAAATGCGAAACTTACAAGACATTGTCCAAACTCTCCTTGTAGACCGGCATCTGGATCGTCACATGCGGCAGGTTATTGTCGACAACCTTATTCGGACGAGGCTTCACCGCAGAGTAATACTTGCTGTTCTCATGGTAGTGAGCAATCGGACCAATGACCATGGACACGTTTTGGATGATCTGTATACAGAAGAACTGCGAGAAGCGGGTGTAAACATTAACAGTCAGATTGCGAATAGGACTGACTTACGAGAGCAACGCAAAACAGAAGGGGCAAGACCGCGAACAACGCGAATCGCGTAAAGTTCTGGTCGAGTTGCCATTCGACAAGGATCGTGTTGATACCATTCCCAATGAAGACTGAAACCCAGAGAACTCAGCACCCCCGCATGCAAATTAGCTCGTAAGCACTTACAGATACTCAAACCCGCGGCCAACCCATTATATATGGGGGCATAAAGCATAGCAGGTCTGGGCTCAGGCTCACCCTCGCCATACGGATCCTCCTCAATGATAACTGTCCTTTTCTTGCCCCACCAAGTCCTCTTGGTCTTTGTCTTCTTTCCACCTACAGACTTTTCTTCGACGCCAAGATCGGCTTTCTCGAGGTCGCCAGTGAGGTCTTCCTGCAAACACGAAATTCAAATATGAGCGCCGTTCGCAAGTGAACGTTGGGGGAGAAGGAGGAGGAAGACCTACCAAACTCATACCCTTGACACCTCGGGGTGTCCCAGGCAGCGGGTATGCACTATTCCTCCTCGAATGCGAAGGGAAAGTAGGGGTCGCATTCCCCGGAGCATGACCATGTCCACTCTGCGAATTCACATTCGCACCCATAGACACACGACCATTGAGGTTCGTCGTGGAGTGTCCGCTAACGCTACCAGCAGCACTGGCAGGATGACTACTCATACTAGTCGGATGACTCCCAAATCCACCTGCTCCGGGACGTGAACGCCAGAGAAGCTTGATGAGTCGTTCCTCGAAGTCGCGGCTGGTGGGAATGATGGTGTCAATTGAGTCGGACCAGATGACCATCACTCGTTCATCGCGCTGAGGTAAGAAGCGTAAGTGAGTATATGAAGGGCAATCAGAGAAAAGAAGAACATGTGGAAGCAGGCAAAAGACGGAGGGAAAGGGGGAGCCTCAGAGACCATAGCTTGTTTCATAGAGTGCTCTGTTTGAGACACTCGGTTTCAAAATAATAGGAAACGTTTTACTCGTAATCATAAGCGTACCCCTTCTCCTCATAGTCGCTAACGAGAATAAAAGAAGCATGGCTGTTTAGCGACAACCATGACAGTCGAAGAGTGCAGAATTGTCATGCTATCCCAAGCTTAAGCTCGTGATGAACTCGTAAGCAAGGATGTGAAATTCACGATCACGATCGAGGAACATTGAAAGCAGTGAAAAAAAAATGTGGGCGGACAAGACTCACGATGAAAGCGGCACACTGCTCTTTATCGGCAGTAGGAAGATCCATCATGGTTTCGAGGATCTGAATACGCGTGTTAGAGTCGACGTAGATCGAGTGCTCATCTGGCGCCCTGAAAAAGCAAAGTGATAGTTAGCACGCAAGTATCGAAGAACAACCGAGTATTACAAACGCAGGGACACTCACACTTCAGCAAATGCAGCATGAACAGCGGCACTGCGAACCTTTACCGCAACGGCAGGATTGAGAGCAGACACGGCGGCTTCAAACGGCTCCAAGTTCAGGTTCTCGTACGGGAAGACGCGAAACTCTGGGCCATTATCCACCCTCAGGGCGACACCGGCCGACAGGTTGTCCTCGTTGGGACGAAACCAGGCATCGCCTTGAGTCTGCTTGAAGATGTGGTGGAGGAAAGCGTCGTAGCGGTCGTAGTCCATGGCCATAGTGGGCTACGACTTGGGGCTAAGGATGGACGACGTGAGGGGAAAGGATGGTGGGGGTGAGGAGGAGGAGGCCGGCGTGAAGGGAGAAGGTTTACGGAGTGAATGAGGGGCGGTGGGAAGAGGGAGGAGCGAGGAGAAGGGCTTGCGTTGTTGCGAAGAGAAGAAGGATAGGGCGACGAAATATTGCCCACGCCCTGCATCAGGCTTCTTGCAATTTCTAGGTATATTTTACATTAGTGCGTATCCTTCCTCGTGTGGCAGGTGGAACGCAGAAAGTGGGCGTCAGGCGTGTACATAATAGATAACTTATCAGAACCACCTTGTCAGCGAGTAGCTCGGGGGATAAGCCTTTTCGTTGCATTTGTGGTTTTCGCATGGGCTAATTCCACGTACCTGGACGTCATTGAAAGAGCGTTGCACTAGAGCTGGCAGAACAGCACCCGCTGAAACTGAAACTGCGGCCATCCACCAACCAGAGGGCGCATTTAGCCGCCGCGTCATCGATCGCGCCCCGATCACTATCACTAGCCCGATAGAGTCGGTCCCGACGTCTGCCTCCAAACGTCTTCCCCACCTCCTTCTTCGTTTCAAGCAGGCCCAACTGCAAATCGCGTCAAAAGCCCGAATTGCCTTTTGGATATTCACAGCGTCTGGCAACACATCGCCGGTTATTTAGAGAACGTGTGGTTACGAGCACCAGGTGGCTGGGGGGTTCAGTGGTGCAGAATGACCTTCGTGACGTCATCGCTGTCAGTGTGTTGTTTTGCCAATGCACACTTGAAGCGGGATCTTGATCTCACAGCTAAAATAATCGTCTGGCCATCAATATCTCAATTGCAAGCTGGAGACGATGACGTCGGTGCATCACTCTCCGTCTTGTTGTCTTCCACGCCCTCGTACATGAAGTAGCCCGCAAGCAGGAGGCCGTGGATACAATCAATCTTTTGTCGTCTTCATGAACAAATAATATTTGCTAGCAACCTGCGCCACCACACCTTCTTGACAGGTCGACAGGCCGGCAATTCGATGCTAATTGTCGGGATCATTAACGCGTTCCTGGGACCCCTGGCAGTCTACGTTGTCAGTCCTCCCAAACAAGCACCTTGCAGACCTATTGGGTCGACGCGGCTCCGTATATAGAAACGTCTTGCATGGTTGTCATGTCGGCGAAGTTGGAAGGTATCCGTCAAGGCTTATCATATCCGTTGCAGCGCCGGCAGTCAACGACGGACTACTTTAGACAATCGGTAGCTGGATCCTGCAAGCTGAAATCCAACTTGAAGTATCTTGCAGCAGCGGCCGATCATGTACGTTCGCCGAACTGTCTCGTACCGTTAACCCGGCTGGTGATAAGGATTTTGCAGATTCAGCAAACGCACTCCCAATCTTGCTCGCAATACTGTGATGGGACGTGCTGGGTCCGTTTTCGGAAGAGAATTACGGGACATCGGAGACTTACCCTTTTCTATGAGCATTGATTGGGACAGACTTCTCGATCCTGAAACTCAAATACAGGATTCAAGTTAGAGTCAAGCACTGGCCAAATTTGTAGGCTTTCCCTTTTCGACCAGGAATCGACGACAGACACCTAGCGAGGACATTTCTGAAACGAAAAGTACGGCATCGTACCCTTTTCACCTGGCTGTTCACGTCGGTCGGGATTGGAATGAGGCCAATTGAACGTTCAACGCGTTGGTATATGAGAGATAGAGTTTGGTGGCCTCTCACCATGCCGTTTCTTAATTTCTCAAAGTGAAGAACATTAGAGGTACCTTATCGCATCGCAGGCCTCGTAACCCTCATGGATGTTGTCATTCCATGTTCATTTTGATACTTGTGCTCTGGCAGGGTCTTACTAGTATGTGCATATAACCACTTTCCTTGCCTTCGTGTAACCTGATATCATCACTATATGCGCCCAGAGATCTATCAATTATAGTGCCCGGGGTCTTCATCGACGGCATCAAGGATGATTCCGTTCTCACGCAGGTTTTTAAGTGGTTGAAATGATAGCTCTTCGCTATCGCCGGCCGCATTTCTTGCCAAAGCTTCTCGTCTGGATTGAGTAAACCATGGCCGATACGCACGCTATTCGCCTTGCTCCAACGTGCAAACGTACACAAACCGAACAGTCGCTTGGCCCTCCGGGTTTGTCTTTCCCGCGTATCCTTCCTCCACGTCTGCTTCCATTCCTCTTTCACCCTCCTCTTCCAGCTCGACCACCACCACAACAGTCACTGTCGAATATCGTAAGCCCATCTCTTCATCTTCAAGTGGAACTCAAAACCTTCGGGCCTGACATTTTTCATCTTCACTGATAGTGCTTAGAGTGAAAGGGTGACCTGTCTTTACCATGGCTTTCCGCAGACGTGACTCCCGCAATGGCTATTCCTCCGCAGACGCTTATCGTTCCCTTCATAACCCAGGGGATGCCTTCAACTTCCAGGAGGACATTGCTGCTACATCCCCACATCCCTCTGGTGGCCACCACCGTGGTGTTTCCAGTAGCGAAGAAGAAGAGGAAAACGTTGGAAGTGTGCCCCCCACGCCGTTCTCCCCAGATTACACGCAGGTGGACGAACGCACTGGGCTTACAAGCGATATGCCTGCTCGTCCTACAAGTACGGGCGATTCAGACCACGACGAGGTCTCGTTGAGTCCCCCACGACCTTTCTTCCTCGGGAACGGACGACAAGCATCGAGTGATAGAGGTAGTTGGAGTTCCACCGCTACACTCGAAGCCGCTAGTGATAGCGACGTCGCTTCCACCGATTCTGTTCCTAGCCGTGGCGCTCCAAGACGTCCCAGCGTCGGTACCACGGTTACGACTGCTAGACGCTCCAGCAACTCAGGCACTTCTGCTCCTCTCATCATAGGGGGAAGCACCAAAGCCTCACGTGCGGCAATGAGGTATGCCAACGCTCACCGTGACCGTTCTGCCTCTGCTTCGGAGACAGCTGCCGCGGTTGTTGCTCCTCCCCCGCCGCCATCAGTCTCTTCTGCGGATGTGAGAGCTCGTAACCAACAGCGTAGAAGGTCAACGTTGGAGGAGACTGCTTCTATCACTTCCGACTCGCAGGGCGCAACGACGACCGTCGAGGCGACTACTCCCAGCGCAGAACCGAATCCGTTCGACACCCCTACGTCTTCGGTATATGTTGGTTCCAGCTCGAACGTCACCCCTCCCTCTCCCTCTACCAACACCGACACTTCTTCCGAAGTCGCTCCTGCACCGCCGAAGTCGCCTACTCCTATCCAACGCAAGACGACTGCATCTAAACCTCCGAGCTCGCCAACGATCCCTTATGCTCCACAAGCGAGCAAACCGCCACCATCGGCATTCCCCTCTTTCCCCTTCCAATCTCATCCAGGGAACCCTGACCCCGGCACACCCATCCCGGGTATCCCTCGTCGTTCTTCCCTCGAAAGTTTCAGGAACAGCATTCCGAGACCTACGTCTGCAGGCTCGCATTCTACTGTGAACTTGCAACAAGGTGGCGTGGGGAGTGTGTATCCTATTGGGTATGCTGCGCTGCGTGGAGGGGAAAGCGTGAGTCAAGTCGAGTTGGAGAGGCCGAATGCGGCGTTCATGCATGAGGAGGAGGGAATAAGGGAAGGGAGCCCAACGCCCCCACCTATGAATAACGTGCCTGGTGTGTACAGGAATAGTGCAGCCGCTGCTATGGGAGCTAGTAATGGACAACTTGCGGGCGGTACGTCTTCATTTTGTCCTTTCGAAGTTTCTAATATGGAATGAAATGTTGACGGAAACCACCTGTGTTTGATGATGTTATAGAACCTAGAACTGCGATCCCGCGCACGTCCTCTGTTCCCTCTATCGCCATGCGTGCACCCTTCCTCTCCCCCGCCTCACGTCCTTCGTCAACCCTCTGGTCTCCTCCTTCCTACCCATCTAACCCTTACGCTTCCAATGCGGTTTACCCACCTGGGTCCACCCCACCCTCTCTTCCTTACCTCCCCGCCAACAGCAATTCCAACCCATACCTCGCACGAAAGATCAAAACGCCTTTGCCCAGTTCTCGTCTCGTCAACAAGTTGACGAATGAAGAGAAACCATGGGTAAATCAAAAGGATCGTCGGAGTCGTGCGAGTTGGTGGTTAACGCTCGCGTGTTTCATATTGGGTGTTGGGGCAAGTGCGGTGGTGTGTTATCTTGGATGGACGGGGGTGAAGTGGTTGAAGGATGAGGACATTTGTGAGGTGTTTAGTGATGACTTTAATGGCGGTTCGTTGAACACGGATGATTGGACGCCTGATGTTGAATTGGGCGGGTTCGGGTATGATTACTTTCTCCTATCTCCCGTTTCGCTTTCTGAAACTCATTGTGTTTTTCCTTGGTTTTTTTAGGAACGGCGAGTTCCAGATGACGTCCAAAGATCCGAGCAATCTCTTTGTGCAGAATGGACAGTTGTACATTGTCCCGACTCTAACTTCAGACGAGATCGGCACGGATTCTGTATTCGATAACTACAGGTATCCACTCAAAGATTGTACCGCCAGCGGTAACGCCGTACGTCTCTCTTTCTCGCTCTTGTCTATGTACCTCCTTTCTCTTCATTGGGTACTGACATGTAAATCATATCCAGTCCGCGTGCTCCGTCACCTCTAATAAAGACCGCGGCATCGTTGTCAACCCAGTCAAGTCCGCACGTATCAGCACTAAAGGCAAACATGCCATTCAGTTTGGTAAGGTGGAGGTCAAGGCTAAGAACCCCCGTGGAGATTGGCTCTGGCCCGCAATCTGGATGTTACCAGAGGATGATCGTGTGTATGGTCCATGGCCTATTGGTGGTGAGATCGACGTAAGTGTTGCTTTAATTCCCTTCCCAAATGTTATGATAGGGCCTGGTATTCACAATTGGGTATGTTAATTGTAGATCATGGAAGCCCGAGGAAATGGACCCGAATACACTGCCCAAGGCATCAATTATGTCCGTTCGTCACTCAACTACGGTCCCCTTGCCACCTTGCAAAGCCATATCTTCGGCTGGTGGTCCAACAAGCGCGCTTCGTACGACGGGGAGTTCCATACGTACACCATGGAATGGACTCCGGATTGGATGCGGTTTTATGTGGATGCACGGTTACAAGCGATGATGAATGTCAAGATCAACGGCAGAGGCGGGAAGAGCTTCTTCGAGTTGGGCAATTACCCAGACACGGCTAAGAATGGGAGTGATGCGGATGTGGTGGTTACGGATGTTTGGGCTGATATGGGTGGAAGTCGGGCAGCGCCTTTCGATCAATGTATGTTTTTGTGTTGGCCTATTATTATCCGCTGGCTATCCTCAGATACTGATATGCTTTGATTGTGGTAGCGTTCTACCTGATCATTGATCTTGCGGCTGGAGGCACTAGTGGATGGTTCCCCGATGGTGTCGGTGGCAAGCCATGGTTCGACGGTTCGGCGACGGCTATGCGGGACTTTGCAAAGGACCAGCCTAATTGGTCCAAGACTTGGCCATCGGACACTGGTGACCGTGCTTTCAGGATGTAAGTCTTGCTATGTTCCTTTTTTGTTGTAGGAGTGAAGCTGATGTAAACGACGTTGTAGTGATTCTGTGAAGATGTGGAAGCTCGGGAAATGCTGAGCGTTTGGCATTTGCCTCCCTTCGGCTTGAAGTACTTCAGGAGAATGTGATCTCCCGATACCCGTTCTCAAGTAACACCCAAATCCGATATATACAAAAGCATCGAAGCTCTCAACGTACCTATACTACAAGCTCGACATTTCGAGCCCGGACGATCTCTTCTTGCAACACACGGACCTTGAACACACGACTTTCCCCTAGCCTACATTCTACTTCAACATTACATGCCCTTTTACTTCATGTTGCATTCATACCCATTGATGGACCTTTCTCAACTTATTACGCTACCCCTGTTGCCTCTTTTTACCCTTGGTAACCGTTTTGCTACTCATTTCCTGCTCACTCACGATTTTGACTCTAGATCTTGTAGCTCTGATACTCCCCTTCCCTATTTCTCTCCCTATCCTAAGTACATCCTGTGGTCCTGATATACGCTTTGGCTCGCATTTGCGACCTGTCCATTCATTTTAAACGCTGCCCAATATACTCTGGCGTTGACGTAGATACCGTTACTCGTCAGACACCTATGTATAGATTATTGCTTCTTGCTCCTTGCTCGCTCCTCTCGGTCAATTGCATTCCTCACTTACGACTCTACTGACGTTTGCGTCTAAGAGAATGGATCATTGCTGTCATCATCGGATTACGATTTCGTGAAAGCGTTATAATTAGTTTCGAGTCTTGCGTCTGTCTGAAATCATGTCCGTTACGACATTGGTGCGGAAGAACGCATTTTGCTGCTCCAAGGTCACGTAGAGTGATATCATGTATTCAATCGTCCCTTCACCCAATGAAGGCCCATGTTCCCAACGAACAGGGGAGGTTTCGCCGAAGCTGATCTTGAGTTAAACCGGCTTAATTTCAGTCCGGTCTTATATTAGGGAACTCTAGGTGACAGTTGTCAGTTGCGCATGCACGGTCTTGTCCTTCGATAGGGAGCAGGACGTGGATACCAGGAACGCTATCATGTTAAGCATCTTGAGGAACCTAACTTGGGGTAAGCAAGTTGTCATGGGATTGATGAAGGGAGTTACGGCGACCAAGGGTTATAAGGCAGGTATAAATAAAGAGGGGGTTAGAAAGCAAGAAGAGAGACAGACTCGCAGAGCACAAAACCCACCGGCAGGTGGGACAGACTGATAGAACATCACATTGCAAGGAGAGCCGACGTTGGGATTCGAGCCCTGGAAAGGCTCAGCAGAAGTAGGGATCGTGAGTGTCCGGGGTTCGCTAGGAATTTTCTTCGGAGGAAGAGCGTTACAAACCTTTTCTGTACGCCTTGCTTCCTGTGGTATACATATAATCAACAGTTAAAATGACAGTATCGCCATTGTAGCCGGAAGCCACAATTTGAGACCGCAGTTGTATCTGAAGCTTACATTGAACCTCGTGCGAACTTGAGATGAGTCTGTGTCCATTAATATAGTGCCGAAGATAATGCCAATCAAGTGAACCGTCTACAACGATGTTCAGAAGAGGCGTTTCCGCCACCAGAACGCGGAACATATCGATGAAAGTCGGTAGCGATCGCATACTCACCGAGTCCACGACACTTAGGGTCATTCTTGTGAACGCAGCACACCTGTGGCAGCCACCTGAGACAAATGTCCCATGTACAGAGGGGAGGTCGAAAGTAACGTTGACTAAGCTGGTCAGTTGTTGAGCAAGTATGGGCACAGAATAGTAACCCACTCACGCATACAGACAGCTGTGATTCGATGCGGTTTCGACTACCGTTGGCATCCTCTGATTCGAAGGTCCAAGACGAACAGACAGTGCCGGCCCCGGGTTCCATTCGACTGTCAGACCACTTCGAAATCAATGGTCTGACAACTGCGGTCGGGATTCGGGATGTTATATTAGTTCTACTTTCCTAGAAAAAAACTGTCTATATGATGTTTCACAGTAGTTGACGGAAGTGCAGGAGTAGTCAGATGGGCTGGAGAAGAAAGAACCGACTTCCCTCAGCAATCATGATCGATTGATCAACTCGTGACGAGTTATATGCCCGCCGGTGGAAAGTACATTGTCCGCCAATGTCCGCCAGTGTACAGTGGCGGACTTCACTGTAGACGGGGGACTGGGGTGTGCCGGACACTGGAAGCCACCAGTTGCCGATGGCTGCCGAGATTTCAAGTGCCTGAGTTGTGCATGCCGCAGTCGGAGCTCGAACTGCGGTGTTTTCCGCCGGTGGCTGTCAGGTATTACTGGCTTCCAGTGGCTGCCACTGGTCGATGTCGGTGTTTGATGGAGGGTGTCGGGACTACGCTGGACGTTGGTGGCTTTTAGTGGCGGCTGGGGGCCTTCGACGGCCTTCGACGGCCGACACCAAAAGCCGGTAGACTACGAAAAAAATATATCTTTTGCTTTGACACCCACTAACATGTCGACCCCCATTCAACCCTCAGAGCCAAAAAATGTTCAATGGGAACATGTCGTCGGCCCTATTAACAACAAGCGCAAGAAAGCCCACCTTCAGGCGATCACACTCGCCTTGGGCATCGACGACAACGGCAAAGTTCTGGAACTTGTTGACAGGATCAACAGGCACATCAAGGAACACCATGCTCACCTCTCCATTGACCCTCGCTTCCAGAAGCTGTTTGTCTATAGGCCGGATACAGTTTCATCAACAAAGGCGGACTCCAAAGAGACTGGTAAAACCAGTGCAGATAGAACAGCCGAGGACCTTGCTGAACAGCAGAAAGCGGCGCAGGAACCTACCGGGTAAGGATATGGCGTCCATAAAAATACTCTGCATGACCGCTTACCTCCTAAACAGAGCACATAAGAAACTCCTCGATTTAGGAGTTTCCACCGATCCTCCCGCGCAGTTCGAACGTCTCGACGCCCACCCTTCAATCACCGTGGGGCCTCAGGAGTCTCATAATGCTGTTGATTTCTGCTCATCTCTGAGTCACAGCTCTGATGGTGATCTGCCGTCCCCTCGCCCAACGACTCCTACAAATGAGGTCAATAATATGGAGGACCCTGAAGAATTAATGATGAAGACCGTTACGCCGGTTCGCATGCAACACGGAATAGATAGTATGTGCTAGAACTTACCGGCCCATAGGGAACTTAATCTGACATCTTCTGATCATGTGCTGTCAGAATCCGTTGTCGTTGCATTTCATGATTACCATAACCATGGTAAACCTGCTCATGAGGTTTGGCTTCCTGATGACCATGGTGTTCCTGTCATTTGCGAACGTCAGGGTGACGAGGCGGTCTTCACCACGAGGCTCTCAGACTTGCTTCCAGTGGCAATCGAGCATGATACACCTGTCAAAAGTAAGTGCTTCATATCAGAAGTGACTTTGCACATATCAGGTAATGGGTTTACCTTATTTTACAGGTAAAGGTGGACGTCTTTATCGCGCTGGCTTTACTGCAAGCGGTAGCCGGATTTCGCTCGGCTCCCTTGACACGATTCTGCTTGCAGCGAAGTCAAAGCGTGTCGAGGATATTCCGAAGACTTTGCGTCTCTCCAAAGTTAATAAATATGCATTGCGAGAGAAGGAAGCCGATGATGTACTTGTCTGTGATATTTACCTGGATTCGAGTTCATCACAGGTGAGAGAATATGTTATCAGTATCTTCGGGACTTGGGCTGAGAAAGTTTAGGATATCATGGCGCCAGCTGTTGTATCCAAGTTGAACGTTGATGACATTGATGGTAACAACAACGAGTCTGCTTTTGATTGGGATGATACAGGTGACAAGGCATCTGGCGAACGTGCTACGACTCCCACCGCTACCGATCACCATTCAGCTCCAATGGCAGAAGAAAGCTTTAGCGAATTTCTGAGAGGTTTCCTTGGTGCTGAGAAAGCAAACAACAAGAAAGCAAAAACCGTTGGTGATATTCTTCGCCGACATCTCAGACTGGTTGCTGCTATTGAGAAGCTTGAGAAAGCTGATTGGGCACGTTCCACAGGTGGATATCAAGTTCCGAACGGTGAATTTTCTCTTTCTTTGCATATATCAGGTTCTGATGGAAATTTAGATCACCGGAGTAGATTCGCCGGGCAGCGGTTTACCAAAGCTGAAGTTCACGAGGCTATGCAAGTAAAGCACTCGCAAGCCAATTCCGATGCATCTCTTTTCAAAACACGCGAGTTGATGAAGCTTTCAGAAGTTCAGGCTTGGTTCAACGAACCAGAAGGCAAGTATAAGAAGAGATTTGACCTTATGTCATTGAAGGAGTTTCAGGAATATAAGGCAACAGCCCTTAGCAAGGAAAAGCGTAAGAAGGTGAAGAAGGACAGTGGAAAGGGTAAGAAGTCGAAAGGAGATGATCATGGAAGGGATGGTGAATCATCGAAGGGAAAGAAACGTGCTGAGCGAGAGAGCTCAGTTTCAGAGACGGAACGTGAAGAGCATACAAAGAAAAAGAGTCGACACATCAGTATCAACTCCGATACTATTGATAGTGATATTTCCGAGTAGGAATAACCATGCTCATGACATTGTAGAATGAAGTAAATAAATTACCCAAATTAGCACTGCCATCCTTATGATCGACAGACCAAAGACTACACCTATAGGACTCAAAAATGACAGCAACAGTTAGAGACTTCATATTCATTCTCGAGACTTTCTTTCCTGGTGAAATGACTCTATTGCGAGCCTTCTATGTCCTTGCTACACTGGTGATGCTATATCCTCTGTTGCAATTACACCAAAACCAACAAAAAGAACCGCGCCAACCAAATGAAACCGCATGGAAGAAAGCCATCCTGCCACTTCTCAAACGAGCCTTCAATCCTGCCCTATCACTTCCTGAAGCCTTTGATGACACCGAGCAAGGATTTCAGACTGCAGAAGACCTCTACCATGATATTGAATCAGTACTCGAGTTTCTTGGTATTGATACCAGTATTAATACCCTACCAGACATGTTCACACCCAAGCCAAGAATCGTCCTATGCACGCAGCGCCGTAACTGCATCAGATGCCCTCCAACTACCCGGTTCCGTTCACTCCGGAGACGTCTCTCCACCTCTTCAGTCCAGGTTCTCACTGCCAGTCTAACATGGGAGGACGGTGAGCTTGTTGTTGCACACTGCTCAACTTGCCAAGCCGATTACTACCCTGACCGTATAACATTCAAAGATGAGAACAACCGAAGAGTTCAATGGCTCGAAATTGACGCACCATATCTGCGAGTCTCAAAACATGGACGTTGGGCAGCTCGGAGAGTTGCCCGTCTGCAGGAAAGCAGTTTGATGCGATTTCACGCCGGATGGGCTGGCTTCGCTGACTTACTTAATGATGTCGCGGAACCAGTGGGTCAGATAACCAACCGACAGTCGCAGCGACTCTTTCTAGAGTACTTCGCTCGACGACTACTGGTTGCACATGGCAAGACCAGAAACTTCACTTGCGAAGCGCACCCGAGTGCGCGAGTCTTTGCAGAAAGGGTACGAGATGTAATAGGCAAGAATGGGGGAGTGATGGTTAGCGCTTTGCGCCATACCTGCATGGACTGCACTCACCGGAAACGATACCGTAGTGACCTCATTGCAGAAGGAGCAATTCTCGATGACGTTGGTGACAGAGTTGCTATTGAAGACAACTTTGAAGGCATCCCTGGTGGCGAGCGATCCCTTGAAGATAGTGATGAGGTTGGGGCGAATATGCCACAGTTGCCACCAGTACAGAATGAACCACCCGAAGATGGTCAGCGAGGTTACGTGCGAATGGCAGTCATGGATGGTAAAACGATCGGACATAGAGTGAGTTCGGGTGAAGCTCGAATGCGCAGAAATATGCTCACCTCCCGAAAATAGGTTTGCGCTGTTGATGCCTGTGAAAACCCACTCGTAAACTACAAAAATGGTCGCTTTTGCGAAGATCATCTGTATCTTCGGCATATCTGTGGAATCATACCGTGTGGCCATCAAGTGGGCTCAAATGGGTTAACCTGTAATGATCCAGTGCACGAGACATGGTACCGTCAATGGAAAGGTCGATTCACGCGCATGTCGTATCCTGGAGTCCGCCGCGTCATTCGTCAGCAGCGCTCGCAACAAGCATCAGGCAATCTATCAAACAATAGACCCACCTTGCAAGTACAGCTGGCACCGCTTGGAGAGATACCTGGTGAAAAGGTGGTGCACACCTTTCAAGCACAATCTGTGTACTGTCTGCAGACAGTTCAATGGGCATGTAGTATGCCAATCGGGTGGGGAAAATGTTATCGTTCAGAGAGCGCACCTCAAGTTCTGGCCATTCTTGACCGTATCTGGCTAGACCATCCAACACTTCGGCCTAGCTTCATTGCCTATGACGATGCATGCGATCTCCTACGCCATATTGTGACTCAGGATGCACAAAATCCGTGGTTAAAGTCGACGAAGTTCGTCGTCGACGCATGGCACTATATCGGCCATCGTGCTACAGACATCCTCTGTCGAGTATGGTGTAATCCGGCTCCAACCAATGGTTCCCAGCCAGATCTCGTTATTGTGGAGGAAGACGAAGAGGGAGCGAGACATCAAACGCGCGCGTTCAACACGGAGACAGCTGAACAGCTGAATTCATGGTTAGACGGATTCGAGGCGCAGCTTTCACAGATGACCGATGTCACCTACGACTTTTTTGTCCATGTGCTTTTCCTTGTGTATGGCGAGCTTGTAGAACACCGTATCGCACGTAAAGACCGCCATCTGGCAGACGATTTCTGGCTAGAGCACGAAACCGAGGAGCAGTAGAGAGGGGAAGAATAGGAATGTTGTCGCGTTGTGGGTGTTTGTTCAGCGGCCTGTTTGGTCTATGTATGGTCATTTAGAGCGCCGATTCGGGCAAGGCATCTTTGTCGTGCATTCTCAGACTCATACGTCTTACAATTCAAAGCTCGTTCTAATGACTCAAAGGTCTCTAATGCACTCAAAAACTATGCTAGCCACTCCTATGCTTAAACTCTGAGAGCACTCCCCTATAGCCAGCAAATATCACTGTACTTCACGGGCAGACGTCAGATTACATTGGTATCCACTGGCCGCCAGCGTACGACAACTCGCTTTGCCCTGGTTTCCGCCGAACGACGACAATAACCACTGACTTCACTGGATGCCAGCGAACACGCACGCGCGGTCCGCCGCCCGCCACTTTCCTGCAATGGTATGTGCCGGCGTCCGCCGGATACCGCTGGCCGCCTATGGCGGCCGGCGGCCTTTCCACCTCCGGGCGTATTACTGCTCGTGACCGCGTCGCGACGCGTCGTCTAGAGCGCCTATACCGTGTCTCCATTCTTGCCTCTCACCCAACGCTCAACGTCAACGCCTAACAGCCTTCTTGCTTGATTCTTGCCCAATGCATCCTACGTCTGGAAATTTCTAGTTTATCAAGGGATAGCTATCTGTGTTGTTGTTGCTGGATTGTCGGATTTACGATGCCAGAATTGTCTGGATTTATAGCGCGACTGCTACTGGACGACCAACCTACAGACGAATACGAGGTTAAAATGGAGAATGGAACGGACATATCATGTTTCATTGCTAGCGAAGAAGGGAAGGTACGCTAACAATTTGCATCAAGCTCAATTTGTTGTTGGCTCAACAAATGTCATGAATAGGTATTTAGCATAGAAATTGCCAACGAGTCTGCGCATGAACTAGTGGCATTTGAGATGTTTGTGGATGGAACTAAAATTGATGCTTTCGTACTGGAAACTGGAAGCTGGAAAGTACGCGATAAAGTCAAGACATCACCTAATATTTGGAGGGCGTTGCGTTTCAGTAAACTCACTACCACCGGTAATGCCCTTCAACAAAGCGTCCTTGTCATCACTCACAGGTTCTGGCTCTGTTTACAGAGGTTGAACCTGTACAGCCTTCAAGTGCTTCCGATGTAACTTCCGTAGGCACCATTAAGTTCCACGTGTGGCGCATCGCACGAATGAAAGAGATGGGCCAGACCAGCTCATGGGAAAGAAGCCTGCCCAACACACCAATACCAGAGACAAAGAAGAGTGCTGTCTCTCATCGAATATCGTACGTTTTTAGTTATCTTGACATACGTTGACCACTGCGAACTGTGTTTAGCCTTGGTCCACCTACACCTAAACCTCGCGGCGTACGGATGCTTGTGCGTCGCCTCGATCCAGAGCGTGGACCTGTCGCACGAATAGTCTTTCGATATAGACCTAAAGGTATATCTCTTCCCCATTCCTATCAAGAACACGACGCTTACTCTGCTACGAAAGACCTATTGCAAGCACAAGGAATTGTACCCGCACTCCCTGGAAGACCCTCAGACATCGCACCGCAAGGTATGAAAAGAGCTGCATCGGAAGATCCTTTTCAAGACGATAGCGATATCCGCAAAGCGAGGAATAATCGGCGGAGGACTATGCCTGCATCTGTTGAAGGCTTACCGCGGCTCTCTTCCGATTCTGCTTCGAATAGCAAAGCTCAAGAACACAGGAACTCAGGTGCTGATGCTGAAGTGGTGCTTCTCCGAGTAAGTGTATCTATCATGCTTTGACAATAATATCGTAGTAACCTGTGTGGCGATTATTACAGGAACAAATGAAACATATGCAAGATCGTCTAGACCTGTTGGAAAGCGAGCGAAGGATCAAGATGGAAATGTCTTCACAACGTACGTGGAACGGTATGAAGCTAGAGCCGCAAGCGACGCAATCATTCGTGAAGAAGGAAGGACGATTGACCCAAGTTCGATACGCTATGAAGCGAGAACGTTCTCCGATCCGTTTACCTTTTCCTTCTGGCGAGATCATCGACCTCACGGGCGACTGAATGACAGAAGACTGCTCTCTTATGCCCGAATTTCTTATCTTTATACTCTGCCATCTTTCACGTTTCACAGTTGTGGACACTATATTGATTGTATCCCTGGCATGTAATATAGCGTATACATATACCTCTGTAGACTGTTATCCTTAGGATCATACTAAACAAAAGAACATACGCGTCCATCTTGTTGTGTACATGCAAACGTTCACTGAATCGGAAATCGATAATCGGACATGTCGAATATAGGTTCATACTTTCCGAAGTAATTCAGACATTTGCACACATTGCGATCCCACATCGTATTCTCCGACCGTACGAGAGCAGCAAGGCGATGTTGAAACAAAAAGAAAATGGATAAAGCAATGCATTACTTAGAAAAGTAGAGGGAAAGCCGTGAGCCAGTGCAAGATGCGACGTTCCCAAGGTCATGATATCCAACATGAGACGTTCAGGGAATCGGCGAACCAGGTATCGACAACTGCGTGTGGAAGGGGTACCACGAGTCTGTGCCACCGTATCCAGAAGAGAAAGTGTTAGACTAACGAGTTGTGCAACGCATGAAGCTCAATATACGTGACAGGCTGGAACATATGTGTTTCGTTTCTTCTCCTGGATATAATCCCCGCCTCGGGCTTCAGCGCGTTGTTTGGCTCGAATTGGGAAGGAAAGGTGAAGAGGTTCAGGTGCATTCAATGAGTTTTGTACGTCGAGTACATCGGGTGTGTTTATACTGACGGTGGGTTTGGCGGTGAGATGGATACGAACGTCGGTAAGAGTGGGATCTGGGCTTGGGTCTATGTGGTGTGAAGACAGCTGTGTTGGAAATGTAAAACGACAGAAGAGAAATGAAATGACAAATCGAAGAATTCCGGTAAAAGCCAAGAGATGGCATACATCAGCGTCGGTGTAGAACCATATATCGAGACAAACAAGAGCGGGCGCACATGGTGCTTGCGTCCAATCTGCATTAGGGGCGACCGAGGGGATAAAACAGCATATTTAGATACGTATCGATGAGAAGTCGAAAGCAAAATATCAGTCCAGGATGGAGAATCATACATTCGCTAACCCGATGTACCTCACCTTTCACTCAAATTCTTCATCACCAGAATTACACCAGGCGGCACGAGGCACATATCCAGGGCTAAATGTTTCACATGGGATAAAAAGTTCGAACGTATTTGTACAGTGTCGAATTGTCCGGCCTGCAGTCTAGCTATGGTTCCGAAGTCGCAATCGTCTCAGGACAATCGAACGGCGACCAAGACGCCGAAAGAGATCCGTGAGCGCAAAAAGAGACTACTTGACCCTGATAATCTTTAGGACATGCACCCAGGCCGCCAGGTTGACTCTTCAGCAGTGAGGGCCATAAGTGACGGAGTGATTAGCAGTGGTGGTACATCCGAAAGCCAGCCCATTCAAGCCATCGGATACATGATCGCGGTTCATCAGGTTGTTTCCAGAGTCCTTCCGAGACTAAGCGGAGGATATTGTGAAGAAGATCAGGGAATGGGCAAAGGCTATGGTGAAGGAGGAAGTGAAGCCGACGTGGATATAGCCGACCGAGCTGCGTCCAGTTCGGCGCTTCTCATTCTCTCACTCATTTCAAGCGTACGTTTCGACTTGGTATTCTCTCAGATATTGACGATGCTCGATCATGGCTTGGAGATTTGTCGTATAAACTGCTACAACATGACTGTACCTATCCCGCATATCCGAATAGTTAGCACAAGAGCAGAGTGCACGGAGATTTCGCCATTCACTCACATGCCTGACGTCCGTGCTTTCCGAATCCAGCTGGCCTCCCTAAGATTCCAGCGATGGCGTGGACGGTTCTCAGCCTACATCATAAGATTGCGGGGGACATGAACTCACCCATCCGTCTTCATCCTTGGTCTCTCCTGCTCTTCTTGTTCTAACTGCCGCTTGGAACCTTCACAGCTTGCGCTTGACGATCTGCTTGACCGATGTCCTCAGCAATTCGGTTCGACTGAGAGCGTACACGACGCAGGCATCTACCTCGTTGTTCTTGGCAAGTCTAGCTTTAACGAAGCATATATATCTGTTGGTTCCTATGCTGAGTACTCGTTACGGGCATGATCGTCGAAATTCACTTACTTCGATGAGTGATCGTAGCATCTTCATGTCATTTCTTCTGAGAGAATGTGTACTCTGATGACACCAATCTTGTCTTCTGTCTCTTTAGGCTCAACTCTAGACCCAGTCTGCCAAACTCTCACAGAGGTTGAAGCTGCCTGACAGAGGATCTGTGAGGATCTGCTGCATTCATTTGTGAGTTTTGTTTATCTATAGTTTTGGATGTGTTATTCAGCTCACCATGTATCTCAGTAGACTGTCAATCAACTTCCTAGACCTCTGCCAGATTGTATGGGCTGGGTATAATGCACAGGTAGGTCTTCCATCTCCAGTGCAATGGTTTGCTTACAGACATACCTAGGAAGGCAGTGGGTATCCCAGCATATCTTCAATGTCACTCCAACATTGAAGAGATGTTTGGGTTCTCCTCTAGGGGAATGGTAAGGACTTGATATACCAATCAAAGTCAGCAGCAGTTGCTCTCATGCCCAAACTCATATGTAGCTGATATGTCTCTCAGCACAATATCTGCCTGCACCAGAGGGCGCCGGGCGCCGAGGTGCAGCCCCGCGAGCAATACGTGATGCGAACAGATACTGCGACCTCACCATGGATACGGGTGCCTCGAAACGACACACCTTTACGGAATGGACGGACTGATGCTTCCAAAGCGTTTGCAAGATTCGTCGTCGTAAAGTCTCAGACGTCAGGCAGTAGGTGCGGTGAAGAAAGACACACCCGTCGAAAAGGGATTGGTGCAGTCGTTCATTAGGACACGATGTTGGGGTACTCTTATGCGTCAAACGATCGTCGTGACAGCAAAGACGAGTATATTCAGGATGGGATCGGCGGAGGGATGGGTCATCTCATTGATACGTCCAACGACGTCTGTGTACTGGGTCCAATTCGATTCCATTTGTCCTACGGAATGTCTATCTATTCAAGCATGGTTAAGGCTTCGATGAGCTTGACTGCTCTGATGACGAACGAACCTGAACTTTCGACACCACACTCTGGGACTCCCCGTTGACCGCACGACAACACGAAACCTTTGAAAACGATAGTTACGAGTCTAGGATGGACATGTAGTAAGTTGTCGTCTCATAAACCGGTATATGTGCAAAGCAACTCACCGTAGGGACCCTTCGTCAGGTCACCATTCGGCGGGGCAGACGAACACCTGTACGTTTCCGCTAACGGTGGGCCAATAGACCTCCGAGGGTAGGACACAGCAAAGGTTGATGAGACAGAGGTCTGAGAACTCTTTCTCGGTTCGCAAGGCAGCTCCATTAGCGAGGTCGTTGCGTGTGCGCAGAGGATGGTCGTGAGCCGCTGCTACCCATAGTCGAGGGACGCGCGTGAGGCTTTGCTTCTGCATGCAACCGTCGCAGAGGAGGGAACAATCGTGGGGGAAAGGACTGTTGTCAGTCGCCACTGAATACTACCAGAAGATCCCCTTCTCATTTCGCCACTCGCTCTGCTCACGGCCCCTCGATCTTCTCAGCATCACTGCACTTGCGCGGCCCTTCCCTCATGGTGGCGTTGCTGGAACCTTCGATACACGAGGTGGAATTCTGGTCTTCATCGTGTTCCGCTGAAAATAATAAATACGTACTGAATACTCAACCCGTTGTGATACGTTCTCAACGATATAATCTATCTAGATCCAGGTATCGCGATAGAAGGAACAAGGGTCCTAAGGTAATACAACTCCGCCGACACATGTTGTTGTCCAATGGCGTTGCAGACCCTGGAACTAGGACGGTCTGGTTCGATGCTGGGAACCTAGTTGTTGGGCACGTCGGACAAGTAGCGCAATTTGATCAAGAACCCATATATTCTATTGTTCTGATTCTGGCATTTGTGAAACGACATCTCCCCGGTCCTCCCGGACGGCCTGACGTTGCCCAAGAAGACCGCTTCCTTGATTTGTGTAGCATGTACTCAAGCAGTTGCGTTCGTAAGCGTGGAAGGGGCGCAAAATGCTTTAGCCTCCAGACCGACCTGCTATGGGCGGTTGCAATTTTGTCGGTGAAATCCGATGATGGAATTTCAGGTGAAGTTGAAGTACGAAGAACACATTATTCATGAGGGATCAGTATGCGGACTATCAACTACGGATCTTGGCTCAAATATCGACAGATTCCCAACACGCCTTCCAGGCGTCCCACTGCGTCTGTTCACCTCCTTCTGTCACAGCCCTTGAGACATCCTCGTATACATCGAGACTGTGAGTGGCTCAACCATTCGGCCTTCATTACGTTAAATTGACATGTCCGCTACTGCTCGCCGATTGTTAGTGTTTCCGTTAACCATTGTTATCAATGATGGACGACGGGTCCAAAGTTGATTCATCTGAATCTTCGGACGTAGCGTCGCAAGCGCAATCTCGAACGTGCCCCGTCTGCGAGCAACCAATTGCGTGGCGCTTGCTAGGTGATCCCGTCCATGTCTGCTATACGTAAGTGCCCACCGAGTGTTCTAAGATGACCATGAGCCTGACATGACCTTTCTGTTAGCCAAACGATCACCCAGACGGTCCACTACATCAGGTACAACCCATTAGATTCTCCTGCGGCTGAACGGGCCCGAATAGAACGGTCCTGTGTGGACAGACCACCAAGTAGTTTCGTGTGGCTCCAGAGTAAATCACAGGTCGGTGAGGGGACTGGAGAATCCGGGCGGTGAGGATGGATCGACGAAAACACTCCGACGCCTTCGGAGGTGCAGCTCTTACCTTCGAAAACCACACACCGCTTTGTATCTGCTGTTGATGTTTTGTTGCTTGTTTTCAACCTACTCTCTAGCTACCACACGCTCGTTATTTCGGACCATTCGTAACTCTCTCGTACCTTTGAATGCTACGTCATTTCTCACCTCCACCAAAATAGGCAATGGACCCATAAAGTCCGCGAGGTACAACGGTGATGACCAAGATCTATTGAGGTGGTTCTGATATTATTCTGTTTCCCATTGAACTTGTGGTCGTTCTGGGATTTTTCCTATGGTTCAACCTCTGAGAGATTGCACGCATATATTGAAGGTGTCAGTTTTATCATCTAGGACTAGGCGCGAAATGAGCTGGTTGAACCGGTAAAAATGAAACATCGAAACTTGGAATAACACTTACTGACCCAACCTTTTGGCCGGAGCCTGAGCCTGACTCTGGGCAAGCCATTTCTTCATCCTAGGGTGTGGACCATCGTTGACGCACCGGGCTAGCAACGTAATAAATTAGACGCCAGGGTGATTTTGAAGTTGGAAGTCGAATCGCAGCACAGCACTGTCAGATCACATTCAGTCAACTAGAACTCTAGGATTTCTTTCAACGAGCCTTTCATCTTGGTGGGGATACAGTACGAACGATGCCTGGAGAATCTCTTGCTAGACATGACTACGACGACCGCGACGGACACTGCTCTGAGAGTCTGCCATCATCGTCGATGGATGCTGTTGTCGAATCTCGATGCTAGCATGTTGACAGGTCGCAAATGATGAAAGCGAGTGATGCAAGGTTTATCCTTGTACTTGTCTTACGCAGTATGGTTGACTGGTCAGCCTTCACAAGATCTTCAAACCGGCTTCAGATCCGGAGGTGATGGTGAGATGAAGAAGTCGATTGGCGGGGAGTTTGGGTTGAAAGTTTGAGGTGGCTGGTATCGAAATGATGTTTCGGCAAGGTTGCGTCAGGAAGAAGTGCATTGTATCGACGTCCGTTAGTATCTTTCTGTATCATTGGAGCTCTTCGCACTCACTTCCGTACCGACAGCCATGCTAGGCTGCCATACTTCTCACACGTCGAAGTGCCCTCTTGGGTGACTGACATCTTGCCGTAGAGCCATCCATCCGGCATCAATGTCATAGGTGATGGAACGGCGTGGAGAGATCATGACTAGTCCTCAGTCATGCCTGACTGTGCGTACCTGCCAATGGCAATGCAAAATTAATGTTAACACGTCCTCACTGCGAAAGAGTTATTCCTGCTTACTGGAATTCACATATGTTCTTCGAGGGCGTTCTTCGCGTCAATATCTCTTCTCCGGTTTGGAGTGGCGAGATCGAGATGTGACCCATTAGAGGGTGCGCAACATGCATTGCTCACAATTACGTCCATAATGAGCCGTTCTGTCGGTAAAAAGATGCACTCCCTTTTCCACCACGAGTGACGTACAGATAGATGGATGTTGGTGAGGCTGTAGAAGTGGCGAAGCCGTAAGAGTGGCAACGCCGTTTCAAGTCTTCGGACCGGATGGGTAGCAGACTCGGAAATCGTTCGAGATGCTAAGGAGGTGGAAGACAATGTGAAGGCACATCGAGGGAGTTTGTCTCAGAAAACAAAGAGGGTGATGTCGGATGGTCCAAGCAGAAGCTAGACGCGCTCTGAGCCACTTAGCAGCCACTCGGGACTGCCTCTGGAACTGACTGCGGCTTCTGTATTGCTTTCCGCTTCTCTCAACGTCGTGGCAGTCGAAATTCCCCTCCTCTCGAATGTGGCGCTCTCTGCTTACCTCCAAATGGCCTCCTCGTCTTCAACGAATTGTGGCATGTCCACAATCTTCCTTCGGCCGAACTCTCTCCTCATCTGATAACACCAGGATCAGCTTGACGACGACTTGCACAACACGAATTATCCTTGTCTGCCCTCGCCCTTTCCGCGTTTGGTGTCCGTCAGAATTCTGGGGGACGGTCGTCCACCGGATATCATTGCTTCTAATTGAAACAGATCGGAAAAGGTCAATGAGAAATGAGGGAGGCACAACCGACAGAATGGTACGTCCTCAAGGCCGACAGCGGGTCCCCTGAAGTTTGCTTACTCGGGCATGAGACAGAACTTCGTGCGCTCGGCGGCCCAGACGTGAAATAAGACACACCATATTCAGTGATCGAGCTTCGTAGGATCTTGCGGATGTGATGCGGGACTTATCACCTCATCACCATGTGTCTTCCTTGTTTTTCATTGTTCTGATCCATGAATTCTCACCAAGTCCGACTTTTTTGAGGCGAGAGGCGCGCACGGCTAGCTGCCCAACCTATCTTTTTCTTGGACGCGGTTCGGAGATAACCGCTAATTGGGATTGCCTCAGCTGCAGTGCTGCAGGAACGTAGTTACACGCTTATTTCTCTGGATGAAATTGGTGGGCGGCAGATGGAAGGAGGGACCCCTGGTTGCGCAAGATCGACGGGGATGTTAACCATAGTTGGGTATTGGGACCCAGTGGTAGCTTGTTTGAGTCGAAGCTTCGCGTGCAAGGATCTAGTGCTCATTGTCGAGCGCTCCCATTTCCTTGTATGTTGTTATTTCCAGTGAATTATGCCACCTGCGTTGCGGATGACTAGGTACTTAAGCGTCGTTTGTCAGTTCCAGATGTTCCTCAATCCCCCCAGCCACTATCTCCTCTCACTGGCGCAAACTTCCCTGTGCCATACCCTGACCTCGCTCTTTTTGCCTCTCCCTGCCACCCCATTCTGATTCCCTCCGCTATGGGGCGGCACAGACCTCATGACCATGGTCGCGAAAATAATCATAAGTCGTGTAACGAGGAGGTACATCTGAGCTTTTATCTCTTACTCATTTCCAGACTCAGACCGTCGTCATTCAGGGCTGTAGTGATACTCATTCGACGAAGCAAAAAAAAGTGAGTACTATTTTACTGACATCATCTGTCTGCTTAACTCATCCGCAAACTTCTTTCACAGAAGGCCAAGGATAGACACGTTCATTGTCCTATCTGCAAGAGGAGGCTGAAGCGACGGAGTGACCTTTCCCGTCACATGTTGACACACCTTCTTCTTAGGTATGTTCCTCCTTCCATGTGGTACGAGTATAGTTGAACTGGAAATTTCGTCAGGGATTTCTACTATTGTCCTTATTGTCACGATCAAGACCGTGATGATAATGGTGATCGTAAGTACTATCGTCAACTTCACAACCTGATGTCGCATGTTCGCAAACAGTAAGCACTATTCTCGGGTTCTCCCCGCCACAGAGCTGATACAATTCCCTATAGTGTTCGCAAACAACCGTGGACATGTGGCATAGCGATAGGCTCTAAAGTCTGGTGCACTAAACGCTTTGCCGACCGTACCACCAGACATCAACATAGGGTCGAAGCACACGACGACAATGACTACGATGAGGACGGCTCAGTGAAGCGTGCGGATAGTGCTCCAAAAGCGTCCGCGAAAAGACGTATCTTAAGAGGCACGTCCGACATCGGAAGAGTGGCTGGCTGCCTCTACGATCTCCATCTTAGTGGCGTGAAAGACATTGACTTCAATCTCCCTGTGAGGGGAGCTACTCTCCATGTCTCGCCGCAAGTAGGTTTACCCTACTACCAAGTCCATATTACGGAGGACGACGTTGAAGCACTGGAAGAAGAATGCGATGAACGTGCAGAAGAGGTGGAAAATGCGTATAAAGCTTTAAAGCGGAGGAAGTCTTTAGCTAAGTCTCCTATGCGCAGCACTGTTCGTCATCGCTCTCGCAGGGCTTTGATTTCCGATAGCGACGACTTCTACAAAATTTCTGGTCCCCCTGGACCACCTTCCGCATCGTCGAGTCGGACAGCCACTGCTCCTTGGTTTGACGACGTCCCTGACGCTTCTCGCTCGGTTCCGTCCCACATCAACTCTTTCCCTTCCCCTGAACTACCTCGTGCTTCATCAAGTCGATTGCCCTCCATTTCTCATTCCTATCAACTCATTCAAGACCGCTCAGATCCTCTCCACACATATTCATACCTGCCGCCAGAACCATCTCGCGCGTCTTCAAGTCGATTACCCCCCTCTCCTCGCCTTAGCGATGTTCATTGCTCCTACAGTCCTCTATATTCTCCGGACACACCGCTCGAATACACTCTTCCACCTCTCGAACTACCTTGTGCATCTTCGAGCCGATTGCCCGCTCCTCGTTTTGACGATGTTCCCCATTTGATGTACAACCAGTTTGATTCCTACTCATACCCTCCGCCTCAACTGCGTCCGGCGTCGCCTTACACGCATGCCCCGCGTTCGCCTTCCCTCAATATGACCCATTCGGATTCCTATCGACATTATAACCGACGAGTTGTTGAGGACACTGGTGGCGTCCAACGTCGCCATCTTCCTGCGCCCAGTCGTTCTGATCCACTCCGCTATTATTCGGAGAATGTACGTATCAACTCGCATCCATACCTCGCGCGACGTCCAAGGCCTGGGTTGACTGGTGCATTCGCTTCGCCTCCCTCTCGTGCTCTTCCCGAACTCCCCACTCCTCCTTGGAGCCCACCGCCTGTTTGTCAAGGAGGTCGTCGTTCATATGCACCATCACCGTCACAATCGCCTCCCCGTCCGCCCCCGCCACAACCAGTGCAATGCCCTATGAAGTGGACAGACGTGACCAGACCGTCATTACCACCCAACTTCAGGGGCTTTCGCAAATAGGTTTCCTCTTCGAGGCCCTCAAACCCATCGATCACATCTCCACTCTATATGCCTTTCATACTGGTCCTCTCATGCTGTTGTCTCTTTGTCGTCCTGCTCTCGGGCCCGTTATTTTTACTGTATTCTCTTTGAACGCTCTTATTGTCTTATCATTTTAGAATCGTACTCAGTATTTGTTGTGGGTTGGTGGTCATAGTCGTATTATCCGTTGCCCTAGTTGTGCAGCAGTTGTGTATTGGTTGTTTCCTGTAATTTCATTGTTCTCTGTCTGTTATACTTATTGCCTTCGCTCCAACTTCCCCGATGGCCGTTGTAAACAGCTTGAACTATGTAAGCTCCATAGGTCTTCTATTTATGAAGCACACGTTGCTAGGTGCGATCCATGCCGTTGGAACATTTTAGACTTTCGAAGTACAGGCTTCGCGTCGATCAATGCTGCCGAGCGAGAGTAGTGCTGATCGACCGAGTGAACCTCTGAGAAGCTTACACACCATTTTGGAAATTGTTGTTATATGAAACACCGTGTCTATTTCTCGAATTTCTAGGGAGAATAACGGACCGCATGGAAGATATATATCGAGAAGATGGTGGAAACATGATGATGAGAACCTCAGGTACGTTGGCAGACTAGGTGTCCGGGTTCACCAATGGCTGATCGCTGCGGATAGGCCTAACAGGGGATTGCATCCTGGGTTAGTGACGAGAGAACTTGAAGGCCAGAGAATAAGTCCAAAAGTTTAATGACGTGTTAGAACACCTTATATATTGCAATGAAGTCCAAGAAGCAGGAAGACATACTTGAGAGACACCACTGGCATATAATTATGCTAGGGAGTTTCTCATGGTTTCATCAGAGGTGTCTTCCGAAAATGAGATGGGTGAGCGGTAGTACGATAATGATATGAAGTTGAGAGAATGTACTGTATTAAGTACGAGGTCACCGGTGCTGCAAAAGACGGGAATTAGTAGTCAATCTTGCTCGGAGGATCGGCCCGTGTTCTTCTTACCTGGCGCTTCGAATCCAATTGAAGTCCATTGACTTCATATACATGTTGAAGCCTTGACATTTAGAACTGAGCGGAGAAACTGAAGGTTGCCCATATTTCGAACAGCGCAACATTTACTGGTGAAGTGTTCATTTGTCGGCATGAATCCCTTCGACACAACTGACCCTGATACCGTGACTACGTACTTCCACTTTCTAGCACACATTGTACATCGCGTCTCAGACATGCTAGGTATAAGGGGATTGTCAGCATACATGCGAATTGGTGGGCAGGAGGTGACTGAGTATGGCGTCATCCTTGACGATGCGGCACATTCCGTTGGCCTCTACGTAGCGAGTGAAGTTGACAAGGTATGTCTTAGGCTTCTTCACGCATGCAACAGGACACAAAGCATCCCTGGTCATACAGGAATTGGAAATTTTGATGAAGAATACACTCGATAATGATAAAGTAACATTTAGAGTTTACCTGGACGGGCTCATTGCGGGTGGGTTTATCTGCAAACCTGGCCGTTCCACAATATGCAAACATGCATGTGTCGGTTCTCAATATCAAACCCTGAAGTTCGCTCCAATTGTCACTACTGGTACGTTTCAAATCATGTGTGTTTTAGTACAGCATGCTCCCATTTACCAGCGGTGACTCTCTAACTACGGCCACACAGATGATGAGCATGCAGCCTCGAAGGACACAAAGTTCATCAATGACTTGGGAACAATCGAGATTCGCGCACATCGATGTCTGGAACAAATCTCTACCGACGTCCAACTAAAGGCGAACAAATCTTGGAACATCAGTCCTATTCATGAGCTAACTAAGAAGGCAGGCACCCATCGTGTAACGTATGTATACAAGGTCGATACGCTTTTCATGAGAGTCATCTTCTCTACAGACTTGGAGCGACGGATCCGAGCTATGCCCCGAAGCTCACCCAAACAACTCTTATCGACCCCTCAGACCATCCTTTTGCCACTTTCTTATTCAGATACCGGCCACTAGGTAAGTAGGATGCGTTGAAGAGGATGGCATCTTTCTCATGCATTGCTCAGCCATTCTGCAGGCCGAAGGTATAGCTCCTTTGACTCCTGCACCTGCGGCAGCAGAGCAATCCATGGCTCCCGAAGAGAGGACGGATATATCCACACACCTTGGTGAGAAGCGCCGCCAAGAGGAAGCTGGTCCAAGCGAACGACCCCCCCGCAAGGCTCGCACGTCTAACATACCTAATCCTCGGGAATCTGCAAGTGAGGTTGTTCCGAAGCCCGAAAGTAAAGAGGCTGCTAGCTTGAGGGTACGTTCATTTGCTATTTGAAGATGAGTTAAGGAACATGTACCGATCTGAACGACTGTTCAGGCTCAGCTGCAAGCTATCCAAGCTCGTCTAGACCAGATCGAAGGTGCAGGTTCAGTGAAGAAAGAAACCGTGGACAGCTCCAAGAGGATCAAGAAGGAACGCATACATTCTCGAACATTCGCCGACGTGATTGACTTGACCGAGGATTGAGAACAGCTTCATTAGATGTCAACTTATTGAGGTTACTTGTTTACTTTCGCTTAATCCACGTAGCATATGTTCACTTTTCATTTTTGTCCCACCAACCGTATGTTTAGAAAGCATCTCATTCCACTTTTCTTGCAAGACCAATGGTACACTAACTCGTAGCTGATACAACAACCACCTTCCCAGAAGGATTTGCCCGAAGAAGAAACAAAACAAAAAAGAGAAATACAAACTTGTGGGGTATCACATTTGGAACGCTTCAAATCTTTTCGAACGTGGCCCAATCGCCTGGCCTCCTGCTGTCTACTTCCCCGGGCGTGACCCATTCGAAAGAGGTATCTTCGGTTATGAATTCGGAGATGACGCGTGGATTGAACTGAGATATGGGTGTCCTCCAGATCATCCTGTTGCCTTTGTTATGTTGCACGATGACATAACGTAGGATGAACGATGCTGTGAAGAACACTGTTGACGAGTGAGTCACTCGTTCAATTTTGGTGGTTAAATTGTCACTCACGGGTTACGAAAAGGATCCACACCAACGATTTAAGTGCTTGCAGATCCTTGCACCATAAGCGCAGTTCAGAGTATTCTGTAATCCACAAGTCAAACGCTGAATGTTATCTCGCGCCAGGCTATTGGAAACGACAAACCAGAGGGAATCGTGGCACAAGGAAGCGGAACGTTATGCCATCGAGACGTTGAGAATGCGTTGAAGGCTGCGAAAGTCGAAGGAGAGACACAGTAGGTTGAACCGTTGTCCCTGCGTACAACGAATAAATGACGACGAACCTAACCAAAAAAGGCTCAGAACGTAGAGCATGCCGATCTCAAAGGGTGGTTTGGCCGTGAAAGAATTACTGATTCCCAATTCGAGGAGGAACCTGTACAGCGTCACCTATAACGAGGACATGCAGAAAAAGAGGCTATTGCTCACATAATTACGAGGATCGCCAATGTTGTAATGGACAACGCGAAAGGGAAGATATCCGCCATAACTATTACAGGAAAGGGTCGGTGTTTGTTCCTAACACTGGTGCGACACGGTGTCGGGCTTACAGTAGAACTCCTGGAAGATATTTACCCTCGCTGCGAATGCAAGTACCGCGATATCAAGTAGTACTAGGAAAACTGGACAGAGACGGTCAGTGTTCAATATTTCACATCCTGACAGATGAAGAACTAACTTTGCGCAGCCAATTTCTTCTTTCCAGCTGGTGACAACGCCATTGTGATTGAACACTGATGGATAACCGGTTAAGGTGTCTGACTGCCAGCAGATTCAAGAACGAATCTTCGTCGGGATCAGAATTACACAAGAAACAGGAAATGAACGTTGCGAAGAAAGAGTGGCAGAAGTAAATACAGTTCAGTAGATGGACAAGGATGAGTGCTGAACTGGCAGCTAAAGGAAAGTTGAACTTGAAACCCGCTGCCGCGTTGATGGACAGATCCTGCCACTTGACAACGGCTGCCATTTTCAGTTTGGTGATCGGCGGGTTTGATGCGCCCTGGCGATCGATAGGCCAGCCCATTTTGGGTCAATTCGTGATGGCATTGACGAGCACGAAGGCCGGCATGAAATGAACAGATGAAATGTATTAACGACATAGATGAAGTATTAAAAGCTAAGTATGTAGTGAAAAACAATGAAATTCTAGCAGTGGACAGAATTCGTGAGCATGAAGACGATGTCAGTGGCATAGAGGATGTGAGATGAGAGAAGTCCGTTAATCGACCATTGGTCAGGGAAAGAGATTGTTCTAGCGCATTTCTAAGAGATTCTGCGCACATTTAGTGCCTATCTGAGTGTTGGAACCGTGGAACCTCAAAAGGAGCAGCGATGGGCCTATAATCACGCCGACTAGGAGAGGCATATGGACTAGAATAGCGGGGGTAGCCTGAATGAGCGGAATCGTAGACGGGTGAGGGGGCACGTTCAACGGCATGTCTATGCTGAGCGGGATATCCGTGTTGGGTGGGATAGCCATGTTGTCTAGGAGAGTCACGTTGTGTGCCATAGTCATAGTCACGTTGGGGAGGATAGCCATGTTGGAGGCGATAATCGTGTCGGGCAGGATAGTCACCACGGAAAGGGCGGTCACGGTCGGAAGAGTAGCCGTGCTGGACAGGATATTCACGTTGGGGAAGATAACTACGTTCGACAGGCTCGACAGGATAACCAGGTTTGACATGATAACGAGATTCGACAGGTTCGTGAGGATACCGACGTTCGTAGCTGACCGGCAATCTTGCGTCCAATGAGATATATGGCGCAGTGGCAGGAGAATACTGCTTTACGATCGGGGGCGAGTAGTCCTCGCCCTCGTCATCAGTAGGCTCGGTAGGCTGGGTCCTGTCCCAGCCAGCCGGTCTCAAAGTGTAGTCTGCTGGAGCTGAAGGAGATCTAGACACATACCCGGGGAAAGTGTAGCCAGGAGATGGAATTCGTTGTATGTTCTTCCAGGGCGCGGAACCAGAGGGCAATCCAGAACCAGACGGAGAATTGTAGCCAGTCGAGCTAAAGGACGACACGCTTTTGTAGTTGCGAGTACTTGTTGATATCTTGGAAGACGATCCACGTGCGTTAGATGCCACTCTTGAGGAACCACGGTGGATGGCAGTATGAGTCCGCATTCTCTGAGAGACGACGGGCACACCCTGGGTCAGGTTCTGTCCATCATCCTCATCTTCATCTGCGGGTGGTGGCGGTGGTGGCGGCCGTGGCGGGCAACGATGATCCTTGTCGAAGGTCGCCGCTTGATCCTTCCCAGCAAACGCGCCGCATTTCTTGCAGAACGCTACGACATCCTCTTTACTATCAAAACAGAATTCATTCGTAAAACCAAAACAAGAGATGATTTAACAGGGGATCACTCACTGTACGTTTATGAGGTGTTGTTTATGATTATGCCACTGTCTCTCTGTCCAGCGAGTCTTACACTCTGGATTGACCACACAAGCTCTCTTCGCGTTTCTGAGATGTATTATGAGCAGGGAAGTGAAAAGATGGTGCGATGATCAGGACATACGGATCGTGACTGTCTGTCATATGGCGGTCGAACTCCGCCTTTCGAGGGAAACATTTTGGCGTATGGTCACGAGAGCAGTAATATTTTTTCGGCTTTTGTTTCTTAGATCATGAGCATGTGTGTTAGCATCGAGTGTTGTGATAGTGTTCAGTCTTCTGAGACACACCTTTGTAGCTGTGCGTTTTTGTTTCTTCTTTACCACGATATCGATGCTGTCTCCATCGAAGTCTCGAGTCTTACGTTTGGGACCGCGATTGCTGCTGCTCGGAGAGATGGATCTGGACGCTGTTCGATTCCGACTGCGAAGCTATAAGACAAAGTTAGTTCCGACTAGTAGGATGCCCAGTATGGAAAGCTTACAGACGCCCTAGTACGAGAGTCTGCCATCTTGTGTGTAGCAAAGTTCGGGGGGTAGAGATGAATTGGAGTATATCAGAACGTGAGGAGTTATAACGTGAGGCGGGGGGCTATACCGTGAAGCAGATAAGGAACGTCGTTATATAGAGTCCCGGCGAGGCCAAAGGACCATCGGAGCTTCAATCGAGGTCAAAGATCTCAAAGTCAAAGGGCCATTGGCCCTGATATTGATTGAAAGCCACTTGTCGTTGCGTGGCCAGGCGGCGAACATTGCCGCATATTTCGAGAAAATGTGAAGTCACGATGAAGGAAGGGTAAGCTCGATTGTCGGTTTCCATTATGTAGTGCGGGCTCCTGCGTAACGCAAAAACCACATAGCCTGAAAGGGACAATGACAGCTCTATTGACTCACATTCACGATGCAAACCGTTCATTAATTATCTCTCCGAACATCGCAGTGAGATTCACAGATCACGGAAATCTTCGAAATGTTCAAGATCTCGATAGTCCGGAGATCTAACACTTCGAAGGGACTTGATACGAAACTCACACTGGTCATCGCGCAGAGAAGTAATGCATTCTGCGCAACCTCCTAGTCCCAAATTGGGTGTCTTCTTGTACACCATTGACCTCAAGCCTCAAGCTTCAAGCATTAGTGAGCGTCAAGCACTAACAGCGTATATACGGACGTCCAGGTTCAACGGGTTAGAACATTAATGACTTGGCGCAAGAGAAATCATTCGGTCCGTTATAGCCGCCTCTGCCATGCAAACGGAGCAAGCGCCTCAACGTTCAACTTGAACTAAGTTCAAGTTGAGCCAACTCACTTCAGACGACAACAGTGTGCCGCTCTACTCATCGAATGAACCTTTCCATCATGAGGGCGTTCAACCACGGAGCGCTGAAATCGCGGATGTCACTAACATCCCAATTGCTGGCATTTACGATGCCGCCCTTCAAATGGACGTTCAATAATACTGCCGTGCTGGCACAACATCTTTGCGTAGTGGTACCAGGACGTTCTCAACTCGCCCTCCACATTATCAAGATCCTCCAGGATCTGACGAAGTTTGGCTTGGTGGCGTTCCTATAGGGGGAGAGACAATGCCAGAACAACCAGTTTTTGTCACGCCGCTCATTGGTCTCGTTGAATTCGCTCTGGCCAGGTAGAAGATGACATTTTTCGTTCGAGATGGCAGATGCGTCTCTGTTGCCAACTGCCAGCCTTCAGATTTCAACAAAAATTCGCATTGCTCAGATCATTTGTTGGGCACTCTTTCGGGATTCTTTCGAGGTCTATCCGAGCATACTGGTTGATCGTTTAAAATCTTTGGTGCGGAAACCATACCTCGTTGGATCTGACTGAAGATACTGTTGCAGACGACAACGAAATACACACTTTCACATGGATTTTTTTTGGCAGCGGTTTCATTTATTGCATACATACACGCGTACCTTCGTTATGTTTCTGGCCCGACGAAGCCGCCTAATTAGAGCGGTGTATGTGGACCTGATGTCGTACACATCCGCACAGAAAGACCTTTGCAGCTTCACATCTCAGGCCCCTTCGTAGCAAAATCGCATAACCGCCTACTAATCCTGAACCAGGACTTGATTTCTCTCTCATATCAATTCTTCGACGGTCTCTGGTTTTTTCCTGCCCGATCATTCAAAACGTCACTGTCCTCCGCGGCTGACGTCCCTCCAAAGGTCTGTGATGTGCTCTCGAGAGCTTTCTAGCCATTTCTAGCTCGAAGGGTCGTTCATGTGGTCGCGTTTGTAGAGACGCCGCGATCAAAGTTCCTTCTATTTCAACTCTCCATCTCTAAAACGTACCCAAGAGTCTATGTCTATAATGGCGCATTTATTTCGTAGGGATGGATGTCGATATGTTGCGTCCTCTTTGGACCCAACTTCAGCCATTTTGAACCTACCAATTAGCATTTCCCCTCTGTATGACTTCTTGTCACGGGAAGGGATTGTACGATCATCAGCCCTTGTGCCCTGAGTAGGCATAAGGGCTGATGATCGTACGTACAACCCCACCCTCTTCCACATCCTTCCATCTTTTCCACAGGAGCCTTTCAACGCCATTCACCAAGAAGTTGCTCATATAGCGAGCGTATCCTCTAAATTAATGCAGAGGCCGAGAGGCCACGAGGATGAAGATACCACTGGTTGTTCAGACAGTATGGTTGCAAGAAGGTACCCGTTTGCCCGTTAATCAATTGTTTTATTCTCATCTGACACCATACATCTTTTTACCCGCTTCGTTCTTCTCTTCAGTGACAGTGATCAATATCCTGAAACTTGAAGAGGTCTTATAATCCCTGCACATCCCCTTATCTCACCCCGCCTTCCCAATCTCTCCAGTAATTGTAGAGTGGGGGTCCTCTTGACACCATTGTGTTCTGCATCAGCATGCCTCCGGTTAGTCTACTCATGCAACTCAGAACCCTGATTGGACCCTCACCTTTCATCTCGACTGGCCAGCTACATTCGCCTTGGTTTTTGACAATCGAAGAGGGGACCACCGAAACACTGCGTCTTACCGTGTCACCGACTGATAACATAACCAGCATCACCCCTCCTTCTAGCATGACCCCCACTGAGCAACCTTCTACCACAAGCTCCATCCCGGAGCCTCCCACGGTCACTACTACAACCTCCATTACGGACCCTCCTGCCACATTCCCTACCACAGAGCCTCCCTCTATGCCACCTCCCTCCTCAGAGCTCCCTACGATGTCCCCTACAGTGGATCCTCCCACCGCGCAGCCTCCTACGACACAGTCCACTCCTCTACCACCTACCCTTTTCCCCACCGATCTGCCTCTCTCCACCTCTACCATTTTGAGTGTTACAAGCAATACACCCACGACGTTTCTGCCGACCTCACTGACACCAGACCATTTCTCCATCTCGGCGACTACACTGACGCTTACCCCTGGTTCAATTACTTCGTCGTCCTTGTTGATTACACCTACAGGTGGAAACATAATTTCCCCAGTACGCCCGCGTACCTCGCTCGGTACAGCGACGTTAGCTGCCATTACGCTTGGTATCATCGTATTCCTGCTGGCCACATTCTGTATCTGCGCTGTCCTCCGCAGGCGGAAGAGGAGGGCAGACATGCAAGGTCTTACCAATCCTCTGATAATAGGTATATGGTCTAGAGCTCCTTCTGTGTAGTTCAGTTCACAACTAACACCCTACCGATAGACTCGAGCGCCGGGGCCACCTGGCCCAGTATGAGTGGTGCCAAGGAACCTTTGATGGGCTCGCAACATGGTATGCACGGATTTATCCAAGGTTCATCACTCTCTAACTAGAAAACGCACAGAGGATACACCTCAAGCGCAATTCAGGTCTACTGGGGTACATACCACCGACTCGCAGGATGGCGTGGATATCCAACGATTTACGTATGGAACCTCACATCTCGAACGGACTCCCGAAACAGATCGAACTATAAACTCGGCATACTATGATGGTCCAGATAGTCACGCAATCATTCCGCATCCCCGCGCGACGTTATACTCACCAAACCGCTCCCAAATTGACAATGCTCCGCAGCGTAGTACTCCATCAACGTGGAGTCCAGTTAGTGGTGCAACCGTCAGGACTCTAGGGCGTTCGATGACCCTCGCCAGCCTTGGTACTATGTCTTCACATAGTAACAGGAGCTCCATAACCCAACCCCCTTGTTATAAAGATACCCCGGCATCTGATGAAGTCCGACTTGCTGGTGGGCCAATTAGGAGAACGACAGCGGGAGAAGTAGCTCGCGACAGTGCAGCTCGTTAATCTGATGTTTTGTCTCCATTCTTTGCGATCCTGATGCTCCTCGGGTTCGCCTGCCAGTATAATTCTATTTACATGTCATACGTCGTGTACGTATTATGTCGTTCTTTTGATCCCAGTAGGTCACGCCATTCCATTCATCAATGACGATGGTCCTCGCGAAGAATATCGGACGAAATGTAATGTACGAGAACATTGGTAGCGTTCAGATTCGGTGTGTCTCTATGCTCCCCTCCACCTGATGTTTGCATCATCACTAACACCATGTATATACTCGTCAAGGTGATACAGAGGCTACGATCTATTGGCTTGAACGAACACCCAAACTCCTTGAAAGTACTATTTTCTAAGCTCAGTTTTCATTCGCTCTATCACCGCACATCGTTGTGCCGAACCGCTGGGTCTGACGTTTCCATTAGTGTGGCTGCATTCATCCACACCGTGATACTATTACCCTCCAGATCACTAGCATGAACCCCTTCACCGAGAAGAACAAGCGCCCCATCTGTCTAAGGGTGTATTCTTTCATGTTATAGACCATACGTGCAAAGGTACGCAATAGGAAAGCAGGCACAAGTGATCCAGAATAGCGCGTGACCACGCGAATGCTGACAAGAACCAAGTCGTTTGGCATCGGTGGGGCATGATGAGCCAATACTCTGGACGAACGTGGGTGGGCAGAAGCACATGGATCTGGGCGTAGCGAATGCGTGAGTTTTCCTGTCCGGGCATATAAAAGAATTCACGTTATTGCTTATACCCTCTGAACAGCTCGCCATGTTGGGTATCACTGTTGGTGCATTTGTCGCCACCTTTGCTGGTGTAGCTTTCGCCAGACCTCTGATCGTGTCCAGCACCAATGCAAGCTCCTCAGCAGAACCTGATCCTTCATTCGCCACCTCCGTCAAACTAAATGGCGTAACATTTGTGAATAAGGTTCGATTGTTCCCTTGATTTTATCTGAGTTGGATCGGAACTCAACGTGCTTCATCGCTCTTTGTCAGGGTTTGGTTGGGTTCGGTTTGATTCCTTCGGATTTCAAGGAGTCTACAGGTAAATTTGGCCCACGTTCGTTCATTGATATTGATCAACATATCAATCTTCGTAGGTGATACACTGGGTGGAATCGGGAGCGCGATCGCGTTGAAGAAGGGAACATTCCAGCAGAACGCAGACGGAACTTTCAGTGGAACGTTTATAACTCAACCGGATCGTGGATTCAATGTGTGAGCATGGATGAGATCGTCGATCATCTTGATCTCTCTCATTAACTCACCTTCAGAGACGGGACGGTTAACTATCAAGCTCGCCAACATGTTATCGACTTTGTCCTTTCTCCTTACTACGGAGATGTAGACCTTAGCTTCGCGGACGCACAGAAGACGCTCCAACTGACGTACAAAAGTACACTCCTATACACCGAACGAAACGATGTTCAAACAAGCGGCTTGGATCCTCTCGCTGTTCGTGCGGCTCAGTCCGGGTTCCCCAACATCCTTGCTGCGGACCCTGAGATGCCAATTCCTTCGAAGTCTTTTTCACACCTCAGCATCGATGCTGAAGGTCTAGCGTTGAATGACGACGGGACGTGAGTATTTTTACATGGATATTCTATTCAATTATCCTCCACACTGACAATTCATGGAATGTCAGGTTCTGGACGAGCGATGAATATGGACCCTACATATATCTATTTGATAGTGAAGGTCACCTTCTTCAAACAATCCAACCTCCGGAAGCTGTACTGCCTGAGGTGAAGGGCAAGATCAACTTCACCGCTGACTCTGATCCTGACACTGGCCGCGCAGGCAACCAAGGTACCTTGACTTCATCGTAGTATTCTGAGGCCCTTCGCTCAAACATATTACATTAGGTCTTGAAGGCCTCACCCTTGATGATGCCGGAACGACCTTATATGCACTCTTGCAAACAGCGACTATCCAGGACGGGGGAGACGACAAGTCCACCTCTCGCTTCACCCGCTTACTCGCTTTCGACGTTTCCAATCCTTCTGTTAGACCCTCGCTTGTAGGGGAGTGGGTTGTGCCGCTGCCACAAAATAAGAAAGGTAATACCCTGGGTTCAAGCGAACTCCATTTCGTTCACGAAAACGTCTTCTTGGTGCTGGCAAGAGATGGCCATGGACATGGTGATGACGATACTGATTCATCTTACAAGTGCGCATTCAATCTATCTAGCCCCTTTTGCTTGACGCCTCACTAGTTGGTCATTTGCAGACAAGCAGACCTTATTGACATCAGCGACGCGACCAACATTGCTGGATCCAAATTCGACAGTCCCAAGAATCCTATTGCGAAGAAGGGCAAATTGGACAAGTCGATCACTGCTGCTACGTACGTCGGGTTCGTAGACTTCATTGACGATACACAACTAGCTCGATTCGGCCTCCACAATGGTATTTCCTATCCCTACGCTTTTCGGTCTTCTTGGCACTGACAGTGATTGTTGTACTCGTAGATGATCCAGCCGACCAAACTCTCATTGACGCAAAGTGGGAATCCTTGGCTTTGGCTCCGGTAGGCGATCCTGCCAACCCAGATGATTTCTTCCTCTTCACCGCGGTGGGTGTATGCGTTCTGCATGTAAACGGCGTCCAACTAACATCATCTCAATAGGCGGACAATGACTTCATCAGTACTCATGGCGTGTCACTTGGACAACCTTTCAATGCAGGACTGGATAATGACAATCAGTTCTTGGTTTTCCGCGTTACTCTGCCTACGAAGTAGAAGAGATCGGTATAGTCAAAGAAACTCGAAGAAATACAATCGTTTCGCTCTTAGCTAGGTCAAGTTCAATAAGCTTCGTGAAGTCCGTGCAGTCCCCAGTGCGTAAGGCACAATTCCCATTGATCACATCTTATAACCCCGCCAGAATGTAATACGTGCAACATCATCGTAAGGTTTCACTTAAGACCTGGGATGTCGCGACCTAAAAACCAAACGAGTATGATGAGCCCTCTCATCAGGTACCACCAAGATGTGAAGTCTTACCAGTGAATTTCTTGAGCTGATCGCCAATCCCATCTCCAATCTTGCCAGCAGTCTCCGCGTCCTGATAGTACAAGGTCTCATCAGAGCTCTGGACAAGACAAAAATAAGGAGCGACAACTCACGATGTTGTAACCAGCTTTTTGCGCGGCGAAAGAGACACCCTTCTCCAACCAATCTCCTCCACCCGAAGAACCAGCCCCATAATTCGATCCTCCATACCCCCCAGAGGACGGCTTGGAGTTGTCGTTGTCGTTGTCGTCGCGGTTGTCTTTCTTGCTGTTGCTGGTGGCGGTGTTCGATGTAGAGTAATTATCGGTGTTGCTGGAACCGTAGCTGGCCGTGTTGTCGGAAGAACGATTGTTGTCGTTGTCGGAGGAGGGACGGTTGTAGTCGGAGGAATCGTTATTGGAGGATCCATAGTTGTTATCCTTCTCGGAGCGGTTCTTGTTACCGCTGCCATAAGAGTTGTCAGTCTCCTTCTTCGAGCTCCCATACGAATCGCTGTTCGAGGATCCGTACGTGTTGGCATTGTCCGAAGGGTTGTTGCTGCTACCATATGAGTCGGAATCGCCATAGGTCTCCTTCTTCGAGCTTCCATAGGAATCGTCGTTGGAAGACTTATTGGTGTTGGAGCTGCCGTAGTTGGCGGAAGAAGGGTTATTGTTGCGGTCGTTGTCACGACTGCCGTACGAGTCTGAGCCTCCAAAGGAACTCTCGTTACGATCCGTCGAACCGTAACTGTCGCTAGAGGACTTGTTGTTACCGCTGCCATACGAATCGGTGTTGGCGCCATAGCTGGAAGACTGGTCTCTGTCTTTCGAGCCGTAACTGTCCGAGTTTCCCTGGTTGTCTCCACCCTGTTCACGACGATTGCCACTGCCGTAGCTATCGCTCCCCCCGTAGGAGCCAGAGTTGTTGTCGTTGTCGTCATTGCGGTCACGACGGCCAGAGCCGTAGGAGTCGTTGTCTTGGTTGTAACTCATGGTGGTAAGATGAGAGTTAGGGAATGAGACTAAGGCAAGGGAAGTTGGACTGTTAAAAGTTCGATCGCGTCGAGTTTGAGCTTTAACTTTGCCCGCCGGGCTCTATAAATCCGTAAATTGCTGCGGGACTATACGGGGACCCAAATTTCCGTTCCTCTTGTCGAAAGTCATTTACACGGGCTATGATGTGATCGATATGACAGTGGCTAGACGTCGGACCCTAGACGCAATGGAAGGCGACTATTCGGAGGGTGCATGCTGGTGCATGAAGCCAATTAGAGTCAAGGCGTGAACGAAACTTCCGAGTTGACCAAGGCACCAACACCGGCGAGTGTTGACTGCGGTGATTCCAGGTCAGACGACGACGTCAGCTTCATCTTCTAGAGTCTTTCGAATGTATGCATTAGGCTAAGGCGATACCCCTTAGTACGAAATCCTTGCGAAAGGCAGTGCCGGAATTAGGTCGCTCTCGCACACCTGCATGTTAGATAGGCATGCGGCGTTCACAGCATAGTCCTCTGACGATGTTGAAAGATAGACAGCAGTCTTGGAAGGAAAATGTGCATATCAACTTGCGCCTGGTTGCGCAATAACAAACTTCGAAGGAAAAAGCTTGAGGAAAAGGTCAATACAGTAATGGTGAAGAACAAGAGGTGAACATGAGGGAAGATGAGGGACTCATAAACAGATTAGCGGCCCGGGAAAGTGACGCTTATGGCAAAGTTCTCGTTTTCCGTTTGTCCGGTTTGTTCTGTCGTCTCCTTCAGAAACAGTCAAATGCCTTTCTAAATATTCTAAGGAACCTGATATTTCTATCTCTGTCTAGCAAGCCACGGGGAAAGGAGGGGGTTAAATGACTGAAGCATTCCTGTCTTCCCGTCCTGGACTCCTTCAAGTTGTTGCCTCATATCTTCCGAAAAACATCTCTCCTTCATCACCTTTTTGGTGGTCCTGCGTTGGTCCTGCGCATTGACCATCTTCCTATAAGACTCCAATCCGAGTAGCCACGTTTCTGACAGTGAGACAAAATGTTTACGCTTTCTTTCGCTATCACAGTGGAGAGGTTCGTAGAGAACGAAACGCAGATACAAGCCAAATGACCAACCATCGGAGCAGAAGGTCGGATACAACTTCGAATGACGACCTACCGTGCTTAGTTCGGTTCCCTCTGTATGCGAGCTCTCGGTGCTGTCGGCCTTTGGCCGAGGTAGGTTCACTAGCACCTCCTACGGAACAAAAACTCGTACGCATTTCTGGGATGTCGACGGCATACTCCAAAATCATTAACTGCGGATATTGCCCGGTGAGTCTATTTTACTTAGCACTTTCTATGTTGCGAGCTCTGAAGGATTTACTACCCTCGGACGATGCCTGTATATTCTATTCTAGCAGGTGATTGCTTCTACAATCGACGAGTATACTCATCTGCACGTTTTCAGGTACGTTTCATCCCCCAATCCCTATAGAAGGTCTTGGCGATCGCAATAATAGAGGAAGGTCAAGGTCAGCTAGAACCCGTCGTCCTCGGCGACACCAAGACATCGATAGTGAGGCAAGCATCCCCGCATGAAGGCATCAGACCAACCCCGAAGGCTTCGTTGATGACATCCATTATCTGAGCCATGCCGAATATTGTAGGTCGTACGCCGTATACGATGTCCACAGCTTAGACCATGACTCGTTACCAACGATTGAGCCCGTCTCTACTTATTGGCAGGTCAGGCAAAAGCGCAGGGTCTACAATATAAAGGCCTGGAGTAACGCTCATACCACGCTCAGTGAGCTATCTTCTCCGAGCCGCTCTTATTCCCCATACGCTCCCTCGAATCTCTTCGAATGCCGGGCAACATTCGCACTACTAATGGAGGGCTCAGCAACGATTGAAGAAATCACCAAAGTCATCGCTTTCTGGTCGTGAAATGGAATGGAAGCTAAACGTAGGAGAGGCTTTCAGTGCGCTCGAGCCGTGTGGAGTAAATTTGAGGACATCTGACGTTGTCCTTGGATTCAAGGATCATCGCCTGAACACAAGATTAGGCTCGGCAAACCTCTCATCTTTTTATGGATGTGGTTTTCAACTTCGGAGTCGTCAGCGCCACCCTTCTGCGGCGCCGTTTGGGGTGTTCTCTCTGCTTAGAACCTCGGCGTTCATCTCCAATAATTCCACGATGCTCAAGTTTTATATGCACCATTGCACATTGCGCCACTCTTTCTTGATGCTTGCCAAGACCGTGTTGCCGTCACCAGTGGCATGACCTTCCAGGACTATGGAAGGTCGTGAAGACCACAGAATAGGACCGCAAAAGTCATTGTTCTTGAGAAGGTCTGTTACCATCATATTGACAACAAGACAATTAGCAGACGCGACTAAAAACAGTTTACTGGCCGAGTTCTGCATTTCGATGATGATATTATTCTCTTTTTGGTCCAGGTTTTTGTTTTTCTATCGCCAAGGTGATGTACGATTGGAACATGGTATCGTACGTTTGGACCCTTACTGTCGTGTGTGCCGCAGCGCTTGACGCTAACGAAGGCCCAAGCAGCGGCGCACCCAATAACATAAAGCTCACGCTCAAAACCATCGTATAATCTATCGTTCCTTCTCTCAATCATTGCCCTCGAATTATTGTTCCTCACTTGTCATTCTTCGCAGGTCTAGTCAATTATGGACGCCGTACCTATGGAAGACGTGGTCACGGTAAGCTGCTCCTCCCTCCTTGAATGCGGAGGCTAAACTGAGCAAAGGTCAACACTGTATCAATGCCCACGAAGCCGAGTTCTTTCCTGAAACCCCTAAATCACAATGTCGAGAGAACTGAATATTACCCTCAACGGAGCCTTCACCTGGAAAGCGATCCAGATGGCAATGTGAGAAACTGAAGTCGAATCTTACGCCAACGCTAATCATGAATGTATTGCCCAGGTGAAGTGTCCATACTGTTCGGCAGTGAGGTGCAGGGTACCTGATATGAAACGGCACATCCGGGGACACCGTTCTAAGTTGGGCCCTATCTCCTTACGCCAATTGCGCCTCACTGACATCTATACCTCAGTTCAGCACCGCTCAGGTGTAGTCTCTGTAACCCGATACGAGAGTTTCGTTCTGTAGGCGCATTCTGGAGACACCAGCGCTCCCACAAAATCAAGGTTGAGCAGCAAGCAGTCTTTGCTTCTAGTAATGTGAATCAGCAGGTTATGGATATTGACATGTAACTTTGACAAGCATCTTAGACTTTCAATGAACTTATCTATCCCCCTAATATCGTCTCACATGTTGGAATTCGAAGTCTTTCTTTTCGTCTCCTTTCCGTACTGAGCACTCCCAAAATTATTGGAGCATGAAACTAACCCTGTACAGGAATCACACGTGGCACTGTGAGAAATGTCAATGATACTCTAGAATCCGCCAGTCAATCTTAGTTTTATGGATGCAGTCAAGCTTCAACATCGTAGCTAGTCGATTGCCCTGGACCGAAAACGTCAGGATGGGGTTGAACTTTTGTCATGTTGATCATGGTGACGCTTCAAGTAAGCACCAGGCTCCCTTTAACACTACTACTCCGCGCCGTTAAGCCATCCTCCTTTGTAGCGCTTGACTCGGATTGAGTGAGAACTCACCGGCCACCTATTACCTACTCACTCGCGGTGGAATTCCAATGACGAATAAGATGTTCCGCATTGGCAGAGCGGGGATTGACAATACACGGGACACACTTCGGACTCCTGGAAATATTACGCAACGTGTAAGCGCTATCGAGCCATGACTGACTTTGCGGAGTCGCTACGCACGAAATTATGCCCGTACTCATCATGGTTGACGGGTCTATAGTTTTGCCATCTTGTCCAAGAGCAGGCTGAATGCTCAAAGTATGCAAGACTGATGCGATTGTAAGAAATAGCGATGATCCACTCAAATGTCGTCCTGGGCAAATTCTGACGATCACATATTGTCAGCAAATTGCAATATTTCAGAAGCACCAAAATGCCCACCGCCGCCCAAACCCGAATGCGATACTCAGAGGACTACGCACGTTGGGATCCAGTTGTTCGTCCTTGATGAATCGTTCAGGCTTGAACTCGTCTGGATCAGGATACTCATCCGGATCATGCAACATGGCCCTGGGAATACAATTCTCAGCACACTGATTGCTTACCGGAACTGGCAGGTGCGAAAGACTTGCCATGCATTCTGAATGAAATGTGGGCATTCGGTGAGTGGAAGACCACGATGAATAGTCGGACAAAGGTATCACCCACAGGAAGCACTGTCGTACCTTTCGGAATGAAGAAGCCATTGAACTCATCATCACGAAGTAATCTATGAGGATTGGCCAGAGGTGTGACTACTGCCCAACGCATGGTTTCCAAAGCAACGGCCTGAATGTAGACAAGCTCGTCAAGATGGTTAAAATCTGGAAGTCTATCAGGACCGACGACGCGATCAAGTTCGGCCTGCGCCTTTCTTTGAACATCGGGGTATAGACTCATTGCAACGAAGAAAGACTGTGCAGCAGAAGTAGTCTAACGAAAATGTATGGATGGTTAAGCAAAGCCCAGAGGAAAATCAATTTGGACGAACAGTATCAGCTGCGGCTTTGTAATAAACGAGAGTTCAGCGGCACTCCTAGTGATAATTTCAAGAATCGCAGCTCACCGGCATAAGCTATACCTGCAACATTACGAGCTATCTCCTCTTGCTCTTGGTTCAGTTCTGTTTCCCCAAATCGGTCTTGCAGCCTTTTGAGTAATTTGCCGGAAACGGAGGAAGAACCTTTCCCATTTGCCTGAGCATCCGAGATATCAGCGTCCGACTTAGAAGAACATGAGAATACACCGACAACGTCTCGCTTTATTTGATTAAAAGGCTTGTCACGCATTGTCTCGACAACAGGTCTGAAACGATCTGCTAACTTCTTGAAGCGAGCACCAGGAACCCAGCTCGGAATATGCTTCAGAATTGGCAGATATTCCACCCAAGATGCTTCAGTAACCCTCGCAATATTGAGAGCCATCATAGCTTCTTGTGCCAGAAGAACGTATTCGCAGTTCATGCCCGTGACTTCCATATCATAGACGATCTTCAGAATAATCGCTGTATATATCCTGTTGGTGAAGAACGTAAGATTTCAAACGGAAATCAGGATATATATGGATGCATTACGCACTGACGAACATGCTGCGCTATATTCTCTGGGGAATCTAACATTCGCTGCAAAAATGCACGACATTCTCGAACCTGAATTGGATGATACTTATGTACTTCGCCTTGGTTGAAATACTGGTGGAAAGCTCGACGATGATTGCGCCACGTCTGAGAATATGGCATGAAGGCAAAGTTGAAGTCCCAGGACAGCCTAAAATCCCAATCAACAACATTCATGCCGGCAATCCTAAGATCCCCACAGCTTATCCGTTACAAAAACAGCTCGATCTGAGTAGATACTTGAGCGTTTCTCCAGAAGTTCCACAGCAACCTTCACGGAACCCAAAACGATTGTTGGTCGGCCAGGGAGATCCAAATAGATGACGTCGCCTAGAAATCGAGGTCAGTCCTCCACTAACAGAAAATAAAAGGTCACGAACCATAAACCTTGCACCATTCCTGGAACACTTTCCATGGGGTGACAGTTGGCATATCAAGCATATTACCAATGAAAGGATAACCCTTCGGTCCAGGAGGGAGAGGTAAACGACCCTTCACGGAACGTCTGAGCCATAGGAAGAATGCAAATGGTAGAGCACACAGTGTGAGGCAGAATATCATCTCGGATATGCGAAAATGTGTGCGATTCATCTGCATGCATATACAGTCTCGAAGCGACCAAGATGCCGTTATAACTCCAACTCATCAGAAACAGGGAAACCTTGGTACATCAAGTGGCTCAATTCCAGCATGTCGGGCAAGAATTGCATACAGAGAAGCTCTAGAAGCTCACAAGATCGGTTCCAGAGGACACTTTGAAGGAATAGGGCCCAAAGAGGATGCGCTTATACGCTATGCACTGTGGACATTCACACCAACATCATGAAGATTCCAGGGAGCCGCCAGGCTGTCAAATACTGTGGTACTGTCATTTGATCCTCAGACAGTCTGACGGAAGGAGGCAAAGGATGCTGGCTGTCCTCCTAAAATCGCAGGTCAAGTACTGGTTGCATTGAATACGGTCGAAGAATCCAATGGTTCCCAAGGGTTAACTTACTTATTCGATGCCCATGTATGCCTTCGGTACGTCGAAGTATCGTCAAGGGCCTGCTAATATATGCAGAATAACTTTGAGTGCTTGAGTGCTGAGTACTGAGTGTCATTACAAGTTGCTACTTCGCCATGTCTCTCACTGTGTCGCATGTAGTATACAAGTATACATCATTCCCACGCATACAATATTGAGAACGTTGTAGGCCAGCAAGCTTGGCGCGCTACTACACTCGACAATTTATATGCTTACCGGAGAGCCTTGCTCCTCCTGAAATGATCATGTTCGTGTATACACTTGATCTGCTATATGCCCTTCGGGGTCATAATCTGTATGAGCACCTCTTCGTAGGGCGAGGGATTAATTGTAATACCGTTCGGAATAGCGAAGCGCCATTCCGTCGACCAAAATCTGCAGTGCTGCATTACAGCGTGCTCAACACACTCGTTTTATTTTATGACTACCAAACACCAAATGTTGACTACTGACGTCGGTCACTGCTTATTGCCCAATCGATAGAATTGATAGGAGGACCCATGATGAGTGTTGCAATTACTGCCAGCGGCGCTATTCCATTCAAGTTGGCCCCACCTCATTGTTGTGCCCTTCATCTTCATGCCTTGTAGCCGAGTCCGGAGGTACAAGGGCTCCCTACTCCCCGACTTCATGCCATCGCGTTGACTACAGCAGTTTCCCCAAAGGGCCTATGATCAGATGTGCGGATCAATGTTTGTGATACACATGGGATCGTTCTCGGTAAGACGCGGTGTATATATCACGACAAGTTGGCTCTCGCTGCTCTTTGCTTCTGCTCTGTCTCTGAGCACCAGCCACCACTTCGTTCAGCCTTCCTGCTTTTCTTTTTAATCCTTTCAAGGCCCAGGTTTTCCAGTCGCTGGTCGATTGGAAGTCTCTAATCGCGTTTCAAATCTTTCGTGCGACTCTTAGAAGGAAATTTCAACATACTCCAGGTCATCAGTGTTATGTCTTGCGTACTGCTTTCAGACCCAATCCCGGTGGAAGGAATGTTCAAGGTTGGATTGTTTGATAATTCGCACTCAAACCAGTCTGTCGTGTTGACAATGGGGTGAGTATCAGTGCGCTCATATATCTCGGTCCTGTTCTGACTTTGCAACAGGTGCAGAGCGCAACGACGGACTACGTGGCATGTTTTGCTTGAGATACCCCATGAATGCAACGAATGGTTACTCGCGTACCTTTTGACTGCCGTAGTCAGAAACGGCATCCCTCGCAGTCTCTCATTGGCAAACATCGACGTCTTCACCCTCGAACAAGAGCGTTCCAGCCTCCCCGAACAATTATTCCTCTCATTTGAACTCAAAGATGGAGAACATTTAACTGCGCCGATAAGGACGCTTACAGGGAACCCACAACAATTCATGTCAGGCAACGAGGTACAGGCTGCATCATGTTTCGGTTGGTATCATCAACTCATTGCCAATCAATAGGGTCGGCGTCCACTCCATTTTCTCGACTGTTCCCTGACCGATGATCACTCTCTGGCGATGCCGGAGGTTAATACACCCCGTACTGATCCCGCCGTTTGCGCTGATGCTGTGGAAATTGCCATGTGCATTGCTGAGGAGGTAGCTCGCTTGAGCGACGCGCCGAATCCTGTACCGACGGACATGCCCCTGCCATTCGCGGATATGGACGCCATGGCAGTGCAACGGCTTCAATCGTGGCTTCTCACACGATATGATTGGCCAGAGGATATTTCTCTCTTGTCCGATCCTCATGTCTCCCCGGAGAAACTGGCGAGCAATATTGTGGACACCTTATCATCCATTTCGACTCAGACAGTGAACGTACCTGCAGGCGTCATGTCAACTACACGTACAAAGAAACCACGTCGTCTGCATCCTAGGAGGAACCTTTCAGTTACCGTCCCTGAACCAGAATTAGCAATCCTCATTCCAACAACATCGTCAGTAACTTCCCCTGAGAGGTCGACAGTTCTGCCATGTTACAGTCCAGCACACTTTACAACTCCACCGTCCAATGTTGACGAGACAGTACTTGACATGGGGATGGCTCCATATGAGTCTTGGACTGGCAAGAAGACAGGGTATGTGCTTTATTGCTGTCAACTATGTAGAAGATCTGACGCTTCTGTCTAGAATGATTGTTGGTCTAATGGCTCTTGGTGCATTCTTTGGCTCTCCGACATCTACATCCTTTAAAGCAGCGCGGCACCAGAGAACGCCTCTTGGCCTGGGTGACCCATCCCTTCTTCTGGACATCCGCTCCCCTCCTGTAGAACATACTTCCATTCTCTCTCCTTGGTTGGATGTTCTCCACTTCCATGGTTGCGAGCCAGTCCAGTCACCCTGGGTGGCAGATGGAGCGCAGTCGAATTTTCCACTCAGTCCCTGAATATTTTGACGCCTTTTATGACTTTACGAACGAGACGAATGGCGGCTGGATTTGCTGGACATTTTATTTCGTTGCATATCCCGTCGTCCACGATCTGGGCCTTTGAAAGTTTTCCCTTCATATTCTTTTCTTCAGAGCTGGTCTCTTTCTCGCTTATTGTAATGCTGCAGGACAATGATAAGGCTGTTCTTAGTGGTCATTTTGCTTTCTGGTGAATAGTGCGGCTTGGAGGGATTGAACGCGCAACGCGATCCGTGACCATTGAATACGCGTGACGTCACATCGTATCCGTGCAAACTCCGTGTCACGCATGCCCAAAGTATAGTTGGACGTCTTTCGTTTGCACTGCCAACTGAGGTTCCCTTGCTGCCCCTCGTTTCCTGAATTTTCTCGTATTCTGCCCTCCTCATAGCTGTAGATTGGCACTTACAAGGAATGGCAACAAAAGCTAGCTCATCACGGAGGAATCTTCATGCAGAGGCCGTTCTCGGTCCGGAGTTATCAGCGCGTCTTCCTGAGACGAAAGTCCTTCTAGTTGGTGCTGGAGGTATTGGGTGCGAACTATGTGTGTAATACTTCTCTAATAGACTGTTTTGTGACCTAAAGTGATTGGAATTCTCTTGTAGTAAAGAATGTCGTCCTCGCTGGCTTCGGCAATATCACATTACTCGACCTGGATACGATAGACTTGTCCAATCTAAATAGGCAATTTCTCTTCCGCAAGAAGGACGTGAAGCAGAGTAAAGCTCTGGTACGTATGCCACGGCATATATGACTTTCGCTCAGCTCGAATGGCTTACAACGGTTCCCTATGATAGGTTGCCGCAAAGACTGCTTCTGCATTCAACCCAAATGTCCGTATTACACCTATACATGGCAACATCAAGGAGCCACAGTTCGACATCTCTTGGTTCCGAGGCTTTGATATAGTGCTCAATGCACTAGATAATCTGGATGCTCGTAGACATGTCAACAAGATGTGTCTAGCAGCCAACGTTCCGCTGGTAGAATCCGGAACAGCTGGCTACCTCGGCCAAATACAACCAATAGTCAAAGATAGGACTGAATGTTTTGACTGTGTCCCGAAGCCAACAACCAAGACGTTTCCCGTTTGCACCATTCGGTCCACACCATCCCAACCGATACATTGTATTGTGTGGGCAAAGAGCTACCTACTTCCGTGAGTCCTTCACCCTCGTTGTCGCCTACCATTACTCATGGGATAATTTAGACAACTATTTGGGGAAGAGGAAGACGCTGGAGGTGAACTGGACGAGGCCGAGAAGCAAGGCGAGAATGGTATGATTCGATTCAGCCAAAGCATTCACACGACTGCATACTCATGGATGTACAACTTTCAGCAAAGGAGATTGCCACTCTCAGAAAGGAAGCCCAGGCGTTCACAACTGTTCGCTCAGCACTTCGTACGCAGTCCAAGTCGGAGAGCTCAAATGCCGCAAGACTGGCCTTCGAGAAGGTTTTCCATGGCGACATCCTCAATCTCTTATCAATGGCGGATATGTGGCGTTCTCGTGCTCCGCCTACACCTCTTCAATTTGATGCCATTCGGCAGGACACGTTCAAGCTTGAGAAAAATGGTTCGCTGTCACCTTCAACGAATGGCAACTCGCAACCGAATAGTTCGATACCAAACGGCTCTGCGATTCCTGCAAGCGGAAGTGCTGTCACTGAGAAACTCTTGAACGGTTCACATCACGTCATAGTTTCAAAACTTGGGCTGAAGGATCAGCGTGCTCTGACTCTGCAGGATAGTCTAGAGCTGTTCGTGTCAAGGTATTGTAGCGTCTGAATTTCCTAATCGTTCAATGTACTGAATCGCAAGGCAGTACGAATAAGCTGGCCTCTCGTCTGCAGGCTGGCGAAGATACTATATCTTTCGACAAAGACGACGACGACACCTTAGACTTTGTCACTGCTGCGTCCAATCTCCGCTCAGCCGCATATAGCATCCCTGGCAAGACACGTTGGGAAGTCAAGGGTCCGTCACTTATTGCATTCGATTATGTTATATTCTGATAGCTATTATCAATGACAGAAATGGCTGGAAATATTATTCCAGCTATTGCGACTACCAATGCCATCATCTCCGGCCTCATTGTTTTGCAAGCCTTCCACCTCCTTCGCAAAGCATACAACTCATTACACAACGTCCACGTGCAGTTTAAACCTAGCATGCCTCTAAGTAGTATCAGCATGAGTCCTCCCAATGCTCAGTGCGGTGTTTGTAGGGACACGTACACAGAGCTGCCGTGCGATCCATCTCGAGTTACTCTTGGGGAGGTCGTGAGCGGCATTCTAGGTGAGAACACTAGGGATGTCAGTGTGTACGAGGAAAAGCGTGTCCTTAGCGACCCTGACTGGGATGACAACTTGGAAAGGACCCTGGAAAGCCTCAATGTTACCAAGGGAAAGTTCCTGTCCATCGTCGACGACGACGGCGAATACGAGACAGTACAGGTCGGCATTAGCGCACTCCCGTAAGTACACCTTTCATGTTCCGGCCAGCCTCACACCTAATCGTTCACTGCCTCAGGCCAAACCATCCAATTGACAAACCTGCCTTCATTCTCCCCGATCCTCTTCCATCTCCACCTAAGAAGGTCAAACCCGCTCCTGCCGCGCCATCAACACCTCCCCCTGCACCTGTTTCGTCCAAGAAACGGCCGGCGCCTGATGATGAGGGTGTTCCTTCTGCAAAGAGGCTACGGACAACAGCTACGGCGCCAGCACCGTTTACTCCGAGCAAGAAGAAGCGACTGGAGGATGACGGGCTGATCCTTTTGGAAACGCCTGACGAAGCCATAGATGACGATGCAGTTATAGTCATTGATTGATCCTTGGTAGACTCTATCCTGTTTCCTTGTACCCTCCGTCTGATTGCTTTAGTTTATTCATTCTTATGTTGCAGTAATTTACGGGACTCACGCTATATTATTCGCACTCTCCTGGGCGACACCTATGCCTCCGGCGTCTTTGCTTTCCAAAATGTCAAGTCTGCTTCTCATACTCAATATTCAATGGTTAATCCTGTCAGCGAGTCGACAGTATTGCGAAATATTCTGTTCTGCTAGAAGCCTCTAAAAATACGACTCTCGAACTAGTGCCGCCGAAGGCGTCTTCCTCCATTTTTGATCACACACACCAAATTAGGCTTAACAATAAGCTTCACTAGCGAACCGGGCCAGATGGCGTGGCCAACGTTGTTTTGATGCACATGATGTATTCTCTTTTGTTTAGGGGCAGAAGACGTCAGCAAAGAAGCGAAATATGGAACCTCTGTCAAAGCTGCCTTTTGTCTATGGAGCATACATATACTAAGACCTCTCGCCCACATCTGCTCCTCTCGCCACGACCCAGCTGGACCCTGGTAATCTGTCGTTGCTCAGTCTCTCCGCTCTCGGTGCCCCTGCTGTCTCGTTGTGCTGTGCTTATCCTTAGTTTCTGACTTACTTATTCAGTGCTATGTCTGAAATGCCACGCTCTGTTATTACTTTCCCCCGTCCTCCTCCAACGTGCAATACTTTAACATCTCAGGAACGCTCTAAACTTCTGCGTTCTACTGCTAAGCTGGGGCAGCTTTTAGGAAGCACGCCCCATGTTCTTGATGAAATTCTCGATCGTAGGTTCTGGTCCTGCCCTTCTTTCGCCTCACTCGCTGACCTGCAATTGCAGTACCTATTGATAAACCTCTTCCTCTTCTCCCCCTTTCTGCAAAACATAAGAAACTTAGACGACACGCTAACACCGGAGGCAATGAAAATGACGACTGGCAAAGGGTTCGAGTCAACGGCTCGGATTCTGTCTCGTCTTCTCTTTCGCGATCGAGCACATCCTCACACTCGTCGACTTCCACTACCTCATCTACATCACGGTCCAGTGTAGATTCCGAGGAGGTTTGGCGGGTTCGGTACCCTGAGTGCCGACCCCCGCTACTACGTCTAGGTTTTGGAGATCCGAATAAACCTTCATCGCGCAAAGCAGCCCTTAAACCGAGCCTGGATACCATTCCTGGTTCACCTCCATTTACTACAACCACATATTCGTATCACGTCGATAGGGCGTATCCCGATCCAGAGCCATCGTCTCCTCCCAGCTTTAACATCCTTTCTGACGCCTCTATCAAGAGGGAGAAGATGCGTCGACTGACGAAGAAACTTGGTGACGGCGTGCCCGTCCACCTCGTCTTTCCATCAATAACAGAAGATGATGAAGATGACGTTATTATCCATAGTCCGACTTCCCCTTCGTCCACGTCGAGTACCCTGTCATCGAGCAGTGGTACTTCCTCCTCAACCTTGATCACCGTTCACTCCAATACCTCGAGTACGTCTGGGAAGTATCGTATGCGACACGAGGCATCTCATCAACCTCCTCGGACCTCACACTTCGCGAGGGAGCTTCCAGACTTCCCGTGCCAAGGACGTCGGTTGACCGTCCACTATGAGACGCCGGAGGAACATGGGTTTGAGTCGGAGACGTTCAATGGATTGAACTGTGCAGGGGTACCGCCAGTGCGGACGAGAGCAGCGGTAACAAGAAAGCCAGTGCCTTCTCCTCTTATCATTTCCTAACTTATTTAAAAGCGATCGGAGCTCTTTCGTCTGCAGGCTGCAAACGGGCTTTGTAGTCATTTCATTGATGTGTTAAGCACACCTTGTCGTTTTATGTACGCGTATTTCATATTTCTCCACTTTAGCACTCCTCATCTTGTAGCATTACAATCTAGGACTCTTTATCTATCAGCGTTTATGAGCAACGTTCCGTAACTGTGGTTTCCTGGTATTGTTCAAACGATGCTTACGCTCCATACAAGCATATGCGTCTGATGACGAGCCTGAAAGACATGAACATTAAATCCCTCATTCAAAAAAGCTTCAACTTTAACATGGCTCTCTGCAAACTCTGGCGAGCGTAGTTCCCCAATGACTTTTATCCAAAGTTTCGCCCAGGATTGAGGGGAATGGCCGTATCGCGTTCTGAACGGTGTAGCATCAATGTCTCAACAATCAAAGACGCGATCAGACCAAAGTATTTACCTTCCAAGATGGTCGTCAATCAGCCTTTCTTCAGGCAAAGCTTGGTGTCTGCCGAAAACAACTGTACCTGGTTCAAGCTTCACCAATGTCGCGACCCGACAAGCAAGTTCGTATTGCGTTGGCTCGTCGAATAGATGGAACAATGCACCGGCGTAGAAGTGAGTCAAGGCTCCTCGCAGCTGCTCAAGTCCGGTGATCTTGAAGGTGTCCACCTGGACGATCCCGGACGGTTCTGCAAGTTTGACAGGGACATCGAAGATATCACCAGTAAAGAAACGGATCGGAGAAGTATCTTTATCGCCGAAAAGGTGATACCCTTGATCGATGAAATCCTGACGGAGGTCGCAACCAATGACTCTATTCGCAGGATAGCCATCGTAGACGAGCTTTCTGACGTCCGTGCCCACTACAATCAAGTGGTGAGCGCTTTGAGGACATATGTACACACGGTTAAGAACCTGACAACGGTAAAGGAAACTCACTACAGCATCCTAGGTCCAACAACAAAGTGTTGCCGCCCTTCCCGGCTTCGAGAACCCTTGGGTATATTGGATTCTCGGACATCATGAGGTTCACAAAATGGAACGCTCGGATGCATGGATATGCATGTTGAGCACTACGAAGCCATATACTCATTAGCCGTCAATCAGTCTGACACGCAAGGTGGATAGCGTACTAGGCTCTATAAGTGCAGAGGCATGATGAGGCTTAACGTCGTTTGGATCAGGAAGCACAGCAGCGCTCACGTACATCTTCTGAACTTCATATACCTTCTTCTTCAACGCCTCATCATCCGACGAGATCGTTGCATGGAGGAACTCCTTTTCTTGTTCTGATAGACTTAGCAAGGAAGGATCTAAAGGTGGGATCACGGAAGGGTCCAATTGTATCTCCTTTGTGATCTCTGGCATCTTTGGGTATGGTAGTTTGTAAATGAGTGACTATGAGTGTCGGGGCTTCGCAGGTGGATATAGGTGGAAAAGTCATGTCGGTAGAACTACCCTCCATCTATGCATCCTCTGGGTTTAGCCTTTCTCACCTGAATGAAACCACCTAGGGTCATTCTGACGCCATGCGACCATGCGGTTGACCGTCCTCAACAATAGAGAGGATCACGAGTAATGTTGGGCGGTATCATGTATGCTGCGTTTCAACGTACGATGCTCCTGGGTACACCCACAGGACGTAGGCCTCAACGCTTGCTGAACAGTGGGGAAAAGGTTAACTTCTACTACAGTTCAACTATAGGCTTATTGTCGCCAAGTAAGAGTTACTCTAACTTTCCAACATCTAAGTATTTATATTTAAACCAGATAAGTCAAGTTTCAAAGCAACCGAGCTATTTCAAACTCGGACTGGATGTACAAGACTTCTAGTCAGTCGCTGGAATAGTGGAGGCAGAGAATACTGTATAGAACAGCCCATGATGACACTTACAAATGATGATCTGAGGTGTGGAGCGATTTGATGAGTTATGTAGCTTGCCCATACAGAAGCGATTGTACTGAATGACGTGGGAACCCATGCGACTCGAGCTGGAAACTGAATCGCTCGGAATGTTATCGATAGGGAACATTCTCACCGTTATCCAGACAACAGGGACCTATCATGGCAGTGGAGACCCAGAGCAACCTTAACAGAGTTGGTGGACGCCCATCCAGGGTACATCAGGGCAGAACACGTTCAGCACCCCGTATTCTTCTCGCGCTGTGCATAGCTGTCCTGATTACGTTCATATCCGAGATGCCAGCACAAAGATATTGAGGCAGACAAGTGGTTCCTTGAAACGATACTGCCTGACATTCGCCGCGCCGAGGTCCACACTGTGGCAAATGGTCAAGTGATAACGGTGAAATCACCCGTGGTGAGGGAGCTATCGAGGATTAGATCCATTTGGAGTTTCTCCACCGTGTTCCGTGATACGTCATCCAGAAAGATCTCGGGTGCCCTAGTGTTACGATCACATTCATTCCGGATCTACGGACACACCTTTTCCTCTCGTTATTCATTTGTAACCACTTATTAAAACCTACCCAAACACACTCATTGATCCATGCTCGAACCTGACCGATACCATAAGGATATATGAACACATTGATACCGCATGTATTTAGATAATAGTTGTATATATACACCAGACGAACTTCGGATTAACTCCAAGTTTCGAATGGTTTTCACCTGCTCATTTCTAGTTTGATTTGAGTCCTATCATAATTCGAAACTTGCCCCTTCGCACTCTCTCGACAGGCATTGCCTCGTCCTCCACCCACTCTTCACCTCACTCAAAGTCCGTTGTACTCGACGGCAATCACCTCATTCCTCACCCAACTCTGCTTTACTCTTACTCGCTCAAGACCTCATTCGGAGGGATCCGAATTCCACATTCCTAGTTACTTTTTCTATCGCACTCCATTCCTCCACCTGGGTAATCACGCGACTACAACTGTAGATTGCGACCCTTGTATTCCCTTAGTACATAAATCATTACTCTCACCTGGTAGTCCGCTCTTGAAGCAACCAGGAAGTAGGCGGTGCTGCAACCTTCTTGACAGAGGGGCCGTTGAAAAAACCTACCAGAATTTACCCTGCTCAGACCTAAACGACTGAGTGTACGGCAGGAGGTTTCGAACCTCGCTGGTATCTCTTGATCCTCTCGCACGTCGAAAGACAACTACCGCAGAGATCAATTTCTCTTTTTGCGCCTTCAAAGGCCAAACCATTTTACGTAGTTACTATATCTACCTACCTTGTGTGTCCGGATCGGCTATTGGCCGGAACACTTTGAAGGAGTACCTTTACCTTGGATCTATACTCGTCTAAGTACCAGAACAGGGTCGTGCGCCCGGTACAAGACACTATTGTTCACACACCACGTCTTCATTTGAATTCTCTGCACCACTCTACCAATACTACACACGTCGATCCCCACCTCCACTCGTACCGTCGCCACACTCATCCCCTACAAATCTCACACCACCTTCACCGATATCACCAATGGGTTCTACTGGATCTGGAACAGGCAGTCTCGGAGTAAATCCACCACCACCACCACCTCCGGGAGGAAACCCAAACCCACCCAGAAATCCACCTCCGCCTCCGCCAAACAACCCACCAGCAGCTGCACCACAGCCAAATACAAAGGCATCTGGAGGGAAACCTGTAGACTTCGATGGAACCAAAGACAAATTCCCGTCTTTCAAAAGACAACTGTACTTATGGTTCCGAACACCCAAGAATATCGGTCTTACTGATGAACAGAAGGTCGATATGACTTTATCATACATGAAGGGTCCGAAGGTTGACGACTGGGTCAACAACTACTTCGAAAATGAATTTGACATCACCACCGACAGCTGGAATGTCACTTTCCTTCATTTGATGAAAGATCTCAATGAACAGTTCCTCGACTCGAATCGAGTTGAACAAGCAGTTATCCAAATGGATAACTTGATCCAAGGCAACGGGACAGCGCAGGAATATTTCCAGAAATTGGAAATGTACATCACGCAAGCAGGCAGAAAGAAGGACGATAAACACACTATCGACCTCATCAGACTCAACTGCAATGAATCCATTGTAGACAGAGTCCTCGACAAAGACACGCGACCAACCGACTATGCAGCATGGAAGGAAGCGATCATTGACATTGATTCCTCGCGAAGGCAGCGGGAAGAAGAGAAGCGTTTGAAGAAGATTGGATATCGACCTTTCCGATCAAACCAGAACTATGGGCAGAAATACCCTAGTTATCAGCAGCAGACCCAAGGATCGGGTCAGAACCAGAATCAGAGTCCAAAGAAGGACTACGGAGAAAAGAAGGACGGAACTGGGACAACGTTCACAGGGCGTGGACAGCCCATGGACTTGGACAGGAATTGCCTTAAGTGTAAGGCCAAGCAATCAGAGAAGGGCACCTGCGGAAGTGCATGGCATGTCCCCAATCGATCGGGACCTTCCACGAACACTCAACGTGTTCGAAAGAATGAAACAAAGACAGAGTCAAAGATCGAGGAGATCCCCGACTCAGATGATGATGACGATGACAAAATGATCGCCATGGTTCGGCGATGGATGGAGAAGAACCCGGAGAAGGCAAAGAAGCTGAATTTTGGCTCGGGCAAGGCTTAAACGCACAAAGTGACTTGCCAGATAAGAACAATGACTCGGATAAACCCCTGGAGGGTTCTATGAAAACATCTTCGATACATGCCTGTAGCACATTGATCGGACAGTCCCCTTTTGTAAATATTTCATCTAACACAGAGGCGTCTTCTACCAAGAAGCGCGGCAGGGCGGAACCTGTGCTTGATTCCTCTAAACAAAATACAAAAAAATTTGAAAATAAACCGAGTGCGTCGGATAAAAGCATCACAGATATTGGACCACCACTACTCCGAGTTGTCAAAGGACTTGGAAGAGGGAAACAAATGGACCTACCGGTCACTGTGATCATCCCGGAAACAGAAAGAATCCATGATACAGTAGCATTAGTCGACACCGGTAGTACCGGATCATGCATAAATTATAATTTCGTCAAAAGACACGGAATTGAAACCTCTAAATTTGATCAACCGATCCAAGTCTATAACACCGATAACAGCGAGAATTCTCAGGGACCGATCACAGAATATGTCCGACTCACACTTCGAATCGGCGATCACCAAGAGAACATCATGCTTCTAGTTACCGATCTGGGGAAGTCAGACATATTCCTCGGATATGAATGGATCGAATACCATAATCCATCAATAGACTTCAAATTGCAACTTGTTGACTTTAACCGATGCCCACACACGTGCGTCACTATAAGACAACAAGAAATTGAAGAAGGAGATACCGTATATTTACTCAATACCAATGCTTGGTATAAAGAACGGGGAGAATATATTCAGCGAATGCGCGTAACAGCCATGGACATAGCAATTGAACAAAGTAAACAAAAAAAGAAAAAGACCTTCGAAGAAATGGTTCCCGAACAGTATCGTGAATTCACAGATGTATTCACTGAGGATACTTTCGACGTCCTTCCAGAAAGGAAACCATGGGACCATGCAATAGAACTGTTACCAGATTCATCACCGTATGCAGGCAAGGTGTATTCCATGACTGTTGAAGAACAAAAAATCCTAGACGGTTTTCTTGAAGAAAACCTAAAGACGGGAAGAATCCGACCATCAAAGTCTCCCTGGGGAGCACCTTTCTTCTTTGTCAAAAAGAAAGATGGCAAATTGCGACCGGTACAGGATTACCGAAAACTCAACGATATGACCAAAAAAAATAAATATCCATTACCATTGATCTCAGAGCTTATTGATAAGCTCAAAGGTGCTAAATATTTCACGAAACTGGATATTCGCTGGGGATACAATAATATTCGCATGAAAGAAGGAGACGAAGAAAAAGCTGCATTCATCACAAATAGAGGACTATACGAACCAACCGTCATGTTCTTCGGACTGACAAATAGTCCTGCTACATTCCAGATGATGATGAATGACATTTTCCGTAATCTCATTCTCAAAGGAAAAGTAATCATATATCTTGACGATATACTCATATTTTCCGAATCCCTGGAGGAACATCGCCGTATTGTGAAAGAAGTCCTTAAAATATTACGAGAAAATAAGTTAACCTGCAAACCAGAAAAATGCGAGTTTGAAACTCGAGAAACAGAATATCTCGGACATATTATTTCGCAAGAAACTGTAAAGATGGATCCTGCCAAAGTCGACGGAGTTACGCAATGGCCAGTACCAAAAGCCAAAAAGGAATTACAGTCATTCCTTGGATTCGCTAATTTCTACCGACGATTCATCAAAGACTTTTCCAAAATCGCCACTCCTTTGAATAAATTAACTGGACAAGTAGAATGGACCTGGGGTCCAGAACAGCAGGAAGCTTTTGAACTTCTAAAGAAAACCATTACCACGGCACCGGTATTGGGTATCCCGAACAATGAAGATCAGTTCAAAGTAGAATGCGACGCGTCGAAATATGCTATTGGAGCAGAACTTGCACAGAAGCAAGATGGACAATGGCGAACTATCGCTTTCTTATCAAAAAGCCTTTCACCGGCTGAAAGAAACTATGAGATCTACGATCGAGAGATGCTAGCCATCATGATCTCATTAGAAGAATGGCGTCACTTCTTGATGGGAGCTGCCCAGAAATTTGAAATTCATTCCGATCACAAGAACCTTGGCTATTTCAAAAAACCGCAGAAGTTGAATCATCGCCAGGCCCGATGGATCCAAGAATTACAACAATATGATTTCAATTTGACTCACAAACCCGGAAACACAATGATGAAGGGAGATCCTTTATCGCGACAGACCCATCACGATATTGGAGATAGTCATAATGAAAACATTACGTTGTTAAAACCAGAATGGTTCCGAGCCAATGAAATCCTCGGATCATCAGCTCTACGGGAGAAAATCATAAAAAACACTGATAAATATGAAAACAATGTACGATTAAAACTATTGACAAAAGATGCCGACTTCAATGAGACCGAGGACGGTCTTATCTGGAGAAGGGGGAAGATTGTTATCCCTTTTGACAAGGAACTTAGAGGAGAAATTATTCATTCGCATCATGACTCAATTAGTGCCGGTCACCCTGGACAAGCAAAAACACAAGAACTAATCTATCGATCATACTGGTGGCCTTCGATAAAAAAAGATGTAAAAACATATGTAAAAGGCTGCGAGACTTGTCAAAAAACCAAGATTAACCATCAACCGAAAAATGCTCCATTGCACCCAAATGCAATTCCGGAACACAACTGGGAATATCAATCTGTAGACATGATTACACATTTACCAGAATCGCAAGGGCATGATGCGATCGTAGTAGTTGTGGACATGAAATCAAAAGACTACATTGAAATACCAACCACAGAGCAATTGACGTCAGAAGGATGGGCTAATCTTTACATAAAAAATGTATATCCGCTGCACGGATTACCAAAAAAGATGACATCAGATCGTGAACCGCAATTCGTATCCAGCTTCATAAAAGATCTATATAAGAAACTAGGAATTCAGGGAAATCCTAGTACGGCATATCACCCCCAAACAGATGGACAAACAGAGCGAATCAATCAGGAAATTGAAAACTATCTACGAATCTTTATCAATCATCGACAGACTGATTGGCCAGAATGGTTGCCACTGGCAACATTTGCATATCGAAATAGAGTCCACTCTGCGACTGGATTTTCACCATTCTATATGAATCACGGACGAGAAGCCTACACTGGTGTAGAAACCAAAAAGGAAATTCGTAATGAAACTGCAGAGCAGTTTGTAGCACGAATGAAGAAAATCCAAGAAGAAGCATCAGCATCGTTAACGTTAGCACAGGATGTTATGAAAAGACAATACGATAAACATAAAGGCGAAGCCATAAATTATAAAGACGGAGATTTGGTGTGGCTTGAAGCTACACATATACGAACGGACAGATCAAATCGAAAACTAGATGATAAAAGATACGGACCATTCCCAATTATCAAGAAAATTGGAGCTAGCGCATACAAGCTCAAATTACCAAAATCGTGGAAAGGTGTACATCCTGTATTCAATGAAACTTTATTGTTGCCGTATCACGCACCAGAATTCCCTAATCAGAAAACACACAAAAACATTCCAATAATTATCGATATCTTAGAAGACAAAGCTGAATCCGTATTAGACTCCAAGATGGCACGCGGAGGCCTTCAATATCTAATCAAGTGGGCTGGAAAACCACGTTCTGAGAACACATGGGAACCTCATCATAAAATTATTAAAAATATAGATAAAAAGATTATCGACAAATTCCATAAAGATCATCCCGATGCGCCAAAAGCACCCACGAGAATATTGTTAAAGGCACAAATTATGGAACAGTCATTTCCTAGAGAAGCGACACAAGAAGAATGGGATTATTGGGATCAGAAAGTACAGCGATGGGCAGAACGTCGTAAAAAAGAAAAAGCAATGATATCCGTAGACCCAGATTCAATTAAATTTTTCGAAAATCGAAGAAAAGCACAAATCATATCTAATCAGCATTACCCGAATGCCGGCGAGTTATGGATCATCAATGAGCAGACGCTCAAACTGACACACGTGGCAATCACATCCGCGCCTACGAAAGTCAAACTCGAATGGCAATACCCCATTCTCTCCTTCTACCAACTCATCAAACCAATATCAATCCCAAGTATGGATTCTCCCATTCTAGAACAATCATTCACTCAACCAATGAAAGCTCTTTGGTAGAAATGCTCGACGACGCTGTCATCATATTCATCTCTGTAGGAAGCGCCTACTTGGTGATAATCACCATCTGTCTTTGCGTCTACCGAATGCGACTTCGAGAAGAAGAAAATTCAGAAGAATGGATCATCATGGTATGATTGAACAATTTCACACTCTATCATAATTAATCGTGAGGACACGATTCTAGAGGAGGGGGTAATGTTACGATCACATTCATTCCGGATCTACGGACACACCTTTTCCTCTCGTTATTCATTTGTAACCACTTATTAAAACCTACCCAAACACACTCATTGATCCATGCTCGAACCTGACCGATACCATAAGGATATATGAACACATTGATACCGCATGTATTTAGATAATAGTTGTATATATACACCAGACGAACTTCGGATTAACTCCAAGTTTCGAATGGTTTTCACCTGCTCATTTCTAGTTTGATTTGAGTCCTATCACCTAGTTAGATAAAATCTCTTCCGTGAGCGACGCACGGTGCGTAGTTATCTGCGGCGTACGACAGAGAATTTCTACCCCGCGGTGCTCCAGTAAGATGGCAAAGTACGTCGGAAAGCGTAAGCAGCTTGCCATATTCTGGCTGATTTGGACGAGTCGTCGTTCAGAAACACTCGGAGACAGACGCCCCGAGGAGTGTAACTGTGCCGATCATGATCGAGGCTGGAGGTATCTTCCTCTAGCCTCCAGGCTAAACGTAAAGAAGTGGAACATCGCACACAGAACTTTATAGGATGTTCTCGTGCATATGTCGCATTCATGTTGACAGAGAATGTGGATGATCGCACTACCTGCAGACCGTCATCTGCTATCTCGGACTTGTGCTATTTTTACTCGCTGGGCCATCATACGCCATCATGATTTGAGTTGATATTTCTCTGCCGAAAATGGTCGGAGGCAAGTTTCTAGCCGTTATAACGGCAATAAAGTGGTCTTTCACATCGCCTTCCATCGCGTCCAGCGCAGTATCAATGACCAAAAGAGGGCGTGTATCGCATCAAAATGGCAATTTTGGAGAAGGAATGAAGAAACGCCGATGTATTCTCGTTCTGAAAAAGCAACACAGGATGAAAAGGTACCACATGCTACTCCATCAATCTGTCACCCACAGGTGGAAAATTAAAGAACCAGACCTTGCTCACATGCCACCCATGGTATATATACTCTCGACATATTTCACGTCCTGTCAGAGCGAAGTTCCCCCTTGACTGCCACCTTAGCAGTCCTTCCTGGCCGCTCCCGCCAATCCTCACCAACAGAAAGAATGGCTGGCTTGCAATCCGACGACCCTGTCTATCAAGGATATGCCGAGGCGAAAAGAGCCGAGTTCGAGTTGCACAAGGACTCTGGTTCAGACGATCATGTTGTTTCCTCCGCTGGTGACCATGAGCTCGATGGAATCCACGATGGGCTTGAGTTCCCAACAGGTGTGTCTTTCGTCGCATTTCCATTTCACGTCACGGTTGATTGATTAATGGGCGCTCATCCCTAGAGGAGGATAAGCTGACCCTTCGTCGAGTCGCTGATACCATTCCTTGGAATGCTTATCGTGCGTATGCCTCGCTACCTGTCTTTCTCAGAGTTTCATGAAGTTCGTTCCGATTAGTGATCGCCTTCGTCGAATTGGCCGAGCGATTCTCGTACTACGGCACACAGGTCGTATATGTGAGTATTCGATTTATTGCCTCATTTCAGACATGCACTGAATCGCCGCCTTCTAGACAAACTTCATCCAACAGCGACTTCCTCCTGGTTCACGGACAGGCGCTGGTGGCAGAGATGGTCAATCCGGTGCTTTGGGCATGGGTCAGCGTGCCTCCACCGGTCTGAACACCTTTAACCAATTCTGGGTCTATGTCATCCCCCTCTTTGGTGCCTACATTGCCGACACTCGATGGGGCCGTTTCAAGACTATTTGCGTATCCGTCGGGGTCGCCCTGGTCGGTCATGTTCTTCTTATCGTCTCGTCTCTTCCAGGCGTCATCGAACACTCGCACGGCGCTTTGGCGTGCTTCATCGTCGCTTTGATTGTGATGGGTTTGGGAACAGGCGGATTCAAGGCCAACATTTCACCCCTCGTCGCCGAGCAGTACAAACGGACGAAATTGTTCGTCGCCACAAGGAAAAGCGGCGAGCGCGTCGTTGTTGACCCTACTCTTACTACCGCTCGTATCTACATGGTATGTCGGGCGCTTCCAATTTTGATTGATGCTCATATGGTTCCATTAGTACTTCTACTTGTTCATCAATATCGGCGCGCTGGTTGGTCAGATTAGCATGACCTACTCCGAGAAGTATGTCGGATTTTACCTTGCATACACCCTTCCAACGGCCGTCTTCCTACTTTGCCCCATCGTTCTGTTTATTGGACGCAACAAATACGCTCGTTCACCCCCCTCAGGATCCGTCCTCGCGAATTCTCTCCGTGTCTGGCGTCTGGCGCAGAAAGGTCGCTGGTCGTGGAACCCCGTCAAGACATGGCGCAATCTCTACGCCGACGACTTCTGGGACAGTGCAAAGCCTAGTCACTTCCGTGGAGAGGCTCGGCCCAAGTGGATGACCTTCGACGACAACTGGGTCGATGAGGTCAAACGTGGCTTCAAGGCGTGCTCCGTCTTCCTGTGGTACCCTGTCTATTGTAAGTCAAATAGTGGTGTCAGTTGGCATAGAGACGCTGACAGTCGTTATCTTTCAGGGCTGACGTACAACCAATTGAACTCCAACCTGACGTCTCAGGCGGCGACAATGGTTGTCAATGGGGTGCCTAACGATGTCTTGTCTAATCTTGACCCGTTCGCCCTGATCATTTTCATTCCCATCTGCGACATGTTCATCTACCCAGGTCTCCGCCGCCTGGGCATCAACTTCAGTCCTATCAAGAAGATCACGCTCGGTTTCTTCACCGGTGCTGCGGCGATGGTTTGGACAGCCGTTGTGCAGCATTACATTTACAAGCGCAACCCTTGCGGTTACCATGTTGCGACTTGCACGGATGAGGCTGGTAACATCCTGACCAGTGATTTGAATGTTTGGATTCAGACTGGCAGTTACGTCCTAATTGCCTTCTCTGAAATCTTCGCTTCCATTACCGGTCTCGAGTACGCGTTCACCAAGGCACCTAAGAACATGCGTTCTCTCGTTATGGGCATCTTCCTTTTCATGTCCGCCATCTCCTCCGCCATCGGTGAGGCTTTCGTCTCGCTCTCCGCTGATCCTCTCCTCGTCTGGAACTACGGTGTCATGGCCGTCCTTGCTGCCGTTTCTGGACTGATCTTCTGGTTCCAATATCGTCACCTCGACCATCAAGAAGATGAACTCAACAACTTGGAGGATGCTCACTACGAAGATCCTCATGCCGTTTACAATGCTCGGTACGGTGGCGATCAGTCGTTGAAAATACAGTGATCGCATCATGATTATTCTGTTGTGCTCGGGACTTTTTCTTTTTCACCGGTCATTCTGATCCCTTTGGCTGTTGCAGTTCGTCTTTTGCCTGGTTCAGTTTAGTCTGCTTTTGCCCCAGGCGTGATACCGTGATACCGTGTTTCCGTTCTTTCCTTACCCTTTCTTGATCGTCGTATATTGATAGTGTATGTCGTCAACAATGTTAGACGTGTACTAGTACTGCTTTACGGGCTCGCTCCAGTTGTTCGTAATACCATATAATGTTACAAATGTTCTTTCCGGACTCGGAGAGGACCCCTGCTAATCCCCCCCAAAGGTCTTATGCCAAGAGTGGTCAATTTCGGGCATGGGGGTCTGGCCCGTTTTGACCACTTTTCGGGCATCCGGCCTGTAGGGTTTCCAAATGTTGTCAGTTTTCGGGCCTGCGGCCCATAAGACATCCTAGGCGCTTAACGGGTGCTCTCCATTCCGCTGCCCATTTTCGGCGGTTGTGCCAATCAAAACCACTTTTCCTACATAGTTTTGGCGTTTCCAGGAGGATCCCCATCATTTTTTCCCTTCGATACCCAATCATAGCCCACGACGTCACGAAGAGCATCAGAAACCCTCGAAATTCGGGCATCCCACCTCAAAGTTTACCGCAGAACCTTCACATTTCGGGCATCAATGGCACATAGGATCGGAGGTCAAAGTGTCGAAATTTCGGGCATCCGGCCTGAGAGACCCCTCACCAAAGTCGCAAAATTCGGGCGTGCCAGCCTAAGACCTTGAGGGGGATTAACAGGGGTCCTACTCGGAGTATTTGCGCGCACACGACACGCAAGGCCGACGATCCTCACGGTCCCGTCGAACGCAATGTGAATGCCGGAAATGTTGTGCTTGGTTCTGTCAGCATCTTCAGCTTTCCCGCTGCAAAGTTCAGATTCGTTCCTCCTCCACGGTTCTGAAAAGGCCCGAGTGGAGCGGGCCGAACTTCGGCTAGGTTCTCCGCACATGCACAATAGTCAATCGCGTTGTCTGCAAGCGCAACTCTCTATACTGTACACCGACCACAAAGACGTAAGTTTATCATACTCAGGAACTCTGGCATTTGGATATTGTCCATTTGTTCCTGACCTAAATCGTGTATTCAGAACATGACAAATCGTACACGATTAACATTGTCAACTATTCGATCTTTAAGTACTCCTCGGGTCACGAAGACCACTCTTCCACGTCCGAGTCGTAGTCTTCACGGAATACCCATTACCACACGTGCGGTTCCTCTCTCAGATGTTCCAATAACGGAAGCGTCGCTTTCCGAGCTGCGACAACTTATTGACGCACCTGGCGCTCAGCCTCTGCTTTTTCGTGCTTCAGCTACTTCAGATCCAACCAACACAACCTCTCGCGCATCTGAGCTACTCAAAAATCTCCGCCAAGGTGCAGACAGGATAGTGGATGTTGAATATGGTCGATATGACCATGCTGCTTCGGGTGTTTTTGACCGCGTGCCAATGCGGCTACAGGATTATCTCGACTGGTTAGAAGACAATACAAGGGAAAGCGGAAGTATTTCTGGACGACAGATTTATCTTGCCCAGTGGAGAGCTGGCGACGAGGTTTGAGTCGAACTGGCTCCTACTAATATAATGAAGTGTTACTGACAGATCGTGCAAAGATAGAAGCAATACGTGATACGTTGAAGCCTCCGCCAATGCTGACGCCGCTATTGAAAGAAAACCTTGCGGATATGTACCAGACGAGCTTCTTCATCGGTCCTACAGGGGCTGTAGGTTGTTACCGGTATATACTACACCAGGCAAGCACTTACACGATGATATTCACTCTTACAGGTGACACCACTGCATTATGACCCATACGTCAACCTCTTCCACCTGCAAGCATCTTCCTCACCTCGCCGTTACGCAAAGCATTTTACTCTAGTTCCTCCCTCTATCTCAGAACACCTGACACGTACAGACCCCGATTTTGGACTCCGTAACACCTCTCCACATGAGTTCCACATTCTTCCGACTGGAACAACTGATTCGTATTCGTTTGAGCTCAGAGCAGACGTTAACATACCCCGAAGTACGGTAGAAGCTCTGACAAATGCTGTGCTCACTTGTGTCTTACATGAGGGAGACACACTTTTGATTCCAAAGCGGTGGTGGCATCGAGCTGAAAATGTTGCTTTACCAACTGAAAATGAGGGGGAGAAAAAGAAGGCAGGGTGGACAGCTGGAGTCGCGTGGTGGTTCTTACTCAGGGATGCGCCTGGAGAGAGTGCACCTTCAAGGTGATGTATTAGGCCATTAGGATGAGCCCATACTAGTAGTGGTTATATGTATGTATGTTCTGTACGGCAGAAAATTCATCTGTGCAGTTAACCTGGTAGAGGTGACGTTTCGTTTCCAATGTGATCCAGAAATAGATCCAACGTCTTTACCATCCAGTTGAAACTTTTGCGTTGTTCGTGTCTCATCTTGTTCTCGGATTTAGTCAAGAAATCTTCCAAGCACATCTACAAGATAACCAAATGCCAGGCCACTTCGACGAGATGCAGAAAATGTCGTCAATGCAATCTCGAACAAGTTGGTCTAAGCCCAACAGTATAGGCAGAATGTGGATAGCCGCTAAAATGTAACGTAGATCACATAGATTAGTATATTAGAAGTCAGAAGTCAGCTAGCATATCCTTAATCCCGAGCCAGTAAGGCCTCTCTACGCGAGGCTCGATCTCCTGTTTTGTGAGCCAGGCAAAGTCTGTGACGTTGTTGCCGTCTGGGTGCACTTGTCCTGACAGAATACGTGCCTTGTAGAAGAAGACGTATAACTATAGAAAGATATATTTAAGTAGAGCCGGCAGGAAAGAGGTATTGAAAACACACCTGCTCTTCCGGCGAAGGTTGGTGGACACCTATCGGATTTCTGCTGACAATCCAGGTATCCATTTTGGCACCACATTCCGCATGAAGATCCCTCTGAGCAGCCTAAATTCCGACAACGAGGAATCAACGTTATGCCATATCCAAAATCCAAGTGACGCACCTCATGAAGAAGTTCATCCTGCTCAAGGCCTCCTTGCGGGAATCGCCAAACATGCTTCCCTGAGGCGTTCTTCCCCAGTATCAGGAGATGCAGGTTACGTTCACCTTGCCTGTTTAAATCTTTCACATCTCCATTCCTATCAGACTCATGCTCCCGAGGCACAGTCGTGACTTCCTCTTCGCCGCCTAGTACCTCGACGTCTTTGGCAGCAGCAGGAGCATCCTCTGCCCCCTCCTCCGCTGTGGTACTAGTCTTTCTAGGACCACCAAACGCTTCGCGCTCACGTTCGCGTTCCTTTTCTCTGAACCTTCCTTCTAGTAATGAACCAGGCTTGAAGTAGAAGTCATAAGGGAATGGGTTGTGTAGTGCGCGCTGGATGCGCGCATGGTATCCAAAGTAAGTGCGTTCAAACGGCGTAGGTGTCCGCGTAATGATAGGAGAACGGGTGAGGATAACGGCGGTATTCAGGACAGGTTTGAGTGTTCCTGAAGCAGACTTTTGACGTGGAGGTGGTGGCGAAGGTATTGCAGAGGAAGTGCTAGCTACTGAGGCTAATGATCGTGTCGGGGAGGACAGACATTGCACTGTTCAACACAACATCAGCGATCGCAATGGTTAAATTCTCTTAGAGTAACATATACCTTTTCGTGACACCCGACACGAAGATAGTGCACTTCTTGAAAACATGAGTACCACTGAATACAGGTCGAAAAGCTGCTGTCCCATTTCGAACGCATAGACGCCGCGGTTTAGACTTTGCCACGTGGGGTGTGCGAACTGCATACCACTTATATTTACGGCTTATATTCGAGGAAATGCAGTTATCTAATACTGAGCGCGAGAGGTACATTGAGGGTTGTCTGCGATCCACGACTACTACAGCCCTCTCCTCGGTTATATCACTCCGGAAGACCGCCCTAATGTCTGTGCATCCGCATATTTGCACTTTCTGAAGTCTCTCTTACCTCTGCCATGTCCAATGACATTCAGAAGGCCGACCAGATAGCACATAGGTTCTACACTAAACTCTCCTTAGTCGTCAGCTATGCTAGGGCAACGGCAGAGCCGTCTGCACAGTCCAAGGTAGACAAATGGGTACGCAATTCTCCTTTCTACGCGAGAAAGTCGTATTGAATACCCCTACAGTTCAACCTAGAAACGCCAGACGCGGATACGTTCAAGAAGCATACCACTATCTATCGCTCTATTTCGTCCTCGCCGTCGCCGCCACCTTCATTTCAGCTGCAGGTCCTCTTATCTATTCCAGAGCTGACCAACAACCAGGTCCTTGCATATGTTGCCCCCGACTCGTCGCGCTCACCCATTGATCCCTCGCCAAAGTACATCCTCCTCGAGAACTGGTCCCTCGTCTTCACACCCCATCAGACAAACTTACCTTCCGAGGATAGGTCAGATGTCACACCTCCGACTATATACAAGCACGGTATATCTCTCTTCAGGAGTATGTTTACCTTACTACGTATCTTGCCTGCGTGGAAGTTAGCCAGACGTTTACGTTCGCAACGGAACGGCAAATTCAGCATCGAATTGCGAGTCGAGGGCATGGGCGAAGACAGCAGCATCAGTGCACACGACATTCTGGGGTTTGGTAAGCCACGTTGTATTCATTTGATGTAAATCGTCTTCCTGAACGTACTTTAGGCACACCGGTGCACAACCATTCTGCACTGCCGATGGACTTTCATGAGTTCTCGCCCGTACCTCATCCAAAGGGTTCCCTCGCTCTATCTGTGACTTGTCTGTCATCGCCGAACTTTAGGCTTGTAGATAGGGAGTCTCTCTTGTCTTCACGGTTCTTGTCACAGGACGAAGGCCCCGAGTTTACACCTACATTGCTCAAGAACCAACAGCGCGAGTCTCTATCTCCCTCACCTGGCAGTCTTCCCCTGAGAACGTCATTACCCCGTTCTCCTCCCTCGTCCATAGCAGAACGCTTTGTTGTTCCCCCACCTTCCCATACGCGTACCCCTTCATTATCTGGGGGAAGTCCTCGTTTGCAGAGTGTGGCGTTACCCATGACTAGAGCGCCTTCCTCTGCCTCTGGCGCCATTCCAACCGCTTCCGCATCCGGAGTATCAGAAGGTTCCTCTACCAGACAAGGCGGTGCGTCTCCCGGCTCCAGAGAGGACTCTTTACCTATCTCTGGCCTGGCAGCCAGGCTGCGCAGAGAGAGTTTGGGACGCGGTTCGGTTAGCTATGACTCATTCCTCATGATCTACCCTTTTCTCACGTCACACCTTTTGTTGTAGGAAACCCCGTCCTCTGCGGGGCCGGTTGCCATTCGTAGACCTCAAGTCCACCCGTTCAAGTCCTACACCCTTTCTTCGGGCTCTCCATCACTCCATTCACCCTCTCCATCACTGCGGCAGCACTCTCCCTTGTCAACAGGAGGGGCGGGGCCGTCTTTACCTTCTCGGCCTCCTCATTCTCCTATATCTTCTCGTGCGCAAGGGCCTCCTTCCCCTATAGGAATCGGTGGGAAACTTCCATTACCTGTGACTCCGTTTCGGCCTTCTCCGCCATTGGGACCTTCAAGTCTAGGCGATAGACGATCATTGGCATCTGCCGAGGGTGTAGTCGCCAGTGGGACCACTGGAGACGCTTCTCCAAGACCAAGTGGAAAGCGGTACTCGAGCAGTTTTGGACACCGTTATGCTAATAGTGGAGGCGCCGGTAGTGAAGGCAGCGCGGGGAGCGGTGCACGAGACCAAGAACGTCCATCTGTGAGGCTGATTTTGATTGATTACCATTTTGTATTATCCTGACTTGTGATTCCAGAGCGCCTCGTTCCTTAGTACTAATACGGATGATGATGAGATATCAGCCTTCGTACAGGATATCGATGCGCGCAAGCCACTAACAAGCACGAGGGACCAAAGATCACAGGAGTCGCCTTCTCCAGCGCCTTCTGGTGAAGCATTATCAACCGATGCAGGGCGATCGAGAATACGGACAATGTCTGTTCCCGGTCCTGTGTTGACCACGGCAGAAGCGGTTGGCGAACGCCTGAAGGAGATGAACGAAGCCTTCTTGGCTAGTCTCGCTGGGTTCGGAAACAGACGAAGACAGGGAAGTGAAGATCGACAAAGCAGCGCAGGATCCAGTACTGCAAGAGCATTGAGCTCTGGAGCGTCGACTGTTGGACGCCGTACGATTCTGGATCCTATATCTATTCACGGTAGGCAAAGCAGGCAAGATGAGTCTGGCAACGCCAGTCCCAGTATGTCCAGAAGGACGAGTGCAACAGGCATGTATGGGTTGCCTTCGCCTTACGTTCGACCGAGGTTTGCGTCAACTGGGAGCGCGAGATCTGGAATGAGTATTGCATCCGAGGAGGTTTTAGGAAGGATGGATCCGGAGATTGAAGATGAGAGAAGGCGAAGTCGAGGTTCGTTTCCTCCCGAGCCTAGGTGATTGACGACTTAGGATTTCTGGCGGCCATCTGATTCTTTCCTACACTATCATATTACGTTTTTCTCGCCTTCACATTCCACCACCACCACCACCACCATGCTCTCATATGCACTCCCGCTTGGCACATAACGCATCAACTGACTATCTTCTCGGCTTCTTCCACACATGGCTTTCCCCTCCCCTCTCATGTAGCATTGTATATTATACGTACCAGTGGTCGGACAGTGATTTGTTTTTTTTCTCATTCATCGAGGTTGTTTCGACGAGTTGTTTTATTATTTCTCACTGATGTTTTTACATACCCGCAGTATATTTTAGAGGATGTTATATGAATGCTTTTACGCTTGGCTTGTTCCGGTAGTGCAACATATGCATTATATGATAGTCAGGGTAGTATTCATATGACAAAATATAGCATGGGTATGAAATGTTCGCAAGGTATAACGAGAAGCATATAACATACAGATGGCGACGGAAAATATCCCCATGAGAAACGAGCACGAGCGCGAATCACACCTGGCCATTAGACTTAGTCGACTTCCAGGGCATCACAGGCAATTGATTCCCCGAGCCATTGCAAACAGGAGCTGGAGGTGGAGGAAGATTCGACCCAAACCCCAGATGACGCTGGGTCTCATGCCTCACCAACGCAGTCCTATCCTTCAATGTCATAAAACAAAAGTTACATTCATACCTATCACCAGAGCAGAGGTCTAAGTTAAAGTAGGGCGAGTATAAAGAAAAGACGGACCTCTTAGGGTGACGCATCACATGGTCTTTGAGCTCATCCCTGGAATAGAACCATTCTAGGCAATAAGGGCAGTTGAAACGACCGTTGTCATTAGCCACGGCATGAGAGCTGTATACAATCGCATCTTTGATCTTCCATGATTTCGCGGATCTGACAATGCCAAGAGAACTGCTCTGCAGAGAGGATGAATATTCAAGATGCCACAGACAAACGCGACGTAAACGGCACTGACCGATGAATAGCCACTCGTAGTAATATGTGTGGGTAGCCGGCCTATTGACGACATCGTTGAACGGCCCTACTAAGAGAAAGCAAACAAAAAAATAGGGAGCGGTCTCGCGACAAGAGGAGTGGAGAGAGAGATTCTGTTACGCGACAACACGAATAAGACACCTCATTATATAGGACTGTCTCGCCACTCGACCCATTTCAAAACGAATAGGTTTGACTGTGGCTGGTAGGCCCACGCTGCCGACACGAGTAAAGTTTCTTTGTCCTAAGAGCCACTCTGAATTCGAAAAACACAAGTCAATGACACCGGATGTAGAACAGTAGACATGATTGCGTAAGATGTTGAAGACACGCGACAATTTGGAGAAGCGGAAGAAAGACAACTTGGAGGAAGCGGATCCGCTTGTGTCCGCATACAGTCGTACATGGACAAAAATGGCAACGGCTTTGGGGAGAACTACTTACTACATGTTGCCATAGACCAATCATTTCATCATTTGCTACGCTCCGACCTCTTGTATGATCTGCATCATGATGCGTCTCTCCTGAACCTCCATTCGACAACACACAATCAAAGTGACGTTGATAATGCGGTATCCTTTCGGTTATGGATAGGTGACGGTCCGCATTGCGGCAAGTCCTCGGACGGCAGTCTCGGATGGGTAGAATCTTTTCCTTCCGCATCTCCTATAAATTGGGTGCGTTTGTAGCATGAATCGCATACATCACATCTCACACAATGCTCACAATGCTAGCGACTACGGATATATCGGAAGCCCTCTTCTTCATTACGCTCTTGGTTGCGGTGCTGGCCAGCGCAATCATAGTATTTAGATCGTCTATAAGACACAGCGGGCAGGATCTCCCGATCAGTAGCGATCTTATCAGACTTCTGGAGGTAAGCACTTCACCCTTTACATTGTCTAAAGCGACAAATCTCTAAGCCATTACCCCCTTCTAGTTCGTCGACCCTTCCGCTGCGCCTCCAGCCAAGGAAGAGAAAACCGACATTCCTGGTCTTGTTCCGATACCCTTTTCTAAAGCCGCTCTCAGTGCACCTGTAGAACAGCAACGCACGAAGTTTGCAGAGCGGGCCAAAAAATTCTTGAAGGACGGGGACTTCTACAGCACTTTGCAACACTGTGATAAAGCCTTGTCATCGAAGTACACCAAACCAACATCGCCGAAATCGCCCACGGCAAAATGTCATTTCATGCGAGCCAAGGCCTTGCTCAGATTGGGGCAGTTCGCTGAGGCGCAAACCGCATTCAATGACTTCGAGCGCATTCAAGTTTACCTTGAAGAAGCGTTGGACAGGAGTGAGGAGAAAATGAAAGCAGACATAAATAGCCGGGTGCCTTCTGCGAAGTCACCTCGGAAGAACACTGAAAGGTTGTTCAAGGCTGTCATGGTATGTGTCACATTTGATTGTTACTTAGAATGTCCGCTGACTGTACTGAATCAGGCTCGTGGCGTGATTGTCCCCCAACGCGATATTGCCAAGTTCACCGCAGTGAGCTTCGATTCGAAAGTCCTCGCTGGGGAGGCTCCTCGGTTGAAATACACCATATGGGCCGAAACTCCTTTCTTCACCAAACCGGACTCGGAAGAGAAGCATAAAGTTGAAGTTGTGTATCGCGAAAATCTCACTGTGGAGGGTGGCATCGGGAAGATGTTTAGGAGGTTCGGCATCAAAGCAACCGACCTCGATGATAGGGCCATGCGGTTGTATATGTTCGAAGCTCTCGCACACGAGGATGCAAGAACATCTACAGTAGTGATCCGAACACATCGGGGGCGACTCCTTGCAATCCCGCACACCACACAGATGAAGGACATTGTTGCTGGAGCACGTTGGCCCCGTGAAGGGCCTATGCCTTTCAGGGATTTAACCCGGACTCCGAGACGTAACCCGTATGAGGTTGATGGAGTTGAAGTCGTTTTTGGACGAGCCATCGTACTCAATATTGTGACGAAAGACAGACTTCGAGAATAGTGAGTCCACTTGACTTATCTTCATTACGGTTCTAATATGATTCGCAAACAGCATCATGTCGCATAGTTAGTCATGGACTCCTACCAAGTGTGGGCATCTTCCAGTAGTTTTAGTTATTCTGTTGAAGCTGTTTTTTTCCTATCTGGTACAGTGAGCAGTATTGGTGTAAACTGCGCGGGCCTGTACTTTTACCTTTACGTACTTCTTGTGTCACATTAGGGCAATAGTCCACCTTCAGTGTCATCTTCGTGAAAACAGTCTCTCCAATGTTCATCCTTATCCTTTCCAGAGTAGATGGTGTAAGATTGAGTGAAATGAATATACCGTCGAAGCATAGATCGTTCGCAATTGATATTAAGCAGTATCAATAAGTCCCGGAATTCGACTTCGAGCGTCTCGGTCCCTTGTGAAACTTCGACATAATACTATATGTTGCAGTTGAGGGCTTTATTCGGGTCAATACAGATCCTGAATAGTAATGCATTGGCGGGGGAATAGTACAGTCGATAGACATGATGTTTACACAATTTACACTGGGAACGTGAAGTGAGCAAGAATAAGGACTCAACTAAACAACTCACCTTTGATTTCCGTCATGAAACGAGCGAGCGATTTTATCATATGGACAGTTTCTTCTCCCACTGGGCGAATCCACTCTGGCGGAAGAGAAAACCCGTACTATACGGGGAGTGAGCAGCTTGGAAACCAGATTGTAGGATGACGGCACGTACCGTGCCTGTATCTCGCAGGTGCGCTGCATAGACATACTTAATACCCGCTCTCGCAAACATGTAATCTACAACATTCCCGTTCGCTCTAGCAAGAGTGTCAGTTAGCGCGAAGACGCCGCAAGGTTTTACGCACTTGTACAGGTTCTCACAGAGTCGACCAGTCTGAGACAGGTCAGGAGGGGTTAAGCAAGAGGAAAAACAGACGCACTCACAGTGAAAGGCGTTCCGTGAACAGACTTGATTGCCTTCACCGCACCCATGGCTGCTTCGATCTGGTCCTCAGCATCCTTCGGTATCCGCTTGCATGTATACGAATAGGGAGTTGAGACTACAACATTGTGCTGAATCGTAAGTAGCTGCGATGCCAGAACTCCAGGGCAACTTACTCATCTGACCGTAACTCCTTAGTTCAACGAAGGCCTGAAGTCGGGGTAATATGGTAATATAATTCGCGATGTTGTTGACCTCCGGTGACTCGAAAGCTCTATGTCCGGGGTACCAGTGAGAGCAAGGATCCGTAGGAACTCTGGGTGGCTTTTTCTTTTTGCCTGAAGCTTCAAACCACAAAGGGAAACGCGCTGTTGGTTTCCACTTGTAACCCTACACGGAAAGATAAGACACAGTTTGCAAGCCATTATGACCAGACTGACCCAATTTCTGAAGGTTTCCATCAGTCATACTATCATCTCTGCATTCAACAAACTGTCCTACCTGTTCATATCAATACCGACGCATTTCTCGTCCGCACCAACAAGCTGTCGATTTTTGTACCTGAACATGGATTATCATATATCGACAAACTGATGATGCAGAACCTACCAGAGACGATCTGTTTCCCATGTGTATACGTAGCCGTCAGGATTTGGAACTAGAACGACATAGAAGTTCTGTTTAGAGAAAGTTGACAGTTAGCCCTGCTCATTGGACTGCTCGAAAAGGCTGAGCACATAACACGCGGCATATGATAACTCCGCTCAAGGATAAGGAAGGGCTTACGAATTCTTCTAATAAGTACTTCAATGAGTATGGCTCAGTTTCATTGGCGACAAGTGCGTGAGTAAGATACATTGCGGTGGACGTCGCAATCCACTATGTGATAGACATATCAACACGCCATCAATGTGGGCAACGAGGCAATCTGTATACCACACCTCTCGTGCATGTTGGGCACCTGTCAGGACAAACCCTAATTTCTTCGCACTTTCTGAGTGGTTGCTTCGAGATCCACCATTAATCTTCTGCGTCTTGTTATCCGTCGAGATCTCCACTGCAAACATCTCTCGCCCCTCGGCAGAGTGACCAATGCTGACGATGTCGACTAGAGCAGGGTATTCAGCCCGTAGGTCTTGTACAAATTGTTCAATCTCGTCCAGGCGACGATAAGCCGTGTGGAAGCTAGAATTGCTCAGGGAGAGATTCCATGTCCCCAAAGATTCTGAAGGCATATGCGAGATGTTATAGGTTGACTGGGAGAGCGGGCTATCGATATAGGGTAGATTAGAGACCTGCAGTTGTACTGCAGATAGGTCGTGTGACACAGGAATGAGGACATCAACATGGCTTCCATTGGCATGCCATACATCGAGACCCGAAAGCTGAAGAGATGTAAGGTATAAAAGCAGACATTACACAAGTAAACAGACCTCGATGATCCCAAACAGCTCTGAAACGTCTTGCCTGGACGCCGACTGAATGTTGAACCGTCTAAGTATAGGAGATCGGTTATAGGTCTCGTGCAGCACTTCTTGATGGTACAATGACCCTGCCCACACACATACGACAGCACAAGAACACAAAGACCAAGTGCGTAGCAGCCAGAACATGGTCGTGGTGAGAGGGGAACAGGAACCACATTCAATTTTGCCCTTCCCGAAGACACTCTATAGCATGCGAAGCGCACGTGTGCATTAATACACCAACATGCACAAAGTCGAAGTCTGCTATCGGACAACGCCAGATCACACTTAAAAGCTTAAAAAACTAATGATATGATGTATGAGAATATGGGTACCCAAGCTAGAGTGGATGCACTCCTACAAGAAGTGGGCAACACAACAGTGACATTCTACAAGCTCATACAAGCTCGTGTACTCGTTCAAATTCATCTCGCCATCGTGAAAGACCTTGTAAAGGTACCTCTCCCACAAGTTGTACAGTTATTCGTCTTAGCTCATTGAGCCCCTAATCATTTTCCTGTCAGTCTACTGTTCGATCAGATCATATAAACACTCACGTCAAGAAGCTGGAACACTGCTACGACGGCGGAAGCATAGAACATGAAGTCGTAGTCTGTAATGGTTTCTAGTAAAGGATGTTGTGATGCTTCCCCATCTCCTTGTGCTAGAGACTGATTGGCCACAGCACCATGATAATGGAGTCTGTCCAACAAATTCTGCTGGGATGCTTCATGTAGGGGTTCCCCGGTTCGAAGTGCTTGAGCAATCATAGAGAATGAAGCCATGACGTCGGCAATCTGAAATCACTGTTCAGCTGTGAGTTTTCTGGCATGAGCACATTGACGTACAAAGTTCGGATTGATGCTTCGTGTATGCTGTAGATACTTCACGCGTACTGAATGATCGAGGTGAGCGAGCGAACCTCCAAGCTGTCGTAGATAATCAGCAAGTAAAGGAAAGTACGTCGAGCGAGTAAACGCACTAATGCAAGGCTAACAATCATTTCAGTCTCAACATTCTCCAATTTGACATACTCATCATATGGCCAAGCCCCGCGTATGCTACCTTCCCATCGAGCGATCTCTGTCTGGCCCTTGACAGCTTGAAGTTTAGCAGCGACGGCGATCATGCGATCACGGAATCCTGGTACCCACTCCACTCCATCCTGTTGGGGTTTTTCCTTCTCGCTAATCCAAGCAGAGATGAGCATGGAATATAGATAAGAAATGGATGTAATGCTTGAGGCGTTCCTCAGTCGGACAGCCTTTCGTCCTGACTTGGGTGGGAACATCATCAGGATGAAAGAACCAGCACATCCTAATGAAATACGTCAGTAAAAATTGAGGAGATGGAGAAGACGTACCAATCATCACTGTCAGCCATCTACGCCATACGATAGACCAGCCGATACCAACGTTTCCAAAAACAGGTATATGCCCGTCAAGCCAGGAATAGCCCATTACCAAAGCCCACGTAACCTAGATGATCATATGAGCACAAGAGAAGCGACACGTAATTCGAAGGAAGTATATTAACCGCAACCAACATAGTTCCTGGGAGGAATTGCGGAGGTGAATATAATCTCAAGAACACGATAGGAATGAGAAACACTGCAACACTTGCGGCAGCTCCGTAGGGACTGCCATTGCTCTTCGCCGAACCTGCAGATCAGTCAGCCAAGGCAAACAGACCGCAGAAACATTTGGACGACGCACCAATGTACCAGTTGAGCAGACCCAATAAGGCGCCGATAAAGGTACCAATGAGTCGCATCGCATAGCTGAAATCATGCATCAGGATAAGAGCACTACTGTAATTCTCGCAGCAAGAACTTACTTGAAGATCTGGTCGGAAGCATAAATATTCATCGTCGTTTGGGCCATAATCAGAGCCCTAATCCCGTCCCGTTGAGTATCAATAACACTCGATAGAATATGTCGTGACTAACCAGAGCCCTTTCTGTTGGTACACAAAATCTTAGACAATGGAGAGTGAATGAGCCAGAGTAGGATTTCACACTTGATACAGCGTGGTACTTACGGGCACTCGTCCTAACCACAGAAGGAATCCAGAACGCGATGGTGACAATAACATACTTGAAGGCAAACTAGGAAATAAACCTCAGCGATGGCTCTTTGGAAGTGAGGTTTAGCATACCACAGCCTTTGGGGTCCTGCTCCATTTATACACATGATGCAGAGCATTAGCAACTCGTTGGAAGAAATTTGTCGGCGCTTTGCTGTCTGGATCCAGCTCTGAAATGTGCGTGCTAGTCACCTTTAGTCGTACTGACCTAGGAGATCATACTTACTGTATGAACGTTCGTCTCGCTGCACCTCGTCATCCTCCTCGATAGCTCTATCCTCGCCCAAAGCCTGATCGCTGACATCTCCACGAGAAGTCAAAGCCTTCCCAATAGCCCTCAGAGAACTCGGAGCCCAAACTCGGTTTCTCTTCCTCTTGTTCGCAGTCGATAGTACAGTTTCCATCAAGGCAAGGATTCCGTCCGCCAGCACGATCAAATTGGCCCCAAAGACATAGGCAATATAAAGACTTCGTAAGGGTAGAAACGACTTCCGATTATTCTTCGACGCCTCGATGATAGGTAGAAAGGGATTGGAAAGTTGCAGGCGTTTCGTCTCTTTGAAATCCGACAATGCTGTTCTGATTCTGGCCATACCCTCGTCAAGATTCTTGATGCCTTGCTCAACGTCAACGTCACAATTCCGAGCGTATCTCCGGGTGTTGATGAGGTCGATATATGCCTTAATAGACCCAATGCCATCAGAGCAAGCCTCTCGGAGGTCGGCAGTGGACTCCTTAATGAGTGGTAGCAAATCCGTGACTCCAACCGAATGTTCCAGCTCTCCAGCATGGTGTCTGGCTCGCAGCTGTCGGAGAAGATAACTTTCCGATAGAGGAGAGTCGTCTTCGCTATCTGTGGATGAGAGGGAATCTGTAGATTCATCTACCGCACGGGAGGCCGGATGACCCAGGAGCATAGCAAAGCTTTGAAGCGAGCCTGTAATTACCATAATTACCACCTGAGGGAGTTTACCATCACGGAAGACAAGCAACATACCGATTCGACTAATGACGGCTAGTAGAGGCTCTTCGAGCTCTTTCACATCATCCCCATTCCACTTGCCATAACTAAACTCCAGGGTGACAAACTTCGAAGAACCAGTCACTGAATAAGAGTCAGCGGGATCAAATACAGCACGTTAGGAGCAGAGCGCACTTCGTTGAAACCCTGCAATGAGACCGGATCGCAGCCCAAGCAGTTTCGTGAGTAAAGTGCTGTTCGGGGCTAGGTCTTCGGGCTGCGATTCCAGTACCTGCTGCTGCATGTCCATTAGTGATTGGATTTGTCCCAAGAGGCCGCTGTGACTGATCAACAGCGAGTGGTTCATCGTCTCAGGGAAGACGAATATAGTGATGATGATTCCAAGTCCGACGTAGCACGACATCGAAATGAGGAAAGAGTTCAGCAACGTATACTGAGCGAACGGGAACAGGGGTCCATAGCTCTATTTAATACTTTCAGCGGAAAGTAATGCAAAGAAGGATAGAGAGGTCTCACACAGTAGATGTCGATGGCTATCGTCCCAAAGACGCTCATGATGGTAAGCTTGGGTGCATAGGCTCGAATCAATGCGAACAGGAAGGCTGCAAATCCAAGGAAGACACCGAAGACAATTGTGGACCTGTTACAATATTAGACACATCGGCAAGTCGAATAATCACTGGTTGCAACGAACCCAGTATCCAAGAAATTGCCTTGGAAAATGTCAGCTTGGAAGAGAGCATCTGGGTTCGACAGCCCTGCAACACTGTAAATCAAAAAATAAATTATTGAGTTCACACAACGGACGGTGACAATAAACAAAATATACCTTTCCTGCTCTCGCTGCAAGCTCTCCTTGAGGGCAAGTTGGTCGCGGGCAGCCAAAGCAGCTGCCATGCCAGCAGCACCTAGAGCCCAACCGAAGCAGAGACCGATTACGACAACAATTGTCAGCTATAGTGCAACTGGTCAGATAAACTGGTTCAAGATGATATCTTTTCCGGATGTATTCAAGACGCCCACAAGCTCGATCGCACTATACACGTGCACAACTTCAACAGCTCCAAACGTTGTGTCCGTGATGCTCGGCGGTTCAGAATGCATGGTCAAGACCTCCGTCGGCGACGACAACTACCAGCAGGAGCCAGATGAATCCCGGACCACAAGAAAGTTGCTCCTTCAGTCTTGAAATAGGCAACACGACACTCACAAAAAGGAAAAGTTGCACTGGCACGTTTGGTGGCAGCATCAAACTCGCCAGCAATGTGAAGAACGCCCTATAGAGATGAAGATGTAGTCCCAACATCCAACGCATTATGTATAATGAAGGAACGTACGCATTTCCCAGCACATTAAGAGACTTGTTGGGTAGAAGAATCACGAAACCAACCCAAGACGCGAGCCAGCATCTTGCCCACAATTTTAGAGATCGTTTTGAGCGTAGATTCGTCGATATCCAAGTTGGCAGTTTGTCAAGAAACTTCTGTGGACTTGTACGACTTGCTTCTCTCTTAGTTTGGCTGTCGAGGGTATTTGACGGTGATGGGTTGCCATTTGGTTTCTCTGTGATCACGTTGGGTTGTGGAGGGGACGATTTTTCGTCTGCGATGGCCATGGTGGAGAGACAGCGCACATTGGATACAGCCTTCGAACTCTGATTATAAGTCTCAAGTCAGCCAATTGACTTCTGGATGCGTGCGGTATGGAAGAACGCGCCTAAGCGCCGCCACGTTAACATTTACACATTCCAGCTTAGTACGACGAGTAGCGGAGTATCAATGGCAATATTAACGGAAGGAAGACCCTGGAACGTCGTCTATGTATCCATCTTCCTTCTTGTCCTTCCTTGAAGTGTGTTAAAGACATATGATAATCTGAGGCGCATGTTAAGCAGTCTCTGATCGATTGCTATAAGCAATATACTAAACGGCATTCTACATATCCTTCCAGAATTACTCCCAACCTGAACTAAGTAGCACGATAGCATCTCACATGCCCATCAACCTGAATTTCGAATCTAAATCATCGACACTAAAACCCAAGGAAAAAGGATCAGTGGCGAACTTACGATGAAAGCTGGAAGGTCGGGCTTACAAGCTCTGAACCCGATCATTGGGTAAAACCATGAGATCTACGGTGTATCCCTGACAGAACCCAACGCCGTCGATCTCATGAGGTCTTTGTCTAGGAGTCTTCCTCAAGTCCCTTAAGGGCGAAGGTGTTTGACGCGGCCACCTGGCCTCAGGCCAAATGTCGCCCACCTTCATTGAGTGAGGAATTGCCGAGAACCGTCCATGATGTGTTACAAGAACTATGGTACTTGTCTCGTTCGAGTAGTATGCAACAGCCTGTCTAAGCCAGTCCCGTCCTCGTCCTGCTCCTAAATCAACGGGAGAGCCGATCGCTAGTGAACCTAGCATATTCTCTATGGCCTCGCCTAGAGTGGCATACTCGGGAATGGGGATCTTGCCTCCGAACTTCTGGTTGGGCGAGGTGAGATCTTGGAGGAAGGGCATACGGAAGTTAAACAGAACAGAAAGCGGCACATCCTCCATCCGATTTGTTCTGCCAGGATAATTCATATCGAAGCCAGTGACCATATCTTCATCGTCTGGGCCCCCAGATGGCGAGGAGGGGAAGTTAGACATATCACGTTCTTGAATGATCATACCTCGACCCTAAGAGACAGGTCAAGAATAAATTCGGTAGAGCAAAGTAGGGATGCTAACGATGACAGTCCTTGCAAGCCCGATTTTATCTGTTCGAGGATCATCGAGCGGCATTCTCAACGCACGGTCGATGTCATTAGCAAAAGTTCTTTCCGAAGGTCGGATGTCATAGCCAAGATCGCGATGAATACCTTCAAAGGCCTGGAAGGCTTCCCGGGCATCTGCGTAACGCAAAAGCTTGAACAAAGCCTTTGCGCGGCGTAGATGTAATTTCGCTGTCAATGCTCTCGGCGAGTCTTCTTTGGTGTACTCAGGGGACAACGCCACGTTGCAATCCTGTAACGCGTCGTATACATCTGTATAATCAAGATACGTTTGCGCGCGATTTGACAAGATTACGCGTTTCTGTTCTGCAGAAAGTGTTTCGGTAGGGGGTGGGCAGTCTAGTGCTTGCGTGTAGAACTGATGTGTATGTCAGGACAGCACGATGGCTGAGAAGAGCGTTGCTTACATTAAGTGCTTGCTTCAGGTCTCCATTGAGAAACGCTTGGTTCCCCAGCTGCTTAAGATTTGACATACTGGAAATAAAAATGGAGCAACGTATTCGTAACAACAATATCAGGAATAAGTCAAAGGGATACAGGCAGGATACAATATACTTCAATTCAAGCGTCGGGCGGGACGTTTGAATAGGGGAGTACAGCCGCACCCGACGCGATCGGGTTTTAGGGCAGGTTTGCACGCGCTTCCGAGCGAGCCTATAAAGCATTCAGAGGAAACACAGCAGCTTCAGCTTCGCGAGCACGCGAGAAAAGTCTATTGAGCTATGACAATCCACGTAGATGTTACAGAAGTTTACAGCTGCTTTTTTCTTTCTTCGTCACACAGAAGGTATCGGTCTATAGAGAAACCAAAGCTTAAGCCTGAATCTTCTCGCGGAGAAGGTTCTTGAGGGTCGTGCCGTCCTCGGCGAACTTGCGGATACCCTCGTGGAGTTTGTCGAAGGCCATCTGGTCTTCGAGCAGCTGCCAGCGGAACTCGGCCTCGTCGTTGATGTAGCTGACCTTGGGAATGGGTTGGCCTTGGGCAGCTGGAAGGTGGAGTGTGAGCGTGGCTTGCGAATCGATGTAATGTGGTACTCACCGGCGCTAGCGTCCAGTTTCTTGGGAACCGGGGAAGGATCGTTCTTGAGCTGCTCGAGGAGAGCAGGCGAAATGGTCAAAAAGTCAACACCAGCCAAGGCTTTGATTTCTCCGGTCTGATATCAATGTATTAGTTCTCTTTTTTGTTTTGTTTTGAAAGCGTATCGACAATATTCACATTACGGAAGGAAGCACCCATAACAATGGTGTTATAGCCGTGTTGCTTGTAGTAATTGAAAATTTTCTTCACGGACTGCACACCAGGGTCCTCGTCACCCTCGTAGCTGGGTCCGGGCTTGTTCTTCTTGTGCCAGTCGAGAATCTTTGCGAACAGCTTAAGATCCATCTTTGCAGGTGAAAAATGTAAACTGCACTTACACGACCAACAAATGGCGAGATCAAAGTAACGCCGGCCTCAGCACAAGCTACAGCCTGAGCAAAGCCGAACAGCAGTGTGAGGTTGCAGTGAATGCCATCATCTCGCTCCAGCTCGCGAGCAGCCTGGATTCCCTCCCACGTTGAGGCAATCTTGATGAGGATACGCTCCTTCTTGATACCGACAGACTCGTAGAGGGCGATCAACTCCTTGGCCTTGGCCTTGGTTGCCTCTTTGTCGAAGGAGAGACGGGCATCAACCTCGGTCGAAACACGACCAGGTATAATCTTGAGGATCTCCTTTCCAAACTCAACGAGCTGGTGTGCGTATTCAGCCATTGTTACGAGAAATGGAAGCACTCTGTGGATCTCACAAGTCGGTCGGTAGCAGCGCTCGCTTTCTCGTCAATGCTACCCGGCTTGCTCTTGGCGTACTCGACAGCAGCGTTGATCAATCGCTGGTATCCCTGCTTGCCAGCAGCCTGGAGGATGAGCGATGGGTTGGTGGTCGCATCCTGAGGCTTGTAGACATCGATCGCTAAGATGAGATCATTAATTCCGCATCTATTTAACGTTATGCATGAGCACTCACATTCAAAGTCGCCAGAGTCAGAGACGACGACGGTGCCAGTTTGCTTAAGCTGATCGAGTGCGGTGGTCATGATAGTAGGATGCAGAATGTTAGGGGACAGCGTTTGGAGTACACTTGCTTATAAGTCGGTATCCACTGTCCAGTAGAATCACTAAGGTATGGGGCATGACCGGAGTAACCGCTGCAGCTTTGCTCCGGCCCCGACCGGCCGAACTCGAATAGGTTATACAGTCTCACCATCCCCGTACTCCACCACCACGGTCTCTCTATCATGAGAGGTACTCTCCTGACAATGGCATTTGCTTGAGGGAATCAATTTAGGTATCCTCTCATGCTTATTCGTTTCTTCTCAACCGTGACAGAGCTCAGGGGTTTGATTGTAATTGCGATACCAAATGTAGGCATGTTGTTCACATTAACTCTTGCTTTGAAGGTTGAATAGTAATGATTCTGCTCGATGACTTAGCACAGGTCACGCCAAAGGACTTTCTCCTGAGTAGCTCCATAGTTTCTGCTGGAGCTTAATTAGTCGGCCGATACTCATAAGTCTACACATCTGTAGAAGTACAGATCAGTTCACCAGCGTTCCTTTGGCTGCTGAGCAAGCTGAAGCTCCATATCGGCCCTCCACGCCGTTGCTTCTATGAAGCCATTGCAAACGTGTATTGCCTTGAGGGAACACACGTGCGGCGTGATAAAGTAAGGTCAACCTTGCTGATTCCACCACCACATGTGGCGACTGGGGATCGCATTCCTCATTTGCCACCGCTCTGTCGCAAGCTTGAAGCTTGAAGCTCCTATCATAGGCGACTGTCGATCATATCTGCATCTTATAAGATTCGGGTCGCTTGGTAGCGCAATGGTCCTGTTAGGTGTTTCTCTCTGTAACGGGTCAGAATGAATTTGATTATAGGCCTCTGGTTCTTCGCCCATCGTCATATTCATATGTCACAAGGTTGGCGAGATTTTTTGTGATGCGCCTTCTAGAGCCTCGGGCAGGTTGACCTTGATTTGATATATTCCACCTCTGGTAAGCCGTGCTGTGGCTCTGGATCATTCTTTCAGGAGCGCTCATGATCAATGCATAGATGTCGAGTATCGCAGACTGTATAGCAGGGCGGATTAGCTCTGCCATAATAACCTTGTGAGTTCCCCTGCCCATGTTGAAACAGAGCACTACTATGTGCTATGCCATAGGTATGTAGCCACTGTTTCGACCATCTGCGCCTGGCGAGTCCTTCACATTCGGCGCTGAGTCTGTTTCCAAGCTACCTTGATTCCCGCACGCTAGGAATGCAAGAAGGCACATGCACACTCCACCGTAAGTCGCGCTCTGGATTTTTATGGACATCTGCCTACGACCGCCGATGATGTGGGTCCGTCGTTATGGGCAAGTTCTATGGCAATGTACGACAAGTAATGATGTAAGAATATGATTTCTGCAGGCCTAGAGATGAAGGCCCGTCATGAACACGGTAAGTCATAATGCCTAAACTGCCATTGAGCTGGGAGTCACTCCATGTGATTGCATTCAGGATCTTAATGGCTATCAAATGCAATTAACCGTACAAGCTTGTGAACCAAGCTATTGGTCTCGGGAATACGGAAAGAACGGCGGAACGAACCAACGGTGTTGTTGACGTTGAAGGGGCCGACAGGAATATTCGTGATGACACCCGATCTCCTGTATGTGGGTTTAACCTCGAGGCCCTGGCGTATCGGTTCTGCATCATCCGCGATGCACGGGCGCAGTTGCGGGACGTACATATCTTTATCTCTACCAAAAATTCAAACCAGTACAGCGTGGAGTCACACGAGCTAGCTCGGTGACCTGAGGTTCATCAACGTGGCCCTATTATTCACCGCCATACCAATGGAAAAGAAGTCTAGATCCCATGTCAAGAATATTTTGGGGATACCTGGGACATGTTATCGCCTTTAGGTCTTACTTGATCCCTAGGATCCTTGGTCTCTCCTCGGCAGTGCTTGAACGACAGCAGTTTCCTTATTTGGTAACCTGAACCTGTGTGTTGCGGACTTAAGGCACCGTTACGTGCGTTAACCTGTGAGTATTCCTTCCAGCTCGAAGGTCGACGTCAGAGCTTGAACCGTTTCGGTTTACCAGGTCAGTTTCAGCACCGCAAAGACAATGATCTATTGCGCCCGTATTTCAGGTTTACAGCTATACTTTCCCCAACAATTAAGTAGCCAATGTTAGACCAAAATGTCGGTCTTTCTCGTGGAGGCTATGATGTTTCTCACCTCAGTGGACATGGAGTCATTACACCGATAGATGCTGAAGGTTCCCACACATCGTAGAGTCAACCTGGGTACAAGCTCTGTCACGCTGCATTGGTTGTTCCGATGACTATCGACAATCAGACCGCACTCGGGCATGAGAAGGAAGCGGAATCCATGGTGCTCGATGTGTATCATGGTGAAGTCAACCCGGCTCGTTAGAGGCCGGCTATTTCAGCTATTGACCTTATTTCGAGCGATATTTAAGGGCCCTCTGGGTCAACGAGGATGCCTCAGACTACTCGATTCCTAGGTCTCACAACCTGTACTCTACAACTACAATGTCCCAGAACGTAATCACTCTTTACGATGCTCCTTCCATCGCTCCTCAGCCTTGGGCCCCTAATATTTGGAGAATTCGGTACGTACTCACCGTCCCGTCAGTGTTGACCAAAGCTCAATTGCTCGACAACAGGTTCATTCTGAACTTCAAAAGACTTCCTCATCGCACCGTCTGGGTCGAGTTCACCGACGTCGAAACTACCCTACGATCTATAGGAGCTCCTCCTACGTCTACAAGGGGAGACAACCGACCTGTCTATACTCTTCCCGTCATCGTTGATCCATTGCGCTCTCGCTCCCATCCTACCATTCTCTCCAATGCCCAAAGCATCGCCGAATATTTGGAGACATCCTACCCCGCCCGCCCCGTATTCCCAGAAGGGTCGCGTGCACTTCAGACTCTTTTCGTTCATCACATTCAAGATGTATTTGCCAAGCCTCTCCTACCCATCCTTGTCCCTCTGAGTCATCAACGACTCCCGGAACGGAGTCAAGCTTACTTCCAAGGACCTGCCTATTCTCAGTTAACTGGGCCGCAGAGGGAGCAAGCCTGGCGTGCAGTCAAGGAGCAATTTGATTTCCTTGCCGTCGTTCTAGATAAGAATGCAGGCGATGGAGATGGTACCGTGGTTCAGGGCCGCGACCTAAGCTATGCCGACTTTGCTTTGTGTTCTGTGCTGTACGTATCTGTTTTCGAGTCCGGATGATTCGTCTTGACTCACCTGTCTATCACACCAGTATTTGGATTGAGCGAGTCTCTCCCCATGACGGCTGGTCTCGTGTCCGTGGGTGGCACTCAGGCAGATGGGCCAGACTTTGGGAAAGGTGCAAGGACTACATGGATGTGTACTAAATAGCCTCCCATCAGATTATGTATCCACATTTTCTCTTTTCTTTCGTTGACTAATACCTCCACGTCTCATTCTTGTCGCTACCCTTATATCACAGCAGCTTTTGACAGGTTGCGATTCTGCTAAATTTGTCGATAATTTTTTATAAATTATTCATCGCGCTGTAGTCTTAGCTTCTCCATAGACGGCTCGAACAGCGTCCTCGATATAAACAAACCCATTGTATAGTGTAATAACTAAATTCCTTATGGGCGCTGTTGCCTGTACAATGCACATAATATTTATTATATCACGGCTACCCCTTCCATCGGACACGTACAAACTCCGAATGAGGCAACGGCTTGTCAATGAGATTCAACGTAGGCCAGTTCTTTTGAAGACATCGGGATCCACCTAATTCAGCGGAAAAGATCGGTAATTAAGTGTGAGTATCTCCTGCGGCAATGAGCTCACGCACCTCGACGAATCGCAGCATGCCTCCTGTTTGGAGCTGAGGTAATTTCTTTTTGATAGCGTTCCGACAGCGCACGAAGGTGTTTCGCGGGGAGTCCTTGGGAAAATCAAATTTGAACGTTACAGTCTCTAGTCTCTTCCTCTTCAGTACCATACGGGCCAAACGATTCCACTCGATGATATCGGATTCTTTGATCATCTCGTAAGCTTGACACTCCGGGCCGAACATGATGAAGATCGAAAGGTGTCGGATGGTCGCAGGCACCAGTCTGAGGATATCCAGCAAGGCAATGCTGTACGACACATTCCAAACCATGTTCTCGAGGCTGAATTCGGTTTCGAATGTAATGCACAACTCAATGGACTGTAGGTTTGTGCAAGCCGCCAGGTTTAGAACCCTCCAACGCTCTTTATCCCCTGAGAATGGCAGAGAGTTAGATCGTGCTATGACTTGACATAAAGTAAACTGGACGAGCTCTCGTCAAAATCGTGTATTGCTAGCGTCGTATCCAGGCCTAGGTGCCGGATACGAGGCCCACATTTCCGTATTAACAGTCCTAAGGCTACGATTTCGTTCCAATCCTGACAAAGCGTGCATATCGAGGTGAGTGTTCACAGATGGCGTTTTGAGGATAATATTGCACATGAGTTGGAGAGTGGGGTTACCAGTATAGAGCTCAAGCTGCTGGGCTTTGAGTTCACGTAGCTCAGGTACACCCAAGAGTTCGTTTATTACGGTTTCTTGATCCATGGGTGAGCCCGTCAATCTCAATTCCATTGCACCAATATGCAGTATCTCTACGTTCGAGAACAGTGCCAAGATATTTGTGAAATTATCAAGCCTGTCACTCCTGGACCCAACGAAAGAGAAGAGTAATTTCTGTAGCGAGATGGGACGCAAGGATTGCTTGAATAGCCCTGGCGTAAAGCGCAAGTGACGGAACTCGAGGATATGCAAATTTGGTAATCGGATGAGGATCGATGCTAGAGTATCCATCGAGAGTATAGCACGCGGTGGCGTAGCTGTATGACGCATCATGTATTGGAATTCGTAGTCAATATCATGACCTGAAAGCTTCAGCCGGCGGATGTAGCACCCAATATGAGGATTCTGAATTAGGAAGATGGCGAAAGAGTCGAAGGTCCTTCGACTATTCTCGATGTGTATTGTATCGAAAAGCGTTCGTCTCGCTGAATCCATGAAATCCCGAGACAGCAAACAACACGTTCGCAGTGTAGACGTGTCGTCTGCGAGATACCCACAAGAGGCGATGAGTACCTCCTTCACTAGATTCTGTGGTATTACTATGGAAGACATGAAAGGTTGATTTTCCGCCCCGATATTAATGCTGTAGGATTTATATACCGAAGGACATTAGCAATTAGGTGTTTGAGTAGTATTTAAGGTCCATCGCTCACGAGGGTCTCAGAGTAAACGAGCGTTGTTTCCACAGACCAAGTGACAGACCAACTGCTTGAGGACCATATGTAGGATTACGCCGCAATTTGGGGATTTTAATTATGAAGTACACAATTCACAAGTCAGCTGTACCCGCAAAGCTTTCGATCATAAACGCGAGATGACCGGCCCTAAACCCCCGATCGCGTCGTGATGTTTGATCGCGGGGTGCCAAGACACGTCCAGGGCGATCGCTCGACTCAGACAAAAAGTTCAAGTTGTAGCAGTGGGTTAACATAAGTCTCGAGTCTCTACACTATATTGACCATGTACAGAATGCTAGACTATTCGAGGATGCCTACCCATTCATAATTGAAGCTTCAATTGATGACGAGGCTGTAGGCAGACCTACAGATGCGGATAAAGTCAGTCGCTACTACCAAATCATGCTAGGCAGGTTTGTAACTTACGTAGTCAGAGTGGCCGAACCACTAGTAGGCTCGGTACCAGCTTGCGCGGTGACCAGATACTGTGAAGTGCTGACACCGTTGTGCTGCGTGAGGTACTGGAAGGAATCATGACTATCAGTAAGCCAAACTGCACTGTAAATTCAGGATGAAAACACTCGCAGTGAAGAATGGTAGCAAATCTCCGCCGAAGCTCATAATAGTTCCGCTCGTAGGCAAGAACGAGAACACATTGTTGGCACCGTTAGAACCAGTGTACAGGTTCCACGTATGACCAGCGATGCTCACGTTCGATGCTACAGCCTGAGGTGTTCCATCAGAGTTGTAGACGGCGGATATAGGTCCTGCGTTGAAGTTTGCCAGCCAGATCATGATCTCATTAACGTTAGAGCCACCCGCAGTGTTCGATGTGAAGAGGTCGTAAGCGACATCAGCAACGACTGAGCCTGAAGTGTTCTGTGACCATTTCCAGGTGGACTACATAGGTATCAACGGGTGAGTTATCGATCTTTGAGTAAGACGTAGGGCAAGGACTCAAAACTCACAGGCATACTCTTAATCTGCGATAGCTGCTTATTGATGCCCTCATTCAACTGAATATTCGAGAAACTCTTCACTCCATTCCCACCGACCCAAGTCCAAGTCGTCTTCCACGCGATCGTACTACCGCTCACACTCGTAATTTGGGAGCATTGAGATCCCGAGGTAGCACCGGCCGCACCCCAAAGGTCTAGAAACATAGTGTAAGGACCCGCAGTGACGATGTCCCATTGACCACAGTGCTGTGAAGTGTCAACGGTCTGGCGGGCGATGAGCTCGCTGAGTGATGGTTCAGGTCCGGGGGCAGGTGCTCCAAGAGAGAGGAGGCCGAAAAATGGGAGCAGGAGGACATAGAACAAGAGTCTCTCGCTGAACATTGTGAGTAATATAAGCGTTCTGCGAGGTCAACAGGTCTCGCCGGCAAGCTGAACTTACGAGCACTGACCCCGCACGCTTCTTATAGTCTACAGAGCCTAGTTGAAATGTCAGTTACCAGCGATGTCCGCTCCATCGCGCATCCTTGACATTGTCATGAGCGTGGTACGGATATTCAATACGGAGAAATCTTAGCCACTTGCACATGCCTCCATAGCTCACGACTTCGAGTTTAAGAAATCAATGGCCTCAACCCGTCTAGACGGCCCGCTTCATTTGTGGAATATGTAAATGAGGGAAGTAGCGACTCAGGTCTCTGATCCGTTGCGGGCAACGTATCCATGTCATGAGGGCGACAAGTTCGGTAAACTTCTACAAGGGATTTACCCGAAGGTTGGGAGTAAATGGACGTTGCCACAAAGTCTAACGATGAGAAACTTACCATGTGATCGGTCCCGGCAAATCTTGTGCGTGAGAGTCAATGGGAGTAGACGAATTCAATGTCGCCGGACCGTGGCGGGGTGGAAATTACTTGACAATACAGAAACTCCCGGAGCCGTAGGTTAGAAGCCTCGAACACATCGCTTGACCCAGTTGGCAGGTGTTAGAAATGAGATGAGCAGAAACAAAATGAATCTTGAAATTACAATATACCAAGATGGCCATCAGCAGTTAGTACAATAACAGACCTAAACGTCTACTGACCTGGATTCGGAAACCTTCACCAGAGAAACCGACAGACCGCGCCGATCGAGTATGGTAACCAAGAAAAATACATACATCAGCACGCTCTAGCAGATATTACAAGTACAAACAACAAAGACGTCGATGATCCCAAAGTACCACTCGCCAATAATATAAATCTCAAGGCCAATCCCGGAGTTTCATTGCCAACCACAGCTCAGGCTCACGCACGGCGCTTCCCAACCACAGAACGAAAGGAATATTTTGTACGTCAAAAAACGCAAGGATCCAGATTTCAGGCAACTCAGACCATCGCCACACCAACACCAACAGGCGCACCCTGCCCATATCCTAATTGTCCCTGTTGGTTCGAATTGTTGAACCCATCCTGTTGCTGTTGCTGCTGTCCATACCCATACGACAAATCCTGAGGCTGGTAACCCTGGAGCTGATTCGGAGACTGTTGCGGAACAGGTTGATATACCCCGGCGCCATTCCCATTCGCAGTATTCGCACCATCGTTACTGTTGTTGAGCGTGTTGAGAGCACCGTTAAAATAACCAGCTGCATGTCCCTGACCCTGTCCTTGCCCAACATGTCCGCCGTTTCCAGCATGTTGAACATGTACAGGATGGCCTTGCGGACTAGGGTGTTCTTTCATGGGCGTGTCGGAGACACCGTCAGTGAGCAAAACGTTCACACCAGCATGAACGGCATTGACGACGGGTGCGACAGAGCCTTTGAATTGAGCCCTGCTGACGGAGGTCTTCCAGACCGGATGGCCATGGTGGGAGGACATTATGGCTTGGGCGAGGAGAATAATAACGTAGGATAGCACTATTGAGTGTATAGATAAGCATGATATTAAAAGCAGAGGCAGAAGATGACGTACGACTGAAGAGAGACAAGAACCCAAAGGCTTCAGCCACTTGACTGTCCTTGCACGTCGTCTGGAGGATTTTAACTCTCGGGTTGATCTTGCATAGATCAATGAGAGGCGTGATGGTGTCCGCTGTAAGGCCCGCTGCAGCGACCCACAGAACGGCCAAGATCGCTATGAAAGTACAAAGCACCAAATGAGTCTTTAATCGCTCGATGATGAGCACAGGAAGCAAGTTGCGTACCGAACCAAATGAGTTCAACGACGATCATAGAGGTAAATGCACCTTTCCTCAGACGATCGATCGTCAACCTGCAATTATTCGTCCAACAACATGGTCAGTACGTGCACCTGGACCTGGATGTATGGGCGAGAGTATGTCTTACATTGTGGGAACAGTGAGCAAGGTCAGTGCCGCGACAGCCAAGTTGAACACGGAGAATGTATCGGGAGTATCGACGGGCCATACTTGTACATCGTCGATGAATAGCGTCCCCGTCAGGATGCTCACAATGTATTGTGCACTGACACCGATGACGATGGCGGAGAACCCGCTGACGGCAGCTATGAGGAAGATTAGACCAATTAAACTGGAGCATCGTGATTCGTGGAAGACATACAGAGAGCTGAGACGCGGTATACGGGGAGCCAATTGCTCTGGTGAGTGTTTGCTTGAGGGACTGACATAACTAGCAGCTGGAATATAATGTCGATGCCAAGAAGTACAACAACCTCGGACTGGAGGTCCTTCGACTTGACAAAGGAGAGAAATGGAGACTTAAGGAATGACGAGATCGGGGGCACAAGAAACGCCTCCCAATATACAGAAACGGGCTCGACAATGGGACCTGATACCAGTAAAGCGCAATGGGGGGAAACGACTTCAGGTGACCTAATCGGATATTTAACCATGGGCAGAAGGGGACGCCCGGGCAGAGGCGATGTCTAAATGGACGGGGCATTTGTACGGATTTGGCCTTTTCTCTCTTCGTGGACTTGATGCGCCCCCAGTCTGTCCGTGACAGGGCTGGCAGAACAAACGTATGAGCATATAAAAATGCCTTGTTCGGCCACTATTTGTTAGGAGCAGTGATAGTCTTCCGGAAGCACAGATCGACGTGCGGATTTGAACTGGTAGCGAAGCTGATTGACATGTATACCGTACGTTACACGGCAAAAACTTTGACTTCTGTCGCCGCCTTCAGGAACCGATGTGACAGTGGGGACCCACGGTCCCAGACTCGAGGATTCGTAACAGCCAATACAGAGTCCCGAATATATTGTCTATGTAGACCTACAAAACATGTTATCTGGAAGAACGCAAGGGTAAATGTCTTGCTAAAAGCAAGTCAGGTTCAGAAAGATACCTCTAGTACGTGACGAAAGCGCACAGGTCACTAACGAAACCACGACGTCGGAATCGTCAAAATCAGTGCGTCAGCTGAGAAGTTGACTGATTGATTCCTCATCGTCCGTGGATGGCGGTCATCGATGCTGTAGGTGGAAGGACATTATTGGGTCAGGATGGACAGATGGCGACATGTCAAGACAGTTCATCTATCACGAAGCGTGTAAAAAGACAGATGCCTGCATTAGTACGACTCTTTTGTCGCATTAATGAGGGAGAGAAACAGGCAGGAGAAACAACTCACGATTGAGCGGCTTCGGATTGGCTTCCGGCACAATCAGACGAAAAAGGCATGTATTGTAGTTCATCAGGGCCTTCAGTTGACGTCAGTACCCATCTCCACGACCCACCTGAGTACCGTCGTCGTAGCCCATGGGCCAAAAATAAACATGACCGCATAGTATAAACGATGGCGAGTCCATACTCCACCTCAAAAGCCACTCTTAGACACACGACTGCCAAGTCTTTTACTCGACCTCAGCAAACTTCGTTTCAATTTCGACGCCAAGCAGTACCAAGGCAGAGTTTGGCTCTCCTGCGCCTCCTAGTGCTACCACACCTGCACCATCAACTACTGCACCTAGTAACGACGAGTATCCTGAGCAAAGACATGCAGGTCGTGTCGGGTTGGGACCCAACTATGGAAAGGGAGCGGTGAGTGGCGTTTGGTCGGTCGGGGAAAGTCTGAACCTATGCTCAAGTTATGCATTTGATGGGCTATAGAGCGGAGGTGATAAGCTCGCTGGGTGGAAAGAAGAGCTCGCAGGCAAGATCACCCGCAACCCTGATAAGGTGCATCATGGACATGATCTCCGAACGGGAGAGCTGAAAAAGAAAGAGCAGGAAGAGGAGGTATGTTCTTGCTATCTATTATATCTCTCAATCGTATTGAACCGAATTCGACATTTCTTTTCAATAGAAGAATCCGTTTGAGAAGAATTCATGAAGTGGATTGGACGCATAGACATCCAAATCTGAAGGATGAGACTGTACACCACCAAAGAAACCTTACACTGCACCATAATTGAATATCATTAGACATCTTGTATGCACTGATCTGCTCAGCGACAACACACCTTGCACTCACCATAGACTTCGGTCACACACCCCAGGGTAAGAGGTAATTCGCGTTCGCGTGTAGACTTCTAGCATTAGAAGAAAGCAAAAGCAAGAGAGTCCATGGGATATACCAAATGAGATGCTACAACGTGTGACAGAGCAAAATAGATAGAAAGCAAAAAACGCAACATTGCATCCCATCCCCACCACCTCACACAGCCATCCCCATCATCATAGTCATAGTCATCATCATCAACAGTCTTGGCAGCAGACCACTGGCAACCATCATTTCAATCGTACACGCTCCTCCCTCTCTACCGAAAACAACGAAATGCAACACTCATGCATTGGTATGGCCGAACGAGTGAGACGCATCAGTGTAGGGGTATTGGTGGTTCGAGTGAAGAAGACCCTGGTGTGCAGCGGGGTCTTGAGCAGTTGGAGGGTAGTATGTAGGCTCGTAAGTGCTAGTGTTGTTCTTGCTGTGCTTGGCAAGCTTGTATTCGTGGCTATAATCATCGTCCTCAAGTTGGTCGACGTAACGACGGATGATGACAGCGATGTCTGTGAAAAGACACCCAAGGTCAGTCACACATTTCAAATGACAGGGTAACGGACGAGGAAAAGAAAAAGAAAAAGACATACAAAGGTGGATGAACAAGCCGACGATGACGATAACGACAGAAACGATCTTTTGCCAAAGCTTGAGATCAACTCTGCACTCAGAGGTATTCCCATCTGCATCGGTGAACTCGCATCCAGTGAAGAGGTTCTTCCCTGAGAAGACGAGGTAGAAGTAGAAGCCAGACGCGATGAGGTAGATGAAGAAGGTAATCCAGCTGAGGAAGGAGTACGCTTTGACCAATCTTCGCTTGCGGAGGATCGAACCAACGAAACTAGACACAAAAAGAGGTTAAAGCTCGACCGAAAAGCGGAAAGAGGGGAAGGACACAAAGACATACCCAAAGAGCGAGATGAGAGCAGTTATGGTAAAGATCGACCCTGCTACGATCACACCGACTTTGCCTGCTGTGGTGATTTTGCTGAAGTCGACGTCCTTGACAGCGTCGGCATTATCTCCCGTCAAGATGACTGTAGGGAATTGCACGTTCAGTTACACACTCAGCTTTCATTTTCGTTACCGCGGAAAACTCACTGTGAAGCAGGAACCAACTGGAGGCTGCAACGAGTGCACTCGCCAGGAAGGCGATCAAAGAGAAAATGAATACACCTGCACGAACAGGAATACAGCAGCAGAAGTGTTTCGACATCGTTGGCGTTGGTTATGGGGTTGGTATAGATTTGTAGGTGTAGTTTTGACTCGTGACTTTCGGGGAGAATCGGTCTAGTCGTGAACACTCAAGAAAACAAACTAAAACTTGAAGATTCCGTGCCAAACGAACGGCAACGAAAACTCAATAGAAACAAAAAGGGAAGAAAGAGAAAGGGGGGAGGTTGGCAAGGTGAGAGAGAGCTGTTGGACGACCGACCAGCATCTTGATATAATGATTGGCAGCAGTGAGCGCGGTGCAGGGCTCAATGATGGCGATGATACACGCGTTGGCGGTACCACTGCTTATTGCCTTCTATGGTAACCCTATCTTCGATCTGGGGCGCTATTTCTCCCCGTGCGGTGGTGGCGGACCTCCATTCGGCAATTCGGCGACCTCCAGCACCGGTCTGCTCAAGGTCTGCTTGCTATGCCGGTGTCCGACGGGTTTTCGACCAGTCTTTGACAGTGAATTTACCCACCGCCTGTTGCTGAGAAGGATCTCTGCAGTGAACAGCTGCTAAGCACAGTCATTCGAAGGTCGTACCGCAGCACCTCGATTGTGCGATTTCACGGTCAAGTGTGAGTCCAAGCAAGAGTCCAAGCGGACGCTCGTCACCTTATAACTGAGATCTGAAGATTCTGAATTGATTCAAATCCCCATATCGGAGGTAGCTATAGTCAGGGCCTCAAAACTTCGTAACAATCGAATTCGGCCAGGTCGGATTATCTTGGCTCACGAAATCTCTGTACATGTTGCGTGCGAAGTCCTCACAAAGTGGACGATGTACATGTCGATAAATGTTCTGCAACTTCAAGTCTCATGCAAGCTCTAACGCGTTTAGACATGCGTGAGAAGAACTTAATGGCCATAGGACAGCGAGAATACCAATTCAACCAGATGCGGATATAGCATTTCTTGGCCGCAGCTATGTAAGTTATGTACCTGAGTTCGCATCCGCAGATCCTAGCCTTGCGATGTTCGCATTGTGTGATTGAAAGGTGGTCGGACTCTAGACAATACGAACTTCTGACGTCGCAAGCCAACATGTGTTGATAGACAGTAATCCTGAAGAAGAGCCGGAACTTGCAGCAGCGAAATCGTTGAACAACACATCAGTTAACAGCTCAGACAGACAACAACAGCTTATACGAGGAAAGAAAAATACCGCAGTTTCAATATACCGTTTCTAATGTACTTTGAGAACGAAAAGTCCACCGAGTCAATGATGTGTATGGGGAAGATGAAAAGCAACGCATCGGATTCCAATTTAGTAGTAGGATTTGTCCGAGATGTGAGGTATGGCAGAAAGAGAAACGGAAATCAAACAACACCATGGTCGATACGTTCACAATCGAAAGACTACCCCACAATCCCAAACTGAGATGCCGCTTAGGCGGCGGAGGCATATGTCAAACCAGCACCTTCACCAGCCTTCTGGAGGTTCTTCAGGTTGATGAAGTTGTTGTTGGCAGCCAACTCGTCAGAGATGTTGCGCTTGACGGCAGCAGCATTCGCAGCAGTTTGCTTGATGAACTCTGGGTCAGCATCGGACGGAGGGGCAGCGCCAGTATGAAGTTGACGAACATCAATGAGAGCGCAACCGTCTTGTTCGGGGGTGACGCCAAAGCCGAGCTTGCATGAATGGACATGGCATTTGCCAACGTGGCATTCAACATGGTCGACGTTGGGGAGAGCAGTGCAGTCTTTGCCAACGACTTGAGTAGCGATAGTCAAGGGAGAAGGAGTAGCGCAAGCACCGCCTACATCAAGGAGCCGATTAAGGTCAAGAGAATGTCACTTGAGAAATGGAATGTACGCACAAGACTCCTTGTCAGATTGAGTATCAACACATTCTACACCTTTACCGCCGGGAACACCACAAATTGACTGGCCAGCGGGGCATGAAGGAAGAGGGCTACGACGAGCGTTGCGACGTTGGGGAGCAGCAGATCCACAGCCGTTGGGGAAGTTACCACATTTGCCATTGCACTCCGAAAGAGGAGCAGAGCAGATACAATCAGAAGGCTTGTCGTCACCAGGATTAGTGTATGGTTGGAATCCATCTATACACTCGAAGGCACAAAGGTCCTCGTGCTTGCAGGTAGAATGAGCGTGATCAGGAATAGTGCAAGTAACATAGGTACCGGTCTTCTTGATCTGTATTTGATAAAGAAGATACATCAATCAGAATCAGTAGAGGTAGTCGTATATGTTAATGACGTACGGTCGTGGTAATAATTTCAATGACCTCCTTCTCTCCGAGAAGCATGACTGCAAGTTGAGCAATCTTGTTGATCCTGACGAACTCTGCGACGATGGACACGCAAAGGCTGACGTCGAGACGACCGACGCTGAGCGCGTGACCTACCAGAAACACCATAATGAGAACCACTATTAGTCCCCAGAGAACGAAAAACACATACCATCACGAATGATGGTGGGTAAGACCAAATCCACATCCAAGCTGGCACAAGTATCCACGAACCCGTGACGGCGGACCTTCGCCTGACGAGCTTGAATCACATCGTTGTGGCTCCGACGCGTAAGGCTACTTGCGCTCACGAACGTGGAAGTGAAAGCGAGGAAAAACGGAACAAGTGCTAAAAACTTCATCTTGGGGGGTATTAAGGTAAAAACGAATGTGAGGGTGTAAAGAGTGTCGGGGGTTGTGTGTTAGCACGAAAAGGCAAGTGGTCAAAAGAGAGCCAAAAGCCAAGGGCGAGACAAGAGCAGTCAGACCTCACAGGGAAAGGAGGATGAAGAGAAAGTCCACGCCCCGTGGAGGCCTACGTCTTTATATACGTGTCTCAAAAGTCGCATCAGAGCTCCCGATTAAACGGCCTACTCCTCCGTCGCACCCCCAGGCGCGCCCAGTATCCGGCTCGAGAGCTCGTCCGCCGTGCACGATGCTGATTGGTTCGATAGAGCCTTTCGGTCACCGCAACGCACAAATGCGGTCAGTAGCCATCTGCGGCTCTGTGTCGCTTGGCGGAAAGGATGCTTCTCTGACGAGATTACTGGATATAAATACCGGATAAACGAGGGTAATCGGCATCGCGTACTTTAGCCCATGATGTGCCAGGCATCCCTCTGATCCTTTGAGTAATTAGAGGGGGGTTAATTAAGACCAAAATAATGCGATGAGTTGTTTTGTCAATGCTTTCGTGAGTTGCTGAGTTGCAAAGACATCAGGAATGCTGGAGGACCGTCATAGTGGTGAACGTAAAATGCGGGGCGACAAGTTTATGGAGAAGGAAAGCGCCCGATCGCGTTTCAGTGCCAAGCGCCCCGCCGGAAGAACTGTAGACGAAAGTAATCGAAGAGGTCCGGTTGGCAACCACGGCGATGAAGACTACATGCTAGCTATCTGCAATGTTTCAAAAAGTAAGATCGGTAGCTTGCACTAGGCAGTTCATGTACGAGCTCCAATCAAGAAGCATTAGCTCGAGTTGAAGTGATACGAGCTTACCACTTGTAATAAGCGGAGTCGCTGGGGGTTAAAACCTACTTGGTTAAAAGGGAGACTGTGTCTTCAGCCAACGGGCTGGTATAGTTGCAATGGTAGATTGGAACCCTGAGAAGTACAGTGCGAAAACATGCGAAGTATAAGAACAACAATGCGACTAATCCATTCTACCTTTCAATGTGCGAGTAATGACTTTATCTTTTGTGCTGGATGCAATATGTTAACACCTCACGGTATTCAATGAGTAAGACAATCACTCACAGCAAATGAACAACTACACCCCAGCCAGAGTTCGTATCGCGATCCACAGCGTTCAACATCGTCTGTGAAATCGTCTCGAACAGATCTTCGGGTCCCAGATCCTCTTCCCATAGTCCTTCTGCAACACCAAACAACTTGTCACTTGCGGTTCCCGCAACGACGAAGTCCTTGGCGAAATTTAGACAGCCGATGAGGTCAGTAGCGGCAATGAAGGGCTTGTAGGATCCCGACGGTGTTCGCTGCATTCCGGCGATTACGGGTTCAATGAAGTATGGGCCGAAACGTCGCTCGTAAAGTGTTGATGAGACTAATGCGGCGAACGTCTCAGGCTCGATCTCTCGTTCCTCTTTGATGGTATACATGTTAACGCGGTATCGGAATTGCTCATGCCTAGGGGAACATTCGTCAGCATTTCACTTGATAAAGTCAACATGTTGATCGTCCTGACAAAGTTGTAACATCTGTAGCAAGACCAGGAAGACCAACGAATATCCGGTCTGTTACGGGGAAGATCTTGAAGCGAATGAATTAGAGCTAGACTTGGACGATAAAAAGTAGGCACTGCTCACCTTCTGGAAGTTGGATGCAATGCCTAGCGATTGTACACCCAAGCGCAAATCTGAGGCAATGGCAACGCAGTTCTTGCCCACCATGGCTATAACGGAGCCACCGTTGTATTCCATGATCGACTGATTATATTCAAAGAACATAAGTATTGTAGATACACTGCCAAACAAGAGAACAGTTCATACCATGATGGGCGAGAGTTTGGTGTCGTAAAGATCGTTTGGAGGACGGAGTCGAGAGACAGATGGTCGTGTAATAGCAAGCTGCTGCAGACTCAATGAACGCGTACTCTTGGTGACGCGTTCCTGTCACATTTGGTCACAAGAGACGTCACGCTGTCACGATATGTCTTCTCCAGAGTCCTGCCTGCTTTCTTCTTTATTCCGAAGCATCCACCGATACAGTAGGTTTCTAAATCCTGGCTTTACTTACATCTCTTGAAACTTGTGCTATACCCCAGTTGCCCTCGTCTTAAGATCGCTGACAAAGGCCAAGAATACGAGACTATATGCTCTCCTTTAACAAAGTACCGAAGGTGGGAGTGGATGAAAGCGGATTGTGCGACTCCGCAAATCTTGGCCCATCCGTTCATTCCCCAGTCTCTGCTGTGCATCGCGTTTTACTATGCGATGAGCTCTTAACTCATATATTGGCAGTATACGATGTCTTTGAATCACCTCCAATCAACAGGTCATTGGAAGCCAACAGCAGACGTGAGCTTGCTTTGTTAGCAAGGGTCTGCAAAGTCATCTCTGAGGTTGCGCTCAATATCCTATGGAGATGTTTAGATGAGCCCTATCCGCTCATATCTCTCCTTCGTATTTCTCAGGACGACGCCGAGGTTCGTTCCTTGTCCCCTTGGGTGTTCTTGAACTGACGTCGTCGGATACGTATCATCAGGAAAGTTCAATAGTACCACCTCGTTTCCTCTACTATGGCACTCGCATTCGAATTCTGAACGCAGGGGCTGAGTATATCGTTGTCTGGCTGATCCGCAATGTTAAGCAGATGACATCCCGACCTTTCCCTCGCTTAACTCGACTCATAGTGAATACGGACCCTCTCGATCACGTCAGTGATGTACAGCTCTTCATTGTGCCTTCCCTTAGGTCTCTAACTCTAACCTTGTGTCCACGGGAAAATCCCGCCTTGTCCGGCCTACTCGATACCATTCATCGGACAGCACCTTATATTGATGAGCTGCAGCTGGAATGGCATAAATACGTGTTGATGCGCACTGTCGATGTTTGCGAAGTGCTGCGTGGCATAATCAAGTTCCAACACCTCAGAAAGCTGTCCACAGATCTCGAGATTTCCGTCTACCCGGGTCTCATTAAAACGCTTTCGAAGTTGCCAACACTCCAAAGTCTGGAATTCAAGTCTTATGTCTCCGATACACGTAACATCTCTTGGAATTTTTTCGCCTCTTCGACAGGCATCGCTGCTTTGCGATCTATAACACTATATGGGTCTCTTCCAATGATACTCGCCCTACTTCCTGCTCTTCATCGTTGCTCCATTGTGACGTGCAACATCATAATAGAAGATACATTGGAAGCTATTGTGGACGGATGCCATCGGGACCGCCAACCTCAACTGGCGCATGACATCGTATCATTATCTTCGACTCTCCAATCACTCGTTCTTCAAACCGAAGAACCCCGCAGGACCCATTTCCAGCCCCAATACCCGTATCGCATTCTAAGAGCCGATTTTATACAAGAGTTTTTGGGAACAAGACTCCTCGATGTCGAGCTAATGTACATTGATGGCGATGATATAACCGACTCGTTATGCCATGCCATGAGCTTAGCATGGCCAGAGTTGCGTATCCTTCGCCTCGAGTCATCATCTCCACTCACCGGTCCACCCGCCCATATGGTTACTCTGACGGGCCTAAAATATTTCGCGTTGTATTGTCCCGATCTTCGTTCCATCACTATGCAGGTGAATGGAACTGGAAACAAATGGCAAGACGAAATTGATGCCACCGTACATTTCAACGCAACGACCTTGGAAAATTTGAATCTCAATGGCTCCCTTGTAGATTCTCCCCGTCCTGTGGCAATGTTTCTTCGATGGTGTTTCCCCGGAGTCAGGAATATCGAATCCCGTTGCAGGGATACTTTTGAAGTCCGGGATTTGACAGCTCAGCGAGCGTGGGACGAGGTTGTCTCACTGGTACAGGACTATCGTCTTTCTTCCGAACAAGCAATCTGAACTGTCTCGATTTGACATCCACGTAAGATACTTTTGTTCTTGTGGTTCGCTTGAATCGTGGTCTATTCGTTATCGTCCATGACCCTGGTGTTCTACTTATTGATCCTGTTTGTTTGGCCCAGTCAATCCCCGGCATGTAACATACTGATGATACTTCATGATACAAGATCTATGCTGTGTCTTCCTGGTCCTCACTGTCGCGCCTCGTATCTCACCATCGGAACACATTATAACTCCAAATTTTCTCCAGCAACCTACCCTGCATCTTCACTTCACTGAGAGGTCTATCCTGAACTACTCTTCATATGACAAACAAATGTTAGCACTTCACGTTCAGCCTATACCTCCAGACTCAAGATCTCACTTGGGGGCTTCGTAGTAGCGTTCCTTGCAGAACCTTTCCCATTGGGAGGTAATTGCCCTGTTTTTCTCCCGTACTGATACAATCACAACTATTGTCAGACGGAAAATCGGACTGTATTGGATACAATAACCTTCGTACCGGTGGGTAAGGCAGAATATGGAATAGCTGTTCGCCAAATTGTACTGACGGCGCGTTTCAGAGTCGCGGTTCGAAGTGTTTTTGGTCTTAACGGTGCCAGTATCCATTTGGCTTAAGATTCTGGTTCAGATATCGACAGGAACAAGCAGGCGTGGTGCGAGGAATGTATGAAAGAGTTTGTTAGAGAACGCTTCAGTTGAGTGGTATTTATATTCACATCGAGTTTGGCTGTGCATCCTAGGCTCGCAGTCACTTGGCTTTCTGACGATTGTCATCGTACGTTGTGATCGACCCACATAGCTGTGTGCTATTCGACTTCGTGATAAGAACAATGTTCTCTAATCTTGCCGCCTAGAACGGCTGACTACAGCGCATTTCAAGCAAACTCAAATTATTGGTAACTGCCGTAACCGTCCATGATCTATGTAAGGTATGTCAAATCGTCCTATTCTACAATGCATCAATCGATTCTTAAATCAGGTATTACCGTGCACGTTACTTTGGGTGGAAATCATCAGAATGAAAGTTTCGGGGCTTGTCATACTACAGCAAGAAGATAGTGCAAACAACACATTAGCCTTCCCTGTGACCGTTGCGAGCACAGATCATAAATAACATACCGGCTGCGACGCTTCATCATCACTAGCAGACCTATGTTTCTGGACGTAACGCCCATGGGCCTGCATAGTCTGACGACTAGGATACCTCTCACTAAACTGGAAACCAGGCCCTGCTAGTTCCGTAAGGTCGCGAGGATCATAGGGCTTCTACAGGCACAAACAAAGTGTCAGCACAGTCTTGGAAGTTTTCAAATTGGCACGAAAGGGATGCGACGTCAAACATACTATTGGATGAGACTCGATGGAGTGTTCATCCTTGGTCACCTGGTATGGATTACGCTTCTGCAAGCGGTGTTCATTGTGACGTGATCCTCCAGACATCTTCGATTTGATTTTATGCATGAAGCTGGTCATCTTGAAATCACGTTTGCGAAGCGCTTTTGGGATCGAAGGGTATGTGCACAATGCGAGGTGATGGCAGGAGCGTGAGATTAAGGGCGAGGTGAGTTTTGTTCTTAATGCGCTTTGTGCTGTTGCATTCGGGCTGTTTTGCGGAGCCACCCGCAGCACCGTGGTGGCAGTTGCAATTCACGGGATCGTATTTTTGGCGTTTGTGGAAGTCGACAGTGTTGACGTCATATTAACACTGCCCCAAGTTGCATCCATGAGTAGAGACGCAATTATCATTGAAGCCGGCTGTGGGAGTTCCTGGTATGTTGGTGCATTGATCAGTGTTATGTCGTCTACAGCGGATGCAGGCTAACGATCGCCGGTGCGTGAATGTTTGGCATTTATATACTTCTTCTAGTTTCTGGTCCTCGTTTCCGTGGTTTCGCTGTATCCTGGCACGGCTGGTTTATGCTTGACTTACTCGTCCTTTCTCTGTATCTGCTGCGTACATGCACCGCTGAGCCTTGCATTTAGACCAGGCAGTTCCTTTTCGATCGCCCGCCAGAGGAATGGGAGAACGACCTTGAAAGCTCATACAAGAACAGCGCCATGACGATAGGCCGTCCGATAGGTTCCTCTGCATCGTCGATGTATGATCGCACTCATATTCCGTGCCTTTATACCTATATCGACGTATCAAGATTTTCTACCTCCTTGCGAATCTGGTGGTGGATACGCTCATATATGCAGTATTCGCATGGTGGAGAAGAGCCGGCGAATCATTGTTCAGAGAAGTTATCAATCTCAGGTTACACAGGATGGCTGTCACCATGCACATTGCTGTCTTCCTGCTCTCCATTAGTAGCAGGTGGCAGTACGTCGCCATCTCGCGTGGGCTCCACCTCATCCGCGTCTACCATCCTCTCGATTTCCACATCTTCATCATCAATGAAGTCGTCATCCTCTAAAAGGCGAGACTCCCAGTTGAAGCCTTCGTGAACTTCCTCTCCCTACTGTGTCGACAGACTTAGGGTTCTCGAATAATGCGGGAGGTGGCGAAGGAGGCCTAGGAATGGCGATGTTCGGATTGGCCAAAAGGGGGCTATTAAGAGATTCGTCTGCAGCCTGAGCATGTATGAGTATGCCCTGAGGAATCGCGGTCTGTTCCGTAGATCGTCCAGGGGGGTCAGAGGAAGGAGATACTGAGGATAGTACGTCTTTCGGGAATGCGACTTCCGTATCAAGCGTTGCACCATCTGAAGCAAACCCAGGTTCCAAATCCATGTGAGGGCGTTTTGCACGAAGCGAAGAGTTCATCTCTTCTGACGGCGGAGCTCTTGAACCAGATGGAAGCGGAACTGGTGAATAAGGGCGCTTCCGAGAAATCAACCTCGTCGGAAACGAAGGTGCATTTACTGCTCCTCCCCAAATACTCCCCCTGCTGGCGATGGAATTAGGTTGATGCGGTGCATTGGGTCTTCCCCATTCAGTGGAAGAAGGCCTCAGCAATGTCGCACGCCCTCTCGCGCGGAGGACTAACGCATTCATACCACGCCGTCACTGTATGGCGCACATCAGAACTCGAATTTCTTTAGGTGTGAATATCAACATACCGAATTTTGTTTGCTCATCTCAGAGGAGACGGAGATTTTATGGCACGGTCTGAGGCGTGCTCGATATCAATTCTACTGAGTAACAGTTAGTAAGGCATCAGGGAGCAGCGATAAATGAAATGGTTTGGGCACGTATGATGATCTTAATGTCGAGAAAGACTTTCCAGCATGTATGCTCGGTGGTGGAAAGAAATATTTGAGTTTCACGCTTTGCAGCGCACAGGCGCGCGAGAACCGCAACGCTTCTAAGTAGCTTCGCTGTCAAGCCATCCCTAGTGACACAAATTGCAACCAGGAAGGGAAAGAAAGAACCTGTTCGAGACGGGTTATATGTACATGGTGGTAAACGACAGAGAGCAGAGAGATCTATCTGCGTTACTTACCTGCCTGAATCGTTATAGCCCCTGCGTATTCACGCACTTCGCATAGATTGGGTTTTCGCACCCACAGACCAGATAAAATACTCGGGTTTGGGTACCCAGTGGCACATTCCATGGCCGGAATAACCAGTTTGGTGAGCGGAGAATTGGCTTCAAGCCATTGAGGAGTTTTGGGATCGAATCGATTGATTGATATGTCCCAATTACTTCTCTCGAGATGCTGGATGACCGGTCAACGTTCAAACGTTCAACTTCGAGTATTTGAACTGTCACTGTGTCGATTCGTATTCGTCGTATCTGAATCTACAGCTTGGCCCGGGTCGGACGCATAACGACATCATACGCACTTCTCTATTAGGACCCTTGGAATCATATGCCACTGGGCCAATAAGACCTAGTGACGTACTGAGCAGATTGAATTGTGAGCTCTCAGTCACCGTAGGAGATGTGAGGATAACATCGACGTAGAATGGAGACAAGAAGAGATTCAAAGTCGCAATCACGTCGAAAGTCCTTTGGCCAAACGACATGTCAATATTACAGTCCTAGCAAGTATACGCTAAATTCGTCAAGGTCCAGGTCCTTCCAATATTCCTCCTTTACAATACATATTGATACAATTCCTTCCGTTCTGAGAAAGCTTCAACTCCCAGTTTACTTGTTCAGTTCAGCGGAACGAGCCCGAAGCTCTTCGCTGCTCTATGACGATTCCAACGCAATATCAAGACCCCACCGCCGACTGCAGATATTCGAAAAACTCACCGCGGGTTGTTCAAGATTACTCGCGACGTTCTGGTCAGGAACGTAAGGTCCGTGAGCGTGAAACGCCTCGATGTTAGGATCCTTCTGGAACCCACCTCCGCCAGCCTGCAAGTCACGAGGATCGTTCGTCTTCTGCAAAAAAAAAAACGAATCGCAAATCGAGTTAGCAATGATATATAGATACGACATATAGGAGGTGATCGTGGAGGAGAATAGTGAGGAGTACGTACAGCAGGATGGGGCAGAGTGGAGAATTGCTGCTCCCCGGGTGCTCCAGTTTCCTGGCGCTGCTCCTGCTGTTGTTGCTGGGGCTGGGGCTGGGGCTGCTCTTGCTGAGGCTGAGGCTGCTGCTGCTGCTGCTGTGCCTGCTCGTGATGCTCGCCATGATGGCCAAGGCTCGTAGCCTTTTCCTTAATCTTGTGAAGGATGCCGCTCATGGTGAAAAATGTAGGTGATGAGAGCTGTTATAGAAAGTGGAGTAAGGGATAGGGAGAGCTAGGGGGGACCTTATATAAGACAAGTAGCATACTCCCGCAGTTGCCTTTGTCCACTGCCGCGGCTACCTACTATGACGCAATATATGGCTCGGACCTCGGACGCACGGATAGACTTCCCAAATAGGGCGATGACGTTTCGCGATTTGGTCGCCCCGCAGTTTGGTAGCCGCACAGTGTTTTGTACCAAAGTTTCCCCAAAGGGGAACTTCCTTCAAAGCCTTCGGTTTCTGCTCGCGCTTCGCATAACTTCACACAGTATCAAGATGGGGATCCAGATGACGAGTGTGAAAGGCGAGATATATAACGAGAAAACCGATAGCCAGAGATACTATACGAGACGCATATATGAACCGTGAATACTGAAACAATTTCGAATTCTTCTCTTCTGTCTTGTCTTGTCTGTTTGTTATTACTGCTACTACTCCCCACGGATACCGACGAGCCGGACGAGATCAACAATTACACTGGATAAGCAAACGGAAGGAGGGAAAGGCCGAGGTAGGAAACCGGAAGCGAAAGTGAACGATCACTTTGACAGCATCATCTGCAGATGATTGATGAGAATCAGTGTCACAGTTTGGATAGGGGAGAGAATTAAGTGGGTTGTTTACCTTTACGAACTCTGGAGGCGGACATGTGAGTAAGGAGTGCATAGGAAGGGAAAGATGGACGACGTACCCTCGTAATTGATCTGGCCGTCACCATCGACGTCCGCTTCCCTGATCATCTCATCGACCTCGGTGTCAGACAGTTTCTCACCTAGCAGAAAAAGTCAGACGTGCATGTCAGAATCCACCATGAGACATCCCCTCGGGGAAAAGCAAAATACAAGAAGTGCAAAACAAACTACATACCAAGGTTCGTCATGACATGTCTCAACTCAGCCGCACTGATATATCCATTCCCATCCTTATCAAAGACCTTGAAAGCCTCCTTGATCTCCTCCTCGCTATCCGTATCACGCATCTTCCTCGCCATCATGGTGAGGAACTCGGGGAAGTCGATCGTCCCATTGCCGTCTGCGTCGACTTCGTTGATCATGTCTTGAAGCTCAGCTTCGGTAGGGTTCTGGCCTAGTGAACGCATTACGGTGCCGAGCTCTTTCGTGGTGATAGTACCATCGCCGTCTATTGAGTAGGGGTGCGGAAGAATCGAAGAATGAAGAGGGGAAGAGGAGAGGAACGTCAATATATGCGGGTATATATGCATGAGAACAAACGACGGACCTTTGTCGAAGAGCGAGAACGCCTCCTTGAACTCTGAATGACACGTCGATCACAGAGAGTAAGTGAGTGAACGAGCCCCCAAGCAAAAAGGAGTATCCAAACACGTAGCGAACTCCACGTACCGGAAATTTGCTCTATTCAGAAATTCCAAGCCTACAGGTCAGTCACGCACCAAGAGAAAGTGATTGACAAAAACGTACCTTCGGACTGATAATGATAATGATAGCAACCAGCTCAACAAACCATTCCATTTCCAAAGGTGAACACAACGAAAGCACTCACCAACTGGTCAGCCATCGTGTTGTTATAAGAAAGTCAAAGAAATAAGAGAATGGGGCTGTAGGGCGGGGCTCAGGGAGCTGTATTTGAGGAAGAGGAAGAGGAACGGCGGTGCTTGAGCTGTACGGTGACGGTGTATCGCACTTGCACTTACGACCCTCGACTCCTTTAGCGCTACGTGATGGATCCCATCTCGGCAATCGCCACTGGGCTATTTTAGGAAGGCCTTTTTGAAGAATTCAATGTGTTCAATGCGTCCTGTTGACAGAGGCGGTGAATGGGTCGAGAAGAGCACACAGGAAGAGACAGGAAGAAAGGAATATTTGTCGCCAGGGAAGCGAGTCAGACATGTGAGGCTGTACTGCGATAACAAACCTGTGGAGGTTGGACAAAAGGCACAGTCTTACATTCAGGTTCGGGTTCAACACGTTTCCTATGTCCGGATGTTCTTTTCTCCTTTGGTCGAGGCCGTCAAGTTTACCTTCGAAATGGTCAATAAAACACACTTTCACAGACTCGCCAAAACCACCATAGAATGGCAATGTTCATTTCAAAATAAATCCAATAAAAAATAGCCCGAAAACAGTGACAAGCTGGAGGTATCAATATAAATCAATCCCAATCATCTTCCTCCTCCTCTTCATCACTATCCCCCAACTTCTTATTCCTCTCCAACAACGCAGCAGCAAGTGCAGCAGTCAAGTCACCCCCACCTCCAGCGCTACTTCCGCCACCAGCAGGTTCTTCAGCAGCCGGAGGTGGAGGTGTAGCTCGAGTAGGTGCAGTCGCCCCCGAATCGCTTCGCTTCTTCAACATATGCACACCCGCACCTTGAATAGAAGAAAGTAATGCATCGCGTCCTGGTGGTGGTGGGGCAAGGCCTGCAGGTGAACCTCCTCCGCCTGGTGGAGGTGGTGGAGGAGGCGGCGGAGGAGGGGGCGCACCTCCAGCTGGCGGTGGAGGTGGAGGCGGGGGTGGGGGTGGACCTCCTCCAGCAGGGGGAGGAGGTGGAGGTGGAGGCGGCGGCGGCGGGGAAGGTGCTCCTCCAAATGCAGGTGGTGGAGGTGGTGGAGGCGGCGGGGGAGCCGGCGGCGCACTGGGACGTCCTGGGGGTGGTGGCGGAGGAGCTACAGGTGCTCGTGCAGGAGGTGCGGGTGGTGGTGTAGGAGGTGCAGCACTCGGACGAACTGGAGGAGCAGGGGGTGGTGGCGGTGGTCCACCACGACTCGGCGGTGCAGGAGGAGGAGGGGCAGGAGGAGCGCTTGGTGCAGACCGTGCGGGAGGTGCAGGAGGTGCAGGAGCGGGCGGAGGTGAAGGCGCTCTTGCCGGAGGCGCAGGTGGAGGAGCTACTCGATGCGGTGGTAGTGCTTGTCGAGGTGGAGGCGGACGAGGCGCCGGTGAAGGTGGTTTAGTAATACTATCTTGTTGAGCATGAATGCGATGTCTCGGTACAGGAGGAGGAGGGGGTTTCTTCTTTGCGGTGGTAGCAGCATCCTTCTGCGCGTCTTTGATGAAGTCCCTGATAAAGTCTTGGTTCTGCTCGATCAAGCTCCTATCGATACCTTGGCCTTCCAGAGAGGTGAGGAGTTGTTGCCAAGATGGATCGACATTGGTAGAGGTGAATCCCTTTTCTTCGTCGTAACGCATACTCGCAAGGTGACGGAATGAGCCCTGTGTAGGTCCCGAGATCATGGACTTGTCAATCTTGCCACCCTTCGTGGCCTTCTTCTTTGTGGCCGTCGATTTCTTCTTTGCTGCGGGAGGGTGAGCAGAGGTCAGGAACGGTAGCAAGTGATGCCGACCTTTGCTGCTTTTCTTCTCGTTGACCCTCTTGTGGAAGTTCTTGGCCTCGTCTTCACTAGAAAAAACGATACCAATCATGCAATCCTACACAATGAAGTACTTGAATCAGCACTTAACACGCACTGTGGGAGTTAATGGATGTACTCACGTCTCCCGCAAACGAATGGAAGTATGGTCTATCCTGGAAGTATTCAAACCCGTCGTAGACCTCATGCTCCCAAATAACACCCCTCGTCCCACTCATATCAATCAACCGCAAATAAAAGATATTCTGCTTCTCATCGTGAGCGATTGAGATCGCTCCTTGCAAGCCGGTATAAGTCCATTCATTAGGGTTCGGGTATGCATAGTAGATACGGCCGAGTGATGCGTAAAGTGTCTTGCTAGGGGTATTTATGGACTTGACTTTTGCCCTCTCCTCTTTAGAGAGCGTTGATTGAGTCGGCATAGTAGGTATGTAAACGAGAGAGAGGAAGATGGATGCTGCGGTCGCAGCGAAACAAAGTGTATCGACTCGGACAAGCGGCCACCACAGTACTTGATAATGACCGTATTTGGCCGTATTTGGCCACCAAAGTGTAGAGCCATATTAGGCAAGTGAAGTTGTTCGACGAGTGGAATGAGTTCGAATGCAGTGAGTTTCCGCCCTGAGTGAGACAAGAGACTGATTCAAAATTCATGAACGACGTTTAAAGAACAAAATCGGTAACGAAGCAAGTGAGCCATACTGTATCAAGTTATCTTCTTTCTTAAGCCCCCGTACAGTAGAAATACAAACACTTAACCACAGATATCCCCTAATCCGAAACTATAAGATAGTGAAAAGGTTGTCTTTCTGGTTTAAAAAAACCGGATACAGGCTCACGAAGAGCCCAAGCTCTTGACGAAGTCCAAAGCCAACTTCGGACTATCCAAAGTGTCAGGGCGAGGATGCTCTGACCGCAACTTCGGACACTCACCTATCGGCAGGTTTCACGGGTATCCTCTTATCCACCAGCTTGCCACCTTTTTCAAAGATAAAATGACTTCTCTTCGTTTTTCCACCTTCGCCAGCTCCGAGGGCCGAGATTAATATACGTTTGGGATCAGAAAGCAACGGATACGGAAGACTCTTCTACAAGTGCGTGTAGAGGGCCAGGTGCATAAATCAGTATGTATTGCCTGCAGACAAATCAAAATAATACCTTTGACTGCCATTTGCTCTGTGCCGTGGGAGAATCCGCGCTGAGGCAGTAAACCTCAAAGCCAGAGGAAGTGAAGTCGGGATAAATGTCTCGGAAGCCACAGGCTTGATTTGTGCAACCCGCTATACATACATAAAAATGAGATAAGGTAAAGACATGAAGAGCTTCGGAATTTACGGGTATCGGCCTTTGGAACCAAGAAGAGGATGAGTCCCTTCTCAGCAGTGAGAGTGGAGACGTCCACATCCTCGCCCTTCTCGTTCTTGAGCGTGACAGAGGGAAGATTGTCTCCAAGGTCTATCGGAGCCACTTCTGGAGCAGCATCTGAGCTTTCTGCTTCTTCCTCTGCTTTCTCGGCCTTCTTGCCAGCACTCCTGCTCTGAAAAGACCAAAAGTCGCGTCAGAACGCGTAAAGACACGAGAAAACGGCAAACCCGTCCGAAAGCATTTTGTGAATTTTACCTTCTTTGCTGCAGGAGCGTCGCTCTTTGCCACCTTTTCTTCGGTATCAGCAGTCCTCTTCTTGGATGGCTGTCGTTTTACAGCTGGCTTAGCTGCTGCTGCCGCATCCTCGTTCTTCGGCTGAGCAGCGAGCCTCGAAGATCGCCTCGTTTCACCCTCTGCGGCCTCAGCCGTAGTAGCAGATTTTCTAGGCATACTTATCGCTGTTCGATAATGAAAAGAGAATGGCTTGAGAACAGTTTTGAGATGGTAGGGAAAAGGGAAGAAGTCGGAACGTGTGAGCTTTCTGTTTCAATTGCGCGACTTAGCGGCCTTCTGAGGTAGGCGCGTGGCCAAGCTTTAGCTTGAAGCTTCTCCCTCTGGCGGAGGAATCGACACTAATGCTTTCTTGCTCCTCTCATATCCCATCAAGTATGAAAGGACTACCTCTCGCTAAAGAAAGCCGGAACACACGGTCCTTATGAGCTCTCACAGCGATGTCGACTCCTGAAATATCATGCCGTTGCAATGGACATACATAGCCTAAACAGTCCGTAAAATGACATGGTTCCGAACAGCAGTGTCTATAAGAGACATAAAAATATATGAAGATTAGTAGTATGAAGGTGGGCATCGCAGAGGCCGATCTCGAAACAACAAATTCTAAATTACCTATGTACGGAATATTCCAGCATGCAACGAGACACGACAAGTTAAAGATTGGATGACATGGAAAGGAGCGTGTGGACATCCAAAAAGGACGTATGGTATGCAAAGACCTGGTATCACTGACAACCAAGGAGAGGTAGTGTATCCACGTGGGACAGAAACAATTCACCGCGAGTCCTTCGAGCTCGATCGACTTGACAAACTAGGTGTGCTCGACGGTGAAGAAGAGATAGGGCTGCCATTAGCAGACGTGGATCTGTGAAGGTGGGCATCCTTCAGTCTATCCGCGACAGAGTGGAGGTTCTGTGTGTCCAAGGTAACCGTTGCAGTTGACGACGACCTCGAGCGACGGACATAAGGGCGAGGAGGTGGCTTGGCTGACTCTTGCGGAGAAACTGGCGTCGGTGGCGGTACATCCAGAGGATGGATATCGTCGTCGAGGAAGCCATCTTGCAGTGACCTCGGTGGAGGGCGTTCAACCATCGCTTCAAGAAGCTATGGTATCAGGTAAGCAAAAGGACCGAAATCTATAATTATCAGTCATTGACCGACCTCTTTCCGCAGTTCCTCCCCGTCGTACTCTCCCTCCATCTCCTCTGGTCCCAAAAGAACGACGCCCTTCCTGAAGACTTCTCCTTCCTCAGCTACCAAACTTCTAGACCTGAGATATATAAATAACGTTAGTGCAATTCAAGACCACGAAGATGCAGGCGCACCGATCAGTAGGGGAAACAACGTCCTCCACGCCTTCCTCGATCTCGAGTCGAACGTCATCTTCATCATCCGATTCAGAGATACGGAAGGAAGTTGTTGGGGTGAGCACCTTTTCAGGTTCCTCAGGTTCCGGTTCTGCTCTAGCTTTGCCCTTATCGACTCTAGGAGTAACCGGCTCTTCTTCTACATCGCTAGCGTCCGCTGGTACTATATGACCATTGCTCGTGGCAAAAGAAGCTTTCTCCGTGTCTATCCGGATACCAAGGCCGTTGAGGTTCGCACTCGTTGGCGAACATGATGCGAAGGACATTAGGCCCGTCAGCTCATCGTTCAGAGTCAACAGCACCTCCAGCTGATTCGGATCTCCGGTTGCCTCGATAAGAGATGCCAAAGATGCCAATACAGTCTGAGCTCGTTGTTTCAAGACTGGGTCTACCCTGTGTTTGGGCGACACGGGAGCCGACGACGACGATGGTGAACGGGCGATGAAGTCCTCAAGATCAGCTTTACACGACTTCGCCTGAGCAACGACATCTTCGTCCTTCCGTTCGGCGATTGGAACGTTAGTGTCGATGCTCGAGATGGGAGATGACGGAATGATTTGGTCCTCAACCTTTTTCTTCTCGTCCTGGCGGAAGGTCTTCGCCAGTTCGCTTTCTTGGATCATGCCCCAGATACCCTTGGACTGCCCACGGTTATCGGAATGTCTCTCGGCCTCTTCGGTATTTCGAACACAGGTATTGAGTATATCACGGCACATGCTTAAAAGCCGACATAAGAGCAATATAGCGATCAGGACGCAGTAGCTGCTTACCGAGCCATTTGCTCGTCACTCGGAGGGATGTTTAGGTCGAGACAACGCATGATGTGGTTCGCCTTCAGACCAGAGCTTAAAGCCATAACACCCGCCAGGTCTAGATTATTCATCGTGAGGTCGAGATGCAGCAGCGACGTTGACTCAGGAAGGAATTCTGCTAGGGCAATGGCACCAGCAGATGTCATCGAGGTTGATGAAAGGAATAGCCGCTTGAGGGCATTGTTCAGGGTGAATGCCGTCCTCAATGATTGAACCTGTGAAGACAGTCTACTATGTAATCAATCGTAAGCATAACTTCAACTCACCCCTTCTAGACTGGGACCGCAACAGGGATTCTTGCTGAGATCCAGTGTTTCGAGACATGAATTATATTTCTAACCTGCCGTAAGCTAAAGTATACTTTGAGGAGAAAGAGACCTACCAATGCCTCCGCAATAACAACAAGAGCTTGTACATCAAGCTTATTTTCGCTCAAATTCAGGACCTTCAACGTTCTGTTACGTTTGAGGACTTGCGCGATATAGCTGACAGCGCCCTATGGAGAGGTGAGTAACAGAAGAGCACTATGTGAGAGAAATCATACCCGTATATCGTTTCCTCTCAAATCAAGCGTACGCAGGGCTCCCAACCGGGGAAGCGAGTCTAGTGCGCGAACTTTATCCAGAAGCGCTGCACTCGGTCCGTGATCATGATTCTGAACGGGACTCGTTGGTAGTGACGGACTAGGAGGAACGGGATGCCGCGTCGTGATCCCACCTTGCGCCGAAGATGTGATGAGTGGTATGGGCTGTCCTGTCGGAGAAAGTGGGTTTGAGTTGTTTGACGCGTTCTGTTGCAGCCGCTTTGAGCGCGGGATATAAGGGGTATAGGTGGTCTGAGGTGCAGTGGAAGGATGGCGTGGTGGAGGGAGGATAGGGCTAGAGCGAGGCGGCGGGGTAGGCGGCAGAGCGTCCACCGCTGAGAATGTTACATGTGAGAAGGTAGGCGTGGCGGGCGGCGAGAGCAACGTAACAGAACTAGTAGGGCTAACATTGGCAGAAGACGTTGCACTACCGTTGATAGACGATATTGGGTAGCGATCAGGATAGTCCTTCATCATAAGTGCTACCGCGACTGCGCCCGATGCGCTGATCTTGTTATAGCGCAGTGATATGTTCCGCAACGACGAAACTCGGACGACATGAGCTATGGAAAATGTTGAGTACGTGGATTGAAATACAGACATTTGACATACCGAGGGAGTCCAGAGCTGTTGGACGTAGGGCACAATCATCTAATCGAAGCGAAGTGAGCCCTGGGGTAGGCGCGGCAGGCAAAGCCGCCGCGATATATTCTACTGATCTCTTATCCAGAGAGTTTTGGGAAACATCCAAGAATTGCAGACTCCTTGCCTAAGAAAGGATATCAGAACAAGTACTTGTCCGGATTTAGAAGACTACCTTGGTCAGGTATGCGCCGATGAGGCGGAAGGCAGGAGGCTTCAGTCGTCTGTTTGAGGCAACAGACAAAAATACCAGGCTGTTTGGAATAAGAAGAGCATGTAGCATGGGTTTGAGGATCTAGTAGACTATTAAGCATCATCAGATGGTGAGCACGAGATCCACCAACATGTTCATCAAGGTCGCATTCCTTGAACACGAGTTTGCGAAGGCCCCATTCGATGGTAAACACGTCTGACAGGACAGATGCAGAACCAACGGTCAACTGTACACCCGACAAGTCCACCGTGCGTGGATTGGTGTGCTTGGCATGCTAGACGATTCATAAGAACAACTTGGCGGTAGAAATCAACGGTGAACATACCAGGAGTGCAGCAGAAACAGCGGGATCTGGAGCTTCTTCACGACCCACACAACATTCACGATAGAACGACTCAACCTGTTCTAACGTCCACCAAGGATCCTCCGCTGCAGCTGGATCACTGGCAGCAGAGTTGCGTCGCACGACACGTTTCCGTCGCTCAGCCTCCCGCTCCTCAATAGATCTCTTCTCCTCTTTCAGGCTGGGTGTTGACGGTGGATTAGAAGAAGATATAGGATAGACGGTGGTCATCTCCGGAAGAATAAAGTGAGCTCTCTTCAGTGATTTGGCTTCATCGTTGACACCAGTTTGTGCATTAGTCTGCGGGAGAAGTTTGGTGATACGGGCTAAAAAGGACTGCTGCTGGGGCGGTGGCCTCTTGAGAATGGACTTCCCAGGAGTTGGAATTGTCACCGCAGACGATGAGGGTGAAGGAGAGGACATCTCTGCATCATTTCAGTTCCAGCAGCTGAATCAAAATGAAGTGGAGGAGGGGTAATGACCCGTGGGAAGTTGTGCTCAGCCATAATATGTCTTGAGTTTGGGCTTGAGTTTCGAATCTTTAGTCCACTCGCACCGTTCCACAGCACGTTACTGTATGTCTATCTTGTCTGCGCCAGTTGTCGTTACCCTTTATTCTGAACTAGATACTCGAGAACGAGAGGCATTCGGTGCATAGTCTTCCTCAATGAATTATTTGTAGGTCTTCTTTGTTGCGAGCCAAGCGCGGTGGTTAATTTACAATTGCTGTCTAGTTGCGAAGCATCGTGCCATGATTGCACTTTAACTTGTCTACGATGAACAGGTATGCTACAAGACTCGTCGTTATTGTTCTTGAATATTATCAATCCAACATGCCAATCACAGTATGACACTCAAACCAAGTCTCCCGTCCATCTACCCTCGTCTGACACCCCAGCGTTGTTTTGCAGCGTATTTTCTCCACCTTTGAATATCCTCCCTCTCTAATAGCAGCTCGACAGAGTATAAATGTTTCGCGAGGTCTTCGTTACTCGCGACATGATGCACGGCAGAATGACACGGTCTACATGGCAACAGTTTTCAAGATCAGCTTTTCAGATCAATGGTATCGAGGTACCTGCAAAGCCAAGCAACTGAGTTTAACATAGATTCCGGATGCCATTTCTTCTTCAAGACCTTCGAGTGTGTTTCTCGCGGTATGAGATGATGGTATGTGAGAGGAACTTCCCTCTGACATATTTCACACTCAGTGGTACGCGTCTTGGACCACATCGGAGGCGGGGCGCATACATCTGCAAGATAGTCCTCCAAGACTTTCCGCAAGAAGGTTAGCGCCGCGTCGGAATCCTCGACGAATGCGCAGGATGTTAGGGTATCGATGAAAGACGTGGGTATGTTGTCTAGGTATACCTCGTCCGCAGAAGGCACTTGGTCACGGTTTTCGTACGTCGCTTCACGCACAGCCGGAAGCAGCATAGACCACACCTCGATAGCAAGATATGAAGTGAATTCGTCCAAAGCATCACCCTCATCCGGGACATCCGATACTACGGCCTTGGCCATCAAACGCCTAGCCAGGGAATCTTTGAAGCTCGAGAACTGTGATGAATTTGGGATGTCCATCGTCTTCGAACGTTTGCTTTGAAACTTTCAACGTTGCTTCGAGCCATGCTTGCAGACGTCGGTACCGACCCTGCGCCATGTGGTATTGCCATACACGGAAGGCATAGTGGTTTGCGGGTGGTGCGCATGTTACTCTCAGTCCAGATGGTTATGTCGGAATCGGTTCTCACAGGGATGATGCATCCCACTTGAAGTATTCTTGCAACGATATCCCCATGGTGTATCACATGGTGGGCAATCAAAAAACTGCTGTATATACTACTGCCTACTCGTATCGCACGTTTGCCACACCGTGCATACATAGGCTGATATTCAAAGCGATAGCGACGACCATATGGGACCTGCTTCTGCAATATACATCTATTATAAGAGCTTGGTGGCATAAGATAAAAAGGCAAGCTGTCTAGCGTACGTGTTCGGTCGGATCTCCTGAACACTATGAAGGCTTCGCTCCTGGCTGTACTTTCCTTGACGGCCAAGACTACCTACGCTTGGGGAGCTCTTGGCCATCAGACAATTGGGTAGGTCAACCATGGCTTCTGTTTCTGCCTCTCTGACCCGATGAGTGGTTAGTTTTGTCGCACAACAGGTACTTGCATCCTGCACTCTCACGACTGCTCAACAATGATTTTTGCTTCGGGATCTCTAGTTTCTCGCTCCGAAGGCGCTGTCTTTCGTAGAAACGACTCTTGGCTCACAGTATAATTTCTCTTTAGGGCCTGCTGCTACGGTGAGTATCCCAGCTCTCATCGTGCTCATTGACTAATTCGCTTCTTAGTGGGCGGACGAAGTGAGATCTGAGGCAGCATTCAAGTGGTCCGCCCCACTGCACTTCGTAGATGCTGAAGGTTTTTTCTCCATTTGCCATTGTATCAATCATAAATCCTCACGCACTGAGCAGATAACCCACCCAACTCTTGTTCGGTGAACGAGAAGCGTGATTGTGGCGACAATGACTGCATCTGTAAGGAAGTTGACAACCCCGTTGAACGGCATTTCATTGTTCGGTTTCTTCAGTGGGTGCAATTGCCAACTATACTACTCGCGTTGTGAGCAAGTCGCTGGACGCTGAGCAAATACAGGAAGCATTGAAGTTCATAGGTCAGTAGTTGGTATGACTCCCTGCTAGTCAACGGGCTTACAGATACTTTGTTCAGATCATGTAGGTGCTAATCGTCTAAAATCAGCAACACTTTCTAAGTAGTCTTTTCAAGTTTGTTGGCGACATTGGTCAACCGCTCCATGTTGAGGTGTCTACCTACATTATTCATCACGATTGTTTGTGTCCTGACTTCTACTTCCACTTTACAGGCCCTAGAAGTGGGAGGTAATGACATCTCTGCTATCTGTTCCGGATCCAGAACCAACCTGCATGCTGTGCGTATCTCGATGTTGACTGACTAAACTACAAACTCACATCGTTGTCGTTAGGCTTGGGGTACGTGTCGCTCAACATGAGCATACTTACATCGTTGAATTTCTGACGTTCTGACGGTTAACAGATACTGGTATTGTCACCAAACATGTCAGCACCAGTCATGGAGGTACAGCGCAGTCGTATGCTACCGACCTCGTCAATGAAATAAAGGTCGGTCTTGGCTCGGACTCCACAACGTATATTGGCTACAATACTCATGGCTCGACCATAGACTGGCTCTTTCAAATCACTCGCATCTTCTTGGCTCAGCTGTTCTTCCACCACCGAACCTGTGTCATCAAAGCGATCGTTGGATAGCGACTTGAACAAATTCCTCGCTCGGGCAGCAGAGGCAATCACGCCCCTTGAGTGTCCCCTTGTTTGGGCCAGCGAATCCAATGCTTTCGATTGTGTATGTTTACTATTGCTTCTGTATTTGCCTCTGCTAAGATTGAGAGTTTGTAGTCCGTTGTTTTCAGCTTCACTACGGGGCAAGACTTGTGCACCGGCGCCTACTTCAATAATGCTATCCCTGTGGTAAGATTCGACGTCGTAGTACCGTCATGTTTCCGGATTAATGATTTCCGTAGATTGACTTGCAGATCGCAAAGCAAGGCTTCCGTCTCGCTGCTTGGCTCAATATCTTGTTTGACGGTGCCACAAATCTGCCCTAATCTATGATTACACTTGTACAAATGTTACAAGATCCTAGAAAAATACATTGAGCAACGTGCTTACGTGTTCTTAAGGTAGTGGTGGGTTTGATTGGTCTCCTATTGGAATGGTTTCGGTTGCCTTGAACCTGCCTGCACTTAAGTCATACAATATAGGAGTACTCCCATATTTGGATGTCCAAGTGAGTGGTCTGCTTTGCCCGTCATCGAAAAGCAACGGAGTCAGTCTCTATACACTATGGATGCATTTCTTGCTGTAATAAAATTAGCTAGGGATCTCATAGCATACATTAATGATTCTAGATACTCAGACTGTGCAAGTGTTTTATATTATCCGCTTTGTGGCCGAGCCAAGTTTCGGCGTCCCAACGAGCGGTGCTTCACTGTAGCATGAAGTGAGCTGCCGCAATAAGGTACGTCTACGGGAGCTTCTTGAGCTTCTTTCCATTATACCACCACTTTATTTGCATACACTCACTGAAGAATCAGTTTACCTTCATCTTAGTGCTTTACGTCTGCCGGCCCACGCCACTGCTCACCCAAATTGTTCTAGGTACCCTCGAAAAAGCTAGATGGATAGTCGCGAAGACTCACTGCCATGAGTAGCAACGTTATACCTCGACATATCGTCAATATCACCGCCCTATGCGTTCAGGCCACCGCCTTCCATCTTTACATTGATTCTTGAGCTCATGAGCGGGGCGGCAGCGTTGAGAAACGTGCGAGACGAAGCACAGCACCTTCCTGATTGGGACGCTCGGTGGCTATGCCGAGGAGTATATACCTTTTGGTTCAGCTTTGGTTTCTTTACCACCACTTCCCCTTGACAACTTGCGTACCATACAGTCTCTCTTTTACAACCCGGACCCAATCTTTCATCCTTCACACTAATACCCATCAACCAGACATTTCAAGCTACTGCATTCATAATGCCATTCACTCTTGACAACCAACTCGATCTCTTGTTCCCATCTGAGTACATCCCAGAGGATGTGAAGTCTCAACTACACCCCGACCTTCACGTATGTCTTGAACTCGTGGGACCCCTTGGTGAGTATTGGCATACTGACGGTCCCTCGAATTATAGATTCGGCCTCTTGCTTCTTCAGACTACCGGCGAGGCCATCTCGACATCCTTTCCGTCCTCACAGTCGTCACAGATCCAGGCGAGGATGCTTGGATCGCACAGTTCAACGCCATGCGCGCAGCTCCGAAAACATACTACTCTATCGTCATCGTAGACAAGAAGTCAGATCGCATCGTCGCGGTTGGTACTATCTTCATAGAGCGCAAGTTCCTCAGAGGACTTGGTAGTGTGGGGCATATCGAAGACATCGCTGTAGACAAGAACCAGCAGGGGAAGAAGTTGGGGTTGAGGATCATTCAGGCGCTGACTGGTATCAGCGAGAACAGTGGATGCTACAAGACGATCTTGAACTGCAGTGACAGCAATATACGTGAGTTCGGTTAGCAATTCTATTGTAAATCCAGCCGTACTGACCATTCTCTCCATCTAGCCTTCTACCAGAAATGCGGTTACGAGAAGAAAGAGAACGAGATGGTAAGCATTGTACACTTTCGGGACGTTCGCTTTGTTTGACTGGCATTTTGACAGGCAAAATATGCCCCACCACGTTCTCAGACACCTAGACTATAGATAGAGTCTTCTCTCTCTACTTAGGAACCACGGACTACTATCAATATCGGACTGCATATCCTCGTAATGTACATTACCACTTCATTGGTGTTATCCTCACACCGGACACAACCTATTGTATACCTTGATACTCCCTTCTTCTTCGTTCCCATCTGTCTGAGATCCCAGTACGGTATTAGTTCGCTTGAACTGTGTTTGAAGTGGTGTTTTGTCGGAAGTTCTCTGAGATTGAGCAACGCAGAGCCTCATAGAAGGCAGTTACACGTGACAGCTATACTCTTTCTTTCGTGCCACATCAGTGCCAGGTCAAGCACGCCCATAAGGTCAAATCTCGCCGCTCTTTTATTTTGAAACATTCGTCTCAACCCCTCTCACTGACTTTATCAACCTCTTGGCTGTTACCCATGGCTTCCCGCTCACCAATTCACTATTCCGTTATCGTACCCGCGTATAGGGAGAACGGAAACATTCGGCCGCTCGTCACTCGTATATTCACTGCTTTAAGGAGAGTAGACTCTCCGATACCTCCAGACCAAGTTGAAGTGATCATTGTGGATGATAATTCTCGGGATGGTTCCGTGGAGAACGTTCAGTCATTGCAACAGGAGGGGTATAATGTGCGCATCATTGTGAGGACAACGGAACGAGGTCTTAGCAGTGCGGTTGTAAGAGGGTTCTACGAGGCTTTGGGTGATAACATGCTGTGTATGGATGCGGATTTGCAGGTGAGTCCAGTTCTTCAAGTGTGTTACGTGCTTATGCTCATGGCTTACGATTTAGCATCCTCCGGAATACGTTCCTACTATGCTTGCAGCACTCTCACCTTCCTCTACGTTTGTTCTGGGAACACGATACGCAAAGGGTGTGGAAATGGACAAAGACTGGCCAATGTACCGAAGAATTATTTCATCTGGTGCACGAGTTTTGGCCCTTCCCCTGACTACTGCAAGTGATCCTATGTCAGGGTTCTTCGGTGTTCGGAAGGAAGCTGTATGTAGTCCCGATATATATTTCTAATCATGTACTCACATTCTCGCTGCAGTTCCTCAAAGCCCGGAACCTCAATTCACAAGGCTTCAAGATTGCCCTCGACCTACTCATCAAAGCGCACATTCCCTCAGAGGCGATCGCTGAAGTCCCGTTCTCGTTCGGTGTCCGATCAGAGGGCGAGTCAAAACTTACGGGCAAAGTCATGATCAAATACCTCGAGCAACTAGCAGAGTTGTACTGGTATAAGTTCAGTACCCTCATCATCTTTGCTGGTATTCTCTTCATCGTTGCTTTGCTTCTGTTTGCTCGGTCGGCGTTGGGCGCACTTTCTCCTGCTTCACAAGCCAAGTAAACTTGTTGTACTGGTACATCATTGTTGTGTTCTTTCTTTATCTTATGTACTTCTTCTATTGCTTCCTGGACAGTGGACTGTAAACAAGAGCTCGGAAAACATAAGAGGCCTACACGTGACTGATACGGTCACCTGACTGCCTCGCGTGAATTAGCCGACGCGGTTGAGTTTTGTCGTCTCCCCTCATAACGACGGCCAAAGACGCCACGAACGATGTCGACGTCAATAACCTCGCTGCTCAACGCGCTACACACGCACCTACAGTCTCAAACCCAGCTTCTTCCAACTCTCCATGCGCAACTGGGGCTTCCTCCAACCGCACTCGCAGATGACCTCTCAACTCTTCAACAACAACTGACGCAATGCGTAGAATTGCAGATTGACACTAGGCGAAAGCAGGTGGATGAATGGATGCAGAAGTGCGGAGAGGTTGAAGAGCAGTGCATCAAATATAGTAAAGCACTTGGGGGACATGTGAAAGCCGCACCAGGAAGCGTTGGAGAAGTGAGGAAGGAGCAGGTATTGCCCAAGCGATTTGAGATGATCACAGAGTTTCAAGAGAAGCTTCGACAAGTGGGTGCTTTTGTGACTGGTGACATGTATGCATCTACTGATCCAAAGCTGTTTTGTTAGTTGTACCATACCAAACTGGAGCAGCTGCTTACAATCACCAACCGACTCACTACCCTTTCACGCACATTGGGGCCAGAGTTCTATGGTTCAGATATACTCGAACCGACCCCAGCAAACGGGGAATCTGAATTTGACTCTGACTCACAACGTGATGTTAGACCGGAACGCTTTTCCAGACTCGAGAAAGAACTTGTTCGTGGCAAAGGCGAAGTGGTACGTTAATCAATCTTCATTACAAAATGCCAGATTGACATTCACGTTTTGCAGTCTAAACGTCTCACCCAACTATCAGAAGCGCTAGTCCAAATCGACTGGCTTCATACAGAATTAGGAATTTTACCATCATCATTAGACGACCTTCCATCGGCATCCTCCTCAACTCTCAGTGTTCCCCACTTCCAACGATCGACTTCCTCATGTAGTTCCCGCACATCACACTCAAGTACTTCAGATCCCTTCCTCTCCAGCTCCATTATGGCGACACCTACACCCGAATCACGCATCAAATCCATAACGCCCTTCCTCCTCGCCGCCGCCTCCGAAGACCCACCAAGTGAAACCGAGTACGAGCGAATATTTGCGCGTTTTGTCGCCCGCATGGAAGAACTTTCCGACGAAGAACTCTCCAACTCAACTGCACCTACTGTTGGCCTTGAAGGCGTTGATCCTACACAGGGACTCATGGCGTGGGCTGAAGCAAAACGGGCTGCTTTGGAAGACATTAAACGACGACGAGAATCTCATATTCAGGCTATGTATGATCAGCTTGAAGCTCTGTGGCGTCGGCTGGGCGTGCCGGATGCTGACATGGATGCGTTCGTTGAAGCTCAACGGGGCAGTACAGAAGATACTGTACGAGCCTATGAAGAGGAACTGGACCGTATGCTTGAGCTTAAGAGAGAGAAGATGAGCACGTTCGTTGAGAACGCTCGAGACGAGATCAGGAAGTTGTGGGATGATCTTATGGTAGGCGAGGAAGAACGAGCCGATTTCGCGCCATTTGCAGATGGTATGGTGCTTTACCTCTATTTCTTTACGAGAGGCTCACTTATGTCATTGCAGACGAACACACTGAGGAACTACTTTCCATCCATGAAGAGGAAATTCGACGATTGAAGGAGGAAAGGAAGATGAAGGGACCACTGTTGACAAGTATCAAGAAATATTTCGAAATTTGTGACGACGAGAAGGAACTTGCAGCAGCAGCAGCAGATCAGAGTCGTCTTCTTGGACGAGGTCCTCGTGATCCTGGCCGACTCTTGCGAGAAGAAAAGATGCGGAAGCGCGTCAGCAAGGAGAAGCCTAGGGTAAGCTCGCTTCCTTCGGTACTCTTGATTTTGTCCGGTTTGCTGACATGCGTCTCCTGCTCAGTTGGAACAAGACCTGCTAGCATCGATACCAGCATGGGAGGCCGAGACTGGTAGAGTTTTCCTCGTACTGGGCGAGAGTATCCTGCGCGTTCTTCAAGAAACGGTCGGTGTACTGGAGAAAGAGAACGGCGCTAGCAATGGTAGACGATCTAAACCTCCAAGTCGGGGAGGGTCCGTCCCTCCACGAGCAAAGACCCCTTCCAATCCCTCACACCACTACGCACCTAGTTCTAGCCATGGCAACGGGGCATCAAGGAGTAGTAGTAACAATGGCGCGAACGCTGTTACGCCCGCTGTTCGCCCAGGTTCCGCCATGTCAAGGTCCGCCTCAAGTAAACGTCCCAGATTGGGGGAATCGACCTCGTCACATAACAATGTTCCTCCAGTACCTTCAACTCACCGTGTACCTAGCCAACGACCACCTTCACCCTCGAAGATCCCAAGCAAGACACCTACAACCACCTCCTCCCTTCCCCGACCTGTTGCCATCGCTATGCCTGTACCCAAGCCAGGGACTCAACATCACATCTTGGGACACGGTCGACTACCCTCCTCACAATCACATACACATGCATATCACCCGTATCCACAGACTCAAAGAGCAACTTCGACTAGTGGCGTTCGTGTATACGGTGCAGTCGGTGCAGCTAGTACGGTTACTGCTGGGGCTGTGCGCAAAGCTTCAAGAGTCCGAAGGGAGAGTTTCAAACCTCGACCAAGCATTGATGACGGTTGGAATGCCACTGAAGGGATGAAGAGATGGCCTGGGTTCGCGGGAGGTGCAGTCCGAGAAGAGGATGAAGACTTTTGACTTGATTTACTTTCGCTTTCTCACCCCATTTTGGTTTTATTCGTTTAGTGTCATACTTTTCTGGTAGGCGACTACCTTCGCTATCTATTCGTTATTCACTATTCTTAACGACCCTCATGAGAAACCTTTGCTGGCACAATGTAATTGTATGAGATACTCTGTTGTATTGTTTTATTGTCGACCATGTTATCACAGGAACACAGCGAATGTGTACCGCCTCCAACCATTGGTGTCACTTTCAGGATTGCTCATATTCGATACTGGCAAGAGCAAATGCAGCTAGTCCCTTGAGGTCGTTGAGATCGGTAGGCACTCCTATATAGTACTTGGGGAAATTTAGAATCGCCAACTAGTCGAACACAATGCAGAAGACTCACCGCATACGAGCCATCCGTGTTCAAACTACCAACCTGAACGGTATTCTTCCAATCCATGGTTCCATCACCATGATCCACAACCCAATTGTCCACCATGTACTGATAGGCTTTCTTTGCCGAGGCCACAATCTTCCCATCCGAGTCAGTCACATAGCCCACTCTTACTGCCTTCAACAACGAGTACACAAACATCGCCGCTCCACTGCTCTCAAAATAGTTTCCTGCACGGCCAGGTTGTGTCATGACGAGCCACCAGACTCCGCTAGTGGGATCCGTTGCTGCAACAATTCGCGGGACGAGAGTACGCAGGATATTTAGGAGGACGGCATGACCAGGATGAGAAGTTGGAATAATTGCGAGGGCATCAACAAGTGCCATTGAATACCACCCGAGAGCACGGATCCAGATCTCAGGCGAATGACCACGATCGGGGTCTGCCCATATGGTCCTGATAAAGATATTATTTGGGTTGAACCCAGAGTGTCGGAGATGTTAGACACTCACGAATGAGAATAATCGTAACCATGGTAGAGAAGGCCTGTAAACGTGTGGTTTGGAGTAGCTGAATTCTGAATTGTGTTGTTGAACATCAAAGTGAATTGTAAGGTGATGTCGTCTATCAGCGAGGCGGTTAGAACTTCCCAAGGAACAGCATGCACTCTAGGTTAACTTACCCCAAGCGGTGTTATTAGTAGGCTGGAACATCTGGGTATAAGCTGCGTAGAAGATGTCCCCCATGTAGATACCATCCAACCAACCTGTCTCGGCTGGTATCATTGATCGCAGAGTTTGTATATACATTTTGAACACACCTTGATTAGGATATATTTTCTTATGCCAGAATTGACCTTGTGCCGTGCGAGAATGGATAGGAAACTGATTGCGGAACTCGTCCGCAGCCTTTCTGTACTTTGTTTGGTTCGTCTGGTTATAGCTGTCTAAAATTCAGAAACCAAGAAAGAGCTAGATGGCATTCAGTGCTCACAGATAGAGGAAAGTAGGACCGACGCGAAGCGGATCCAGTTGAAACTGCGTTGCACTACTCGATGGTTCAAATTAAACTCGATAAGCGAGATTCAGAAGTACACACCTGTATCCCCCGCCTACAGACCCGTCACTGGCGACCACGTTATCCACACCAGTCTTGATGTAGTCATAATACGTCTTGTTACCCGTCTGTTCATACAGGAGCCTCAAGGCCCATTGCAATTCGCCATGCTCATAGGAAACTAGAGGATTACCATTATCGTCCAAACCGTTACCTTGTCCGCGAGCTATGGCTGAGTCCGCTGCCCAGACTGCGTACGAGGATGGTCGGGCACATGCTGAAGATACGAACACGCTTGCAAGGAAAAGAAGCAACATAAAATCAAGCAGAACAAACATCATCTGTCGAGGTGTAGGGTAAGCCTTTAGTACTCACCTCACCGTTACTAAAATGCGGAGTATTCTCGATATTATTCTGCATGAATTTCAGTATAAGGGCACCCATAGTGGAAGCTTGTGACCAAGGAAAAGGAAGATAGTTGATACAGTCCGGGCCGCGCAAACAGGTAGAAAAGCGTTGTGATACGTACAAATTACTGTACATGCACACCCTCAATCAGTCTGTTAGAAGTGTATACTGAAATATCAACACTGCCGATAGGCTGACGATCATGCGACCACTCGGGTTTCATCACCTAGAGCAAAGGCAATACTTGAGGAAGATAAAGAGGACGTACCTATACGGCCCGCCATAAAAACAGGACCGTCGCAAGGAACAACAATGCACTTGCAAATGTCATATGATCGGATGCATACTGAGCAGAAGGCTGAGTCCTAGAGATTGTTCCTGCAGTAAAGACGGATGCATGAAGAAACGGCGGTCAGTGAGCAGAACAGACGAGGCCATCACGAATATCAACTGTCAATGATAACAGTATACGATGCCAATGGCTCCTGTAAGACGAGGCGGCGGACGAACAGACATCAGGTCGCCCTAGAGTAGCGTAATAAGCCCCACGTTCAACGTATCAGGCGTGAACAGACAGGTTGGACAACCATCGGTATCATTGAGAGAAGCATCGTAGGTTACGTTATGAGATGGTCGTGACTTGTAGTATCTTCATCACTCGTCTGGCCGTGACGCAATGATTCCAAGCAAATCATCTCAGCTATTTTGAAGGATTGTAGTACCAGAAAGCTCGTTAACGGCCGGGCAGGAAGGCATGATAACTTTGGATATCTAGAGAGTGCGTATGAGTTCCACTGATATCAAGAAAACTTAGAGATAGTATCATGTTTTGTAAATTCTTCTACTATAAACATCAGAATAGTCACCAATGTGCAGTATTCCATCAAATAAGTACACTCACGATCTCAGTATGATCAGTTTCCGGTTTCCTCAGAGCCATAGTCAACACAAGATAGCATGGATATAGCTGAAACATAAACAAGCGAAGCTTTAAGAGCTTGCCATGTTGTCTGTAAAGCAGGAGGGAGACAAAACCATTGTGACCAGTGACGTGACATATGGTGTTCGTGACGTGACGCTTCGCGTTCGGTACCCGTATTGTTTCCTTCTTCCAGCACCACAGCCTTTTGCTCTGATTTCGCTTCTTCAGAAACCTTTTTACTCTCTCGTTGGACGGCATATGACAATCTAGTATATCTCTACGTTATAACTCTCCATCAGCTATGGCTCGTGGCAATTTCTCTGGTTCTTCTCGTAGAGGCAGAGGATTCTCAAAGTTTGCATATCGCGGAAATGGCTCCTTTCGTGGAGGGAGAGGTCGCGGACGTGGGAGAGGGGGTGCACCGTCCGAGAAACAACCGCAGAGAGACGACGATGGCACACAGCTTACGGAGCGCTTTGAGCAAGTCAGATTGCAAGACGAGATTGACGAGAAACTTGGATTTCCACGCATTCAAGAGGGAGCTGTGAGGGAAGGCTGGCTGATTAACATGCATCCAGTAAGCCCATTATCAACTTTCTGTGTTGGTGGACGGTTATTTATGGCCGGCCAGACGTTAGTGAAGGATGCAGATTGGCCAGGTGGAAAAGCTGCTGTCGACTTTTTCTTCATCCAGGATGACGGAGGGTCCTTCAAATGCACGTTTCAATACGAACCGTACTTCTATATTGCATGCAAGGTCAGATACTTGACGTACGGAAAGCTATGTGGATTTAACGCGTCATTTAGAGCGGAATGGAATCAACAATCGAGGAGTGGTTGTTGAAGAAATATGAGGGCGCCATCTGTCGTATTACACGTGAACGAAAGGAGGATCTCAAAGTTCCAAATCACCTTCTAGGACATCGCCGTCTATACTTACAGCTTCATTTTCGTAACGTGTCCGACCTTCTCACAGTAAGAAGAGACATCATGCCTCTTGCTCTGGCCAACAGCGCCAAATTGGACGCGGTGGATGCCTATGCAGAGGTCGTCCAGGCCACAGCGGATGGTGCGAGTATGTCCATTGAAATGGAGAGCGAGTTTGGTGTGGAAGCAGAGATCACAAATACTGGCCGGTATTCGAGGGATAAAGATCCGCGCGAAGGTATCATCGACATTCGAGAGTATGATGTGCCGTATTACCTTCGTGTTGCCATGGACAACGAAATGCGCGTCGGTATATGGTATGCAGTATCGTTCACAGCCGGACAACCCGCCTTCAAGCAGATTGTCGAGCGTGTCAAGCGTGCTGATCCTGTCGTGATGGCGTACGATATCGAAACGACAAAGGCACCACTCAAGTTTCCTGACCAAGCCCTTGACCAAGTGATGATGATTTCATACATGGTCGATGGTCAGGGATACCTCATCACCAACAGAGACATTGTCAGCGAGGACATCGAGGACTTTGAATACACTCCGAAAGAAGGATATGAAGGGCCATTCATAGTTTTTAATGAAGCGGACGAAGTGAGCCACCTCTTATCATGCGTTGTGCTTTTCTCATTGTTCTCCTAGGCTGCAACGATACAGCGGTTCTTCTCTCACATTCAGGATGTCAAGCCTACCGTTATGGCCACATTCAACGGAGACTTTTTTGATTTTCCATTCCTCTGTGCCCGAGCCAAGGTGCATGGGATCGACATGTTTGTCGAGATTGGATTCGCGAAGGACTCTGAAGACGAGTTCAAAAGCAGAACCTGCGTTCATATGGACTGTTTTCGCTGGGTGAAACGAGACTCTTACCTTCCACAAGGAAGTCAGGGTTTGAAAGCCGTTACCACTGCGAAACTTGGATACCATCCTATCGAGTTAGACCCTGAGCTGATGACACCGTACGTCCGTATTCTTTCACAGTTGTTATCCATCTTATTCATTTTTGTTTGGTCAGATATGCGATGGAACAACCCCAGGTCCTCGCGCAGTACTCCGTTTCCGATGCAGTGGCAACTTACTACCTCTATATGAAATACGTCCACCCGTTCATCTTCTCACTCTGCAACATAATCCCTCTGAACCCGGACGAAGTGTTGCGAAAAGGTTCCGGCACACTATGCGAGACTTTGCTCATGGTAGGCCATAGCATATATATTATTAAAACGTATAGAAGCTCATGTTTGATCAGGTTGAAGCTTTCCGTGGAAACATCATCATGCCGAACCGCCACGAGGAGTCGCACGGGAACATGTATGAAGGTCACTTGCTCGCCTCTGAGACGTACGTTGGAGGACATGTTGAGGCTTTGGAAGCGGGCGTGTTCCGAAGTGACATCCCTACACATTTCAAGATCGTACCTGATGCTGTACAGAAGGTAATGACTCATAATTTCTCACCTCTTGTGAAGGCTCATTAACTCTTCTGAAGTTGATCGACGAACTGGACCACGCGCTGACATTCTGTCTCGTAGAAGAATCCAAGTCATGTCTGGAAGACGTGATTAATTATGACGACGTCAAAGCTCAAATCCAGAGCGCACTCGAAGAAATGCGGGACAACCCTCAACGCGTTGACAAACCGCTAATTTATCATCTGGATGTTGCAGCCATGTATCCCAATATAATGTTATCAAATCGACTCCAACCGGACTCGGCGGTAGACGAATCTGTTTGCGCTGTTTGCGACTACAATCGTCCAGGCAAAGCTTGCGATCGGCGAATGACGTGGGCCTGGAGAGGGGAGTTCTTCCCAGCAAGACGAGACGAGTACAACATGATCCGACATGCGCTCAATCAGGAAAGTTTCCCGCCCAAGAAACCAGGCGGGCCTCAGAGAAAATTCGTCGACCTCTCTGACGCGGAACAAACTGCTCTTCTGCACAAACGTCTTGGAGACTACTCTCGCAAGGTTTACAAGAAGATCAAGGACACGAGGGTGGAGAACCGCGAGGCAATCATTTGTCAAAGAGAGAATCCATTCTACATTGATACCGTACGTCGCTTCCGTGACCGTCGATACGAGTATAAGGGTCTACACAAGACATGGAAGAAGAACCTTGATACCGTGCTTGAGGAAGGACGAACGATCGCCGAGGTCGATGAGGCAAAGAAGATGATTGTCCTGTACGACTCGTTGCAGTTGGCGCACAAGTGCATTCTCAATTCATTCTATGGCTATGTCATGCGCAAAGGTGCGCGATGGCATTCGATGGAAATGGCCGGAATCACCTGCTTGACTGGTGCGACTATCATTCAGATGGCAAGGCAACTCGTGGAGCAGATTGGCCGGCCTTTGGAATTGGATACGGATGGTATCTGGTGCATGCTTCCAAGCGTCTTCCCGGAGAACTTCAAGTTCAAGCTGAAGAATGGGAAATCAATCGCATTCTCTTATCCATGTACTATGCTCAACCATCTCGTTCACGCCCAGTTCACGAACCATCAATACCACGACCTGGATCCTGAAACTGGAGAGTATGTCGTGCATAGCGAGAACTCGATCTTCTTCGAATTGGACGGACCATATAGAGCAATGATCCTTCCATCCTCCAAAGAAGAAGATAAGTTGTTGAAGAAGCGTTATGCGGTATTCAATGAGGATGGTTCCCTTGCCGAATTGAAGGGTTTCGAGGTCAAGCGAAGAGGAGAACTGCAACTCATCAAAATCTTCCAGTCCCAGATCTTCGAGCAGTTCCTTCTCGGTACGACAACTGAGGAATGCTACGCCGCCGTGGCTCAGGTCGCCGATCGCTGGCTTGATGTCCTCTTCAGCAAAGCCGATAGTCTCAGTGACGAGGAATTGGTTGAGCTCATTGCCGAGAACAGAAGTATGTCTAAGACATTGGCCGAATATGGTGGCCAGAAATCGACTTCCATCAGTACCGCCAAACGTCTTGCCGAATTCCTGGGTGACCAAATGGTTAAAGACAAAGGTCTTGCTTGCAAGTTTATCATCTCCGCAAAACCCATAGGCGCACCCGTCACTGAGCGGGCGGTTCCAGTCGCGATTTTCTCTGCCGACGAGAGCGTGAAACGAGTGTATCTTCGCAAATGGCTAAAGGACAATGGCTTGACTAACTTCGAGTTGCGATCCATCCTAGACTGGGACTACTATATTGAACGTCTAGGGTCTGTCATTCAGAAGCTCATCACGATCCCTGCTGCCATGCAGAAGGTTGGCAACCCCGTTCCTCGGATACATCACCCAGATTGGTTGCATCGACGGGTGACAGCGCTGGACGACAAATTCCATCAACACAAGGTGACGGACTTCTTCAGGAAAATGACCGTGGATGAGCAGGTTGATGAGTCGATTCCCATGGACGTTGAAGATTTCGGAGAAAACACGACCAGCAACCCAATTCGACCTCGGGTTGCAGTAGTTAATCGGAAATCCGCTCGCAAACAAGCAAAGAAGTCTACAGACAAAGATGAATCGAGGCATACTGGTGTTGATCCCAAAGTTAGCTATTCTGACTGGTTGCGAGCAATACGGCCCCGATGGCGACGAACATTGGCTGGAAACCCGGTCGGCGATAATCTAGTTGTCCCTTCCATCTTCAAAGGTGTTCGTACAAAGGCTCTTAGCAATCGCTGGGATATAATACAGATTCGACCCACTCGCACACCTGGAAGATTCATCATGTGGGTTTCTATCGATCACAGTTTGACTCCCATCCCGCTGCGCGTTCCTCGAGAGTTCTATCTCCATCATCGAACACCTCCCAAGACGGGCCGGTTCAATACCGATCTTTACAGCAGCGAGAAGGTTGTCCGACATTTACCAAGAGACGCTCCTTGCGCCAACTTGTACAAGATATCTGTCAAGGAAGATATCTATATTCAGGGTCGCGAGCACTTCATCGACCTGACCAACGATCCCAATGTGGACGGGGTGTACGAAACACAGGTGAGCAGCGTTCACTTCCTGTAAGATCACTCCTCACCAAAATTGCGTCAGATCCCCCTGATCACTCGGGCTTTGCTCAGACTTGGGAAAGTCTGTGTTCATGAAGTGCCCGGACTGACCTTGAACCGAGCTGAAGTCACCGGGTTCGACCTTCACCAGCTTGACCGTGCTACTTCCCATTCTTCACGATACAGATATCTCGATGAGGGCAGAGCCGGGAAATATGTCTTCCTCTACCACGCTTGCTCAACAACTGCACCCGTCCACGTCTTCGCCATCTTCCTTCCGCAAGGTGGTGTGCGATTACATATCGTTGACCCTGCTACGCGTCGACAACCGATCACACGCTTGTCGGAGATTTACCAGGAGTCGCTGCACAAGAAATTGCAAACAGCAGGACCCAATATCTCCATTGATTACCCTTCGTTGCATGACTTCTCATCCACTTATCATGGCAATGATGCCACTGCACTGAAGGCAATCTCTCGAGAACTTGGACTCATGGAGAACCAATCGTACGTGCTCGTAATATCGTCTACGAAGGATATGTCCTACTTCGAATTTCAAGTTCCCAAGCTCGCAAAGTTCCCTGTTTTGTCCATGCCAAAAACTCGCGCGCCCCATTCACTAGATGTTTTCCCCTGGCAGCCCGCCGTCGCCCAGAAGATGATTGGGCGATATCTCGCAATGGGCACCTGGCTTGATCGGACAGTGGCTTTGGCCGACTATTATGACGTCCCGATAGGACACATTGAGGGAGACCAGCCTCTTCTTTTGGCTGATCTCGACTTTGCTCGGAGATTGACCAGCCAGGATATCATTCTATGGTGGTCTCCAGGTGACCTTCCAGATCTAGGAGGTATTCAGAACGACAGGAGACCAACAGAAGATCTACCCAAAACCGAGTTCATGTCACCTGGTTCTTACTCCAATGTCTGTCTTGAGATCACGGTGCGCAATCTGGCTGTCAACGCGGTACTACATTCGGTTATTCTCAACGAACTGGAAGGCAGTGGCGGCGCCACAGCTTTCGATTCATCACGTACTCTGGACGAATACGCAGGCCCAGATGTTCAACAAGACTTGACACTGGGGGAATCCAGCCTATCACCTTTTGTATTTTCGATCTTGAAGAACATGGTTAAGACCTGGTTGATCGACAAGATTCAAGGCAACTTTGAAAGCCCAGCGTCCATTACTGTCGATCATTTTTGGAGGTGGATAAGCTCCACTTCTTCGAACCTATACGATCCAAGCATTCATCGGTTCATTCATGGGCTCATGCGCAAAACCTTCATCCAGATGCTCGCCGAGTTCAAACGCCTGGGTTCGCACGTTGTTTATGCCGATCTAAGCCGAATCCTGCTGGTTACTTCAAAGCCGCCAGGAACGGCGCATGCTTATGCTACATACATAACCACGGCCGTGACTTCACACGAGCTCTTCCAACACGTCTATCTCAATACCGAGCGTTTTTACGATTTTCTGCTCTTTATGGATGAGGCCAACCTCGGCGGCGTGGTTTGTGAAGATCCACTTGCGGTGGAGACTCCTGAAGAACTATGCATCGAGATGCGTTGGAATATCGAGAATTTCTTACCTCCCGCAATCCAAAAAGATTTCAGGAACGTCTTGCGCTTTTTCCTGGTCGAATTCTTCAGGGCTTGCCAGAAGAGTGTTGAAGGTCCTAGGCGACCATTGAGAGTTTTACAGAATGGCGGGCCTGATGCAACTCAACGTGATGCAGTCAAGGCGAAAGAGCAAGAGCTCAGCCGGGAATTTATCTCGCGTCGCCTCACTCGCAAGATGCTCAAGGTCGTCGGCAGTATACTGGAACGTCATCGTTATGCAATGATGGACGAAGAAGCACTCGCGCAGTGGGACTTCCCCCAACTTCCCGGCTCATATATGGACGCGACAAACCCCGTTCTCGAGTTTGTCAAGTCCGCTTGCGCTGTCTTCGTCTTGTCTAAGGAGCATCAAATTGAAGTCGGTTTACTCAAACGAAATTTGCTAGAGCTGGTTGGCGTGCGAGAGTTCGCTAACGAGGCTATCTTCCACAATCCCTGCGAACCTCTCAAACTCTCCAATGTTCCATGTAGACATTGTGATAGTTTGCGAGACTTTGACTTCTGTCGGGACCCAGAGCTTCTGCCTAACAACAGGGATGTTCATGCTCGATGGTCGTGTTCAAATTGTGGAGGCGAATACGATCGGACGATGATCGAGTTCGCCCTTATAGAGATGGTGCATGAACTTGAGCTCAGGTACGCCCAGCAGGACCTGCGGTGTGTGAAGTGCAAGCAAATTCAGTCCGATAACATCTCACGTCACTGTCAATGTTCCGGAAAGTACCAACTTACGGCGAGCAAAACCGACATCCGAAGGAGACTTAGCACGATTGTGTCGGTGGCACATGTGCATAACCTTCATCGACTCAAGGTATGCCAGTTTTCTTCTTGTTGCTTGTCCAAGACTCAACGAGTATAATAGGAATGCGCTGAGATCATCTTCAGTAATTGGGGATGATAACCGCAATCATTCTTGTTGTGGTTGACATATTGTTGTTTTGCTTTTGCTATCCCGCACCGCTTTCGATCTTGCATACCCATAACTTATCAATACCTGCAAACACACTGTACACTATCCTTGCAACCGGATTTATCACCAGGTTAAACTTTGATGCCGGCTGCCCTAGAAAAGTGCAAACTCGTAGCCTAAGTAGTCTCTCAACTTTGTCATACCTGCACTCCAATACCCACCAGCGCTGATTCGCTGCTTTCTTAAGAGAAGCTTTTCCCTGAAATCGACCAACTTGCTTGGGCTTCCCGGAAAATGAGTCATCGGGATGAATTGCCTCCGTCAGAATCGGAACTGTCTTTCGAGCCATCGAATTATTTGCCGCCACCATCACATACTTCACATTAACGACAGCCCCAAGGGTGCTAACTTGAATATGGATATATCTTCCACGCTTCTAAGCATTCGATGGTGGACAGAATACAATCTAAGTCACAGATGGCGCATACAAAATGAATGGAATATACATACCTTCAAGATGTCACAAAGCCTTAAGTCCAATTTATTCGTTATAGAAGAGAAAAGGACCTCTATGACGTCCACAGAACCGGTCAGCACTCCCGTCTTCAGTCCGACGCATTCAACGATTAGGTCATTCAAGTGTGGCCTGGCAGTAACCGTGTTATGGCTATCGTTGCAGATCTTCGTCAAGTTTGGCCTAGCCAGCGAGTTCAACTCGCATGCGCATTACTCTGCCATGATGCATGCACGATGGGCGAAACGACGAATACGTTTCGGTCGCATTTGGCTCGTAGTGAACAGACAGATTCTTTGAATGGGCGTAGCGTGGGTATTGAAGTCGCGAAAAAAATCCAACCGTGGCATAGTTGATTTCTTATCCACATTTTTCCATACGATAGCTGCGCCTGTGACGAACAGGATAAGGTCTTCTGACAAATGCTCGATACCTTTGAAATGAGGCGGCTGTCCTCGGTGTAGCTTCCAAATATTCGGCAGCCGCATCTTGAGGTAACACGTCTGCCACGCATGCATTGAGAGGTGAACCTCACAATATAAAGCGAATAGGACATCGGTACTTTCACCAATTTCGGTTCCACCAATCCACCCTTCCAATTATGACATATGCGATGAATGCGATCCGAACATTCAGCAGCGAAAGAGTATAAAAGGGCCATAAAACGTATCAGTGTATGGTCAGTGTTCTTCCCATCTCTGAGCTACCTTAGGCATCAACAAACGGCCCCCACCTAAGTCGTAATCAGCGCACTCCGACATGCCCTCAATGAACCAGTATTTGAACTTCGTTTTGGTCGTCACTACCTTCATGACTACGGCAGCGGCATTCTGCCCAACGTGGCCTGGCCAGTAAGCACCATTATTTATCTTCAACGAGTGACCTGAGCTATAGGGAAGGCATAGGTTCATGTCGCAATGGATTGGGAGTACAGACGATCGCATGAACTACGAATCTCAACTGGCGTCTTGCGACAGTGCAAAGCAAAGGGACGGTTCCTGGAATTGTCGTGCTTGCAGTATGTGAAACGTCCACAAAATCATTACCATTGCACGACTATTGACCGCGAAATATGATTGTCAGTCGACTTGTTGGACAATGGCAAGAAGTTCTGCGCGTTCGATACCACGACCATGACATGCGTCCCAAGACCATCCAAGATGACGGATGATTATGTTGGGGATGGTAATCCAGAGCGTTGCGCTACTTTGCAGCAAATCAGTAACGTACGTGCCTCTATTTCATTAGATATACAGGGAGGACTTACCACGACGAACATCCAAACAGCTCAAACCAAAGAAGGATGATATCACGGCTGCACGCACAGAGTGGGATAAGATCAAGACTCACGTTCTTGAAGGCGAAACATCGGATAAGACCTCAGGCAGACATTTGTTCACTACATGGCAGGCGGTGCATAAGGGTGAGAAGGGAATATGCGACACGAAGACCAACCTCTGCTCATTCATGGTATGCCATCTAACTGAGTCCATCGCACGTTCGAACTGACTTGTATTGCATCCATAGCGGGAGACCAAAGTGCACAAAACCGTGTGGGATGATCGCTCCACAACGAAAGGCGGATATTCGCGTTTGCAAGTGAAGGACATCTGCATTGCGGCAATCATCCTGCACAAGAGCTTCACCGACAACCCGCTTTCGGTATCCATCCAGACCTCCCAGACCGATACTGGAGCGGGCAAGTCTATTTGTGTCACCCATCGTACTAGCGCCTCGTGTTTCCCGGACGGAATCAAATTCACACCAATCGTACCTGGCAAAACGTGTACAGGTACGGGGGATGCTGAGGACGCGAATACAGTTCCAGTCACGCTCTGAGTCCCTTGCAGGACTTAAGATCCGGTGATGTATAGCGGTTTGAGTTGTGCGTCCCAATCGAGTTCATTGTAGAGCGGGATTTGTAGACTTTCGGTAGTTGAATCTAGCGAAGGTCATTGTTGGTAATTGGTGAAATGTATAGTATAGGCTTTTGTCTAGTGCTAGACCTTCGAGATGTTGAGTGCCAAATGAGATCGAAACTTGGCCTGTTAGGGATCCCTGTTACGGCTCTTGGGATCAACTTGGGACACAAGGCGGCCAAAGATGATCGAGCTCAACTGGGCAAAAGTCAACCTGCAATGCTGCCATACGTGTGTGGGAAGATAATCGAGATGCGAGACAGAGGTTGGAGACCGAGATGAATAATCTCAAAGCGCAGGCAGGACGTACGGATTTTGAAAGAGGACGGAAGGCGGGGTAGAGCTTGAGGACTCTCATGATCTGGGGCTACGGAGGCTAGTGAAACGGAACACGAGCGAGTAAAGCGGCAGAGGACCGATTGAACTCTCTCAACGAGATATTTGGGTCATGCTTTCCATAGAGAATATTGACAACGTTCAGAGGATCCTTTCCCTTGATTCATGGATCGAAATGAACAAAAAGTCAACAAACTCTAGTGTCCAAATCCTGCAGTCCGGCAGCGGCCGGCTACCCACAAGAACAGCAAATCAGGATTGCTCTGCGGTCTGTCCTTTACCAGGAATCACCGCTAACTCAAATGTACCTCGTGTATACCAATCGCCCTCGGTATCTTATTTGAGCAGAACTCGTTCTGGAACGCTCTCAAAATGGACCTCGTGATAACTCTGCTTGGAGAAACCTTTGTCTGCGCTCTTAACGCGCTATCGGTTATGTTCAGCACAACCGTTGAACCTGGTCAAATGCGCATGCGTTGCATGCGGGGACCGAGGGTTCTCTTTGAGATGTACACGACATCCATCTGCTAAGTTTATTCCAGACCATTTCTGCCGTTCGGGTTCCTCGTTGACCACGTATGCATCCCGTAAGTACATACCTCTAAGCTTCTGAATTTAGGATCGTTGTCAATTTCGTTTACAGAGAAATGAGTCACCAGTCAAACCCTTCACTCTTTAGATGTTTTCGGGATGATTATCGGGGTGCTTTCTTCTGTCATGTGTCGCCACAATACTCTTGCATCCGTTGTTTTCACCGCGTGCTGTCGCTCAGGAGGGCAACGATTGCGCTCGTATTGGGCGAGCAGCGACGTTTAGCTCGCCACCTTCAGGTGCTGAAGACATATGGGTCGCATACTCGTGATCACCAGCGGTGCTACTATTAACGGCATTAAGGAAAGGATAGTAGTCACCAGCGTTCTCGTTGCCGTATAAATTACGAGAGCGTACGATGCAGTGGAGGCATTGAAGAATATCATCTTCCTCACCATGTTTCTCAGCATTTCCACTGTTTTATTTGTCATTGTGGGCGTCGCCACTGCTGCTGGTCCCTCATCCAACCAGATCAAGAACCTCGTCACTTTCGGAGACTCTTATACTGACGCGGCGAGTCCTCAATTCACTTCTCTCGGCCAGTTCCTCTCATATCATACCGCCCATCCGCACAGATGCAAACGGGCGATGGGGGGACTGCTTGGCCTACCTATGCGGCCGGTTACGGCAATTTTACACTCTTCCCTTTCGCCAAAGCTGGCGCCAGCTGTTCGAATAACCTCACCTCCACTCCGTTTTTATCCGTCGCTGAAGGCCAAGTGCCGTTGTATCTTTCGGAGAAGAACGCGGGCACGATTCACGTCCCTCCTCAAGAGACTATCTATACACTTTGGATTGGGACCAATGATGTTGGTGCCAATGCGATACTGACTGGACATCAAGCTCCAGGTGTGACGGTGGTTGATACTACCGCTTGCGCTGTTAATTGGGTGAAGACGCTGTATCAAACTGGGGCTCGTAATTTCCTGTTCCAGAATGTGAATCTCTTTTCGTTTCTGAGATTCTTGAGTATATCTCTTAATATTTCGTGGTTACCTTTGGTTTCAGATGATCCCTCTACAACATACGCCAATGTATTCTCCGAATGCATACCCTAACCGTTACTGGACAGCCGCGCGAAACACCACAGAGTGGAGTCTCACCATGACAGAACTTGTCAGTTCTGGCAATACCTTGGCAAAACTGATGCTACAAGATCTTACACCCACGCTTCCAGGCGCACATGTTGGTAAGTTCTTGATATCTACATTAGCATGATAACGTCGAGGAGATGCTGATGATACTTCGGTGTTGATAAATAGGTCTCTTCGATTCATACGCCCTCTTCACGGACATGATCGCTCACCCACAGAACTATCTCAACGGAACCGCGCCTTTGAACGTGACCGATGCTATCAATGCTTGTATCTTCCAGGTTGACGAACCAACGTCTGGCCCGGCTGATTGTACCACCGCAACAGGTACAGACAAAGATAGTTTCCTCTGGTCAGTTTTCTTTCACATTCATTTTAGTCTTTGCTGTCACCCATTCTGAAAATGTTGTACAGGTGGGATGAAGTGCATCCTTCTGAACAGGCTGATAGGGTTGTTGCGAGAGAGATCACAGCGGCTATCAAGCGGACCAGTAGTCGATGGACGACTTGGCTGAGTTAACAGGGGGTGCTCTCATTTACTTATCTCGCCACGTATTTCTTGTTGTACAGAGGTCAGTTATTGTGGAATGCAAACACCATGAAATAGAAAGACTATGCAATTCGGGACATCTCTAAAGTCAGAGATTAGTGTTCACAAGAAGACCGTGGAAGAAATGTTGCATGATACGACCGAGAACCAGGTTAGCTCAGTACTTGGGGCCAGACCTGAGCGGGAGGCATGGGAGGATTTCTTCTCGGCGTATACTTCCTTTTTTCTTCAGTGCGTTATAAGATGGTGGAAGTTCTAGCGCAATATTTTTCCCACTAGGGAATATGTGAGGAACTTTTCGAGTAAAGTGTCTTCGTCATTACGTAGTGTTCGATGGGTGCCGTTTGGTATTCCATTTGTCATTGTAAACCAGCTGGATTGTCACGTCTGACTGTTGTACTTACCTGTGTTGTACTTTCAGACGCTGTAGCTCAACCTTCAATTCTCGATAGACAATTGTACACGCTGTCGACATCTTCGATATAACCAGTCCTGAATCATCATTGAATGGCACTCACACGCAGTGGTCCTTTGACCTGCAGAGCTTCACGAACTTCCACATCATTCCACATCATTTCATAGACTGATAAGTGACGGGGCACATACTAGGACATTACGTGCAGTTCACTTCCTCCTACACCGCCAACTTTTAGTGAAGCACTCGACACTCCATAATGGAAGAAAGATCTTCATGTGCTTTATTCAGTATTATCAAGCAACGTCAACAAGGGTAAGAATTCTCATGAGACTGTCTGCCCTAGCAAGATGCACGTTCGGTTGCAAGTTTCAATAGAAGTCACTTATATACTGGAATGCGAAGCATGTAGACTTACGGGGATATGCCACTTTTCGGTTCACCACTCATGAGAAGCTCTGAAGGAAGGACCATTCCGAGGATCCCGCCTGGCTTTCAAGTTGCAGCGATCTAAATACCTGGTGTATGGTACGAGAACAAGGGAAGTCAAGCAAATTAGCAATTCGTGCGACAACACGGTCTGGAAAAAAACATGTAACGAGTCTGCGGCCGAATGTTTGTCAAAGATGTTTGAAATGTGCAAGGGAAGAGGTGTGCATTGTCAAGGTCATGCCAGTGGTCACCGTCGGACGAATTTCAATCGTCAAACCAAGCCAACGGGAATGCTTAATTAAGAGCGCCCGTACTCAAAGAGGAGAAACCGGCGGCGAGGGCGGCAACCCCCGATACGCATCAGAATCGAGGTCGAGGACATTGATGCTTTCACTGGTCCTGTCAGGTCACTGCTGTTACACTCTTTTATTGTCGAAAAGGCTACCTCTTGACCATCTCGGGCAGAAGCATTGCTAGTTGGAGGCTGGACAAGTAACACGAGTCATTGTAACTTGTTTCAGGTTCCTCTGCTGACCAGCCATCTCGTCAAATATTGTATATAACTCACCGTCGACCAACTTCGAGCAAACGACAGCATTTTCCATTGAACGGGAAGATTTTTCGAAGGGGTCTTCCTTTATTCGCGCTGTAAATCACTTATTCGCGACCGCCGCTTGACGATTGCCACCAGAATTTCCATACGAATTTCTCCATTGATCGTCAACCCACAGTCCCGCGCCAACACTACGCCGCCAACAGACTCCTTCTCTTTTCTTCACTGACCTGGGAAGTTAAATAGGGAACTTTCGCTCGTGAGCTTCCTCTTTAACACATTCATCACATCGAAGCTAACCCAACACCTTCCAGCCGCTCACATACACGTATTTATACAGGGAGCTTTGAATAGGTAGTATCAAGCTTTACGTCCCCTTCACTGTCACACTCGTTGCAGAGGTCACAAGACCTGTTTCTTCCCCGGATTGGAACGGTGATCTTAACGAGGCAGTCATCTACGTTGCAGGGTCCGCTCAGAGGGAGTAACTTTGAATACCAAATCCGCTTCGATTTGGATATTCTCGCTTCTACTGCTCGCTTGATCTCAACGAGGCATCAAACCGTGGTACTATAAATTGAATTGAATTGCTTTGGTCTCGGACGTTAACTCCCCTCACATCGACATCATGGCCTGCTCAATCTCCAGAATACCGGAAGAACTCGTCGAACGCATTCTCTCATATGCCTTAGCTCCCTCCCCTTCCTCATACTCAGCTCTCGCTCCCATCCGTTCGTCGTCAAAACCAGACACCTCGCTCTCACTATTCCGCCCATCCACTCCTTCCGTTGCATCTTTCCGTCTTTCCCCTCTCCTCGTATGCAAACTCTGGCTTCGAATCGGTACTCCTCTCTACTACCGCTCCATTCACCTCACGTCCCAACACCAAACTCGACTTCTGGCTTCCTTACTAGAAAGTCAACCGAGTCTTGGTGCATGTATTAGGGAGGTCAGGGTCGAGGGCGTGTTTTCTGGGCTTGTGGATGTCGTTAGGCATCTGGGCCGTTGTGTTCCCGCACCTCTAGGCTTCAACGCTTCGGGGTCGTTACTAGGAGATGGGCAGAGTCCTGGCCACAACTGCAAGAAGCTAGAGAAACTAGACTGCCGGCTGGATGGTTCAACATCTATAGAAGACGTCCAAGCGTTCTGTGCCGCTGTGGATGCCTTGGGTGATGTTAAACATCTGGTTGTACGAAAGAACGCGAACGCGTATCTTACGCAACCTGGTGCCATTTCGGTGATGAAGAGTTTGAGTGACGGGGTGAGGAGGTGGATTGGTATTGTGAGTATTCAATTTTCAAGTTCTACACTTTGTATCAGTATTCTGCTATTTCTTCTGCCCATCCCCGTAGAGATCTATAATGCTGATGCATCATTTCTCGTTTCTCAGGAATCCGTAGAGCTTGCGTTTCGTTTCTCCCCCATCATCTCTAACTCGCACACAACCGTCTTCCACATAGGCGCAAACTCGATTTCTCCCAACGCTCACATTCAATCTGTCCATTCCACCGCTAGCCTGAACACATCAGACGACACGTTCAGCCAACTCCACCCCACCGCTCAACTCACATCCGCACTCACCCATGCACCGAATTTGAAAGTCTTCAAGACGGAATTACCAGCCGTGTGGAATACAGCCCTTCTGGAGATCTCTTCTAATACCTCATTACGGAGAATTCACATTTGCAACCCTCCTTTGAGTTTGCAACACCAACCTCAGCACCGATCCCAATCACACGTCATGTGCCCTTATCCCTCGCCGTCACACGTACAGTTCTCAACTTTGCCGTCGTTCTCGTCGTTGTATATGAGAGAGGCCAGGAAACATCCGAGGTTGATGGAACTTATACGGGCTGGGATGGAAGTTGCTGGTATAGGTGCTGATGCAGGCACTCACGCTATGGGAGGAGGAGCAAGGCATCGTGCTTGGACCCTTGCTACTGGAGACTCCCCGCCGCCATCTCCACCTGCGCCTTCGAGTTTCAAGACTGCCTCCGTAAATCCTACAGGTCCCTCGGTGCAGGTTGCTTGGCCTGTTTGCGATCGTGCAGGTGGATTCGAAGACCAAGAAGGAGGCGGGGAGGGACGGTTGCTTGGTGTACAGGCCCCCCAAACCCGGAAGGGAAAGGAGAGAAGATTAAGTGCCGCTTGATCGGTGTGCCTTGGACCTTGGTCGCTGGTTTTTATCTCCATTCTGCCTCACATTCGCTTTTACAGTCTCATCCATCCATCCATTTTCTCTCTCTCCAAACACAATCTCTCATCTCTCATTCGTCACTTCGATACCATTCTGGGGCCTGCAGAGTCCCCATATATGATACCCCCTTGCCCAAATTGCCAACTCGAACAGGACATGTAGATGTTCTGCGTATACCTTCGTTTCGTTTAACGTTTCATTTCTTGTGATACTGCTCTTCGCCTTGTTTTTTTTTCCCTTCTTACGCTCTCGTATGTTCTTAGGTAGTTGGGTCTTTTGTTTGTCGGACTTTCTTGCTTTGGGTAGCCGTCGCTCGTTTGCTCGTTCGTTAATCTCCTTGTTTTTCTTTTGATATCTTTTGCATGGTTGCAACTAGTGAAGTCGAATTTGATCAAGTTCTGTTGGACGATGTATGTGGACATGAGGAAAGTCAGAATGCAGGAAGCTCCTCGTTAGCGACTCCTCAGATGTTACTGTAGACCGCACAATGCTGAAACAAATCCTTCGATAATATAGTCTGTCCATCTTCATGAAGGTAAGTACTTGAATTCCAGGCTATACATATGCGGATATGAGTCATAACCGCTTTCACGTCCGATCCTATGCCCAAATATGGATAAAGACATATGGACAAAACGGAGAGCCTTTCTCTTATTTCCCCGTAATCCGGCCGTAATGTTTAAGTATAGCTTGCACCTCTCCAGAACTCCGGATCATACAACGACTTCTCCTCACCTCAATAAGTTATATATCTAGTGCTATCGGGCCCGGTGGGCACAGACTAATACTGTACTGTTTCGCGCATTTGTTCACGGCCTGTGACCTGTGACGGTCCGGTTCCCAGTTCACAGTTCGGAGAGACCTGTGACATCATGTTCATGGCTATTGCCGATTCTGTCAAGGCACTACCAATCCCTTTCCAAAGCTTGGGAGGCACATTGTAAGCTCTCAAATAATGTCAGCAACCTGGAAGAATAGCCGAAAGTAGCCAGAAAGCTGCACTTGTGCAGCCCTTCAAAGCACTCAGTGCTTTGGACCCTCATTTAAGCGCCCGGTCATGCTTCCAAATGTCAGTTCATGATCCTCTGTGACCTGTGACAGATCCGAAAATTCAGTTCATTTTCGAGCCTGTGACCTGTGACGTGAACAAATGCGTGAAACACTACAGTATACTTGGTTGATTTGAATCCTTCAGCTATCTTGCAATGTAAGAGATGGACTTGGGGAATTCGCACTGTCATACTATCGCTTTACACTGCTCACCAAGTTGACCATATGTATGGCTGTCATAGTATGGTGAGCACAATACCACAACATAACTATTGTAGATCTGCTAACTCCCAGGTACCGTTGACCAATATTTACTTCCGGCTTTGATAGCCTGATTCCCCGAGGCTGCACAGTGAGAAATGGTCCGAAGAGTCTTGATAAGGAACCGAAGACACAGACATGCCGGCATTGAACTGATCACATATGTCAGCGATAGACACGCTGGACGGAGTAGACGGCAAAGTCAGACGTCAATTGATGTGCTGTCGGTGGCACTCTACTAAGGTGATCTGCTTACAGGCGACTGTACTGTAATCCAGAACCAATTGCTATATCTATCTCCTCGGCTCCTCATGGATTCCTCCCATCTCCTACGTAGTATGTTCTGCTGACTTCCATCGTCTCCCACGTCTCCCCACCCCCCTCAGGATCTCTGATTTTAACCCGGACATCCTCACTGAACGCTGAATCGTCATTACGTTTGGTTTGACATCTATCAGAAGAAGCAAGGAGGAACAACTTCCTTTAAACTGATCATGTCTACTGATGTTACAAACCAGCGACGAACACCCTTTCAGTTGGAGAACCTGATCGCATCCAGTGGTATTACGAACCCAGAAAGTGCGGAGAGCACGCGTGCTGCGACACCCTTGAATCCAGGCACACCCGTTTCAGAGAAGGAGACTTTCGTGGTCAACCTAAGTACGGAGAACCATCCTGTTCTTAGTCAGTCTGAGAAGCCATCCTTACCACACGAGGGGGAGTCTGCGATCCCGGAGGATGTCCAGGTTCGTCTATTCGTACAGAGCATACTTCGTTCACCTAACTCTAACTCTTTGACAGGAAGAGGAGATCGAAAACAAGGAGGACGATTGGGTACACGATCCTCGTAATGCGCGAAATTGGCCAGTTGCCAAGAAATGGCGGATGGTCATGATCGTAAGTCCTGCTTCTGCCAAGCGTATCGATCATCCATTCACTCGATCATTGTTACTCTCAGGTATCATTCTATACCCTAGTACCCCCATTGGCCAGTTCGATGATGGCACCAGCGTTGCCTGAGATCGGCGAACATTTTGGTATCACAAACCCCACTGTCGTTTCTTTAACACTCAGTATCTTTTTGATCACTTTCGCCCTTGGACCTCTGATCCTCGCTCCACTGTCTGAGATATACGGTCGAACATGGGTAAGCTCCAGATTTTCCACTCAATGAGACCACTTACATATATTCGCACCTTATCTCTAGATCCTGCACATATGCAACATCCTCTCGCTAGCATTCAACCTCGGTTGCGGCTTCGTCAAAACAACAGGCTCCCTCATTGGGTTACGTATCCTCGCAGGTTTGGCAGGTAGCGCTCCAGTCGCCATCGGCGGTGGCACCATTTCTGACTGTTTCAGCGAACGAGACCGTTCAAGCGCAATGGCCATCTACTCCCTAGGTCCTCTCATAGGCCCTGCAGTAGGACCCATCGCCGGAGGCTATATCGCCCAAACAGTTGGATACAAATATATATTTGTCGTCATCGCTGGTTTATCGGGAGTATGTGCCGCCTTTGGGATCCCTTTATTGAGGGAGACGTATGGCCCTGTGATTAGACTTAGATTGATAAAGAAGAGTGGGCAGGATGTGGAGAAGGTGGAGACACACCCACATTTAGTAGCTGCCCATGGACCGGGAAGTCAGTTCCATGTGCTTTGGGTGAATTTGACGAGGCCCTTTATTCTATTGACGAGGAGTGCGGTTTGTTTCTTGCTTAGCTTTTATATGGCGCTACAATACGGTAAGTCCAAACTTGTATTCATATAATGTTGAAATCGTTGCTCATTTTTTGTTTTGTGTAGGTTTTTACTATCTGATGTTCGCAACTTTCCCAAGTACGTTCTCAATCTCGATTCTCCTTGCTGTCAGCATTGATTGATTTTCTACAGCACTCTTTATAACCGTCTATGGTTTCAACACGGGAACGTCTGGTCTCGCTTATATCGGTCTCGGAGTCGGCTTCCTGGCCTCCACAATGTTTGGAGGTTGGTTCGGAGACAAAGTCTACCAAATGGTGCGCTTTTCTTCCTCCGACGATCCTATGATGACAGTCTCTGACTCGATTTGATCTCGATATCCCGTTCAGATGACACAGAGGAATGGTGGCAAAGGCTCACCGGAGATGCGGATACCTGCCTTGGTGCTCGGCTCTTTGTTCCCACCTATTGGACTCTTGTGAGTACTCTCCCTATTCTCACTCTTCATCCGTTGCGACACTCACATGGATGTTTAATAGCTGGTATGGCTGGTCTGCACAAGCTCAGATTCACTGGATCATGCCTATCATCGGGACTGGCGTATTTGGGTTTGGTATGATGGCCACTTTGTGAGTCTCTTTGCTTCTTTCTCTCGTCGGTTCTCCCATTCTATTGTTCGGTCATATTTCTTGCGGACAAGAGTGGAGTAATGCTGACGTATCTCGCTTTGTATTTCTAGCCTCCCGGCACAGTTGTACTTAGTCGATTCATTCCAATACGCTGCTAGCGCGCTAGCTGCCGCTGCTGTAAGTGCCTTTTCTGCTTCGTATCTCTTGACCGTCCCTTCCTTTCTTTACGGACCAATTCTCCCCATTCCCCGGCCCTCGTCCCCCCGGCAGTATATTGACCTCTTTTTTCCCCTTAGGTCTTCCGTTCATTCCTGGGATTCGCCTTCCCCCTTTTCGGCGAACAAATGTTCCATGCTCTAGGTTATGGAGGTGGAAACTCTCTCCTTGCCGGTCTTGCCATTGTCCTTGGGATTCCATTTCCCATATGGCTGTACTATAATGGGGAGAGGATTAGGATGAACAGTAAATATACAAGACATTAAATAGGAATGATCCCGTGTCTTGTGTGGATACTGCATCAATAAGGACTTCGGCATCTGTGCAGGGTGGGAAGTAGAGAGGGAGATGGTCAATCCAGTCGACACGACTTGGACAGGTTAAAATGTAATTATTCATGCCTTGATTTACACCTCTCGCTGCATGAATCAACGCATACATCGCCGATGATTGATGAAACATTATGAGGAGACATGTTGGAGTTTTGCATCTTGTCTTGTATCTTCGATGTAGACAACTTTGGATTTACGTTATACCCATTTAATCGTCTTTCTATATTATGACAACGCTCATATGTAGGTCAGGATGGTAGTAGCAGGACCGGAGCCACACAAGACGCTTGCCCTCAACAATGTAACCTTAATTTCTCGCACTGTTCAGGAAGGGATGATAGGAAAGCTACGACAAGACGAGTCAACCGTTGTTTAAATGCCCATATGAATATACGGTGCCCAACGGATAGGGGAAGCACCACCCTCACGCAGCTTGCACATAGCCTCATCAAGTGCATACGGTATTGTGTTCGGGTCAAGCATCTCGCTTGTACCAGAGAACAACGCTCGATATACTGTCTCAGCAACTTCGGGTCCATCTGCATCGCTCATGGACCTGAATAGAGCACTACGGTCCAGTGTCAATTGTCTCTTGAGATCATGTCTACTCACCACATGGTCCCTACTACACTTTTGAATCCAAGGCATAACATCGCAGCCGCAAGGTGTGCGGCCTGATCAGGACGGTCCTCCGCCCCCTGTGCTGTCTCGCAAGCACTGAGAAATGCAAAGAAAGCGGATGGTGCGGGAATACGCATGAGTTCTCTGATAGTCGCGAATCTATCTCGTAAGATGAAGCCACTGTATAATGGGTAGGTTGGATTTTGCCTTCCGTGACATGCCAGGTGCAAAATACTCCCAGTTTGCAGCCCAATTGAGAGCGAAAGCCACGACAGTCCTAAGGCATTAGGGTCGCAAGAAACATCGTCCTTGTCCATGAATAGCTTGGCATGCTCAGGTATGACCTTACTGATACGAACTACCTCCTCCTTAGTCTTCGGGAGAGGTAAGCCTACAAAGGGACGGGGAACGGCTCCCAGTAAGACTTGACAGTTATCGCGTCGAACTGGTGCCATCTCTCGAAATGCATTCAGGAGAGTACGAAGGGTTGGTGTATATGATGATACGACATAATTGGAACAGCTTGGACCCGATTTGAGGCCAGCTGCATGTATTGGGAGCATTGAAAAATATCCAGTAGAACACCACCACACGCGAGGGCGATCCCTCCCGTCCGCCAGAGTGATCCTCATACACGATATGACTGGTTTGGCTATCTTTCTCCATAGCCATTCAATAACTTCCCAAGGGTCGCATCCATCGGATGTCGCTATTCGACCAGCACGACCCGGACTTGGCTGTGGTGCATATCGATAGTACTCCGTTATGCCTTCGTAAATTGTTGAACCGTCGTCGCTACTCTTTGAGTCTGCAAACTTTCTGAGGTTTTCCAGAGACACTTTAAGACTCCTGCCCATCTCTTCCAGCTTCTCCTGGTTCACTTCCTGAAGAGAAACATGCGTTATAGTCCGGCCGGGAGCTATTAGAATAGCATCGCATGATACCGAACTTGCAAGTAGTACAACAATCCAACCCTGTACACGAGCTGCGAGTTCCGAGAGGTCCTGTTCATTAAATCGCTCCGAAAGTAGAAAATACTCGAGCCCCGGTTTCTGACGAATTTCGGGTAGCCGTTCTTCCAACTGGGCTTTGAGAAGCCGTCTGTGCGAATGTTCGCCGATGACGTCCAACCTCCGTTCAGCTTCAAGGGGTGAGCCATATGTTTTGTGCTCCAGCCATGTACAAAGAATCTTCAGTTCATCTTTTGGATCTTCCTTTACGAGTGTGGTTGTCAACGAATGGATTTGATGAACTCTGGACCAGAAGGTCCCTCTTCCTTGTTCAAGTAGATGGATCGAAGCCATTATGCCCCTGATCTTAAGCACATGAGAAATAGCGTAGTTTAGAAGGTTGTCGGCCTCTCGAGAGATATCAAGGTAGGTCTCGATTGCTTGTCCGATCTGGGAGGCTTCTGGAAGCAACGCAACTGCCCGACAAAGGTATTCTGTCAGCAGAAGTCCATTGGTCAATTGATCCGTTGTTTGTATGAGCTTCGGAAGGGCCATACAAGCGGTTCGAAGTCGAATGGGTACGGGTAGAGACTGATCGCCGAGATCTTCGAGGAGAATGTTCAGGGCTTGATCTGCGTTGTGGAAAGGCGTGCGTAGTTCCAAATACAGTTCGGCAAGATCATGTCTGACCAGCTTCTTCGGAAGAGTCCTTCTGTTCTCCAGGTATTGCAACGTTAAGTTGTACCATTCAAGTGCGTCGCTCTCATCGCCCGAGGACATGTAACGCAACTTACGGAGCTGTGCAAGTACTTGAGGAAGGGAGGGGACGTGGCCATCATTGGAGAGATTCTTCTGACCCAAAACGATCAACTTTTCGAGATGCGATGCTTCCAACCACTTCTCCTGTAAGTCACGAATGTCAGCAGCATGTTGGAGATCTGGATAGATCTTGAGATATAGGGTAGCAAGTGAGAATAATTGCAACGCCATTCGGCCGTCGACGTCTGTCCCATCAGTCTTCATCATAGTCTCCAACGTTATTGCCATCTCAGTCCAAGCTCGTTTCTCCTCGTCAGACAAGGTACCATTAGACCGGTATCCTCCATGAATGCGAATCAAATAACATTCACAGAGATCCTCCATAATCTGGCCCCTTGCATCCGGCTCATCATCCTCAAATTGAAACGCGAGGACTGCAGCTTCCTCCAGCATCGTAACGGCGTCATCGAGGATCTCCCAGTCACCCGACTCCTCCATGAACCACATCCGTAGGAAATTTCCTCGTGCGAGGAAAAAGCGAAATAAATTACGACGTTTGTCGAGCGAATCGGAGATGCTTGGGTGTATTGGGTATACAGATGTCTGTTGGCTGTTCTGATGATGTGGCAATGCTGGGTCATGTAAATGTGTTAGAATGGCATCACAAAGCGATGGGAGAGACCTGGTTTGTGAATTGCTGGGTATGTTTGGAGCCATTGACTCGCTACGAGAGCCATCGCCGGCGTCGCTCGCGCAGTAATGTTTTACAAACTGGCTGGGCCCTTCGTCCTTTCTCCCGATGACATTGTAAAGCATCCTGCCCAGACGCTGACGCTGCGAGCCGGGCTGGTTATTACGTCTTTCAAGGATAAACTGGCGGTACGCTTCCATGGTCTTTGAATAAGATCCATCGTCCAAAAGAATGTGTCCCTGTTTAGACAAACGCGATGCTTCCTCGGCATAGTAAGCACTGAAATGCAGGTCTTCCGGCTCTCCACGCATCTTGTGGGCCTCCTCCAAAGCACTTAATGCTTCCATGGTTACGAAAGGATGCCCAAGGCGTAATACAGGGAGTGCTTCGGAAAGCTGGCGAATTGCTACATCCAGCGTAAGTGGATCGCGAAACCGTGCTGAGATACGCATCTCGTACAGTGCCAGGAGACAATGACTGTGGAAATATTGCTCGACGTACACATTGGAATTATGCGGTACGTGCGAAGCTCGACGATTCTGAAGGTGAGCAATGCACCTTTCTAGAACATCGGGATCTCGATCCTCGCGCGGAAGGTATACTTGGGTATAAATCCGGTCAAGTACTGAAGAAGTATCTTGTTGTTGTTTGATGACATCTTCTACCTTCTGCTGCAACAATCAATGATCCAGATACGATATCGTTGTGCGATTGTACTTGCCACATGCAGAATATCCTCAACTTTCGGCTACGGCGGTCAACGACTGAAGACTAATATGCAGTATCGTTGAATGGTCGAACTCACCACTTGCATAACGATGTGATCACTATATGGAGCGAGAGGCAAGTTTCAATTCATGAAACGTATTAGCAGGATTGAGTTCTTATCTCGTGGAATCAGGGCATAGATCTAGTCTTTAAGCTTCTGTCAAGCAAGATTTAGAAAACGTACAGCGCGCACACCTTGTAATTGGGCGGGTTTCCATCCTATCATGTCAATGCATAATTCTGTCTGAGGCTTTGGAACGTTCAAGCGTTCATCGTTCGCAGTATGGAAGTCAAATTCAAGTTGCCTATTGCATCGCTGGGGACGATGTGCGGAGCACATACGCCATGGTCTATCTTGGACATTTGGATGCAACCTGTGCATATGAACAATATCAAGCCATGCACTTAAGACTTACTATCGAAACATACCTACTACCAGATGCTGGTATATAAGAACTTAACAACATATGCACATCGGAAAACAGGCAAGCAGTGAATAGCGCCTACTAGTCCAGACCAAGGAACAGCTGCTCAATCCCTCGCATGCTCTCGTATGGGAACAATTCCAACATTACCCAGATCATCCACAACGAACTCGAACAGCAAAGCGAGGTATCGTATATTATCCACGAACGTACTGAAGCCCAGACAACTCTTCTAAAGTACTCGAAGCTCAATCAAAAACTGCGTAACAAGAAAGCATGTCCGTTCAACCCGATCAACTAGTAATTGATACTTTTCCTTCACGACTGTCCCAAAATCAGATATCTGCGAAGAAAATCGATCCTCCTACTGCAATCGAAGACGCTCCGACGATCTTCTAGATTCTATCCAATTAAAGGAAGACGGGAATGCAGCCAATGGAGATGAGGCCGCCCTATAGACAAGAGATATCAATATCTACTATACTGCCTGTTTGCGAATGTGCTCACATGGGCGTTGTTCTGGCAGCATACGGGTTGAGCTTTGCAACCATTGCTACCCACACCGATGACGGTGATAGGAGAGCAGTCGATGCCCAAAAGGACATCCAAGTCGTTCAAGACGATGCCGAGCAAACCAAGGAGAAGATTACTGGACTCCGAGCTAGCCTGTTCGGAAGGAGTATGAGAAAGACGTCTATGTCTCCCAACATGAGACTACACTTACCGACTGGACGCTGTTGCAGCACTGGATGGGACCAGTGTTGCACTGGCCAGCCGGAACCGTCGCAGTGGATGCGGGAGCAGTGACGGTGACAGTGGTCGTGGCCGTGGTTGGAGAAGGCTCGCCCCAGGGGGTGGCGACCGCAAGGACAACGAAGAAAAGGACGGAAAGGACGGTGGAGTAAACACGAGCGAGCATGTTGACTGAAGTGCTTAAAGAGAGCGAGTGAAGGATTAAGAGAGCTGAGTAGTTCTGAAGGCTTGAAGAGCTGTTGGAACTGCAGAGCCAGAGACCAACATTCCACCCCTTATATACGTCTCGCAGAGGTCAACTCTGATAATAACGTTAACGTATGTGGTCCCGCCGGTGATTGGTCACCGCCATATCCGCTGGTCAACAGACCGAGAAGATCGAGAAAAAACTAGGAGTGACAGCTTCCCTTCGGCACATCATCTAGGTCTAGACAGAAAATCCAGGGTCAATCAGAAGAGAATGACATGCGGCGAATCAGGTCTAAGAAAGGATACTCGGCGGGGAGACGTACAAGTCGTCTCTAACCCGGCTTTCAAAATTTCATATCTTGGCTAACGGGATAAGTACCAATATGGGATGTAAGATGCCAGATGTTAAACTTTAGAGAGCAATTGTGCGCTATACGGCCGTAGAGGGGTAAACGACGGAAATTCTTTAGTCGACCGCGCTAAGAATGTACATGGGTGTTGAACTATCAAAACCTGGTGTGGTTTGGAACCTTATTTGGCATGGAGCGCCCGAAATCATCATCGGAAGTTCAATGGAGAAGGGTTAGAAGTCCTCGACTGATCAAGCTTCCAGGATTTTGAAGCTTTCAATAGCTTTGAAACATCGGCTTACCAACATTTTCTTTCATGCTGCGGACGCGTCTCACCTCACCCAGATCTTCTCATCCAGACCCTCCAGTGGGTGCTGCAAGAAGAAACTTCTTGTATTACCAAAGGGTCGAATTGTGGCGCGGTCCCAATGCGGGCTGAACACGTTATGAATCTTCGTTTAGAGAAGCGTGACGGACTCCCGACGACGGCGGGAACGGACTCGACGAGCTATTCTGACAGTTCTTCTTCCAGCTAGCCTCGTGGGTAAGATCGCCTTCTACTCATGGCAGCGCCTTTGCACTCTTGACGTACGGGATTTCTCATGGTTGGTCCCGACCGGTGGACTTCTACCTTATTTTCGTGTTCTTGAAGTCCCCCGCTTCCGTCCTTTCCCCGGTCAATTGTTTTCCATTCTCAACGGTTCCTGCCAGGTGTGTCATCGAAGTCCCACACGTATACCGAGATGCCCTCGAGCCAGTTGTAACGACGTCGAAGACGTGAATTATTTCTTGCTCCACAGCTAAGTTATCCGATCTACTTTTCATTTGATATCATCGAGTAGCCCCTGGATACGCATATTTGCTGCCTTGGATGGTGAGAATATCATAAGCGTTCATTCCTTCATATGTATGTCCTTTTCAATTTTGAACGTTCTTGGCTGAAGCGAGCCTAAACAAAGGTCAACCATTCCATTCTGTCGCGTCTTTCGGAGTTGTCTCCTTCTCCAAGCGCCCTTAAGAATATGGACTAACTTCTTGGGACAAGGACCTCGCCCGAGTCCGATTGTTGAATCCAGAATTCTTCCGACGCCGTGGTAGGCTGTGTGTGGCTGCTTCCAAACATCCTGGTGGCTTGATATGATATTGATCTAGAAGATCCTTCAACGATGTTTAATTGTGTTAGGAATTGACGGACGACATCAGCATCTCCGTTTGCTTTGAATTGGCCGCGTTACCGTCAGGAGTCCCATCTCCGTCTTCTGGCGTTAATATGCATCCAGGGTATGTAACAATATGTAAATTCCTGCATGTTTTCTCACAAAATCTTTCAGACAAGCTCGGGATGCACTCACTTATTAATTTCTGTTCTTCTGACCGCTTCATTCCGAGCGCGACAGCGCGGTACTACGCGAGAAGATGCGCTTAAAAGCCATTCTTGGTATCGTACATAGTCGCCACCACGTTTTCCACTTTTAGGGATTTTGACATGTTGTTGACATCCAACCAAGGCCGATAAGGGGCTCACGCGTTAACGGTCCGTAGTGCCTTTGACAGGACGTCGATAAGCTCCTCTCCTTAGCAGGATTGCTTTGACATGTTTCCTTGGCAGATGAAGCATCGGCTGGATATTGGTATACACTCGCGGTGGAACGTATGGCATTTTGTCCAGATGAAGCCTTGAATATGGATGTACCGTCTCGCGTCTCCGGAGCATGCATGCAGTGGCGGCGGGAACAATGACCACAACATTCAACCCACGTTTGGCGTGAATGACTTGTAATAAATCAACGATAAGCGACACCGTTGTCCAAATATGTTCGTTCCCACTTGGTATCGGACGTCCGACATACATGAAGGATGATCGTGGAGACTTACGAGCCTTCAATGTTGTGACACAGGTTTTAGCGACGGGGGCCGAACACCAAAATAGGAGTGTCGTTGGCAGCTTTTGCTTTCTCTCCTCGATATCTGGTGTTAGAGTTCACTCTGTCCCATAGTTCGGATGACTATGTAGCAGAGAAGTCCCTGTTATGTGTATTCAGTTCAAAATAGCAAGTATTACGAAACTGCTGCAGTAATCGAGTCAATCAATGAATACAAGAAAAGCGCAGTGTCATCACCTAAAGAAGAGCTTCGTAGCGAGAATTCAGAAAATGTCAAGTGAATCGTAAGCGTGACTTCGGTCAGAGGATTACGGGCCCGAACAACGAATCAAAATCAGACTCACGACTACCCATCTCGTGCGTCAGTTGCTTGTGATCCCAATGTATTGCGAGCGGAAATATCATGACGATCAGCTAAAGATAGAACAGGGAGCTGACAAGTACAAATAGAACTTACTATGAGATAATAGCGACAGCACCGCCAACAGCCTAAATGACAAGGCGCGATGTATGGCAAGTCCGAGGACACGATCGAGGCGAAGCTGCTGTAAGGTCCCCTGTTGTATTCCAATATGTCCGGTCTGCCTCCAAGGAAGTAGCCCGAGCCCGGTGGAGTCCAAGAGCCGAGGTGTATCCCAACAAAACACCAAAGAGGAAGATTGTCCTTTTGGTGTAAGGTTTCAATGTACTGAATTGAACACTATCTCCCGACATGTGCACGAAGGTCGAACGATCGCTCCTGGAAAAGCGTCACGAGAGCCAAAAAAGAAAGTGATGTTCCGTGTCCCTAGAAGCTAAACATCTAGGGGCTTAGGCCGTAAGAATGACGTTCTGCCAGCTTCTGCCTCGCTCGTAGTCCAGTAGGAAATACAGATTCCAAATACGCCGACCAAATATGGGGATAAAGATGACCAGTTATAGCGCGATGCATTGTGATACGTCGATCGTGTATGGGACAGAAGGAGTGCAATATTCCTTCGATCTTCGAATTTCAAAGCTTCGCCCATTGAGAAGGATGCATAGGTGGACAGAATACAATGGAGGAGCTGTAAGAAGAACCACATTAACAACTTCACATATCGCGGTGCGACGATCCTCCGACAATGGTGCCTTATAATTACTGTCGGGAGCTGAAAACCTAGATGAACCAACGTTCGGTGTTCGGACTGATGACGAGGCCGACGTCTGGCTTCCAGAACGGCGTGGTTCTTCTCACTATTCAGACGTAGAAGAGGCCCACGCACATCGGAAGATGTACATCAAGTGAGCTCTCTGCTGATCAACTCCTCATTAACAAATATTGCTGGCACCTGCGCACGAGCTCGCTGAGAATGCCACGATACCGAAGACGACGGAGTTAGCAAGCATGACGATACTCATAATAGTAGAGAGAAAAATACATATGGTTCTGGATGTGCCAAAGATATTTGTGTATCTCAAGTTTCAGAAACACAAGTGCGAAGTAAACGTTCAGTCCAACCGGATGGAGTGCAGCTCAGGCCTCAGCAGCCGGCATGCCATTGCCACGTGCAAAGTGGCTCGATCGCGTAGGATCGCGTTTTGTTCTCCGCTTGAATGTTCCTTCTTCCACGACTTTTGGGTTCTTGCTGAGTAACGAGAAAGCACTGTTGTTCACACCTCTCTCAACGTTCTCATGGAACCTATGGGAACGGTTCTTGGTAAGAACACGATATACCACCATGATAGCCGTTTAGACACTCGGGTTGGTAATCGTTATCTTCAGTCAGCTCAATAGGAAACAAGTTGAAGGCGTAGTGCCCATGTTGAATTCTTCGCAATGACTTTGCTACAGGCAATCGATCGATAGACATACGGGTATGTTCACGCTATGCATCCGGCGCGTCGTTTTATCTCTCGGAATATGTAAGACCTTCGTCAGCAGGAGCCAGTGCGACAGGGTATTCCTAGACTCTTCATTACCCAATAACCGGTTACTCCGCCACACAAACTGCGGATAGAGTTTACCAGTAAAATCCTTGAACATCTCGCGTCATCGTCCTCGCTCGATAGGGTATAAATAAGGACGTTTTCCGCATAGAAACATCTTTTAAATACCCAGTGAACCTTGTTAACATACCCATAGAACTTGCATAGACATGTCTCATCCAAAAACCTACAGTGCCTACGCTTTTACCGAGAAGGGTGGCACGCTCCAGAAGCTCATCATCGATTGGCAAGACCCAAAGGATGGCGAGATAGTCGTCAAAGTTCTTGCCTGTGGTGTCTGCGGCAGGTAAGTAATTCATGACAGCGTATCTCAGAGCGCGTTCTGATGTGTCGTATATGGTCCCAGTGACGAATTCGTTGAAACCGGCGCATTGGGTATGCAATACCCTCACGTTCCCGGTCACGAAATCGTCGGCGAGATTGTTGCCGTTCCACCAAATGAGAAGAATTACAAGGTTGGCCAACGTGTCGGTGGCGCGTGGCACGGCCAACATTGCTTCTCCTGCACACCATGCCGCTCCGGCGACTTCACGCTCTGCGAGCATACTGAAGCCAACGGTGAGCCTGGCACGATTGTTCCTACATAGTATTCTTAAAGCCTGACGCATCGCGTCAATCAGGTATTCATCGCGACGGTGGCTACGCTGAATACGCGACTCTGAGATCCGAGGCTGTCGTAAACGTCCCAACCGATATCGACCCCGCCGAGGCTGCCCCTCTTCTTTGTGCTGGTGTCACCGTATTTAGTGAGTTCCTTCTGATTCGCTTTCCGATTTTCTATACGGACAGTAATACTAATCATTCATCAGATGCTCTCCGTAACATGAGTTATGTGCCAGGCGATCTTGTCGCAATCCAGGGAATTGGGTAAGTCAGGTTCGTCATTCAATCATGAAGAGAAACCTCCAATCCTCATTTTTAGTGGCCTTGGACATCTTGCAATCCGGTTTGCACGCAAGATGGGTCTCCGTCCCGTCGCTATCTCAACTTCAGCGGACAAGAAAGATGTTGCGTCGCGACTCGGAGCAGTGGCTTACCTTGACTCATCAAAACTGGACATCGGTAAAGCTTTAACGGAAATGGGTGGCGCCAAGATCATCGTCGTTACCGCTAACAATCCTGATGTCCTCAATAACTTCATTGAGGGACTGAGTATTGGCGGCACCTTACTCATCCTGTCTTTCCCTCCAACAACTCCGATCAACCTCGGTAAGTCTCATTAATTTGAGCAAACATTGGAAAGTTGGAGCTGAAAAATACTATGCAGTACCTCTCATTTTTAAACGTGCTTCTCTTCGTGGTTGGCCGGCCGGTGATCCCAAGGCTTGCGAGGACACTATTGCCTTCGCGCAGTCAGCTGGCATTCGCAGCCTCGTTACGACGTTCCCTCTCGACAAGGCACAGGAGGCGTATGAATTCCGCTCCAAGGCTAGATTCCGAGCTGTTATCGTTCCCAACGCATAGATATACGATATTGCCTACCGTACATTCCCCTTTCCGTGACTACTATATTCTTAGAGACATCGCACAATGTTGTATTTATACTGCAATTTAGACTATGAGCCAGTGTTCACTGGCAAGACTGAGTACTGAGCTCAGCAGACTGACCATCAAATGATCGCAAACTTGACTACTGCGGGCAAACCGTAGTCTCCCGTAGGCAGTCTAGGCAAACCGTGGGAGCTTGTTTATGAGCTCTTGGCGCTCCTGGAATTTCCCTTCAACATCAAGCATGAAGCAAGCATAGATGTCTTCTAAGACGTTGAGGACGACGATCATATCTCGAACATGGTACCTATCTAAGTTCTCAGAAATATGAACTTGTTTTCGCGTCCTCCTCAGAGCGATTTGAATGAAGTCATAAGCCACACAGGTAAGATACTGTTATCATCGCTTGTATTCAGTGACACTACTCACATAAAGTCGATATTACAGTCATGCAATGCGATCCTCATGCGAAACCTCAGAATATTAAGAACAGTTCAGAAATCGATTTCCTGAAGCTCCAGCCTCCATAGAAAAAGTTGCTGTCCTATTCCAGTCGTCCCCGCATTATGTCCTGTGTATTTCGAACGCACTCAAGGCACAATAACGGCTCTGAACTTCGCCGAGGCACGATGATCATATGCTTCCTGAGCCTTGTCCAAAGGGAATCTCTCCACGAGACACTTAATTCCAGCTAGTTGTGAGAAGGCAATACAATCGATATTGTCCTTCACGGTCCCAACAGCCCAGCCTCGAACAGAGATACGCTTGCTTACAAGCGGGACTAGGTATATTGAAGGTTAGCATTCTCACATCAAAATCATAAGATGCAATGTGCGTACAGATTGGCACTGTGACTGCACCTCTATCCAGTGCGATCAAGAGGAGCTGCCCTTTCGGACGAAGTCCCATCAGTGCGTCCTCCATTGCTTTAGTGTTAGGTGCATTGCACATAACCACCCTGGCACCTCCTAGCTGTTGAAGAGCTTGTCCTACGGAGCCCTTAGAAGCGTCAATGAAATGAGTGGCTCCAAGTCTTTGGGCTATCTCGCGCTTTGAGTCCGAGGACGAGATTGCCACAGTGCGGAAGCCCATAGCCTTCGCGTATTGAATTGCCAGGTGTCCTACACCTCTGTTCATCGGTGAGACTCTACTCACGACCCACTTCATCCGAAACCAACTGCTTACCCAATACCCTGTACAGCGACGAGATCACCTGGTGTAGTATCCATGTTGCGAAGAGAGTCTGTACGCACCACCATTCAGTAACACGTATTTCAACCATCAAACTCGAAACACTCACTGAACGCAGTTATCCCTGCGCATACCAAAGGAGCCGTCTCCGCTGGGTCCAAGTCTTTTGGGACATGAAAGAGGCACTCCGTGCGAAGAGTGGCATACTCTGCGTATCCGCCGTCTCTGATAATGCCTGGATGCCGAGCGTTTTGTAAGTCTGTTGACAACGAGCTCGTTAACAACGGCCTGCTTACCGTTTATATCGGCTTTTTCGCATAGCACAAAATCGCCTTCGAGGCATTGTTGACAAGAGAAGCAATGTCCACCATGCCATCCCGCAGCTACTCGATCTCCAACCTTGAATCGCGTTTCCGTCGGGTGCACTGCGGCAACATCGCCTACGATCTCGTGTCCAGGAATACGAGGGAGACCGGTGGGGAATGCCTGATCTTGAACTACATCGTCACTTTTGGACGATGGTTAAGATCTGCCCAAGGCCTTGTTCACAATATACTGCCCACCTGCCACAAACGCCACACGCAAGAACTTTGACGACAACTTCATTCTTCTGGGGATCCTTCCATTTGACTTCTAGTTTCTTCAGCTGACCTTTCGGCTCAGTGAATCCATAGGCAGTGTAAGTCTGGGGATGAGTGCTCATGTCAAGAGTTTCGAAGTTGATCAACAGTTCGTGCTATCACACTTTATAAAGCATTCGAAGCTAGGAATACCTTGATGCCCTGGAAACCTGGACAATAGGCCCGAAACCATAGCACGACTCCAAATATGCACTCTCGCTCGGTTGGAGTGACTTCAAGGCCGGTTATCATGATTGCCGGTAGCACATACGTTGGTCATATGTGAGAACTTCTCTGAGAAAGAACTTCAGAGGACAACCTTGTGATCTACTTTGGTGACAGGTGTGTCTGATGGTAACGTCCAATCAAACCTTTTTCCAGGTCTGAACTTCTTTCTCACTCAGCTGGCACCTTTTGTTTCTCTATATCATCAGTGACCGACGGTTATGACTATTCCATGGATCGTCAAGATACAACGAGATGCTCATTGCGTCTATGGCCTCTGACTCACATGTCAATATTACATGATAGGTTCGGTGCTACGCCTACGGCGACCTGCCTGGACCAGACAGTAGTCGTTCTGTGCCGCCTCCGGTAATCAGAAGACATCTAACAAGATATCTATAAGAACTGATGTGGAAGCCGTTAACAGTGCCAAAGACTATCCACAGAAGAGAGGCCCGAGAATATCTCGGTATGTTGCTGCGTTAGGTTTATCCTGAGCGATCCAGATGATCAGGATCGAGATACATCAGCACATCGATTCAACGCAATTGTCGATATACAATGGTCGACGTCATATTCATCCCATAGTGCGCGTACAAACTCTCCCGTATACCCATACGCTCATGACACAACTACAACTGGACTTCACAAGTTAATGATGATGGGAATACAGCCAATAGAAATCAAGCCTCCCTGGATAGATGAGTGAGTGGACGAGGGATACTTCTAAGATGTATTCCATGAAACTTACGATAGACTTGTTCTCACAACAAACAGGGTGAGCGTCGCAAGCGCTACCGCCGCCACCTATCACGGTGATGGGGTCGCATTCAACTCCAAGCAGCACGTTCAAGTCAGTCACGACTATGTTCAACAAGCCAAGAAGAAGTCCTCCGAGGCCAGAATCAGCCTGAATAACGAAACGGCATCATTGGATGAGTTCATCAGACGGTAGAAAAGCACTCACAGTTACGACTTGGTTGCAACATTGGATCGAACCAGTATTACACTGATTGACAGCCGTCACTGTAGCTGCAGGGGCAGTTACAGTAACAGTGGTTGTGGTTGGCGGAGGAGTATTGGTGGCGACCGCAAGGAGAGCAAGCAAAAGCACAGAGAACACAGTCATCGTTGAACGAGCGAACATGTTCGAGATCTCGAAGAGGTGTACGGCTACTAGTTGAAGATGGTCGAGGTGGGAAAGAGGAGGGTAAGTCGCTATCGATTTATACGATTTCTGTGATTTCTTTGACTCAGGATACTTCGGCTTTCGGGTTGCTTTTCGTCAGATGCATTGACATGTTGGACAGAGATAGAATTGCTATTGGCAGTGCATATAGAACGGGAGCTCGGTGCTCGTAATGTCCTCTTTCCTGAAAGGATATCCCTGGAAGATTTCATATGTTGACATGCCGAAACAGCATGGGAATCTTTACCACATGAACTGAGAACAAAAGACGATAAGATGCTTCCATGTCATCGTATCAGGTACAGCAGGTTTGCGCAAGGTGAACATGAACCCAGGTGGTTAGGGCAGTCATGGTTTGTCCCTGCAACCCAGCGACACATCGTCTGCGAGAACGCATTGCTTTGCTACGGGTCACAATGGAGAGAACTGAAAGAAATATGTATGAGATTCTGACAGCTCGGAACCATTACACTCCAGTGTCTGTGAGCTGTCAACGTCTGCTTCACGTCATTCAGAACTTGGAAGCAACATTGATCGGGGCAAGTTGAGCACCGAAGCAGTATGTGAAGACAGATAAGCACAGAGGCCTCACAATCCAATTACTCCTCCAAGCCTATTACGGGGGAGGGTTTACGGCTTCCGGAGAACAGGTTATTCTCACTCTCACTCCACGGAGATCCCGAACCATCTCGTTTGAAATTGCTGTATGACAGAGACTTGATAGACTCGATTGCACATCTCCTTGCCCAGATGAACTTGCCTGTCCGATCAATTTTGATCGAGGCAAAATATGCCCATTCTAATGAAGAAAATCTGAACCCTTTGGACTCAATCGAATCCCTATACGATCATCCACATAAAACCACATTCAAAGAATTCGTTATCAACGCATTACATGCAGATCATATATATCCAATGTTCCGAAAATGCCATATCCTCCAATGCGCTGCCGAAGACGACCATGAATAGTCTAAAGGCTGACGGGGACGCAACCAATAGAGATCAGACCCCCCTGTACAGATAACAAATTACTATAAGCAAACTGATTGACAGAGTTGACATTTCGACGTACGAAAGAATTGTTCTCGCAGCAGACAGGCTTCGCAGAGCAACTGCCGCCGCCGACACCAATGACGGTGATAGGGGAGCAGGTGATGCCCACGAGGACGCTGAGGTCCTCGAGGACAATTCCTAGCAAGCCCAAGAGGAAGTTGGCATCAGTGGAGCTGGCCTGTGCAAGGCGTGAGGTTCAATATTACGAAGATCATAACAAGGGAACCGTCAACAGCTCACCTTCTCGACTGAGTTGCAGCATTGAATGGGGCCTGTGTTGCACTGACCGGCGGGCTCACCACGAGTAACGGCAGTAGGTGTGGCGACCGCAAGAAGAGGGAGGGCAAGCGTGGTGAGAGCAACGACACGGGAGAACATGTTGATTGTGTAGAAAGTGCTTTGAACGACTGGGAAGTTGTTCTGCTGAGGAAAAGGAAACTTAGGGCTCCCCTTTATACGTTTCCTTCGCTGACGACCGGGTTATTTTTGAGAAGCAATAGGAAGCAGCCTCTTGCGGGCCGACTTTGCTACGCGATTACCAACCTAGTACGTAGGCCCAAGGCCACTCCACTCCGTGAGTATGAGCCCTAAGGGAAGCAAGACGTACCCGTGTTCTAGTGAGGAATCCTTGATGGTGTCCCTTGGAGACTGTCAAGGACATTCAGTTGGCCAATACTCAATGGTGTTCTGAGGCACATGATCCGGTTTGTGAACCATGCAAATTAGAAGACAGCATGGGCGAAGTAGAAGTGCTGCTCTGCTACCGGTTAGAAACCCTGTGGAACCGACGTCCAACGCATTCAGGATTTCCGTTTTCGAACCAAAGCGCGCCGGCAACCATCCAATAAGCTTAGAGCGTAACCCTGGATCCTTAGCCTTGATAGGACGCCAGTCATGGAAATAGCATGAGCGTCTCGGTAGCTCTATCTGTAATTCACCGGGTATGAAATGGCAAAACATGCCCCATGAACGTTTGAGCATGATGCTGCACTCCATAGGGTGATGTCGGACGTAGTCGGCTTTCATCTCGGCGGGAGCAACTTGCAGGCTCTACAGGCGCTGTGCTGGGCCCAAGAACATCGACCACAAGGGATGAGGTCAACAGTGAGTAATCAATCAAAGCATTACATCCGTTGGAGCAACGTTCACCGGGTACGTCTTCTTGGTCAAACGCCATGTGAACAAGAGAGGCCTATTGTAATAGAAAGATGCGGATTCAGAGGGGACTCTTGCCACGGTACCGATGGACGCCACTTACGAGGTAGTATAGTACTCAATGTCACTATCAACAGTACATAGTTGCATCAAACGATGATTCGAAAAAAATTGTGGGCCTGCCTGCGGTTCTCATTTCGTTCTACCGGCAAAAAAATCGGGGTATGAGAGGGTACGAGACGACCATCGGGATGACCCAAGGACGTGCTGGCAGCGGAGTATTCGTTCCTGAAGTTCTGGGGTCAATTCCCGTCCAAGTCACGCTTGTTCTCAAGGAAAAGACCGAATGGGAAACGGCAGCGAATGAACGCCACTTCCATGTTGCACCATGTCAAGAGATTTAGGGACCGAACTGTCACAAAGCCGCAGTCAATCATGTTTGTTGGCAGCTTGACCGCCAAACTGGGATGACCGGTGTTTGCCGTGAGCGATGCTCACCTCTCGTTTTGGACAAGTTTGTTGGAAAGCTTACTTATACCAAGGAGTTACCAACGCCCTAGAGCACCTCTTCGTTTGTCTTCATGTAACGGGGGACGAACTATGTGTGCTCTGACTAGTTTGTTCTATGTGTCGCCACCAGAACCCCACTGACTTCTGTTACCCAGCATCATCATCCATTTTCACCAAATACAGCTCATCAGTCTACCAGCTTTGAAGCTTGATGATTCCCCCGCGAAAATAGACCATTCAGCTAGGACAGTGTTTCATTAAATGTTTCCGACGCGTTGACGTCGAATATTGAAATTTGCGGGACATGTGCGTCCTCATGGCAGTCTTCGTATTCACACCTTGGAGCAGGGCCATTTGTTGTGATGATTGGGTGGGCATTGAACGGCCTGTTCTCGCCTTTTGGAGGAGTGATCAACTCGGCCGTCACACCAAGCCTGGTATGTACCTCTTCCCGTTTGGACGCGTGATCTGTTTCTGCGATACCTTTGGCATGAGAACGTTTAGTAGCTTGGCGACTGCAATTACGCTCATTCGCTACGCGTGAAACCAAGTAATAACATACACTCACCGAAAAATATTTTGCCACCGTGGTATAAGTACCATAAGGTTGCCCTTTTGTCTCCCCAGGTTCTCAGAACTCCTCTTGCACCGTCCAGTTCTAAGTACTCCAGCTCTTACCCGTCTCATACCAACATGTTCGCCCGTCTCCCCGCCGCTTTGCTCTATGTCTTCGTTGCCCTCACCGTTCTTGCGGCCGCCACTCCAGCCCCTCTTGAGGCTCGCGGCGGCGTGCCCCCTACACAGACGATCACTGTGACTGCTCCGGGTCCGACTGTTACTGAATCTCCTGGCCAGTGCAACACTGGTCCTATCCAGTGCTGCAACTCGGTTCAAGCGGTAAGAACTTTTGAAAGCATTTGCACAACACCGATGCATTCTTATACATCTTGGTTACCAGGCCAGTTCCAACCCTATATCCGCCCTCCTGGGCTTGCTCGGAATTGTTGTCACCGACCTTACTGCCCTCGTCGGTTTGGGCTGCTCGCCCATCTCCGTCATCGGCGTCGGCGGAGGAACCTGCAATGCCAGCCCCGTCTGCTGCCAGAATAACGCCGTCGTAAGTCTTCCCTACTCGATTGAGAAGGCCATTCTGATTGTCCTGTAGGGCGGCTTGATCTCTATTGGTTGCCTCCCCATCATCTTGTAGATTGGTACGGCGTCCACACAGGCTGTGACAAAGGCATGCAAATCCTCCCTAATATTATCCAACTTACTGACAACATCCCTTGGTGTTCGACAGGCAGGGTCGGGTTCTTACGACATTGCTTCCAATTTCATCAGCTAGTGTATGATGATCGGCTTGACGAACAATGTTTCTGACAAGGTGGATACTTACGAGTTTCGGGTTTTTTGAATACGATATACGTTTGTGATTCTGAACTCTGCTTCGTGAAATAAGGTGGAGTGAGCCTCAAATGCTATTGGTTCAACATAGCCGAGGTTCTGCAAACGAGTTCTCGAACGTTGTGATGGTCGAGACTTGTAGATTCACCGTTAATTTCGGCCGCCCCTTGCCGATCTTCACCACGCTTTAATCTTCTAAAATGCTTCCCTGTTGTTGCGAGGGAGTCGGGAAGTGAGCGGGAAAGATGCACCACGGTTCGAATGACCGTGACGGCGATCTTTCTTTGATACACGCGGCTTGTGCACCCCACCATGACCTGTCAAGGCAAAGCGATAAATTATGTGTATCGCATGGGACGCAAAGTACAAGCCCAAAAAAAGTGCAAACGTGCGAAGTGTGATCAAAAAGTAAAAAGTACCGAAAAGATCGCATGACTGTAAATCTGGGCAGCTTTGCCTTTTTACATGAAGGCTCCGTATATGTGGTTCGAGATCTTGCAGTTCGGCCAAGAAATCAGATTCATTAAGAGCGGGAGTCGAGCAAAGTCGAGCAACTGTGAACCTTATCTTTCCAAGCGGCAAATCACGAGCACCTTGTTGAGAACGGGAAGACAGACCCAGTGACTTCCATAAAAACGCGTTTTATGGTTAGAAAACACGATGGTGGGAAGGGCGGGGTGGTCGGTGGGAATGTCCAATCAGGAACAACAACCAATCACAGCTGACCAGCTAACCACTCCCTCTGGCAGCCATCTTCTCCTCAAAGAAAGCTTTGATATCGGCCTCTGTGACTTCTCTCCCTTCTTGCGCGAAGGGTCGGAGATGATTCATGAGTTGGTCTCTACCGAAGCGAGAACGAAAGGGAATTTAATTAGAACAGGTTTTCGGCGGAAAGGTAAGAGTTGACCAATAGAGGCTGAGACAAACCTCATTTCGTTGAAAGCTCGTATACCGTCTATGGCTTTGTCACGAGGTAACCTTTGAAGTGCACGCATCCCTAGCTCTTCCAGAGAAAGCCCTAGAGACAAAAACGCTTAATCCCATATCCACGGACTCCGAAGATACACTCGGAGTGGCGACGTACCGGAATCAGGGTCCTCGGGCGGTTCGTATGTCTCTTCTTCTTCCAGAAGATACGGGTGCAGATGCAGAGAAGTAAGGCACTAGAACAAAGAAAAACTAGTCAGACTAAGTGCCACCATACGGAATGTCGTGGGATGCAATATGAACCTGTGTGCACTGACACCAACGTTCCCTGAAACCCTGCGTCAAGAAGATATCTCCACTACCCAGCTCCGATGATTCATGAACCGCCACAGGCGATTGGGCGGAGGAGAATATACGTTGAACGTACGAACTAGGACATGGCGCCAGGCATGGTGGGCCTTGCCTAGGTTCAGCTAGAGTTGAGGAGGATTCTGCGACCTCACGAGGACGCTTGGTCTTTGGATCATCGCCAACAGATCCAGAGCGACCACGCTTCTGTCCCACGACGACCGGAGGCAACTCATTGTGGCCACCGTTGACATCTAGCGTCTCGGCAGATTCTGAATCTTGACCGATGACCTTCCACTTATCGTTAGTACCGTCGCGTACCACCATCAGTATGCCTGGTGTACCAGCCCATCGCTTGAGGATGGCAATGTCGCGTACACAGGCGCCACATACTAATGATTCGTACATTGACGCGGTAATAAGAGGAGGGGGTAGCCCATAGGAAGACGCATCAGAACGTGCGTCGTCGTGCTCCTCTGACGCGTTTTGGTCGGCGTGGTCAGTGGGGGCAGGTGTCGGCTCGCGCGACGAGGGACGATCTCTCAAATTGAGACAAGACTCATGGAACCAGTCCTGGAAGGCAGAAGTTTCAGTTACGTTCCGCACAACCAAACACAACACACCTCACAGGCAAGGCACTGGATCATAGTCTCCTTTTCCACTTGGGGATCATAAGGACGCCCGCACCGACAGAACTGCCCTTTGAAATTCTGTCCATACGTATTTTCCGTGTTCACGTCTTCTACTTGGTGGTGCAAGGTACATGGATGTGGCATGGCAGAAGTAGGACAGTCGCATCGAAAATGTCGCTTTGGAAATAGTTCAACTTGTTCGTGGTCGGTGTGGCAAGCAACAGAGCAAGCCGAACAGACTCCTCTAGTCTCTTTACATGTCACACACCAGTATACTGCTTGCTTGATGTACCCGCGAGAGTATGTACACTGCGAGAATTGGAAAGGAACCGCTTCAGATGCCTCTTGGACCAAAGCTGACTGAGAAGCTAGTATTTCGGCTATTGTGGACGATGGCATGGTCACAAGGAATTCCTTAAAGCAGCGAGATATTCGGACTTGTCGAAGACTGCAGAAGCAAGAGGTCTGTTCAGGGGTCTATGTAAGTTAGTGGTGGTCCAAGCTCAAGACGTGAAGAATAAGTACCGACTGGCGCTAATGGCATTATCACTTGCACATTGATATCGACCACGACCTTCTGCTACCATCTCTGCTGCTCACAACATCCAGGACAGCGTGCAGAGCTTAAGGTGAATTATAGGACACATAATGGTATCTCTTTCTGACCCGGTGTTAGCGTTTCGCAGGTTTAATAGGCAAGGATTCTGAGTTCGCAGTCGATCCTCATTATCTATCGCCCTGCACAGCAGAGCACAGAATAATTTGTTACAATACAACATGACGAATGCACCATTGAACGCGAAGGCTCCTGACCCGATCCTTCTTACCCTCTTTGCGAACCGCTTCATGAGCGTAGCAGAGGCGATGGGTCGTTCACTTCAGCAGACTTCGATAAGCACGAACATCAAGGAGCGATTAGATTTCTCTTGTGCGCTCTTTGCACCCGACGGGGACCTAGTGGCCAATGCACCTTTCATTCCTATTCATCTCGGTTCGATGAGCTTGTAAGTCTGTCTACTTGCTTGACTTTTATAAATATCGCTGGCTATATGCGGAAGGCCTTGATATTCATGGATCTTGGCTCGACATGTAACTAGCACCTTGAGTATAATTCTCAATTGTCCCCATGTTCCTTGCTAACTGGTCATATAGCGCTGTTAAATATCAGATGCAGCTACATGGCAAGGACATTAAACCAGGAGACGTCTTCATGACCAACGCTCCTCACGCTGGTGGCTCGTACGTGTCCCCTCTCTCCCATGTCTCCAGCTTTCTCATCTTTAATGCTGCTATAGTCACCTTCCCGATATTACGATCATCAGTCCGGTCTTTGACAAGGAATCTAACAAGATCATATTCTTCACCGCTTCCAGAGGACACCATGCCGACATTGGAGGTATCCTACCTGGCTCGATGCCTCCGACATCCACCAATATCTTTGAAGAAGGTGCCAACATCGTCAGTTTCAAGATCGTCAAAGAGGGTGTCTTCGATAAAGCTGGACTCTATGATTACATGATCGACAAGCCAGCTCAATACCCTGGAAGTTCCGGATGTAGGAATATCCGAGATGTCGAAAGTGATCTAAAAGCTGTATGTCTTCAATTCTAACATGCTGACTTCTTCATGTACTTGATGATTTTGAGTTCCTCAGCAAATCGCCGCCAACCATAAGGGCATTCAACTCATTCATGCCAGTAAGTACCATGCTTGCTATACGTTTCTCCCCCAGCCGCTGGATTTTATTGGTAGTTGTGGACGACTATGGATTGGAGACAGTTCAAGAATACATGTACCACATCCGGGTGAACGCCGAAACGTCCGTTCGCAACCTCCTCAAAGACGTCGTCAAACGTGCCGGTACAAACGTCCTCGCCGCAACCGATCATCTCGATGATGGTTCTCCCGTAAGTCCTCAGACTAACGTTATATGAGTTTCTGTCTGCCTGACGATATCTTCTCTGTTACAGATCTGCTTGAAAGTGGTTATAAACGAAGAAGATGGCTCAGCAGAACTCGATTTCGAAGGGACAGGTTGTGAAGTTAGAGGCAACCTGAATGCCCCGATATCAGTCGTCCATTCAGCCGTCATCTATTGCATGAGAGCTATGCTTGACTCCGATATTCCACTGAACGCAGGATGTCTTGTTCCCCTGACCAGTTGCGTCTTGCGTCTTTCTCTTACCACTGCATCGTTACACACAAGACTAATCTACTATCGTTTTGATCCACAGTCAAGATCCCAGAAGGCTCACTTCTATCGCCTTCACTTACAGCTGCGGTTTGTGGAGGAAACGTCTTAACGTCTCAACGAATCGTAGACGTCGTATTGAAAGCGTTCCATGCTTGTGCTGCTAGTCAAGGTTGCACAAAGTACGTCTCCTTTCTCGTTACTCAGCTCCTCCTCATCACTCTCATCGTTCACCATCTAACCTGCGATTTCTAGTAATCTGACATTCGGAGCTGGTGGTAAAGACAAGGATGGAAAGAACATCACTGGTTGGGGATACTACGAGGTCAGCCTTCTTCCTCTTTCCCTCAACTCTCCTTATCCCTCCCGTTAAATTCTTATCCATTGAATTCTCACCTTTCTACAGACAATAGCAGGCGGCTCAGGTGCAGGTCCAACCTGGCACGGAACCTCAGGCGTGCACACACACATCACCAACACCCGTATCGGCGACGTCGAGATTCTCGAACGTCGATACCCCGTTCTCATCCATCAATTCGGGATCCGGGAAGGTAGTGGTGGGAAAGGGAAATGGAGAGGTGGGGATGGTGTGATTAGGGAATTCGAGTTTACGGAAGGGTTGCAAGTGTCTATTCTCTCTGAGGTGCGTGTGTGTTTCACGCTTCATGGTCGATGATATGAGTTTTGAGATGATTATAACTGACTGTTTTTCTTTCTTTTTACTATGTATCATTGGTCACGTATGATAATAGCGACGAACACGTCAACCTTATGGGATGGAAGGCGGCCATCCAGGTTCCCTAGGTCGGAACACCTGGATCAAACAACTTCGCAAAGCCGACGGAGACCTCATAGACTCACCCTCATCCCAATGCTCCTTATCACCCTTCCCACATTCTCATACCAGTTCAAACATCAACGCACCTCGAAGAATCAACATCGGGGGTAAAGCCACCGTGTTCATGGGTAAAGGAGACCGACTGATCATAGAAACTCCGGGAGCGGGGGCTTGGGGCGTTCCAGAGGACGAAGAAGATGAAGAGGAAGGGGGAGGAGATCATGATTGTAGTCATGTGAAAGTCTGGGCTGCGAGGGGAAGTTTGGCTGAGAGAGATGCCGCACAGGCAGCGTTCTAGTTTGTGTTGCCAAGTGTTGAAACAAGGATGAGTCTTTTACGGGAAGGAAGCATACTTACTTCGGAATGCATGGAACATGTAAAAATAGAATATATCGCAAATTTAAACTACATATATAGTGCTACCCTTGCGAATAATGGCAGGAATCTCTCCATTACTTCGAGTCGTAACATGATACATTTGCAGGAAAACCTTGCTAAGCGCCCCATCATATACACTAAAAACCATCTGCACACGATGATCGATGAAAACGCATGGAGAAAGGACCGCCATGTTTAATCCATATGTCTAGAAGTGAGTGCTACCGATATATGTATGTACACAAACCCAGTGGTACGATGTACAACGAAAAACACACACGTACGAACTACAAAAGACAAAAGAATGAAGCCAGGAACCGGGGGATATGACCGTAAAATGTCGGAGGTTGCGCTGAAGATGAGGGAGGGTAAACGGGTGAGAAGAGGGTGGTGCGAGGGGAGAGAGAGGATTAGAGGTAAGAGGTAGAGGGGTAGAAGGGGGAAGGGTAACGCAAGAGTAAGTAGTAAGTACAATGTACAATGTACACATACACACGTTTTGACGATCGATCTAAACCTAAAGAACGGACGGAGGAGTCTCCATGTGCAGCAGCGGATGATAAGGCAGACTCAGGTCACTAGAGATAGAGAGAGGGATTCAGATAGGAAAGAAAATTGAAGAGAATAAAAAGGGAAGGAAGAGGGCATAGGACTTAGAACGATAGCAATTCGGAAAGTAAAAGCGGAGGATGAGATAGAGGGAAGCGGCGAATAGGATAAGTACGAGTACAACGAGTCATTAAAAATCAAGGAGTTCAGCGGGAATGAGGGAGCGTTGAGTTCCCATGTCGTTATCATCATCAAAGTGGGATGTCATCTCAACAAGGAGCGACAGAAGGGCTTACCAGATAATCAAGCCTCCGAGGGTTCCTCAGCTGCTTCCGCGGCAGCCTCAGCCTCAGGTTCTTCATTGATAGTTTCTTGTAGAGCCGCAGCCTCACCCTCCCCATTCTTATCCGCTCCAACCTCTTCAAAGAAACACAAAAAAACACATATCAGCAAAGAACACAAGCCAGAAACGAGGAGGAAATATCGGTGCCCACGCACCGGCCAGTCAGACTCATTGCCTGACGTGGAGGGTTTCATTGAAGTAGTTCGACGCTTCCCAGAGAATAGCTTTTGTATCATCTTGATTTCCTTATTCATGGATCTGTACGTATCGCGTTACATTGACATACATCGTAAATGCCCAGGACAGGGATTGCGTTATCCTCGGCAGGTATGAGATCTTGAGGCCCATGAAGATGTTATGCAGAGGCCGAATATCCTGGTACTATGTTTTATCATCTGCCCCGCTTCTAGGCAGGTTCCATTGGCACGATGAGAAGCTTCGATAACGTCTGCATGGCCCTCTGAGACAGACAATCCTCGTGTAAGCATGCGCCACTTGTCACATACAATGTCTTGGCACAAAACATCAATAGACGCCTTGCTAGTGTGTCGGTTTCGTCGGATACATCTTGCCAAATCTGACCCAATAGAAGGAACAGCGGGCGTTAAAAACCAATGGGACGTGCGACTGGCCTGCTTTGGACGTCGAGCACCAATGTATCCCCGCTAGCCGAGGGGAACAGCAGACCATAGTGTCACGAGCTACACTAGAATGGCATCGAGACATTCTCGCACATACAGAACAAGAAAACAAGGCCTCCGATCAGTTCGTTTTCATGACCATCATTTTGCCGTAGACGAATCAAAGGCATCAGGAAGATGAAGATATGTCAGTGACCATTGTCTTAAGCTTTCGTCACTATAAACTCTCATCCGTATCGTTTGCGTTTTACTCACCTTTTTTGCCCTCATAGACTACTATCGTGTCCCCACTACACATAATTTCGCGCTTGATGGACGTATGGCTACCACGACTCTCTACACGGTGTCAAAGACTTCTTCTCTTTTGGACCGCGATGGTGGCACTCGCTCAGGGACAATCGCATCAAGGGGCACCTACCGTATCACCATTGGAGATTCGCACACTGTCAGTATGTTTCGTTTTGCAACCGAAGTTTCTCACTCACGCGGCCGGACAAGCAGTGAAGAATTTCACAATTGTGACGTTGTACCCATCTTCATTGTCGGTGGGAGAAGTACGAGAATATGTCATGTCAATCACCCGTCCCATTGTACTGACTAGAAGGAATCGCATTCTCCAGTGCCATACTTGCTAGTGCGTAATGACACGCATTTATTCACAAGCTCTCAGCTAATCGTTTTCAACTCTTCCTAGCAATTGTAAGCGTGGCCTTGCAAATACCCAAAACGCGACTCTTACCAGTCCCAGGTTTTCCAATGGTGTGCTCGTGCAACTTAGAAGGATGGGTGATGCCCCGTTTTACTGGAACGTCACAGTAATCACTGGTACGTACTACCTCTTCTCTCAAGTGGGTGGAGACGAAATTCATGAGAAGTAGGCGCTGAAATTGAGATGACTGTCTCCGACGGCTTGAGCCCCCCTACAATCCTGAATATAGGCCCGTTCGTTAGCCTACCACCAAGTCAGTATCACGTACCCAGCAATCGTATAACCTGGTTTCGCCTTGCACTGAACTCTTACCCTCAGATACCCCTTGTACTGTGCAAGCTATAGTGGATCCGGCCTCGTCTTCGTCTTCTATTGAGAACACTTATTCATCTCTCGCCGCTTCTTCAACCATATCTGTTGTACCATCCTCAACGACTTCATCCTTCTCACCTTCTTCGTCTGAATCCTTCACAACGCTCGCCCCGTCTACTTTCGCTCCTACATCCCTTACGACCAATAGTATCAGCTCCCTGTCCGCCAGTGGAATTTCATCAAAATTGATTGGTTTCATTGTCCTCGGGGCCGTCTTGTTCCTACTACTTGTGGTTCCAACTACTATCTGGGTGTGGCGGAGAAATAGACGGCGACCTACCGCCTCAATAGGTGCAATAAACCCACAAACCTTCATACCCGTTAGACCATGATTGACTCGTCACTCTGCTTTAGATTTATCAAGTGAAAGCGAGCACTCCGATTTTGAGGATGGACATAGTATAAGGACCGTTCAGAGTCCTGTTGGACAATCAACTACACAAAGTCGTCCGACATCGCTAGATCGCATGATCGGTAACATCAGTCAGTGTGGCCCGTCCGCTCGCAGAAATTCCACATTCTTAGACTTGTTCATTATAGACGATTCAAGGCTCGCTACAGATTCACAGTACAGGCAGTCAAGGGGAAGTATTGGCTCTGGCCCCAAGCATGACCGCTGGCGGTCAAATAGAGACACTCGGGATGCACCCTTTGCCACCGACTCAGCATCATACTTGTCTTCTCGCGTTCCGTCGCCGTTTCCGATGTCACAGGTCTCTGACAGCCTTGTTATCGACACCACATCTTCAAAAAATCGGCCCCCAGTCGATGCTGTCCCACACTCTGTTCCTCGGCCAGGAGCATTCTTATTTGCTCGGGCTGAGGATGAGAGTGTTGGTATGATGTCAACGCCGAGACGTGAAGCTGACGCTGGCATTATCTTGGCCGGTGGACTACATGATTACGACTTGGAGACACTTCCCCCCGCGTATGGCGACATTAGGCGCTAACTAATAAGATAGTAATCTTGTCTTTCCGTCCGTCAGTCACTACATACTACGTATGCAGTTTGGTGCATAAGAATGTATTGCATTCCACTTGCAATGCTTAAGTTCTCGACAGCTGATAGCAGACCTGCTAGGTGCATAACGCAGCTGTGCTACGTTGGCAGTATTCGTGGCAAAAAAAAAAATCTATCGTAAGTAAGAGTGGTAGGTACTTATACCGCAAAACTTCGGCAAGTCATTTTCACAATCCCTGGATGTGAGATCAACGATAATTCATCATGTGTATGTACGTGACGCCATACATGTTAGTTGCGCCCCGGGCCTCAGTACCAGTGATTCGATCTCAACCAAAGTACTGCAAATCCTAGGACCAGTCCGATACTCTGGGAAGATGGACGTCAGCTCTAGATCAAACTTCACGGCAGGCCTTCAATAAATATGTCGATGGTGTCTTTGTCGGCTTTCCTATCGCCATCTTCATCCTTGACTTCTAAGAGTGGCCGTTCGAGAGGTATTACAGCTAGTAAGACCGGTGTCCTTTAAGTATTCGCACTCCTGTTCTCCCCGTTATGCGTGGGATTCACTTCCGCAAGCGGAAGAAGCGGCAGGGCCAGGTCGACGCTGCAGTTGCAGTACTGAGTGTGGTGATATAGAACTTTCTTGTAAGTGGAAGCGAGCTTGCTGTACTAGTCTCCCACAGGCAGTGTAGATAGAGGTTAACCTTCGTAGCCTACGTCCGGATATCTCTGTCTGTCGCTTGCTGATGACTTTTAATATCTGACTCTGTAAACAACATACATAGTGCTACCCTTGCGAATAATGGCAGAAATCTCTCCATGAACCATTACTTCCTGTCGTAACATTTGCAGGCCTAGGGAAGACTTGCCAATCCCCCCATACTTATATATGCACATACAGCCTGTAGACCATCTACACACGATGAAATGCACGGACATTGGAGAGAGACCGCCATGTTAAATCCATACGTCTAGAAGAGCTACCGATATATGTATGTACACTACATGTACTGTATGTATATGTACACAAACCCAGTGTACGATGTACAACTTGAACGAAAACACACGTACGAACTACAAAAGACAAAAACAAAACCCATGAACCAGGGCCCGGGGGGTATGAACGGAAAATGTCGGAGGTTGCGCTGATGACGAAAGGAGGGTAAATGGGGGAGGGGAGGGGAGTGGGGGTAGGGAGAGGATTAGAGGTAAGAGGTAGAGGGGTAGCGCAAGCGTAAGTAGTAAGTACAATGTACATACATGTTTTGACAATCGATTTAAGCCCAAAGAACGAACGGACGGATGGAAGAGTTCCATGTGCAGCAGCAGATGATGATAGGGCAGACTCAGAACCACCAGAGATAGAGAGATAGGACAGGCAATTGAAGAGAGTAAAAAGGGAGGGTAAAGGGTGGAGGGCATAGAACAGATATACTAGAACGATAGCAAGTCGGAAAGTAAAAGCGCGGAATATGAGAGAGAGAGGGAACTGGAGAATAGTGTAAGTACGAGTACAACGAGTCGTTATAAAATCAAGGAGTTCGGCGGGAGTGAGGGGAACAGAAGGTATGCGTTCAGTTCCCATGTCGTTATTATCACGTCTACAAACGACCTATGAGCGAATAAGAAAATAGTTAGATGTCAGTGCAAGAGGGAGCGAAACAAGAGGGACTAACCAGATAATCAAGCCTCCGACGGTTCCTCAGCAGCTTCCGCAGCCGCCTCAGCCTCAGGTTCTTCATCGATAGTTTCCTGTACAGCGGCAGCCTCCTCCCCATTCTTATCCTTATCCGCTCCAACCTATAAAAAGACATATATCAGCACGCAAGACCACAAACCAGAAACAGAGGAACGCACCTTGGACACAGGTTTCTTCGAACCAGCTCTCGACGAAGGCTTCTTCCCCGTCCCCGTCCCAGCAGACGACACAGGCTTCACCGAAGCCTTACTAGCAGGTTTAGCAGAAGCAGCGCGCGAAGTCGGCTTCGCCGATCCCGCACGCGAGACCTTGGACGCAGGTTTCTCAGCAGCAGCTTTGGATGCAGGTTTCTCAGCGGCAGCGACCTTGCTCACGGGTTTCTCAGCGGTAGCCTTGGACGCAGGTTTCTCAGCAGCAGCTTTGCTCGTAGGTTTCTCAGCGGCAGCCTTGCTCGCAGGTTTCTCACCGGCGGCAGCGGCCTTGGATGCAGGCTTCGACGACGCGGGTTTCTCAGCAGCAGCAGCAGCAGCCTTGGACGCAGGTTTCTCTTTCTCGGCAGCAACCTTGGATGCGGGTTTAGCAGCAGTTGCAGCAGCCTTGCTCGCAGGCTTAGCCTTCAAAACACGTATATATAAGTACTCAACACAACACAAACGAAAAAGCCACTTCACCTTCTTAGCCGGAGGAGGCTTATCACCTTCATCCTCCTCCTCCTCTTCCTTCTCATCAACACTAGCGGGAGCAGCGGCACCATTGGGAGGAGCCTGAGCCAGATCCTCCGCGTCCTTCTCAGCAGCAGTTCTCTTCCGTCCTTTAGTAGACTTGGGCTTCTCCTTCTCCTCAACTTTCTTTTCAGCTTCACCTTCTGCTAGTGCGGCGGCGGCTTTGGCCTTCTTGCCTCTAGGCTTCACGGGGGCTTTCTTCGGTACGGGAACTTCAGGTTTGGGTAGATGTTTGATGCGTGCAGAGCGTCGTGGCTCAGCAGGAGCAGCGTCGGCGGGAACAGCAGCCTTTCGAGGCATTGTGGACGGTGGTGATAGTGGTAGTGGTGGTGGTTGAGGAACAAGGGAAGGGAAGGGAGACGCGGTGTGTGTGGGTCATGAAATGTTCCCGTTCGCACTTTTAACCCTGCGATCAACAGACTCCTCACGTGTGTGTCGCGGTCACGTGTAACACGTGACACACGCGTTTTTGTTTGGCCGGGCACCGTCTGTGGGCCAGTGTCTGAGCCGAGGAGGTCTGAGGTCTCAAAGCCGTGGTACTACTTACAGTCTCGACGGGATTCAGCTAAAAAGACAACTGGGGTATATTGCACATCCGCCGGGCGGTACAGACCACAAGTTAAACAGAGTCCAACCATAACGAACCAACGAGTCACGACAGCGTCCAGAAAGCGCAAACAACGAGGTATCAACCGAAAGCGAAAGAAAGCCACGCGTAAAACCCCAAAGCGAAGAAAACATCAACCGATATCAGAGAATTAGGTAGTCAAGCGTTTGTACGGTGGCAATGGCACCGCAGAGCCGCATCCCTTAAGATAAAATCATAAGTTCCGAGAACGTAAAACATAGAGAGATATGCTCACATGGGGGAAGTAACCACAGTGCCCATTGCAGCTAGTGTAAGGAGCCTTGCAGACACACTGGCCACCTTCTGGGACGTAAGGAGGCGTGCAACTAATCCCGCAAGGATCCTTAGGCGTGCATTGCAATGAACCATGTTCAGGAACATTGCAGTGCTTGGAATTCGGTGAATGGTTGATCTGAGTGAGGAGTGGTATCAGCATATATGTATCATACGGAAAAGGTGACGACTGAATCAAGAACTCACCAAAGCGACGAGAGCAGCATTAATCGCGTCTTTGCCCAACAACCCAGCCAACAATTGCAACTGCAGGTCCGTCTCCAAGATCACAGGCAACGCAGAGAGACATAAACAAAGCTTCAAGTGAGCCAATTCGTGGATGGGAATGACGAGACCGGGTATGATGGCACCAACAAGGGCGTCGGTGTCGATGTACGCGCATACATCGAGGATGGCACGACGCTCGCGATGTTGCTTGAGCATAACGGAACGAGGCTCAGCAGCGCCGACGGTGGATGTGGTGGCCGTGGGAGTACGACGCTGGGGGATGTTCGCGGGGGAGAAGGGCTGGCGGGTAGGTTTACCGAGGACGAATAGGGAGAGGAAGTTTGGCAGGGCAAGGAGCGTGATGAAGAGAGTGGGGAAACGCATTGCGAGGTTTTGATGAATTACGAAAGACAATACAAATACCGGGGATTTAACCTTTAAGAGTAGCGATGAGTTATTACTGATTAAACGTATTCAAAAATCTGACAAGATATTTACGAAGGACTTGGTCTTGAGGAGACAACGAGGGACGGCGGTTGAGGGGCAGGAACACGGCGAGACTTGGAAACGACAGAACGCTCTTATACCTCTCGGCGTCGGCCAATATTAGCATCGCACGCCAGGGCGGGAATGACAAGGCCGGACATCGCGAGACACAGAAAAAAAAAACCGTACATTAAGGGCGAGGCGTCACTTCGAACCACAGAGGAGAGAATATCGAAGTCCCCCTGCTTAGTTCCATGTCAACACTTGCCAAAAGCGGCAATGTTACCATTGATCATCTTGCGGTGTTCCGGCGGATTTGCTTTCATTTTTGTGGTCTGGAATCCCTCGCTATTTGGAATTCATCCATGTTCTCCAACTCCGACGACTTCCGTATGATGAAAGAGAACGGTTTCCATGCTATGTGTAGGCCATAGTGCGCAGACAAAGACGGAGAGGATTCGACGAAGCTCGGTACTACCCATTGCGCGGGCTTCGATCTCTGCAGATACGTCTAGCATGCATGGGGTGTAAACAGACGACATACGAGAACCGCACCCTTTCAGCGCGTCTCGGATCCGAGGCCCTTTTTAGCATATGACAACGAGCGCGTGAGGGCTCAAAGTACGATGATTCTACCGTCACCGCGGGCGTTGCCAGCAGGCAGCGTGGGTGTCGAAGGTGACGGGCATGCAGATACCGCGTCAATGTGCGTGATTAATGTTAAACAGCAGGGAGGATACGGAGTCTACGTGCATCACGGTCCCAATATCTTTCAGGAGAAGAGCTACTAGAAACTGACCACCCTACATAGGTGCAAGATCTTGACCGAGAGTCACTAGCGTGCCGTCCTAGGTCGTAGCACTGAATGACATATGTATTGGTTGTACAATACATGAGCGACAGGTGACAAAGAAAACAAGGAGCACAGAACACAGAATATGGCGGTTGCAGCAGAAGATCGCGCGTATATATGTCCATGGCGCAAACGAGAGTTGGTCAACAGAAAACGCTCACAAGTCGGGTGCATTTCAAATTTCAACTGAAACATTGGCAATGGGCACAAGGTAGTCTCCGCTAAACGGCTTGTGAGCGGAAGGTGGATATTGCAGATACGAGTGAATTTGTACAGATGAGGGGAGGAGTTGAGAGTATGGATAACGAGAGGATAAAGACGACTCATCCAGAAATGCGATTCTATCGAGGAAACTAGACGCCCTTTTGACGCTCCGCTAACCTTGGTTAAATCTACGCTGCTGGCAGCTTGACCTATCCGTGCAAATTCGCCACAAAGCTTCACAAACTTAGTTTATCTCCTTAGGCTCCTAGCGCACCAACGATTCGGGCACAGTAGAACCGCATTCTGACTAGTGACTCCTTATGCTATAGTCGCTTACAATATCCCCTTCTCAGAAACTTGCTCTGGGGCTACTGCGAAGCTGAGAATGTTTTGTCGTTAGTGCCCAACAGGATCTGATCATCCTTCCATCCAATTGATACCCTGACAACTCCATATCATGAATGGACGTCGGAGATGAAGATCATCTCAGGATTATCAAACGTTACAGCTTGAAGCAAGATGGAAAAAAAAACCACCGAGGATCGCTGCGGCATACACGTGTCCTATGTTTCTTCTGCTCTTCTTGTTCTTATTGCTTCTGCACCCTGACAGTGTTAGTTCACCGCAGATGGAGTAGTACCAATATATCATCAGGTGTTTGACCTCGATACTTCTTATTCTCCCTGAGGGATCCTCGCCTATCTGGTTTCAAAGAGCTCGGAGAATCAACTGTCCTCGATTGACCTTCGATCGTGCTCATACTACACATTGACCCAGGTACATCGGATGCCTGGTTTCCGCGTCGAAATATCGGTGTTGACAGTGAGTAATCTGATTTTTAACATACTTTGGCTGCGAGTATAGATCTTACGGTAATGGCTCAACCCAACCTGCGTCTTGGCTCATTTCATGGTTTAACAGTCCTGCACGAAAGTCCAAGTTACAGCGTGCTTCTGTTTGATTCGGATTCTTTTGTTGTACGTTGCTGTTGAATCTCAAACTATCATTCACCATGAATGATGATGGTTCAGGGCTGATGAACTTCCTCAACTTTGAGCGCTGATACACACTGGCGAGGCGTACAGGGATTCCCGATTAATCCAAGAGACCCGTCATTTTGCATTCAAAAACATTTCATCAGATAACTTTCAAACTTTCAAAGATGGTTACACCCGGACGGAAGGCATCTTCATGATATTGCAGTGTTATATGGACTCAGTATAAAAGGAGGTGGTGGCGCAGACTTAGAAGAAGCGCGTCTGGACATCGGGCTTACGAGTACTGGATAGTAAGTCCTCATCAAAACCATCTGATCATACTGACTTACCCTTCCTCAGCTCAGCTCCTCAATTCTTTCTACCTAGACCTTCACCCTCACAAACAATCAAGTTGAACGCTCGCGAAATAATGATGATGTATCGCACCCTAATGGTTATGCTCTCCCTCATTGCCATCACCCTGCTTGACCAAACCTTCGCTTTTCCGTGAGTATAAGGCTGGGACCCTTCAGCCCCCTTTATCATGGCGACTGATAATATTTCAATATACAGCCTGAGAGCATCGCGGGAAGAAGCACCACATGTAGTTTCTTCCCTAATCGGACTTCGCGATGATAATAACTGGTATGTGACCTCTTGCTGTCTGCATTCATGCTCGAGTTAGTACCGTTCATCACTGACGAATCAACGTGGTTAGGATATTATTCCCTAGCCGGAGCAGGAGATCACTTTGCGACAATCTCAGTCGCACTTTCTTTGGAACTGCTTTCACTGCCGTTGGAAATGTAGCAGGAACCCCGGGCTCCCGGCGTAGTCTACCCTCCTTGTTTTCATGCCTTAATGGGTTGCGTTAGCGAAGTTGCGCGATATATATTTAAGTAAGCATCTGTTTGTTAGCCGACCTGCATGTCGGTCCTCTTGCACTGAGGCCTGATAATTCGTGGTCCCACTACACAACAAAACTGGCGACTTTGATTGCTATTGAAGCTGAAAGTATTCGTCCCGTTATCAGAGTCATTGTGGTGTCCTAGCATTCTATGGTATCGTGGCTTAGAAAAGAGTTTCCCATAGAAGCCTATCGACTGCTGAAGAAATTACTCTTATCTTGCATAGGTTCCTTTGAACAGGAAATTTCATCGCACCTGTCAGACATCGTCAGCTCGACTGTTCAGACAACTTTTGAAAGCCATCGGAATCAACACCAGTCGCCAAAATGACTAAATTATCCAGCATCAGTATTGAAGCTGAATTCCCTCTTTGCAACGAGTTAACGAGGTCCGCATCGCGATCGCTTGTCGATGTCATACGATCAGAGCCACGTGCTTCTTGGCCAGATGATAGTCAGATGGCTCTGGTGGCGCTTTGGGAAAACGCATCACTTGTGAGGGGTGGATGGTACTCGTTGAAGTATAAGGAATGTTGAAAGGGGATGCACGAAGAAAAGGAAGGTCTGCGATCATGATGAGCTTGGAAGTCGTCTCCATCGGCCGATCCCTCTGGGTCCACTGCTGGCAGATGATTCGCTTTCATTGTCAGACGACAAGGAGGAATATGTAGTTTTCGAATCCCGAATCCTCCCTAAGTAAACAACGATAGACAGGATAGAACGTCATTGGGTGCTTTCATATCATTTTGTAGGTAGATGATATGAATACCATAGAGGTCAGCGATGACGGGCAGACCAGCGTGCAAGAAGGGAGGTAGGAGTCACCACCAAGGGCCTCGAGAAAGAGAGTGAGTTGAGTAGAGTGCCTATGGGATGTCCGCGTTATCGCTGTTTGCAGCACAGTTGGCACGGGTGGCCTTAATGATTCCGAGGCGTTTGACTGGGTGACACGGCGGCATGTTTGGAATGCTTGGACGATCTCCAACAACATTCGCGCAGATGTCGGCATTCAAGAGTTCCATCAAATCGGTTATACAAGCATTTAAGCGGGTATGGCAAAGGTTGTCTCGGGACTATTGGCCAACTTGGGGCGCCACGCAGGAGTCAATATAGTGAGGAAAGCCGGTGAGCCTGAGCATCCGTCTAGCTGCAGCCAAAATGAGGCGCAACTGAGTATAACACTTCCTTTGATGTGTATAATTTACGAAACCCGGCGCGACTTGTTCAATCTGTCCCGTGGCCACATGCTTGAAGTTACAGAGAGCATGGATTGGCACAGAGAATAACGCGATCCAACGATGAGGCATTCCAAGTCTGTGAACGATACAATGGTAGCCTAGAACATTTATAATTATCAGACTGCGCAAGGCGTGATAGAATCTGTCAGATAAAGTGCAGAGTACATCTTTTAATCATATGTGGCGAAAGCGCGCGCGGTACCTACGAGATGGAATCAAGATTTGAGAGATATAAGTTTGAAAAGCCGAGACATAGGATACCGGTTCAACGGGATCTAACAGTTTTGAACGGGGAACGTGTTCCTTCGGTAGATATTCCTGACTTCCAGATAGAGTTCGAGTGGCAGGGACCAGGAAAATCAGGGTGAACCGAGCGCGCTATCATGAGATCTGATGATATTTACGAACCTCTCTGACCTATAATCGCGGTGTGTAAATGAGCCTATGCTTAGCGAAACTTCGTTAGGAGGATGCACAGGTTATCCGAGTACCCAGTTTTTGGCCTACGGTTGGTCCCCGGGACCAAAAGTCGCCTGTTAAGTGTTGATAAAGCAACCGAAGGAGATGCCCTCGTTCTTTCATTCTCTCATTTTAGTCTTCATCTTCCGTGATTTCCAGCATTGTTGTCTATGGCAGGAAACGAATCAGTCCAAAGACATCAGTTTAACAGTTCAAGTTGATGTTTCAAAATTCACGGGCTGGTGAACCGTGGCAGTGCTGTCCCGACATCCTAATTTGGCAAGTGCGCCGATAGCTTCTTCGAAAAGATCGAGGTTTAACGACTTTGCGACTTGCTCAACTCGACATGGGGACATGCACACACGATAAGCTCTTGTGAAAGCACCCGCTTGTGTACGTTATGTAGGTAAGTACCTTCACTGCTCTTAGCAACCTTTTAATGGTTTTTATTTCGCAGAGTCTGGACTAAATGAACCCGTTTATCTTCTTCGGTTAGCAGTGTCACAGACTCGACAACTCTTGTCTGCAAGGCCGATGTTAAAATACTATACAGACGTAGAAAATGGTGTAGAACACATCTCAAAAAGGACATAAGTGATGCTCTGATCTTCGTCGCCATGACACATTAATGGTACCGGTGAGCCTCAGATACCCCCACCTTTGGACGAACCCTAGAGCATGTTAGGCATGAGTCTTGTCATGTCATGGGCTTTTTTCACCATTCACAGGCTCCTTATTGTGGTCGCTTTTTGCCGTACCGCCCAGAGCAACTGCCTCGCATCTTCGCTATCGTCAGCGAATCTTATGACCACAAAGTTTGTGGGTCCATGGAAGATTTCTATCAAAGCACAGAAGCACCAGGGGCGTGGCGCGCATGCATTGTTTCTTCCTTATCGGGAGCAAAAGGGCCGCCTCATACAGGATTACACGCTGAGCGATCTGCTATAAATGCTTCGTGACGAGGCTGAGAGTCTCACCATCAATTCCCGTTTCCCTGTCCCCCTCTTGATTTGCTGGCGCATTGTTCGCAGGATTTCTTCGCCTCATCTCAACATCCGTCGTTCACTGCTCAAACGATTCCTCCACTTCTTTGGCTATTTAGCTGTAATCTTTCAACGTCAATTGGACATGGTCCGCTCCTTCAGGATCCCGACTTGCGGACCGACTTGTCTCACTCTACGCTATGCTATACACACTACTTAGCATCACTGTGCCCTAGGCGTCGAAAGATACATGCGTAGTATGTTGAGGGACGGCTCTCGTTTTTCGTGTGAGTACTCTTTTCCCCATTCGAAAGTCACTTTTGTCTGTTAAACTCATGACCCTCCCCGTTTCCTCCGCAGTCGTGGTTGCACACCCCAGACCCTTTGACATGCGGCGGAGCAAGGACATAGGCTGTGTTGGATGTCAAGGCCAACGTAAGGTCCGTGCGTGCAGGCATGTGCTCTTTCCCCACCTCTTCTGATGATCTAGGATTTTCTCACAGACTGGTTCTTACCTATCTGAGCGATCTCTATTGGATCATTGAAGCTGCCTGGACCTTGGCATGTACTTTTGGCGGTGGGAAACATTGAGCACTGCCTGTGGTCGTTTCGGCAACGTGTAGAAGGTGAGGAAGTGAACTATGGAAGTCATTTGACATCTAACTCTTACCTTACGCAGGGCCTCCGAGGACATTCTCTAGATCTCGGATCCTTTAGATCTTGCACTCGTACGTGTATTTTACAACGTAAATACACATAAGTGCATGTAGGTGTCAATGCTTTTCTTGCATTCTCTAATAGAAGGATCCCTTATTGTCCAGACCCAGATCGAATCCTGGAGACAACCTATCGAACAACCGGTCCGGTGGATCTGACATATCGCCTTTCGCAGTTCGCAGTTCTACCTCCTCTATATTTCATCGTAGTCGATGTAAGTTAGAGTTGGTAGAGTTTCATTCCCCTGCTAGAATATTGGCCGCTTTCTGGGTAGCTTTCAGACCTGTGGATTGCCTTGGTGTGTGAGAAAGGAATCCCGAGATAACATGAGGTCAGATGGATCTGTTCCTTTGGATCTTTCTTCCCTTGGACCCTGATCCTCCAGCGTCTAGGTAAATGTGTTAATGTCTAGTTTACTGTCGAATAGGTTTTAACTAACAGGATTAGAATTTACAGGTTATCTGCCATGAGAACAAAGTAGGACTGGCATGCGGGACAGCGTTCCAAAGTGGCTTTCGCAGCTTGTTTCCTCCTACGACGCGCCATGGTTTTTGTTCTCAGTGCGAGCTCCTTCGGCGACATTGTGCTCATTATAGCCCTCGCATCCAAGATTTACACTACACTCAGTCATTATGATGAAAGCGATGAACTGAATGCCCTGCGCGGCTTCCTCCAGTCCTATATATTGACTCTCGAGTTCTTCGACAAGCTACTTGGGCCACTCGAGCGCAGCCTTCCCGACGATGTAGTGCGCGCGATTCGGGAGTCCCTCAACACCTGCAAGGTACTCACGGATGATTTCGCCAAGAGGATCGCTTCACACTCCCGAAAGTCCTCGCCTCATGCTCTAGGACGGCTCGGTTCTTGGGTTTATAGCAGGTTGATCTCACCTTTCCTGTGGCAGTCGACTAAAGAGGACATGGTTCACCTGCACGAGAAGTTGCACTCACAACTTCAGTTTATCAGTGTTGTGCTGACGGTTGTGCTACGGTGAGTAGTCAGACTGACATGTCTATTCCTGTCTCAGTGACGAATATATCGTTTCCAGACAAAATCAGTCTGATTTTGAAGGCATTTCAGCATCGGAGCACGTCATGCTAGTCGACATGTTGGATGAGCGATTAGAGGTCCCTCTTCACGCTTGTGTATCTGCAGAGGCATGTGCACAATATTTAGCCTCGATCTTCCCACCATAGCTAATGTAGTACCTTAACAGGTCTTTCATGGATTCTTACGAGCTCGCTTTCGGGCGCGTGCTGGCCGTGCTCTTATTGAACGTGGAGACTACACGGTTGTCCTTAGAACGAGGGACAGTCAGGTTCGGGAGCTTGAATGGGGCATTCTTCCGGAGGACGGCGCAGAGCTGGACATGCGTGCTCTTATGCGTGTGACGGATGAAGCAGTTCGTCGATGTCCCAGGTGTAAGAAGATTGTCCGTGAGCTGTTGACCGGAGACACGACTTGGTACGTGACCGAGGCAGTGTCAACACATGCCTATCTATTTATCAAACCTTCTTTCGACTGGTAGCTCGTATTGCCGGACTTCCCTCCATATCATCAATCAGTCGTCTCTGAGCCTATCGACTACGGGTTGGATCTGCCGTTCATTGGGTCTCGTGTCGCCAATTTACTTCAGAGTCCAGAACGACGGCGGTGCCGATCCTCAAGTTGTCGACCCTGACACGGAGTGGCAGTACATTCGTCGACTGACGCTTGCGTTGCCTGCGCAGAGCGTGGGACCTAACTTGGCGGTTCTCAATACGCCGGTGGATGGCCCACAGTCCACCTCGGAGGACAATACGCAATCGCAAGGAGCCTGAGTTTTTTTAGCCTGTGATATTAACGTAGAATGTCTGACATAAATACCCCCTCACACACATGCTCAGACTATCTGACGTTAACCTCAATGAATTCAAATCGTTCTATGTATCGGTTCACCTCATGACTTCTTTCCTCCTAACTTTTATCCTGTATATAGTCTCGGTACCGAATATCCTGGCCCGTTCAAATACTACTTGGTAGTAATTTTTTCCTACTCACTTGGGTTTGTCAGTAGTTGCCGAACTTGTTGCCAACATGAGTTGCACACCTCCAATTTTTTTCTCCGTTGCTCTCAGGTTCTGAGTCCAACATCTTGAACTGGAGAACTTGCTGACAGCAGAAATCCATCGTAAGCCTTTCTACAAAGGTACTAACTGGATTACCATATATGGACAGTTGATTACGAGTATTTGCCCGTATCTAAGTGCGCCTACAACAGATTTACTTTTTCCTTGCTTTAAATCTGAACAAGGAGATCGTGCTGTAAAAAAAAATAAGGTAGAATTTGATGTTTTGTTTTGCTCTTGGTCTCTAATTTAACATATCCAGGCACAGAAGTACTAATATCAGGGAAGGCGTGGGTTTCCCGGGAATCTCACCATCTACAGTATGTCAGATAAGTATCGGGGAGAAGCAGAAGAACTTTCGCCGAAGGATTGTGTTTCAAGTACGCACCGTTCAGCTTCTGTTCAGGGTGATGTGCCGGTACACATCCACGGCGGCATGCTCGACCAGAGGCAGGCGTGCTTGCCATCGATAACAACATGTTGTTCTCAAGCTGTTGTCTACCTTTGACGCGTGCAAGCGGCCACTCAATAGGTATTTTTGTGTGTCGTCGGCCCCTCATGCGTCAAGGGCACGTAACAAACCGTCCGAGCTTACTCCGCGATACGATTGTCCTATGTTACCCATCTGCGAATGTCGGTGCCGAATACATTAAAGACTATCACGGTATGTAGATAAGGTTTAGTCGTAGTGTCTTCCTCCGCTACCTGCACCTCAAGTCTGTGATGATTTGAAATCTTGTCTATGTTTAGATCAGTCCCAATGCCATCTGTATGATGGCATCTCTGCGGTCTCTTGTCCAGCTTACCCTTGCTATTACGATCTTACCCCGGATCTTCCATTCTCTAGAATTTACCTCAACGTGTTTGTGCACCATGATCGCGATTCATGATGAGCATGCCCGATTCCCAGTCCCCGCTTTCGCTTGGCTCGACTGCTTGTATATGCTACTGGGGACCCGTCCCACTCCGCTGACAACGCTTGCGATGATGTTATCATAGGAGACGTACTGTCGAACTTCAAGCATATCTGGAGATAGTTTTCGTTAGTCGATACAGTCACTGGCTGCCTCGAAACATGGCTTTCGATCAACCCCTCGGAAGCCGCAGATCAGAATGGTTTTCCAGATTTCCTCGACCCTGCATAGGAATGTCTTCCGCCGAAACTCTCTTAATTATACTAGGTCATAGCCGCCCTTGCAACAGTGCCTCTCAGCCCCAGTGGATGCGAATATAAGAGGGCGGTGCATTGGATGGTACCTTCAGCAGAGCAACATCACTTCCCAGTCCTTCGTGGGCCAGAAGGCCAAGCAGGATGTCGAGCATCTTCGGTCCTATCAGCTATGGCTCCACGGGGGACATCTATACCACAATTACCCTCGTGCGTGACACTATAGGACTCCTGACTGGACGTCGGCATGTCCGGGAAGCAACTGCCTTCCGCGAGATCCTCCACCAATATGTTTTCCTCCTCACCTTGTTTGACCGGCTGCTCAGAGATCGCACTATCCAGCGCCGACCAGACGCTTGGAATGCTCTCAAGCTATCTATAACTAATTGTGATGCTATCGTTATAAAGATCCGACGATATCTTGAGGACGTCACTCAGAATCCTGCCGTAATCTTCAGAGGGCCGCTAGGCAGTATCTTCTATTCATCAATTGTGGCTCCGTTCCGATGGACTGTGTCCAGAGGCGAGCTCATCGCGTTGCATAAGGGCTTCCAACGCCATGTCGACATCATCAACTGCGTACTCAATGCAACCAAACTGTGCGTATTCTCTCCATAGTTCGCCATACCTAGGAACATTACTGACACCGAAACGCAGACAAGTCGTACCCACCATCGTCAGAGACCTACAACCTTACTCAGAGACGGTCACACTATTGGATATGTTAGATCAGCGTATGCCTATTCCAGTACAGGTATGTGCCGATAAAGAAGTACGTTTCTTCTTTTCCATATTTTAGTTCTTTTCTCATAAACGGGAATACAGCAATTTCACAGATTCCTTGGTTGTCTCTTCGATAATCGTGCAGGCAAGGCCCTCGTTCAACGACGCGATTATTCGATTGTCATTCAGGCGAATGACGGTCCGCTGAATGACGTCGATTGGCTTTTGGGCGTGCAGCCGGGAACCGTCCTCGTCATGTCCGCACTCCTCCGGATTGCAGATAAAGAGTTACACAAATGTCCTAATTGTGAGACCTTCCTTTCGCATCAGGGTGAGGGGGAAATCGTGTGGTATGTTACCATTCTCTTTCTCATCAGTTCTTTGACTCACCGTTGGTTCTCACCTAGCGCTTTCTGCGCAACCAAACTGCGGATCATGGACGCTCCAAGACAGGGTCATCCTAATGCCGCCTTTCCTCCAGAACATCCGGATGCGCCAAGGTACTATCGCCTGGAGGAAGAGTCTATCGTTAATGACGACGATGAGAGATCCGACTTGCGGTTTATTCGAAGATATAATGTGGAGGTCCCAAAGTATTGTTCGAGTTGCTTGGATCCTATGCAAGTTCACCACGCCGTATCAGATCCGCGGACGGTTGAGAGGTACAAGCGGTACTTTGTGGACATGCTCAAGCTGGTTCCGAAGGAGCTAAAGTCGCAACCTATATGTATGATTTTCTATCCATTTGCGTCCCGCAACGGCATGCTAACGTGGAACATATTGTAGGCGATTCTTGCACCATCAGCCGCGTTCCAAGCCAACTTCCGAGAAGAGCCAGGATGTGGTCTGTTGGCACTTGGTTTATCCAGTCGTCAGACCTTCCTCGCCGTCGACCCCGCTTTCAATTACGCTTCCTCTAGTAATTGCGGGTCTCAACAAGACGTCCTTCCCACTCATTCCTTATATACCCATACCCGGCCTTCTCATTCCCGAAGGCCAATTTTCTGCATCCTTTTATCCCTCAATATCACACGGCGGGGACCTCTACCAAACTACCACTCTTCTTATATTCCAACTATACAGATGCCCGTAGCCCGTAGTTGTCCGCTTGGAGGGAAGTGTCTACATGCTAGTACACTTTCCTGCAGAGTCGGACCCGTACAGTAGTTGTCTGCTTGTCTGCTTGGAGGGAAGTGTCCGCATACTGCACAACAGTACACTTTCCTGCTCGTCAGAACTTCTGTGAACATCACCCTTACATACCTTTCGCCCTTCTTGTCTTCCAATGTACAGCAAGCCATGTGCTTGAGATGCTTGAAATGCTATATCCCCCTCTCAGGCTTTTAGGTGCAATGATCTCCAGTATCGCGTAACGTGTCCGCCTCGCAGCGCGCTCACCTCAGTATGGGGCCGATAAACATGTATCTGGCATTCCAGTTGAGCGTACACCGGACATACACGCGACCTACTGGACAACTGTCAATGCGTCACCGGACTAGACAAGATCATCAGTTGAATGACCACGAGTACGTTGGTTATACTGTATGGCTGCTAGGAGTCGAGGACTGAGTTCAACACATCACTACTCGAGACCCCCTCTTCATACGAGAAAGTTCACCCTAGAGTCTACACACGACTGATCAATAATTGAAGCCTCGCAAATCGAGAACAGCAATATATGACAATGGGGGACGGGTATACTACTACAAAGAAAGGGGCCCAGGTGATGAAAACACTGTCAGGATTGTCCCATCGATTGACGCAAAGTTGGGGTGTGGGGCAAATGGTACGATATATACAGGGAGGGCGAGTGCAGAATTCACTGTGGCAAGATGAATAATGAAGGGGAAGAGATATCGATTGAACCCGGGTAGCAGGGAGAAGAAAAAAAAAACACGCATCAGAACGAGTTGATGGGACGACCAAACAAGAAGCTTTGAAGGGTTTTTGTACATATTGCCATGATTTATGCGTAGACGAGTGTGGGAGTGATATGAGATGATGGCCAGAGGAAGATGTGTGTGAGCTTGAACGAGCGATGACAATGGTGTGCATCGTAGGGCATTGGGACATGGCGGGTATAGACACGTCATGAAGAAAGGAGAGAGTAGCGGGGATGTCGGTTGTTGGGCGGGGACGAGAAGAAGGGCATGGGCATATACGATATACGACATGGTCACCGATCACCTCCAACCACGGGTGCAATGAGAACGGTCGGGGAATTCGAGATGGGCAACGATGATGCTACGAGCTCAACAATCTTTCAACCGACGCAGACGACGTCCGCAATACCAGTACAGGGAGGACGGCATAGGAGTGAGTGAGGTGTCAAAAGAAGAGGTTGGGGCGATTGGGACGATTGGGACGATACTAAAGACAGAGGTGTGACGGTGACGGTGACGTGAGAGGAATGACAAAGTGGACTGGCAGATGACAAAAAACCCCGAGCGCGGCGGCAAATCAATTAATCACAGGTTCTGAATTTGCACGATGAGAAATTGCTTTTCGTCCTGTCAAAAGGACAAGCATGGGACAATAGGTCAGCTTCTATCTGATGATCACTCGAGAGAAAAGCAGCAAAGCATGGAAAAGGGGACGAGAAAAGGGGGAACGGTGTGGGGTGCGTTTGAATGGGGGCCGGGGTGGAAGCGGAGATGTGGGCAACATGTGTGAAGAGCGTAACTTTGACTTACGGTAAATTGTTCATCTGTGGAGGTGAATGCAAAAATAAGTAAGCATTGAGTTAGGGGGGGTAAATGAGGGATAGTAAGGAGGTAAACGGACCTTCTTTGTCATTGTGGAAATTCTTCAGGAACTGTAGAAGTTTATCCTTGTTTCGCCGCAGGATAGCCTCAATCTGAGGTGGTTTCTTGGGGTTCGCCACGAACACCTATAAAAAAAGTCAGGTCAGCCTCCTATTCAATCACAAACATCAATGACGATAATGCATTAGGTCCGTTCAGTAAGAACAAGATGCATTCCGAAAACGCAGCATGGAAACACAGAAAAGTCAATAAGAATAAGTAAGACGATCACATACCTTGAACACATGAAACGCCTCGAACTGAATATTCCGGCTTTTATCCCGCAAAAGGTTCATCATAAGCTTCAAATTGCCTTCATTAGCGATATATCGGGTCATGACGTTGAAGTTGGCCCGGTCAAGTAGGATTTCGCCGAGGAGCTTGAGGGATTGACGTTTCGTGACATAGTTCTCTGAGAGGATGAGTGAAGTGAAGGATTGGAAAAACTGCAGTGATGGGAAAAGAACAAGCGGAGTGAGAATGTGCAAAAGACGTGAGTAAAGGAAGACAAACTCTGTCATAGTTCTTGTCCAGGTATTCCGCGACCATGGCCTTGTGTCGCGTCAACGTTTCCTTGAGGTTCGTGTAAGCATCACAAGAGATCCCAAACGTCGTCGTCTCGATGTAATGCGGGAACATGTAGAATCTACCACGCTCTATTAGCGTTCCCCCAACCCATATGCATTTCGCATTGATAGATATGTAAGATAAAACGCACTGTTCAGAATACAGCAAAATCTTTGCCAATGATTCATGTCGCAGCATCTCCCTCAGGATCATTCCAGTATTCAACGCAATATCCTCCTTCTCATATCCCTTGAACGCCGCGAACAAGATGTCCGGTTTGCCTGAAAGGTATTCGACGGTAGGGTACCGCGAGCCGATCTGCCGTCGTAGGAGGTTGTTAAATATTTGAACAACATCTTTGCGAGATTCAAATTCCAGTCTGTGGAGGTTCAGTAGTAGGTGATGAAGTAGGTCTGTCGAGTAGGTCTCTTGAGCAAGTTGCGCTACGAGCTCTGGTAATGGATCTGTCCAAGGCGTAAGGATACTAGCAGAGCGACGAGAAAGGGAGAACTCGCCTCCATCGCCGAGCAAGATCGCCTTGATCTGTTGCAAGTTCTTGGACACCTCCTCGTTTGCCTACCCAAATACACGTCCTCTTTAGGGTGTATCTGCAAAGCGGCTTCAAACCAACATACTCACCTTCCTCCTAGTCTCGCCTCCTGGTGGCCCAGCTTCTAGCTTGGGCAAAGCATCTCGCAAACCACGAACCAAGTCTGGTGGAGTGCGAGGTTTAGTCTTGAAAAAGTTCATATCTGGGTGTGAATGTGATGAGATGGTAAGAGATAAAGATGGCGTTGTGCCTATGCGTTCTACTGTGATTGTGCTGTTTGGGTATGCGGGTGATTGTGTCAGTGAAAACAACGCGTTTATTGGTATATCGGGGAAGGAGGGAAAGGAGAAAGAGGGAGAGGCGGACCAATGGATGGCGGATGGAGAGGCAGTTGCAGTTGAGAAACGAACTGAACTGGGCAACGCCCGCGCTGTACGTCACGCTGCGACCGCACCGGACCCCTCCGCGCGACTATCTTCCTCTCAAACGTCCACCAAGCTTCCTCCTATCAGACTCAAATATCGCCCCAAAGCGTATAATCCGAGCACAACGAATGGAGGTTAGCTCCAGTTGGCAGAGCCTCGCCCCATCGTCAGTGTCTCCGGTCGTAAAGACAGGTACAGTGCACACGGATGCATCGGCAAGATTGGTCAGGTTCATCGAGACATGTCAAGCTCCAGATGGTCGTGCTTCAAGATTCCGAGTCTTTGACGGCGAATCGATATTATAGTCGACGTCTTGACGCCCCCGATGGCCAGAGCGTCATAGCCAAGCCCTCGCAACATGCTCCCGTGGCCTTTCATGGCGTTCAACCGCTGCAAATGTCCTCTTCATTCGCCAACGATGCTTGAGAGAAGAGGGCTCTGCGTCAATTTGCAGGCACATCGGGCGGTAGCAGCATGCGTCATCTGGTGGCTTATAATACCCCTGCTCTTTTGATCAGGTCCTCGCAGGACTGACAAAGGTTCTGTTCCTCCTTGCATCATCCCGCGTTCAACTCACGTCTCGCGTCCAACGTTGAGCTGCTTCCCCATGAGGTAGGGCTGAACCCTCTTTTGTTGACGCAAGTCGTTCATGAGACCGACTGCTTCGCCTGAAGCTGAGCAATGCCTAGTTCTACTGACAAGCAGTACGACCTTCATTGTTTGCGAGCATTGCGTATAATGCTTGTATGTTCTTCGTGTATATTATGACGTCGATCCAGAAACTAAAACATATGATCTGGATCAATTGATTTGGTTTAGGTCAGTTACATGAACTTCTTGTATTATCATCACAGTCTTCTCCGCGCAATGTTAAGCTCCCACTACTTACCATCTATCGAAGGCGCGGTGCAGCCCAATCTTATCAACGAGGCTGGATGCGCTCACCGAGATATTTCAGGCCCTACAGTATGTAGCAGGTCTCTTTTCAAGGTTATGTCAAGTTTGGTAGGCATGAGAATAAATGACCCCTCGCGTCCGAGCCTTCCTGACACATTGATGAGCGCGTTCAAGATAAGTAGTAGAGTTCCCTTTCCGCTGCTTGTTTAATATTCTCTTTCGCTAGCCTCGTGGTGAGAAGTGAAAACTACTGAAGACACTGGAGCAAGGTATCGCTGAAGGTTCTATTTCTTCAATGCATCACCTCACAATGCACCTGAGCCTTGCATTCAACAACTGGTCGCTAATTCAAAGAACTCAAGGTCTCTTGAAACTGCCTTCCGTTCTGTTATTCATACCCATGGTCTCTACGAAAGCAGCCGCCACGTCCATGATTGAGAAGATTGGATTGATTATTACGCACAGTATAGTAGCGCAACTCTTTGTTGACACCTTGAGCTCCATCGTCTCCTAGCATTGCATATGATACTTAGATATTAGGCACCATCGTGTCCTCAAATGCAATTTGGTCCGTATCAACCAGCCAGGATAACTATGAGCTAGAGTCTACAAGTAATGTACTGTATGTTAAGTACGAAGCCTGTACGCAGAGAACAAGAGGAATACATGACGCTAAAGATACACATATGTACAACACTAGACAAGCAAAACTGGGATAATACAACGATAAATTATCAGATACAACGTCAACGTTTATTCCTGATCATCATGCTATGAAGAAGTCATCGTGACCTCTACAACAACATTTGCCATCATGACACCAATATAACCCACTATAAGTGCAACGCCCCAACTTCTAGGTAAGAAGTACCCATTCCAAGGGACAAACACCAATGACAAGACCAACAGAGCCAGCAAGCCAGTCCCCGTAATGACGAGTGTCGTGCTGAAATGGAGCGGATATGATTTTCCACCATTCTGCCGAATGATAGAAGACCCAGAGATACCTATGCCCAAGAGGATATTCATCATAGGGCCACCGAAACACGCAGAGAAACCCATGATGGGAGCAAAGACAGCGACGGATGTATTTGCGACCAAGTCGGCGAGCGAACTACCGATGGCGAAGATGGTGAGACCGATGATGGCGTCAGACAGACCAAATATGAGGCCAATGGTTTGGAGGACTTCGACTACTTCGTCGGCGATCGCCATGACCCAGACGATAGCGACGACGAACCCCATGGCACATCGGGCGAGACAAGCGGCTGGGCTATCGCCGCGATGGGCGAAGGCGGCAACGAGGATGGCGACTATTGTGCCTGCGACGCCTGCGGCTAGGAAGAACCATGGCTCATGTTTTGTTCCATCTTGTCAATATAATTTTAACTCAGTGACTCTTTTAAGTATTTGGGAGGGGAACTTACCGAAAAGAACGGTGACACAGAATAACGGTCCAAGTATACATTGCGTGGCCATCAACCACTTGTTGAACTTGAGTTCATGCAACTCTTCTTCGATTATGTCCTCGGCGACAATCGTCCTCTCTACTACTGCTTCCTCCTCGACGTGGACTAACCGAGCTTCGTCCGTCAGGACCTTCTCTTCCTGTCCATTGTCACAATCGTGGTCAGTGACAACGACAGGCAGAGTCAGTGTCAATGCCAGCATGGCAGGTACTGCGAACACAGCAGCAAGCTTCCCCAAGAGAGATTTTTCTTGAAAATCATGGAGCGTAGGGAACAGGATATGGTACGTCTTCGCGAGGGCACTAAACACATGTTGACGCTTTATGCCCAGGGTCTTCTGCGGTGTCTCTTCTTCCGACAAAGTATCAACCGTGAGGGGCGAGGCTGGCGTGTTGGTAATTTTGATAATCGGTGTCGGACCCTCCAAACCGTTCTCTCTTTCTGAAGGTGTCACGCCAAGCGTCGAACGCCCATCAAAAGGAAGTTCTAATCGAGCATCCCATGGATCGCGCTCTGAGCTGTACTCAATCGGTGTTCGAGGTCTTGAGCTGCGATGTGGATGATAATGACCACCGGGATAGGATGGTATAGGACTCTCGGGCAAGCTCAACGAGCCTTCGGGATGTTGCTGTAGTTCAGAGACGACCCGGCGAAACTCCAGAGCTCCGATGAGGGAGAACGATGGCATGTGTTTTGTACGCGAGTGTGACGAACAGTGCTGGTGGTGCTGGTGATGCTCAGTACGGGCAGAGTGGAATGATTGGGGTGATGGGCAGCGTGTTTGTGGCCTTGGCGGAAGTTCCAGCTGGAGACGAGGAGGAGGACCTGGTGCTGAGACAGAGCGAGTTCTGGTATATGGGACTTGGAGAGACGGGACATCTTTTGGCGTTGGGCTCACTTTATGAAAATGTCAACTGGATATCGAGGACGTGTGCGATGTACAACTTACACTCTGGTTCATCACGATATGGCGTATAAACAATGCCTTCCTCCTGAAATTCGTCGGGTAGGCAAGCATCTTCCTGCTTCAGCCACATACCCGTCTTCTCGAGGTAGGAACCAATAACAACCACAGTAACATAAATAGCATAGAGGGCAATCATGGACGCCGCCTCCCATGCTTTGATCTCATTATCCCATAGCATCACCAAAACCATCATAACCGCGAACGTAAAGAACCCAACGTCTCGTAGGAACGGTCCTCGATCGACCTTGAAAGGCTTAATGATACACATAGACCCCACGACGCAGGAAGTCACGAACAAAGCTGCACCAAGCAAGTCACCAATAGCCAATCCGGCTGAATTGCTACGCATGGCCGCGAAAGTCGAGAAGACGTCCGGACTGCCGTTCCCAAAAGCCAAGAATGTCACCCCGGCGACATTTTCATCTAAACCTAGGAGATGTGAAAGGGTAGCGAGGTTTGGGCAAAAGAAATCCGAAGCACTAATTCCGAGAGTGGAAAAGAGAAATATGAGCCAGACGATGTAGCCGGTGAAGAGGAGTGGGCGTATATGTGAGTCTGAGCAGAAGTAATGTTGAAGATAGGGTATGGACAGGAAAGTATCTGAGTGAGGACATAATTCTTGGGCGATGGAGCATTGGTCCTTTACCGGGAATGATACAGGACGGCACTATAAATAGCAAAGAGGCGTTCGCGTTTCAGTAAAGCAGAATCTTGGTAAATTTACCAATGGCGTACCTCATCCCTTCTGTGTCCAAGCAAACTAGCACCTGCACCAACCTGGTGCCCCTTCGAAGCACCTCCCTGAGTGAACAGTTCCGGACTGCGTGAACGCACGCTTTTGAGATCGCCATACCGACTTTGGGACCAGAGAACGCAGTTGATCACGAAGACGAGAACGAAGACGATCTTGGGGGTGCCCCACCACATTATGGTATATGCGAACGTCCTGGGCCTATGGCATATACCAGTTCGTGTGGGCTCATTGTGTGTAGGCTCATGCACTGCAAGAGGAGTTGGGGAATCGCTTAGACCCGCCTAGGCTCGAGAATCGAGCGTACAACTTTTATGCGGCAATGCACAGGATTTTGAACTTCATTCAGATGCCATATCATGTCAGAGACGTCATTCTACATCTAATTGACTTGGCGTACTGGTTCGGTCCAGAAGGTACCCGAGGGCAGAATGTATCCGAGCCTCCGAGGGGAGAAAAGAGGAGACAGGAGACACCCCTTTGACGAGGGCGGTGTATGGCATACTTACCGTAGAGACGCGCCGTGTTGACGTCGACGAGGAACATCAGAGGCAACTGTGATTGCTCTAAGAGTCCAATTGGGTGATGAAAAGTCTATCCCTTTCAAGTTCCCAAACACTGGAAAAGGCCCAGATGCAACATGCGCAGCGCCGTCACGGACTGGTCTACAGTAAACTTTACGAACTGCTCTTGTGATTCTTCCAGATCTTCAGGTTGGACACTTTTGATGGCTTCTTTTGTCTTGATACCCAAGATAGTAGGACCATCGATTCAACGAAGTACTTGTCCGAATATTTGTTCACTCGGACTTGCAGATCTAGACTTCTCAAGTCAATGCATAGCAGCTGCGTTTAGTTTTGACGCTAGGCGTAGGTGTGAGGGAGCACCGTTGACTCTCGTTGACTTCATTGTCATGCATATCAACCAACATCGACTGCCTTAGTTAGACACCTTCACCGGTGCAGTCTTTGTTCAACCTTTCCGCCATTCATATTCTGGTGGAGACTTTCCTCACATGTTAGCAGATAAATACAACCACCCACAAGTCTTCTGCGACACGCGCTATTCTGAACAGGTTCGTTTACTCCTTGTAGAATATCAAGGCCGCAGTAGATACAAAAGCTGCCATCTTCTTATCACGCTCTGACCTTCAAATCCCCATTTCTCTAGGATTGCTAGGCCCATGATATCAGTTCTACTTGTACCAAGCTCACCTTGTCTACTTCTGTCATCGCCGCTTCATCTGGAGTTCTTATGCTGAGTTCGCCCTTCTTGTGTTCCTTGTCCAGGATATTTCCATCCAACTTTAAGTGACCCTGAAGCACGGTTTGCATGTTGTCGCTCGAATATTCTGAACATTCACTAAGAAGCCGTCCATGCGTTTCAGGTATAATACACTGGTCATTGCTCTAGCAACACAAAACTGGTCCTCGTCGGGATCTCCGTGTTCTGGGCAACCATCTCCAGATCAGCCCCTCCATTCGTCCTTCTCATCACGATCGTCCCCGCCTCACCAAAGTTCCCCGCAGCAACCAAGAACTCATTCTCATCCCCACCAAATTCCATTCCACGGATCTGTTGCAAGCCCGTGAAAACATGCTTGACAAACTTCAATTGGGGCTCCACTTCGTAGACAGCGATGGCATCGTCCTCCGGTGCTGGTACTTGCCTAATGGCCCTGTTGGATGTGTAAATGTAGGCTTTGGGAAATTTGGGTGAAGAATTGAGAAGGCGGATCTCGGCTGCGGCAAAGTGGGCTTGGGGAGGTGGGTTTGGAGGAGTTATGTTAAGGGTGGCTATCATAGGTGAAGGCGCTGTGGGGTCTTGAGGAATAGCTTGTTGAGTGAGTGTGCTATCTGTTTCATGAAAGGTGTACAACATGTTGCCTGGAGATCGGTTGTGTCAATAACGATCGCCCTTGGACTAATTGCAGCCAACGCGTTCTCACCTTTGACGGCGATGTGCCGTGGACCGCTATTTGGAGGTTGTTGCAACTGACCTTGGATCTTGTATTCGCCAGTGCTGTTGTCCTTTGCCAACCTCCAGACGGTATCGCCTCCCTATCGAAGGTGAGTAACACAATTTATATCATGTCAATATCATAATTCACCATATCAGGTACTAAGACTTCTGAGCCAACGTCCAACGCCATATGCGGTCTGGAGAAGTTGAACGGCCACGGCTTCTCTGGTGTTGGAAACGTCACAACTGGTGCAGTATCATCGAATTCAAGGGGATCTTCTTTAGTGGGGATGAATTTGCCATCGCCAGAGCCAAACTGAACCATCCAATAAGCTTGTGAGCCGTTCTTAGACTTCAGAAGACGGCGATACTTACGTTCATTATAGCCACTTCTCCCGTAGACAATGGATTGACAAAAGCCGGTCCGTCTCCCCCAGAACTCGCGTTAGCCACGTTGAACAATGCGCCATCTTGCCCTACGAAGAATGATTGTAATTGTCCTGGGCCATTGAAAACCTCATTCACGGCACTAGATATTCATCAGTTCCAACAACAAACATAATAAGGGAAGTTGACGTACTAGAGAATACTCTTGTTTGTAGGATGTGAAGCTATCCAAGACGGATTCTCGCCAGAAGGACTTTGGCTCAACAAAGTCAGATTAGAGGAGGTAGAATTGAAAAGATAGGTCGCAATGAAGTTGGTATATCCGCCTGCGAGGATGATAAGGTTGACCATTGTGTTCGTTGATATGAAACTAAGTGTGAGCTCCCAGAGCCCCGTGAGAGAAAGGCTAAGAGACGGGAGAGGGAATAAGAAGAGATGGACCCGGGTCGTTGAGAGCGGGTTCTCTTATATATGCACTAAGGTCAAAGAAGAAACAACAGGAAACAACGCTCCCTTTGCCACTGCAGCCAAGTCCTTGGAAGCATCGCTTGCAAGCCGGACAATAGCGTTCTGACCTCGTTGCCTCCTGATTGTTTTGCATTAGTCTCACAGTGCGAAGAAGATCGAACGCTCAATGCCAACAAAAGGACAGTTTGTCGCCGCTCTATGGCTTAGCCCCATAGCAACATGAAAGTTTGAACAGATGGTAGATTTTGCAGTGCCATATTCATCGGTTTGGTAGAGGCGAGCGTCGACGATTGGTCTAAGAGTCCACGGTGATGAAAAGTCCATCCCTTCAAGTTCTCAAATGCTTGAAAAGGCCCACATGCAAGGCAACACCGCCATTCCAAGGGTGCCCAAAAAGGGTCCCAAGTCGCCGGCCTGACCCTTTTAGCCGCCTGTCGACCCTTTTGAGTTACCGGTCGACCCTTTTGAGTTACCGGTCGACCCTTTTACCAGCATGTGATTGGGCGCTTAACGTGTTTGCCTCCAGTCGTTCAACAATATTAACGATATATTCAACCTTTAACCCACACGGTCAAACATACGCCCAAACAACACGCTCGGGAAGCACAGCACAGCAAGATGGTTGCCAGCAAAGCATCCCAGCCCAAGTTGTTCATCTGGGTGAGTGCGTGTGTTAGCAATTGAGCTGCGATCGATTTGGGCACGCTGGCACGCATCTGGTGCTCTCTCTCTGTCGCTGCCGGTCCTCTTCGTCACCTCCCCCCCACTCCCCCCCACGGAAAGTTTGTCTCGTCTTGCAGGCCAACCTGCGTTCGCTTTGATTCTTCTCTTCTACGGCAGTTGCATGCTTGTTTTTCGATCTCCGGTCTAATTCGTCCCCTCTAGGCAGTCGAGTACTTCTGCCGTGTGCTCAAGGTTCAGCAAGAGAATGGCGAAATATGAAGTGCCCTTGGTGCGTGAGTCTTTCCCCTCGGTTGCTTCGCTTACTGACTTCTGGCTCTCCAGGTCACTGCTATCTGATATGCAGGATGATGACCTTCATCATCCTTCAGCGTGCCTATAGGATAGGCCTATCAACAGGCTCTTTACCTATCTGCCAAACCCAAGGGTCAGTCCCTGCTTGCTTCTCTTCCAAACTCAATTACCAACTGCCCCTGTTCTCAAGACGACCCTAAACTTTGGTACGGCATCGGCATTCTATACGACTGAGGCATTCTATACGACTGATATGGTTCTTTGGACCACGCCGAAGAAGCCTTCTCGTCCGTCCTTCGTATGGATAAACGTTAGTGCCACGACCCCTTGCTTTTCGAATGACACATCAACACTAATATAGACAATCGTAATATAGACTTCGACAAGGCGAAAGAAACTCTCTTTTGCCTCGGGATTATATACAAGCAGCAGGGGAAGTACAACGAAAGCCTCGGGTGTTTCGACCACATCCTCCAAGAATCCTCCGAATCCGCTCGCGCATGCCGATATCTGGTTCCAAATTGGTCATGTATATGAGCAGATGCACGATGTAAGTGGATCTTCGCTATCAAGTGACTAATCTTGGACCATCTTCTAATTCATTTGACTGTGTGCAGCTCGTCTGTGCGAGAGGTCTACGAACGAGTCGTAAGGGATAACCCGGGACACGTCCGCAGAGTTGATACCTCCTTGGACGTGCTTACGTGGCTGGACAGAAATACAACAAAGCACACGAAGCTCACCAGCAAGCAGTGTACCGCGATGGCCGCAATCCCACCTTCTGCTGTTCTATTTGCATCCTCTACTTCCAGATCAATCAGTATCACCATGCACTCGACGCGTACTCCGTACGAATCGAGTATGCGATTCATATCAATCCTTAGATCTCTGAGGTTTGGTTCGACCTCGGCTCGTTGTATGAGTCCTGCAACAACCAAATCTCCTCAGATGCTATTGATGCGTATGCCAGAGCCGCCGAGCTAGACCCTAGTAACACGGCGATTGCCCAGCGTCTTCAACTTCTGAAGACAGCTTAAGCAACTGGCGGCGCTTTACCCGCTGCACCGGGACTGCAGGACATCCATCCTACCGCTTACGCCAACCCACTCATCTCCACGCCTATGGGAGTAATGGGCCCTTCACTACTATTGCTTCACTCTCGTGAAGGTCCCCGTCCGATCTTTAGGACCGATTCTAGAGGACCTGGTGATCTGCCTTTGCCAGCTCCCGCCGCCGTACTCAATGGGCGTTCGTCACCAGGACCATTCAGAGGTGGACCGCCGCCACCAGTCGTGCTCAATGACAATCATGCGCCATCTCAACACGTGCTCGCTCCCATGCACCTCACAACCGTCCTTCGCTTCACAGAGAGACAGGTCCCTATCGCAAGAATGGTCAGACTAGTCCCCAAATGGTACTTCTCCACCAGCCGATGCCGCAACCGATTCTTAGGGATGACTAGAGATCGTCATCCTCAGCAGGAAGTATCTTATCCCTGACTTATCCGTATGACATCGCCTTCTCCTTCGCCTCTGTTTACATCCAAGCCACGTTCCTTACGAACCCAGACCTCCATTGGGTCCTGGACAAGCAGGCCTTCCTCGGTCTCCTCCTGGATATCCTCGTGACGTATCTAGCGACTGCGAACTGGCTTGGGAACGATGACCACCCATCCCAGAGCATCGTGATTGAGAACGTGAATGCCCACAAGAGCGTCGTGCTCGACCTTCAGCGGATACCCTGCACCACACCAGCAGCAACAGCCATACTACGTACCAAGGCTGCATTTGCCACCTTATCCTCAGCAATGACCGCATAGTCCTAGAGGATGCGATAGCTCGGTGGATAGCTCACCTCGAGTTCACCCTAGGTATGGCTGACAGTATCCTGGTCCTGGTGGTCCACCGGCAATGCCTCTTCACTCACCTCCAGCTTGCCGACCTTCCATATCAGACATTGAGTCTACTGGTAGACGCTACAATCCTAGGTACGATGCTCAGGAACCTGCTCACCCACGCGAGTACGCGAGCAATTCAATGGTTGACGGATGCTATGTCTCATTGCCAGAGGCTCACCGCATGCTTGCACAGCTTCCTGCACCCCAACCTCCCATGTTTGTCAGGAGCAATCGTGCATCAGAGAGCCTCGAGTTCCACCACAGCCTGTCATGCAAGAACCCCCACCTACTTGTCGATGAGAAGGTGCAGCCGCTAAGGACAAGGGTGCCGACTCGAATTCCGGAACTGAGCCTCAGAAGAAGGAAAGGATGAAATGGGAACTGAGGGCCAGGGGATGCATGTGAGATAACAACTCGTATACACTATGGCTGCTGTCTGCCTTCCAAGGTTCCTCAAGTGATGATAGTCCAGAACCTGCGAGTTTGCAGCAAACTGGATTGTCGATTTGGTCATTTCGGCCTTCGCCCACCAAATTGATACATGCGCTGCCTTCGAGCGAACTGGATGAGAACAATGACGAGAGCATTTCAAAGACATTAACGACATTAATGCACTTCCATTCCACCTATTAAGTAGCTCCAAGGTCTCAATGCCATGATGTTTTAGTAGTACCATACGAAAATTGTGAGATTACCAAAGATTTCGTAGAATACAAACTCAAATAGTGCAAATATTAGAATGGACTGAAGCAGTAGTGAAGAAAATGTGAAAACACGTTCAGTCATCCCTGAGAGAATCGAGACGCAAGAGTTCCTGGCCATTGTGCTCTAGGAGAGTGTACTTCGACCGGCTGTCAAGTTTGAGCAAAGAAAACAAGCGGAAATACGGGACATCGTCGATTACTTGGGTATGTTGCATAAACATACGGGCAAATGCTTCTCCTTCCAAACTGAAGTCTTCTGCTTTTGACTTCTTGATAACGGCCATGTCGTAAAGTTCCCGGAGTGCCCGAACAAATGGCCGGACATGGAATTCTGCTCCCTCAGTAAAAATTCTGAGTGGTTGTGGCCAGGGGGGAACGGAATCAATATTCACGGGAGGTGCGTTCTCATTTGCTTTTCTTGTGAGACTCACTGGCCCGCCATCTGAACAGTAACCACGCTTATGGTTTGCACTTGCACCAGACTTTTGCAGATACATGATAGTCTTGCATCTGCGACACACCATGGGCTTCTGCTACAGTGACGCAAGTGTGTGAGTGTGACTGACAGTACGTTGAATGTTGAACATTGATGAACATACCGGCTGTGCTCTCTTGCCTGCTGTCTTTTTTGCCTTCAGCATCTCCTCACCAAGCTCGACTGCCATGCAGTGTCTCTCCCAGAATGCAGTCCTACCACTCCGAGCTATAACAGATGTTTCAGAACTTCAATGCCAGGGTTCGAAGGACATAGAAAGAGAGGTATGTACATTGGAAATTTCCCTGAGCGATTTGCATGATAATCACAGCTTCTATCTCCTCCAGCTTATCTACAAGTGTCCGAGTATTCTTCTTCACAAAGGTGGACCGCACCGTGCCACTGAACTTCTTCTCCAGGTGATTGTTGTAGTCTTGAGTAGCTTGCACCCACAAGCATGGACTCATCATAAACGAAGCCCAGCGCTGCTCAAGACGAAGCTCCATGAAGAGGAAGAACTCGTCTCCAGATGCAATCGTGAGTGAACGAGCATCAATTCCCATTTTGAAGGAGAAAAGATGCTGCGAACGCATTAGTGGTCGCGAGTCAGGAAGGGGAAGGTGGGCGTTCAACCTGTCATCCTCATCCTCAGGCTCATGAGATGTTGCTTCCAGCTGCCCCGTAGGGTGAGAGAGGACATCAGGGTTTTGGATACGGGTACTAAGTGACTGAGTGGCATGCATGGCAGGAAAGCGATCAAAAAACTGGTGTAGCTGAGGAGTAGATGGGAGTTGAAGCTGCAAGTGTAGAAGATACAGGTGAGTGAATGCATACTGAAGAAACCAAGCTACGCACAGAATCTGCAGAACACGTCTCATCACTTTCGCTAGGTTGGAGGTCAAGTCATGCTCTCTTGTGCGATGACTGCTTTGGAATACTACTCGCTATCTGTTGTCCCTCATTTCGACTTCTACGTTTCTTTGATTCACTGATTCCAGATTCCATTTTGGGAGGATGGTCGCTCACAATGACCTCAACAATTTTGTCGGATGTGAGGTCCTATCAAATTGGTAAGTCTATATGCATATTTGAGTATAAAGGGTCACTTACAATCGTGGTAATACTGCAGCTTGCACTTCCCTCGGCCTGTCTAAATGCGTTTGATTCAGAATGCATGTTGCTCCTTTCCGCAATCTTGAAGGAGGGGCCCTCTGAAACAGTCTCACTGGCAAGGTAGTCTGCATGACCAGAGTTTGGTACCATGGAGTTTGGGAGACTGCAATGGTGATGCCCCGTTTCAGGTAAGAGAAGAAGGGCTGGATCGATGTCGACATCTGTGAGAAGATTCTCCATTTCCGCTTTTGCAAAGATGCTCAGTGACTCCCCAGCTTCATCCTCATCTTTGATCTCTAGGAGTCCTCCAAGGGAAATGTTGATCGCATGCTGAGATCGCACCAAACTGAACTCCTCTTTGGATTTGGCAGATATTATCTCAGCCTGAACCGTAACGCTCTGCAAGCGAAGTCCTCGGCCCTTCGATGCTGTGAGTAGTGAATTTTTGAGCCTTCCAATCCTGTTAACTAATCCGGTATGATGTGATCCAAAGGTCAGAACAATGAAGTTTCCATCAGAGTGTTTCTTCATTCCAACTCGAACATTGCGTCGGAGAACGTGGTCATGACCAAGTGCATGTACCATCTCCATTCCACTCGCATTGGCCCTCATTATTGAGTTCCAGTGTTTGTGTGAACCCTCTATACGACTCCCATCCGTTCGAATATCTTGACGTGAACATGTTAGACATCCTTTCCGGGCATGTTCAAGCTGTACTTCATGGATCTGGGAACGGTAATGTCAGTCTTTATCTTACTGTGATTTTTTCTTCTTACCCTCCATGCACCCGCCGACCAGACACCTTCATATTTCAGCCACTTGTCGAAGACACCAGAGAGGTTTTCACTTTGCTCCTCCTTCGACCAGTACTTCGCAGGCTGACTGTTCTCAGCAGGCGTTTGTAAGATTGCATGGCTGATGTCATATGAGACAGCCTTGTAATATTGGTTTCGTGTATCGCCGATAACGCCTAGAAGATATCTATCAAATGTGTGAGTCGGCCCGGCTACCTCTCTGTGACAAACAACTAAATACCGTTTCAAAACATGCCAGCAGTCTTGGAAGACCTCAAGGTTCGGAATCTCCTCACACAGAAATGCTCGAGAATGACAACAGTTATCAACAATTGCCTGTGAAGGATACGGCCGCCCAAGTAGGTCACACCATTGACAATATCCTCGTAGTGTCTCTTTGATATCTCCCGCTGCAAGTGATTGACATAAGCGCTACAGAATTATGAGGTCAAGTTATCATCAGCATCGATATCTGTAAGTAAAGCTCAATACGACTTACCCAAGCTAGGATCTCACCGTCCTCATTAATTATACTCAATAGCCCACCATGCATCGGCTTTGATCTTGTGAGAGTCTCATCTGCGATACTCGCTTTATTGGCAGCTCTGAATGTTTGGTCTAATGAGATGCATTCCCCTACATATTTTACGAGTGTCACGCTATGCATCTTTTATTAGATAGGGATCAACTCAGACTCACCTGTCAAGGTACATATATATTCACTTGATTCTCATTGACGTGTACGCTCACTGAACTGCAGGTATACATCAGTGATTAGATCATCGGTAATCCACTTGTCACAGTATCCTTCAACATCAGTGGGTGTCGAGAATGATTCCAAGTTTGCCGGCATCACGTTCAATGTTTGTTGTCCTGATGGTGCAATCTCTGCTTTTGACTGAAGACTTGGATTCTGTTCTTTGTATGTGCGATAATATTCCAGAACATTCTGATGGTATTCAAGTAGGTGTAATTCTGCATGGCACAATCAGTGTGGTTGGCTGTGGATATAGCAGAGACATTACATACATTTTATATTCTCTGCGAGTCCGCCTGACGTCGAAGATGGCTGTAGCTCAATGATTCGATCAAAGAGCTCTCGCATCAGTGCACAACGTTGGAGAAAATATGGAATACCCCCTGCAGGTTCATGTAAGTCAGTATAACTATTAACAGGGTGATGGCGACAACTAACGAGGTATTTCCCAGTGGTCACAGCTCTCCCAGAATTGTCTGTTTGTCGTCGCAAAACAGTACATTTCCTGATCACTCTCTTTACACTTTGAACAGCGCAATTGGTATCCAAACGCCATTTCCTCTCATCGAAGACCATGGACCTCTCGCGGACCACTTGCCACCCAGCCATCCCATGTGACTTCTTCTGAGTGGCATTGTGGACAATGTGATAGCTGAGGGTAATAGAAAGGGTGGATGATTGTGACTGCACGGAGGTATGTATGTGAGGGCTTGACCTTCGTGCTAACATTTCTTGCTCATATGTCAAGCCAAGTTGGAGGATTAAACATCGGTCCAAATAATGGGACTTCTGGTTTCAATGCGGTACGTGAGCCTCTCACGATGCTCTTCAAGTTACCATTGATGCGAGTGAGTGCATTTAGGAAATTGACATATTCGACGATGTTGGCAATCCAAATGAGCTCCTTCTCAATCTTGGGCTGACTGTCACGTTCTCGACTTTTACCCCAGGTTGCCACTCTCTGTTTTACCTTTGCATGTGGTATGTCAGTATAAATGGGTGCTCTATTGCTTCAGTTTCTAACCTTCGTATTCCAGTTGTTCAACATTTCTTTATGATCCGGTGATAGCTTCAAACTGCATAGATGAGCGAGTACAACCTCGGGATTGAATGAGGACATATTTAGTTAAGTTGAATGGGAAAGATAATGGGATGGAGAAAGATGTTCGGTATATAGGGGGTGGCTTTGCACCTCAACTTCAACATTGCTGTCAACTCGGTCTCTCAATCGTCGGCGGTGCGCTTGTACTCAAGACGGGTCGGTGAAACTCTTCGCTTCAGTGGAATATGCAATAGAGAAATAGGAAAATATATTGCAGCCATTTCTTGTGATGCAAGGAGATTACTGTGCAGTAGGCAAAAATGGTACGTACTAACTATAGTGACTATGCCGGATGCACATGAAATAGCTTTGCAAAGAATTTAAGATAACATCGTCTTCCCTCTTTTACTTCATAGTGAAGTGTGAAGACTACGCGAACGGCAGGTGAATCGCACCCAATTGGTAGGCTTGAGTCTTCAATTGATGGTACGGCATGCAACCCCTGGGCATCGAGAATAGGAATGTCTGATGCCTAATTTCATTCGGGTTGCTAAGTCAACATTGTAAGAGAGAAACGTGAAGATTACGAACCGTGCGCCCATCACTTGCAAGCTCAGGATGCCATTCTATCCTGATCCTCATTGCCCCACTTGCCCTGTCAATATGAAAGAGCTTTGAAAAGTCGGTGGTGAAAATATGTGCTGCTCGTCGACATAAGGAGAGAATGGCATCTCTGAAGTGAGACCATTCAACTCTTGAGGCAGGGTCAGAACGAGACTCAACCCAGAATGATGCTATGGGTTTTGTGCGAGTACCCTCTATGTTCAGAAAGGTATTGCGAGATGTCGGGATGATGAAACAGCGGTCAGGAATGATCTGACCAACTACATCAACTCGGAGAGGGCATGCACAAACCCTGATTGGAATTAGTAGAGGCCGTTGTAGAGTACGGCAGCAGGTCCATAGTCCGTGTTGGTCCTCTTTGAAGGCGATTGCATTAAGACCATGTCGCTCATCCACTGCTGTATTTCCAAGGTGATGTATAGTGATATGATCTAAAGTCTCAATGTAAGAGTCCATCGAGAAGTGCGTTGTTCAAATGTTAAGAATGAGCGTTCAAAAGCAGGGGTAATGATCGGACTTGCCAGGTATATAACAAACCGTGGACACTGCAACAGTCGACCTTTCTGTCAGCCTCGTCAGATTAAAAGTTGAGAGAAACCTACATTATTTGACTGCACCAACGTGAGCTGCAGTTGCTTCTCTTCATATCGAGAGCTGCTCTCATTGGCCGATATGTAAATCATCATTTGTTCGGTAAAAAGAATTGAATTGTGTTGCCTACAGCTACAGTAAATATGTGAAAAGTGCTTGAATATCAAGCACTCAGAATGCACCCTTCAGATGACCAACAATGCGACCGAGTGACGACTAAGTCCATATACTCTCTCACCGCAACTTGCGGTTCACCCTTGGAAGACAATTTGCTTCAAGCATTTAGGTCCCCGTGCCGCTTAAGCGCCGCCTCCGGCGGCGCACGTCCCTTGGAATGACCCATTTTCCCACATGCAACATACCCAGCGTCACGGACTGTGTCTCTTACCGTGACGGTCTGTTCTTGTAAGTTCTTCCTACTTCAGGTCGGACGCTTTTGATGAGTTTTTGATGGCTTCTTTTGTCTTGATACCCAAGATAGTAGGGCCATCCATTCAACGAAGTAAGTGTCCGAATTTTTTTTATACACTCGGCCTTACAGACTTCTCAAGTCATAGCAGCTGCGTTTAGTTTTGACACTAGGCGTAGATGTGAATGAGCACCGTTGACTGTCGTTGGCTTCATTGTCATGCATATCAACCAACGTCGACTGCGTTGATTAGACACCTTTATCGGTGCAGTCTTTGTTCAACCTTTCCGCCATTCGTATTCTGGTGGAGACTTCCCTCACATGTAGCAGACAAATACAACCACCCGAAAGTCTTCTGCGACACGCGCAATCCTGAACAGGTTCGTTTATTCCTGGTAGAATATCAAGGCCGCAGTAGATACAAATTTGTACAAAACCTGCCACCTTCTTATCACGCTCTGATCCTTCAGATCCTCATTTCTCCAAGGAGGCTGGTTGCTAGAGGCGGCCCTATGATATCAGTTCTACTTGTATCAACCTCACCTTGTCTACTTCTGTCGGTTGCCGCTGCATCTGAAGTTCTTATGCTAAGCTCGCCTTTCTTGTGTATCCTTGTCCGGGATACACCTGCGCGATACCGTTGCGCCACCGAAGCAGCTTATGTGCTCAGGCATGACTGGTTGCCCGAACCTTCATTAGAAGGCTGGGCTATCCATTCTCGAAACTATCTTTCCGTACAACTGTTAATGGCCCTGGAGCGCGGTTTGCATGTTGTCACCTACATATTCTGAACGTTCATCATAAAGGCGTCAATGCGTTTCAGATATAATACACTGGTCACTGCTGTAGCAAGACAAAAGTGGTCCTTGTCAAGATCTCCGTGTTCTGGGCAACCATCTCCAGATCAGCCCCTCCATTCGTCCTTCTCATCACGATCGTCCCCGCCTCACCAACGTTCCCGGCAGCAACCAAGAACTCATTCTCGTCCCCACCAAATTCCATTCCACGGATCTGTTGCAAGCCCGTGAAAACATGCTTGACAAACTTCAATTGGGGCTCCACCTCGTAGACAGCGATGGCATCGCCCTCTGGTGCTGGTACCGGCCCAATGTTCCTGTTTGATGCGTAAATGTAGGCTTTGGGAAACTTAGGTGAAGAATCGAGGAGGCGGATCTCGGCTGCCGCAAATTGGGCTTGGGGAGGTGGGTTTGGAGGGGTTATGTTAAAGGTGGCTATCATAGGTGAAGGCGCTGTGGGGTCCTGAGGAATAGCTTGTTGAGTGAGTGTGCTATCTGTTTCATGAATGGTGTACAACGTGTTTCCTGCAGATCGGCTGTGTCAATTACGATCGCCCTTGGACTAATTGCAGCCAACGTGTTCTCACCTTTGACAGCAATGTGTCGTGGACCGCTATTTGGAGGTTGTTGCAATTGACCTTGGATCTTGTATTCGCCAGTGATGTTGTCTTTTGCCAATCTCCAGACGGTATCGCCTCCCTATTGAATGTGAATAACGCAATTTCTACCATGTCAATGTCCTAACTCACCAGATCAGGTACTAAGACTTCTGAGCCAACGTCCAACGCCATATGCGGTCTGGAGAAGTTGCTCGGCGGCGGCTTCTCTGGTGTTGGAAACGTCACAACAGGTGCAGTATCATCGAATTCAAGGGGATCTTCTTTAGTGGGGACGAACTTGCCATCACCAGAGCCAAACTGAACCATCCAATAAGCTTACGAACCGTTTCTAAAATTGAGAAGAGGGTGATACTTACGTTCATTATAGCCACTTCTCCCGTAGACAATGGATTGACAAAAGCCGGTCCATCTCCCCCAGAACTCGCGTTAGCCACATTGAACAATGCGCCATCTTGCCCTACCAAGAATGATTGTAGTTGTCCTAGGCCATTGAATGCCTCATTCACGGCACTAGATATTCATCAGTCCCAACAACAGATAGGATAATGGAAGTTGACGTACTAGAGAATACTCTTGTTTGTAGGATGTGAAGCTATCCAAGACGGATTCTCTCCAGAAGGACTTTGGCCCAACAAAGTCAGATTAGAGGAGGTAGAATTGAAAAGATAGGTAGCAATGAAGTTGGTATATCCGCCTGCGAGAATGATAAGGTTGACCATCGTGTTCGTTGATATGAAACTAAGTGTAGGCTCCCGGAGCCCCGTAAAAGAAGAGGGAATAAGAAGAGATGGACCCGTGTTGTCGAGAGCGGGTCCTCTTATATATTCACAAAGGTCAAAGAAGAAACAACAGGAAACAACGCCCGCTTTGCCACTGGAACCGAATCTTTGGAAGCATCGTTTGCAAGCCGGACAATAGCATGTTGACCTCGTTGCCTCCTGATTGTTTTGCATTAGTCTCACGATGCGAGGAAGATCGAACGCTCAACGCCAACAAAGGACAGTTTGTCGCCGTCCTATGGCTTAGCCCCATAGTAACATGAACAGATGCCAGATTTTGCAGTGCAATATTCACCGGTTTGGTAGAGGTGAGCGTCCATTGTGCAAATGCCAAGGAAGTTTTGAGTTTGAGGACCTACGTAGTCCGTTGAGAGCCTCATTAGTCCAACATGGACAAGTTATGAACGGAACGTGTTCTAATGCGTATCAGTCCTGGTAGAGTTTCTCTCGAACAGTCGGTATAGAGCGTCACATGATTCAGTCTAGCCTCTTCACAGCCAGACGAAACTGGTCCGAGTCGGGAGAACCGTATCCTTTGCAATGATCTCCAAATCCGCACCTCCATTGATTCTCCTCAGCATAATCACTCCAGCATCTCCAGCAACGCCTGAAGCAATCAAGAACTCATTCTCCGGTCCACCAAACTCCATACCACGAATCTGGTCCAATCCAGTGTAGACGTGCTTGACGAACTTGAGCTTAGGCTCTATCTCGAATATAGCGATGGCGTCCCCTTGGGGATCCACAACGGGGCCAGTGTTTCTGTTTGAGACGTAGATGAAAGGTTGACGGAATTTGGGAGAGGCTTCGGTCAACAAAATCTCGCCGGCATGCCATTCGGCTTGAGGCGGCGGGTTGGGTGGTATGATGGAAAAGTTGGCTACGATCGTGGAGGTACCATTGGGAGCGGGAGGAATGGCTTGTTGAGTGAGCGTGCTTGAGAGCTCGTGCAGAGTGTACAAAGTATTGCCTGCGGAGAAGTACAATCGGTTAACATGAGGTTTGATCTAACGATCCACAGCTAATAAGCGTGCCTCTGGTCGCAATGTGCCTAGGTCCGCTGCCTTGTGGTTGAGTGATGAATCCTTGAATACGCCAGTTCCCAGGGGAGCCGTCCTCAACCAGTCGCCAGACTTTGTCTGCACCCTACATACCAAATTAGTTTCAGTGATTATGGACGAAACGCGAGTGCTAACCAAGTCCGGAATGAGCACTTCGGATCCATGTTGAAGTGCCATGTGGGGGTGAGACACCGCAGCAGGGAATTGGATGAGGTTTGCTGAGGCGAAGTGCAGAGGATCTGTGGTCGTTGGAATAATCAAGCCATTGCCCGAGTTGTACTATGTACGAGTGGGGGTGTTCAGCTAATGAATTGCGTTCAACGTATTAGCAGGATTTTCCGTACATTCATGATAGCAATTTGTCCAGTGGACAAAGGCCCTGCAAAAGCGGGACTGTCACCACCGGAGCTGGCTTGTCCAATAGGACCTGACAGGATGCCTTGACTGCCGATGGTGAACGATTGAAGTGCACCTTGTGCGTTCTCATTCACAGCACTACATAAGCGAACGTATCGTCTCAAAAGATGCACAATTCAAGCATTATTCAATAGTTACTCACTAGAGAATACTCTTGTTGGTAGGATGCGAAGTTATCCACGAAGGGTTGGCACCCGTCGGCGACTGGTTCAAATACGTGAGAGACGAAGTATCCGAGTTAAACAAGTAAGCAGCGATGAAAGAGGTGTACCCTCCCGCCAATATCGTAAAATTGACCATTTTTCAGTGGTGGTGATCAAAACCCGAGTCTAACCATCAGGTAGCAGAATGGACCCTTATACCCATGACGCCGCTTATATATAGTGAGATCCACTGGACATTCGCGAAGAGTAATGGGGGCCGGACGAGTGGTATTTGTCCGACGGTGTCCCGTGGAGCACATTGCAATGACCTTCTTGTACGGCATCACATGTCCACCAACGAAATGTAACGATCAGAACTTCATGGGCGGGGACCTTCAACAGGAACTGAAAATGCAGGGAACTCACATAGCACCCCATAGCACGCTAGGAGGTGTCGCGCGATTATACAAGGCGACATATCGGCGATAAAATCAGAAACTCGGTAGGAAAGAAGACGAGGGGTCGGTTTTCTTAGTGATTGACCGAATCTGTTCCGTTTCATAAATGATACGCTCGAATTTGTCCACTCACCTTGCGTCGAAGCAGGTTGCTCGATGATATCGGTGTTGGGTTTAGTTAGTCTTCGGACGGACTCCGGTACGAACAGGTCAAGGTTAGCTCTTGATGAAATAAGCTGTAACAGTCGTGGTCTCGGGATGGGCTGTTATGATGTCAGGATAGCAGGAGATGAAGAATGTTAGTTACTGCCACGCTTGCTGGCTCCCTAAATTTCGTAGACACACGAATGGCGGGTGTCGAAAGGCGAGAAGAATGAATATGTGGCATATCTCATACATGTTCGACATAACTGCAAAGGCGGCATGCGTAAGGTCTCGTGGACGGAGTGACCGCTGAACGACCGGAGATGCTGAGGACAGAGCCTGGCTCATAAATTCTGCATGCAATGAAAGTCGAAATCATAGGAGCCTACAAAGCGAAAGGGGAATGCAGGGAAAGTAGCTTAACGGCCGCCCTTGCCACCCTTCATCTGCTGCTTCGATATTCTGGGGCCGGCGGTGGTGGGCGCACGGGGAGCCTGAGTGAAAACAAAGATTCAGATGCATCTGGAAAAAAAAAATCTGGGTAATCCGCACCTTGACCTTCTCCTTCTTGTCCTCCTTAGCCTTCTTCTCGGCCTTAGCCTTGGTGATGGCGGCTGTTCGCTGGGCAGCCCGGACCTGAGCGGTCTGGTTCCTGCGGGCAGCGATGGCAGCAAGGTCGGCACCAACGATACCACGCTGGTGCTTCACGGTCTTTCGTGAACGCTTCTTGGCGACCTCCTCAGTGATACCCTTCTTGTGCATGCGACGGTAAACGACCGTCCAGGCGAGCTTACGGGGGTTCTTGCGTTGCAAGAAGAGCGACTCATTCTTGGAGGAGGCGAAACGGAAAATCTGGCAGCAAAGGTAAGACACTATAGTGGCGTGAAGTTGATTTAGATGCGGACCTTGTTGTCCCCCCGGACGAAGAGGCGGCCCTTGCTGGGGTAGATACGGTAGCCGGAGAATGAGTCGATTTCAACCTTCTATACTCCGAAAGGATGTAAGTAAGATTCTGTGTCTGGACAGGGTAAGATCAAACGCACCATCTGGAACAGCAACACGTTGGAGACAAAGATCGTCAGTCACCAAATTCTCGAAAACGGTGGAAAGGCAGTAGTCTGTCATCCGAGATTCCATCCAGCCATCCATCCGACCAAGTGTCTCTTCTACCCAAGTTGGACCATTCATTCTGCTCCTCTTGGTCCTCTGGACATACTGCGACCGTAATCTGCTGCATCCAAGCATGAATTCAGGCTCACCTTGAGGAATTTAGGGGGTCGCCTTGAGTCGGGGTCGTTGGTATGCCTTGCCTATGCGGGCGGGCGTCTGCTGTGTGAAAGCCAAATATTTGGTCTCTTTCCTATTCTGGGCATTTCTCCTTGTCTTTCTTTCTGTCTCAGACTAGACGTCCATGCTATAAGGCTCGTCTCGCGCAGTGGCAGCTCTTTTCCCTGGCCGCCATGGCGGAGGTTTTAAATTATACGTTCTGCTATACGCCAGAATCCTTTGACTATGCCATGTCCATCTTGTCTCGCTCATCGTTCCTTATACTGGATTGTGAAGGAAACAATCTCGGCAGAGCAAAAGGCTCTATATCACTCATTTGTGTGGGGACACCTCTCGCTGAACAGATCTTCCTCATCGACACTCTCAGTCCTAGCTTGTCTCCCGGACATCTCGAAAACCTTTGGCAGCTCTTCCGCGACCCCAGGATAATTAAGGTCGTTTGGGATGGTAGGATGGATTTTCTTGAAATTTGGAGCACCTTTGGGGTGCCGTTACAGGGTGTTCTGGATCTCCAGGTTGTAGAGGTTGTCTCCCGGTTCACTATGAGAGGCGAGGGAGAGATGGAACGACTTGAACGTCTCACACGATCAGGTTTCTCCCGTATTGCAGTCTTCAACTATAGGTTGCAGTACACAGGACTCAATGCACTTATTGGATTGCAAAGATGCTGTGAAGAGAGTGGTTTCGGTGAGAAGTTCTGCAAGGATCGTAAGTCCCGTCAAGAAGTCTTTCTGCTCTTTGAACGGCTCAACACACGCCCTTCATCCATGTAGCCGAGGTCAAGCAAATGCATAAAGACAACAAAAGTGATGTCTGGATGCAGAGACCCTTGACTGAACAACTCCTGCAATACGCTGCAAAGGATATTCAGCTCATTTCCATGATTTGTACGGACTTCATTCAGAAAGGCTGGATTCCGAGCGATCCACACGCATACTATCACTTACTCGCACAATGCGCACGATACGTCTCTGCACATAGGGAACAAGGCAAATCAGGCGAGACAGATGCTTTTCGTCCCACAGCCATCATGCCTCTGGACGTCCTCACCGAGCCTTGGGGTATGCAACATCAATGTGTTGCCTGCCGCCGTTCGCTGTCCGTCTCCTGCTACCAGGTCCTCGAAGATGGGTTATATCGATGGAGAAGGCCGAGGTGCAGTTTATGTCATGTTCTCGCTATGAAGCATAGGATCGAAGCAGATGCGAGGTGGCTTCTCTTACCACCCGAGCCCATCTCCCCATCTTCACCGGGGTCCCCACCTATAACGTTCGGCTACTGATTTTATCCATGGACAACCTATCGTGAAATTGTCCCATTCTTGTTGTACTCAGACATGCTTCGTACACCCCTTCAACTTTCCTCCCGTTGTTTTATTACGGACTATTGACATTTGTAGTGTCGACCACCACTGTGACTATTATATCTAAACCCACGACTCACTCGTTCATCTACTGTACTATTAATGTTACGTTCAGTGCTCCAATATTATTGAAGACGAGATACAAAGTCATTGATATATCATGAGTACGGGGTCAGAGAAGGCATAGGATACAACAAGCATGGTCCAGACTCGAAGGGTAACATACAAATGAGAGACAGAGAGCGAGCCAAAGATCATGATTATGAGCCGCAGTGATTAAGACCCGCACCACAGAATTGTGCAACGAGGACCCATACGAAGGTCTATTGAGAGACTCAAAATAAGCAATAAAGCCGCTTGGGAAAGGAACAAGACTTACAAGCCCAACCACTCCACTCAATGCAACAATCTTCGTATTCTTCCACCACATACTCCTCCTCACAGTCCTTGCACCCCGTCTGAACGCCGTCGCTTGACTTGCCATACTATCTGTCTTGTCCACAAGCAACTCGATACGTTCACCTCTCGAAAGGATCTGTTCGACATTCTGAACCATGATATCCTTCACTTGCGCTAGTTCAGATTGCGCTCGGGTGAGTTCGTCGGTTGGAGGTGCGGTGTTGTATTGGTTCATGAGTTGCGCGATGGTTGGGCCAAAAGAACCTTGGAGCACGTAGGCCGGTGGGTCGGAGAGTGAGGATGACTGACCGAGGGTGCTGAATTTCTGTTGCAGTTCAGCGAGGAAGGTGAATGGCATTCTCCTGTAAGGAGTATGTGTATGTTATGTGCTATTTGGAAGTAGACATTGAGTATAGATGAGCATACCGTCCTGCTGAGTCGTCCGCCATTACGAGATAGGTATATCCACCTTCGGAGACATAGTGGAAGAGGTATTGTTCCCAAACATACGTGAGCTTGCTGTTATTCGGGGGTATCTTAGACAAAATAGTTTGTGTCGCTGTGAAAGAGACCGAATCAGACAACGTCTGTAAAGATATACATAGTTTAGACGTACCTTGCGAGAAATCCCGTGAGCCACCCTGGTGCTCCGCCAGGATAGTGTTGCCCTTCGCAACGAGAGCATGTATCTACAATTCCCTTTTCAATTAGTAGCTATTCGTATGATACCAATACTGCACCGTTCGGACATACCAAAGACATAATGAGATTAAGGTGAAAGGTAAGAGTGTAGGAGATAACTGCGGTAACAATGACCGAGTAACCAAATCCAGTTATTCCACGTGCTATAAGCGCCCATTGCTAGAACGTGTCCGCCAGCGCAACTTGTACTGAAAGTCCCATCTCACCGTTCACCATCACCATGGTACGTTGTTGAATATCTCTTTCAGTATATCCTTTGACTTAACTTATGATTGCCTTCAAAACCAGTCTGATTCAGAACCAAGCCGCACTGTAGGCCGTCCCACTGGCGCGTCTGTAGCGAAACCTCCTGGTGCTCAGGTTCGGTATGTCAACTATATTTGCGCTTGCAAGTCGCAAGTGGTTAACTTAACTCGTGTGTCTACTAGACGGAGAGCGGCTGGTTCGCAGGCAGCAGCAAAGCCTAACTCCTCTCGTGCAGCTGGCGCCGGGGGCTCGTCGAACACGATGTTGAAGCTTTACACAGACGATTCACCAGGACTCAGGGTGTACGCCTGCTTCCTTCTAACCTCATGGCCATCATAACTCACCATTACCTGTTGCCGCTTTAGAGACCCATTCATTGTCTTGATGCTCTCCATCTCCTTCATAGGCTCCATTTTCTTCCTTCACATCTTCGCCAAAGTCGCTCGGTACTGGACCAAATAATCAGTTTACTCCCCGCACATTCGTTTTTGGGTTATAGTGGATGATCTGGCGTATCTCTGATCTCTGTTCTTCCACTCTCGCTGTACAAAACGCATCGCTCATAGGAGCGTTTGTCTGTATTTCGGACGGTATTTATAGCGTTTGGCTTTAATCCGGACTTAGGATGGTGACCGACGAGGTTTCCGTGACCGCATTTGTCCATGTCTTTCTAGCTCGCGAGTCCATCTAACTTTACTCAGACTGCTTTCAAGTCATCCGATATCCTGGTTAAACGGCATTCGTGAGATGTCATTGGAGGACTGTACTAATGATACATATACGATATAACTGAACAGCAACCTCCCCTCCTCAAGAAGTGGCGTGCATACTAAGTATACATAGATACGTGTGTGAATCAAACATACCAGTCACTAATGCCTCGAGGGGATCCCAGCTCCAAATGTTAGACGGCGAAAGGACGTCTTGCTAAGATTCCAAATATAAATACCCCTTTTCATTGTACTCGCTGCCCATCATTATTCGCCCGTAAACTCCGTGTTAAATTGGACACGCCAGAGCCCGAAGTTGATGACACAGAGTTAGACTTCATGCGGAAGCTACCGGTGTCTGACGGCCTACGATTGTAGGGTGGTCTCTGTGGTAACGTAGGTTGAGTGAACATCATCGCGTCACGACCATAGGCGTTATACGACGAAGTCGCAGAGGTCGGATCTTTCACGGGCTTATTCCTCTCACGTTCTTCGCGCTCGCGTTGGGCCTGCTGAGCTGCATCACTAGCTCTGGACACGTTACGTGGTGGTTGATTTTGGGCAGAGGCGGACGTGGAGGCACAAGAGACGGGTGAAGGGTTACGGGTGACAGGAACGGAAGAATTGGGCGATTGCGTACGTCGCTTCGGAGCGTAGTCGGCAGGCATGGCGGTATTCATTATGGCAGGACTGGTGAGAAGTTCTTCCAATTGCAGCTTTTTCCTTTCGATGTCATCCTCATGTGGTTCCTCTGGAAGAGAATCATGCGTAGGCTTCCGAGATAGAGTGGGCCGTCGAGGTCGTTCTTGGCTAGAACCAGATGATGACGACGACGAACTAGAGTCTCCATAACGCGAGTACTGGAAGCCAGATACAGCAGGTGACGATGAGCAACTAGACATGTTAACGTCCACAGAGCTGCGAGGCAGGGAACGAGGGGTGACATCCATGTCGTGCAGGCTGAACTGCGAATCTACGGGCTTGCGGTAGATCTCGCGGTAAGGCTTAATAGTTATTGGCTGAATCGACCGTACATGGTACGGATTCGGCTTCAAGTCTTCTGTGTCGCTCTCCTCAGTAAGCGCGCGGAAATGTGGTGCAGTGGACCTGAGAGCAGAGATCTGGGCGGATGCAGGAATAGGGGAAAGTGTGAACATGTCGTTAGTCATAACCTTGTCCTTCGGTAGACTGATTGCCATCTCGTCAGAGTCTGGCTCCGTGAACGGACGATCCCTCGAATAAGTCTGGTACCGAGGTTCATACGATGGAGGAGGAGTGGGAAGGGGAGCAGAACTCTGGGCTGCCTGTAATCGCTTATATTCTTCTTTGAGTCGCATGTACTTTTCCAGAGAATATTCATTCTGAAACAAAATTTAATAAGTAGAAGTTCTCGATGCGCGCTTATCGCATACGCACTTGCCTGTGCATGATTATTAGGGCACGGTCGAGCATACGACAACAAGGTGTGGCACTCACGATTTCAGGTGATCAATTTCCCCTCTAAGCTGCTTCTCCTTTATTGCAGCAGCCTCGTTCTCCTGATGAAACTCTTTCTTCATCCGCGAGATTTGAGCCTCATGCATGCTAGTCTCCATGTCTATCCGTAACTTGAGTTCTCGAATCTTATCTTTCTTCTCATCCACCTGGGACTTCTTGCTGGAATACCGGAACAGCAACAAATACATAGCGTTCAACTCTGGATACTGAAGGACGATGTAAATATGAGTACATTGGGAAAGTTGACACTGAAGAGTGATTCACCTCTGCTCGGTCCTGAGTGTTCAACCATACCTCAACGTTACTCAGCAGTTCGCGCACATCCTTCGGATCAGAGCCATTGAAGACGACGTGCATGATACGAGCGAGAAATTCTTTTCCTTGGGAAGGAGGCTCGTACGCCGGCTGCTCAGGAGAAGATAGAAGTGGGGTCGGCGATGAAACGCCTGGCTTATCAATATGCAACCTAATGGCCTCCTCTAAGTCGAAAGATTGGCGACAAAGAGGACACCGTGGTCTGTCCAGAGAATGCAGACAGCTACAAAGTTCCCGGATGAAAGGCAAGTCGTTGAGCGTCGTTATGAATGTTATGGTAAAACGCCTTACCTGAGACAGTAAATATGGCCGCACTCAATAGCATGAGGGACGTTGTCATTGTCGTAGGTTTCGAGGCAGACATCACAAACGGACTTGGGATGGAGGATCAGCATTGTCTGAGATGGGGAGCAAGAAGGGCAGACCCGGAAGCGGAGAGAAGAATGGCCGTTGGGACGCTATAAGCCTGCTCTGATCGCCTAACGCCATTCGCATGCCGGGCAGACCGTCTACAAAGAGCACCGGGGGACATGCATCCAATGCACATTCTATCCATGAGGCGCCAGTCGATCGGCTCTGAATCTCAACGCTTCTCGGCGTGCGCCTTTCATAGAAGGTGCTCTGAGCTTGTGAATGATCCGCAGATGGGAACTCCAACCCAAGAAGAGGGATCAGCCTCGGAGTAGCTGGATACTGGATCAGTACAGCTGACACACCTCTGTGAATGATAAGAGGCGGACCTTAGTGGTAATAACCTGTATACATCTACAACTGTATCATGGCGGTCATGTCTCGTATGCCCAACCTCGCTTGCTCCGAAACCTTCAGTGAGATGCAAGATGCACCAGATGAGAAGGATTGATACCGAAACCGGAAGTCGGCTCGACTCCGTACCCTCGTGCTTGCAGCGTGTACCGTCCAAAGGCTAACTTGGAATAAGCAAGTATGCCATCCGAATTCCTTGTACATAATACACGAGGAAAATGACGCAGCTTCGCGATGATTGCATGGTGAGAGGCTGGATTCTTGACATTTCATGAAGGTGGGGAAGTCACGTCAGACGAGGGCGACTGTACGCATTGGCTGTCAAGAATCTCCTATCAGCAATGCATATGCCTTGCAGCTGAGAAGACCAGACACTATTTGGACGCACAAATAGCGCAATACAAGCCATCCCGGCTGGCCAAGCCTACGCTGTGCCCATCTAAAGTTGAGACATCCCCCGGAAAGCAACGATTCATAAGACGAAAACGGAGCACGGAGAGTGCTTTGAGATACTGATGCGGATCTCGGCAGCTTGATAGTTTGGGTAAGTGAGAGAATTGAAGACGCCTTTGAACCAACCTGCGGGATCGAAGAATTCTGGGGGAGGATAAGAGGCCGTAAAGGAGGTTTGCACTATAACTAAATGTGGGACCAATTCGAAGACTCGAAGACAATTCAAGTACTTCTGAGCATCCCACAGGTGTTTTCCAATCGCCCTGCAGGGCACGAGGCCTATAGCCGGGCGATGGCAATGCACGTTCATTCCTGCTCCACTATGCCATGTAGGACCAGGACTTCTTGTGATACCTATCCAACAAACACCTCAGGGCACCGGGAGGTATGGATGAACAGGCAATACCCCATTGACCGAGTCAGTGATTCGGTCACTAGAAGCCTTCACACGCCGCGTGAATATGAGATTAGGTGGATAATGTCCGCGCAAAAAAGACATTCTCATAGAACACGGAAGCAATTAAGACGCACGTAGAAGCAATATCGCGAGAAATTAAGATTTAGAAAGAGTGAGAGAAGGTGACCAGTGGCTGTTAATTAATAAACACGTTGCAGTGCAAAAAAAAAAAACCGGATTCTCACCTCACGACTTTACTTCCGGTAAGACCAGAATGATGAAATAATACTGTACCCCTTACTTCCAATTTGTCAGAGCTCTAGAAGATTCTCATTGCTCTTCATGAAAGGTATCATGAATTATGTGTCGTGTTACAATTGTGGAATAGACCTGGGAGAGTTACGGAAATACATAAGGAAGAGTAGATAGGGACACGAACCTTTGTGCCCCAGAATATTCCTGTCTGACGCATGGCATCCATCCCGGTGAGGATATCCTGCAAGACTCATGTCCATGAAGGTAGAAACAGAGCCGGGGGCCCACAACCTACAAGTGTGTTGAAGCAGGTTCAAGCGGCTAACGGACGCTGCCGGCCCGGTGACAGCGTATACATGTCCGGCTCCGGCTACCACCATGAAGAGAAAAACAGGTCAGACATCACTGTGGGCCCCCATTAATTGACTCTCAGAATATGAAGGTTGTCGTCAAGTAATAATGTGTCCTGCAACGCACTACAACGCGTACCTCTTGATTAATACGGTGGCTTCAAACGCGGAATATCCCCCCCTTCTTTCGTTCCAATGAAGATTCACAATTCGCTCGATGGTAAGTAAGGAACTATCTGCATGTCGTGTCTTTTGTTAATTACAGTTGTCCTTATTTGCTTGGATCGTGCTTAGGTTCCGCCGGACGACGGTTTCGTACCAACTGTGGTGCTTACGCTTGGGCTTACACTTCGCGTTACAGTCATCCTCTCTGTCATGGTCACGGTGGAGATAAAGAAATGTCGAATATCTTTGTATATGGATCAGGCCCACATTTCCGGACCTCGCTGTGTCTTTCAAGGTCTCAGGCTCTCAGCACACCCTGTGATTGTGCCTCAGACGACATCAGGTGCACCCGTGCATATTGCTCTTCCGTGCCGATCTACATGATCTGTGGCTCGTCGAAGCTTGCCCGCACCCTATCATGATCTCAGCGAGGCTCAAAGGTCTAATATTGCATTGTTTGGGGACCAAGCACTTTGATCTATAAGTGATCTGGCTTCTAGCGTATGATAGGAACTGATCAGCTGAACGTTTAGAATCCACACAGACTATTCCAAGATGCCGTCTCAAAACGGCCTTCTGCTGTCACTATCGCCGTGTAGTTTATGCCTGGATGAGGCTTTTGTTCACCTAACTTTAAAAATACACGTGTGGTGCGCTATGCGATCCGATGTAGTTCCTTCCATCGGACATCTACGAACAGACCTACTCATTGTTGCTTATCATCCTAGTCCGTGCCTTCCTTCCCAGAGGTCGGTACTTGGTAACTAGCCCTGATACTCGAGTCGACATCATCGAATGGGACGACTCGAGGGATCAGTCATGAGCTCCGAAGCGAAGTAGCATTGACGAAGCTGTGTGGGGGACGTAGGTCGACGCTTTGCATTGTCCTCAGCAACGATTCGTGACCATTAAATTCATCGCTAATGTTGCTCGCAAGCACTTGTCTTCGTCATATCGCCTAGGCATTGCTTTCAACGTGCAACAGTTGGAAAAGTGCTGAACCTTCGTGTCAACATGATCAACCTTTGGGTAAGTTGATATCTGGTGTCTTATATGTTTTCGACAACCTACTCGCTTTCGCAGATGTAGTAATTCAAACCAACCCCGCCACAGCTCTGCCTGCTCTTCCAAACGAATTGACGGACACGTTCATATATGAGCTGCGCCACGACGAGGAGTCTCTATCGTCTTGCATTCCCGTGTGCCAATGTTGGGCGCGCCGATCTCGTTCGCACCTCTTCAAACCAATCACCCCGGACCCAATCGTATGCCCTGACGTCTCATCATTCCATAAATTTCCGCCGTACATAGCAGAACTGTTACACGCTGTGCTGCACGCCGCGAAGGATCTGACATTGCAAAACGGTAGGCACGAGGAACCGTCCCTGGATGCAATTATTGTCCAAGAATTGCTCCAATGGTTCGTCAATGTCGAACGGTTGCACTTGATGGTTGAAGGTGTCGGTCGGGACAACGACGAGTCTCACGACCAACTTGTCATTGACCTCGGTGTTCCCCGTCGTTTGAAATATCTTACCTTATGCCGCATTTGTTAGCAGACTGGTTGCAATGACATTCTCGAAATATTAGCCTTGTTTTCATCCACCAGGACTCTCCATATCGAGGAATGCTATTTGAATGCCGACCTAGAAGAGCCTATCAGATTCCTCGTCATCGATAATCTAGTCTTCGCTATTTGGATTGAGGAAGTCTTCCAAGACTAAATATTTGGACTCCCTATATCTAGTGTGGGCCCGCGCAAACTTGGTTCCGCCCATCGTCTGGATTTCACTTCGCAACGTCAGCCAGACATCGTATATATTCGGATAAATTCTGTGTTCGGAGCCAGTGGAGGAAATACTTGCGACGTGAAAATCAGGACCTGGGAGAAACTGGCTGATACATTTCATACACCCGACGAAGATGATTCTTCCTCGTGAGTTTCATTTACCACATTCTAGAAACAGATTATCTCATCTTTCCCATGACATGTGCAGCTCGTACTATCCTTTTCGGGGTTCTGCAAAACATTGAGTGAATCGGCTCCCTATAATGATATACTCACTTTCATGTTACAATTTTTAGCTCATTCGATGCGTGTGCATCTCAAATAGTATGTATAAATTTCTGAAGTTGAAAAACGTCGAGGAGGCTGAGGCGGAACGATGCCGGTGAAGAGCATGCAAAAATGCTTACACTTCGACGAGTTCTGCAAAATTAGTCACGCATCAGTCACATTCCCACCAGCCAAATCAATGCTCGATGATCTCTGTAGCGCCCTCTATTTGTCACGCTTTCTGTTGCAAAACATATCCTCAGCTCGACGGAGGCATTTTCACATCAATCGGAGCATCCCAATGGATTCCTGAGGGTAAAAAATGGTACCTTAGGATATAGGACCATCTTCTCGCAGCGAGACTCGCGCACGATCTGGCCGAAATGGGTTTTGCAAAGTTCTGCACCGACCCTTTTTGCACTGGCTATCCTTCAGTTTTCATTATTTCGCTGTAGGGCTTCATCTTACGCCTAATGTACACTATATGAGGCTCTAATAACAGTTTGAGATTTATTGAGTGGGTGTGGAAGCCTGCAGAGGGGTTCTGCAAAAAACCAAATTTTGCAGAACCCCAAAAAGGATAGTATGGAACCTTAGCAGGACATCCACTTCGATTGCTGTCCTGCTTTGCAAAAGCTGACTATGAATTGTGACCATTTCGGGTCACCTAGGATGTTCTAGATGACGTCCCCAGAATGCCCGATGTTCTTTTGAATGATGTCCAATGGGAGAGTTTAGCAAATGTTTTGCCTGATGTACAGGCTCGCCTCGAAACCTGCCATTCAATTGCAACAATTCACGTTGAAACTTATAGAGTCGAGAGACCTAAAAGCGCACCAAGCTCCAGGATACCAGGATAATTCTAGGAAACAGGTCTAGTAGTGTAGGACAGTCTAGATCCATTGTTATAAAGGAAGGATTAGCTCTCCTGGGGGGAGGGGGTTTGAAGTAGGTAAGAATTATTGAGTGAATCGCACTGCTCATTGACTGCTCGTTGAACTTGTCCGAATTCGGCGTGTTTTGTTATTCTGCCATCACTCTGTGAGCGCCGACGACTTTCAGAAGCGCCAGTAGTTCCTCATTGCAAACAACTGAATCATAAAGGGGTCTTGTTGTACCTTCGCATCCTTGTAAGTATCACAGCAACCTTGTTTCTCGAAGGTGTAGACCATTACAGACCAGGTAACCACGAAATCTGATTTACCCCAGCTCACACGCTGACAATACCGGTGCCAACTATAATATTTTTCCAAACCCAGCCTGTACTAGCCTCGTGTCGAACAGTCGGACTGGGAAGACAATTGACTCCAACTTACTCGTTAAACATTTCCCCCTCAGTTTTCCAGTCCTGCGTATTTAGTCTTGGCGAGCTGGACAAGCTCGTATGCTTATAGTACACCCATCTTCTGTATGCGATGTCTGTCTCGAGCCGTATGGTTGGGAAGAACAGGCGCGGACACCGCATGCCATCCCGTGTGGACACATCTTCTGTTATTCGTGAGTCTATTTAGAGGCTTTGTATTTCATACACTGACGATCCTTCCAAGATGTCTACAGTTAACGACTCCAAGCAATTGTCCTTTGTGTCGGAAGGCTTTTCTGCCTCAACGAATCAAGAAGATCCATGTTGATCGATTCAATGGAGCGATCGACGATAGTTCGTCACCCGTGTTCAAGCTGCTCATGAAGATCGCAATGGCGAATCATGAATCCGCAACATCAGACGATATGAACGCGGTCGCCTATGAAGCCCAGGTGTGGCTCGCTGACCAAAAGGGCCAAAGTCCACGACCGGTAAGGTTCACTTTAGATATCACTATGGGCCAAACTGGACTATTACTTATTTCAATCTGCATACTTCATCGTGTAGCATGTTTTGGAACAGCAAATGGCCGTAAGGCATGCGGTCGAAGGATTGCACAAGGTACGAGTCGTACAGGAAAGAGCCATGAACCAGACAACACGATTGGAAGACAAGATTAAACGATACGAAACCGAAAATAATAGACTACAGCAAGACCTCCTTCACGCAAAAGTAGTTGAACAAGCTCTCGTCGCTCAGGAGAATAATCGAAGGGATGAGTTGAATATGTAGGTTTCGTTCTGCTGCTATATTCTTTCCGATACTCATTATATATTCTCTTGGGCAGGAAGGTGATAGATAACTCTACGGATGTAGATTTCTGACTGACAACATGTTGACCTATCTTTCCAACAGCTTGAAAGAGCCGAGAGGAAGCTCAGGGATATGAAAGAGGAGATGGCTCGTTTAACGGAGGAGAACAATTATTTCCGTGAAAGATACTTACACACCAGCAATCCCTTACCTCCACCTCCACAGCTGGTGCCCATGGACCACCTTGATTCCATGATGAACGATGCGTCCGGTCCAGGTCGGACGCAAACCTTGTCGCCAATCCCAGAATCACAGGAAGACCCCCGAGCACATCGTCTCCGCCGCCCTGTCATGAGACCCGGAGCACCACCCCCCATGAAGGTTATCCCTCCGCATCTGCAAAATCCTGCTCAGATCTGGAAGTATGCCAATCCAAAGCCCACCTCTGCTCCAAATCCGCCTGAACTGGAGCAGTTGGAGGTCTTGAATATTCGTGCTGGCCCAAGCTCAACGAGCGAGTTGCGCTCTGATGACGCAAGACACGCTACACATGGTCCCTCAGTCTCATCCGAGAGCCTGGAACGAGTTCAGACTCGAGCCGCATATCCGAGCAATTATCGCCCGGAGCACACGGATGGGTACGGTCATGATGTGCATGGGCTTGAGCTAGAAGGCATACTTCCTAATGACAGCCAGCCGTCTGCATCGAGACATATGTCGTTAACCCAGCACAATACAGGTGAAGAGCAGCATGAGGCAAGTGCACTGGCGTTCGATCCTGGACTTAATCGAGGATATCAGATCACCCCGAGACCTGGTACTTCGGGACTTCCAGAGCCTTCAAACGAACAGGCTTATGTTGGCGAGAGGGGGCAGATGGAAGCAGATCCAGAGCTTGGTGTACAGTTAGCTGTTTTCGCTCTTCCCTTAGAACGTGATGGTTCTCCCTCTACCACACCTCGCTCGCCTTTCCGCCAGTTGATGGCTGGCAACGCGTCAGCGTCAAGTAGTTTGAGCGACTTACCCTTAGGTATCACAGGCCCCGGCCTATCTTCGAGTTCTCGATCTCAACACTCTACGGTCGCCCAAGCCCCATCAAGTGGTCCAACTATGGCTGCTCAGCAGATGTATTCAGTACCATCTGCTGCCTCTTCATCCAACTCGTGGGGTACAGTTCATCATTCCAGGCAATCCAGCTTTGCGAGCCTACACCTGGCGCGATTCCCTGAACCAGCAGAGGACTCTCAACCGCCATCCGCTAACCCTAGTGTACATGATCTCGGACGATTGCCCATTTTTCCGAACACACAGCCTGCCGCGGCGTCGACATCTAATAGGGACGAATCCCCACCCGCTCCAATGGAGAGTTCACAGTCGTCATCACAGGCAGAACATCCACCTCACAATGTGGCTTCCGCAGGTGGTGCGAGGGACTCGCGACAGGAAAGGTCGCGTGTCTCTCTCCCATTGGATGATCGCGCGCCGTCCAATGCATACCCAAGGGGGCCGCGTCCCTCTGGCGCTTTCAGGACCACAAGTTCTCTAAATCTTGGTCTGACAAGCCTCACAGGCAATCTGCAAAGTAGCCTGCCACAGCTGTTGAACGGACAGGGAAGCTTTTCTAGCTTGTCCAGCTTGGTCAGTGTCAACGAATCGGTCGGGTTTGGGGGCAATTTTGGACGCAGCGGGAGCCCTGCAGAAGAAAGGCGTACAAGCGTCCCGACGCGTGCTCAAACCGCGAGACCGGAGTCAGCAAGGCTCCAACCTGCTTCATCCAGTCTTGAAGACGTACGCACAAGTAGACGGACGGGTTCTGACCAGGGTTACGTTAGCGAGGCCACGTCGAAGTCCTCAAGCCAGCCATCCTTGCCCTCGTCTAGTCAAGCTGAACGTCCTCGGCAAGCCCGACATATTTCTATGCCTGCCACACCAGCCAATTATGACCCGCATTCTGGCGTTGGACGACGGTCAGGTGTCCCGCTGTATGCTTCCCCAAATCATTCCACCAGTCATACAGCTATTGGCTCTAATAGCAACCATACTTCGTCCTCATCATCTCAGGACCGCCTACAGACCTCAACTGATTCACGAAATCCAGGGACAAGTTCTCAAACGCCTCCAGAGGAACCTTTAGCTCGTGAACAGCCCCGCCAGCGTCGACACTCTACTCGAAATGTCAGCACACCGGCAGTGTTTTCCAGGGCACAGTCCTCATCTCAAACTCCACATCCTGGTTCGAGTTCTTCTTCCCTCATTCGAAGTCATACTGTCTCGGTCACACCTCAGGCTCTTCCACGATCTTCTACTACAAGTCTAGGGAATACTTCTTACCTCGCTCCACTGGGCGGCGGTCTGATGCTAACTATGGAACCTCCGTCGACCTCTTCAGCGGCCACTGCTGACGGACAACCTGACTCTTCCATTCACGCTCCACGTCCCGTAAATAATAGGCGTTCCGGACTCTTCGGGCTACTTGGGCCTAGATCTGCACGCTGAACCAACGCAACGATATTTGCCATATATGCTTTCTCCTGCTTGCATCTTGCTCTCGTCGCTCACCAACGTTCGGTATAGAAACAATGATTTAGTACCCCTCGTCACCCATATACCGTCCATGTGTCTTTATTGTCGTATACATATTGTACCCTTCTGTGTCACCCATCCTTTTCATCTCTGTGCGTTCTGTACCCTTTTAGATGTACAGTAAAGAATAGGTGTAATATATTCCGTCACATTATCGATAGCGTCAGAAACTCCCTCCCTCCCTCGTGTTAGACCGTCTGACGTGACCTAGGATCGTGATGCCCGAGTTAAGTTACGTGCAAACACGACTTCAATGACAAACAAATAACGAACAAGGAACGCACTAAAATAGCAAACAATCAGAGATATTGATGAAGTCAATCCTCCCTTCAGATTATCAATTCTGGGTTTCGGCCAACGAGTTCCTTCACAACCGCCGTAGCTTCCACGCGAGCAGCGAGCAAAGGCATAATCAAAGCCGAGGTAGATAGGCTTCCTGCTTCATTCTTAGCCATTTCTTCCGAATGGGTCGTATTACGCATTGGGGTTAACCCTGAAGACGGCGCAGCAGTAGATATATTGAGGAACCTGTTGAAAGGTTTCGGTGGGGATCGAATATAAAATGCCAGTTCGGAATCCGACAGAGTTTGGGATGCGGGTCGCATAACGCCGATCAGGACTTTGAAGGATGTTGTCAAACGTTTGAATCTGAGGAGTTGTAAGGATACGCGGACCAGCGTCACTTTTTTTCCATCAGTGCTTACTGCATATAGTTCCCTGGAATAAGTTAACTCATCGTCGGTACCGTGTAATGGGATGAAAGTGTTGTCTCACTATCAACAAGTGCATGGTGCCAGCGAAACAAAGCCCAGGTCATGCCATACGCCGTAGCCACCAATCCCACATTGTGGAGGACACGTTCGTCGATCTTCAACCTGAACCCGAACGCAGAGATATCAAGTACAGATCTAGAAGTCAGACGTTTGACGATTGGCCAGAGGAAATATTCAAACACGGTTCGCGAAACGAAAGCAGAACAAAGGCCAAAACCGACACCACCACATATGGCCTTGAACTGAGCATGAGTTTCCTCGAAAACGGTGCTGGCCAAATATTTTCTACCCAGGTAACCAGAAAGATAGCCAGGGATGTGAACCAAGAGGGGAGGCAGAAACAAGAGGGCACGAGGGTGAAAAATAGTCAAAGTCAGTTCCCAGAGACACGTTTGAAACGCTCGTCGCCCAGATGGTATGGTCGGATATGGGAATGTCGCAGAGAGTGACCCATGCGAGATATTTGCATGATAGAGCAGTGAGTAGTACTTGACCAAAATAGTTCTGGCCTTCACATCTCGGTTGTTCAACGCGTTGATAAGCCTAGCCAGAACGTTGTGAGTTGATTTGGTTCACCACGAGTGCAAACTATGCAGTACCGCTGAGTAATGGGAACGTAAGACCGAAGTGGAGCACGACCTTCATTCTCATAGATGATGTCTCTAGCGACGCTCGCAGCATGATATACGTCCCTAGAAGTGGCCACATTTAGCGTAACTCGAGTTTACATTGATGAAGGCGATATACGAACCAATTAGGTGCATTGATGGTCAGGGCCCTTAAGCTTTGCTCGATATCAAAGGTGAGAGCTCCAACCATTTCACGAGCATGGTCTGCGGAAGCAGCGCTGTATTGTGAGGCATGGTGTTGAAAGTATACCGGAGGTCCAAACCTGACACAGACCTTCCATTCAAGCGTCATCTGACATGCATGTATGCGCCAAAAAATGTACTCACCCGACTCTGGTAACGAGATTTGTCGGTATACATGATTCCGACAGGAACAACATTCAAATGCTTGAGTTGCCCATTCGCGTCACTCCTGGAAGTTTGCCACTTGAGATATTCCAACGCGACGCGAGCAACGCCTCCTTTCAGAGGCGGGATATGGGGATGCGTATAACTCGTACCCTCAGGGAAAAGTCCTATCACACCACCAGCATCGAGGGCTTCGAGAGTTTCTTGAAACAGTGCACTATGCAGATTATTGCCGTTTGAAGTTGTCTTTTCATTGGAAGACACCGAGATACTATTGCGGTGGACAGGGATTGCACCAGAAGATGCCAATATGTTACGGACGACAGGGACTTTGAACAGCGAATCTTTTGCCCAGAATCGAAGGGGACGACGGTGGGGTATAGTCACAGCTATCGAGTGACACACCCAAAGCTGAGTATATGCAGGTCATATGGTCAGCGGGGAACAGTTTACCTAACGTCGCGATGTCTACGAGTTCATTATGGTGATTTGCCACACTGGAACCAGCATATGAACGCGCATCCATGAACACTTTTAACGACATACATAATCAGCGGGCCGTCATTAGGCACATTCTCTTGACCTTCAACCAGGACATCCGAATAGAAGGTTTGCATCCATTCAGATGCTTTGCGTAACGCTCTGTAGACAAGTAACAATGGCATCTTTAACGACTCAGAGTTCAGCAGAGAGAGAATATGCAGACAATCTTAGGACTCTGCTCGAGGGAGAGGGTAAGCAGGAGAATAACAGAGTTTGATACTTTCTGGTTCAAGCGACAGAAACTCTGTGACCAGTTGTGACGTCACGCAGCATTACCTCCTTGAGGGCCAGTTGAAAAGCATGATCATTCGGACACGGTGAATCATATGAAGCTCGAAAAAAGACAGGAGCGCGACCACGGGGCAGGCTTTAGACGGAGCTAAAGTACCTGTTGCGCGTCGCACGGCGACATATTGATCATTGACAACATAAGATACAAGCGACGATGACCTGAAGATTTTGCGCTGCCTCCCAAAGGAAAACAGACTAGAGACGACGACCACGGCGACCACCCTGGACAGGTTCATGAGCACTTGATCTTTACGGGAATGGATGATCACACATACCTTGCGACGGGTAGAGTCGGTGGGGACGGGAGTGACGTCCTCGATACGTCCAATGCGCATGCCGGCACGGGCAAGGGCACGGAGAGCGCTCTGAGCACCAGGACCAGGGGTCTTAGTACCAGTGCCACCGGTGGCACGCAGCTTGACGTGGAGAGCGGTAATACCGACCTCACGGCAGCGAGCAGCGACATCCTGAGCAGCCAACATCGCAGCGTAAGGCGAAGACTCGTCACGGTCAGCCTTGACCTTCATCCCGCCTATCACGCGTACAGAATCAGCCATTCCGAAGGTTTTGCACAGCGCACAGGAAACGCACCAGTTACACGAGAGATGGTCTCCTTTCCGGACAAATCGGTAACATGGACGAAGGTGTCGTTGAAAGAAGCATAGATGTGGGCAACACCGAAGACAAGCTCGCCCTCAGCAACTTGGGGACCGAGCGAAACGGTGGCGACTTCTCTAGGTGCCTTGGTCTTGGGGGCCTATACATCTGAACGTTAGCATGACCATCCATCGGTTTCCGCAAAGTTTTACGATGCAAAGTGAAGAATATGGATTCTAATGCACGCAAGGGATCTATACGGACCATTTCGACGATTGGAGGATGTCTTGAGGAGAAGTTTTGGTCGATTGAGGGACTTGAAGACGACCACCACGAAACTTTGGAACGCTCGTGTGACACGGTGTTACACGTCACATTTTTTTCCTTATGTGGCGCCTCTTCAGCTCGAGTCAATATCGTTCTAACTTCTCAGCTGCTCGATTCACCGCAATCCAACTCACTGTGCTTGCTTTCCATGGACGACGATATATATGAAACACTAGTGGAGGATCCTACCTTCTCTCCTGACTGGTCTACGCTGTCACGTCGCCACGAGCTTCATAGTGCTACATACGAAATATCTGCCGATTTTGCGTCTTCTGAATCGCCTCTTCGTCTGTTGTTCTTTTATGGCACCCTGTCTCTTCCTCATGTGCTCAAGCGTGTACTTTCGCTGACGAATACACCGCCATTACAATCCGCCTTCGTCTTTGGATATTCTGTCAAAATGTGGGGTCCGTATCCAGCTCTAGTGCAGTTGAAGGAAAGCGATGATGAAGCAACGGATAAAGAACCTGTAGAAGGGAAAGCATTCTGGGCCAGCGAGGAACAAATACGGCTTCTGACGCAACACGAAGGCGAGAACTACGCTTTGGCTCCAATTGCCGTCCACATTGGTCAAACTGTGACATCCGGCTACACTTTCGTATGGTGTGGGTATCCGGAAGAAGTTGATGAAGGGGCGTTTGATCCATCCCTCTTTCCTGAGACATGAGAAAAGACTCCTTCCGGCCGGTAAGTTCAAGGGAATTTTCTTGGTCATACTAAGTACTTACGTTTATGGCAGTTCTTACGCAGATATTGTTACGGACGCCGCATATCTGACATCGACAATCCTTCGTGTGGTTTGCAGCTCTGTCTGAAGCTGTATTGCTTTTTTCCTGCACACGTCAGGCTAGATCTTTCTGTATCTTCGCACTTCCCCCGGCACACTTTCCTATGAGAGCCCGGGGAATATGAAAGAAGTTGCTTCATCTCGGCTCCATGCTCCGTAGTCCTCTTCGGATGGGGAACGTCATTCGATGTTGATGGGGCACCACTTCCTGATATCTATTCATGAACATCGACCAATGGACTGCGTTTGGGCTAGTGATCTTGCTTATAGACCGACGTCGCGCTATTCGTTCACGCCTCTGGTTTCCCATCCGCTTCATACTCACAGCAGTCCATTATTGGAACGGAACGCCAATCATCAGGTCGCTGTGAAAGATAGACGTCGATAGACGTAGTAGACGGGTTGCATGTACAGATGGTGACGATAATGGTCATCTGATAATGCAGACGCTTCTTAGGGGTTGCTATATAATCTGTCGGCTGGCTCTCAATCTCCATCCTACATTGCCTTCTTTCATTGCCGACGCCCTCACCCTACAAAGCAATGGCACCTAACCCTCAGTGCGCTGCTCTGGCTGCTGCTAAGGACAGGAAGGGTGTGTTGGGCTGTCACCGACTGCCCTGTATAATAATATTCTGATGGCGCTATTCTGTACCTGCAGGACTTTCCTACCAGCAGATCGCACAGCAGATCGGCACTTCTGAGCACCACGTTATTGACGGTACGTGCCTTAGTTTGTAGTCTCGCAATTGGAACCTAATCGAAGTTCATCTCCAGTCTGCACGGGTACTGTTGTTCCCACTTCCGCCGAGTTCGATGCTCTGGCAAGAGCTCTCGACATCAAAGCCGCAGTAAGCTCTTCTTTTGCTCAACGGCTTGTATCCAAACCTGACACTTCATAAGCCTCCTCATGACAGTGCTCATAAGACGAAGTAACTGGTGGTCTTCGGTCGGGCGTATCAGAAATTGTATCAATGCTTGTTTTTTTGTACCACTACGAATCTCTCTGTTGAATGTGCTTTGGGGCTGTAGTATCATGGAGCTGCGTCTTTTCTGCGGATTTCGGAATGGCCTGTCCATTAAGAGTACTTATCTGCTTGTTCTTGGCTATTCGTCCTGTTCGTCTCCCGCCGTGTGGCTCAATGAAGGTCTTCGGAAGACGCCTTGCTCTCATTCTGCGAATCACACTGTTCATCTATACATCACGGGTCTTAAATCAGATCCTTTGTCAGTGCCTCCAACATGTAGGTTCCCGGGTTCCCACTTTGGACGAATTGCATTTTGTCGCATGCAAGTTCGCCACCCGTGTACCTCATGGCTCGGACTTCTGACGCATGTGTTCTCTTTAATAACTCACCATATCTTTGCTCCTATTGTACTGGGGACCCCGTCTTCGCAATTTCCCGCACCGGAGTAGCCACAGCCCGATCCAAATGGTGCGCTTCACAAAGGACCTTTCAGCATATCACAGTCCTATAAATTCGGGCGCAGAGGTGGGAGTCTGACCCCTTCGACTCTCTCACATCCTCAAGGGTACCCCGTCGTCGTAGAACGTGTAACGGTGTTGCTCATTCCTATAGGAGACGTGGTCGGTTTAGCTCGCGGACATGGGCAGGGCTCGTTGTAAGCCAACAGCTCACCGCGAGTCCTGCTCTGGTCTGCGGTACACAGCGGTCACTTTTTATGTGTCGACGCTCCATACTGAACGCGTCTGCTCGTTGCTGTCCGGGCACAACGTTGTGTTTAGTCGATGTTATCATTACATGTGAGCAGGTTGAATTATTCATCAATACGAACGCACTGACACATCCTATCCTCGGTTCGTTGTTGTTCAAGTTGAAACAAGTCTATCTAGAGCGGAACATGCTTCCGCTTTAGCCACAGGTACAGACAGATTGTCCTCGAATTCCGTGGGGGTCACGTAATGGCTCTCAAATGTACGGCGTCGTCATTTATGTGCGCTTGCAAAACTTCACCTCTATATCCGTTGACTCATATAACGACGAAAGCTCAACGATACACCTGTGAAATATGCGTATTTATCTCTTTCTGTATGCATTCATGGCGAGCCACAGCAATTTGCATGCCGTTATTCCATCATGCAGCGTTGCACACATTGAGCGTTTTCCACATTGCCATCGGGTGGTATGATTGATCTCTAAAGAGGGTGGCACAATGCATGATGTTGGACGCTTCGGCGCGTGTATGCTCTTTGTTCCCCTGCGACGACCGGAGTGGCTCACTGATCAGCTGTTCCAGTGGCTTGCCTTCAGTCTACGTGTCCAAGAACTTGATTGAGCGTCGCTCCAAGGCACAAAATTTATCTCTGGCTGGCATATGTACTTCTGAAGGTAGGAAATACCATTTCTTCAAGTACCTTCTGACTTTGTAGGGATAGGCCTCTCCGTTGTTCGGAAGGGATTTCATTGAACTCGAACGCCAAGATATGGGCGCTATTTCTAAGCGCCTGTGTACTAGCCCGGAAAAGGCAGGTCAGTACAACCAGACTGGATACCGTCGTTACTGCGAAACGTGTTCGGCCAAAGGCATTGGCATCCCATAAGGTACACGCACTGATGCTGTGCCGGACAAAGAGAAGAAATGACGTCTCGAGGACAAAGAAGACTTCGAGGATATAAACCCAGAGCTCCAGATTTTTCCACTCACTTCCAACTCTCGATTCCGCGCCACTGAATACCTCGCTCAGCATTTCCCTACTTTCGATCCATATGTCGTCTACTCCTGGCATGTCCTCGCTCAAGAACAATGCTGTGGATGCGGAGGCTTCGCATCCTCAGCATTGTTCTTACCACCACCATGGCCACACGGGCAACATTGGAGGTGACTATTCTTTGAAGTGACTTGTGAACCATGATACTGACTTCGACACTCAAAATCGATAGGCTACGATTACAACGAATCTTATGGAGGTTCCACACATCAGATGTATCCTAGGGACTCTGAGGATGTGGCTGGGCCGAGCACAGCTCAGATGACAGGTAGGTTAAAGGACTGCATAACTCAGCAATGGGTTTTAACAACATGCGTTAGGTACCCCGCTGCGGGACAACCCCATTGACCTCACGAATGAAGCCGCAGCTCCACGTCACGGTCAAAAATCGGCTTCAGTCAAATCAGCGCGCAACAAGACAAGAACGAAACCAGCCGAACGGACAGACAAGAAGCGAAAGAGGGAAGAAACTGAAGAGGATGCTGCACCACGATTAAGACGGCCAAGGGGTACGCCAGCCCGAACTCCCTCCAGGCCTCCAACGACGGCCAACCCTCCGACGGCGTCCCTTCGGCCTGATGAACCATCTAATATCCATCCTGAACATGCGCATGTACGTTTCTGGAACTTTTCTGAATCGAACAACAAAGTAATCAATTGTACCTTGGCGATTAGATGAACTCTGTGCCGGACCCGTATATCCTGAAAGCAGCATTTGAAGCCGAGCGGCGTCGGATCACGAAGAACATTACTAATTGGATGTTGGAGGATCCGGACTTCTATCGAGCTATGTTTCGATCCGCCATCCTGTATAGAGAAGGCTCGTTGCGCTATGGTCTTCACTGGCGAAATCCAATGCCTCCCCCAAGCCATAACTCTGTTTCGATGGCGCCGAACGCTGCTGCTCCAGGATTAAATACTCACGCCCACGCCAACCAGAGTGTTCCCGCACCAATGTACGTACCATCCGACGCGCCTCCCCCGTGGAGGGTGCATCGACGTTTCCCTCCTGAAGAAGACCCTCGACTTCAACCCCAAGTATACCCACAACCTCACTTGAATTACCAATCGCAACCATATCATCAGCCCTGCTCTCGTACACAGCCTCAGATGAACATGCCTGCCCCTCCTCAAATGGCACAGTATCCCCAAATGGCGCCCACTTTCCCAGTCAACCCCTCCACTCCGGCCATGTTAAATAGCTATACTCTTGGCATGCCTTCTACTGTCATCGCACCTCCCGCCGTCGCACCTCATACTAGTGCCGAGCTTGACACTCCGTTTGCTACTGGCACACCAGGCCCTGCACAGGCTGCTCCTATGCCCATGCGAGCGACGGCTCCCTGGTCCTCGCCTCCTACGAGCTCGACTAGAGATCAGATAGCTTTGCCGAAGTTGATAGTATCACCATCCAACTCTGGGACACTATCAAGTGGATCCACTGCTCCTCATACTCCGCCAGAACAAGGGAACAGTGGACCAGTCCCTACGCCGACGACCCAGCCGGATATGCAGTCTACGAGCAGTGTATTTGGAGGTTCTGACGAGGCTTTTGATTCCAGTTGGGCCTCCAACGATGACGCGGCGGAAATGCTTAAGGCCTTCCTAGAGTTTCAACCTCAGAGCGAAGCGGAATCAAGCTCCACGTTGGATTTGAGTCTATTCTAGATATTTTGGTACCCACCGCAATGTTTCCCATTTCCCTACCCTGTACACTTACTGTAGCTTATCGTATAATCAGACATAGATGTTTTACGCCCTGGCAATTATTACACGGAGGTGCACGCATAGAGAATAGGAATCTCAGATCACACAATCACTGGGAACTACCAGATGCGGCAATGTCTGTGCCAACCTCTTCCCCACTTCGAGGACACCCATCATGATGTGAGGAAGTGCTGTTGGCCCCTCCGTATACTGATTACTAGCTTTTCAAGCATGAGCCTCTGGTTGTACTTATATATAAGTTAGTCAAGCCAAGCCTGGATTCGCAAATCAGATCTGCTAATATGTTCTCAGCACAGCTGTAGACCTCAATCTAGATGAATCGGAAGCATGCACCCCACGAGGCATGATACCGATGTCTGGTCTTGTTCAAATGTTTCTCTATGGAATAGTCCGGATTATGGAAGCCGTCGGCTGTATGTATCTGGTTGTCGATCCACCTCGATGTCCTCGAGGCTATGACTATTGGGTGTGAGGCCATTGTCTCTTAAAAAGTGTGGCATCTCGAGGCCTCCATCACTCTGCTCCTCATCCTCCCTTTCGATCCGTTCGAAGGTTATCATGACCCGATCAGCCCACCACCAGAACCCCAGGAAGTGTTTAAGCCCGTCTCAACGGCGACCTGTAAAAGCAGGTGCGTTCGTCTTCATAATCTATCCATGAGTATACTTCTAATTCGGATTCCGCCACAGGGCACAAGGCTAAGCGATCGTCTGAGGGGAGAGAGCGTACGCCCCTCATGATAATTAATAAGTGCCACAGATCGTGACTCACATGATCGCTTAGATGCACTTACCCCCGAAGAAACACAACGTGTGGAAGATTTTATCCGTCGTTGGGAGAATGCACCGAAGCAGGAGAATCCTGGCATGTGCGAATATAGGACCATCGAAATGACCCCTGATCTTGAGGACTTCATGTCCCTCCTCTCCTTATCTACCGGATGGGGTGGTAGTGGCTTCATAACCATCTTCCGTTCGATATTGAGCAAATCGAAGCGTAATCAGCCCGAAGCAAGCAGATTGGCTTCTCGTATCTGGGAAAGAATACCATGGCAATATCAGGAACTTTGCTGTCGCGAGTCCAAAGCCAGGCAAGTCAGAGCCAAAGCCCGGGAACTGCAGGATGATGAGTCTTATCTGACGTGTTCGCCCCACGAATCATCGAAAGGCCATCTACCTTCCAATCCTAGCAGTCCCCCGGTTAATGCCTGTCAGCGGAAGCCAGAACAGGGTGTTGAACCAGTCAACCACCGTTCCACTGTTCCCAACTCAGATGAGGTGATTGATGTATTGCCAAACGATACTCTGCAAGAACTAGTGAGTGTTCATCCCGAATTTTGTTTGCTTGGCTCAATGGACTGACGAGGCCTTTATAGAGTTTCAACTCGGAATCGCAGTTGAATCTGACCCCATGCCATCGCGCTTTATTCAACTTTACCGACTCTGCGTCTCCGCCTGTGCAGTCCATCCCCTCATGCTCAATAGGGCAAAACCAGCCCACGCGACTTCCATGCACGTCACCCAATTTCGCTTACCACCTGCCCTTTTCGCCAGAGCTCGTGTCGAGCAGTACCCCATCCTCGACCTCTGAGGAATTACCGACGCCCTCTATCCTGCCTCTTAGTTTGGATCTTGTGTCAACTACGAACGTGCCAATGGGATTCAATATGCCATCCGACTCGAGGTGCGAGAGGGAGAGGCACCAGGATCTTTTCCCTCCTCCCCCTGAGGAGCCTTTCGACCTCCAATATTGGAGTGAACTCTTTGACACTGCCAACGCCGTTTGTGAGCCATCAGCTGCTGTTCGGACCAATTCATTGGACCTTTATAACATGGCTCCATCCTGCGATCGCTACGACTACTCAGTACATGCTCCTCACCCCGGGTATTCTTCCACATACTCCTATCCCGCCATGGTCCCTTCTAATCATCCCGTCGTCGATAATCAGAATGACTATCGTTACGACAACTACCTGTACAGCAGTAGCGGCCAGGCCACCTTCTGATCGATTGCGTATCCATTCCAATGAACAACTCATAGCTGTTATTTTTCCGCTTTAACTCTATCCACCGCCCATAAACACTTCTTTGCATGATGTATCCCTTCCTGTACCTCAGCATCCGCCCCAACTTTAATTTTCTCTCTTATCTTTCCTCTATCCAACTATGCTGCATAACAACTCCGTATTATTATGTCCTATTTTTGTCCTGTGGACATAGCACTTGACACATTTGCATACGTTTCATTATTTGTTTTTGCTCGCTTTTATCCCTGCAGTCCCTGGATCGTACGGAATAATCCATCATGATGTTACTTGTGATGTTACTTGCATTCCCATTGTCTTCGCCATCCCCGTTTCCTGGATTGGTTACGCTCGGCGGTTTCGTGATGAATGTCATCAGCGTTGAGAATAACGTTTTGCGATTTGAAGAGTATATCGAAGGAGAGAATACCTTGCGCTCGTACCATCTCACACGAACGATCAAGCATCATCAAAGCATAGCAGATCTAAGGGAACAAATTAATATAATTATCCAATCCTAAGGAAAAAAGGTATCCGTATCCATGTATGTAGTATCCAGTAGACATAAAACTCCAAAAAGCAAAGCGAGTGGTATATGATATGTAAATGCATAACGGATCCAAATGGTCGAAAGCGATAAAAGCAATGAAGCAAGCAAACACACGTACGTAGCTGCAGGACCCGCTGCAACAGAGTTGGCACGATCCGATTAAGTATCCACATCTCTATCCTCCTCACCCGCACCACCCTGAGAAACTTCGCTTGGAGCGGTGGCCTCCTTACGATAATCATATCCGACAAAGTTCATCACGCTGAAAAATGCGAGTAACGTAAACGTTAGCACTGGTCGTAAATGCATAAAAAGTGAGGGAAGGGCGTACTAGATTGTTCCGTCCGCACATCCAACAACAACCTCTTCATGACTGAGCTGCATGCTCATAGGGTTCTTGTCGGGCACAGCCAACCCAGTAAACTTGGACGGAAGTTGACCGCGTAGCCCCTTGGCAGCGGCAGTCTGATAACCTTTATATTCAGACAGATCGGACCACGCCCCCGTTAGAGGGAGGATATCCGTATCAAAGTCCACGTTGGAAGGAGAGGAAGCTCGGTTTCGTTCAACGCTCTCCTTGTCAGAGTCCGATTCGTCGGATCCATCTTCGTTAGGGAGTCTTCTGTTCTCTTTATCCTTATGCGTGGACATGTAGATCTATCACACCGATGTGAGCTCCCCGCCAAAAAGAGAAAAAAAATCGGCCCTGTTAGGAAAACTTACGGCCCTCGTCGACCCAACCCTAGTGCTGAACCTCGTAGCAGTAACAACCCTTCTTTTCCTCGGGTCCACAGCACCAACAGCAACATCCGGAGTCTCCACCACAGCTACCAATTTCGGCGGAGCAGTTAATACAGCAGCCCTCCCGAACATGAACGGAGAACCTGTACGTGGTGATGGGCTGATAGGCGTTATGGGCGTCATAGGCCTGTGTATGTTCAAGGAAAGCCTGCCTTTTGGTGCGGCAGAGCCAGTGGAAGGAGGTTGAGGTGAGATTAGAGAGGTCCGACGAGCTGGGGTGGCGTAAGAGGTTGAACGGGAGAGCGAAGAGCCGGGTCTGGCGCGGGTAGCGGAAAGCGGAGTAAAGGAAGTCATGGGACTGATTGATCTGTCTGTGTCCATTGGGCTCAACAGACCACCTCCAGGTTGCTGAGCGGATCCTTCTTCTTCTGTCCATTGAAGATGTAGGATGACAGACTTTGTCGCGCACTGACAATGACCATGTAAGCAATAGAAGTGACACAATTGAAAAGCCGTGGACATACAGTCATCTGAGTTCCTTTCGCAGCGAACCACCTGCATAAGTTTCAGCAAGTGTTTGATGTCAAAACGTGCGTTTACGAGGACGTACTGTAGCATATTGTCCGGAGCCTTCCCTACTTGCAACAGCTTCGCACTCAGGACGGGGTCACCCCCTCCGAGTTCAGAAAGCTTGAACTGAGAGACCATCTCCCTCCGTTCTTTAAGACGCATACATTTTGGTCAACACGCCTTTGCCCTCAGAAAACAAAGTGTTTTTCAACTCACTAATCGAGAACACCCGGACTATGCCATCGATCGTCACACTGACAACTCGTTCACCTTCATTCTCGCCACCAGCAGCACCAATGATCTGAACTCCGATATTAACAGTCGTCTGCTGGCCAAAGCGAACGATCTTAGTCCCTGCTCGCCAATCCCAGCATACCAACGCTTTGTCTGCACCGGCTGAAACGAGATTCTTGGATGACAGTGCTACTGCACGGATACCGTTGAGATGTCCGGCGAGTTGTTGCAGCGGAGTGAATGTGAGAGACGAAAACAGGTGAACTCGCCTGTTGAAACATTGCTGATGAGTTTTGTGCTTAATGTGTGAGGATAAGAGTCGGCATACCCAACATCATGGAAGCCAACCACGAATACCTCTAAATTATAAAAAAAATATTCATGCAACGATTAATGAAGCGAATAGTATGTTTTGCGCACCTTCGTCTGCTAAGAAGTCCACACAGCTGACCGGCTTCTTGACCTGCAAGCATTTCTTCATCTCACCCGTCTCGATATCCCAGAATCGAATAGTCTCGTCATAAGATCCACTGATCAACCGTTTGCCTGCATGCATTTCATGGAACTCGTCAGTACAGACAGACTGTAACGAATTTCGTATTCACCTCTGAGAAGCAGCGTTGTGCAATAGCCCGTATGTCCAGTCAAAAATCGCACACTCTGTGGAAGCGCGTTCTTGAAGTTGGATTCACGATGGTGCAAAGATCGATACAGTAGTTCCCTATATGCAACAACAATGACAAGTAAGCCGTGAACACCAGTGTGGATGTCGTTAATGGAATGACTCACCATCCTTCAGGTTGAGCAGGCGGTTTGGCAGGCATAGGGTCGGTAGCCGTGATCCTCAAACAATGATACCTCCATAACGCGGGGAGATGAACGATTTCTTGCCATTTCTTTGAGACCTACAGATCATCCTGTCAGTACACCGAGCTTGCATTGCAGTGATCTTGTGAGTTATCGCGACTTACCGGCTCGACGGCAAGGAGTTCCTTGACAGACAATAATTTGAATATCCGGAAAGCAAGATCAGGCGCGAGATGTCCGACGATATCGAAAGTCGACTTGGCATATTTCTCGAGAAGGAGGATTTGAAGCCGGATGTCTCCTGGCATGCATGAGTCCAATATGATGCCAATCCTGTAGAAGCAAATGACGATCATAAGTTATTTATTACGAGAAACAAGAGGAATGAAATTCGTACAGTCTCATCCTGTCGTCCCTACTCAACGCACGCACAGCCCTCCTCACCTCGGTTTCGTTGAACCCTTTGAGTGTAGCGATGAGATTGATATCTCCGTTCGTATCCTCATTGTCACCCCGATACCCACTCCAATACCCGCGTTTCTTCTTACCACCACAGACGCAGTATTCAGAGCTGTCCTGTACAGGAAGCTCGCCACCTTCGGAGTTCGTGCGTTCACGCAGAATACGTACTTCAGCTTGAAGAGCATGTAACTGCGCGGCGGAAGAAGCTTGGGCACGTTCAAGAAGACGTTTGTACTGAAGGAGTTTGCGAAGATGGATCGTCCGCACCATCGACAACGCTTGATTCATCTAAAACATTTCACCATTAGTTAGCATTGCGATACAGACATTTGGTAGAGTCAGTCAGAGCTTACGTCTGTGTCAACCTCACCCTCCCCTCCCTCTGTCACCAGTTCCATAGTCATATCATCTCCATCCTCCCAAATCCCACTATCCCACATACTTCCATTCACCTCGCCCCTCTCCCCCTCCATCTCATCAGCAACCTCGTCCACGCGCATCTTGAACCATCTAGCTGCGGGACTATCTTCCAAAAGTGCCGCTTTCTCGTTCCCATTCCCACCCTTGGTCTTGGGTGAGTTGAACGGACCAGAGTTTGATCGAGAGGCGACGGACTTGGAAGGTGTAGAAACGACTCGAGGGGAGCCGCTGTGTCGCCTGGTAGGTGTACCTGTACCGCGCGTGGAAGGCGTACGCATTGGAGTCATTGGGGATGATTTTGGGGTTGTGCTACCTGTCTGAAGAGCAGATTTGGATTTCGACATAGCCTGTGGAGATTTTCCAAGGTCCACGGAACCAAAGTCCACATGTGGAGAAGAGACATTGGAAGTCGATGTACCAGCAGACGTGATCGAGGTCAATCGTTGTCTGGGTGGCGATGTCATACTAGTGACACGCGATCTAGGTGTATTGGGCACGTTTCTAACACCCGTAGTCGACATAGAGTTAGCAGTAGGTCCAATTAGAGAGACAGCCGTGGACCGCACGCTTCGCGTTGAAGCAGATACAGATGATGTACCAGGTTTCCTATTGGAGCCAGAAACAGAAGGTGAAGGTACACTGTTCTGCCGCACCACAGAACGCGTGCTCGTGGCATTAGAAGCACTATCAACAGTTGTATATGAATTCTGGAATGCCGAAGGTGGTGCAGATATACGCCTATTACCACCGCTGGTTGGAAATGCAGTCTTTAACTTCCCAACAGCAGGGACAGGTACTGGTGATGCGACCGAGTGCGTAGAGACGCTATTGCTGCTACCGTTCATGCTAGAACGTTTATTAGGCATGACAGTGGTAACACCGCTGACATCGCTGCTCAGGCTCGCATTGGAATATGCGCGTGCTTTGCCTCCGCTTGCGGTTGTAGTAGAACGAGAGTAACGAGTTGGAGTTTCCGAGGGAGGCCTAGACGACATTGAGCAGCAGTATTACGGGAAGAGAAAGTGAATGATAGACAAGAAACAAGAAAATGGCCGTCGTCGACGTCCCCGTCGACGTGCACGATGGCAAGCGCTCCCATCCACGGCGGCAGCGCCAAACGAAGCACTCGGATAATGCCGAGAGTGAGCGCACGTGATCGCGTCTGATGTCGAGCATTGGTCGAGGGCACGAAGGGGCGCGATGAACGAAGTGCACACGGCAATTGTCTGGTACGACAACATGAAATTTATTAGGTGAATTAGGCAGAAGTAACATATTCCGACAAATCGTAACAGGCGGAACCAGGGTATGATGGGACGAATTTGTAACACGCGAAGCCTAATCATGACCAATAAATCTCCACAAACGCCAATAACTTGGCAATGCATATGGCCTACACATCTCCCTGCGCGACCTCAGCCACCTCCTTCTTCTCGTCGGCCTGTTTCTCAGGAATAGACTTCGCGTCATCAGCCCGTGCATTATCCCTCAGACGGAAGTCGGTGCCGGTAGTCCTGGCACGGCGGTGGGCCGAGAACGACAAAGCGGTCGTAGTGATACCGAAGAAGAAAGCGATCCATGCTAGAATGACGGCGGTGCGCACTGAGAACGTTTGAGACTAAAGTTAGCTAGGAATGGAAGCAAATAGAAGCGTAGAAACGCACGGTATGAGGCATCCTTGTACACAGGGCTCACACCAAGCGCCTGCTGAGTGCTTTGAATGATACTGTCAGGTATAGGCACTCCTCCCAAGGTGGCAGTAATTTTTGCCGATCGATTCGCTATGAAGGTGGTATACGGCACCAACGAGGCAAACAGCCAAAGTGTCAAGAATCCAAAAACGCTAGTTTGAATAGGAAGAGATCTCGTCGCGATGGGACTCGAGATTGCGAGGAGAGGCAGGAAGATGATGGACGTCAAGGCAAGGAGACCGCTGACAACGACGACGACTGTGCCGACGGAGAAGACGTCACTGGTGTCGATGTCGACCTGTGCGCCCAATGGTGCATTCTGCTTTACGAAGTCCTTGAGATCATTGGACTTCACGAGGGCGTTGATCCCCAGCGCGAGGCCCACGATCCCGAAAGAGAACGTCAGGAAGAGGGAGGCAAGGCGAGCGAATTTGAGCGGAACGGCTACAGCAGACATTATGTTGTTTGAAAATGCACTGTTCGCCCGTCTGTATCTCCTCGCTACGAGACGAGACGGTTAGCGTTGTCGAATGGCGCAGAAACCCAACAAACATACCACAAGGGCTTCAAGGTAAGGAAGACACAGCGTTAGTCTGAGTCAGAACAGAACTTGGCTTAAATATGTGGAAGACTCCAGCTATCGGCTAATAAAAATGCCGAACGAGAAACGGGTGTGTTTTCTGCGGTCATATGTGGTTCTCAGCGCGTCCGATACTCTCGCACGACATTTGTTGGAGCAAAGGCCATCTGACGTTGTCCAAGCTAGAAGATATATGGCGCGTCAGGCGGCCACCATGGGAATCCTAATTTGGAAGACCTGCTCCGACCTTGTCTATTTTCCAGGATCAACGCCACCACATCATTTGTTCCGTTCAGACGCCTCCAGTCAGCAGGTACACCGGGTACACAAGGAGCACCCGCAAGTGATAGTAGCCTAACTGGCTGGGGACTCGAACTTTGAGTAGTAGACAGCAGGAAAACAGACGTACAGTTGGATCTCGATCGGTTGCAGGATGGCAAGGTTTCCTAATGCACCTGGGAATCAATCATATGGAGAGGATTGAGTGAATACGGTTCTGTGAGTGTTATATAGCTAGCCTTTGAGAACATTGCACGGCACGATACTGCAGAGCTTTCTGTTTAAGCTTTCGTCAGAGTGATCCTTGTAACATCTTTGGCCCTAAAGCCGCTCTGTAGGGCTCCGTGACTATCTCAAGGTTCCTGCAACTGCACTTGAAGGCAAGATCATTAGAGCATATGGAACCTAATGACAGGCCTCGGCGATACTTGCATTCTTTTCCACTGTTTCTTGGTTGGAGCGTGGGAAAGTAGACCTATTCTAAGCGTCTATTGTACCGTATCTAAATCGCTTGAATCCCTAGTGGCTTGAACCTGGTTCAAGTTGGACTTTGACAATCCCTTTCACGCTCTTTTGTTTACGACCTTGATGACATAGAAAACGGCTTTTCCAACGACTAGACTACAATACTGGTGCTGCTAGCGGCCCTTCGATTCGCATATATTCAAGCAACGCGAATAATTTGATTAAGGCTTCCTCAACCTCGACCTTAGAACCTTGTCAATCACGCATACAACAAGATAAAACTATGTGGAGGATGTCGCAATACTTTTCTGGACTCTTGATTCTGGTTGCTTGGGCTGGTTCTGTTGCTGCTACACTCTATGGAACGGCTCCTATTGCAAGTACGGTATGGAGCGCGGATCATACAGAAACTATTACCTGGGTTGATGACGGGCGACATCCTCCAATGTCCAAGATGGGAAAGATGGATATAGAACTCTACGTTGGACAGAATGTAGGCGCTTTATGTTTTCCTACTTGCAAGCTTCCGATTCTGATGAACGATGCACACTGTTCAGAACCACGTTGTGACTCTTGCAAGTCACGTAGACCCGGGGAGCGAAAGCCACAAACTGAAAGTAAGCCCGAAGTGGGGCCACAATGGGTCAGATTAGTGAGTCGCATTCCTGAAACGCTTGCAGTCAGTCGTTTCATGTTGACCTTCGTGTCCAGTCACGTCCGTTTTGTATTCGCTTCTGAGACAATTTATACCGCGGACTTCACTATAACCGACATGGACGAACCATCTTCTCATAAAGCCAAATTTGTAACCCGTACTTCCAGCAGCGTACCCGCAGGAGCAAGTCTCTTCACCCCCATTGTTACTTTCGTCCTTCCGGACACTACGGTCGTCAGCCAACTCTCTCCTACATACATGACCCCTAGACCAACGAACACCATCCCATCCTCAATGTACAGTTCGTATAGTCCAGTCGGCGTGGAAGGAAATACTATCATACAAGTCGAAGCGGAACCTACTGGTATAGTCCGGTCGAACGACGCTGCTGCTGCTGCAGGAAGGATGGATATCGAGAAGTTGAAGTTTAGGGTCGTGTTTATCCTTTGGCCGGCGTTGATTGGCCTTACTATGGCCCTTTGATTCTATTTTTGTGGATGTTTGGTCTGCAGGTCAGACTTGGGGATGCAAGATTAATATAGTGGGTTCTCTTTGTAGCTCTAGATGTGTATTCTTGTCTGTTTTGTATTTCTAGTGTCTTCAGAATATCTCCTTACCCTTACCTCTGGACTGCACTTAAGTCTCATTGCAAGGAAGGTCTATCGAAAGACATTTTCTCGCTTTCCGTCTTTCTATCTTTCTCCTCTTTGTCGCATATGCTCCTTGAGGAATCACTCCTGCATAAGTCGCGTCGTCGCGTCGAACGCGAGAACCTGCACGTTTTGCTTCCGTTCACCACGTGATCGTGACGAGGTCATCGCAAGCGTCCGTGTTTTCGTCACCGACACTGACAACGAACAGTTGTTGTACACTGTGGGCGCTGACTTTGCTGTCAGCCTACTAGCACCATGCTACGGTCATTACTCTCACCGCTAATTGGACCTTCCCCCAGTCAGCAAAGCTTCGTTATCGAGGAGCAGGTGGAAGCTACTCCCGAGGATTTCGCTAGGGATGTTCTGGTGGAGGTCATGCGGAACAGCGTCGAGAGGTTGAAGGTTGCGGAGGGGTTGAGCTCTCGAACGGAGGTACCAGCAGCATGCACAAGTCTTGTGTATTGTCATGACTTACACCGGATAACAGGAGTTAACGGAGATTCACAAAATCATGCTGGAGGATGCTTGCACCAAGGATGTGTTTCGCGAAATGGACGGATTCCTAGTACTCATGAACATCCTCTCGACTATTCAACCCTCGCATTCTTGGCCTATTGCGGAGCCGGGGGACCAGATTGTGACAGACGTCTTGGAAGCGACTAGACTCATATTCGCTATTCTGGACGAAAGTCTTTACCAGCATGAGCTCAATACTACTTTCTTTGAGGTATGTACCACCAAACCGCACATGCATTCCTTATACTTCATACGTGTCATCAGCGTTCTGTTGGTTACGAATCTTTATGTCAAGCCATCCGTCCGCTTCTCTCAGACTTGAAGACCACAGATCAAACACTAGGATTTCTTCTTTCCCTTGCAATGCACAACTTTGCGCTCTCCAGTGTCTTCCAAGCCCTCTCCACCTCCACTGAATCGCTCAAAGACTACTCTGACATGGATCGGCATATAGAGACCCTGGAACCTATGCTTCATCATGATACAATTCGATATCCTGGTGCTCTGCGTGTACTATTCTCGTCTATTCCCGACCTCCCGACAGGACCCAACGAATCTGGTTCTATGCGGCGGTACTTTGTATACAAGCTCTTTGAACGCTTGTGCTCGCGCTCTCATCGAAATCATGCTGTGACTGGAAGTCTTGACCTTGTGGCTCCGCTGTTCAATGCGTTCTGTCCATCGACTTCATCTGACGAGAAGGGTGGCAATATCACTGCTTTACCTAAACCCGAGCGTCAGGTTTTACTTCGTTTACTCAAAAAGTTACTCGAGCTAGGATGTTCTTCTGACGATGCGAGGGTCATGTTCCAACGTGCTCTCGTACCAAAGCAATCTGACACTGTTGGCGACGATTCTGCCCCTCATCAGGAAGATGCCCTCAATGGGGATGTCCTCGAGGTCCTACGAGCGGGTGTGAAAGCGCGTTGGCCGCAGCACTTCTCCTTTCGTGGTCCTTCAGGCGTCAAGGTCTTGGTCCCAACTCTAGATAAGACTTTGTCCAAGACTGGTTTCACATTCATGGTATTTTCGTCTGTAATAACAAGTATTATATATGACACTGAATATTCGTTCGGACTAGCTGTGGTTGTGGATTGAACAGTATCCGATTCAAATTCAAGATATAGCCACTCTAAGATTCTCACGTCCTGGGTCTCCGATCTCGACACCGGCATTCACGCTTCGTATACAACCTGATGGGTTTCTAATGCAGCTTTGTCCCGATTCACCAGAGACAGCGGCATTGAAAGCACGAGTCCAGAAAGGCAGATGGACTCATCTGACAGTTATTGCCCAACCTCACGGAAGCCGAGCAGACAAATACGGCGCTGGTAAGCTCCTCTTGGATGTACAGTAATTCGCTTGATACTGACTTGACTACCTAGTATTGTTTGTGAATGGGGATATGACAGACTCACTGAATATCACTTACCCGAAAATCGAAGTGGCTAGCAAGGATGCTTTCGTTTTGGTTGGGGATACGAGTGAAGAGGCGACCATGCCGTGGTGCTTTGCCTCAGCTTATCTTTTAGCTACGCCGATAGGTAAATTTCGCTCTTTAGCTTCCTTCGCAATTTCATCTCCTTATAAGCACTGTAGGAGATTCAATACCTCGATTCATTCGACATCTCTCACCTCGCTACACTGCACATTTCCGTGCAGGTCCAGAGTTGGTGAAATTCATGACGTACGAATCCGCTACTTCTCTGAGCATCCATATTGCCAATGTCAACGACACGTTGACCGCTCTTGGTCCATCTCCTGATAAGTCCCACAAGAAGAAGGCTCTGGAAGAGTTGATGACAGCTGTTAAGAACGGCTTGACACTGGGCGAAGACGATGTCATAGTTTGCCTCACGCCAGGAGGCCACAATGAACCTCGTCCTGGAATCGCAAACGTGGAGGACGTTGAGGACGCTAATTTGAAAAAGGTGTCCGTGGAAGGAGATGTTTTCGAAGTTGTGACTACCCCACTCGACCTATCTATGTGGAAGCTCGGTGGTGCTGCAGTCGCATTGGGATTGCTTCAGTATGCAAATGTAAGCCAATTCCGATATATCTCTCATCGCCACGGCTTTGTTGAATCTTTGGAACATGCGACCGTCAGACCGCGCATGAACTTTCACGTACCTTGAGTATTTTGACTGGCGGTCTGAAAAACAGTTGGCAAAATTCAGACGATATGGAGCGAATTCGTGCGTCTCTTACTCTTTGACTTTTGATCCTTCTACTTTCGTTGTCGGCTGAAAGATGACTAGGTGGTTACGAGATCCTCGCAGGCATCCTGAGGTCAAAGCCTCAACTGATCAACATGACTGGTTTCGAAACTCTATCTGAGTTTCTTGGTATGAACTTCCGATCACCTGAGTGAGCCGAGCCATATTCTACTCATATTACCTGTGACTGATCATACACAGTCAGTCGACTATCACCAATCCATCCGCCTACCGTTATTTGGCACTCGATTTCCTCCTGTGGTCACGTACCCGACCTGAGATCCAACGAGTTCACCTGGCCCATTTCATAACCCTTCTCGCAACCTCTAGTTACCAGAAGTTCAATGCCTCTCAACTTGTCGCTTCGAAGCACAATATGGGTTTACTTCGCAAGTTGTTGTTTGTCCTGCAGACCGTTTGGTACGATATGGAGATGGTCAAAGACATCGTCCAAATATTGCGGGAGCTCATATTGAAGAAGTGGAACAGAGACGATACCGTGAAGCCTCTCATAGCATACCTTGCCGCAAATCTGCACGAAAGTAAGCTCGTTTCGAATCATAGCCTTCACATGTTTCAACTGCTTGTTTCTCTGAAGTCGACGGAACTACTGGTACTGCTTCTCCTGGGTCTATGATTTCGCACATCAGTCCACATGCGATATCTCAACGCAAAGCTTCTCAGGTTCTCGCTATGCTTGTCCTAGTGTTATACTCGTCGCCGTCTCATTACACGAAGCTCACGACCTATCTTCCACTTCCTCGTATTTATCTACTCCTCCTGGGTACTCATCCAACACCGTTTGATGCTTCAAGAGTCTTACGCTTGATTCAACTGAGCTTATCGAGCACCAGCAGCTTTGGGCGCAAGTTCGAACTTGTCAGTGGTTGGAGTGTCTTGAGGATTGTACTTCCGGATGCATGGGATGAAGAGGTCAGAATAGCCTGCTTCGACTTGCTTTTCGGACGTCAATGGGCAGAAGTTACGAAAGGCAAAGGAACAGAAGATGAATCGACGATTGTCGCATGTCCGAATATCGTACCTGCAATATTTTCGGCACTCCAGGTGAGGTTGGACATCTTGGGCGTTGGTAGAAGTCGTAATGCAGAGGGTCCGTTGATTTACCATTTGACGCTGAGCTCTGAGCTTACTCAACTTTGTCGATTCACAGTTGCTGTAGAGGCTGCTTCACATGCTGAACGCCTTCTCGATGAACTGATGCAAGTTCATTCAGCGAGTTCAACCTTCCGCCAAGTGTTTAAATCGCAATCGACAACGGCGTATTTTCTAGATGCCTACAAGTCCTTTGTAGCTGCGCTCCGCAATTCGACTTCACTATTGGACCAAGCAACCATTAGAATACTAGAGAAGATGTCGCATCTCGGTCTCAGCATCGCATTGGATACCGTGGTGGCTGCTGAGCAAAAATCAGAGGTAATCATACATATAGTTCATCGTTCCCGTTGGTTGACTAGGCTCCTGGACAGGTTCTTGATCTATTGCAATTAGCTGAAACCGTGCTCAGTCCTGACCCGGCTCATGATGCAACAATCGACCCAACGGTTATTGTACCCAAAAGACCACGAAGATCCCGTTTTGCATCTTCGCGATTTAGTATACACATCGGCGAGAAGACTGTCCGTCGTACCATGACCCGTATCGAAGAATGGCGTAAAACGGTCTTCACAACAGAGAGGAAAAGATTGCGACAAACGGTTCTTGACTTGTAGGTCGACCTTCCTTTTCGTGCCTGGCAATGATTGAGATTTCTGCAGGCGTGAAGAACATCGTCAAGTCGCAGGTCACACTGAGTGGCGAAGCCTACTCACGGATGAGCGAGGAATATGGCCCACTCATGCAGGAGAGCCAAAATGGCGGCTAGACGAAACAGAAGGGCCGTATCGTATCAGGTGCGTTCCTAATGAACATCGTTCAATATATCTTCTAACACGCAAATTCACAATAGAATGAGATTGGAACGTGACCTTGAGACGATTATCAACTCGAAGATTGACTTGAGTCATTCTCAAGACCGAATATATGGGCCAGACCTGGATAACCAATCTGTGGTGCACACCGAGGTACCGCCATGGGCTGAATCGTATGATATAGCTGCCGACAGCGAAGGTGAGGGAGACACTGGGCACCAAGCCTAGCGTAGCGATACTAACCTTTGCTGTAGATCGTCAGTTAGATGATGAAGTGCGCGAAGATAAACATCGTAGAATCAGACATGAACTTGAAGCGGACGACGTCATTGAAGCCGTCACTACCGTGGCACGCATTTCTGGAGTTGATTCATATCGTACGTACATTTCAGCGGTCGTCTGGACGTGGGTTCTGATACTCTCACATAGCGGGCTTGCTGATCTTCGGTCGCACACACCTTTATATGTTTGACGGGGTGGTTCAGAATCACGAGGGGGAAGTCATCGACGCAAACGAGGCCCCAAAAGAATTATTCTTTGTTCCCGGCAGTACCCCGGAGCTGAATGGACCACAAACCGCTCAGAGATGGTAAGCCCCGTGGTATGAAAGGAGTTGGCGTAGAACTGACAAACATTGAATGCCTCTAGGAAGTATGATCAAATTCTGAACTATAGCGACAGAACATTCCTGTTCCGAGATGTTGCGTGAGTGCTTTACATTTCCAAACCAGATATCGCTGACCATTCTATGTAAGGCTCGAGATTTACTTCCGGGATAGTCGATCTTTGCTCGTGGTGTTTCCTAAGAAAGCTGAACGGCAAGCAACCAATGAGCGACTTCATAACGCTATTTCTGGCCGACATCCCTCAGACTCGCTTACACCTGGTTACCTCAAGTCGCCACTAGTGAACCGTTTGAGTGCGAGAGTATCTGCAACGGCCAGAGCCAGTGCTAAGGCGCTCATGGGTTTCAGACTCGACGAGCTGTCCACTGCACAACGGAGATGGCAAGCACGCGAAATCTCGAATGTGAGTCACCTGTGCCAACTTCATTAATATTGAGAAGCTAACGCTTGTTTAGTACGCATACATAAGTATCCTGAATCAACTTTCTGGTCGTACGCCAAGTGATGCAACACAATATCCGGTATTTCGTACGTCTCGCCTTTATGTTCATGACATCTCATCCCCATATCCATGGTAATCCCGTTCGATCTCCTTTGCCTAGCTTGGGTCATTAGTGACTACACGTCAACGACTTTGAATCTCAAATCGAATAGCACTTTTCGAGAGTGAGTGGCTGCTGTTCAGTAATACTTCAGGAGAGTCGCTTATTTAGTTGAGCAGTCTCACCAAGCCTATGGGTGCTCTTTCCCCAGCAAGGCGAGAAGCGGCTGAGACCCGTTACAAGAACCTGCAGAGTGTGGACGAGGTACCCTTCCATTACGGGACGCACTTCAGCTCGTCAATGATAGTCTGCCATTTCCTCATTCGGCTCGCCCCGTTCACCAACATGTTCAAGACTTTGCAGGTACAGTATTCACAATCAGCATTTCGGTCAGTCGCTGATACTGATATTCACATGCATAGGGTGGTGATTGGGACCTTCCTGATCGTCTTTTTGTGTGAGTATCCGAAACATTTTATTGTGGCCTGATTAACAGGGACACCTCCTAAGTGACATGCAAAGAGCATATGAGTCAGCCTCTCAGGATCTCAGAGGGGATGTCCGGGAGCTGATCCCCGAATTCTACACCTGTCCAGAGTGCGTTTTGCTAAATGCATATCTCGGCAAAAACATGAAGCTAACTGCACCCAGGTTCCTTGAGAATTCCGCGAATCTTGATTTTGGAATACAACAGAATAACGGAGAGCGGATACACGATGTGAAACTACCTCCGTGGGCGAAGAATGATCCGCTTTTATTTATCATCCTCAACCGAGAGGTTTGTTATCTGACTGAAACATATATTGAGGTTCAAACTGACATGTCGATACAGGCGCTTGAAGGCGACTATGTCAGCCATAACCTCCCTGCATGGATCGACTTGATATGGGGTTGCAAGCAACGCGATCCGGAAGCATTGAATGTCTTCCATCCGTTGAGCTATGAGGGTGCTGTTGGTACGTGTCTTGGTGGCCATCATTTCGAATGTTAATCTCAAACGCGCTTGTATCAGACATTGAGTCCATCACAGACCCACTTGAACGAGAAGCTACTGTTGGGATCATCCACAATTGTAAGGATTGCAGGTGTCACTTGTCTTGTCATGGAATACTCACTAGAAGTCTAGTCGGCCAGACGCCACGCAAGTTGTTCAACTCGCCACATCCGGATCGAATGATGCATGGTTGTTCCACCCTACCGATCGGTACAATTTACGGTATCTCCGAGGATTTCCATTTATTATCCCAAGGAAGCAAAGTGATTAGAGGTAAGCTTAAAAGCTTAACAAGCCGCTTCGCTTACCACTGCTCAACCGAATTCGGCGTTGTAAGATCTTGGTCAGGGGAACGCAATACACGAGCTCGTTGTCGACAACATAGGCGAGAGAGTCATACCTTGTACTCAGGGGCGATTAGTTGTACCCTCAGCCCCTCACGAAGCCGTAGAGTGGGACATCGGTAGAACGTCACCTGGCGATCTTCGTGTACTTTCTGATCGAAAGGTGAATCTCAACTTCCATCCTCCCAGGTCTATCATTAACAAGGGAGTTGATCCTATAGATTGTTCAAGTTGTCGAATCCGCTTTCTGTTTGTGCGCCACTTTTGCCGATCCAGATACGGTAGGTCAATATGTAAAAAGTCACAAATGCAACATGCTGAAAACGTCGTAGCTTGTGACTGGCTCTTTGGACTATACTGTCCGTCTATGGCAGTTATCTCGCGGAAGTGGAGTGTCCAACACCCCTCGCTACGGGGAGTGTCCGTTGAAAGTCATCCCCACTCACCTTATGCGCTCGCACAGGGCTCCAGTCACTAGCGTAGCGGCATCTAGAACTTGGGCTTTGGTCGTTAGTGGCTCGGAAGATGGAAGTCTCGCATTCTGGGACCTCAATCGAGGGAACTATGTGCGATCAATATGGCATGGCCAAGGTCGGGAGTGGGCGATTCACCTGGCTGCCATAAACGAAAGTACAGTACGTATTGAACTGGACATCTTGAGTCAGTCGGTTTCTTATCGTCATTTCAGGGCAATATTGCTTCGTGTTCACGAGACCGTCTGTGGTTACACACTATCAACGGTCGACCCATCGCTTCTCTTGATTTGACTGGTCTTTCTGCATCACCGGCGTATCCGCCCATCGCATCGTTAGCATTCCATGAACGTGAATACTCCCGGCAACCAGTCATTGCAACTGGGGGACCCGATGGTGCCATCACTTTACGGACATGGAATGCAAACAACACACCGGAAGGTGCAAAAGCTCGATGGGAGTTTGCAACGCTGCGAACATTGAAGGTGAAGACTGCTGATGGTGAGAGAATGCCTCGACGATCAGTTCCCTGCGTGACGGCTCTGCGCTTTGTTGGGTAAGTATAGTTAATCATCGCACCTTCTTGATGCTCATTGCGTGATACAGGGAATTGTTGTATCATGGCGAAGATTCAGGGAAGGTGTTTTGCTGGGAGTTGCCAGACTGAGCAACGATTTATCGTGAGCATGGAGGCTTAGGTTGCACTAGACACATTTTTCACATTGTAGAGTAATTTATACCGCACATTCTAACTATGTATCATTTGTGGCATTCAATGCTGTGAAGACTCATCTAGCCTCTATCTCCGGCCGTGACGTTACTCACCGATGCTGAGATTCACCCGGTGCCTCGGGGTGGCGCTGTCTGAGTGAACCTCGGTCGTTAGCGCCTGCCAAGTTTTCCTCCAGGCTCTGAGTAGTTCGTCTTCACCATAACCATTCGTCTTCGGTCATAAAGCCGTCTATTAATCAGCTGTGGCCTACTACCTTTATCTCTCTCGGATTTTACCGCCCACTTGCTGTATGTTTTTTTCTGTATAGATTTAGTAGTACTTACTCGCGGAAATTGGAATAGCCCCATGCTCCAAAATGTCAGAGTCTCACTGACTAGCACTGACTTCAACCGACTTTGTGGAATGTGTGAAACCGCGATCTTCCGTTGCTCGCGCGACCATGCGGGCGAGAGACAGGGTTCCATTAATAGCCGCCTCGAGGGTTCAACGTTCAAGCAAATAAGGTGCCGTTTTCTAGCGTTTTCTGCGCGTTCAACGCCCGAACCTCGATCGAGTGAAGTCTAGTAAAGTCCTTATTAGTCCAGGTTCCAATTGACTATGGAAATCGGACGGCGCGTCAAACAATTTGCCTCGATCCCTCGGATTTTAAACCGCCGGATTGCACCCTCCCAAGAGCTTGAACAGGTAAATCATATGTCGTCGAAATTATGCGCTTGGCAACCAATGGTGCTCATGGTCGATATCCATCGGTAATCATCCTTCTGATATTCCGGCTATTCCGTACTCTTGTGAATACTAAACGGTCTCAGTTCTAGTTGACTGTATAAAAATCATTGGACCCAGCATGTTTGTGTTTTCTTCAAGTGTGCTGCCCCCTGCTTACGATCCAACATGCGCGCCGACGACGACAAGACTCTGGCATCAACGAGCGTATCTCGATGTCCTAGCCCCCCACCACCAGAGTATGAAATAGTTGCCTTCCATGAAAACGATCCAGACGACCCGACGAACTGGTCCACAAAGCGTAAAAATGGTATCCTAACTATGATCTGCCTGCTAGGCTTCGCAGCTGTCTTTGGATCATCATCATATGTGAAGTATCTTTTATTACCTTCTCTCGCACGTCCATGCTGATGCAGTATTTCAGGCTCCAGGAACAATGCAGATACGCATGCTATATGGTGTCAGTGACACAGTTGCGAGTTTAGGGGTGGCGCTGTATGTCGCTGGTTTCGGTATCGGCCCACTATTTTGTCAGTGATATCTACCATCGTGCCTGAATCAATATTAAATCGTCTTCGTCTCTAGGGGGTAGCTATACCATTGACTGATTCTGGCAAGTATAGTGCTCAATGTATATGAGCAGGACCTATAACTGAGATGTATGGTAAACGGAAACCATATCTCATTTCCTGGGCACTGCTGATAGGTGTGTGTCGCTGCACATGTTCATGGCAATACTTATATATTGATGTTTGAATCCAGCCACGACTGTGCCTTCCGCCTTTGCTGAGAATCTCGCCGTGATATTAGTTTGTAAGTACTCTCCTAAAACAACCCACGGTTTCTATCTAACTTCATCATTAGTTAGATTCTTGTCCGGGGTCTGTGCCTCGTGTCCATTGAATACGTGAGTCCATCCTAATCTAGCGGTATATTTTATTGACAATGGTGTTGTAGGGGCGCCTCCGTGATTGCTGAGTAAATACTTGCACTCCCCGTACGAAGGAATTGACCTAATTAGTTTATAGTTTATACATTCACGACCTCCCAAATCTTGGAAAAGGTCAGTAACTATCTCGTCGCGGTCCTTTTGCGAGACTGAAAGCATTCTGTTACAGCTGTTGTTCTCTTGTTAGTGCTTCTCCAGCCGGCACTCTGAGCATTCACTGATCTTGCGTCCCTAGTTCAACCGCCGCCCTTCAAGGTCCAGTCATTGGCTCACTAGTTGGGTTCTTCATTGCCGCACACTCAGGCAGACAGTACGTCTTCACTGCTCCGTTGTGATTTCTTATTGAACTCTCGCCAGGCTATGGGTGATCCGGGTCCACTTCTTCTTTTGTGTTGCTTTGATTCCATTGGTTCTCCTCTTCCCTGAAACATATCCGCCGGAGATATTGTTGCAAAGGGCAAAGAGGATGCGAAAAGAAGGGAAGACTAACGCCCGTGCTGCTCATGAGCTACACGGCAAGACAACTATGCAAGTCGTCCAAGGACACGTTTTCCGACCCATGGGTATGTTCATGTGCTATCGGTGACGGACGACACTATAACTGCGCTTATTTTGATAGCGATGATTATCAGAGAACCGATTGTCCAAGGGTCGGCGGCATGGATATCACTGGGATATGGAATTATCTAGTAAGTACCATTTGACGTTTCGAGTCGGCTTTCATTTTCTGACACTCGGTCAAAGCTTCTTCTTCCAAGCCTTCCCCATCGTATTTATCAAGCAGGTATGTCCTCGATAGGGAGATCGGAGTATAGTGTGACTGACTGCAACCCAAGCATGGAATTCCCTTTCAACTTTGTGGTCTTTTATTCATCGGAGTGACACTGGGCATGTTGCTCGCCGTGTTCCCATACGCCTGGCTTATCAAAACATTCCGACGACTACCGCTACCTGGCATTGATAAGCCAGGCAATGAAACGCAGCCAGAGTCGACCTTGAAGGTCGTGCTAACCGCTTGGTCAGTTGTAACTCCTTGCGCCCGGAAGTATGATGCTCACCGTGCATCCACATCTGTAGCGTCCTGTTACCCGCATCCATGTTTTGGTTCGCATGGTGAGTTGAATTTACCCCGATGTCTCGAAACATCCTACTGACTACTTCATATATGAACAGGGCAAGCGGACCCGAGACACATTGGATTGTGGCTACTCTGGCTGGCATTCCGTTTGGGTACTCCTCCCTGATGGTCTTCTTTGCCTTCCTTTCATAGTATGTCATTTAACTCGATTGCAAAGGACGGAAACTGATCATTTCTGCAGCAATGCTCACACTTATGGCGTATATGCCTCAAGTGCTGGCGCAGCCAATACGTTTGTGCGTTCATTGGTCGCTGCGTCATTTCCGTTGTTCGCAACCCCTATGTTGGAGGACCTTGGGACGAAATGGGGCAGTAAGTCTATCTAATCATCCTTTGGTTGCGCTCCCCAAAATGACCACTCTTGATAGTATCTGTATTCGGATTTTTGTCCGTGTTTCTCCTACCGATACCACTCATTTACATTCGGTATGGGGAAGCCTTACGAGCAAGGTCGCACTTTGCGAGAGAGGCTCGTGAGCTAGCAGCCGGTATGCATCATAAGCATAAGGTGCCGGAGGATGAGAAGCGGCGTGAGACCGTGGAGATCGGAGAGGTTTAGTTCGCTAGAGCAGATAGGAAGAACCGCGAAGGTAAAGGACTGGCGACATAGACAATGACCCATTTCAAGTTTTAAATAGATCATTTCATGCTACTATGTATAGAGGTACTTAGATTACTCGAGTATGTTGAAATACCGGATTAATACTCATGTACGTATTTGCGGAAAGGCTGTATGGCTCAATATCTAAGCAGACTACTCACATTACATGATATCTACCTTACAAGCCAACTGTGAAACCGTTGATCATCATACATCAGTCAATTTATTAGTGCTTGTTGGGCAATGGCTTCGACAATATTGCCTGACTCGGGATTACTGTACATATGTGTGAATAACTTACAAACTGCGTAGTCTCTGCCTACACAGATTGTGTATGTGCATTCGTTGAGATGTTTTATGCCGGCTCCCACATGAGATCATTTAGTGTGATTCCGAGACCTCTTGCGAGACTCAGCGCAACTTCATACGATATTCCACACCTGAACGTGGGCGACAGCTCTAACCGGTCTGGTGGCGACGTTCGATGCACCAAATGCATTGACGCGAGTTCCATGACCTATCAAATCAGTATTCTGTCAGTAGTGATACAAACGACATGCGATGAGAGAGGTATGTACCTGAGCGTAAATAGCGACTCGGGAGATTTCCATCTCGGTGTACTCTCCAGGCAGGGTATATTCAGGCGCCGGTGGTCGAGTCTCAGCATCGTTTTCCTCGAGTAGGACGCCTAAAATAGCGATTAATCTGTCCAGAGGGAATGCAAGTGGTCCCAGTAACCGTTGTGCAATCTAAGAAAGTCCATGGCCCTCCGTACTTTGTACTGTTGATTGACTAGGAGTCTCTAGAGACGACGAACCTTGACTGCACTATTTTTGGCACCGACCCTCCTGGATCCGCCTCTCCTGCGCTTCTTTCTCTCATCAGGACCCCTTCCAAACATCCTCATATCTGATTTTGCTGGATTCGTACTCGCGAGAAATGCCGCGAGTAGAATGAACTTCGCCATCCTGGATAGCGACTCCAACAATCCCGGTCCTTTGATGTCGTCGGGCATTCTGGCAGCTACAGATGGAGCCTGAAGTGGGGCATATGACAGTATGTCCTTAGGCGGCCGATTCGCCTGGGCCCATGCTGATGCAGATGTAAGACGAGGGTACAGAGCTTCAAGGGCTGCTGTGAAGGTAGGTGTAAATAGACGCGTAAGGCGTATTCGAGCATCCTCCGTGGGTGTAAAAGAGGGTGGATCGTATCCTTCCGCGATGACACTTTGGCGTTCATCTAGCAAAGGTTGGACGAAGCCGGGCCAATGGGCAGCTGCGATATACGCAAGTTCATCGGGATCTGTAGTGAAGGGAGAACAGATACTGTAAAGCGTGGAAAGGAAATGTACGTAGAGCGGTCGGAGATCTGGATGGTATGTGTCTGGGTCAAATATTTTAGATGTGTGGGTTGGAGGTTCCTGAGGGTACAGACTGCTGAGTTGGTCCAGCATTGCTAAAAATGAAAATAAAACATCGGTCAATTGAGGCTACAAGTCACCATCAGTCAAGCAGAGGTCCCACCTTGTTTCGATAGCGGCTGTACCTCGATGTAATAGGGATCAGGGGAAGCTCCAAGAGGAGGCTTCATTTGGTCCCATCGGAGGTCAGAAATGAAAATCGTAGTGATATCAACTTGTGCCTGTAACCACACCAATCAGACGAATTCTTCACGATGAAATTCAAGTATTGATGATCCAGTTGGGTGACCTATCACTATGATAGTAAAAACTTACAAGTTCTGCCAGTCGTGTAAGAGGAACGACCAAATCAGGCATATTCTCTCTCAACCGTTCCGCATGTTGTACAACGAGTAGCATCCGAGTTTCTGTTTCGACATCTTCTGTCGCTCTTGCTTTCGCTTTGGACTTATCACTATGTCCATTGGGCTGAATTTTCTCCGAATGTCGTGAGGCAGCAAGGGCGCGTAGGCCGTGGAGGAAACTGTCCAAACTGTCATCGAAACGCTGCCCAGAATATTCCGAAGGCCCAGCCCAATTGTTGCATCCTTCGTTCCACAGCGGAGTCCAGGATGCGAGTTCGTTGAGTGCTGTATCATATAGAAGTCGTGGTGTAAAGCAAGCAATCCCATCCACGAATGCTGTTGTCAAGGTCGTTTGTGGTTTCTCCTTGAGATCCTGCAGCACTGTTTGTATCACCAAGGCGGACTGCCTAATATTTGACGCGTCGTGAACATAAACAAATGGCGGTGAGAAGTACGTCAATAAATTTGAGAACTGAGAGATAAGCGTTTCATAACCTTCCATGGCGCAGGTCCTGGTGGTGGTCATAAGTCAAGATTAATGTCGGTCACAGCTCCCCCAAATGGGCGCGTCTGTCACAAGTGCACGTGCTGTGACATCTCGCGTAAAACACCATTTGCATGGCGATCACCAACTTAACATCGTTATCTACTTATGAAGTCCTATATCCTATGTTCTCGTTACCAGAATGCGTTTGCATGAAGGAAATAGCCGAACTGGAAACCACTGTAGATCTGATTCCCATGAACGGCTTGGGTTTCTTCCATCCATCGAGAATATCCCTACACTAAGAGAAAAAAATGAAAGGCTGTCACGACCTTAAGCAGTCCCATAACGAGAATCGTCGCCTCTCTAGTCTAGATCGGCCCGTCATCCACCCAAGTGTAGGAAAATTACTGTTCCCAAAATGCTGGGAGCCGGATACTATCTGATCAAGGTCGCACCTGCTTGAATCTCTCTTTCCAACGCCCTGCGGTCTACAGTGATCAAGTAAACGCGAGTTGCAACTCTGGAAAAAAGCAGACACATACGTTACTCGAGGATCTTGAAGTAGATCATCGTGCGGTGAACCATTTCCAGGCAAAGAGCCGGGTGCCTGTGCAGCCTTCTGAAGGCTATAGTTGTATTCCGGCCCATGAAAATCGGCTCTTCTAAGGCTGAACAATACTGGACTACTTACGGCATAGCCACTACGAAGGCGCAGAATATGGCAATCACTGAAAGCAGTGAGGGAAAGTGATTGGTCCGCATTGATGGATCTTTTGCGATAAAAAGGAGGAGTACGAGCTGTAGGGAAGGATGGTCAAGTCAATTCGGTCACAACATCAGTGTCAACTTACTGTCCAGCACTCGAGATGTGTCCAAGCACGGGCAGGTCACCTTCCAATACTGCTCCAATTTATGTAGAGATGTCAGCGACAGGCAAGGCTGTGCTAGATGATCTTCCCAAGAGTTTCATACCCTGCTCATATATGATTCCCGGCGTACATCAATGAACGGTGATATCAGTCATGAGTGGCTGACATTGCGGCGCATTTTCTTCTCTCTCTCTCTGTGTGCATGGATAGTGAGATGAAGGCACTGAAGTACGCGGCAGTAATGGCAAAACAGGAATCGAAGTCTGAAGGAAGGTCAATACACTCGCTCTGAGATCGTGTCATATGCATGACTGGACCAAGCCGCTGTGCAAACCCACCGGTACTTTCTCTTGATCTGCAGCTTCGAAAAAATGTAAGGATACTCCCCTATCTATTGATTGCACATCATGGAAAAGTAGAATGATGGCGATGTTCGACTACTCGCCAAACAGAAAAGTTGTCGAGTTGCCAGATGGCAATCAAATGTTTTGCGAAATATCCCTTACGTCGTGGCGTACACAGGCTTACGGTCACAGTCGGCCACGGTTAGGTGGCCTGAAGATCAGTCACCGCTGTCAGATGGCTGTCTTTCCGGTGTGGTACGTTAAGAGCTCTTGATGCATCTTAAACATTGATGGGACAAGCTTGCAACCGGTCAATAAATGTGTTAGGCACTCACTGGTCTTTACGATAGTGTCAAATAATTTAGCGTCTATCGCTGGTTGTTGGAAAAGATGCATAATTGGGCTGAAGAATTGCAGCGCGCAAAGGGTTGGACGCCGTCGTATACGATTGGCTTGACATAGTAAGTGTCATTGCAATATAGCGCACAAACCATAATTGTACACAAATGCAATATATCCTTAAGAACAGGTAAGCAAAAAGTGAGATAAGGCACAGCGAAGACTATACTATGCCGATATGCAAGTTGAAAGGGAATCAAGCCTGGATATGAGGTCAGATCGCGCTGCCAGTGTTTGGTTGTCTACTATGGATGGTTGAAACAAGTGAAGTATGCCGCCAGTCCGCCATTTGCGGATACCTCCGCAATCCAATCTCTTGCTATATCGAAAAACCGTTACTTAGGCGAATCATTCTGTAGGCAATAAAGAGATCAAATACGTACATGGGATGAGTGTAAACAGTTGAAGGGACATAATCATGAGTTGAATCGTAAGGCAAGAGCCTATACACCCTAGATGATTAGAGACTGCGAGGACAACATTTTTAACACCCTCCACTTACGGAAGAGCTGACCCCATGAGTATCACTTGCATGGTCAGGCAAATGAAAAAGACTGTGAAGCTCTTGAATGCAACCATAGATGGATGATGGAATCAATTGGACGACGTCAAGTATAGTGGTGATTGAGCAGAAGCTGTTGGGCAACAGAATGAGCGTTAGCCACTGTGAACTCAGTCAACGCTTACCGTCCAGCACTCTGACCCTTCAATGCAGTATCTCAGCGATTGCTACTGTGCCTTATATGCGAGGCTTCACGCCACATTTCCGATGAGAATTAGTGGAGACGGGGCCTTAGCGTCTGTAAATAGATCCGCTCTAGAGGCTACGGGTCGCGACAGGCAATGCGTAAGATGCGATCACTGCTCGGCCACCCCTTGACGCTCTGCTCTATGTATCAGCAAGGAGCTAGCTATTTACCAAGACTTTTTCTTAGTAACAGGAGCAAGGGCTTAGTCAAGGATCGGCGCGTCAGAATACGGACTTGTAAAGCGAGGACTCACTGGGACGGAAGTAGAGTAACATTCGATGGCGGGCTTTGTACGAATTGTGTGTTACTGTTGAATACAAAATATTAGAAGGGTGCCTACAGAGGGGAACAGACATCAGAGTAATTCCACACGGGAAGGGGAATCTTTTCAACTGCCAGGATTACGATCCACTCGAAATGAGATACCACTGCGCGAAAAGATGGCATTACACATTAATGGATGACCTTCCCGAACCCACTCAATCTACCGATCCTAGTGCTGCAAACAGGAACGATAGCCATGAAACGCGTCTTTGTAACAACATCCCGCGAGCTTCCTATATGGTAATAAATACGCGAGCTCAACAACGAATCTGTCGCGTTTCATCAGACTGTCATATTATGGTGTCAGAAGAAAGTAAGAATGTACCAACGTATTGTGCTGGATTCTTGAGTGCATAGATGAAGGGCGGTGTTCACGAAGTAGGTGCAGCATTTCTAAGAGCCGCAAAGACTGACACTTCTCTATACGTCGTTAACTGAATAAACTATGAATTACTGGCGAGAACCAGTTGCTCCTCCTTGTGCAGTCCCATACGACCACGCCAGAAAGCTGGGCAGAGTGGAATCGGAGACTTTTCTGAGTCAACATGCCGTGCTAAAATGGAGTCCAAGACCTGGAGGACATTTTCCGTGTGTAGGTTACCCAACCATTCTCCTTCTGGATACACCAATACATTGGCAGCGTATCTAAAACAATTAATTTGACATTGAATGGAGCATTTTAAGTGATACTTACTTGTGACCCCCAACATGCCCGACACTAGCCACCTTCACCTGCTGTGTCAGGTGTCTCCGAAAGACCTCCTTCCGTAGCGCTTCGAAGACCTGTACGCCAGTCGTCCCACATCGACAGTCTCTTTCTGCGTGAGTGCAGACATATAGATGAATAGGGTCATGCAGATTGACTGGCGCCGGTGGATCGGCAGGCAACGCATGAGTCTTCAGCTTGCTCTCAACTTCATTCAGGTTCTGCAAAGACACTTCACGCAATTCGAGTCTGCCGCGAGACCTAGAGAATGCCGTTGCATTATACACCTCCTCTGTATCTTCCGAGTCCCATTCAGCAGTGTCTGAACTGGCAAACCGTTCATGTACCGATTTTTCGGGAGACCATGAAAAGTTAATGAGACCTCTCCATTGAGTCGCGTGAAGCTGAAGAGTGCGCTGAAGCTTGGAAGGTACTACTTTGGGGTAAGATGTGGGTGGAAAACGTGTATGAAGAAACACAATGGCCTCATGATAGGGTGCAGTGCCTGCAATCACGGCCGCTGTCGACGAAGTTGCCAGAGACCGAGATAATTGTCCAATGGTAGACTTGGCAAGCATGATTTATAGGGCGTTACCATATGCGGTGATAAAGGCATAGCATACACAAGCGCCTATATTCTTGTATTAAGTAACGTGGTTCACTTTCAAGAACTCGGCCTCCCGTTAAAATGGCTTCAAAGTTACTTTCGATACTCCCATTACATTCTTTAAACGCAGAGCTCGACAATGACAATTGGCCAAATTCCTTTGCATCGGACTCGTCTCTAGCTAGATATAAGTGCCCTCGTAAGGATAGGCCACTGTCAGGTATTCGGCCATTCATACCAGATTCATACCATCATGGGGTCTCAATATGTCCAATTGATTAGCTCTAAATACTTTCCTCAGATTTGAAGTCCATACGATCATCTAACGATGGCTCGTGCAAAGAAGGCAGCCCTTTTTGTACGGATACTGGAGCATAATTGAGGGGTGGAATCATCGACGTGTTAGTCTAATCTCTATTTCCAAAATACGAGAAAATAAGAGCGTGAAGGAGGATGTGTTAAGCGGTTGTGGATTCCCCAACGACGGAACTTGTCGACTGAGCACTGGCACGAATGCGCAAGATGTCCTGTCTCGACAGACCCGCCTCGCTACAAAGTGATCGGAAGATAGAATCCTCCTTATCGAAGAGGTTCAATGGAGTGTCATGCTCTACGACCTTTCCTGCATCCATGACAATGATGCGGTCATAATAGACTGAAGGATGTATGAGCTATATCTGGCATGATGAACTAGACTGACTGACCGATGGTATTGAGACGATGAGCAATACAGAGCAAGGTGGAATATGCAAACTCTGATTGAATCGTACGCTGAAGCTTTGCGTCTGTTTCAACATCGACGTTGCTAGTAGCCTCATCCTGCAGATCGAATGAATAACCAGTAAGGATTAAGAACGCCAAGTACTTACGAGGATAATGATTTTGCTATTCTTCACCAGAGCCCTGCAGAGAGCTAAAAGCTGCTTCTCCCCTGCACTATAGTTGGAGCCTATGGGGAGTCAATCTCGCATACAAACACATCATACAAAACCACGTTACCTTCATCGCTCACAGACGCATCCAAACTGAACTTGGCCTCTACGACAGGATCAACAGGGGAGCCGTCTCTAGGCAGGAGCCAAGCACGTTTGAGTGCCGAGATGAGTTCTGCGTCCGTTCGAGTCCCTTGAGGATCACTAGCACCAGACTGCAGATCAGAAGAGTGAAGGACGCAAAAAAAAAATGGAAACTCAACAGGTTCTCTCGCAATGTTCCCATGAACAAGGTGCTATCCTGCGGTACTAGCGCCAGCCGGCTACGAAGGATGTCCAACCCAACATCTCGGATGTTGTGACCATCGATGGTGATGGTTCCGCCTTGTAGATTGACGATCCTGGAGAGACACGGGACATAAACATTGAGCTTGATCAAGCAATCGTAAGATACTTACCTGAATAATGCCTGTAACAACGAACTCTTCCCCGCGCCTACAAACAGTCAGTGGATCGTACCTATAGGCACTTACAAGTCGTTGACAGGCTACACACCTGTTCGCCCCACGATACCGACTTTCTCTCCTGGTTTCACGCTGAACGTGACACCTTTCAGTATAAGAGGTAGGCCGTCGCGATAGGTCAACTCGACGTTCTTGAACTCAACAGCACCTTGATCAGGCCATGAAGGTGGAGGGTCGTTGGGTGTCGTAGCATCGCCCTCTGAAGGTAGTTCAGTATAGTAGAGAATGCGCTCGACGGCGTTGAAGTTCTGTTCATTCTGGGCATAGGATGAAACGAGGTCGGCTTATGATGACATCAGTGTCAAAGAGCAGACATAGAAAACACGCCAACGCACAAAAGAACTGCGTGACTAAAAGCGTTCTTCAATTCAATCTGTTGCGCAATGTGTTATCGAACCACTTACTGCTCAGAGTGTACGATAACACGACACCGATCTTCGAGGGGTTCACCGATTTGCGGAATCCGGCGGAGAATAGAGCTATCCCAAGGATAAGAAGGTTACCGAGGAAATCCAGGCGAATGCTCAGCCAGCGTTGTATAGAAATGGTCATGTAATAGGCTCTGTTTTCCATATCTAGCCCTTTTTCCGTCCTGTGTATAAAGCGGTTCTAGGCGGAATAGCGTCAGTGGCATTCAGAGGAAATCTACGCTGCAGCAACTTACCTGCGCGCCATATCCGCGAACCGTGCTCAGGCCCGTTAAGGTTTCTAACACACGAAAATCAGAAATGTCTCGACTTTCACGAAGGTCTATAGGTTTACCTGAGTAAGAGGCATACAACGCTGAACGCATCAAGGAGTCAAGTCGCTTGGTTTCAACAGATGCGCGCCTGTAGTAAATGGCGGCCACCATGTAGAAGATTCCTAGAGGTGCAAAGAGAATGCCAAGATAAGGGAAGGTGTAGAAGACCAGTGCAACAGTTCCAATGACGGAGCTAGGAAAATGTGAGTTCAGAAAGAATTTACACTTAGTTACTTGCGCAAACCTGATTGTTGTTAACACCTAAATGATTAATGGAGAGTAAGCTACACTTCCAAATGGGAGGATACATGTCTACACATACCTGGAATGCTATAAAGGAGGTTTCGCTGTCCAGGGTATCCTGATCTTTCGAAAGGCGAGATATGATTCTACCTGCAGTCGTTCATTAGTCAAAGACAGAGCACCATAAATACCAACATACCCATAGGTGTAGTATCGAAGAACGATATGGGTGACCTCAGTACCGAGAGCAATGCAGTCTTGAACATACGGAGACTAGCCGAGAGCGCTATCAGACTGGAACACGTAGTTAGCACAGGGTGGCCTGCGTGACGAAATAAATGAACTAACCTCATCGAAAAACTGAGCAGGAAAGAGAAAACAGCAACGCCCGCACCAAGGCCTCCATACGTAGCCATGTAATCTCCCTGAGAGAATCCAGGAATGCTCTCCGATGTCCAAAAGCCCAAGAAAAGATTGTTGGCCACTGTTGTAATGAGTGAGAATGTTTCGTTGCGTCAAAGCGATATATCGCACCCATTGAGCCTTGATACGCCGTGAGCAGAACGAGAAGCAAGGGTAATAACAACAGGCCTCCAGCATAACGTAAATATTTTAGGTATACCGTTCCTGCGACTGAACCTGTCATGCGTTCCTCCTCTTGCATGAGAGCAGATTGAATCTTGTTTGTGTCCTTCGGCTCCGGAGCTTTCCCTTTGAGATCCTTTGCATCTTCTGGTTCAGTCTTCTCCTTCCCGCTTTCCAGGTTACCATATTCATCCATGAGGCGTGCAAACTTTCCGTTGTCGCTCATAAGATCCTGGATGTCCGTGAGAAGATGACCAAAACACTATATATGTATACTTGAATCACCCACCTGGAAAGTACCCTGCTCGACAATTGCGCCATTGTCCATCACATATATGAAGTCAGTCTTGTCGAGCACATGTAAGGCATGAGTTGCCATGACACGAGTCTTGCCAGCCAGTGGTCCGTTTAGAAGACAATTATCGAGAATCTGCTTCCCGACGTAAGCATCAACTGCACTCAATGAATCGTCCATGAGTACGATATCTGCATCTGAATAAGCCGCACGAGCGAGAGAGACCCGGGCCTGAGAAATTCCAGTCGAAATTAAGCGCATCGTTAACGGTGTGACATGAATTATACCTTCTGGCCACCTAGTAGCAGAATGACAAATTAAGTTTTGGAAGGTAAGACCTCGAGTAATTTACGAACCACTCAAATTTATGCCTTTCTCGCCGATCTCAGTATCTTCACCATGGGGAAGCATTTCGAGGTCATGCTCGAGACAACAAGCACGGATGATCTCTTGAAGTCTACCCATCCATAAGGTCAGGCATCGATAATCAATAGATATCGCAGCTCTTCATACCTTTCCTCATTATCGTCACGACCGAAGAGGACGTTCTCGCGGAGAGTAGCATTCATGATCCAGGATGCTTGTGGAACGTAGGCAATAGATGAAGCAAATCGAACCTATCAATGTATACCAGAGGGATGAGTTCAAGGATATGCTAATGGGAACGGTCTCATACGTTGCCCCTTGTCCGCCTCATTTCACCAATGAGCGCTTGCAGAAGCGAACTCTATACCGATACTTAATCATTGTTAACGCAGCGGGATTGGGAAGATATCACCTTGCCAGAACCAACGCGACCTACGATTGCAACGAAAGAACCCTTCGGGATTTGCAACTTCAGATTAGGCAAGGCAAACGGCTTGTCCTCATCCTTTTCGTTGGTCTCTTCTTGCTTGATCTCATCATTCGTGGTCGTCGGTAACACGTTCTCAGTCTTCTTCTTGTTCTTCCGTAACCAACTCCTCTTCGATGACTCCTTCGACTGTTCCTCTTTACCCTGACTCACTGTCGGACCTGCCTTTGCTGGAACAGTTTCGTCAAGAACGAACTTCGGTCCTGCGGAGGCAGCCGTATGTGCGGTCTCCCAACTGAAGTCGGCATCCACGTCCACAGCAAACTTGCTGTCAGGATCGATATTATACGGCTCGGCAATCTCTTCTGCCAAAAGGAACTTGGAGATACGACCCAGTGCGACATACACATTTGCAGCAACCGCGAGGACGGCAGGGAAGAACGCAAGGGGGTATTGGATGATCTGAGAGATGATGCATCAACAAGAACAACCATTGCCAAAGAAGAAGATAAAATCAGTCACTCACATTGAAAAATTGCAGGGATGTGAAGATTGTGGCGACATCCAGTTCATGTCCACTTAAGCCGTATGTGATCTAATAGGGAACTAGCCATTAGTTACATGTAATGAGAACTTTACCTTAAAACTCACGAAGGACAATACAGCAGCAAGGATGGGAAGCACGATCATGCACGCGAGGATCAAACCCTGAGCGAGCCTGTGGATCATACAAGTCAATCGTTATGAAACTCATGTGTAATAAGTACCATGACATACGCCATTTTACGAATAGTTTCTACTTCTCTCGTTCTAAGAGAACCAATTTGGTTGGCGTAGAAGTTTTCCCAAGCATAGAACTTGATCAAACGAATGCCTTGTAGTACCTGTTACAGAGCACCCTTGTTAGACGGAAGTAGGCATCATGGAGACTCCGGTACCTCACCTCCGTTGTGAGTTGTACCCGAGAGTCAGTTATCTTGATACCTTTTGTGCGTTGTTGGATTATGATGCCAATCAATATCAATTGTATCGGGAACGCGAAAATTAAGACCTGTGGAAATGTTGGACTGCTACCTCAGACAACGAGGAAAGACTGCTTACTCCAAGACCAACTAGCGCGGAGTATCCGAGCTACCAAACGGTATCAGAAGTTGAAGGGAGGCATATTAGGGTAACTTACATTGCCTATGAGGAGACCAATACCGATAGCGATCTACTATGATGGTTAAAAGGCTTCATAACCCGCCAAGAGGCTGCACTGACCTGAATGGGCGCAACCCACAACCTCACCGGGAAATAAATCAACTAAGGTGTCGCCTTCAAGAATCCAGATAAATACCTACTCGTGTATATTGTAGCTGCTAACATCCAGACTTGTAGCGTCGGCGGAGATCATGGTCGTAATTTGTCCAACATTGTGATCCAAACGAGCCTTTCCACTCAGACGCAAGGATTTCCGGAATATGGCCCCAATGACCTGCAGCCTTGGATTCGAAAGATTACATTTACGAAAGTGGCTGTGATGACGCACCGCCGTTCGAACAGACAAGCCCGTGGTCATAGATACTGTGCAAAATGTTATATCTTAGTGTCAAACGAAAGTGTTGTGGAGGAGAATGTGATCACTTCGCATGTAGTGATTCGTCATCTATTTTATAATCGTCGTGAGTTCAGAGATGGCAAAGCAGTCATGCGATGCACATACCAAGCTCGCAGATTCTGTACATTAGCAATAAGCACACAAAGATATTGTATGATAATAGCCGAGCATACCTTGCATAACAAACAGAGCAAATGCCAAACCGATGCCATAACCGACTCCTTGAGGCTTCTCAAGATTTCCTGCAGCACGCTCATCCTCAGACGCTCGATAATAGATGTATGAATTCGTCAGCCAAGTCAGCAAGACCTTGTTCAAGAGAGGCGTTGTCGTCTTCAGAGTATCTTTGAGAAACATCAATTTCCATACTCACCGTATGGGTCGCAACATATTAGTAGCTTACCTGAGAATAATTTGAGTGCTCCAGATCCCCACCAACTCCAGAAAAATGTTCGATAAAGAGATTTCACCAAGGATGCGTCGTATTCGGGTGATTCGGGTCCTTTTCTCGCGGCCTTCTCTTCCTTCTCAATAACACCTGCATCTGCTTTCCCCTTTCCGGAGCGAGAACTCGTCGATTGATCGTCCGCTCGCTGGGCCGGGTTATCTCGCATATACGCTGGGCGTTGTTCGGGAGGACACCGTCCATAGAAGTTCTTCTCCACCTCTGCACTCAAACTGGATGTCAGTCGTTGTGGGGGTAACTGCCATAGATCTGCGAAAGGATAATTAGCTAAACATCACACCCATCAGAATTCTTACCATCTTTCTGTAAGGGGCGCGAGAAGCCGACATAAAGAAATGGATCGAGCCAGGAGAATATGAGCTTCGAAAGGATCCTTGGAGAATATGTTGTCAGTTAGACGCGAGAAACGTGCTATATGTTTTGCAGCTTCGCGTCGGGTTGCGATGAAGGGCATTTTCGCACCAATATTACTTAGAAGACAGAATATAGACTTACGGAGACTGTTCATCAGGTACAACGTGTCTTTCGCCGAAAGCTGGGGGGGCGGGGGCTGGATGGAACGGATTGTGCATAGTTCCCGTGTCCGCTGGTTGCTTCAGCTAGGGAACTACCAGATGGCCTATATTCTATTAACAATTCGAAATCTCGCCTCCAATATTCTGACCAGTAGATGACTAGGAAATGGGCGGTCGGGGATGTGATGTGTCGGACACTACTGAAGTTGTAGTATTTATAAAAAACTTGAGGTGAGAGTATATAACAGACGCTGCGCCATGTGTTGCGCAGGTGGCAAGTTCTTCGTTTCGATGACAATCGTATCGGAACTTCGACGCCTATGACTCAGTGAATGACTGGAATGTATTGAACGCGGGCCCGCAAGTTGACACAGTGATGATGCTTCGAATATGATAATTATGCAAGTGATTGATCAAGTGTTTCAACTTATCAATGGAGAAATGTCAGCTAAAACACATACAATTAGGTAACCACCGACCTTTCAATTGCTCCTTAAGGTTTGTACTGCATGGCCCAAGAGACTAAGTTGTTGGCCTGAACGGTGGGGACAATTTTCAATCAGTTTCAGGCTTTCAGCCCTACTTTCTCCGGATGGCGACTCAAAGTGAATATTATCGTCAGCACTGTGCTCACTGAGGTTATATATTTCGATGCATTGGCTTCAATCCAGCACTCAACTGAACTGAGCAGGCTTACTACTGGGTGTCTATGTAACTGAGTTTGCAGCGTCCGCGGATTCAGACTTCAAGTTACGGCCGAATCTCTACTATGCAATCCTCTCCAATGCTCCAATCACCCCTAGGCCTACTGCAGTCCGCGAATATGTCGCTCAAACTGAATGCATTCATGTTGGTTCAAGAGGGTGAACTTTCGTCCTGCCAAACCGCGGACCGCCTCTCCGGTCATCCGTTGGCAAGTTTAGCACAAACAGACAACATGATCAATAACTACCATGACTTGTGTTATCGTGGTTGAACACTCTGCGCTGCATGACAACGGTATTCACCGTCATGTGTCCGTCGAGCTTGATCTCTTGGGGCGCACTCCAAACGCACTCAAATATTCGCCATGGTCAACATACTTGTCCTCCTGAACGTCAACAGCGATGAAGTCACGCCCTGTACACCTCGCAGTTTCCTTGCTACTTCTGTCCATCTCGGCCATAGCAGCCATCGACAGACATGCATTGGTCTCTCGCTTTAACCCGACGCGAAATGCGTCGAATCCAATAACACCAATGCAGGTTGGAAATGGAGCTTTCGCCTTCGGTGCAGACGTGACTGGACTTCAGACATTCCTGCCATTCGCGATCATGTCTTCTTGGGGATGGAAAAATGACAGCCTGCCTCCAGGGAAGACTATAGAAGACGTGGAGAATTATAAAGGCGTAAGTTGGGATTCTCATGGCCGTCTCGTCCAATACGAGTTCGGCGGGGAAGCTTCGGTGCAGCAGTGGTTGATCTCGAACCCAAATCGCGTGAATCTGGGACGTGTTGGATTTCTTTTCTTCGATGCTCGAGGGGAAGTGCTAAACATCACGGAGCAGGATTTGACCAATGTACAGCAAGAATTGGATCTTTGGACCGGGACCATAACCAGCTCTTTCACGTTCCAAGGCGAGAACGTAATTGTGCAGACATATTCCGCCCAGAGCACCAGCACGATCGGAATAAAGATCGACTCACCGCTGGTGAAGAGTGGACGAATGGGCATATTTCTTGACTTCCCTTGGAATGATGGATCTGCGAAGTTCTCTGCCCCATTCGTAGGTGTATTCAGTGCCACGAGTAACCATACCAGTGTTTTGCGTACCGGTGGCGGCTTGGGACGAAACGTCGAGGCGGAGATATCACATTCACTCGTCAACTCCACGTTCATCACTTCTATCGGTGGCGACAAATTCACGATCTCCCGCAACTCTCATGCCGCACATCGTTACACGTTACGTCCGACAGGGAACGGGCCGTCCCTGTCTCTCTCTATCGCATATTCATTAGATAGTCCCAAGTCAGTCCTTCCATTTAAGAGTGTCGCAAACGAGTCCAAGAGCCTTTGGGCAAAGTATTGGTCCGCCAGTGGATTTATCGACGTCTTGACGGGCTCTACGGATATCAGGGCTCATGAACTTCAGAGACGCATCATTTTGTCGCGTTACTTGATGCGCGTGAACGAAGCTGGTGATACGCCACCACAGGAGGTATGTAATCAATACCTTGTATTGGTGCAAGACTAATAGCTCCTTTCAGTCAGGACTCGTCAATAATGGCTGGGTAAGCCGTTCAATCTTTCTGGCGCACGCATGCTAAGTCTACGCATGTCATTCCAGTATGGGAAGTTCCATATGGAGATGGTCTTCTGGCACCTAGCCCATTGGGCACTGTGGAACAACTGGGATCTCCTCGATCGTCCTATCAGCGTGTACGCCCTATTTCTCACTAGTTCTATTCAACGTGCGCAACTGCAAGAAAGGTATCACTCTGGTGCTCGCTGGTCCAAGATGACAGATCCATCAGGTCGTTCTGCACCTGGCGAGATCAACGAGCTATTGATCTGGCAACAGCCTCACCCACTGGTATTCGCGGAATACGAATATCGTGCCAAGAAGTCGAAAGCTACTTTGCTCAAGTGGCTGAACGTCGTCAACGAGACTGCGAACTGGATGGCCGATTTTGCGTGGTTCAATGCTAGTACGGAATTATATGACCTAGGTCCTCCGATGTACGTTGTGAGCGAAGATACGAGTCCGAACGTCACCCGAAACCCTGCTTTCGAGTTGGCATATTGGCGGCATGGATTGGATTTAGCTGAGACGTGGATGGAACGTCTCCAGGCGCCCATCCCAAAGGTTTGGACTGAGGTCAGACAGAATCTAGCTCCCGTCCCTATTGAAAACGGGCTTTACGCTGTGTATGAAGGTCTGGAGGATACCTTCTGGACGGACCCTGCGTATATCAACGATCATCCATCCCTCGTAGGCCTTCACGGATGGTTGCCTCCAATAACTAATGTCAGTTCGGAGATAGCCAAGGCAACAGCGGATAAGGTTTACACCAGTTGGAATATCAGCAATTGCTGGGGGTTAGCTTCGGACTCCACGGCTTCAAGCGCTCTAACAGCTGATAATCTGTTTGAATAGGTGGGACTTCCCAATGCTAGCTATGTCTGCAGCACGAAATGGCGAGCAAGATAAAGCTGTCGACTGGTTGTTGCATCCGTTGTTCGAGTTCGATGACATTGGTATGCCCATTGGGGGTGTCCGTGTGCCAACGCCATACTTCCCTGGCTCCGGCGCCCTGCTGTACGCAGTAGCGATGATGGCCGCTGGCTGGGATGGGAGTAACACGGCTGCGCCTGGCTTCCCGACTTCAGAGAACGGGTGGAATGTTAGGGTGGAGGGAATTCATCGAGCCATGTGATGGGATGTATCCGTCGAATGCGGTACGTTGAACTGAACAATTTCAATTTCTTTCTGTTTGGTACATGCTTCAGTGGAGCTTTCCCTAGAATCATCCATTCATTTTTCACGGAGATGAAAGGACTTCTATTCATACGGTTGCAGTCAAACCCCAGATCGTTCTCCCTTCTTTGTTTGGCTCTCGGTTCTTGAAGTTTCTTGGACACAAAAGGCTGTCCACTTGAGGCAAGTTTCGACACATGCACAAAGAAAACACTCTTTCCTTCCTGGGAACCCTTGATGTATTGGTCATTCTCGGTGACTTAAATTCTCCGGCTGTGGCGTCAATGTGTGAACTTTTACTGTGAGCCCATCGAGCAAACTAAAAACCTCATAGCGATGGAATTGAGATCTCCGAGGTCTGTGCAGTCCTTATTCACCTCTGATCACTGAATGACACTAATACAAGATTCATGCTTGGGATTGGCCTTCACAAGTAAATCGGCTTGCATACAGATAATTCTCGTGCAAGCCCACGAGAACTTGGAGATCATGCAAGGATCCGATCAATCACGTTGACTTCGGGAGAAGCCTTTGCGCTTTGTCTTCCAAAGGAAAACCGAGACAGCTTTGAGAAGCTTTAAGACCACTCTCGTCCTTTCATTAAGACGGAAAGATATCGATCTTTCGAGGCACCTTAATGCCGCGGGCTATCAATACCCTGTTTTCCCCGTTTTCAACCATATATACCGAAACTTACGAGAAATCTGTCCGATGCCAGGAAAGATTCCCCACAGACATCCTCTCACCTTCTTTTGCAGGGCTCCAGCTGGCACAGCGCGACGTTCTTTTGTTGAATATCGATGGATCCGTCTCTTCTACGTACTGCTTTGGGACCTCTGTTGATTGGTGGTCTTGTGAGCACGGCGTATGTTCATTTCTGCCAAGTGTGGCGTCGCGGTAGTGGAGGTCCAATGACAATTTCACGCATAGACTTTATGGCGTTACTTGCATTCAGACCTTTGTATACTTCCAAAAGAGCGAAGGAGACCGTTTGCTTCTTAAAACATTGGTGCGCCACATCGCTAACGTCCGTTTCTTGACTCGTTGATTGTGAGGTTGCATCAGATTTCAACTCTGTGGTAATGTGTTCTCTTAGACAACGGGATGCCAATACTAACCCCATTCATTCAGGCTGCTTGACACGTTGGATGTCGTGTTGAACGGCCATATCCTGTATCATTATCTCGTTACCAATTTTGCCAATCCCTTTGCTTTGACTTCTCCGGTGTGGTCAGTCGTTCTGACAGCAATTCTTAGATCAGTACTGAGTCAGCTTTCAGGAGCCTAGTGGTAATTTGCATCTCCAGTCTGCTGTTGCTAAATGTTGCTAACGTTATATCCACTAGCTTCATGTATCCATTACAGTCAGTAAGCTATAGCCGTTTATTCACGATAGGTCTGACAGCTTCTCAGGCTATTACAAACTTCCTCGTTCGAGGGTGGGTTATGATGACCACATTATTTGTGGTGTCTACTGATGTCGATACACTTAGGATGTTCACAAGACGGGTGTTTCGATGTCAGTAGTGTCATTGATAAATCTTTTCGCCCTTATGAACTCATTCGTGGTGTCAGTAAGCCAGGGAAATTGGATCCTCACTGTCTTTATAGTAAGTTTGTCAATTCTAATGGTGTGTTTCTATGTTACACTGACCGCCGGTGCCAGACCGCAGTTTCGTTATTGGATCTAGGTTAGTGGATACTACTACTGTATTTCACACTTAGAAGATACTCATGACTCTCGTAATATAGTCTGTAGCGTTGGTACGTACCATCATGTGCTCCAAGTAAAACTTAGGAGATAATTTTTCACTGTGATCATGCAGTCGTCACAGTAATGGCGTAAGTCTCGCATTGATGATATGCAGCTTAACTGAACGTTGTGTCTTCGACAGATTCCACGACACATTTGCCGAGCTTATGCAACTCTCTGTAAGTGTTCCCCTCTTATCGTATTCACTGCACCACTGGGCTGTACTGAAGTCGTTATTTGATACGCAGACACTCTTGTATCTCGACTTCGCTGCCGTATTCTCAGCGGATGCATCCATCGCTGTTTCGTTGTGTTATTATCTCCGTGTCAACAGGACTGGTGTTAGAAAGTGCGAGATTCCTTGATCAACCTACCACCGCTCTGACGAGCCATCTTCAGGACGGACTCACTAATCAACATTCTAATGTTGTACACCGTAAACACGGGTGAGTGTCCTCACTGCGCCTGTGTTAATGTATCGCTGAAAGTGTGAAATAAAGGCCTCTTGACTGCGTTGGTCTATGGCTTTTGCTTGTCATTCGATGGGTTCGCTAATCAATCATTCCAGTCTCGACGCTTCAGCGGGGTTGATCATGGTGAGCGTGACCAGTGCCATCTAACGTTTCAAGGAGACCAAGACTTCACAGTTTGCAGTCATGCCGAACAATCTCATGTATGTGGCGTTCTACTTGCAGCTGAGCAAACGTAGGTCACGGTGTGCTCGACGATAATCTCCGTTCTCCCTCTGATGTTCTCTCTGCCAGTCTATGTCAATGCATATCTTGCAAGGTTTGTTAATTAAGTTTCTTCTTTGGGCTTATCACTCATTACTCTCTGCCATAGCCTCAATGCGCGCGAGACTCTCCGTGATCGTACGGAGGACATTGTCTCAATTCATCTCAGCAGAATTTCGAATTCTCGTAACCGCGGGACGTATGCAGATCCTCCATCTCAATCTTCCGAGCCTTCAAGCCCCGTGGTGCTTGACAAGGTCAGCTACTCCGTTGATATTCCCGCATCGCCTATTTCCTGGCGCTAAGCAATCTACGGGTCCTCTTCAGCTGCGTGACCCGATGGTCTCCATTGCTGTCACAACCGATGTCGAAACTCGATATGAAAATGGATACAAGCGGTAAGATCTCCTCTTACGTTTGCGGTGTAGATTGGTAATTATTGATATGTTCACTGTTTGTAGGAGATCGCACTCAGTTGAGCCTGGACTCCGAACATTCTGAACCTAGCTTGAGCTTTGAAAGTTGAGCCAGGTGCATACACAGGACGGGCGGCGGTAACTATAAGAGAATAATTTCGTTCTGTGTCAAAAATTCGAGCGACAAAAATCATAGTAATGTATTATTGGAGTGTATGTTTAAATATATGTTTCAATAGATACGTCCGCAAAGATCGTGTTGGATAAAAAGTTCGAATAGGTTAGTTAGGCGGGTGACCTTTATGCCGTGGACCTCATCGATGCCGGCTTTTTACCTGCCTCCAACTCCTCGAGCAAGCTAAGGACGTCCCCAGCGCATCCGAATGAAAGAGTGAAACCGGCTCCACCCTGACCATAGGAGTGTATGATTCTGCTCGAGGAACCATCCGACTTCTGGCGGAGCTCCCTCTCTACGCGGACGTTCTCTCCACGGAAAGGTCGAAGGCCCTGTACAAGAGCCGCTTCCGGATCGTACTCCGCATTCTCCAAGCCAGGTACGAATTTGTTGCAGCGCTCGCGCATACGGCGGATCTCAGGACTGTCAAGCGTCAAGTCCAGATTGGCCATGTTGGGTTGAGCGAGACCTGTAATGATAGCTCAGTCTCAAGTCAAACTCCTACTGAATACGGAAATAGGCTCACCTCCAAGAATCAAAGTATGGTCATTTCGGGGTACGATGAAAACAATGCCTCCGTCATCATCACGCTTGGCATAGTCGTGAGCGACAACGAGAGCCTCGTTGACCTTGGGAAACTTTGTGCCATCGTTGACTACTCTGATAAGTGCTCCTCGCAAGGGGTACACGGATTCATCCCCAGCAAGCTCGTTACCGCCTAATCCAGTAGCGTGGATGATGGCGTGAGCATCATACTGAGCAAGGAGCCTGTCCTCCTGATCCAACAGGTCTCCAGAGATGCGCTCGGTGACGAACTCTGCTCCTTTGGAAGCAAGAATGTAACGCAACCAGGTCATGTAGGCATCGGTATCAATAGCAGGGGAAAGATGTTGATATGAGTCAACAACACCAGCTTTCTGGTTTACTGCGTGCTGTTTCACAAGTGTGGAATCGTGCTTAAAACCACGGATCTGCGAAAATGTACAGGTCAGTGATGAATGCTCAGTGAACTTAAGGAAAGACTAACCCCAGAGGCTTCGATTTCGAGCATCTTCTCCAATTCATCAGGTATTTCCTCGACTGGATGATCGAAGAAGAAGTTGGCCATCCGCATGCGTATACCATGGTGAGGCAATTCTTGATCAGGGAAGAGCTTTTGCAATCTCTCGAATACCCGGTAGGAAGTCATGCACCATTTTTTGGATTTGCGAAGTGAAATGACATCGGTGTGCTTGCCACAAACCGCAGGAGGATATTCCCACCTGTGAATAAGGGTTAGAAGAATATGTATTAAATCGAGGGAATGAACGTACAATGCTCCGGCAATTTGTGAGGTAATCCGGTCATCTAAAGAGGCCCATTTCTCGGAAATAATGGTTACAGAATAGCCAGCATCAAGCAATGCCCATGCATTCTGTGTTGATCTTGATTAAGGTATGCCCAAACCTAAGGATAATTGGGAACTAACCGTCATGCCAGTGACACCACCCCCAATAACTAGGACACGCTTATCAGCGTTGAGAAAGCGATTAGGATTGCGACCCTGTTGAAGCGAAAGTTCGCCGGCAACCTTGGTGAGATAAACATTAGGTGAAGAAGTGGAGATGATAGTGCCAGGCATTGCGGTCGAGTAATGAATATAATGTAGATGAGTGTTAAGTAGGTTGTGAAGTGCAAAGGAGAATAAGCTCTAAGAGAGGAGGAAATAAAAGATGAGAAGACTGATGATACTGATCATCCTTGTCTCGTGAACCAGCTTTTATAGTTGATATGTGCGTTAACGTCAACACTTCCGGTAGCCTTGAAAGTAGAAAGTTGGCTGTGCGCAAACACGGACGTCAACGAGGTATGGGGGCCAGTCACGTCGGTCCGAACGATACAAACCTCGAGCACAGCTGGAATTTCATCACCGAGTCATGGTCAATCGGTGAAGCGCGGCGGACGGTATCCTCTCTCGAGCGCCGTGGACGACTACCGCTTGCCATCACACCAGCCATGAGGACGACGAAAATCCGAATTCCGAATCTACACATACATCCGAGGGGAGACAGAAGGATGGCGCGTAAATGCCGTGCTGTTCTGCGCCTACGCTTTTTTTGAGAAGGCCTGTAAGCACACGATCTGCATGCACTGTGAGAGCGGCAATAGCTAACTCACCACCCGTCTTTATCCGTTGATCCGATACTGATTCGTAGGAACAGACGGGAGAAATACGAATACCCTAGTTCGACATGTTTGGAGACACATCTGTCGGACTCCTGCTACTTGCGAGTGACCTGTAGCGCCCAGTGGACTGATAGAGTTGAATGGATATATGAAACTTGAAGATGAACACCTGAGGCACTACACAGGGTCCTGTCATTTGGTCAAGTTCGTGACAGCGACAAATACTGAAGGCATGCTGCACAAAGAACCACACATCGGATGGTCGATTCTCCTTGCAACCCTGCCAGTGTGACGCGGAGCCGGTTGTCGGAACATGTCGCCATGAACGTCGTATCTCCTGAAAGTCAATGGCTAAAGATCTGAAAGAACTCTGACCGCCTCGAGCGTTCAGTGCAAGAAAAACCGCCAGCTTCCGACCAAAACGGAATACGTATCTCTAAGCACTTATAATTGCTTATCTAATACATCGGATATGTCCTGAAAGACCGCTTATATAAATGCAGCTTTCGCTCTCGACCACAACACGCTCTGCACTAGATTCGTCGCTGAAGTATAGAACCTTTGGAATCCGGATATGGCGACATTCGGAAAAGCTACATACAATGCGGCGAAATATGCTTCCATCAGGCCCACGTATCCTAAGCAACTTTATGATTTTATTTTCCAGTATCACGCACGCTCCCCGAACGCAAGGTGGGGAGCTGCAGTTGACCTAGGGTGTGGGACAGGCAAGTGCAACGTTGATGAAACTGTGCTTGCCCAATAATGCTCGGTTGTTTCGGTGAATAATGCTTAGGACAAGCCACGACTGAGTTGACGCCCTTCCAGCGCATCATAGGTGTCGATCCTAGCAACAAAATGATCGAACAAGCGAAGCAGAATGTACAAGCTACAACGCTACCTAATCAAGTAGAATATATTCAGTCGTCTGCAGAGGATCTCCATTTTCTGAAAGACGGCGAAGTGGATCTCATCATTTCAGGTTGGCAGCGGATCTGTCCCTAGTATCATTTTCGCGCTGAAATGTACATTCTTCTAACCATAGCACAAGCAGCACATTGGTTTGACTGGACGAGACTGTGGCCAGAGACCTCTAGAGTGCTGCGAAGGGACGGCAGCATTGCTGTCTGGGTATGTCGGTGTCTGCTTCACATTTGTTTGTATTTTGAGATCGTCCCAGGGCTATTCCGAGTTCCGCCTCAGTCGATATTCATCCGCAACGCCGCTTATCAGCAATTATTCGCAAGGATCAAATTCAGAGACATCACTCGGTCCGTATTGGGAGCAACCTGGGCGAAATACTGTAGACAACCATTTTTTGGACATTCCTGACCCTTCATCAATTGTTCCTGGGAAGTTCAAGGACTTTGAACGGATCTTCTTCGTCGGTTAGTACATTGGTAAACGATTCCGTGACTGTTTGAGCTGACTCCGGTTACTGTGGGTGTAGGCGACCACCATCCCACTCTTCCTTCACCGCGCCCCGTGGTCTTAAGGAAAAATATGACCTGGAACGACCTCTTGGAATATCTCCGCACGTTCAGTTCTTTACACACGTTCCACGAGAGATATCCCGAAGATTTAAAGAATCCTGATGGTGATATAGCGGTGCGCTTTTGGGGGTCGCTCAAGGAGCTTGTTTCGAAACAGGGAGGTAATGTGCGGGATACTGACCAAGTCGAGGTAGAATGGCCTCTTGCACTCATCCTTGCAAGGCGAGCATAGCGATGGAAACTCATATTGTCCAAGATACCGGATATGCTATTTTAAATAGGATACCAAAGGGGTGCGTTCGATCCCTACGAATGGTATACCCGAAACCCCAACCCCAACGGAACGCGTTGATCAAGTTTAGAGTAAGGTTTATGTTTGGCACGAGCCCGACCGGATGTCCAAGTGGACAAGGCCGTAGTTGTGCGCCTGCGTAGCTTGTTGTCTCAGGTCGTGCTTGGCGAGTACGGTCATGGTGAGAAACTGTGCCTTGTTTGCAGAAGGCTAGATGTTGAATGCATGTTTTGTGACCTTCGTGCGCTCACTGGTTGCCCCACTTTTGGGGGATTGGGTTGGGTTGGGTTGGCAACGCCGAGTCAGCTCAATCGTCACTATTGACACTAATGGTACGGATGATCGATGACCGTTTGATTTCACATCTATCGACTCTAACACTTTCTCATGCGATTGCAATGTTTCAAATTTCTGTCGATAATGTGTTGCCCCCTCCTGAAGACAAATACTATAATGCAAGACGTATCTTTGTGACATGACAACTCAACGGTTCGTCAGAGGTCCACGTATAATCTAAATCTTCCCACGTATTTGCCTCACTTTCTTCACGAATTGGGAACCTAGACAATCTTTTCATCTCGCCGAGACTTGCTCGTCCCTTCGTTTATGACACTTCAAATTGGAGTCCTAACGCCATCGATGGGCATTGGTTCTCCCTCTCTTCATCGCGCTTCTCGCAATATATTGCCACATGTGATATTGCAGCAAAGCAGACCTTTTATTATTACTTTTTAACCGTTACTTTGCACTGCTAGTAAGTGTAAAATCTCCGACTTGAACGTTGTCGCATCAAGTACTCAAGTGTCGGATATAGCACCTCTATATCCACCATCTAAATGAAATCTAATCTAATCAATGTACATCTTTGTGCCTTGCGCTTCAATTATGGAAATTATAACTTGAACACAACCTCGGCAATCGTTGTATTTTGACTATGAGCTCTATTCTCTAGGTTTCTCTCTCTCATTAACCTTCATTCGCTTCTTGTAGCATATATTATGCTCAGTAATGAAACGCCTCCGCCGCAAGAAATCTTCGGACAATATCTCGAACACCAAGGTCACCACAGCCATTTCATTTCCAAGCTCTACGAAGGAAACGCCTCTGTATGCTAGGTTCGCGACAACACACAAGGCTCAAGATGGAACAAAACCGATTGTATCGGGGCCCATGGCATTGACTGCCAAACCCAGCTTCACGAGCACCAGCCGATCGGGTAATGAACGCAGAGTTAGCGAGTCTCGAGCGACAAGGGTTTCAATTCGGCAGAATGAACTGCCTAAAACACTTATATCTACCCCTCCTCGTACATCATCGCGGACGTTAAGGGATCCGACGACGCATGCAGGGAATGCGAGTTCGCCCCCGATGAGGGTCGGCTATTCGTTGGATGATCGGTATAGTAGTAATGACTTTTCTCCCCATCGTCCTCCCGTCAATCTCCCTGCATCTCCAAGAGCTCTGCTTGACGGGAAGGACACGATACAGTCTGCTGAGTATAGGGAGCGCCAAGCATCACACTCTGGCCGTGTACAAGCAACGCGTGGTGGTGTACATGCTCCCGCACATGTGCCTCCGGTTCCCTCACGGACGCAACCTGTAGCCTCTTTTGACCAAGTTCAAACGGCAAGGGGTTCCAATTCAAGTTATGCAGAGTACGACCCATATCGAAGGACTATCTTCGGGGATCCGTCTAAGCCAGCCGAGGTTCAGAATGATGCTGAGTTCCTAGCTGCTTCGTCCCGAAAGACACCTTATACAGGAGCCAACGCTGGAACTGTTGAATCCGACTCTCAGGTGAACGTACATGAAGATGAACCACCTGTTGTCCCTCCGAAGACACTACCTCAGACGCCTAGCACCGGTGCCCAATCTGTACCTGGTCAAGGGCGCTCTCTGAATGCGTCACCAGTTACTTCCAGGAAAAAGTACTCCCCATTGGCTGCTTTTGGTCTCCCGGTTTCGCAATCGAACTCGTCACACTCCACTTCAACTGCCAGTGTCGCATCCAGTCGGACGCAAACAGACCAGGTTAGTTGGCACATCTTCCTGTGTTCAATTTCACGTCCGTTTTCCCCTTCCCTGTTGGTAGCCTGCGCAGTCATTGCGTTCACATCCTTGGTCTAGGTATTGTTGTCTGGGGGGGTGTAATAAGGATCTTTGCATGACGCTCGTCGTAAGCGCGTGCGAACTTCTGAATGTCCGAATTGGCAGTCGTCATGGAGTCTATTTAGTTTGTATTTGCAACGAAGCCACTTTCCATGTTCGATGTCGCCCCAGCTATACAGCGCACCTGTCAATTTCCTTGTTGCCGTCGGTGATACTGATAACATTTGTTCCAGGCACAGCCTGACGTCGAGAAGGGGGATTTAGCCTCCGGAGATGAGATTCCTGCAATACTACTTCCTGAAATACCCCCGCTTCCAGCAACTTCGGTGAGCCCATTTCCGCATCACACCATTAGCTTTCTTAGCAATGAAGATGATATATTAACATCGTGTTTGTCCATAGGATAAGGCAACATTCATTGAGCCGACTAAGCACGATAATCGCACTAGAAGCAATACTACTTCGAGCGTAGCCTCGCCTGAACCTCGTTCACCGACGTCACATTCAGGATCCGAGCTACAAAGAGAAAGCCAGTCGTTGTCGTTTCGCGACGAGGTTTCTTCTGACCCAAGAACAAGGGACTCGTCCGAAATGCTACACTCCGGAAGTTCACACACGAGATTTCAGCCTTCGATCCCCTTGCCAACCACACCAGGCCGAACGTCGCCCACAAAAGGGTTCCGTTCACGGAACGTACCCAAAGCTTCTCGTTCCCATCGGCAAACGGAAACGGAATCATCTATGCAACAGGAGGCCTCGTCTTTTCGATACCCAGAACCATCATATCTACCCCAGCCGACTGCCATCGCAGCACATCAAGACGGATTTATTCGTGGACGTCCGTTGATCTTCGCCGCTATGTCTGGTTCAGACATTCCTGATATCGACCCTGAACCGATTGCCGTGGCGACTCAGAACTCACAGGATGAGCAAGAAGGCGTATATGGTGTTGACGAAACTTCCGCCCAAGCATACCCGTCGCCCACCTCTCCCGATGCAGGCGCATCCTTCCCAACAGAGCCTGAACAGTCGGCACCCGTGCCTACGAAGGATGAAGAACCTCAACCGCGCCATCGTCGGAAGCTGAGCAAACCGAATAAGCATGCATCTCATGCCGTTGAAGTGATGGCTGCGATCCATAATGCAGAGCAAATCGATCAAACGTCTCCATGCCCTCAGCCTAGTCATCAGGAAGCGCCGACTACACCTGTCGAACTTCTCGCTCCGTCGGCCCAGCTGGGATCGCCTATCCAGTTGTCACAAAGCCAAACTCGTGATGAAGAAACCGTTCGCCATCATCGACATAAGAAGAGCTCGTCTGGCGATCATGCGAAGTTGACTCGTCGACATCGCGAGGCTGGAGTGAAAGCATTGACCGAGAAGCAGCTAGAGAAGCTCAGGAACATAGATCAACCTAATGTGGTTGCGGTGCAACCTTTGCAAGCGGCTCTTCCTATATCCCCTGTCACGCCAGAAAGGCGGACTAGGCAATTGCCTACTCCCCCCTCTTCTGAAGAATACGTCCAAGCCAGGGCCCATCGGCGTGGCGAGTGGCTGCAAAAAATTAGGCCCGTACATGTGGAACACAGTGTAGCTGCACCTCTCCAACCGGAACCTTCCCCGAGCGTGTCACAGAGTCCCTCAATAGAACCGGTCGAACCAGATGAACCCAAGTACTATCCTTTGGCACTACACTTGACGAATCCAGTGCTACTAGGCAATCTCCTTGTTTACCTCTCTTTTTACGAATGGTGTGTACTGAGTAGTGTGAACAAGGAGACCAGAAACACTATATACGAACAAAGGGAGCTCGAGGAAGTTATCTTGGAACGCTTTCTGCAGACCGTCGGGTACGCAAAATGGGTATGGAAACAGCCGGAACCCCTGGTTCTTACCCTGCAGGTAGGTCACATGCATCTGTACGAGACGAAGCGAATCCTAACCGACGGTTTGTCTCATGCAGGACCTTCACCGCTATCTACATGGGGTATCTATCCCATCGCATCAGTATGCTCGCATGGCAGAAGCGTATCTGCAACCGAATTCGACTGTAGAGGCGGCGAAGATTCTGGACCTTACAGCTTCTTGTCGATCATACACTCGCGTAGTGCTAAGATTACGTGCTCAAGCAGAAGCGGAAGCCGAACATAACGCCCGTTTGGCTTCGTCACTTCCGGCAATGGCTGTCCCTGGTCACAAGTCTCGAAGCCCGAGCAAGTGGTCTTCACCTTCAGCTCGCCATGGGCCGTCGCGATCGTCAAGTCGTGCACCGTCACCGACGTCCTCATTCTCACATTCACATGCTCACACCGTATCGCCAAGTCGACTTCCTGTTCATGCAAACATGTTCCGTTCACCTTTATATCGGCCTCGTCGTGCACCATTGTTGCAGGTGTTTGTACCTTCTATTGAAGGTGACTGGTTGTCGGATGCCAGTGTGTTAGAATGCGAAGGAGAGTTGAAACGTGCTGGTGTTTTGCATCTTATGCGTGCAGGAGATGTTGTGTGGGATGTTGCAGTTGGAGATGAAGGCAATGCTGGACGAATGGTCTGGGATGGAAGCTATCTCATTGTAAGGGGATACAGTACCTACTCCGGGATCGTCATTTGTGCTAATAACATACCTCACATAGGATTTGGACTACACATACTCCAGAGTAGGTGATTTGCCAAAATACCTTCCAACTCTTGCTTTCCCACCATCATACTTCCACCGCGTCATCCGGACCATGGGCGCTGGCAATCCTATCGTACATATTGACATTGCCTCTTGGGGAGATCAGATTGTAAACAATCTTCAGCTTCTCCAGGATCGCGTGAGGACCGAGACGTAAGTTCACATCTCCTTTTCCCACAAGACCCTCATTTATCGATGCATGACAGACCCCAAGGTGGCCAGCATACGGTCGTACGCTGGGTACATCGCTCATCGTTCATCATCAAGCCTGCTCCTGGCTCAAGGTCAATCCGGATACCTGTGCCATCCACTGCTGGCCCTGGCCCTTCTCCAAGTGGTGCCTGGATTGTCGATCCGGGTTGGTACGGAACAGGTTCGTAAAGTAGTGTCGAGACTCACTCAAAGTAGTCACTGATATTTGTCTTATAAGTGGTCGTAGAAGCTGAGGGGACGAACGAAGGGCTGGCCGACCTGCAAGCTCGGTGCAAAGGATCGTTCCCTCCACGGGCTGTGGGTGCCCATCCAAGTCCCGAGCGAACGCGAAAAGAAGAGAGAAAGAGCGTGTTCAGACTATTGCGTGAAAGAAGGTTAGTAGTCAAGCATGTGGACTCTGAAAATGCCGAAACTAAAGGACGATCTTTTTAATAGTCGTCCCGGAGAGATATGGCTGCGGACTGTACGCGAGAAAGAGAGACTCATCCCCCCATCTTGAAGTTTTGCTATCTAGACTGTGTTTCGTTTTCCTCAACTGACATCATATCCCATGCTGTATTGTCTCCTCCTGTTGTAGCATTCTCGAGCTGTACAATACTTTCGACAGTGTTTAGCTAGCTTTTTTGTCAAGACTCAATACTCGATGTAACACATGTGCTCGATGTAATTGGATCCTAACCATAAAGATCGATAACACGATCGTCGATCTTCAATTTCGGTTCTCCACATTGTTTTGCCGGGGTAATTGCGCGTTGGGTTATAACCACCACCTGGCACGAAGCTGGACGACATCTGTTGTACAATACCCTCATCTTGCTCACTCGTTACCTTATTCTTATTTACTTGACGATACGACGATGGCTGCTTCAGTTTTCAAGGTTGTTCCAACAACTCAACGATATGACTGGGGAAAGATCGGGCTGTCATCGAAAGTCGCTCAGTTTGCGGCTGCTTCGAAGATACCTGGCTTCATGCTAGACGAGGACGCGCCTTATGCAGAAGTAAGTTATTTGCCGACATTCGCTTGTAGATTTTGGCCGATGCTGTACGGAGACAGCTTTGGATGGGGACACACCCTAGCTCACCGTCCCGGCTAATCTCGGATGTCGATACTACATTGGCGTCCTACTTGGCCGCCCATCCAGAGCTCATCGGAGACACTGTTCGAGAGCGTTTCGCCGATGCAGGCGCGAAAGATGGAAATTTGCCATTCCTATTCAAAGTCCTTGCGATCGAGAAGGCGCTGAGCATTCAGACGCACCCGGACAAGCGCATGGCAGAGAGGCTACACAAAGAGAGGCCGGACATCTACAAAGGTGAGCACATACACCGTAGATCTACCACCTACACTGGTATTGAATTTTAGCACAGATGCCAACCATAAGCCAGAGATGGCCCTGGCTTTGACTCCGTTCACAGCTCTATGCGGGTTCCTTCCTTTGCCGCAGATTGCCACATATCTATCCAACGTCCCCGAATTTGCCGCTCTCGTTCCACGGGCGATTATCAATAAGTTCCTTGTCATTTCGAATTCTTCAAATCCGTCCGGTCCCGAAGAAAAAGTTAGTCTAAAGGATCTCTTTTCTGCAGTAATGACCGCCAAGGAGCCTCTCCTCAAGGAGCAATTGACAAAGCTTGTTCGGCGGTATGAACTAGGGTCGGAACAGGAGGTGGAGAAGCCCGTCAAGGATCTCATCTTGAGATTGAATAGTCAATTTCCTGGCGATATCGGTGTATTCTGTGCATTCGTCCTAAACTACGTGTCTATGAACCCCGGTGATGCAATTTTCCTTGCCGCCGGTGAGCCTCATGCATACGTCTCTGGCGGTAAGCATATACCCATCTTTCCTGTGGCGTCACGGAGAGTAACATAACTTCTGGTCCTTGGCTAGACATCATCGAGTGCATGGCAACGTCGGACAATGTTATCCGCGCAGGTCTAACGCCCAAACTTCGCGACATCCCTAACCTCATCTCTGGACTGACATACCAATCCGCTAACGCGTCAAAACATCTCGTCAATCCTGTACCTCGATCGACCCATACACAACTTTACGACCCACCCATCCCAGAATTCTCCGTCTTGGGGTTGAACTTGTCTCCGAGTGAGAGCGAGACACATGGGGCAATCGACGGTCCCAGCTTAGCTATTGTAACAGAGGGAAGTGGGACTGTGAGATATGCCGACAAGACGTTGAATGTGATCACTGGTGAGGTACTGTTCATTGGTGCAGGAACTCCGGTGCAACTGCAAGCTTCTGGTGAAGGACTTGTGCTGTTCAGGGCTTTCGTTGAAGCAAAGTGATGGCCATACAGGACGATGTGTAACATTAGATAAAATGGATCGATACCCTGTTGGAAGCGCCGATATAGAAACCTGTAACAACATGGATGTAATGGCGTTAGCAATCTTTGCACCAGCCTCGTTATCTGCTCTAGTACTAATTTGTACGTCATTGCAGTTCTAGGAATTCAGGACTATAACCGATACTAATGAGCCATGACTTTTGGTAGTTCAGCTTTGTGTACTAGCATCCCTTGGCAATTTTTGGACTGTTATTAACACTCGCAGTTGCAATTGGGGTCTCAGTCAAGATCACGATGTTACAGCTATTTGCGGAAAGACTCCGATGCGCCACATTAGCAAGAAATACTGCATACTGCAGTAGAGGCTTTCGAGATTCGCTGAAGGTGGCACTCACTCAGGATCAGGATGGCTGAGGCCTGCAAGCTCTCCTGCGTCATGAACACTCTAAAGTCTCTGTCTCTTCATAACCGGCTTGGAAGACTGAAATTGGCCTTCGGAGGTAAAACTCGTGTGTCGGGTATTTCCAAAAAGGCAGCCTATCGTCCCAGCTGGGACTGCAAATGGCTGTAAGCTTCTGTCAACGTCATGAACATCCCAGGCGTAGTAGTCCCTGACCCCCGGTCTATTCTTGACAGCGTGAAACATGATACTGTCACTGCAGATCGTTAAGTGGCAGGCAGAAGGCAACCTGTCAGTTGGGTCCTACTGATAACATAGCTCCGCTCTTCGTACACCAACGCCTCCGGTCTGTGGGATATACGGCTTGAAGCTGGTTTCCTTCCCTGCAATCTTACACAGTTATACTTCCTCAGGATTATGTCAACGCAGGAAATGCCGTTCCCTGAAGTCCCAGCCCCCTGGAATTGCAGGGGTGAAGCGTTATGGTTCCTTGGATACATTAATCCTTCGAAGGGGTCGTATCCGTCTCTTTCCTCCTTCAGCGACCTCGAAGGCTCTTCCACGTACGCCGACTCAAAAGTGACAGGAGAGTATAAGGGAGGGTTGACTTCCCTCATGATTGTTCGGTATAAAGAAACTCCTATTGGTGAATTGTTTCTCCTGTTTGCTTTTAATGCTGGTATTCGTATTCATGACGACTTGTTTGGGGGCGGTTTAGGCCCATACGACGAGATTATATGGTGCCCGGGTGCCTTCATCGTACCTCAAACGGGAAAGGCAGTGAAGAGGATTACGCGTATCTATGTATCGACAAAGGAATCGGTCTACAATGGTACGCAGGTCTTCCGTCCAATTCTTGAGTTGAGGCCACATGGTTGTGCTTCTCTTCAGGTCGAAAGAATTGGAACGTTCCAAAACATCAAGCTCACTTTGAGTTCACGCCCAACCCAAAAATTTCAACGCCGGACGATCTTCCCTATTCGAAAGTCTCAATAAGCTCCATCCCTGATCCTGAACATCCATTCTTCGTTGTCGACCTCACACCGACTAGGTTCCTCTCTCGAGCTTGGGTGCCTTTTAAATCTAGCAACTTGCCCGTAAGCGGATATCTCACGTTGCCGCCCTTGCCTCAGAGTCCAAAGTGGCGAGAAGATGCATTGGTGGGAAGTGATCATTGGTGCGGAGTGGACCTTTTTATGAAAGGTAAGGGAGGTTTATTCTGGGCGAAAGGTGGTTTGGAAGGTGGTAAGTATGGCGATGATGTTTTATTCCCCGATGTCCGACCATGGAGTATGGGGATGTGGTTGAAGGATTTTGAGCTAGAGTTCCCTGTAAGCGAGGAGCCTGGAAAGAAGTCGGATTAGCAGTAAAGACTTTCTCGAACGATGACCCAGGATATTGTTAGGATGGTATACTAGACACTGCCTTTTATTTCAATGATTACTACACTTTAGGTGTCGGCCTGTCTGCTCAGGCTCTGCCTACGGCCGTGTAAACCAATGAACGGATGCTAATTGATGCAATCATCGGAGTTCTTGTCGCGGTCTTACATTTGGTTTAAATACCTACCATCACTCTGATTCACCCCGGAGTCCTCTCAAGCTTGCGCCACGTTTTACAAGGTCTTCATCTCGACTAACACTTCATTTCTTTGAGCCTGCCAGTGCTTGTACCCTTTTGCGTGTGAAACCCCAATCACTTCCAAACAACCCAGATTCGTTTTTCTCGAGTCGTGTAGGTATAATTAATGTTCTCCGAGACTTCTAGCTTAACCGCTCTACTGTTATCTAGACATATGTCTACTCAAATTCCTGCTGATAGCTCGACGCCTCCTCAGCTTGGAGACGTTATGGCAGAACCCGAGGTTTCCTCGGGGATCCTCGCTGCGTCTCATGACGAGGCTGCACCATCAAGGCTCGAGGGTAGTGCCAACGTTAACATACTACCTGAGACTGACCCTCGATGCCTGTACTTCTTCTATGGCACACTCTGTCAGCCCGAAGTATTGCGGAGAGTTTTAGACCTTCCCGAGCCTCCCCCTCTAACCCCAGCCCACATAGTGGGCTTCGAAATCAAATACTGGGCAGCATTTCGAGCTCTCAGGATTGCCAGTTCTGATAAGGCACAGTCGTCAGTAGTATCCGGAATGGCCTACCATGGCTATGAAGATGAAATAGGCTACTTGAGGCGATACGAAGGACCCGGTTATAAGTTACACCCCACCACAGTGTATGTCGATGGACAGGAGATCCCGGGGTATACTTTCCTTTGGTGTGGAAATCCCGAAGTCTTAACAGATGAAGACATAGCTGACAGTGCAGTAATACCGGACGAGGATTGAATTGTTTCGGAAGTTCATTCATCGATCGTTTTTCTTCAGTAGCCATTTCCTAACAACATGATTTTGGGCACCCCAGAATGGCAATGATAGGTACAACGACAGACTTTAATGTCAATAAAGCACGTCATTACCCGTAATACTTTTCAAAGTGCGTGTTCAAAGTTCCAACCACTATAGCTTCCTTTTTATTAACATACACCGGGCGGTCCGAATGCCGGATGATATCAACGTGCCACTTAAAAGGGAGCCTGTCCTTTGTTCACAACTCTCACCCCTACCACCACCTTTGTTTCGCCCCAGTGCCCCTTGCTAATAACAAGCATGGCGGAATCTGTGTCCGAACCCACTGACCTACAACTGTATTTTTTCTATAACCGTCTTTCTCATCCCGACATGCTGCGACATGTGCTCTCCCTGGAGAAACGACCCACCCTTGTGCCCGCCTTTATAGTGAGCTACAAGATTCAATATTGGCTCGCGTGTCCATGTCTTATTCGTGATGAGGACGATCCGACTTCGAAAGTTAATGGATATGCCTGGTGGGGCCCAAGGTCCTACCATCCTTTGTTGAAAGAAGATATGATTCCGAACTTTGATCCCCATACCACTACTGTGCATATTGAAGGCAAAGAAGTTCTGGGCCACACGGCTATTTATAATGGGATTCATGAGGGTTTGTTTTCGGATCCGGATATAGCCATGGGCAGGTTTTACTAGAATGTCCATGCAATTCTAGTGGCGTAGTATCCGAACCGCGTTTCACTGGCGTTCGTTACAAGCCAAGAGATACCCACACGACCCCCTTCCTCGTCACCACCACCCGCCTCGTTACCCGTCTTCGCTTTCCCGAATCCTTAAGAGATTACGGCATTTTCTTTCATTTGTACTTGATTATCGCAACTACCCTTGAACATCAACAATTACCCACAATAATTGCGCTATGTATCTCATCTTGTCGTGAGTGGTTGTTTCGTTGGCAATACCTGCTGCGTACTCATCACACTCTCGAAAGAGTAATGTACAGGACCTGTAGAATTTGACTCTCATGACCAGAAATCGATGTGCATTCCAGTGACAATTGCAAATACCACGATGCGAACAGGTTCATGATCGATTCTTGAACGAGCTATTTGTCTTGTTTTGCATCAACTGTCAATGCTATAAGTCTATCGGATTTGGGCACAGCCGATGTAAGGTATGGTGAACGAGGTTTGCTATGTCCTGATTTGCCGAATTGATCTTTCTTCTCAGGTCAAATGTCCTCGTATCTGCTTCATCTTTTCAGCGTACACTTTCCATTCTATTTCCGTAATGAAGACAGGACGAGGCTCAGCGTGGCATCACTCATCTTATGAGTCACTTGGCCGAGAACACATAGAAATCGTTTCATTGTTCGATGCGCATCAGAGTTTCGCCTTCTTTTTTCACTTATTCCCATGTTTATTGACAAGCGGTGGCCGAGGGAAGGTATATACTGTGTATCACATACTTTGTGAAGCAAAATGTACGCATGAATTGTGGCAAGTTGCGATTCAAATTTCAATAATTTCAGCTGTAACTGATTGAGCGTTCACAGACGATTTTTCTCGTAATTCATAACGATCCTCGTGGATGATCATCACCTTTGCAATGTACGTGATAGTTAGATCCGATGGTTACTAAGAAGTGTTATTGTAAGATTTTCTCAAATGGTAGATCGGAAACAACCGTATTCTCTAATAAAAGGCCGCGTCGATCTGCACTTGGAAATACGTGCCCGGACACCCCTTTCACGAAGAACTACTCAGAATTTGGAGTACTGGATAGTAAGTCACCTGTTATCTTTGAATTTGAATCGTCAGACTCAATGACTGTTGGTCAAGCTCTTTCAAACCTTCACGTTCATTTCAACTTTTGGCCCTACTGTGACTCGAGACGTTATGATGTTCCGCCTTTACCAATTACTGTCATTCTCTATACTCTTGTTTGGCTTCTCTCTGGCTATTCCGTAAGCAGTATTCTCCTTTACCCTCCGATAACTAGCTGAAAACCATTCAGGATCGATCGAGACTTGCTATTGTCGGAAACCAGTGGCGATAATAGAAGGTACGTCTGTTCCAACTTTCTCTTATATCTTTGTGCTATGTGGCATAATTGACACCTCCCTTCGTCTTTGGCTTTGCCAGTTATGATATCAAAAGGTCCCTTTGTAATACTCTGGGCTCTCTACAGGGCGGGTCGTCCGGTTTGGTAGTTGGTGTCATTCCTTCACTGTCATCATGCCTTTCGGATTTCATCGTTAGAGAAGATGGGCATTCAACGAATTGAAATTCGTTCAGGGTGTATCGTAATGTGAATCATTCTGGCTATAGGGCTGTGTTCTGCGTGGTAATCATTGACAGACTCGTGGGTCCCTTTCTTAGTTCACCTGAGCAAGTTTTACTGATCGTTGGTACCTTTCGCACAGCCAAATATCATTATGTGCATCTGTCTGATAGTATACCCCCGAACGACTCCCAAGGTAGCGTTGAATGACGTACATAAATCCTGGACATATCATGCATAGCGTTCGTTCTAGTTCATAAGTTGCATTTTTCCGCTTTTCTCTCCTTGAGGCCTCTGCATCGATGAGTTGCACGACATCTCCAGTGTTCAGCTACGCAAAAGAAGCGCGGACCATGCTATCAGTGACGGTGACGGTTTACTAAATTATTAGACACAGATGAAACTGCGATTCACGAGTAAGTTTTCGTAAATCTTCGCGTCGAAGGCTGTCTAACATTTATTGATCCGTTAGGTGGCCTATCCTTTTCCATTCCCAGCCCCTTCATCAAGATTCCACTCCATTCGTAAGAGGAATATCCTGTCTTGATGGGCCAAGAAGTCGTCGTATCAGACCTGTCATACCTCATCGATCTCCGCCGGCGAGTGAGCTCTCAACTCCATAGTCGCGTGAACAGCATTTCGAGTCGGCGGGGCACTGCACCTTGTATTCACGATGAGCCCCTTGACGTGCAGGACATGTCGCCCAATCCCGCATCACGTTCGAAACTCCGGAAAGACGGATGGTGGCACGAGTCGAAGTGATGCTCTCGGTGAGCTCTCATCGGTTCCGATGCGATAGTTCTTTTGTGGTTCTTGAAGCTCGCAATACCAAGTATATCATGGAAATCGTTGGCACGAAGGTGAATTTTCGTGTACATGTTCCATCGCTGATAAGACAGGTTGCCTTACAATGCTAATGCCAATGTCGTTTGATCACCGCCTAACCCCGCGTTGACATTTTTGAAGGGTCTGACAGCTAGCGGTCATCATTTGTTGGCGATTCAAGCACCAATGCTCAGCTCAGCTTAAGCTCTCCGATTCGTGACGCCTTGTCACCACCGTGAAGCCAATCTCTCCTGGCTATAACTGTTGGTCATTGGCAATTGAGGATTCTAGTACGATAGGAACCACTCTGAGGGAGCCAGCTGTAAATACAGTACTGCTTCCGTGGTGATTAATGTGCCGGAGGCAGGAGCCTTCTTTCCCACTTGAGGTAATGGGCCTGCCGGTGACTATCCCTGGAAGAGGCCGTGTCGAGACCAAGCTGGTTGTCTTGGGACCATTCACAGCGTCAGTCTTTTCGACGTGCCCACCCGAGTAGTCCATCATTCTCAGGCGTTCCTTGATATTTTCTATAGGAAGGATCCCTGATGTTGGCAAAGGCACAAAATAGCAAGGGCAATATTCCGTTGTCAATGGATCACCGCATCCTTCTCCCCGCTAAGCTTCATTGAATTCACAGTCGTAGGACCTCCCCTCATTGTCCTCCTCAATGGATCTTGGTCAGCTGTTGCGAAGCGGTTATCAGGACGTTCAGACGATTCGGTACGCTGAACGTACGTATCGTTGCCTACTGCGTCTGTGCGCCACAATATCGACATTCTGACAAAATATTAGTGGCCTCAAGCACGATCATTGTATTGGATCATCGTAAGTGTACTTCCGTGTCTGGCCCTCTGATCTTCGCTGAAAGTCATCTGAACAGTCATTACTCTCGACCAAGAGGTTGGTCGCATCCTGGTGGCATTTCCGTTAATTCGCAGTGTTGACCGACTTCCCGGTATTGTAGATTGAGCTCATCTGGGTATGTTAAATGTTCATGACCGATTGACATTACCTGACATCGTGATATGCCTCGGCTCTCGTTATATCAGAAATCTGGCTGGTCCGTTGGAAAATGTCTCTTTCTTCTCGTGAGTGTGTCAAAAGATGGCAATCCGTGTCGATCTAATTGTTGAACACAGAACAGATACTATACCTTGGCCGTTGTCATGTGAGTACATGGAGCGATCAAGCAGTTGCAAGAACTCATTGTGGGCCACCCTCGTTCACTAGCTTCAACAATTACAGTAAGATGGATTCTTCCGCATTTTGTTAATGTCACCGACACATCCACTGATAGTTTTATTTACCAATCGACTTACCGATGACGTGAGTACCGTCTCTCCTACATTGGTGCTGATCACTGATGATCTGTTCTCAGCTGTGAGTACCTCTGTTCTTACTCACCTCGCGAGATAACCTCAGTACGTGTGTCGTCCACCTGACAGATGTGAGTTTCCAATTGCAGTTTGCTGTCAATCAGGGAGATCCTAATGTCGTGTCAGGTCTACATTGGTTTCGTTGGCAAGGAGCCACAGGTGTCATAGGCTTCGTTGTCGGAGAGCGTACGCGGAATAACTGCATATACATGTTCTGAACTCACGAAATTGGCATAGTTATCCTTCAACTTCGCCTCTATGCGTTGTATTTCTTGGATAAGCGGATTCTTGCCTTTATGGCTCTCACTTTCGTCTGTTCCGTTGCTGCCGCATCTACGTTGATGGGCATATCACTGGTTCACGTCAGAGGTTGGAGCTCACATTGTTCGTTAACTACCATGACTGATGCTTTCCCTGTCTTCCCAGCTTTGTCTCACGTACTACCCGGACTGCCGTTTTGTTTACCCATAAACGTTCCCTCTCACTTCTTTAGCTGGTGGATTCCTATTCTCGTTTCAGAAACTCTGCTCTGCGGCTTGGCCCTCTGGAGAGGGTTCCAAAGTTACTACAAGCGCAAGAATATCTTCCAATCAGGTCGAGAGCTAATCGAGATTCTCATCCGGGATTCCGTGCTGTATTTCTTGGTGTACGCCTCTTTCGCTTCTGAACTTTGCCGGTACTGACTACGTGACACACAAGTTTGTTCGGTATTTATTTGTGCAACACAATCATCTTCATCATTGGCAACGTAAGATACGACTTTCTACTTACTTTAGATGGTACACTGACCAGGATGTAATTCTGAATAGGAAACTCAACTGGAGGCGGCCATTGGGTATTCCGTAGCCATGTCTTGCGTAATGGGCAATCGACTTTGCCTCAATGTCCGTGGTATGGTTCACAGCGATGAGGATCTGCCACAATACAGTGGGAACAACCGTGCAAGCCGTGGTGGGCATCCAGTCTCTCGGCCAACCAGACATGGTTCGCATCGATCCAACGGAGCCATACAGGCGGTGATTGATTCGTCCAACGCTTCCAGCGTGCGACTGTCTGAATTCGAGATGCACGAACTCAGGGACATGAGGTTCAAACTGTAGACTCAGGACTATACTTCTTGACTATTGTATTTTGGTGCGACGAGCACGCACGTTTGTATTACTTACGTGGTTGTACTTTGAGAGGAGAAGCTGGGCTGGTAACTTATCGATATTTGTGATGATTGTAGCCTGTAGACATATTATAAGACATCGTTATTCTTTGATTCAACTGCGGTTGAAAGGTTGAAGCGAAATCCCACTCGTACGACAATCGCGGCATTCCATCTCTTCCTGGGCGCATGATGGTGGTTAGACTTTCACATTATGGTGACATTGCTGCATAGAACTTCTGTTGAAGCCAGCGGTCCACGGACGAGAACATGACATAACATCAAGGGTCCCCAGTGTGTCTGTCCGGAAACTTACTTGCAACAAGCTCAAGCATCGAGTGCTTGCGCCCGGGACCTTGAACTTTCTGCACGTCCACATGTTGCAGTGTCCTTGGTGTATACATATCTTCGCTTGTTCCTTATACGGAACTTTATTCATCTTCTCTGAGTTTGTGTACAAACATGATACGACGGCTTTCGATAATATCTTCAGCGTGGCTAACTTACGCTTTACGTGCGTTGATGATGTCCACAAATTCGGGCTTCAGGGATGCGCCTCCAACAAGGAAACCGTCGACGTCTAGTTGCTTGGCTGCGCATGGAATACCATCAGCGCGTTCTGTGTGCGGAAGACCGCAGTATGAATGATAAAAATACTCACAGAGCTCCTTGCAGTTCGCAGCGGTGACGCTGCCTCCGTAGATAATGCGAGTGTTCTCTGATACAGCGGGAGAGACTGCTTTGGCAAGGAAGGCACGAATGGCAGCGTGCGTCTCTTGGGCCTGAGCAGCCGTCGCAACCTTTCCAGTGCCGATGGCCCAGACAGGCTCATATGCAACGACGATTTTGCTGAGAATGGAACATGAATGTCAAGCAGGAACGGTCGGAGGCTTTTGTTGAGCGACAGACCTCCATTGCTCTTCAGACAATGTATCGACGACAGGCTTCAATTGTTCTTCAATGACTTGAGTAGTCTTATTGGATTCACGTTCGGCGAGCGTTTCGCCGACGCAAAGAATGACAGACAAGCCGGTCTCAATGGCGGCCCGTGTCTTCTGTGCTACGAGATCGGAAGTCTCGTGGAAGAGTGTACGGCGCTCAGAGTGACCTGAGAAGATGTGAGTTCAAGGCGGTTCCTCGGATGATCAGTATTCAATGTTACCCAGGATAACGTAGGGAATCTGTGCATCCGCGAGCATGGCGGGACTGTAATGCGAACGGAAACATCAGAAGTACACCCTGGAATTTTTGGAAAGGCCCATACCTGATCTCACCAGTGAACGCGCCATTGGGCTTATAGTGAGCATTCTGTGCCGCGACCTTGACGTCCGGTCGAATGACTTCACGCAGGGAGAGAAGGTAGATAGCCGGCGGGGCGATAACGACCTCTGATCAAGGATACATGTTTATATGGTCGGCTCGGTGCACGTTACACGCAGAGATGGGAAACGCATACCGACGGAGGGATCGATCTGAGCATCGTTGAGAGTCTTCGCGAGGGCGAGCTTCGACTCCCTCGTGATGGGGTTCATTTTGAAGTTTCCTCCAACAAAAAATTGACGAGGCATGATGATAATTCACTCAACGAAAGATGGCAAGAGTAAGTAGTTGTTGAACGCAAGAAATGGGGAGCTTGAAGTCATTCAAGCAAAGTTAATCGATAGCTACAATCATTGTTATCTAATCTAAGCGCTATGTAGTGAGATTAGGCGGTTCAACGAGCCTTCGGCATCCTCACTCACGACCACGACCACAAAGTGATTTTACTCAGAGAGATCACTTGAATATCTTGAAAATTAGGCTCGCTGGAAACGTGGGGATATTAATGCCTCAAGTTGTTACTCATCTCTAGCATTCTTATTTTAGATGACGGCGCTCAGGCTAGTCGAGAACGTAAAGCATCTCCAGTGCTCGGGGCCACCTGTTCGTCATGCGTCATGCTGAGCTGAACGGCGCGAAAGAAACACGGGTGCATTGCTTCCGTGGCTTGACGGCTGCGGACTCTCTCTGTCACAAATGGATATTTTCCACAATCCCATAGCAACCCCATAGTATGAAACTTTTCTATACAAGCGTGAGAATCTGGATCTTATCTAATCTCCTTGTCGTCGGTGACGACTTGACTGTTGACCACAACGTCCAAAGTAATAATCTCCAAAACTAATTGAGAGGTCTGTACACATTTGTTGTATATACCTTCCAACTCATATCTTTTTTCTGCAGTTGAACCGAATAAGTCTTTGGTCTTTGAACTATCATGCCGACGAGCTCGGATTAATGGCACAGTACGCGTGTTCTAGTCACTCCTTGACTCATAGACCTTTGTGTTCCCAGGTGATTGTCACTTACATGAGTCACTGGCCGCCTTGCATTGAATTTGTACTGCGCATACAGCTACAGGCGCGTTTGGTGCACAGGCTACCACAAGGAGACATGGACGTTTCTAAATATAATGCAATAATGCAATTGGCAATGTCCGATTGGTCCGCGAATTCCCCGGCCGGCCATGCCTCGTCATTCTCTAGAGTCAGCGTTCCGAGCGACGTCTTGAAATATTGGTTGTATGTGGGCTGAAAAGTGGCTGCTTGAGTGCTCCTAGCTAAAACGGCCAGGACTGTTGACGACTCGCGCTGGTAATTATGCGCAACCCATTGCATCCAGCTCCTGCTCCTCCAGCTTTCGGCGAAGGGCATACTGTACCTGAGGAAAGGTCTTCGTAAGTTTTGTATTTTGTGTTCTGTCTTGGCAAGTGGCGTAGTAGATCTGTCCCCACGTCGTAAATACGTCACGAAACTGCAAACGATACCTCGAGCAATTCTTATATCTAACTGACGGCATATTCTCCAAGGATCCTTTCGAAGCTCATATTCTCCTGGCTCGATCCATTTCTATATGTCGGCTTCTCGCGCCCTTTGCAGAAAGACGGTAAGCAACTTGGTAGGTGTTATATTTATCTAACAAGACTTTCGCAGATCTATGGCAATTACCCTCACAGCGGCTGACATCCAGCTTGAGTGCAGAAGTGGAGAAGAACTTCTATGGACGGTGTCCTCCCGAACAACGCCCAGCGTATATGCGAGATACCCCGTCCCAGAGAGAAGACGACCAGTCGACGAGTTCTCACTCTGGAACGGAGAAAGCAGACGCAGATATAATTGAGAATGGAGAGAAGGCCACAAGAAAAGGACTAAGATCGCCCAAATACGACGCCTCCCTGGTGAAAGCCCTTCATCGAACATTTTTCTGGCGTTGGTGGGGAGCCGGGGCACTTAAGTTATTCTCAGGTAGGCTACTAATATCGTACGACCCGGACTGAATATGGAAAGTGATTTCTCTGAAAGATACTCTGAAGACGACAACGCCTCTCTTGAACAAGGTCTTGCTGACTTGGCTGACGAATTCGTACATCTATTATCGGGCATCTGAGGATGAGCGTGCTGCAGGAAACCTTGAGAAGCCTCAAGGTGTCGGTTATGGCATCGGTTTGGCATTTGCTCTGTTTGTTATGCAAGGTGTGCTCAGCTATTATCATACAAGATATTAATGTGCTCACTTCTAACATGTAGAATCTGCGAGCTTGGTATGTGTATTGCCTGGCTGCTGTGCCATCTCTGAACTTACGACAATTATTAACAGATGACGAATCACTTCATGCAAAGTAACAAGTTTCACTTCCACGGTACTTTCCTTTAACACTAAGATATGACATTTTGCACAGTGACTATGACCACGGGCTTGTCTATTCGGACGGCGGTACGTCATCAAAGTCATCATCATCAATGTAATCTTTCGAATTCTCATTGTTGCAGATCATTGGGACCATATTCCGAAAATCTTTGCGTCTTAGCGGGAAGGCTCGTTTGGATCACAGTGTCGGACAAATTACGACTATGATCTCAGCTGATGCTACGAGGCTGGATCGTAGCAGTTACAATATTCACAAGTATGTGTTTCTAAAAGGTCATTGCAAGCGATACCCAATTTGATTCACTTCATTTCAGTTTATGGGTTGCACCCATCCAGGTGAGTCCTGCTCTTCAACGGGCTATCGAATTTCAGTGACGATTGCAACAGATCGCCATCGGTATTGGTCTCCTCATAGGCAATGTAAGTTATTTAGTAAATCCCTCTGCAACGCCTAACTCTTCTCCGCAGCTCGGATATTCTGCGCTAGTTGGTCTTGGAGTACGTGACCTTTCTTTCGCATCTCAGGCAGCAGGATAATATCTCCATAGGTCCTGATTTTCGCATTTCCGATCCAATTGGTACTCGTTCGCACCATGTTCCGACAACGCAAAAAAGGTGTCAAAATAACGGACTCTCGAGTGCGACTCACGACGGAGGTGAGAATTCGAAAGATTTGAGATGTCTAGGTTCTCACACACAAAGGGCTACATAACAGGTATTACAAGGCATTCGTTTGATCAAGTTTTATGCTTGGGAATCCTTTTACACCAACCAAATTGGCTCTCTCAGAGCAAAGGAATTGAAGACTATCCGTAAAATGGCGTATGTTGTAATGATGTTATGCATGAGTTTCATAATCACTGATTTTTATAATCCTCAGATTTGCTCGGTCTTTGATCCTCTCGTGCATGATCGCACTTCCTGTCTTCGCCTCTGTATTGTCCTTCGTGCGTTTATTTTCTATCTATTTTGTTTTTGTAACACCCTTCTGACAATCATTCCGTGGTTAACTACTTAACAGATCACCTACGGCTTGAGTGGACATGAACTGAACATCGCCACGATTTTCACGTCCTTGCAATTCTTCAATGTGAGTGATGAGTTTTATCCTTTGGCGATGATTCCCTCCTGTTGATGCTCGGTCTCCCCTGGTCTCCCTTAGATCATTCGAGCCCCTCTCGCATTCTTCCCTGTTGTCATCGCGTCTGCGTCAGATGCCGTCGTTGCACTGGGTCGTATCTCCAAGTTCCTTATGGCAGAAGAGATCGCCGAGCCGTATACCATCGAGCCTAACAGCAAATTTGCTGTAGATGTAGATGCCGATTTCCGTTGGGAGACTGCATATAAGGCTGCCTCTGGAGGACCGAAGTTTGCTCGCGGAAAAGCGGCTGCGGCAAAGACAACTCAAAAGAACGTTCAGGCTAAAAATGCCGAGAAGCCTCAGTCATCAGGGAAAAGAAGTTGGTTCTCCAAGAGGAAAAATAATGAGAATGTCTTGCCCACGACTAGCATCGAGGAGTCAAAGCAAGAAGAGATCGAAGAGAAGGACGAGGATAAGCCATTCGCCTTGCATGGTCTGAAGTTGCAGATTCCGAAGGGCTCCTTCGTTGCAATCGTAGGTCGCGTTGGCTCTGGCAAGGTAATGTCCTTCCAATCTCATGAGGTTGACAGTATTAAAGTATTAGTACAGAGTTCACTTCTGCAAGCGCTCATCGGTGAAATGAGGAGAACAAGAGGCGAGGTATGATACCGTTCCTATTATGATGCCATTCTTGAATTCATCCCCCTGGTGTACTTTCACAGGCTCACTTTTCTTCGTCTGTTGCCTATGTCCCGCAGACGTCTTGGATCATGAATGCTACTCTCCGCGAGAACATCCTCTTCGGTCGTGACGATGATGAGGAAAGGTATGAGGAGTTGCAACATCTGTAGAATATCAATGTTGACCTCACGGATGGGCAGACTTCAAGAAATCATTCGTGCTTGTTGTCTCGAGCATGACCTCGAAATGCTTCCCCATGGTGAAGATACTGAGATCGGCGAGAAGGGCATTAATTTGAGTGGTTCGTAAATTACTTCACGTCTTACCTTCCGAATCTTACTTTTTCACTTCGCTACCAGGTGGCCAGAAGGTGTGGTTTATGTCGATCCGTTAACGATGCGCTTAATTTCAACTGGAATTTCTCAGGCCCGGGTCTCTCTCGCTCGTGCGGCTTATTCGGATGCAGATATCGTACTCATGGACGATTCATTGAGTGCAGTTGATGCTTACGTCGGGAAGCAGATTCTCGAGAATTGTCTCCTAAACGGACCCCTGGCTGACAAGACTCGTGTCATGGCAACTCATGCCTTACATGTACTCGACAAGACTGACTACATATATGTGATGGACAATGGCGCAATTGTCGAGCAGGGTACTTTCCAGGTGGGCAATTTGTCTATATGTATATTGATTTAGACATCTTCTAACTGTCGTCTAGGATCTCATGGATGACAACGGAATGTTTGCACGCCTTATGGATGAATATGGTAGCTTGGAGAAAGAGAAGGCCGGGTCAGAAGATGTGAAGGAGCGTAAAGGGAAGGCCCTTTCTGGTGCTCTGGAACCGAAGGACGCAAAGAAGGCTCAAGCTGCGCTCATGCAGCAAGAGGAACGTATGACTGGTTCAGTTGCAGGAATGGTGTACGTCAAGTACTTTCGCTATGCTGGAGGCGTGTTGTTACTGCCCTGGCTTTTATTGCTCCTCACGGCGTATCAAGGCTCAATGGGTGCGCTATATCACTTTCGCGCTACGAAACTTTCTCACTCCTTATAATAGTGGCCAACAATCTTTTCTTGGGCTTCTGGACATCGGAAAGCATTCACGGGTTCTCTCAAGGGGATTATATGGCTACATATGGAGGCCTCGGCGCAGGCGTTGCTGTTTTCTCTTTCCTGCTCAGTTTTTCGATCAGGTTAGTCCATTTTCACGTCAAGTCGCCCTATGCTGAGTACGTTTCCAGTGTGGTAACGCTCTCGGCTGGTCTTAGTATGTTCAAGACTGCGTTACTCTCGGTACTGCGGTCACCCATATCGTTCTTCGACACTACACCTATGGGTATGTCACTAGTCATAATGCCCCATCCTTAACTAATAGCCTGAGACCATTGCAGGTAGAATCATGTCTCGCCTTTCAAAAGATCAAGACACGTTGGACAGCGAAATCGCTATGACAGCATTCCAGGTGTGCACCCATGTATCGCTCTGTTTGCAGTTGTGGCTCATTTGTAATTCAAGTTGTTATCAAACGTCAGGTATGTGCAAACGACTGGATCTGCGGCTCCTTCTGAACTCAATATCAATGTAGCTCTGTCATTGGAACCATTGCACTGGTCTTCTACACATTCCCTTATCTTGGCATTCTCTTTGCACCTCTAGGAATCTTCTATACAATGGCTGCCGTTTACTACAGGCGCACATCTGTTGAAACCAAACGGCTTGACTCCCTGATGCGTTCAGCACTGTATGCCTCTTACTCAGGTAAACCTATAGGCTTTCACGAAACTCGAGAAATCGCTCATTCCTTATGTTAGAAACTTTAACGGGCCTGAGCACGGTTCGTGGTTACGGCGAGCAGGTAACTTGCAGCGGCGTAGATTGCCTCTGAACATCGCTAATACTCTTCACCTAGAGCCGTTTTATACACAAGGCGGAAGAAGGGCTAGATATGGAAAACAGAGCCTATTACATGACCATTTCTATACAACGCTGGCTGAGCGTTCGCCTGGATCTCCTCGGTAACCTTCTTATCCTTGGAATAGCTCTATTCTCCGCCGGATTCCGCAAAACAGTGAGCCCTTCAAAAATTGGTGTAGTGTTATCGTACACTCTGAGCAGTGAGTGATTCGATGATACATCGCGCAACAGATTGAACTGAAGAATACTTTTAGTCACTCAGTTCTTTTGTGAGTTAGCATAGTTTCTGCATCTGCTCTTTGAAACTCATGTCGTCAAAAGCCGAACTCGTCTCATCGTATGCTCAGAATGAACAGAACTTCAATGCCGTTGAGCGTGTTCTCTACTATACTGACCTACCCTCAGAGGGCGATGCTACGACACCCAACGATCCTCCACCTTTATGGCCCGATCAGGGTGCTGTTGAGTTCAAGGATGTCGAGTTGACCTATCGCGATGGGCTACCGCTTGTGCTGAGAGGCGTCACGTTCAGTGTCAAGCCTGGGGAGAAGGTCGGTATCGTGGGGCGAACAGGTATGTTGTGTGCCATGACATCTGGGTTTTCTTAGGTACGGACTCCCACTGACTGTTGGTAGGCGCTGGGAAGAGTTCGTTGTTACAGGCGTTATTCAGGTATGTATCTCACGCTTGTTTGATCATGTGTTCAATTCTCAGGCTGTATGTACCTCCAGGATCGTCAATGTACAAGGCGGAACCGTCATCATCGATGGTCACAACATCCGAGATGTTGGGTTGGACACCCTTCGTAGCCGGCTGGCATTAGTACCGCAGGACAGTACCCTGTTCATGGGAACATTGCGAGAGAACCTGTTGAGTCTCTATTTGTTCTCTGCGTCCTCCACTCTTCTGATCTTCAGTCTGGTACTAGTGATCCTCAAGGGACTCGAACGGATGCAGAACTCATCTCGGCGCTCAAACGTGCTTGGCTCCTGCCCAGGGACGGCTCTCCTGTTGACCCTATCGTCGAGGCCAAGTTCAGTTTGGACGCGTCTGTAAGCGACGAAGGTGGGATCTTTTTGTATGGTGTGTCTGGATGCGAGATTGACTTGGGATAGGTTCGAACTATAGTGCGGGAGAGAAGCAGCTTCTAGCTCTTTGTAGGGCTCTGGTGAAAAATAGCAAGATTATTGTCCTCGTGAGTAATGGGCGTTCTTATTCTTTACCGGTTATTCATTCGCTCTACAGGACGAGGCGACCAGCAACGTTGACGTTGAAACAGATGCAAAGCTTCAGCGTACAATTCAGTCAGAATTTGCGTCTTCAACCTTGCTCTGTATCGCTCATCGACTCAACACCATCGGTGGGTTCCCATATTTTCACATCTGAGAAAATCATTCATACTGCCTAATTTTCAGTATACTACGACCGCATCATTGTCATGGATGCAGGAAAGGTCGTCGAGCATGACACTCCATTGAATCTCTTCGACAAGGAGGATTCTATCTTCCGATCACTCTGCAACGAGGCGGGTCTGACAAGACAGGACATCTTGCGCATTCGTGCCAGTGCCCAGTCGACAAGTACTACCGTTGGAGGATCCAAGGCTTGATACGTCTGGCGCCGCACTCTTTTTTCTTCTATCTTGGAACTATGATTAGATTGATGAATTAATGCTTTCGTACGTTAGATTATGTTTTTTTTTGGAACTGCTTTCGTTGCACGAACTCTTATTAGATGACTTTCCTGAATGATACCATTCTTGTTATTATCTTGCTTTCTCCAAATTGCGAGGCAGACTCGAGTTGCCCGAACTGCCACTGTGGAACCTGTCTGAAGTTGACAGCAGGCTGAAGACCCACGCGGTCTGCCTACCAATATACCCGCACTGGTCAGAGCCATGCATCTGGATGTCCGCGCTCATGAAGAGACTGTCGATGCGGGACGACTGGTGCACAGATCCTAGAAGCACTACGGAAGGAGGTGGTTCGGATAGTGTCAGAATAAAGTGCATCGAAATGCATAACCTCCATAAGCTAAAGATACAGAAGATGTGTAAATTACACAGATGCATTGCAGCAGCCCGCCTGCTACCGATGCATCAGCCGTGTGCCCAGTTGCTGAGACTCACGTTCGATCGAATACAACTCCAAGTCGAATGGTGGATCAGTGGAGCCACTACTGTGGCCATCGCCCTCCACCTCCTGCCGAGCTGAGGAATGTGCAGGTACGGAGGTATGCAACGAAGGTCCTAAGCTACCCCAGTTGACGGTTGATGGGTCTTTGGAGGCGGCGTAGGATTTGAGGTTCAAAACCATCCGGGAACCCGCAAGGTTGACAACAGCTAAAGCGAAACTGGACGACAGGTCAGGTCTCCATCCAAAGATGAAACCGCACGCGAAGCTTACTATCGAGCTAGACCGAGTAGTGTAGGGTCTGCAATCGCCCAGACACTGTAGATAGGAAGGTCAAAACGGGGATGAAATAAAGTAAGATGAATTGGCTCACAGAAGAGAAAACAAAGAACAAACTGTATTTATGGTCAATCTCAAGAACCAAGCCATGCAGGGTAAAGACTCACACGCAACAACGATAAAGTACAACATGCCTAGAGGTATACATTGATTAAATTTGTACAGTGTAAATATATGTCTTAAGACTTACCGTCACGATACAAAATGAGAGAGAGGGTATTCAAGGAATGTCGTCGATCGCTATCAAACATAGCATACAAAGTAAGTCCGAAAAAAAGTGACTCAAAGATCACGCTGAAAGTCGCTTAAACGTGAGATACGTCGGTTGATACTATTGATGACAGGTTAGACGAACCTTGGTAGCCAAGCAGCCCAGAGGTAAGAAGGAATCTGTCAACAAACTTGTCAAACAAGTCCTCGAACGTAGAACAACAGTGACGCACAGCCCCGACACATGCATGATGTATTGGCTTAAGATCGGCTGCGTGATCGACGCGATGAGCACTATTCAGAACGAGCGAAGTGGACGACATACGTATGAGTTGAACTTGGGCTATAGTAATGATAGAGGCCGAAGACAATAGGTATATAGTCCCAGAGGTCCAGAGCAGTCGCCCTATCCATCGTCTACCGTTATACAACGCATAAATTCGTAGCGCCACAATCACTAAACAGACCGTTGGCATTGAAATAAAATCATAACGGTAAGATACATACCGTGGATGGACATAAACGAGGCGACCGTTAAGAAACTCTGTAGGCAGGTCCACACCTTACAGAACTGCTTGAAAAATGAGAAGTCGTTTGGTACTGAGAAGTCAAGAACGTACCATTTCCGAATCATCTGCTACTCCGAAGAACTCTTACAACCATTAAGATGAGTGTCAGGTTAGTATGTACTGGACCATGAACAGACCATATATGTCAACGATCAGCATCAAAGGGCTGTAACGGAGATTCAGTTGAGGATAGTACACATGCCATTAAACCGGAAGAACGTACACAATGTAACGATTCTGGATGACCCGTAAGTTTTCATACAGGCAGAATGTTCAATCGTTTGACCATACCAATAGGAAGATGATCGAGACAAGACCTAACGATGGCGACCGCCATATTGTGTCCACCTGTAGGGCTATGTTCAATTACATTTGGAAAAAATCGAACAATAATAATCACACCTCTTGGCTTAACTATTGAGAATATTTCAACGGAGAGTTCGGAGGGAAAGATAAATTGACGTACGGTGAGGATATGGTCGTAGAGAAGAATAGTGAACCCTGCGACTGCAAGGAAAGATAACGATCAACTATGCAAGCTGTAGACCTCCCATTTGCAAAACATACGCGTCATGGCCCTGTACGGGGAGAAAACATCAAAACACGTTGTACACGCATGAATCAACACGAGGATTAAACACGTACTGAACCGCTACCCCATGACGAATGGCTGTCTCCAGGGACTCGGAGAGTGGGATGTCCAGAGCGGACATCATACCAGAAGCTCGTCGCGAGGGGGGAGAGGGAGCAGGTTCAAGTTCGCAAGAGAGAAACCCGTCACGCTACCTTTCATTCCCGCAGTGCAAACTGTTCGTTTTATTGTTCTCACTCTAGGCTTATCATTTGCGGGTCATTCGGAGATGTGATAGTGTAGCCAGGGCGTCACGAATAGATGCACATATGCTTTGATTGGTGTGATTTGCAGGGACTGAGGGAGTGGAACTGTTCTTTTGAGTTCACCGCCACTACGTGAATCAGGGGAAATCTCTGCGATAATATGCATGAAGTGAAGTATCAATCAGAAATATAGTATGCAGACATATGAAACTTGTATAAGATGCGTAGCGGACACTCAGATTGAACCTGGAGGCAATAGCATTGCATCTACACAGGGCACTCCAGCGATTGAACGTTCGTCTGCTGATGACGGACCAACGCCGACAAAATGTAAATGTGTTACATGCAACACAAATAGCGGGCTTTCGCAAGATCCCTGGATTGACAGACGGTGATATGCTTCCGCAATCTGCAAGCTAGATCCTGACTGTCACGGAGGCATATGGTATCGTCCCTTTCACTCACGGCAGCAATCGCAAGCAGCTTCGGTTTGATACTCCGATGCTGTCGTAGAAAATTCCTCTCGGGTCTTGAACACTGGCGACAAATGCATGAGAAATTTTACTGGTTATAGAATTCTCAACACTCCTTGATCAGCTTACCTGTTATGGATTCAAAGGAACATGTGTCATTTTACTCCGGCCTTTGGGCAAGAACTTCTAGAACGTTGTGAGATTTGCAGTGAGCCCAGGAATTCAAAAGCGCGCGATTTCAATGTTAACCGAAGAGGTGGATACCAACCAGATCTATATAAGTGAGGCGTTTTCTCCAGACAATGTCTGGAGAAAGTTCGGCCAACCCCGAAGGTCATGCAGTAACCTAGCAGCAATGCTCGACAAGCACGGCCATGATATTATAGTCATCTAGTGTGGAGCTCGCAGGAAAGTTACAGAATGGCATGTAAGTTCTAAGCACGGAAAGTCGATGAGTGCATAGACATCGGATCCTGACTTGAAGGGTTTCAATCCTAGGAGAATGGAAGCATGCTGTTTCCAGAACATGGACAGAGTTTCAACATCCCTGTCATTTTAATCAATAAGTTTCAGAGTAGCAACGCCGAGCAGCATGAACAAGTATATGAAAGTGAAAAGCTAAAGTCAAGAGTAGGTAGAGTTCCGTAGAATTTGAGACCAGACTGCTAGCGCCTGATGGTAACTGTATATAGTAACTAATATTAAGGATAACACAACTGGGGTATCGTAGGAGCCTGGTTCCGTCGCAGACGACAATCACTCGACCAAAAGGCACAGTGGATGGCCGGAGGCCCTGACACTCGCGCTCTACCCACGGCATGGATCGCAATGGATTCGGGTGTTAACATCCAAGATGCCCTAGATGCCCTAGAGACCTACAAGAAGAAAGATGCGTCCAAAGGTATGCAACGTCCTCAATTATAGCGAAATCGAACAGGAACTGAGCTGTCGGCGGCTGGCTTGGCATGTTTGATAGTCGTCGTACGCTTCAAAGCAGTTGGGAATGCACCTATAATGAAGCAGAACCTGTACAAGATCACTGCTTCGAATCGTTTCCAGGCAGTGATACAGTTCTTGAGGAAAGAACTTGGTTGGAAAGCTGGGGATCCTTTGGTACGACATGTGTTCACCTTTGCGTGGCTGATGTACTAATATCTCCCTGGAATAGTTTACTTATATCAATCTTGCCTTTGCACCAGCCCCGGATGATACTGTATCTAACTTATACAAAGTTCGCATAACAGCACCTACAATCATTATGTCCACTAACATGACATCCTTTGATAGTCTTTTGCAACGGAAGGTCATCTAATAGTCAACTACAGGTTTGCACCATCGATGTTTATGAGCATGTGGCCAATACTGACTTATCCATCATGACAGTACCACGGCAGCTTGGGGTTGATAGCGTCTAATATATGGCTGCTTCATTCTGGATATTTGCGCATAATGTGTGGCTGCAAGCGAAGGAGGCGACTTGGTATAGTACGCCAGGCCTCCTCAGAGACTTTAAAGTGGGACTGAACAAGGTTAGTACGAAGAAATTTTGCAGCTTTTTATCACAAGTTCCGGTTGTTGCAAGAACGGACGTTGCTTGGGGTAAGGGAAGACCGTCTAGGTGAACATGCGGGCAAATCTGTCATCAGGATAACCAGATCCAGGACAAGGTGCGATAGAACTGAACTGTAACCTCAATTGACATCACACGCAGAAGCGACGAGGGCAGCAACGAGGCCCAACACCGTCAAACTCGAAACTAGTACAACAAATGCGGTCGGGGAACACTCTGCTGATGACTCTGAATGCTTTTAACACGCAGTACTCTGGAAGATATGCAATCATTGTGATAATTCACAACGTTTCGATACTGGCCATACAGATCACCGGTGTTACATTCCCTCGTCTGGTCAAACTGTGCCATGTAATGAAAACAGCCAAGACATAGCCTCGAACGAGTACGTTTTCTGAAGCTTTCGCCCCATCAATCTGCCCTCACTGAGACTACACAGAAAGCTCCGTTTATCCGACAAGTGTTCGCTTTGTCGATTCCATTCGGGATCACGTGTCGGAGACATAACAGAGCCAGAATGCAATATTGTACAGCAACAGTCGGGACTATGTACGAAGTTAGAGAAGGGTAGGTGAGTGCAGCAGAAGATACGACATACAGAGAATCGGACTCAGTGGAATACTCATAGAACGTAAAAGGGCAGCTGGGCCAAAGTGACCAGCCTACGTCGTCGTGTATCGTCTGTTCCAAACCATTGGAGAACTGTTTGTCTTCTCAAAGCCAGGAATCGCTATCAGCACCCGCACCCCTGTTTCTACCCGCAGGCGCACTCGCACTACCCCAGAAAGATTTCGCCGACGTAGGACTTGCTGCATTCTCTGAATTGACCGTTCGAGATAAGTACGATGGCGCAATTTAGCGACCAGATGACAGACTGACTGCTGATGATATTCTCGAACATTCCTTTCAGGGCCTTGTATTGAATATTCCATGGCTCCGTGAAGAGCTCCAAGACCTTCTGGTGCTCACTGTCGAAAATCTCATCGAATGTACGTCCAGAAATGGTAGGCATCGTTAGCTCTGCATCAAATACGCGCCCTGCTCCTTCCTCCCTGGAACGAGCTTGCAATCGCACCAACATCTTTTTGATCCATGCTCCATACTTCTGCACATCCTCCATGGATGCTCGGAATCCCGTGCAGATAAGATAGCAGGATGAACTCTTCTTGTGAGTGTCACCTTTCTTCGCCGTGAGTTGCTCAAAGGAGTGTCGGAGGATACCAATTTCCTCAGCCATCCAACAGAATGGCTTTGTATTAACCAATATGATGGACGCCCCACCCTGAGTGGTATTGATCAGGACAAGAAGAAGCTGAGAGAGCACGAGCTGGAGTCGGATCCACCATTCGATGTGACCTTCACCGACGGGGAACGCGCCTGCTATGACGAGGTCGTAATGATTGGCCGAACCATCACCGTCATTTGCAGCCAGCGGTATAATGGGATCCTCCCCATTTTCCACTGATTGCAAGACGAGGGTGATGATATCTTCAGTCCGAATCGTATAACGCCCAGCTTCATTCTCCAACATCGAACCCTCAGAAGCATTCTTGTCTATTCCTACCCCTCTGGCACTCGGGTTTCTATTAAGCAACCACGAAGAAAATCCTCCAGGTGAATAGCCCAGATCAAAGAAGCGGCGTACTCGATTTCCTTCGAATATACCCCCTTGGTCTTGGCTAATCGCCGCGATGGTTCTCTGGTATCTTTCAACGTAGAAACTTGTCTGCTGCGTCTGCTGTCTCTCCCGCTGCTTGTTGCAGAACTCGATGACTCCCGGATCGTTCCTAGAAAGAGGCTTGATGATTAGGAGACGTCTAAATGGCTCGGCGACAGATTTGTCTGGCAGGTCAAGGAATTTTTGCTCGAATGAAGTGACGGGAATCGTTACCCTGGCTCGTCTAAGGGTTACGTTGAGCTCTGCGATGGACGTGATAGCGGTGGTCATGTTGGAAGTAGATCTCGGGTTATTGCTCGCTGGACTGAGGCCGTAAGGCGAGTTCTCAGTCTTGATACTGTTATATGGACCGATAGTCAATAAAATTATGTTCAAGTAGTAACGTCCCGTTTGATCAGCTGGTCTGCGGACGTCATCATGCTGCGAACTACGCTCCAACCACACTAGCTGTTGGCATGAGTACAAGCTGACAAGTTTGCAATTGCGGTGCTGACCGACATTTTTGTCCTTCATATTTCTGCTGTTGGTCCGATTAAGTCGGGTCTTGTCGCAATTTCATCTGTATGATAAGGCATATAAAGCGAGAGACATTTATTTGCTATATACAGTTTGCTTTTGGAGAGACGTCAGAGACATATAAACTTGCGCAAGCAGTCCATGACAAGGTTTATACGACGGCTGCGCACTTCATTGCTACTAGTACCTGGGCCTTTTGATGGTGATCCAGCACTAGAAGGTCCGCCAAGTGTCTGAGTATCCCACTCCAACTTATCTTGGACCAGATTGTTGGGTGCGAGCTCCGGTGCTACGGCTAGGACTGCGTATTCGTTCAGGGACAACTGCGCCGCATCGTTTGTGGCTAGGTTTGCGATCTGGATGCATGCATTATATCAAACCATGTATGGTTCAAGATCATACTCGCCCCGTACCTCATTCACCGGATTGACGACATCTGTTCCACCGACCTTCGTAACCGGCGGCCATACACCGGTAGTGTTCTTGTTCAGCACATCCCAGGCTCCTTGCTTCAGGGACGTGTCATTCAACCGTTGGCCTACAGGAAGCAGGGTGAGTGTCGCGACATGTGAGTTAGGATCAGATGACATCACCCGCATATGCTTGCAGTTTTGCGTAGTACTAGAAATGAAGAGGCGATAAGTACTGGAAATGATATCATATACCTAAACCTTCCATACCTGTGGAAAGTTGTTAGTATTGAAGGTGACACCGTACCGCGCGATCTTCCTATAGAGAAAGGTTATCATTACATGTACAAGTCATGTGCACTATCAACCTACTCTGCGTCAGTGCCATTATACAATCTGCAAAAGTCGAGCCAGGCCGCATCGAACTCAGGCTCATCCGTTATAATTTCCATCAACTCCATGAGCATTTCCCCACCACCGAAGATCATTGTCAAGTGGTATCTAAGGACGGTTGGAAGTCAATGTTGGGTGCGGTCCAGGAAAGCATAACTTACGAGCCCTCTCCCAGACCGCCTTCATCGACCATGGTTGCACTGTCAGCGTTCCAGCCCACGGCGCCACCATTTCCTGTGAAAAGACCAAACTGGAAACTACCAATATCTTTCTAATGGAATAGTCAATGTAACGTTGAGAACTGCAATGCATCGTTTCGACGAACCATGCCAGTCTTGATACGATCTCTCCATTTTGTATCATTCGTCCTTTCCCATTTGACGAACCAATTACCCGCAAGGCTTGTCCAATCTGGTCCAGTACGGAGACGACTCTGAGCAAGGGGTGGAGGTGGAGGCAGAGCTTTGCGAAGAGGCTCCCACGTGACAACGGTTTGGTCTGCTTGGAGCGAGTAGTCCATGATGTCGCCGATGAGCTCGTCCGCTTAACAAGAGCGTCAGACGCAACTCTCATATAAGACTGTATATGCGATGCACACCTGTCAGATAATAGAAGGGACGTTTGAGATGACTACTACTGATACGAGCCTCTTTCGCGCCATCGCCCCAATGGGTAACATGGTGTCGACTGCCCAGTCCTGCGAAAGGGCCAGTATGATGGAAATCGACTTCGGAAAGATGTCTCGTCATGGCATAAGCGACACGGAAAACGTCCGCCCGGCCAGTACGCAGGAACGACATCCATAGCCATAAATCGGTCGCTATCAGAAGATTTGAGGGTTCGCGCGTCGGTATGGTACTATATGAACTGCTTACAGAGCTCTCCATTGTCCCAAGCCTAGTATCCAGTCAGTACCCGTGTTTTGTAGAATTATACCGCAGAATTACTCACGAAACCTCCAACATCATATCTCCACGTATGCCGAGTTTGGTCTGATAAGTGTGTGAATATAAGTTGTGAATGGCCTGAAACTAGCCATACCATACGTATGCATAACGTCACCGTAATCCCAGAATCCATAGAACTGACGTTGTTCAATTTCCTGGTATGTATGTATGAAACCCCATTCAGGTGGTGATCAACCGAAAGACCTACTGCGATGTAGAAGTCAAGTAAATCACTCTTCCTTTTCTCGATGTCCCGAGCGCCGCTCGTTGAAGTGTCGGGAACATTCCTGGAAAATGGATAGAGCACATTTTGGTTGCCCCATAGCGGGGAAAAGTAAGAGAGCGACGGACCACCTGCCACCAAAGAGGTTATGAGATACGTAGAACTCAGGTGATGCAACTAGCTGTGGGACCTGCGTCTAGTGGAGAAGTCAGTGGATGACTTTGCCCCTCGGAACATCCAGAAGCTCACATTGACGGAGGCCAGTTGAGCTAGAGCATCTCGAGAAGGTGTCGCAGAAACAACTTGCAGAGTGATCTCATATGATCGGCCCACGCCGTTGGGATTTGGGTCTGGGTCACCAACGTCTTCATACGTTAAGTCGAGCTAATGTTGAAGTCAGCCAAGCCCTCAAGTATTTTTCACAGTACATACGCCATGTGCTACGGTATCATAGTGTCTGCAATAGTTGAAATAAACTTCCTATTCGCCTTCAAAATGTTATGACATACCTCAGGTCCATAGCTGGAGCCTGCATTCAAAAAGTAAGCATCTTCACTCTTAAGGGATGGGATAGAGTGTGTGTGCTTTACCCTCGGACTATACGCCCAAACTGTAACCGTTGCAGTATCTGCACTCGCACCCCTGATATCCAACCCCCTCGGAGCACCCTGCCAAAAATCCCTCATAGCAAAAACTACACCTCCGTTCTTTGCACCTCCAATATAACCCAAGCCAGCTGCCCTTGTCCCAAATCCGGCATTCGTCAAAAAGCTAGCCTTCCTCGACGCATCTGTCCTTTTGCTGATTGTGAAACGCTCAGAAGATAGTTGATCAAGCGTAAACTCTGCCCATATGGCTAACTGGTCCACTTCCGAAGAGACTGAAGTCGGCCAAGTAGATATACCTGGAACTGGTTGACCCTCAAACTGCGGTGTTAGGACTGCTGTTGTTGCGTCTCGACGCAGGCCGGACAGTACGCGAACGGGTTCTCCCCAGATCCCGCCATCAGTTGTTGCGAAGCGAACGTGACGGTCCCACAATTCATCCGAAAGAGGAGTAGAAAATGTCAAGCCCTATGCAGGTAGGGTCAACAGGTACATACGAGAGTTGTAAGCAGGAATTGCTTACTATACCCTTGATAAAGTCTTTGTTTTGGTCGCCATCGTAGATGAAGAAGTGTACTAGCTTCAAGGCAGTTGCTCCTGCAGCGATATAGAATCGCACAGTAAATGGCAGGAAAGAGTCACGGCCGCCACCAGAGTACTTTCCACTGACCTACTCATCATGAGCATGTGCAGCTGCATAAATAATGCTACGCTCACTTTGAGGACTGCGCGAACCGGGCCACTTTGCTCCACGCTCACACTATCGATTTTACCTGTGGTAATGGCAACACTTGGTTTATCCCCACCAAGTTCAGGCTCATCGGGACTACTCTGAACATGTACAACGAGTTGTCCATCCTGCGCTTTGACCTGACCATCTAACGAAAGCTGGGAAATCAAAGTGGTACCCAACTTATTGAAAGTCGCTTAAGCACCATCGTCAGGCATGATTTGGAAAACCTTTGGGAAAGCAAACACCTGAAAATGACCCGGTTACAACTTGAATGGAGTTGCCGCTTTGGGTCACTGTCACTCTGTTCTTGGGTTCCGTAGGTTCCCCCGGGGCTAAATGATAGCCATCAGCCAGGGCACTATCAGGCGAAATGGCATGCCCTGTCCACTTCAAACTACCGTCGGGCCAACTGACTCACGAAAAAACTCAGTGATTCCATAATAAACTGCCTGTGCGGACTTACTATGCAAGCGGCCATGTCTGGAGGGGGACACCACTACCGTCCGAGGTCTTTGCTGCCATGGCGGTTGTTCGGTCAATTTCACCTTTCGACCAAGGTAGCCCGAATGCTGTTCCACTGGGCAGGGAGCTGGGTGCTCTTCCATCAAGCCATTTGAGGTCTGCACCATCGTCCGCATGGGGATGTGGCGCCATTCCTGAGACTCAGGGAATATTGACGCAGAGCAAAAGAAACTGCAATACACATCTCATTTATGTAGATCACTCGACGTGTGGATTTTTTTTAGCGAAAGCAAACGGTCCGTCCATAATACGGGCCGTTGCATGGCTTCTAAACCGCGAGTGAACGGCAGTCACGAGTAAAGAACATATGAAGGGTTGACAGGCACCAAGGTGAGCGTACTCACTTCTTCACGTACTCGTTACACACGTATATATGAGTAGCGAGACCATTGAATGGCGTCTTTGAAGTCATATGGTGAGTGCGGCGGAAAAGAAACGTCTGATGCGAAACTGAGAGTAGGCAAGTACATGTGCCATTCGCAACACTGGTAACCCAGCAAATATGTACCAACGAATAGAAAGCTTGAAGAATGAAGGGGAGTTGTGCGCCATGGATAGGTCCATAGGATCGGAGCAACCGTTTAGTTCGGGCGACATATAGTAGACGCGTTATTTGGAATTGTTTGGAATTGCCTGCTGACGAGACTGGCACACGGCCTTAAGTAGTGACTTGTTACTTACTTAACTATGAAGGTCAGTCGAACGGTTAAACTGTCGCGTTACTTACTTTGGTATGAATCCCGGCTAAAACGTGATGTCCTCTTGGAGATAGAGAATGCGTTAGTACGGTCTCAACTTCCTTTAGTTATTCCTTCCATTCCCCCGCATACTCCAGGTCCCCCGACCACCTCGCTAAATTTCCGAAGCTTGGTTTTCCTCCACCACGTCGTAACCAAGTTGTAACTACGAGCTCTGTTGCTGATCATGAAACCTGTAGCATCACCTATCGCAAGAAACTCATTTGGTTATATTTTTTCAGGTATACGGACACGAAAGACCCGAACTGTCTCATAACCAATGGAACAAGCTCTTTCGCCCAGTCTGTGTCTGCGACTCGCACCTTCAAACACCCGCGTTATCGCACTATGGCCCACTGAGACTACAAGGAGACTAGGGGAAGTGTGAGGCCGAATATTCAGCGGTGAAGATACGAGACACGTGGAGGGATCACCCAAATAGCTCCTAGTTCATAGTATACGGTCCGCCGGGGCTCCCTGTGTTCCCATTCCAAGCTCCAAGGGCGCCTGCACTATGCCCAGCATCTTCTCGAGACTATCCAGCCGGCGATTGCGGTATTGATTCTCATGACTTGACTTACCGGCAGCCATGATCCATGTCTATGTCGCCTTTCTGCTTGTGTTCCTAGTTGTGCTTGCTGCAGGTAACGACGACGGAGGAGGCTTGGCAAAACATTGTCGCTTCACAATAGACGGCCAGAGCTTCGACTTGTGTCCGATATTCGATGCGAGGGAAAGAGAAGATGGATGGACTGTCGAGACCGAGCGACAAACTCCTCCGACCATTACGAAGACGCAGTACAAGTTCGCGTTAGACAAACCATTGAAGAAAGACGGGACTCTGCCTGCACACGAACAGGTACCGTCATTCGCATTGAGTTTAGTGTGGTGGCTGATCGGACTGGATTGGGGCATAGTGCCCGGACGGGACGTGGATATGCATGATCAGTAAGTTCCATGACCTCCAGGATGGTTAGCTGCGTGCTTAAGCTTCACTATCTGCAAGTGTCAAACCGTAGGCCCCACCATGAATCTGAACCGCCTCGTATCCTCCAGGTCATTCCTGTAGCAGGGAGGGTGCAGCAGCCGGACGATCAGACTCGGTACACCTCTGGACTGAATGTATCGGCGTCGTTGACAGACGGCAGGCAGAAATCACGTCATAGTACGCCCTCGCTATGATTGTACTGTCTGAAGTCTAATACCTGTTCAGAAATACTGAAAGTTCGCTTGCACGGTGGATACTATGTTGACAAGGCCCAAGCGGCCGATTTCTTTTTTTATTGTGACCATAAGGCCACTGAGGTCAGGTTTGCCTTTGCCATTCCTACGTTTACCCCATTGACATATTTTGCAGCCAACATTACCGACATATTTCTACAATTGGTTTGGTACACACGCCTTTTCATGGCGTACCAAACATGCTTGTCCCATAGGTCCGACCAATGAACCTGAAGAACCACAATCACCAGCCGATGAAGAAGAGCCCCCACCTCCAGGAGACGGAGAGAATGACCTCATTAACATCCCAAGTCGAACGGATAGACCGTCAAGGTCTAGTCTGACGATACTCTTATCATCAACGTGCGTCCACATGTTCCTTTTTGCTTCTCTGCTTCTGTTGCTTGCAAAGACGGGCTGCTAAAGCCTTACCCCTTCCGTGTCTGCTCCCGTTGGCGCTACACTTCTGCACCCTTCATCTACTGACGCCATGCCCAATTTTAGCACCATGGTGCTCATCCTGATCTACTTCATCTACTATCCACCTCGTGTCCTGCGCCGTTTCATCTCCTCGTATCTGAAGTCTCGACCCTCACTTCTGCGATTCCGAGTAGGCGAGCGAGTACTTGTGCGCTGGGCGCAGGAGGATCTGGAACTTCAGGACGACGGGGAGGAAGATGTCATGGTGAACGGCGGCAGGGACGCGGAGAGTATTTTTGTCGTGGATGATGATGAAGAGGAACAGATCCCGTTGAAGCCTTCTCCGAGGAAGACGAAAGGGAAGGGACATTTCGGTTATGGGAGTATGTCATGAGTCCCGCACGGGGCATTGAAAGAACTCGATACTGATTCTATCCACGGTTCGCTGTCTATCCCGTGGTTTCGCATTTCATGTACTAATGGACTGGTTTGGATATATTCGGATGTGTTTTTAGAATGGATGCAATTACTCATGTCTTGTAGATTACGATTCTGGCTACTCTGACCCCTTGATTGTAGAACTATGCATCTTGCCTCCATTGAACATCTTGAACATGCCTACCAGTCAAATTCACCCAGACCATAGGACTCCCTCAAGAGCTTGAAATCCCACGTGGCAAATGGGATTGTGGCGATGCCCGACTTCAATTTGATTCGCAGCGTCAATTTCAATTTATTGTTTTCTTCCGTCTTTCACGTCGTGCGGGTACAATACGAGATTGCATTCCCCGGATCTCTCACTAACGAACAGCACCCAAGGATGTCAACTATACTACCCCCGAGTCGCCGCTCCTCAGCGGCGACTCCCGCAGGGCATATCGTTGACGACGCCTCCTGCGAATTCCAATATCTACCGTCACTGCAAACCCTCTGAACGACTCAGCCTCTACGTCTTGTGAGGCAAGATTGCCGAGCTTTCCATGCTTGATGATTCCGACCCTGATGCCAGCCCACATCGAAGGATACGAGACCGTGCCGTGTTGTGTCATTAGGACCCTAGTAACGTTCTGGAATGGTGTTTCCCTACAACCTGCAACACTAAGGATATCGCTGCGCATGTGCTCCAAAGAATGTCTCGTAAAGTACGTCGTCGTTACCGCAATTGCGTGCTTTGCTGATTTGAACGTAGCCCGTCCAATTGCTTATGCGACACGTAGTTGATGTTTACTTGCTTGACACGCCTATTGATGCTCACGACTGCCTCATATCCCACATCTACACAGTGCCTATGCCGCAGTAACTTGGAAACTTTGTATCGCCGAGTCATTGTCACAGTAACTGGTCCAACTATCTCTCCGATCTCCCTTTCGGTTGAGAATGCCTCACAAATGGTTCTTTCAGCCTGGGAAGCAAACAAAAAGGCAAATGGACTGTTGTATCGGTGTAACATTATCGCATGCACTTAAAGGTACGGCAATCTCATACTACAGCCTTAGCTTAGTGCTAACAACATGTACTTGGTTTCATCAGCATCTGTCAATTACACCAATAACTAATCAAGGACCTGTGCGTCTCTGCGCGCAGTCCTGGCATTATTGGGCTAAGCGGATCGCAGTGCGATGTGACTGCCAGACCTAGGTCAACGGGTTCTCTCTGGTGCTCAGATATAAATACCTGCTCAATAGCCCACTATTCCCCATCTTCTCTAACTACCCATCGTCACTAGCTCAGAACCAAGTCCATCGAATACCACCGTCGACATGTCTGCCCCATATACCACCATCTCCCAAGTCGACCTTCTTGTCGCACAAGGCCCAGCACCCATCGAGATTTTATCACCATTCGAACGTCGTTTTGCCGCTGCATCCGACATCCACCGCAAACTCCTCCACCTGAAGAAGCTCTACCGCGAGCACCCCGATGTCGAGAGAAGTTACAACGACCGTCGTAGAAGACAGTTAGATTCCGTGTCCGCTCCTCAAGGGATGTATCTGGAGGGCTATAAGAGGGTTCTCATGGAGATTAGCCAGGATCTAGGTGGTGCGCTTGGTAATGATCAAGTGCATCGTTTCCTGGATCTTGGCTTCTCTCCGGGAGGATTTTCGAACTGGCTGCTCGAGAATAACCCGAGAGCGACAGGTGTCGGTATCACTCTTCCGGACTCCGAAGCGAAATACAAGTATGAACCAACAGGCTTTCTGGCTGATAACAGGCGGTATGCACCATATTTCGCCAATATCATTACCCTTGTTTTGCAAGCATTGAGAGATAGAACCAATCCTATCTCCTCCTTGCTTGCAAGCAACGGTAATAGCCGCGCACCCACCACATTTGATCTCATTATAGCCGGAGCATTCCCCACCTTGGAGGGGAGCATTCCTTGGTACCAACGTGTTCAACTTGCTCTCTGCCAGGTCTATATAGTGCTCAACAGTCTCCAGACAAACGGCATTGCTATCTTCGTCATCAATACCAAACCCTTCAGATGGCAGGTCGAGATGATCGCCATGATCAAAGATTCCTTCCGGTCTGTTGACACGATGAAAGGATCTTTACATACGACTCGCACGTCGTGTTATTTGGTCTGCAGAGGCTTTCAAACCTCCAGAGCTCGAAACAACATCTCTACGTATACTCGCTGGCTCAAAGCAACGTTGACCGCGCTGGATCGTATCGCAATTGAAGCCAGCAATGACACTGCACATCCTGCGACTCTTGCAGAGAATGATCCAGAGCTACAGATGCCTTCCATCTCCGGGCGCAGGGATGAGGACGTTTTTAACGCCGAGCATGCAGCCGTTCTTCGGCTCTTTGAGCCCCGATGGCGTGAACAGTTCAACGCAATTCGTGACGAATTCAAGACTGTTCTGGAAAGATGTGAGCATTGTTCTGCAATTTCCACATTCCTAGGTATGCATTCAAACAACTTCTGAAATAGCTCGTGGAGGAATGGGTAGTTCCAGCTCCAATTGGCGTAGCCCTCCTGGTGGACAAACCCCGGGACGTTCCAGTACCGGTTTTGGGTTCTCTCGTTCAACCGGAGGTGGGGGTGGCACAGGCGCATCCAGCAGTGGTAGCTGGCGGCGAGGGCGGTAATATATTTTCTTGGTCGATTGGTGCGTATCTCTGAATACCAAATCCAAAGGATTGGTCCGAAACTCACTGCTTGATGTAGCCTAGCTTCTTCCTACTTGTACCACCACCTCGACTCATATTGAGACCTCATTGACCACTGGTTATTGTACATGTATCTATTTATAGCATATTCAGAAACCGCCTTTATGATCGTCATGAACGCGGTCGCCACGTCCCGCGGCTTCTCCTTGAATGTGAACCTTTGCTCAAGTACATAATTACTCTCTCAAAACCAATTATTCAACCGTAACTTTATAGTTCGCCTAGATGCCTGAAGTAACTTGAGAAGATGCAGTTCGACTTAATTGGGCGCCGAAAACGTTCAATTTGAAGGATTTCATGATCATTGGCGCTGAACCTGGCACTCCGAGGTTACTACAGCCACAAGTCTCAATGCACACGTACAGAATTCATAGTCAACCACTGGGGGTTTCGACAACATTTTCTCTACTGCGAACCATATACACCATTCCCTTGGCAAGGTACAGGCGTTCTTCAGATATGAAGCCACCTGATCTCGAAAACCACTAACGATGACACCTTGAGAACATGGTTGTCCGTACGTACGTAAATAATGGATGCTGGTTCTCTGGTTGCCTCGTAGTTATAATGCTAACACTGCCTTCCAAGACCTTCACCGTGAGCAATCTCTATCTCAATCGTCTGTCTGCTGACTAGAGAGGGGATCGACTTCCAGTCGATGAATGGCCTTCCCACCGCATCAGATTAGACATCCTTGTATCCTTTCGTTTGGAGCTATTTGCGGTACTTGTATAGGCCACTTTAGCAAAAAGAATACAGCACAGAGGCTTTCGAGAGCCGCTCTCGGCTGAAGGTGGCACTCATGAGACGCTGCAGACTCTTCTGCCCCACGAATGCTCCAAATCCTATTCGTAGTGGCTCAGAAAACTGCAATCAACTTTCGAAGATTGATCCTCGGGTGCTCGATACTTTCAGAAGGTGGCCTATCACTCCGCAAATAACTGTGATCCGCATCATTCATATAGCACGCTTGGACAACGCATATATATTGGTATGATGCGTGGGTTATGGAACTGATAAATGGGCAACAACCTTATCCACTGCGTTCCTTCTTATACCCTTCATGATTATATAGACCAGCAGCACTCTTCTGCAGATCCGTTTCCTACAAAGAGAAACATGTCGTCCCAGGTACGCTAAATGGTAATAATTTGCACTTGCGTTAAGAAGTCATTATCCTTATAGTCGCGAGTATCTCAAAATGGTGCATACGCAGCTTTTTCTAACACCGACTCGCCGCCACCTAGATCCCAGGCTCTTGCATCACCTTCGCAACAAAGTCTCCAAACCCATAATAAAGGAAAGGAAGTCTTTCCTGACCATGCCGAGGAGAGGGAAACGTCACCAAAAATCCACCCTCTCAGTCTAGCTATCCTCACAGCCTGGGTAGTCTTCATAATTGTTCTCCTGTGGCTACTGGAAAAGGCAGTAGCTGCTGGGCCAACTAGCGTTTCTCCACCATGGAGCTTCACCGTTCTACCAGGTTTATTTCTCACCGTCTTCGCGCAAGGCCATTCTCCGATAACCGCGATGCATCTTGCCCGTGTCGCTGTCTCGTCGCTGCAGTATCCCAGTAGTGCCCCACGCACTTGGTACGTTTTGCCTCTACCCTCTTCTTGAAATAATTCACTGACCCTTTTCTTAGGCGGGAACTCTTCTGGATGGCTGATCGCTCCTGGGCGGAGCCGGTTGGTATCGCATACACTGCTTATCAAGGCTTGCGCTTGCGTGTTCGAACATCGGTCACATTCATCCTCTTTTCGACGACTCGCGTAATCGCACTTATTACCCCAGTCATCCTAACGAAGGCATATCCAATGCGCAGCGTCGACGTTGTGCAGGATATCCAGATTCGTCCGAGCACTATGTCATTCGAAAAGATGGAGCATGTGGATGGTTATCTGCAGGTTGGTGCTGGCATGGGATCCTGGGGAACGGCGTTGTTGATTCTAGACGTCTATAACACGAGCACCTTTACTCCTCCGGACGCTGTTCGTGAGGGCGACCCGGAAGACTTCTTCTTTGCGGGAGATGTGAGGGATGCAACGGCCGTTCTGCCAGGTCTACGACTTCAAGGGCGTTGCACGCCCATAAACGCCAGCAGTCTTGACGTTTCCAACCCGCTTCCTTCGTTCCAAGAATTTTGCCACAACAAGATCCCAAACTTGCCTTGGGCTGGTGATGGTAATATCGCCCCGGGTGACCTCAACGTTACGATGCATTTCTGCAACAACGAATCGTGGGCCTCCCCATTCCCTGACGATAAAACCACAACAATCCCCAATATTGGTTTCACGTACTACAACTATTCGAGCACAGGAGGGTCTCCGCCAGGCAGCGCCCTGATACAATGCAACTCCAAAATGACCACCGGTACGGCAGTCGTCTCTGGGACCAACCACACGTATACCTCATTTTCCGAGCAACCCTTGTTCAACGTCTCGGCGTCGACTGGAGGGGAACCGGTTCTTGATCCTATGTTTGCGATGTTCTATTATTTAGCAGCAGCAGCAGATGGCGCTGGTGACGTCGGGTCCATGGTCATGGACGCAAAAGCCCAGGGGCTAGAGTTCCAGGCGAGAACTGATACCGGGGCCGAGGAGACTTTCCAATCCCCATCTCCCGAGGACATTTCAGCGGCATTATGGCGAGCTACATCACACGTAACCAGCGGGACTGCCATTTTGTCCAGAAGCAATGATACTTCTTATCCAGCGAAAGTTACAAGGACGGTGTCCGCTTACACGCGGCTGACCTCTTTCGCCGTTGGAGCATATATTTTGCTAGCAGTTTGGCTCTTGTCGCTCTTGTGCATCACTGCTTGGGCATACAGGCCAACGTTCAGCGATAGCTTGGACAGCTACACTGCAGGAAGACTGATTTCGGATCGGATTGATGTGGTGGCGGGCGAAGCAGTTGGGGATGCTGACTCGAACAATAAACTTGGAGCACGCTTCGAGCCGGTCAGGAAAGATGGGACAAGTAGGTATTGAGAAGTGGAAGTATCCGACCATTTGTACTATTACCAGTCGTCTATAACCCAATAGTTCATCCATTATCTGTATTATGTTAGGTGACTCCTTCAAATTCAAGTCTGAGTCAGCACAAGTAGTAGTCGCACTCGTACTTGTTGCCATGCGTAAAACCACCTTGTTCTATTGTCCTATGGGTGTGTCAAAGCTTTAGCATCGTTTGGTCCACTGAGAGGCCAAAGTCAAAGGAGTGAGTCAGGGTGAATAAGCGAGTGGCACTGAACTAGAGAGGCTGCTATATCAGGCTAGGCCATCTCTCTTGACACTCGACCACTACCATCCGCCTTGCGCTTCATGCACGACCTCGACACGTTCCCTTGAATGCTGTTTATTACTCTCTTCACTTCAATTTATCACTATTATAATGTCTGCATCCGTCTCGGACACTACCGTTTCACCCACTCCTTTCAGTCCCTTCTCCTCTAGATCTTACTCGAGCACCAGCGGTGTTACCTCTGACGGTATGTCTTCATTTCTCTCCTATTTGAAACATGCATAATTGTGGCGTTCTGTAGATGCACCAGACCTAGGGGCTTTCCCGACTGTCTTTCGCGAACTTACAGCCTTCTATCCACCACGAGCCGGACGGCTCAACGGCTATGGGGACACAACTCCTACCTCCTCGTTGGCGTTCTATCCTTCAGACTATGATTCTGAAGTTGTTGATGGCTCCACTGTGTGGTCCCATCGTCCGATCGCTCAGTATCTTGCGTCGTCGTCCCCGGAGCCCTCACATACCATTTCTTCCTATACTCGGACTGAAACAGATCGCTATACCGTGGATAGAGAGTCTGAATACTCGGATAGAGAGGAGACAGAGGAGGACAATGGCGACGATAGCTTCCTCGATTCAGAGGAACAACCTTCTTTAGGCTTCGCTGGTGCTCTAGACTTCCTTGCTGCTGAGAGGGCAAGATTTGTCGCCCAGCGGGATGCCATGGGGCAGAGAGGAAATAGTTCAACGACGTCGGATGGTACATGGCGTCATCCTCTGATCGCTCGTCGTAAACGACGACGCAAGCGCAACCGGTCTGCACAAGACAAGACAAGACCTGGCTCAGAGCCTACAGAGATAACAGAGGATGCTGTGGCTGATGCCACGGCTTCTCCTGACGACGCTGACGATTCTTCATCTTCCCTCGAACCTCCTGCATCTCCGCAGTACTATAAGTCAACACCCCCCACTCCACCCCCAGAGGTCGAGGCCGCCGAGCGACGACGTCGACAGCGTTCTGCAGCTCCTTCTACATTTGAGCGTCCTAGTATCCATCACAGTAAATCTACACCATCGCTTCGTTTGCCCGCTGCATTACCTATCGATCCTCGAGTGCTACAATTACGAAACTTGGCACACAAACTTCGCATGCTCTTCCCTAAAGACGCGGAATATCTAGCGGATATCCTATCTGACGATCATCCTAGCCCTTCCGATGTCGTAGATCCACGCGGACCTACTCCTCAATCACAAGATACCCTTATTCACGTTTTCATTGATCAGTGCGTTGTCAGTCTTCTTATTATCTTGTTCAATTACTCATAATTATCCAGTTCCAATATTCTCTTTGGCTTCCTCAATTATATCAAGAGGCATTCTAGTCGGCAGCAACGCAAACGAGACCGATACTTGTCGCATGCTGCACTTGCACTTATTCTCGAACGTGGACGTCCGATCACTCGCCGCGTCCTGGTGACATCGTCACCTTTGTACCAACCCGTAGAATCTGCCGAACAACTCGGTTACGACGTCAAGATTCTAAGACGTGTGCCAGACGACGGCAGTGGCCCAGACAGGCAACAAGGTTCTAGTAGTGGAGATCAGTCTGGAAACTCTAGGAACCAGAATCAGAACACCCGCAAAGGAGGCTATACTCGAGCCCATACTCGTGGGCCATCCTTTGGTGGCACTTCCGAATCCGAACCGGGGAGCAATACAAATACAAATACCACTAGCACTCCCAACAACGGTCGAGTGCGATACCGCGAACAAGGCGTTGATGAACTCCTCCAGTTGAAGCTTCTTCAAACTATCGCGAATGTTGACGACGTGCCCGAGAATGCCACCATTGTGTTGGCTACCGGAGATGGCAACGTAGGACAGTTTAACGAAGAAGGATTCTTGGGCTGTGTGCGCACAGCGCTCAAGAAGGGTTGGAAGGTGGAGCTGTACTCGTGGGAGGGAAGCCTCAGCAAGGCTTGGGCGCGCGATTTTGGAGATAATAAGAACTTCGTTCCGCATATACTGGATAAGTTTGCTGTGGACCTCGTTGAGTTATAAATCTAACATCTAAAGGGACTGTAGTCAATTCATTGTATACCTGATTCCATTTGTTACCCTTTACATCTCACGCACAAGTGTATTCTCTTTTTCTTTAGCATTGCATGCATTGCTGGCTACTCTAATAGTTTGACTTTTCTATGTCTATGTCATGTATAGTATTGTAGTGTAACTTCTATATGTCCGATGATGTAACCAGTAGACCAACAACATCCGACTTTGAATCAAACAAGATCTATAATCTTCACCTCCTTCCCATGAGCAATCGCTATCCGACCCATGCCATCATCGAAATCCAAACAAAGTGGCCCATTGTCCTTGCTTGGAACTCGACACAGCGGTCGGCAACCATCATCGAAATCAACGACCTGCAATTCTCCAAGCCCTGATACCATCGTGCGTGGCGTACACGGTCGAAGATTACCATTGTCGATCCAAACGCCTCGACCGCTAGGGCCGATACATATTTCAGAACACTCTTCGAAATCTAGAGCCATAGGAATACTCGAGAGTGAGAACGTGTTGTTGTTGTCGATAGGAAACAAAACGGATCGCGTGATACCGCTTTGCGCACCCCATGCGTTCTGCACGGGGGATGATGAGATGACAGATAGACAGGGAAGGCCTTCGGGGCCTGGTAGTTGGAATGGTGAAGTGCTGGGAAGGGTGCGAGGAAGGCAATTCGTCATGGAGATGGGTTGTTGAACTGGTTGGTGGAAAGCGAAAGATTGTTTGTATTCCATACTGCCTGAAACTGTCTTTGTTGAGGCGGAAGGAAGGGGGAATATCGCGAGCGCTTGAGACCAGAGAATGACGATGAAATCCTGGAATAGAGCGAACGTCAAGTACTCGCCAGCCTGGAGACAGGACGGTTAGCATGTTTCAGAATCGGACAGCTAGAACTTTCAGAACTCACGTCGAGCGGCACCTGCAGTTTGAGCGTATCGCCGGTCTGCCAGTTCACGAGCGAAGCACTAGTTATATCCGATAGAAGAATGTAATCCCCGAGGAGGCCTGCCAGATTTCCTCCGATCAAGGTTGAGCGGCCTAACTCGGTACAGACACCATCAGCGGTGGCTGACAAGATAGTGAGGATTGTCTGTGATCTGACCTCACGTTAGTTTTCAAGCCCTTCTGGAATAGAAGACACAACTTACTCTGCGAGCGATGCAACTGCAATGCGATCGGGAAGCTCCAAATCACGCACCACGTTGGTAATAATCCCGGGAGACATCCAACTATCCAAGCGTTCTATCACTGCATTCTGGCTGAAGCTCTGAAGACTGATGCACCATCGCACAATGCGATCGGTATGCACCGTCAAAGTATGGTATCCACCCGGCAATAAGATAACTTTCTCGACAGGCTCGGAGACGGGTAGAACGCTTGTCAGAGCAGTGTGCCTCGAGATCCTTCGCCATTTATTCTCAAGCTGCAGAGCACGCAGAGTCTTCCATTCCAAGTCCGCCGTAGGCAAATCCGTGAAAGGAAGATAACTTCCCGGAATAGGTAGCTTCCGCCTCACAACCTCAGTGTGAAACTTAGTGCACCAGATGGTTCTGAGCTTTGTGAGGTAGGAAAGACGCTTGCATGTCTAATAAAGTCCAATGCTGAATACGCTATGAATATGGAAGCCTTGTCAACACGTACCTTGCGAATGCTGAGAACGTCTGGTACGGGCAAGGTGAGAATTAGCTGTATGAGGACGTCATCGACGAGGGTATCTACGAGCAGCGACATGGTGGAGAGAACAGGGTGCGGTTTATTACAGTGCGTATCCACTGAGAGATCTTATATACGGAATGTACGTTCGCTTCTGTGGTAGGCCAGCGCCCGCCGAGGCGAGTCTGGCGAAAGTCGGAGGCATGGAGTTACAGATTCTGACCTCTCTATTTCAGTCGAAACCATGAACCACGTCGATCAGCATGCTCACCTCATGAGAAGACAAAAGAATTACAGCACGGTGCTTCATTGCATTCCGTGTCACTTCCACATCGTTTCAAGGCAAGGCAACCTCGATGATCTGAGACCCTACGGGTGTCGTTAGTTGTCACTGATCCACGTACATTATGCTTGGATGAAATGCCACGAAGGGATTGGCCTGCTTAGCTGGCGTACAGCATAAAGATTCGGAGATGGTAAGGAAAGCCTCGAAAGGTGGGTTAGTATAAAATTGAAATGACAAACCTAGCCTGGTCCAGCCATTCCGTGCGAAGCTTCCCGAGCGCGTCCGATCCATTCCGCTACCTTCCGTCGCTTTATCGAAGATAAGATAACACTCGCCGTCACGGTTACAATGTTGCTAAGGACCTCATCGATGTTTAAAATACTTGTTATATCCGGCTCATTGGTCATGGTAACATTATTCTCTGCTTGTAAAGGATTGAGTCGTTCATACTAGGGACCCTGTGCCTGCGTTGAGTTCTAGGAGAGGAAAAGAAGGTGCTGTTACAAGAGTGTGTGCAAGTCAGTCAGGTCAGTGAATTGAGCAAGTGAAGGGTATTGGATGTAGTAAGACCCACTGTTCACGTTTATCACATCGGCGAACTGACCACCGGACGACGACTGGCAGGGTAGGCAAACCTCTTTCCAGATCGCTCTTGGCACATGTTTCCCCTCCGTAGCAAACGGGGGCAGGATATCTATAGCATAATAGCTCAAGTCATGAGTCGGAACTGGTGAGTGAATTGTACGCCCAAATTACACGAAGACGGGGGAACCGTACCGTAAATAACATAAGCAAGTATCGATAAAGTCCACAAGATTACACGAGGTTGACGAGAATTGAACAAGAATTGACACACCTGGAGACACTCTGCCTTCTGATGAGAACGAAAGCTAAACGGAACATATACCAGGAAGCCTCGATGGCACTCAATTCGGGCCTGAGTCCCAGGAGCAATTAGCCATCTGCCTTCCGGCTGTCTTCTCATAAACTCAAAAGTATCATGTGCGGACGTACAGAATGTACAGGCCACAGTTTTGCGATCGTCGTCGACCAGGAAGGAAGGGACGACACTGAGACCGGACCTAGATGAACCATCGCGAGGAGAGAGAAGAACTTCGACTGGACGCGACTCCAGGCGCGACCTGAAGCATCAGTAATACGGGGACAGTGAACCAGGCAAGGGGATAACAGGAGGAATTGACACCGCTCCCGCGTAGCCTGGAACTATGATCCTTTACTGAATACCTCCGAGCGAGTGTTCTAACTTGGATCTCGAGTAGCAGATGCGCCGCACTGTACCCAAGAGCGAACGAATGAGCTGCGCGATTTGGGCGAAATCTTCAAGGGGCCGTTGAATGAAATTGACGGCGTTTGGGCATAAATGGACACCGAGATGTGGGTCCAACATGTAGTATTGAGCAATCCGTGTTCGCAACTGGCCGATACCAGCGTCGACTATGAACCTAAAGTGCGAGTCACAGTGCCCATCTCAGTTCTTTGATTGCCTGCTGATAATGTGTCTTTCCACCATACCTTATCTCTAGGGTTCCGATATAGCACACTCGCAGCTTGTGCAGCATGAAACTCCCGTGAATGCGCCGCTCAAAACGCAACTGCACAAATTGCTTTCTCTTCAGCCTCCGAAATCATTGTCCTTCGCCGCTTCTCGCAGCAACGTGTGGACGTGCTGACTGGACTGGTGCTCTTTGGGTACCTTTTTGAGGACCACAACCGCCAGCCTGCTAAGCACGTCTTCCTTGTGATTGGCTTGTAAATGCCTGTGCTTCGTCCTCGGACCGAGTCCACCGTCAAAACGATCGAGCGAGAACTTCAGTGTCAAGGACTTTCAAGGTCAAGGCCAATGGCAACGCACGAATCGAGAGAAGGTTGCTAGAAATTTCCTTCCCATCGCTGATCTCATCCATCTATCCCACCTGCATACAATGTCTCCATTGCGTTGGGACTAAATAGCTGCATGGTGTCTCCCTAGTGTTTCCATATCGGTGGAAATACAAACAGCTTCATTGCACGTTCCAAGAAGAACTCCCATTATGGGAGCGGGAAACACATGAGTCTGCCAGGGTTGCGGGGAAAGCAAGAGCATTTGATACTTCTGATTCTCTGGAAGTGAACCTGCAGGATCTGAAGACAAGGTTTAACCATTAGTGTTGGCGAGACTCGGTATTTGTTCGACAAAATTCACGGAGAACGAAGAGACGCACCGAATTTGAGCGACTATACTCATACTTGAACTTACGTGTAAGATATCGGCTAGGACTTTGTAAGGTGCTAATGTTGCTAACGCGTTGATGATGAAGGTATGTCCGAGCATCTTTTCATATGGGAAGCCTTTTGGTCGCGGCGTTATAGGATTTGTGTGTCCTCGTTGCTTCCTGCCTTCTGCGGTTCCGGGTTCGCTGCATCTATTGTGATTCCGGCGTCAGCAATGGCGTACTTGAGGACCATGATGGTAACAGGCTGAATGTATGTAATGACTTCGTAAAAGGCATCTCAGCTACAGACCTCGGTCCTCATCGTGAAAGCGAATCTTGACCCCGGTTCCTCGTTCATGAAACGCCTGAAGCGAGTGATGTGTCGTCGGAAAATCCACGGTGATCGACCGTAAGGACCGTGAGCAGAAACAAGCAAGAAAGACGTGCTAGGAGCGAGACATGATGCGCAGCCATGAAGAAACCAGCCAATAACATGAAACAAGACTTCTCAGAGAAAACACCGAAGTTAGCAAAAGACCCTTCAACGTGTATGCATTGGCAAATAAATCCGAAATTCGAGCAATAACTTGACGTAACATTTGACGGTATGCATGTCCGAAGCACAAGTCGCTCTCAAGGACGTTGCAGAGTGCGAATGGCCATCAAGAAATAGCATGAGATGAACTGGAAAAGGTTGATGTGAGAGATAGGAAAACGCACCGCGACACCGAAATATCATTCACCAAGCATATGGTAACGCTCACCATGCAACGGCATTTCTTATGCAAAGAGGCAGGAAGTGAGAAAGGAGATGTGACTCTGGGTACGCGGACCTGCTCCATATAGCGTTCGACGGTCCTTTAGGGAGCATAAAACCCTAAAGCAAAACGGCAATTCTAGTTGCCATTCAGAGATTAGATTAGGAACAATGGCATTCGTGAGGGTAATCCTGGAGCTGACATGAGAGAGATAGAGCTCAATCTCACCTTATCTACGCGGAACGCATTGAAGAATTCTCCTTGACATGAGGAACACAATATGATAACCGTACCCTGGCGTTTTTCGGGTTCTTGCGTCCCTTGCAGTGCGGGGAAAAGGCCGAAAAAGCGCGATGTCAAGTTCTTAGTGTGGCGTCTTCCAGTATATTTCCGACGATGAAACTCTTGGTATCCTGGCTAATGAAGCAACGAAGTCGCCCGAGAACAAGGGTGGATCATTTTTTGAACGTTACGGTCATGATAAGTGTCATTTGCGCCCGACGGGAAATCGCTCCCGAAATGGGATAAGGGAAGTGGGCTGACATACCCAGTGCTTCCATCCAAGTATATGTCGGACACGGTGACGCTTTAGAAGCATCACCAAACAAGTCCAGGAGCTGGATGGCGGGATTAGGTCGCTTATATAGACTGTTCAACCTACTCCACGTAGGAACGTCGGCTCACCCATATGCCATAATGTTTAGGTTGTTGAAATAGCTCATGGGGGAAACGTGCATGGACCACTTGGACACAAGGCCAGAATGATGTACAGTGAAGAATCATATGGGACCGGAAAGATAAAGCATTGCAAACCGGGCGGGTCAAGCGGATCAGCAATCCCAACCAAAGCAGAGATCGTTTGTAGATGCGGTCTTTTTTGCTGAGCTCAAAAGATGGCCTCTAACCAGGAACGCTGCTGAGTTGAGAGATATAGAGGGATTTCAAAGAGGAATTTCCAAAAGGGGTTATAACATGGCTGCAGGGTCTCGTCCGACAGATAGGACACCAGTGTACGAATGCGAGAAGCAAGGTTTACGAGAGTGATCCTATGTGACCGGAGACGAAGCAGTTGAACACGGGCGGCCAAGCAAATCATACCTGAGCCTGAGAGGAAATGACACCGACGTTGACATAGTTGATAAACGTTCCTTCAGTCAAAAGACTTCACCTGCATTAGAATTACCACGTCAATTCAACTCTGCAGACATGAGCCAGCGCACCTGACCATAGACGGATAGAAGCACATACTGTGTGATCCCGATGCGGCAGCTCCGCCTTCAGTTCATTTGCGGGAAGTCATGATGGAGACAACACGGATACATTTGCGGGGAAGACTTCGCTACTAAATCGCTTTAATGCCACCCTGCCATAACGAACTTGAGGAATGTCTTGTGGATCTCTATTCGCCGAGTGACCTTAGCTAACCAGAAAGGTGAGCTATTGCAATCTGGACTGAGCAAGAGAGTTCGCTGGTGTGTGATCATTCAGTGCCTAGACGGACCAACGAACAGTTACAAACCGGACTGAGCAAAGGAGCTTAGGCGGGCGCAAGAGACGGTACTGTTAAAGATATTTGACTGTATGTATTGATGCGAGTAACACTAGCGATAGAGGATTGCGAATAGAATTAGAAACCCAGTTGGCCCCGGCCAGATGCGAAGAGTATAGATACGGATGCGAAGAAAGCGATGCGAGAGAGTGAGAGGGAATAAGCGTGCGGTATCGATGCCATGGATATAAGGAAACGAAAGAACTTCTAGAGATGCGGAAGAGAAACGAGCGATAGATGAGCATGAGAATGGGGTCGAGAGCTTTTGTAAGGGGGGAAAGGTGTGCTGCAAAGTCCCAAAACGAGAAAGAGAAAAGCCGGAGTTCTATGGCGCGAGGAAAGAGGAGAGACGAGGGATAGAGAATGCATAACGATCAGACTTGGATCTTTGTTGCTTTTTGCTGGAGAGGAAAGATTAATATGGGTCTTTAATGAATATGCAGATATAGACGCACAGCTCTCCGCATCGTTAATTGGGGATCATTGGAGCCCGGAGAGTATGACGGTGCCTATGTGGCGACCATCAGTCATGCCATTGTAACTTCAATCAAACGTGGTATACTTACAGGCATGTAGGCAGAGGGTATAGATGAATGTGAGGACTTCGAGAGGACCTTTCTCAACTAGACGTAATGAACAATTACTATTGGCTCTCAAATAATACATTCAACACTCATTTACCTTGGCTTCACTCTCGGCGGCTCGTTGCGCTGACATCGAACTTGGATGCAGCGATACGGAGTCGACGCTTTTAGCTTGGGGTAATGATGACAGCGAGCATGCTAAGCTTGGCAGAGCTATGAGCTGCTCGTGTGCGAGGGACCTGCTCGATGTGGTGGAACGAGAGGAATTAGAAGTAGGTGCTTGAGAAGACATGATGTTGATGCGGTTAGAAGAGAGTTCAGGGTATGGGGCGCAAGAATGTGGGTGGTATACGACAAGTGAGGAGGTATAGAAGGGTAGCGCGTGCTGAACTGGCAAACTGACGCAGAGATGGTACGCAGGGTGAGGAAAGCGAACATGGGAGGGGGGAGTGGTTTTATATATGCCAGGGCCCAGAATCTGTTCGGCTTGAAGTGAAATCGGGAATCTAGGACGTTGCGAAGGCTTTACACGAGTTTTGGGTGGCTGATGGGCCAATCAGGGCAACATGCTTGCGGTACTTAGCGGCAGATTCTGATCCAAATCCTCCGAGCCGCCCACTGTGAGACTCGGCCTCCTTCCCGGTCGAGTCCATCCGGAGGAAAATATTATATGCATCGTGACAGTTTGCGTTCTCTCACGACATTCTCTAGCAACAAGAATATGATAAGATTGCTACTTGTGTGAAGACAACGGGAGTCGCATGTGTCCATTTTCTCTCAATGCCCAAGAAATGCAAGGGCACGCGGAAGCCGTCGTACAAGGTCGTCTCGTCTCGATCTCACCGAGTGGATAGATCTATACGTACAACACCAGTCGGTCGCATTGGCACCCGCAGAAGGGACATGATGCAAGCATTCTCGAACCTCTCAGGCCTTCTCTCGCAGGATGGGAATTCTACTTCCACCTGACTTGCATTTTCACCGAACGTCATCGCAAACCAAACTTCAGTCCTCATGTTGCCTTCCATCACGTCTAAACCATTCTTGTTCGTCTTGCTCGCACATTCCCCTGAGGGTGGTCGCTAGCACTTGCTGTATCTGCTACACAAGATCAGGAGACCAGACGGCGCTCCGCCGTTGTATGTTGCCCGGTCTCCTCTATCGCGCGCCACACTCACACTCATGGGAATCAAAAGACAATCCGTAGCAAGTTTGACATATTACTGCAGCTATGTCGTAACGTGTTGACTACCACCCCGCCGTCGACCATTTCATGCCTTCTCTTTCCGCGGCCTTCACCAACGGCCACAAAAGGCAAACCGTGCGACTCCTGAAGCTTGTATGAAGGAAATGGTGAGACTTGGCACTAAACCCCTTCAATAACTCTGCCGGATCGAGCAACATGCGAGTTGCACCCTCGAATGACAATAGGTTGCGCACAACAGTCCAGGCTCGACTCTCCATCACCCACAATTATGCGAGTCACCTGCTCAGGAGTGCAATGCCTCTGTCAATCGGTATCTTTATTGTATCTCATCTGTAAGTACTCGGCATCCATGGCTTGTGGGATCCCACCGAGAAGCGCGCGGGTATTGTGTGCTTCTCTCATCGTCAAGTTAATCCGAGAACCCGATTCATCCTCTATCTCTTTTATTCCCTAAACAATGGGATCCTGCCTTTTTCGGCCCCGTCTCGGTCTCAGGCGATCAGTCTGCTTTGCCGGATGCAAGTTGGCCATGCACAGTCTTGTTACTCTCGGTCTCCGCAGATCCCTTCTGCTGCTCTCCTATGGTTTACTTTTAGTCCTGGCTATGCACGAGTCTGTTATCGTGCATTGTCACTTGACTGATTGTTGTTGCGCTCAACATCATGAGTATGGTGATGTCCCTTTTCTTATTCGCTCAATCTCTGAAATGCTCATCAATTTCATGTCTGGTATTCCCGGACTACGCAATCCCCCGGGAAAAGCAAAGCTTCACTGGATGTCCATGTTTGTACAAGTTTTTTCCCTCCATATGTTTCGAGTCCAGGCTTTGGGTCTCACTTACCATAATATCAATCAGTTTCTCACGTATTCCTCTTATCCATTTCCTCGCAACAGAGTCTGCTGACTTGCTGAATACCGGCTTAGGCTCGGCACTCGCGCTGCCATAACATTGAGACCTGCGGTGGCTTTCAATGTTGACTTGCAAATGTCGCATTAAATACGATGGATCTAATGGCCAGTGAACTCGGTACTCGGCTTCTCTAATGCCTTGATGCAGGGGTGCCAATGTCCAGCCGGAGACAGTGTCTGGATATGTTCTCAGGTTGTTCTCGATAACCGCATGGTTGCAGAGATTTAGTTATCCATTCATTTATCTTAGTGAGTGATCCGTTCGTGTAATGCGTATCTGAGACGAACAGAGCATGCAATCCCGACCAAGCATACGATGGCCGTCTTCATTCGTCATTCCGTCCCCGCCACATGAAATACAACGTGTCAACATAGGGGAATGACGCTGCCGCCAATTGCACCCAGTTCATGGCATCACGCACCGAATAACAACGCCTGGTTCTGTATTGACTTTCTTGTACATCCATCGCGCGCTGAGTGTCGGTTGCGTCCGAAGTTGGCCGTCTCACAGCCTTACCCTAATTCTGACCACTCAGTCCAAGTAGCGGCGGGAAGCTACGCATCATCATAGGAGGACATCTAGCTGGGATTGTAAGCCTACGCTCCGTGAACTATGTTTACTCCTGTGAATAGTTCCAAGGCATAGGAGAGACACCCTCTTACTCCATTTTGTATCTGAGCTTGCGCGACATATCGGCGCGATGCACATTCATTGTAACTTCCGCATAGACCGGATGAGGTCGTCGGACGGAAATCTGATGGGTAACTTGTTGATACATCTAGTACACGCCTAGTAAGCCAGTCTAATCATGCTTTCTCAATTGCTCTTGCCTCGTTAAACAGAGACGTCCATATGTCCACGGGGATATCCTGAGCTGCGCCAATACAACCCTTCAGTTCATTCAGTCAACCTGGACGTCCGATCCCAAGGCAGCGTTTGCAGCATGTTAATCAAGAGCTTGGACGCCGTCATAAGCTGGCAGTCGCTGGCGAGCCTCGGCCCAATCTATAGTGCCTTGGACAAGCTCTGTCACAACAGCAATAACCTCGTCAATAGGACCAATGAGCTGTTCAGTAGTGTCACGTTCCCTGCAAGAAGATCGCGTCAGACAGGTTCTCAGAAGCATGTAAAACATCACGCATGACGCCCCCATTGAAAAATGAATGGGGAACCGGCGGCAGGACGCCACGACTAAATGGTAAAGAGACTCACCGAAGCGTCATAGTCCCTTTTTGCAATGCTGCCAATATAAAACGGTTGTCAGCTCACTCGCACGAAGGGCACACGACCTGGGGTAACCAAGGTCTAGAGTTCTAGGCGACTACTCACATGCAAAGTCAAGTGTCACGCCATATGGTGTCCCCAATGCATCGTTGCGAGCGTAGCGTCTCCCGATGCTTTGATTAGAATCATCTACACTAGAGAACACGCCAGACTTGCGAAGCTTCGACGCTGCGGCGATATGAACATATATGAGTAATTGAATAGACGGGAGCCCTGTTTGGCCTTTGACTCACAGACGTCACGAACAAGATGATCGAACCGTTTAGTACTCAAGGGAACGATGAGCACTTTTGTGGGTGCGATTATAGGCGGCAATGAGAGGACCTAGATCGGGTAAACGAGATGGTAAGAGGCCGAGGTGAGAACTTGGCGACATGCATGGCGTTGGAGCGACTATGAGCACATACCACACGTTCGACATCCTGTTCTCGACTCCAGAAACTATGTTCGAGCAAGCAGTAAAGGATGCGGCCCAGACCAAAAGACGGCTCAATGACGTTTGGTGTATACTCACGAACTGAATAGTAACAAGTCAGATGATAGCCTGCGCATTCCATACATCACTTACTTGACTGTTTGATCGTTTGTCTTTCAATGGTCAGGAGGTCAGGGGTGAGTTTGAACTCCCGGCCTTCAGAGGAAACAATCGTGGCAACACTAGAATTGATGTCACACGGGTCAGCGTGATGTGAATCTTAACAAGCCGTAAATGAAAAATACGTACCCCTGGGCCAGTTCGCCCTTGAGCTTCTGCAAGCTGACCTCATCCATGTCATTGACGATGTTCTGGATCACAGGCAACTCCTTCCCGAACATCTTGCCGAGCGTCCTCTTGTTGAATTGGACGACCTCCTTCTCGATCACGATGGGCTCCTCCAACTGTTGCGAAGCAATTAAAGGAATCCCGGTCTTCTTGCTATGCACTGTCAAATCGTACGCCGACCGGTCAGCACAGCCAACACATTCCGTCCAACCGGTCGAGTTGTGAATTTCCGCATCCCAGCAGTCGCAGGCATAGTGGGCCATCTCATTTTTCATGTGTTGGCGGAACCGGAGCCTCGCAGGATTGATGCCGATTTTAGTGAGGAACAAGTATATGCGTGCGACAAAGTACCCGAGGGTCTCGTTCGCAATGATGCCTTTTTTGACAGCTTCGCCCACAGTCATTCGGGTCACTTTCGTGTTGCCTGACGACTGAACATCTCGAGGTAGAAGATCGAGTTCCACATCGCGCACCTCGTGGAAGCGTTCGTGAGTCTTATCTTCCGGGTCGACATAGTGCTCGATCTCCGCCATCGTGAATTCTCGCACACGAAGGAGACCGGCTCTGGGAGAGATCTCGTTTCTGAATGACCGCCCGATCTGTGCGGACGCGAATGGAAGTTTTCCATTGTTGAAGCTGAGCAGACGAGAGAAATTCATAAAGTGACCTTGTGCTGTCTCGGGTCGGAGATAACTGATCACAATTCAGTTGCATTCGGAAAAGAAAGAGAACATGTCTCATAGAACATACCCTGGATGCTGACCGGTGGGACCGATGCTGCTAGCAAACATGAGGTTAAACGGTTGTGGTTCTGACACCTCATTGTCGGTGTCGGGGTTGGTAATTTTGTACTTGCGGCAAAGTTCGCCAAGTTCTAGACCCGTATAGTTGTCCAGCTTCGGAAGGAATTTGTCAGTACAATGTCTGGTGCAAGACGCTGATCACCGTACCTGGGCGAGGATGTTTTCGTACTCTGCAACAACCTCATCCTCTAGCTTTACACCAACCTTCCCTTTCACCTTCTTCACCTTCTTCTTCTTATCTTTGTCATCCACCGGTGGTTGAACAGCGAGACCACGAGCTTCCTTGTCACCGGCAAGACGAGCCTCGAGGACGTTCTTAACTAGATGGTCGGCACGAAGGACATCGCCAGTCTGGGAGTCCTTGACCATCCAGTCCATGAACCGAGCCACATGACCGGAAGTCTCAAAGACGGGTGCAGGAGTCATGATAGTAGTGTCAAGCTCGAGCATGTGTTCTTCGATGATGAAGTGTTTTCGCCACTCATTGATGATGTTGGCCTGCAACGAAGCACCCGGGGGGCCATAGTCATACAACCCAGCAACACCTAACACAATTATTGAGATATCGAAAGGTGAATTTTGCTCAAAATGATGCACGTACCGCCGTAAATCTCGAACGCTGGGGCGTAGAAGAATCGATTAAGCAAAGTCCCCTCTAGCCGCTGCTTATCGAAAGGGAAAGCATCCTTCTTTACGGTGGTCGAGCTGCTCGCCATCCTGAAATGCAATCTGTAAAAACAGTGGTTGAAGACAAGATGAGATCTGACTCGAGAAGCCAAAAATCGCATCGAGTCCTCCAGAAAGGAACGACAGAGCAGAATATTGCACAGATCTAATCTAATCTTTCGATACATACACATAGATAAGATAAGATTGTCAGTGTATCGCAGTGCAGATTCTCCAGAAGCTCGGGTGGATCAATTATTTGAGAAATAGCAAGATGTTAACACATATTTTTGCAACAAGCAGGGTATATCCAATAAATATGTTACATAGACATACATGCAAATGTCTTCAGAGTCCTATTCTTCTATATGTCACAACCTTTTCCCCAATTTATCCTTCTTTGCTACCTGATCAGCAGTGCGCAAGGAGGAAGCAATATCCTTTGCAAGGCGCACAATGATGAAGCTCGGTACCACAAGCCAAAGCCTGAATCAAAGAAGGTGAATCACTTTGCCGTTCCGGTGGAGAGGTAGGAACTTCTTACCCATTGGGAATGATCCAGTAGACAATCAATGTCTTGAGGTCATTATGGCCGACTGCACAACCTGCAGAAGAACGGGAGCAAACAGTTCAATTGTTTCGTATAGTCGGTAAAAAGCCTCGGGACAACTTACCACCGCAATAATATTCCTGAGCCCAGTAGAGTACAGTCTTGGACAAGGTCATGACTGCGCTTGCAAAACCAAGTAGTGGTGCAACCGGAGACTCGACAATGTGAGCAAGATATAGATAACCAATGTTCATGAAATTCTCCACAATATTCAGCAATGCTATTGAAGAACGGTAATATTAAATCTGGGATATAAAGTCAGTGCAATGAGCTCACATTGTGCATTAGTAAAGCCATCACCGCGTTCCAGCGCATGTGTGCCGTAGACCTGAGTAAAAAAGACGTCGGAAAATACCGTCAGAGATAATATGGACAGTGACCTACATAGTCGACCTCTTGGTAAAGCTCATAAGGCTTCCAGATCCAATGTAAGTCTCCCCCCTTCATGGAACGGGGACTATGAGATTTTTCTTCGCTCAGTTGCAATCCACAGGGATGGGTTGCTGCGCAATGGCTTACCGCAAGAAGCAATAACCAGCATCCCAGAAAATGACCGGAATAGTAAGAAGGAACCTTCACCGCAACGTCAGTCCAGTTTAAAACTCGACCAACGTTGAGAAAAAATACCAGAGGGAAATCCAAGTGCGTGCGTTGACAGCCATCGTCCACGACCAGAGTGCTGGGAGAAGAAAAGCTGTTTAGCTCTTTCCATCACGCTGCGACGGTGAGAAATGTTAGGCATACCGTGGGAACCTGCCAGGGCTCCGTTTGATGATAGTTTTGAGTTCTGTTCTGTCTTCTGACCTCGGGACTCCTCCTTCTCCGTCCATTCGTGTGAGCTCGTTGTGCTGGACGAAGAAACTGTTGATGAAGCCCGTGCGTCGAGTACTGACTCCCACTCGTCAATCTCTACGCTCTCCGGTTGTCTATTATGTTGGAATTTCGTCGAGAGGTGTTCTTGCATTTCACGTTCGAATCTATTCGCAAGGCCCGCGGAAAGGAGTGGTGTGTACATACTGACGCAGAGGAGACAACAGGGTTATAAACAAGAAGGATGAAAGGTAGAAATGTGCAGTGGCCGAGTTGAAAAGAACGCGTTCCAATGGAGACAAAGCGCGGAGACCAGCCGACGTGAGAAGCCATGAGGACGACGCGGGGCATGGCCAAATCATAGGTGTCTGCGTATCTTTGATCTAACCGAGACTTCTATGAAATACGGCTAAAGAACTGATCGTAACTTCACGATTCTGCAAATCGTAACTACTTGAAGATCTCAGATAATCCCATCCTGGATGCCCTGATAAGAATATGTGCTACGAATCTATTGGTTGAGAGATAATGCTGCGTCTCGTCCCCGTCTATGTCTATTCAAAGTCTATGGAAGAATGCAGAATCTCATCATATTACCATTCATTATCTACGTCGAAACTGCCCGTTTGTTGTCTATTTGTTTGATTCTTGACTCAGTGACTTGTTGCCGAGGAAGTATTGCGCTCGACTCTTATGGGAACATTGTCTCTGCATCCTTGGACTGACTTCTACATGACGCCCTGGTAAGCCTGCTGGAGTTGAGTGGCCTGGATCGCTGTCAGTGTTTTATCAGTTATCGAACCTACATAAGAAATCCAAGGGGGGACAAACCCATGATTGGGCAGATAGAGCTGAAGTCGGCCATACGAGCTGTGGTTTGGGCAACGCAAGAAGTCAAATCATTCAAGTACGCATCTCCACCAGCCTGTCCTGTGCCCTTGGCTTTGACTCTATCGATCTCGCGAATGAAGACTTGGCCAATGGCTGTCCACAATATCTAGCAATGCAAATGTGGTGAGTAAAAATCCCGGCGTTCACTTTGTGACTGGACTTACTGCCATGATAGGATCGATGTACCCCAGTTCGGCGGCACAAATGTCGCGAATGACAGCGAGTGCAGCCCTCGCCGCGGCCATGCATGAATCGCGGGACCTTCTCTCCGTGCTTGCGAAATTGACATGTAACTGAATCAGAGCTACGCGAGCAAGCGTTAAGGTGACCAGGTCATCTCGATTCCGAGGGTTGATAGTCAAGGTACTAATGAAATTTGTGACAAAGCCGTCGAAGGCGAGACATTCGTCCTGCAAGGTGGCTATGTTCGGCATCCCTGGGAAGAGCGAGGAGATTGTAGCTTCGTATTACAAGAATCAATGGTGACAACATACCATCTCTATACTGTGAAGCCATCCATGAAGCCCGACTATATAGAATCGTTGCTTGAGCTCGGAGAGCAAGAGGAGCATGTCCCATATCGGGTGTGACGACCAATCCTGCAAGGAAAGTCTGAACTGTATTGCTGCTAAATACGTTTGCCAGCGCACCCTTGATAATTTCAGTGAAACTGTGTCACAGGAATAGAAGGCAGGCGATGGGGCAAATGTACATACCCGTTCGTAAGCTTCCATGGCAAGAGGCCAAGGTGTATCGATCTGAATGCCCCATAACCCGTCCTCCGAAATGGCAGAGGGAGACTTCAAAGCAACGGCCCAAGTCTTATCCAAAACATAAACCGCCCAGAAGGCGTTAATTCTCTCGCCTTCTTCAATACCATCTAAAGGATCTACCAGAGCGGCAGTCTGAGTACTGACCATAATCATAGCCGAACCGCCTTCCATACTAATTACTTGGTTACTGCGAATGAGATTGAGCCTGCAGCTGATAGCTAGAGAGATAGCGGCACTGGTGTGATATCTGCCCTCGAGAAAGCGTCCATTGGAGAAGTAGTAATTAGCTAAGAGAACCTCCGCTTGAATGCCATAGAGGATGTCTTGACCACGTTGAGCAGTGGCGGAGACGAAGAGTGAGCCTGAGACACCGTGGACAGCCAGAGCGAGTAATTCGGCTTCGCGACCACGCAATGTTGGGTCAACAGAGAAGTGGCTGCCCCAAACGTAGATCGCGTTCAGCAAAGCTTCTAAGAGAGAACCACGAGCTACTGGACCGTAGGCCGCCATTAGAAGTCGAGGCGCGTGGAGAAAGAATCCGACTTGTGACGCATGCAGTACGAACGCATCGATCCTATTCACCAAAAGATCATGAGCAGAATTTGAGGCGAGAAAGTGTTGAACTTACAGGCGGGATTTGTCTTGAGTGGTGATGGGGTTGGAAAAAGGCGGAATGTTACCTATAGGTCTAGTTACAAAACGTTTACATAGAAATGCCAACTGAGACCGACCTAAGCCGCCGGTCTGCGCAGCCATGAAGGCAGAATCTCTTTTCCCTGCACCGCTGGGCAGTGCGATACTGTCCAGCTGTCCAAGCTGAATGCTGGGTGCATGAGGGTCGCGAAGTTTGACCGACGGACGCTCATCAGGATTCTCAAGTTCACGAATGCGAGCTTCAAGCAGAGCAATGTTCTCCTCGAGCATCTGAGTCCTGGTAAGACCGGGCGCCGTGGTATACTCGCAGTCTTCTTCTCTCCGTTTGCTCACGCACTGGCCGCAGGCGGGCTGATTTCCATCGCACCTCTGTCACAAAGGTGATTAATACTCCGAAGTAATGAAGGAAATTTGTCTAATAAGTCAGAAGGCGCTCACCATTTTGCGTTTGCGGCATGGAAGACACGCAGCACCTCTGGAACAAGGATTAGTGCCTATGTGTTCCTGGAAGAGATCCATACGAACCTGGGTAAGGTGCTACCACCTTCAGTAGGTGAATTGGCGAATCCTTGCGATTGAGTAGACATTGTCGGTTCGAATTTACGCTGCGTAGGTGTCTAGGTATTTTGAATGACGTACCATAATCACCAATGTTGTTTTATATCGTTGCGCTAACATCTCCTCGTCATACCTTCGTGGTTGGGTCATGGACAATCGGAACAATGACGGACTCCTTGTGTAGGTTCTCTAGACATTTTTGACATTCGGGTAGGAGATGGAAAGGGGATGGTGGGGAGTCCAATGCCGTTATTGGTGCTTTCGTCGATGGCTATGGTATAATGAGGGCGTCATGAGGGGTTGATATCAACAGACATCGCGAGTATCGGTAGCATGCTTCGTCAGCTGTGGAACGAAGGCAAGAACAAAGAGGAAGACTAGTTCCTGTTCGCAAACCTCTAACGTCGAGTCATCCGTTTCGAAGTGTCGGCAAGGCCATGGTCAAACGCTGGTAACAAGTTACATCCCCGAGAACGATAGAATAGTTCACATGCTGTGGTGTTCCGGAGAGACGAGGGTCTAGAATAGATGACCAGTTATACAATGTCCTCACATACAGTATATGTCAGCGTACATTAGTATACTGCATAGGGATCCAGCAGCGCAAAGCCTCTTTGTTGTAGTAAGAGACTTGCCCGATTTGGAGAGAGCATCACGTCGGGATTCGGGAGGAGACCTGTTTTTAGTAAGAATCTAGCAGTTACATCGTGACCCCCGCATCGCCTACATTCACCTAAATATACTGGACTTACCCTTCTAAGGATATTCAGAACGTTGCTGAAGGATGTGCAGGATATCCTTCAGAGCACATCGGCTCACAAATGAGTAATGCGGTACTATGTATCGACAGCGCTCTGCCTTAATGAGGACCGGATTACAATGTTTACTCATTGAAACCACCTAGATGTGCTGAAGTATGATGAGGAACGACAATTCCTTTGGACGAAGAATGCTCAAAGATGTCCTCAGAGCAGAACGTCGACGGTCATCCAACGTTCAATAAGTCATCTACGGCAATCACCGAAATGCGCGATCATATCCAAAAAGGCAACACCGATGGTATTGTTCCCACGCCTTCTAACGTAGTGTTTGCATCATTTCTTCGTTTCCAACATTTTCGTGCTAACTTTCAGCTCAAGCTTCAACTTCACTGTCGGTCTCTATACAGTCCGGGGGATGCAAACACCTATACAGCCTGCTGATGGATTGTGCTTGATGCTGACAAGACTTCTGTAAGCTCTCCACGATCACATGTCTGCTGACGTGAAGTGGTTCGGCCAGATGCAGTCAGCACATACAACGTTTTGGAGTCTTCGTTCCGTTTTGATTGGCTAAACAAGATATGGACTCATGAGTTCTAAGACCTAGTGGCCTGGATGCTTGCAAAGGATGGTGGTGCGAGTTTCGAAGCCACCATAGAAATCCGAGGAGAAGTGTAATCTGACTGGTCAGGAGCTCGAGGCATTTCGTCTGTTCCCGCCTGCCCATGTACAATATATATACGACCGTGGAACGTCTTGGGTTCTTCTGGCTTTTGTGGTCGATTCTACCGCAACAAATTCATCGTACTCTGTCTAAGATGTCTGGAACTGATATTAAACCACCCCTTCCGCCTTTCACAGCTGAGACCGCGCTCAGGAAAGTGAAAATGGCTCAGGACCTATGGAATACTAGGGACCCTGAGAAGGTCGTTCTTGCGTACAATGTATGTATCTCGCCTTCGATCGCTCGAGACCCTCATTGTACTCCTGCCTCGGATATTGCTTACTTCTTTGTTGATGTAGTCTGACACAATCTGGCGAAACCGCGATCAGTTCATGCGCGGACATGAAGAAGTTAAGGAATTCCTTCGTAAGAAATGGGAGAAGGAGAACGGATATAGGCTAAGGAAGGATCTCTTTGCATTCACGGATAACAAGATCGCCGTTCAGGTACGTGCTTCTGCGGTGGATCATTGTTCGGAAGATGAATGGAGAGTTCATATGTACTTCTTCGCAGTTCTTCTATGAATGGTTCGACACTAAGGAGGACGGTAGCAGGCAATGGTATCGTACGTATGGTCTCGAGGTAAGCATAATTCCGATTCATGTCCTCTTCTCTTCACTAGTTTTAAATTTGTGTCAGGATTGGACTTTCGGTGATGACGGCAGGATGCGTAAACGCCAAATGAGCGGAAACGATGTCCCTATCACGGAAGAGGAGCGTTGGTTCAAAGACGGCGTTGATGTCAACTCTCTGGACATCTCAGAGAAACATCTCTGACTGTTCTTTCCGGCCTTCTCGTGTTCTAAGCATGTTTTGTAATGTTATTACAACGGCATCCACCACACAATATCACTAAAATACTACCGATTAGGTCGCAGTTCGCTCTAGTTCGCCCGAGATGCCACTCTTGCCACGTCGTGCATGTCGTGCATGTCTTGCAGGTCTGGTTACAGTTACAGTATAAATGTTGCTGACAATGCAGAACAACGTCGCCGCGGATATACTCAACTCATTTGTTGGCAATTTCGGATGCTCTGGGTACCGCTAGAACAATGTTGCCCTTCCGGCCCGTCACCTAATCCATTCGATCGTTTGCCTAGATCTTCCTGTCCCTGTCTTTTTATTATATACCAACCCATAATCTTCTGAACGCTTTCTGGTCTATCGAAACCACAAACCAAAGAAACGTCTGCCATCAGCAGTTGCTTTACATCCATTTTCAATTACGCTGGCGAAGGTCATCAAATAAAGGAAAAGCGTGTACGAAGAAGCTCTCGGCAAAGAAGCGTCATTTACGTCTTCCTGTCGTAGGCCAAGACGCCCTCTGCCAGAATCCACATTGACGAGGCAGACCACTGGCAGCTCCAATGAACATCTCGCGACCGTTTGCACGGAGAGAAATCCTGGTTATGATTGCGTTCTTGTGGGGAAACAAGCTTTGTGTTTTGTCATAATTAGCGGGCAGAAACTGTCGGAATGCGGGCGAGCGTTCCATCTGCGTTTGTTCCGCGCTGCTGCCACGAAGTCGCTAAACAACCTGTTTTGGGTTCACGCTTCCGTCCCACCGGCAACTCATTGCGATAAAAAGTCAAGATGCGCTTGAGTTTCACTATCTCTTTTTTGCCCTGTGTCTATCCAAAACTCCGACAGCTCACCTGAGCACTTTAAGATCACTTTTGCTGACCCTCAGTCCTTCGTTTGACCCTCCTCTTGCCATATTCTGCGTGTGGCGTCAACCCGCCCGTCCGCTTTCCCGACTTTACAGATCTTCTTCGAAGCCATCCATATCCCCTGGTTTCTGACAGCGCGAACGTTATTCGCGTCCTTTCGACTTGAGTTCCAACACCCACGTCCGGACTTCCGCTTTTCCTCTCTTTACATTTCCTCTGAACATTATGAACTCTGTCTTGGTGGGCCTCCTCGTCATCACAGGTCTCTACCTGTGGTCGAAGCATAACAAGTCCAAGAATCTCGTCTACCCTCCTGGTCCGAAGGCGCTTCCCGTTGTCGGAAACATCTTGGATCTGACTGCTCGCGAGCTATGGCTCCGTGCTACACAATGGTATCATCAATATGGTGAGCACATCGCCGAGTCGTTCTGCTCATCGCGCCACATTTCATTTCCAATACATCATACGTCGTGCAGGTGAAATTGTGTACCTTCATGTCTTCGGTCAAGGACTGGTCTTCCTCAATACACATGAAGTCGCGCTCGATCTCATGGACAGGAAAGGTTCCATCTACTCTGACAAGCCCGCCCTGGTCATGGCTGGTGAATTGTACGTCTTCGCTTTTTTGTCATTTCCTATCGTCGAAAGGGTCTCATGTCGTTCCGTTTCATCCGGTTCAGATGTGGTTGCGAGAACATGGTCGCTTTCACTCGCTATGGTGACCAGTCCAGACGCCAGCGTAAGCTGATGCAACAAGCTCTTGGCACCTCCGCTATTAAGACCTATCAACCTTTACTGGAGTACCAAGCCCACGAGCTTGTCAGAGCTGTTCTTGCGGACCCAAAGCATCACTTAGACTACATTATTAGGTACATCATAAATCTTGAGTTTGGTTCCTGGCTTCTTCGGTCTTATTGTTTGGCACACCGTCTATTTCAGATACGCCGGGTCATTGGTTTTACATGTCGTATACGGCTACCGTGTCACTTCAAAGGATGACAAGTATCTGCACCTTGCCGAGGAGTGCATTGACATCCTGTCGAACCGGATCGCATCTGGTGGTGGCATCTGGCCTGTCGATGTCCTCCCGATTCGTACGCCATTTCTTTCATTTGCCACGATTAATTAATTGATCATCGTTTCCGATTCACAGTAAAGTACCTACCGAACTGGGCACCTGGTTCAGGATTCAAGCAGAAAGCTGTCGAATGGCGTGCCAAGATGGAAGAGTTCGTCGACAAGCCTTACGAACATCTTTTGCAGCGCATGGTAAGTTATTTCTTACTTCTTCTACTGCGCGCAAATAGGTTGACGTTCCGTTTCATATGTGTAGAGGGATGGCACTGCTCTGCCTTGCTTCTGTAGCATGCTTCTGGAAGATATCCGTTCGAAAGATCACGTCATCGACCCTCAACGTGACTTTGACATCCGCTGGACGGCCAACTCTATGTACTCTGCCAGTCTCGATACCGTACGTATAGTAACATTCCTGTCTTCATTCATCATGATATCATTTGACATACCTCCTACAGACGATCACAGGTATCCAGCACTTCATCCTTCTGATGTTACTCCACCCCGAAGTTCTGCAGAAAGCTCAGAAGGAGATGGAGAAAGTTATTGATCAGAACCGACTTCCGACTTTCAGCGACCGCGCGGATTTGCCTTACCTTGAATGTATCATGAGTGAGGTCTTGCGTTGGGGTACCGCTGTTCCGTTGGGTACGTACTTCGTCTGAACTAAAGAGACTGAATGGGGGTTTTTAATTGTTTGCTTTATCATTAATCAGGTCTTCCTCATCGCCTCATGGAGGATGATGTCTACAAGGGCATGTTTATTCCGAAGGGTACTTTGGTGAGTATTTCACGGTTTATTTCATGGAATTGCAATGGTACTCAGGTCCTTTTGCCCAGGTGTTTGCAAACGTTTGGTAAATATTTTTCTTGAGAACATCGAATCGTGTCTTCAAAACTAACTTTTGACCAATAGGAACATTCTTCGCAACGAGGAGCTCTATCCTGAACCCAACTCGTTCAAACCCGAACGTTACCTTGTTGAAGTCGACGAGGCTACTGCCAAACGTCGCGATCCTCGTAACTACGTCTTTGGTTACGGCCGAAGGTGAGAATCATCCAACGTTCTCACTTCAGCGTCATTTTCTGAAAGGTTTGTGCAGACGCTGCCCCGGCTCGCACCTCATCGAATCGTCACTCTGGATCGTTATGGCTACCATGATTGCTACTCTTGATTTCTCAAAGGCCCGAGACGAGCAGGGTAACATCGTGGAGCCTATCGTCAAGTTCGAAAACTCCGTATTCCGGTACGCTTAGTTGTAAAGGAAACACCCATGAGATGTGCTAATTTCTTCCAGAACTCCCACACCATTCAAGGTGGACATCCGTCCCAGGTCGGAACAGGCACTCAAGATTGTCAGCCAGGTTGCTGAGAATGTCGTCGTCTTATGATGTCAGTTATGAAAGCTTTTCATTTATTCTCGTTCGAAAGCCAGAATATGGGCGAAGAATTAAATATGGGAAAAAGGCAGAGGTATGGTACACAGTTGCGTAATCAATCAATGGACTCTTTTCGTGTTCTATGTGTTATTCGCACTGCTTTGTCAGCTCACTTTGAATTCGCTGTGTATAAGTATTGTTGTTCCGGTCCATCATCAAATACAGGGGATACCTGAAGGTGTCGTTAACGTTCCATTACGATGTCTGATACGACCCTGAAGGTGCCTACCGCTCCTTGTGATTGACCCTTATCTGAGAGGTTCAGCCTCTATTATGATGAAGGATGGCAAGTGCACGGAAAGCTGCTGCCTCTCTTGCATCATATCTGGTGAGTCCCGTCCCTCTTCCACACTCCCGGCCATAGACTGCGATACCCTCCTCAGCTCAATCACCAATACCCAGAGTCCGAAGCTTACCGAGAACAGTGGATTCCCAAGTTCCTGCATGTTGTGTTCCGTGTCTCTGGTCAATCCACTGCAATGCATCTCCCCCATAGGAACTCTGTACAAGGTTGTGCAGCTGTTGCCTCCATTGACCCCAGTTGCTCCCCGCCGACTCTGTGGCTCCTCCATTACTGCCACCACTGCTGCTGCCACCGATTGAACCTTGCAGTCCAGGAGCGGTACCAACGTTCGCTCCTGCTTGTTGTGTACTTGGGGGAGGTGCACCGAAGTTGGACATGGCGGCTGATAACAAAGCCAGTATGTGTTCACCTTAGGTCCACGTATATTAAGCACGTTGTCCATGCCATGATAGAGTTCAAGAGAATGTTCACACACCACTGACCGTTCAAATAACGCACTACTACCAAGATTTAGGAAACAGGCACGAAATCGATAAGTTCGCCGAAGTCGAGTTATTGTATCTGACAGCTATACTACAAACGCCTCTGTCAGGTGCAGCAGAAGCAAAAGCTTGAAGCTGAGGAAGTGACATTTGGTTCAGTTGCTCCATGCACCGGGAAAGCACAGTGTACGACAAACTAATATAATAGCCATTGCGACCCATAGATGATCACTCCACGGGCCGTTTCGCTTCGCCGTGGAAAGATAATGGTTCCTCATCGTGAGGCTCGATGGAGTCGAATTACCCGGATGGTAGCTTTTAAGAGCCCTGGCAGTTTTGAGAGGTCCAAGGATGTCCTGCAGCACACCGCGACCCTCAAGCTCATCCTACAAGAATATATTTGGCGGAGTGCTCTGTAGTCCATTATGACCGCGTTTGATCCCACAGAAAATGTCGTTTGAGATAAGTAGGAGATCTCTAGTTGAAGAGTCTTTGAGGTAACTTGGGTGAGATGGAAAATCGAAGGAAACAGATATTCAGTAACTTACTTGAAAACTGTCATATAAGAAGGTCTGCCCTTCGAAAGTGGAGCAGTGCCAGGAGTGAGTCCAAAGGCTCCCGCTCGCGGTGAGAATCATGACGCTAGACATGTCATACGGAACACATAAACATACAGTTGGCTGGAAATGCGTTAAGCGAACCTGGGACAGAGATAACAGGTCAATATCAAGTCGATCGTGGGGAGGCGCATCAAATTGGTCACGGTGGTGAGTAACAAAACCAATAGTATGTGCTCTTGATGTACTCACCTGAAGTCACCGAGTAGCCTAATAGTACAAATAAACACAGATACACTGCCGACGTCCCAAGTAACGCACTATCCAAACCCAGAAAAAGACACTTGCCCGATAAAAACAAGAGACTCAGGAACAGATAAAGTGATGTTACGCTTCTGTACTAATAAAATAAACCTATCGTGAAAACGGAAAAGCGAAACATGTGAAATACAAAACTTAAAAGCCTAATAACCGTCCATACTATTACAAAATAGCATTCGTAGGATCCGAGGGTGACAGTAAGTAAATACAGAAGATAAGAAGAAAATATGAAGGGAGGTGGACGGCGATCTGATAATGTCAGCGAGGAAGTTACGTCCTGACCTGCATACTATTACACATGTCAAAGTAACATGACAATCTTCTCGAGATATCTTTGAACCATAAATCTCTGGATGAATGAACAGCGATTAGAACAGGCCTATGAGTCAAAACATGTCAATCACTTACTGTAGGGTAGAGATAGGTGACTCAGGTTCTGCGTAAGCGTCCTTTAGCTCGGAGGTAGCTTTGCAGTACCATGCCCCAGCCTCCTACACACAATCGAAATTTATTCTAAAAACTGAGGGAGAGGTTGACTTAAGACGAACCTTCATCTGAGCTAGGCTGCCTGGCAGGAATTTCGGGCAGCTCAATGAGGAATCGCCTGACGTATTGGAAGTCGTCTTCAGAGGCATAAGACGTTGGCGTATCACATCTCTGGAGATGATTCGAAGTGTCAACGTCGTGAATAGCGCGAATGCGCCCCTGAGCGGCGCGGAAGAACGTCTGACAATGGAGACTGATAGACGTTAACTTGGACGGACTGTCATTCATTCAGGACAGTAATAGTGAAATACCATTTGATCTCCCCATCCAAGTCAATTGCAGGTGGAGGATTGAGCCTGTGACAGCGTGGGCACCGGCGACGATCTATCCGTTGGGAACGTAGAATTGCGCTCATGTTGATCGTGGCTCCAGCTCTTAGTGCCACATCCCATGGTCTTTGACTTGTCCCGTTGTCAGACCTGAGGACCACGTCATAATCTCCCCGCCTGATGAATGACCAGCCAGCTCGGGACTCAAAGTACAGTTGCAAGAATTTATGGAACACCTGGTGAAGATATGTTCCTCAGTTCTTTTTACTTCATGTAACGAGGATAAATTATCATGGAACTTACTACTTTATTCAGGCAGAGTTCGATAGGAACGAATGTGACTTGATCGAGAATATCGACCAAGACAACGCTATGGGTTTGCGGCTGCGATGGAAGCCATGCATAACAAGGACTCTGGGCGAGGTCTAGTGAGATTTCTCTGCAGAATGCTATATCAGCATGAGCAATCCCTGTATACGAACGTCTACCTACAGGCCTGATAGGGACAATATCTGTGTCATGAGATTGCCCTGTTCCAACAGTTTCTTCCGTAAATTCGAGAGTTCTGCTTTGGCACAAAATGCCCAATGAAACGCTTGCAGTATCAAAAGAGGCCAGGTGGCAGAATTGAAGCTCTGCAGTCGAATCAGTAGCTCTTCGACGAGTCTGGTGGAAGTCGTTAATGCGTGTTCAATGGCATTCTTTGATGACTTCTGAATCTTCCGCGCTCGAGGGGAGAGCAGGACTGCTTGTATACAGTATAGGACCTCGACATAGATGTCAAGGAACTGTGCGAATTCGAGCACGTCCCTTTGAACTGACGCGCCGTCGACCAAGCAGTCCTTGAGTATGAGGGCTACCTCGATCAGAGTGACGATGTCGCCGAACGACCCAAAAGAAAACTGGGCTATAGCTCTAGGCATGGGGAAGATGGTAAACTGTATTCGTCTGCATGTAAGAAACTAATTATAAAGAATCATAGTACCGTCCGTTCAAGCAGAAGAGCGGTGGCTATCGATGTAAAGCCGAGGAAGCTGATAGATATGCACTGTCACCTGGTCGTAGACAGCATCGTAACCCTGTGTACGCCATATGAAATGCGTCAAAGTGAGTTACCTAGAAAATAAGCCAATCTTGAAATAGGAGGTTCAAAGTCGCACTAGTTGGGTATACTCGAGTATGTAAAAGGCAATACTTGAAAACCTTATAGACCTGGATAAAGATAAACGTTGGCTGCAGAATGAATAGACACATTGTCTCGGATGCTGATAAGCTATAACACTGTACCCGAGGTTCAGGGCATGGCTTTCGAGGAGAGACTTCAAGGGAGAAAGCTCGGGTGTAGACGCCGAGGGCCCAAATTTGGGCGGACTTGGAAATAGGAAGACGGCTGGGCGTGCTTTTGGGGACGTCCTCAGCCTCAGGTCTTTGTTCTCAACCACCATGTCTGACTCTTCGTGAAGTTTTCTGTTCATAGTATTCTGCGCTGCAGCGCTGTATAGCTGGTATTGTATCACCACGCACGAATTCGCACTTTCGTTCTTCGTCTTGGATGCCATCTCCATATAACCAACTCTATCATTTTGACCCTTGCTGACTATCTATCATGGCGTCCGGAACACAAGATGTTTCGGTGCGTCAAAACAGTACCAACCGCATTGGTGTCTTCGCTCACGCTTGCGCATTAGAGTGAAACCTCTTCCAGTTTGCTGTCACTGTCGATTGCAGCGGCCAGCGCAGCACGTATTCCTGTCAGCGGGGAGTCGCCTGCCAACCCCACAGTTGCTCCTAGTAGCTTCAATGCTCCTAGTCAGCTATCCACCTCTGGGCTTGGAAATAGTCTCACTGCTTCCAAACTTCACGCGCCGCCTAAGCACCGCCGGATGTCATCTACTGGAATCATGAAGCGCAGGCTGAGTGATGCACGAGAGGCCGCAGCCAGACCATCGTGGGTGTCTCGTACCTACATACTATAAACAATGTAATGTTTATACATTCTACAGTCTTGTAACCATCCAAACTGCAGCTGCAGCTTTGTCGTCACTCGCTACACTTTCACTATCCAGTTCACCACCGCCGGCAGGCCCCGCTCAACTATCGACTTCATTCGCGGCGGCGTCGGATGCTCTCAGACCTAACTCGACAGAGGTTACGTCGTCCGTAGACCTGTCAGTGAAGCAGGAGGACGTCGACCGCCAGGTTTCCCATGACAGCTCTGGCGCCGGTAAAGGTGAGCTTAGTGTAGGCGGTATCATTATCAAGAATGGTACTGGGAAGAAAAGGGGCACTATTTTCCAGTGTGAGAGCTGCTCCAAGGTCTGCATGGTTCTTCGCTGCATTGTATGTATGCTCAATTCAGTTTTAGATGTACCGTCATCCTTCTTGCCTAATCAAGCACCGTAAGTGCAAGTGACTTTCCTTTCTCGTGGATCTCAATACCTTCGTTCAGGCTGGGAACATTCTCCGCACTGGCGCGAGGCTTCCAAGTTCTTGCTCAGCAAGCATCAGCAAGTACAGTTGCTGGAGGGGAGTAATGAGAGACAAATTCTTGCTTACGTCAGCAATCCTAATGCGCAGTGTTTATTTCCAGGCTGCCGCCATTCTTTCCCACATTTCGCCTTCTGCTTCTGGCGGAACCTCCTTGCCTGAAGATCGCTCGTTATGGCCTTCTTTCCTCTCTGGCGGGACCATGCCCCCGCCTTCGTCGGCAACCGTATCAGCTAATGCTACGGTAAGGCAGAGTACTAGAGCATCTTCCCTTGAAGTGCGACCGGCGTTCCCGACGTCGAGCTCTGTACCTGCCAATTCCAGTGCTTCGCCTATGACTCGCGCGACATCGACCGGCCCCCGTATGCATGACTACTCCTTACCCGTCACTGGTGGTTTGACCCATGTCCGTCCAGGCGTCGTTGCTGTACCTACAGGTTCTGATGTTCAAGCGGTCGATTCTGAGCAAACATTCTCTGCCCGAGCTGTTCCTGTGCCGCTTCCTGTGAACAACCATGTTTACCGGGAACAGAGTGCTTACAGTCTCGCCAGCGGTACCTCAGAGTCGTGGGGGTCACCTATTTCGTATCCTCAAGCAAACTCATACGGGACTAGCGCTTGGTCACTACCGCGTTCTTCCATTCGTTCTGGTTCCGACTCTGCTTCGCGTTCACGATCAGGGTCGATCCCTCCCAGCGAATATGATGTCGAGTTTGTCGACGTGGACGGGGGTGACATACCCAGCCAATCATACGGATTTATATCACGCGGACGCACGAGTGCGACTCGCGAAGAATGGAAAGGCGACGCCGAGAAGGACAAGACTAATGATGAATGGGACGGTATGGAAATGGAGATGGAAATGTGAAACAACCAAGGGCGAACTGTATATTTTTGAAGGATGTGCGTCGTGTATGTGTATATCATGGGATGGGATGACTCGTATGGACGGTTTTCTCATTTCTCTCCTTTTTCTCTCCATCTGTATACATACTACTTATTATCCATTTTTTTTCTAGTTTCTAGTATTGTGGGCGTATTGTGATGAACTTACTCACGGCTTTTCTTGTCCTTGTACGGCAATAGGGAATATTCGGTCTTTTGCCGTCAATGTACAGCTTGTTCCTTTGTGAGACCTGAAGGGATCCAGACTCACGAAGCGATATCAGACATGCGTATAAACTGAGGAGCCTTCAGCGATCCCGCGCAGGAATAGGACGCATGTTTATGATGGAGAATTATATGGGTTGCAAGCCCATTGCAGCAGGTGTTTTGAGACGGCAGTCTGTATTGATGATGAAAACGGACGCGTAAATTAAAAGAGACCACGTGAGGATCCTGACATTCTTGTGATGCAACCCCGACTACTCCCGACGTATAAAGCCAATGAGGTGGTCTATTCCCCCAAACGTCGGCAGGATATGTTAGACATGAAGATGATGTTCTTGGCGCGCAACGAAGGCATCTACGGAGACTGTATAACACCTGAAGTAGGTTGCTATCAGCGTTCATTCCTCACATAATTCGTTCGATACTTGCATACCTGATTCAGGACGATGAAACACAATAACAGTAGTCTATGTCAGGAGCATATAAAGGCACATACTTCTGCCGTTTCTTCTTCCCCCTGAGCTTGACCAGCGCCCGTGTACGATCATCGGCTTCCCAGTGATTGCGAGCTTGTCCGTACGAACAAGAGTACAGCGTGAAGTACAAAGGAATGCTACCAGTTTGTTAGTCATCATGCCATATCAGACAAAAGAATGTTTACCGAGTTAATCCTGAAAGTTCCTTCACGGTTACGGAGTCCGTCGGCCTGTCGTAGTGCAAGACGGGAAGTGACATTTGGAGGGTCGACTGGGGATATTCCTCAAACGCATCCGACCATGAATGCACCTTTGAAGCAAACGAGTCTACATCATCGGGTTCAGAGATCCAGAAGTGAGCTTGCTCCCAGGTGATAAAGCGAAGATCCGGAGGTAAGACGTCTCGCAAGGCAACTGACATGAGATCGCGTATTAACTGCACGTAGTTGAAAAATCAGTCTTATCGGAGGCAAGACAATGATGCGAGGTACATACTGTTGGACTTTGGCAGAATTCGCGGGGCAACAGGTATTTTCTACCTAGCGCGTCTTCAAAGGATATTGCGGATGAAATGTTGCCTTCCCAGGAATATCCGAGTGTGTGCGGCATATGACGTTCCACTCTGTGGAGTATTCCTAAGGCAACATTAAGATTGCATTCGATGACAGACGTTGAGGCCCGGACATCTTCAATAGCATGCCCAGTATGTTTTGTAGTACGATGTACCACTTGCAACGAGTCGCTGATAGGTAAGGCGTGTGAGCAGTACGCAGGTACAAGGAGAGGTCGTGAGCGTAACTTACTATTGCATGGATGCCAGTAAGCGAGCAGCAATTGTATTGTGATGATGCAGTTTCATTCTGAACTCTTCGAGTTCACCCACTTTGAATAACATCCAACCAGCTTTGATCCATGTCTTCATAGACGATTTGCCGGATGTCTTAATCTCTACTACAGATCGGTAGTAGGAAGCCCGATCTAATATCTGTTGCAGTGTCTTTAGACAATCCGCGATCTGATCCTTGGCATCGTCCTCGGAAACCAAACCAGTGTTGGGGACACGAGGCATCATTGAAATGCATGTCTCTAGTTGCTGTAAGAAACATTGAAGGCGCGTAACGTCTAGGATGAGTCCTTGATAAAGTTCAGAGGCGCCAGTGGTGCTTGTCAGAACTCGAATAACCTGCGAGCTGAGTTGAACTAAAGAGATGATGTCGCCGAAAGAACCAAAAGTGAATGCAACAGACATGATAAGAGACAAGGCCGAGTTGTAAATGGGACGCAACTTTCAATCTCTTGCCGCGGCTCTTATTGTGAGCAGTGGGAGTGGCGGTGAGAGTGAAGCCTGTGCAAGCATGCACCACATAGTACATGCGGTGAGTGTCATAATAGCCGCCCATAGTACAAGTGCTATACGATGACAGGAAGAACGGAATGAGAACCTCTCAGGTCAACCGAGCCTGTCAATGAATACGCCGGGTCAATGGGTATGCATGGTATTGCAGTGCAAGCCAGATGAATCAAAGAAACGGGTATAATGACAGGAGCGTGTAGTCATGTCTTGAATATGATGATGAGGATAAGTAGTACGAGAATAAGGAGGCCAATCATCACGGTTGAGCCTACGAGAAAAGACACGTCTATTAGAGCAAATACTGAAATGAATGAGTATCTTACCATTCTCCTTGGCACCTTTCGCAACCTTGTTGAGATGCCGTCGTGCCCCACTCATTCGGCTACCGGTCCTGTCCATTTCAACGTCGAGCTCTTCTAGAAGACCCGTATGCTCTTCCAGCTCGCCGTTTATTTGTAACGAGATGTCTCGTTGGCGATTGATGGAATAAGAGAGGTTGTCGAGATGAACATCTTGTTCATCTATAATTTCCCGTTGTGTCTGTAGTACTTCCTCATGGGAAGTATACCCCGCTTCTGGGTCATCGGTATAAGGCGCAAACTGCCCTTCTACTGGTTTCAACGTAGGTTCACGAGGTGGAGGTGTTACTGAGGCTCGCGGTGAAGACGAAGATGAAGGTATAGGTGTAGGACTTGGGCTTTCCACCGTAGGTTTCTTCAAGTCCAAGCTGAAAATATACACACTCGCATGGGCCACAGTGAATACGTGATATGTTACTGCTCGACATACCTATGCATACCAGCAGCGTCAGCATCGGGGCCCAGCATTCCTCGCATCCGCTCATATTGGCTTTTCAGTAATCGTACAGCTTCAGAGCTGCCCTCCTTCGCTTCTAGCTCAAGAACGCCTGAACGCAGCTGGTTCAGGTTTCGTGTGATCTTGGGCAGATGTAGTGAGTTTGAACTCGGGCCTGAGGAAAGGGTCTGTAGTCGTTGGCGTTCCAGCAGAAGTGACAGTGTTTGCGTAGATATAGAGGTTAGCTTCGCCAAAGAGGCCATGGTGGACGACAATTAGAATGATAAAAGAATAACGGAGATGGATGGTCTGGACTCTGCGGCGCGGTCGACACTTTCAACAACGGTGAGAATGGGCGCTTAGAACTGAGCCTACTCGTATACCAAATCGCAGGTGTCAAACAGTCTCAAAAGCAGGCTTGGTATGGACTACCATAGGTGTCGAATACTCAATTGTTGAACGTTGGGCAGAGACCGTGGTCAAAAATATAATAGGCACTCCATCAGGAAAGAATATATCACATCGTCAATATCTACGAAGAACAAATCAAGCAACTTTTATTCCTCCCCATGCAACCTTTGCACCTGCATTTCTTGGCGGCGCTGGTGCAGCCTGAGCAGGCTGAGTCTGAGTAACATTGACCTTTCTCGGTGGAAGAGGACTGCTCTTGATAGTGTCGTACACGCGCTGAGCATGTTCGGTGTTCCGGATGAACCAGCCCGCGTACCGTCGTCCGACAGTAGACTCAGCGATATGGACCATGTTCTGGAGAGGAAGATGAGTACCTTTGAGGATAACGTCGAAGCAATACAACTTACATCGTCAATGACGAAGTCCAAGTCACTGGTAGAGATAGTCTGTCCATCCAACAGACCCTTCCCATTCTCAACGCGGCTGATGCTTCGGCTTGCTTGTTTCATGACCATCATCTGCTGAACCATTTCCTCCTCATCAGCATCCAAGAAGTTCGCAAGCTTCTTTGCATCCAACGAAGTGTACAACTTCAAGAAGCTCCGAAGAGTAGGTACGGGAACTTGTGCCCGGACTTCTGAGAGGAAAAGGGACAAATGACGCTGAATTGGTTCAACGGGAGGATCGTCAATGTATGCTTGAAGGAGTTCAGGGTCCTCGTATGGTGGTGGGTTTGCGGAGATGAACTTAGGGCAGGCATAGATGAACAGTTCCTCGAAGGCGGGAATACCTTCCTCTCTGAAGAATGGGTTAACGAAGACGGTCTCAAATCTTGAGGCTGTAACTCACCCTCGTGACATCTTGGTGATCTGCTCTCCGAATCGTTCTTTGGCCGTATTGAAGATATTATCATCCAGCCTGCTTGGCGACAAGGCATTGCAAATCGCGAAGAGCGCGTACATCCGATCCGCAGTTTTGTTAATCTGACAACTTCGATAAATAACATGTAGGAAACATGGCAGGTTGATGCGCACCTGGTCATATTGGTAGCTTCTAGTGTGGTACTGACGCATGCGAAGAATGAAGTTGAGGATAGAGACGAAAGCACGGATGGCATCAGAATATCTGCGGAGCATGATATAGCAAAAGCCGACGTAGTAGTAAGTCGTAACATGGCAAGCGGTTACCCTTGTAAAGGGCGACTGCATAAACGAAATCGTCAATAGCAGTTCCAGCATAAGAACCGAGGTAGGCAAAGTACCTTTTGGTTAAGTTCAACGTTCTCCATAACCTTCAAAGCGAGCGTGAAGTCTCCAAGAAGACTGTGGACACGCAAGAGCCCGATGATACTGAAATATCCCAGCATACGATAAAGTGGGCGAACGCCATATTCACCAACAATCTCGCTATGAAAATAGTTGAATGAGTTCTCATCAATTTAATGCCTGAAATGACATACGCGATTTCCTCGGTGCTCTTGCCCTCCTGAAGGGCGAGAATATGCTCGTTGATTTTGGATTTTTGAATAAGGGAGTACAAAACGTTGAGGACGGAATACGAGCTCCAGACCTATGCTAACCTGAATACGAATGTTGTAGACAGAGGAGAGGTGAACTCACCTGGTTACCTTCCCCAAGCAACTGCAACTCCTCGTCCGTCTTGGACTTCACTTTCGTTCTCCAAGTACAGAAGGACTGGAATTGGTAGATGAATTCATCAATGATATCCCAAAGCCATTGCTCGGGCAATTGCAGAGGAACGGGACCATCAGAGTCTAAAGCAATGCGTTAGACCATGACATACGCAAGAAATTGGTTAAAGCTTACTGAGAAGGTAGTTGAACAATTCGCAGCTGTTTTCATATGAGTGGAATCGGTCGTCGATGTCGGGCTGAAGCCGCGAGTAGACATGTCGATAGTAAAGTTCACGGTAAAGGATCAAGAAGATCTGGTCTGCAAAGACAGCTATATGAGAACATGCGTCGGGAATGGAAATGGACGGAAGTGCGCACCATCGTTTACAAGAGGAGCGATGACCTCTGCCTCTGGCCATTCAGTCTTCGCGTAGAATTTCTCCGTCAAACGGTTCCATCCGCTCTCATACGCAACAGTAATTTCGGCAAGGTTGTTCTCCAAGACAGCTTGATGGAAGTGCACAATGAACTTTTCAAAGCAAAATTTAGAACGCTATATCACCGTACCAATAATGCATACTCACTCGTTTTACGACATCGGGGATCGAAGCAAACGCGGCTTGTTGAGCCATTTGCTGCTGCACGGCAACAAGCGTGGCTTCATCGATTCGGCTTTGGACTGTTGAGGGCCTGTTCAGTACATCATTGGCGAGTGATGCTGGCCGCGTACCATCGTTGTAGAGGTCGTTCTGTCCATAACTGCCAATCGCGAGATTGAGGTCGACATCCTGAAGTTCTTCGTCCAGGTCTGCTTCCCAAATAGCTTTTCGTTGTTGGCTCATGTTAAATTAGCCAAAGAGATCCTATAGAGTCAGGCAGGGAGGACCAAGAGCAGTGACCACCAAGTGCGGTGGATGTTTTTCGTGAAGAGGCGTGAGGACCCCGTAGAGCGCTGAGGCTAATTACGCACCATAAGCTTAAGACTTATGTATGATGCTTAATGGACAATTACTTCCTGCAGTATCTTCTGAATAGTCAAGTACCCTCATAATGAATAAGCTACTTTTCACATACATCATTCTACTCTGATCCCTGCCTTGCCAGAGTCTACTACAGGCAAAGACACATTGAGATTCTACAACAATTATTAATTTAAATGCGGCGAGAAAGACCCCAGACAGTTTAATTAACATCTACAACGTAGATGACCCGTTCCCAACCTTGTTCCTCCATTTCGTCCTGGCTCTGTCTAAGGTTCATCGTGCTGCATTCTCAATTTCACCTATTCTAAAGCAAACGTCGATTTTTCCTCGAAACTTTGAATGCGACGCATCTGCCGACATGCGTCACATCTGCGAAAATTTCAGCAAACCCACCTCCTACCTCATCCAAGTCTGAGTGGAGTACATGGAACAAGACTGCTCACTGTCTGGTCTCCGACGACCATTGATGACTACGACCATAAACGCAGGAGTGAAATAACTGATCTTTTAATCGTAAGACTGTCCTGCGTTTCGTGTAGTACTCATATGCTTACGCATTCGTTCAGGCGTTCTCTGCAACGAAAGAAACCAAGTTACAACGTCAACCTCTTTACTCTCAATTAAGGCGTTTCGTGCAGTCTCGCTTTGGTACTCGCTTTGCTGTTAGCGACATGAGCATGCGGAGATGGACCCATGATGTTGAAGGCGCTCCTGTAGAGCTCTCAATAATAGTAAGCAAATGCAATGGCCAATCAGTCTCTGTATCTTACACGTCTAGCTTTAGGATACTAAATATCCTCGTGGTATTCCTCCCGAGGCAGTTGAAAGTGCTTACTCCGATGCGTATAACGCAGCGTGAGTGATACACATCCTTTGAGCGACCAGTGGATTCTAACTCGTGTTTAGACAGGTAGCTGTCGCGCTTCAAGATTCAGGTTTTACAAACATTCGAATGCAGGCTATCTATCCGTCCACGGGTCCAGTACCCGGTCCCCAGTTTCCTGGAGAAATTATCTGTTCGTCTGAGCAACCCTTCGTGCTCTCGGTTCCTGGGCCTACTCTCGAGCCGACCGTGGTTTTACTACAGCAATATGCATCAGTTACCCATCGCCTATCTCAGCTCTTCGTCATCTTGCATCTTTGGGCTCGATCCCATAACCTACAAGACGTGTTCTCACCTAGAATTTTGGCATTCATAGCTATACATATGTTCCAGGTACGTTTCCGATTGTTCGTGTCGTCTTCTGGAATTGAATGTCTGGGGTAGAGATTTGCTCGTATACTAGAGCCACTTCAAGGAGATACAGGTACGGGCACGTTGAAAGGCAGTGATGTATGGGTATATGGACCATTTGGCCCGGATGATCAACCGCCTACAACTGCATATCAAGTTGATACCAGATTCAGACGTGCAACTCGACGTAAAGAGCCTCTGGTTCAATTAGTGGATTTGTTCTTCAGGTATGTTGGGTCTCATGCTGCGCGAATATAATCTCATTATGAATCTCCGATGTTAGGCGCTGTCACGAGAACTACCTTCGTTCAAATGTGTTGCTTATTCATGGTGACCAACCTCATTCGAGGCTGAGGTCATGGGAGGAAATGGTGTTACCTGACCCATTCATCCATAATCACGTTTGTCTAAGAGTGTCTATCTACCGCATAATCCTTTCTAATTCTTTCGCTGTAGAACCATGCGCAAACTATACCCGCCGAATCCTGGGCTCGCTTTTCGAAGCTTTGCGATAACGCCCGCCTCGTCTTAGCTGAGCAAAAGCCACTGACTGCGATTTTCGGCCAACATCTACCTGAATCCTATTTCCAACCAGGACAACCAGCTACGCCAATTCGTTCGTACATCTCTTGTTCCTAAAACAATGGTGTGACTAGTGAAGCTAAGGGCTGGATCCTATAGAAGACCTTCATACTTACATCATGACTAGTTACGAGGTACGTTTCCTTGGCCTATTTAATGGGACGACGTCTCAGCCTTGGTCCTACGTGTTCAGAATACCCGGCCAACTCGTGATGTCCACAAAAGACGCACTGATACCATCACAAAGGTACAGCGTGTGATTAAGGAGAACTATGAGAAGCGACACAAGGGGTATAAAGTCAAAGTCTTTGGTAGCAGTGCAATTGGGTTGGATTCCGCCAGTAGTGATCTTGACCTTGTCGTTCTCGTACGTCCTTTCGACTTAGCCTCAGGATGAAGCTGTCGTTGACGGTAGCTATCATAGGATCCAGCAAGGCCGGATGGTTTTTCGCCCTATGAAAAGAATAAATCCTTGGCACGTAAGCTCACAGTGTAACATTCTCACGAGGTCAATGAATCTGACAACTATTCTTGAAGCAATTTATGCAATCAAGTATGTCGCTCTGATTCTTTGACAGTTGGTTATCTCAATGTTCTGCAGGAGATTGGCCAAAGTATTACAGAAGGCTGGTTTCAGGAGTATTGAAGCGCGCGCAACCGCTACCGTCCCTATAGGTACCTTTCGTATTTTTCTCTTCAACTGTGTAAAGGATTGACCGCATCCCATTCGCAGTCAAGTTCAGGGATCCCGACACGAAAATAAATTGCGATCTGGGAGTAGGCGAACGATTGGGTCTACTGAATACCGCTCTGATCAAGCATTATTGCGACATGTTACCAATCCTGCGCCCCTTTTTGTACGCGATTAAATCGTGGGCGAAGCCCCTCGGTCTCAACAACCCTTCGGGTGTTGCATCGAGCTCTGCAACCTTCAGCAGTTATGCCCTCACTTTGATGACCATTGGGCTCTTCCAAGTGAGTGGGATTGTTTTTCTTTTCTTCCTGTTTAAACGATTTTGACATGATTTTGGGTACGATCAGTCTAAAGGATGGCTGCCGAATCTACAGCAGGATGTAGGTGATTCTGAATCTTTCTATTGGTTCAAGTCAAAATCCGGCCGCATCCTGTGCAATACGAGCTTCAAGAGGATGCCTGAATGGAAGCCGAAGGACGTGTCCATTGATGAGGCTCTCCTTAGTTGGTTCAAGTATGTTGATTGACATTTATCACTCGCCATATATGTTTTGATTCCTTGTTTATATTAGATTCTGGGGTGACGAATTTCAGTATGAATCGGAGCTAGTTAACATCAAGGATGGCGGTATAGTCGCTAGGGGTCGCAATGGGTACTCCGTACCAAACACTGCTGCTGTATCGGACGACGATGTAGACGACAATCAGGAACCGGATGTGGATAGTCTTGAAGAAAACCCTTCCTGGGGGTTGAAATGCACCGGGACAGAGGAATCGTCGGATGCTGAACTCAAAACTGACTCTATATCTGACGCTGATGAGCAAGATGGGGAAACCACATGCTTGGATGATGACAAGATGCCACCTTTGGATATGGCCGAGGACGAGGTCAACGAATTCGACCTCCCAGCCCCTGACAGATACGACGATGGCATGCCTCATCCAGATGCAGAACCTTCGGAATGGATCGGACACCCGATCGTTGTGGTAGACCCGTTCATCCCAACCAAAGTTAGTCCTGAAGAATCATGTCACATTTCGGTGCTTCAGTACTCACCCTTCGGCTTGCAGAATACCGCTGCCATGCTCGTTCACAGAAAGGTCCAAGATTTCCGTCGGGAATGCACGAATGCGCATAGGATGCTACAAAAAGGCCATTCTTGGGTTAGCGTTATCGAGTACGCGAAATTCAATTTGAAGAAAAAGCGCAGATAAAGGTGAGATTTCAGAGTCTGCGCGGTTGCGGTTGCGATCACCAAGGGCATGACTGGGCCGGCGTGGGTCTTTTGTTTATCTCGCCAAGTTTGTTTGCCAGGGGCTACGGCGATGGAGATGAGGTCTCTCTCTGTACCTAGTCCGGGAGATTTGTTCTAATACACAATTTACTGCCTATATACCTTCATATTCTATGTAAATACTAGCAATCCTGTAATGACATCTATAATCAAACTCACACTAATGCTTCGTTGTTCCTTCATGACTGATGTTATTATAAGATACTGGTGAGTCGACGAGGGATAGATCCACCGTCTGGAAGGAGCTCTCTTGTGAATTCTTGTACTAGCCTTTCTCGAGTCATGAATCGGCCCCCAAGATACGCCACATCGCCTTCCCGATAACGTCCACGCCATCATTTCGCCAATCTGCTCTAGCTCGCGCGTCTTCCGCAGTGTCTTTATCTAGCACACCAGTCCCGGCGCGAGCATCAACAATCTTCTCTACGATGCGCTTCGTGAACTCCGGGTGGCCCTGCACAGTGAATATCTGAATATCCTTCCATGTCTGCGTGTCAGACCATGGTGGGCTAGCGGTGGATTGTGCAGAGGGAGAACCTGGTGTGAATCGGATGTAGCCTTGGTTGCGGCAGACTGAAGTGGACCCTAGAAGATGACACGATTGAGGTACCTCTGGTACATGGTCTCGATGCATCTGTTGTATGTTCTACACAGGCCTTAAGCCAATGTACTGAGGAATCACACGATACGGAGTTGACGCACTAAGGTACTCGTGCCAAATATTTGCTTGCCGGTTTCCGTTAAGTCCACAGGAGTTACGCCTACTTCCCATTTTCCGTCATTTGGGACGCATTCGCAGCCCAGAGCCCGCGAAATGATCTGATGACCGAAGCATATTCCTGTAGATTAGAGAAGTCAGTCGATAACGTTCAATCTGGCCTTTGGACGTTTCCTAATAGGTGATCCCAGTATTGCATCCAACGTTAAAACCCGCCAATTTAAACAGAAATCGGTGCTCAAAGTGAACGTTTGAAGCTACTCACCTAGAAGCTTGATTTGTGGTTTCTCTTCCGCAATGGAGGCAATGTACGACACAAGCAGGTTAATCCAATCAAGGTTCTCGTACGCGGAAGCAGCTGCGTACTCAAGCTCAGCTTCTCGGAAAGCCCGGGAAAGCGAAGCAAATCAGCGAACCAGAACCCGTCAAGATAATGCCTTGGTATTTATCGACATCATCAGGGTATTCTTGCTTATTCCGGACGTCATACGGATCGAGAACAAACTCTGTGGACGGGGATGAATTTCGCAATAATGAAGTAAATATCTGAGTATAATCTCCATCTGTCTCTTGCACAGAAGGAATGGGCGAATCGCAGAGGAAGACAGCAAGATGAATGGGACTAGCCATGGTGGTGGAAGTGAACGATCGGACGATCAATTGATGCTTCAAATCGCCTTGAGAACTAGGCTTCTCGATCTCTTACCACCAAGTTTAAGGTTGTTGGATCATCACTTCACCAAGTTTGCTATCTCTGATAACACTCGACCGTATATTCTTGGGGGATTTGACATAGTCAAGGCTCCTAAGTATTCGTGGATAAATCATACGCCCCCGACTAGGAAGAAACATTGTCAGAGGGATAGTACCTCAGACTAAACTACTTGGGAAGCTCGTAGCACCGATTCAATGTCATTCTCGGCTTGGCTAGTGCACCTTTTTGGCATAGGTACACACTGGAAACTTATCTCTATGCTTGCTATGCGGGGTGATCAACATTATTGGCGAGATGTTCTTATCTTTTGACTCCTCGCTTTGCCGCCGAACCAACTGAATTCTGGATAAGCCCTCGGGGAACATTCTCTGAGAAAGGCTATCAATATGCCCTGGAAGATAATGGCTGGGGGGCTATCGTGTATAAATGGTATCAAGTCTCCAGCGGGGTACCGGGTTCTCCTCCTGGAGGCTTTTTGATCCACTCGAAGTCCACGAAGGCGGCATTCACTTCTCGTGCTTCTCATTCCCCATACACCGCGCGCAACATGTCTAGTGCTAATGAACATGTGCTTCCTCAAGGAGCCGGGTATGGCGTTGGTGTGTCACGCGAATTAACTTTTCGGTAACCATTGACTGACTGCCTGGATATACAGTGGTCGGTATGTCCTCAACGACACTTAACGTGAACAAGTATATAATTTTCCATAGGAATTGGGCTCTTCTTCAGCGCTTTTATGGTGGTTCTCACCGCCGTTCAAGCTCGTTACACCGGATTCTCTCCAAAGAGCTCCGAAGAGTTCAACAGCGCGTCCAGAAGTGTCAAGCCTGGATTGATTGCATCTGGAATTGTCTCTGCATGGACCTGGGCAGCGACTCTGGTAAGTTGAGCTTCTACTTACTACTATACACAGTCACACGATAATAACTTTACTAGTTGCAATCAAGTGCGGTCGCATACAAGTATGGCATCTCAGGTCCCTGGTGGTATGGAGCGGGTGCTACGGTTCAAGTACTGCTCTTCGCGCAAGTACGTACCATCTTTCTTCCCTTTGTGCTGTTATACGCGAACCTGACGCCCGGCGTAGCTTGCAGCCAAGCTCAAGCTTAACGCGCCTTACGCGCATACGTGGTTGGAGATAGTAGCAGCTCGATGGGGTACTGTTGCACACATCGTCTTTATGTTCTTCGGGTAAGACGTTCGGAAAACATGTGTCTTTCCTCGTGCCTAACTATTACCAGATTGGCGACGAACATCATCGTCTCCTCTATGCTCATTCTAGGCGGCTCGGCTACCGTCACGGATTTAACGGGAATGAACACTATTGCTGTAAGCATAACCTAATCATTTTTATCCGGATATTCATATCAGGGTTTTAGGCTTGCTTCTTGATCCCTCTTGGTGTTGCCATCTACGTTGTGGTCGGCGGTATGCGCGCTACTCTACTCTGCGACTAGTACGTCTTTCTTTCATACCACCACCCACATGTTTCTCACCTGTTAATGATACAGTACTCACACCGCCGTCCTATTTGCCATTATCTTTGTCTTCGTATTCACTGTATACGCTACTTCGCCCAAAATAGGCTCTCCAGCGGTGATGCATTCGCTCTTGCAAGCCGCTTCGGAGGCTGCGCCTGTAGCCGGGAATGCCCATGGATCATATGTCACTATGAGGTCCAAGAATGGGTTGATCTTTGGAGTGATCAACGTGATTGGGAACTTTGCTACTGTGTTCCAAGACCAAGCAGTAAGTCCTAGCCAATGCCTGTATTGTTACCTGCCGGTATGCTTATTCAACTTACGTAGTACTGGCAACGTGCAATTGCAAGTCGACCCGCTAGTTGTGTCAAAGCCTATCTTCTTGGAGGTCTGGCTTGGTGAGTAGCACCTGATCTTCGATTAATATGCGGTTCCGTCTTAAGCTTTGTCCATAGGTTTGCCATCCCATTCATGTTCTCCACTACTCTGGGCCTCTCCGCTGTCGCCTTAAGAGGAGACCCGGCAATGCGGATCCTAACTCCAGCGGAGGTCTCAGCTGGTCTGCCCGCCCCTACGGCGGCTGCAGCACTTCTGGGTAAATCTGGTGCTGCTGCTCTGCTCATCGTCCTGTTCCTCGCCGTCACCAGCGCGACTAGTGCTGAATTGATCGCCGTGAGTAGTATCTTGACTTACGACATTTACAAGGTAAGAATAAGAATATCTTATATGCGGAGCAAGAATTCGAGGATAACAATGCATTTGCAGAAATACTTCAACCCGAAAGCTACAGATGGACAGATCCTTCGGGTCTCGCATGCCATGGTATGTTTACGATAAGGCTCGCAGTTGATGAACAAAATCTCATATTGTCTACGCAGGTCGCGCTATTCGCAGTACTGATGGGTGTTCTTGGAACAATATTCTTCTACATTGGTATCTCGATGGGGTGGCTTTATGTGAGTAACGTTCATTTGCGAACACTGTACCACGGTTTGAGGTCGGGTCCGTAGGAATTTATGGGGGTTGTATTGGGATCAGCAGTCGTGCCTATCGCCGTCTGTATTTGTTGGAAGAGGGCGAATAAATGGGGGAGTATAGGAGGCGCTGTCGCTGGCTTCTGTGCAGGTATCACTACATGGCTCATCACTACCTCGGCCTTGAATCATGGCGTTGTCAACGTAACGGTAAGAACATCTATATTTACATTGTTCGTCCTCTGACACATTTATGCACAGACGAGTGGAGGAGACCTCGAAATGCTTTCAGGCAACTTGGCTTCCATTGGTGTTGGAGGCATCATAACATGTGTTACGTCATATTTCGTAAGTTCCGTGCACGCCGCCCTCTAGGCCGTAGACATTCACACTGACGCTCACTGAACTAGTGGCCCGAAAACTTTGATTTCGATACTACGCGTGCCATTAATGTCCCTTCACAGTCGGAACCTGCAACGGAACAACCTTTGGACTATACTGCCGACCATGAGAAGAAACGACATGAAGTGTCTAGCGAGACTGTGTCCATCGCTTCGGAGCCCACCGAAGAAGATGAACTTGATCCAGCGGCCTTGAACAAGGCATTCAAATTCGCAGCTTGGTCTTCGATCATACTAGTATGCATCTTATACTCCAAAATAACTCATTCATAACTTCATGATTTAATTAACCTGCTTCATCCTGTAGCTCGTTGTGATGCTCCTGATCATCCCTCTTCCTCTCTTCTTTGCCCAGACGATATTTGGCGTTGGGGGTCTAACAGCTTGGGTCGTGATAGGCATGATCTGGACATTCTTCTCGGCCTTTACGGTCGTGGTCTACCCTCTGTGGGAAAGTCGGTCTGCCCTCAAGTTAATTACGACAGGTATCATAAAGGTTCGTTTTCAAGTGCCGAATCATTAGTCTAACAAAATCCTGACACATTTTGACAGGATGTCTTCGCGAAGGGTGGTGGTAAATTCATCGTAGCAGGTGAAGCGTCTAAAGCATGATAAATTACCATGCTCGCAGGGGGTCGCCGACATTATTGCGGAAGTTTCGGTCACCAGACCATCCGGACCATTCATAGATTCACTTCATGTACATTTTTCTTAATTCTTCGCTGGCGGTAGACAGGACAAAAATGCAATACATTTTTTGCTGTGCTTAATAATTCTGAGCTTGTCTTTGTTGAGTCGAAGACCATTACACGTCTTTGCCGACGAAGACAGCACTTCCCTACTCAAATGGCACGCGTGTACAACATAATAACGAGCTACCAACTACAGGGTAAGTGGCGGTGGATCCTCCAATGGATGGCTGTCCAAGTGAGCAATCTCTTCGTCGTAAAAACTTTGAAGTTCGACTGGATCAGAGCAAAACTTCTGCAGCTGCAAACGAAGTTCATCTGCTGCCGCTGCTGGCCTTTGTATCTTCTGAGCTGTGCTTATCCTTCCCGCCGCCATCAGCCTATTGGTGAGAAATAGGTACCCCTTCGAACCACCGAGGACTTGAACGAAAGCTACGCCAGAGCGATGCACCCACTGGGAGTACGTGTACGGGACGCGTCGATAGGAGTAAATCACGTCGATCTGCTCTGGATACAGATTCCCGGCCTCAATGTCAAGCACAAAACCAAAGCGACGCAACAAGGCCGACTCGAAGTAATTGACAGTTTGAGTACCGTCCGGGATACGATTCTCGAGATCGGGGATCGACGGCGGGCTGACTGCAAGTGGTATAGGGCAACAGGATTGGAAAGGATTGCGATCTCGAATATCACTGATCTCTGAAACGTAGCCTTCCACCAATTTGAGCCCATACTTTTCTATAGTGCGACTCCATTGACGAAGGATATCATCGATGCAACGGGCAGTTGTACCGATCCATTGCAACTCGAAATGGAAACAAGTGGCCGGGTTATGAATAATATCATGATGCAATAGAATGCACTCCGCCTGATCGCTCCGCTGTAACAAGAAGCCTTATTATTGCATTATCTTATATAGAGACAAAAATAATCACCTTGTTAGGGTCAATATCAATGACCATGCTCTGACTGAGGATGAGCCTCTTTTTTGCCCTACGACCCGAGGTTGGTATTCTACCAGACAGTGAGGAGGTACCACCTGCACGGACATTTTGCTCCTCTCCAGAGACGTGTCGATTGGATCGGAACCAACCCCCGCTACGAGGAGTCATGGCGACGCTGTATTCACCCCGTAGTACGTAGAAATAATGTCTAAAGATATATTAGAAGACGCTTCCAGGTGGTGCAGGAGGACTTACCCGTCCAAAAATCCGTGCGCCCCACGACAATGTTCAAACAAGCCTTGCTCTTGAAGTTTCACACCCCATTCTGTGGCTTGCTCTCGAGTTGAGACGTCTCGGAACTCGCGCACCAACCAGGAGACAAAATCCGCCCCGGTGAAAGAATTTGGATAATTGGCCCTATGCCATTTGTGATCCTTGATCGGGACGCCGTCCTCTTCACGCATAGCTTTTGCAATCGCTGAAAGAGTCATGTCACCAATATCCCTTTCGCTCTTCATCTTCTTTTTGAGGGGGCCGGATGCGTGTATCTCATCCAACCGGGCAACCAGAGGCTCGTCTAAGACCGAGGAAACGGGCTCCAAATCGGTCGGAATGAATCGTACTGGAGGTAAACTTTTCCCTTTATCCTCAGGAGGTACCCATCGAACTCGAGAAAACAAATCGGCGAGCTTGTCCATGCCAAGCAAACGTATCTCTTCGTCGTTGAGCCTCTCTCCTGCGGGCCCTAGGGTGCTCACACCCGAGATGGGAAGATCGTCCGAAGGAATAACAAGGAAGCGAGTTCGCCAATATCTCAAGGACTCGCTGAACTGATTCTCGTAACCAGCCACAAGCATATCCAATCTATAAAATTTTCAATGTATGAAACCACGTCGCTTCAATCCAACTACTCACCTGTTCCATCCGTAGTTCTCCAAACCATGTGACTGGAATGTTGTCGTGAGTTCAGTATAGCCAACACCCAACTTGGGCCAGATCAAGCACTCATATTCATATGGCTTGACCCGAGGCATTCGTCTGACATGTCGCCTGACTTGGACCGTATCTGATCTATACGAGATGCGGTGGATCTCGTTGCTCATGCTCAGATACACTGGATCGTCAGGAGACTGCAGAACCTCCGCCGCCCCAGCAGGTCTGGGATTGACATCATCCATCGAAACGTACATAGTACTGCGACGAGCAACTTGTGCAAAGCTATCGCCGTTGTGCACGTCGTTAGAAGGTCGTAGGACAAATTGAAACCCTTGGGCTAGTCGTAAAGCAACCATCCCGCGCATAACCACTAGTGCCCATGCACGACGGATGGTGTCTGAGTTACCAGTGACACTAGGCGGGCGGATCAGGAATGAACGCATTTCGGGAGGGTCAACGACAAATTCGTATGAGAAGACATCGTAAGATGACTCCAACTCTGATGAGGAAGGGAAGTATTCCACAGTTAGAGGTAGGCAGCCCGGGGTCACCATAGCTTTCCATTTGATGTTATGTTTTGACAAAGGCTGAGCGAACATATGCTGCCATCGTTGGGCTAATGAGGAAATCACATATGGCACAACGATGGATGGTTTCAAAGGATTTGTCCTGATAATCGGCGGCGAGGTGGCCACTAGAGGAGCCATGCCTGAACTCAAAGTTCCGCTCCGTCGTTTGCCAAAGGCAGGTTCATCGCGAGGTGGTGTGCCTAACGGGGAGTGTCTTGGTAAGGAAGCCCTATGAGGATGCAAACTGTCTTCATCATAGTGCCTCAACCCCGACCTGCCTACAGAATGGAATTTGATATTCATTGGTATTGGTGAACGAGGGGTCTGTTGCGTGACTGTCGAAGTACCGGTCGTCTGTATCGACTTCGCACCTAGCGACGCCGAAGCGGATGTCAAGGATGGTTGATCCTGTTTCATTGGCACAGAACCAGATGCCTGAGAGGTATGAGACGGTGTTTGACTTGAACCTCGGAACTGACTAAAGAACCAGCTGGGGGAGAATATAGATCTGGTTGTAGCCCGACCGGTGCTTGGCCTTGAGGGAGGCGAAACCGGCGTTGCCGGTTGAATAGTGGACTTTGTTATTTTCTCTGACTTGCCTGAGCGCATGCATGATTCTAAGCGCGAACTACTTACACCGGCAGTGCTCGAAGCGGACTGCCTTTTCGAGTCCATTGGAGGGGTATCTGAAGGCAAATCGGTCACTGGACGATGCGGACTCTCCTGTATAGGCGGAATGTTCTTGGTCTCCACTGCTCTATTGGAGAAGGAACGTCTGAGGACGTCGTCAGACCTCACAGACCCGCCAAGAAACGATCCGCTTGCTGTGGAGGAGACCGAGTTACGACTAACCCCGAGTATCTTCGGTTCATGCTTCACGGCAAAAACGTCCATGTCATATCGATCCGCGTCCTCCTTCGAAATGGTGGTAATCCGCGGACTATCCGCCACTGTTGAGGGATCTCGTAAGTCAGGAAGGTATGGCAGCGCAGTGCTCGATAAAACATCGTGGTCCAGCAGGCCCATCATTTCAATCTCCTGCATTCTCGCCCGAGCAATAAACCTAAGAAGAGTTGAGAAGCGTCCAAGAACATTATACCCAAATGAGCCCCTACCTGTCTTCTCTGAAAGGAAGGTCCATTTGCTTGTCCCAAAACGACACAGACATCCAAAAGGGCTCCCACCAGAAGAGGTTCATCTCCTTGGTAGATAGATCGTCGCCACTCCATAACGGATCCAGAGACCGCGCACCAGACCTGCCAATGTACTCTGGCCTAAGATCAGGCTCGGCTCCACGGAAGCAAAAAACTGGACTCTGGTGAAGTGGAGGCTTTGTCAAAGACACCAATTCTATGGAAAATCCTTGATCAAGCAACCGCGTAGTTGTCAGGCGGAGGAGTTGCTTGTCAACCCGAAAGTAGCCAGTGCCTGGAGTAATGATGATGGTGGCCGAACCTGTTAGTGATAGTGATCTGTCAATGTAATGTGTCTCTGTAGGATTGAAACCGAGATTAAGAGCTTCAAGGATCGGCCCTTTGTGAGCTTTCGAAAGCCGGCCAACCAGCCGAGCTTGGTCTGATGCGCCTCCAGGTGACCTGTGATGATGGTGCGCGAGGAGGATATCGCGTTGAAAATCCCAAAAAGAGTCTTTCAGGCTGACGAGTGTCGGCTTCCAATCATATACGATCTCAAGGTCCGTGATCACCTTGAAGAAATCTTTGTACCATTTGCCTTCATCATCTTGGCGCACCGGTCCTGCAGCGTAGGTGATTTCTTGATCATCATAATAAACGCGAGAAATCAGAACGATGGTGACTATGTGAGTCGTGCCAGCATCATGCCACTTGGTGAATAGGGCTGGGAGGAATGAATGAACAATTTTCTCATAGTAACGTTCCCCATCGCCAGCAAAATTCCATAATTCGCGGCAAACTTGAATGAAGATTGTGACTTTTGCGGACAACGATCGAAAAATTGCTTTTGTCTGAGGAGTTACACATCCCGTTGATACCTGCAAACAGGTCAACCTGAAATCCTGGCATGAATATACAGATTCATGATTACCTTCTTACCCCTGATATATATTGCCTGCACCTTTGCAGCAATGACTCCTATGAATGAAATCTCCTGATCTACGTAGACGCATTGGCCGACCAAGTGGCGCTCAAGTCGCCACATCTCATTACGACCAAGGTACTGATCTTGGAATACGAGCTCGATGTGATCAGCAGCCCAGTCAACGGGATTCACCTAGAGTGCATGGTGTGTTCAGGAAATCAGCCGGACAACGCATAAATTTATATACCTTCGTTAAGACTATCTCACTCGAGGTCTTCAAGCCAAATTTCTCAGCTATTGGCCTAGGTATGGATATCTGAGTGCACGGTTATGCCAGTCATTGATGAGAGAGCAAGGATCGCACCTGTAATTGATGCTTCACATTGCCTTCATCCTTGGGTACAAGATGAAGAAGACCACGGGAGGGTTCCTCATCTTGCTGTTGTGACGAAAGGTGAAGCAAATCTCCTTCAGCAACCCCGGGCCACCACGTTTGGTTTAAGGTAATCGTAGGCGACTCCTTTGGGTCATGGACCCATGCGACCAGTAACTTGCTGTCTCCAAAGCGCAGTGGAACAACAGGGGGTCCTTTCAAGACACTTTGAGCAGTATTTGACCTATGTCTTCCGCCAAACTGCGGTGCTTGAGATTCCGAGCGTGAAGTTGACATTGTCTACCAGTTGACGGGGTTAAACCAGTTATTTTGGGAAGATGTTTAAAAAAGACATCAATCCTAACGACTGAATAAGGTTGCAAATGTCAAGGGAGGTAAGTAGTTGAACAAGTCGAATGCATGTTATGCTAAACGTTATTAAGGCGTCTATTAACGCTCATACTTGACGTTTGCCGATCGGCTACATTTGGACTGCTTGGCAGGGCTTTTCGTAGGCTCAAGACCTTTTGTCAAAGGTCGTCAATTTAGGATTTTACATTACGGAACTCGGCCTAAATGCTGTCGTGTAATACAGGCCATTCATTGGAAACATTTGGTTTATAGACATCTATAGTAAGTATTCTCATCCTAATGCACTACACCTGCAATCAAAGTCCCCACTTCTTTACTTCCTTATCAACATCAACGCCGAACTTGTAGTCTATATACCCTATAGGGCTTTTCTTCTTGTAAAACAGAGATCGATCGTAAGGCGTGAGGGGTATGTTCGCCTTCAGTCGCAGAGGCAGATCGGGCTGTGAAAGAAGGAAGCGCATAAGGATCCAGCTAACAAACTGTAAGAGCTAGCAGTTAACAAAAACTTACATTCGAAATGTAGTAACGTCCGAATGCGATCAGGTCGCCGGTCATGTCGGCGACCTCCAATGCAATCTCGCGGTTGTATCCACCAGCACTAATGAACGGCCGAGGTTTCCAGACTTCCCTCAAGAAATCATTCGACTGTGTAGGTGATCAGCTTCTCGAGCTTGCAGAGCAACAAAGATCTGCATGACGTACCTCGCCCTTTTCAGGTTCGCGATCAGTGTTACCGTTCACTCGTGGTTCGACCACGTGAATATAGGCAAAGTCTGGATAAAGTTCCTTTATATGACTGACAAGGTATTTGAATGTCGGGATTGGGTCTTTCATTCTCATGTCTAGATGTAAAATAGAATGTCAGCATTATGTCAGCGTTAGTTTGGATACAACGTTACCTCCGAATGTCCCCCAAGGACTGAGCCGGATGCCAACTTTCTTCTGTCCAACCGCTTTCACGACAGCATCTACAACTTCCAGAGCAAAGCGTGCTCGATTCTCTATAGAACCACCATACTCGTCTGTTCGGTTGTTGCTCACGTCTTGCAGGAATTGATCAATGAGATACCCGTTCGCGCCATGGATTTCAACACCATCGAAGCCAGCCTTGTTGACTGCATTCGCTGCGGCTGTGGCATAGAACTGGACGAATTCCTTGATTTCTGAAAATATACAATCATGAGAATTCCATATGCAAATATGGATGGAGGAAAAGGTACATACCGTCGGAAGTGAGTGGGCGAGGTTTGGGCTGATCAGCGAATGGAATGTCTGAGGCGGCCACGTATGGCAAGCCTTCGCTCTCTAGAACATCCGGCTCCGCTGCTCGCCCCAGTGCCCACAACTGCGAGAAAATGTACGATTTCTTCTCATGAACGGCATCGGTAACCTTGAGAATGTCGAAGTCGTGTGTTAATTTCCACTTGTGCAAGCTAAAGCCGAGCTGGCTACCTCACCTTCTTCCATGCCGCCAATTGCTCTTCCGTCTCCAATGCTGGAACATTCGTGAAGCCGCCAGCTCTTCGATGAATGAACGTAGCTTCAGAGATCAACAGAGACCCGGGAACACTGGCTCGCTGGCTATAGTATACCGATGTGAGTTCGCTGATGCTAACATGTTCGTCGTTCGCACGAAGACGGGTAAGGGGTGCCAAAACAACTCGGTGATTGAGCTTGAGATCGCCAACTTGAATAGGCTCGAAAAGCTTGCTTGTGCTGGCAGACATAGCTAACAGAGGGTACGATACAGTGACAAGCCGGATGGGAGTAGAATGCGTTGAAATACAGCGTTCACACTCATCCCAGCTCTTTTTAAGTACGTTTGTTCTCGTCAAGGCCCCGGCAAAACCGTTAGCGGAGGGATTCAGCAATGACGCCATCTCAGGAAAGTTGACAAAGCCTGCTTAGTGATCATCTCTACAATTGTTTCCCTGACTTCCACCGAGGTGGTACTGTAAGCAGCAGTCGGCTTGGTGTAGTTTGACTAAGTTACTGAACAGTCTAGTCAAAGCGGAGGCTGATAGTAGGCTGGCATTGATTTGTGATCAAATGACAGTGTTCGCTCGGTCGATCAGTGATGCGCCGTTCGCTGATCCGCCTCTTAGTGATCGAGTGGCTCGCAAAGGAAGGCATAGTGGAAGCGGACGCCTTGGCCAAATAATCAGATTCGGAAGAGAACTGAGACTCCGCTTGCGTGAGGTAACCTGAAGATAAGGTATAAACTTCATAGAAAACTTTGCATCCGTCATCTTACAAAGGGAATGCCGTACTCTAGAGTGATGGGAACAACGACAACGAAGCAAGAGATAAGGAATGCATGTGTTCGTCGTGTGCTCGCTTATGGCATTCAGAGTGTGTTTCTGGAGGATATCGAGGACAAGCACCCCATTTTCTCTTCTGCAACACCAAAGATAAGGCTACGAGAAACATGCAGCAAACACATTTCTCTGCGAGTACTTTCGCTCTTCGACGTCCCCTCCGTGATGCAGAACTCGGACGGATGAAGATAAGCAGAACTCGAAGTCTAGGCCTCCGCTCTGGTAGATAATGCGCAAGACGATCGCCAACCGGGGCAAGGCTCGAACGTGGGTTACTATCCTGCACCCTCAGCGATACGCCCTTACGAGACTCTACGATGGAGAAGATGAAGGTGAATGGAAGGTCACACGAGCAAGGCTTCCCGCGGACGCCAAAGCTCGGCCAGCGCCATCGTCGGAGGCCACTTTGGACAGGGTAATGGCCAAGTAGCAAACAAATCAAAGGAGAAACGCACCTGATAAACGTGCTGCGCTATACATTGAAGATCAAAAAGTCAGTTGAAAGGCTAATATCGCATTAGGAAGGTATTTGAATGGGTCCGGCGCACTTCTCCGGAGGAATACCACGCCTTCATCGATAGAAACTGGATTGTCTGCAAACATGTGAATCAACGCGATCGACGTCAATGCGGCATATCCAAATATTCAGGCAACTCGGACCCGAATATTTGAAAGCCGAGAGATCGAGGGAAACTCGTGTCGGATCGTTCTTTTGATAGAGTCGCCTTTGGCGCGATAGTTGCGTAGCCGCCACTCGATAAACAGTGTATCCATTCTTTAGGTGCAGAGACATTGACAACGAGGCACGCCACAGGACAGGCGTGTATGCCGCGTGTAGCAAAGACAACATGCATATGTTTTTTTTTCCTTGGGATTGTTCCTGAGGATTCTGTGTCTAGCACAAATTCTGAGACAAATGCCTTTGTACGTCGTTGGAAACGACGGGGTCCCGAATATTAACCAATGACTGTGCTCCTAGCAACCGAAGTTAGTGGTGGTGCCTGACTTTTTTCTGGTGGTTTGAATGCGAATGGACCAGCTGTGAGATTTAAGCTCTTCTTCGAAGCTTCGAGTCGTTAGGTCAGGTAATCACAAGTCGAATCGAATCTCCGCGCAGTTTCGGATTTGAATCGCCCGAAAATGTATTCATCACATGCGACCTGTTGGTAATTGGTGTCCTCCAATGATTCGCCAGACTCACCACAGAGATGCAGCGAAAGACACAGCATTCGGTAACCCTTCCGCTTGAATTCCAGGATAATCGTACAGAGGGTTTTCATCCTGACATCTGAGTAGTTCGAGGACTTGGAAACCAATGGTAAAGTCAGAATGCCTAATGGCGCCTCATAGAATACGAAGAGCCCGACCGGGGCAGGTCTGCGTCAAAAGAAGGCGTTCATGTCATTGTATTGGCATGTCATGGGTTCGATCAGGTTTTGAAGTTGCATTCTACATGATTGTAGACGACTTGCGAAACGCTCAGTGCATTGAGGGAGTTGTCCTTGCATGCGTACCTTGACTAGAAAGGACAATTTTGAACGAGGATGATAAGTTTCTGAATACCACGGATAAGTCTCCCAGGTTGGAAAGTCCGGTTGCAACAGTGAACTATTGGAGATCGGGATATGTATGTGTTTTTGCGATTGACACCCCCGAGTTCCGTGCCGAATCAAAACAGAGTGGAAAGCGATCGTGGATCCCTGTGGGGAAAGACGACGCCTTGCGGGGTAGGAAGCGTTCATAGATGAGTGCCAGTGGCATAACGAATGAATAGATGGGCATAGGGCACATAGACGTGTCCTCGGAGAACGGGCAGAAGCAGTAGGCAGTCATAGAATGCTCCAGGCGGAAGAAGAGAGATTATTGCTAAATGACTATCGATGCAACGTGTCATGGCTTGCAGGTATGTATGACTGTAACATGGTGTGAATTCCCGTGAATTCTCAGGTATCTGGACGACATGAATTGACGGGCGGAAACCTGCGAACGGCGAAGATGTATGGTGAGCCCGCACGTACGTCAGTTGTACCACAAGGTAGGGCACAGATACGATCTCAGGGAGCGTTCTTCTGTGCCTCCTTGTGAAGTGTGAATGCATCTGTGTACTGATCCTGATGAGATTCATAGATAAGTTACACAAACTCGAGGCAAGGCTTACCTAGAACGTAACCCAAGTTATGCGAGGGTTCGTTTGCAACCTGTAGATATACATAAGCCACGAATCCCGCTCACCGTCGTTGCATATCACTTCTGCTGCTGCTGCGCCATCATCTCGTCGACGTCGGGACGTACACGGTGTTCTAGTGAGAAAAATCTGTTTGGAGGGGCACTGCGAGCGGGAATCTCGGAATCAGCCCTAACCTTATTCTAGGTCATCGGAGTTTGAATCTTGCCAGTACCCAAAACGCCGGGTAAATGACTCTTTTGCTTTCCACCTTCACCCACGATATTCCTCCCCCTCGTCCGTTCCTCGTCCGAGTGTTCATGCAGATTTGGATTCTCTGAAGCCTTCAGAGAGGTTTCTATTGCTGACTTTCCTCTGCCAGCTTTACATTTAGAACCATTTCTTTGCACGAACAAAATTTATGGTTTCACCGCCAATTTGACGCTAAATTTCAAGAAATTGCGACAAAAAGCGGCGAGACTCTCGGATTGACGTTGGAGGAGGGCCCTTTGACTCAACAATACCAGGTGGTAAGTGGACTTTGGTCCTCGTGTGCGTAGAAGGTCCCGGCACAGTCGACGGGCAAAGGGCAAAGAAAATTGGCCCCGCGGCTGTGCATTGTGTCATCCTATTTGGGATGTCAAAGCCGTTTCTGCTTATATACCACTCCGTTGATTCTTCGGGTCTTGCTCAATGCTCTCCCATTCTTTTCTTCAGTTACTACCTTTCCTAAAGGTCATTCATTATGATCACCCTTAGTCCTGGCTCGCTCTGCGACGTCTGCGCAGAGGAATACGGTCCTCACAACTACCCACATTGTATTCCATGTGGTGAGTGCCGTAACTAATTGTTTCATTGATGAACGATCTGACGGTAGAATATTCCATGAAACACAGGACATGTACTATGCAGGAGCTGTTGCAACTCCATCCTTCAAAAATCAGCACCGAAACTGACCCCTTCCTGTCCTTTCTGTCGCGAACACTTTACTAGCGACACCGTTCGTTTGATTAGAATTGATTTTAGCCCCAGCAGTAGTGGTTGGTCGACCCCTAAGCAGTGCGGTGTGGCCGTTTCAGCCCACGGCATTGTCGATGACACTGGCGACGACGATGATCCTTTGTCTGCGAGTCTGCACAAGCGTGCTGAGGTGAAGCGACTTGAGCAGAAAGTCGCTCGTGTTGCTGCGAAGAAGTGTTCGGTTGAAGAAGTCGCCGCCCTCCATAGGGAGCTGCAGGATTGGCTCTCGACTCAAGGGAGGTATAGCGACAAGGTGCGCACTTTTGACCTACTGTCTTAGAATGTCTAGCCTTACGTTTTCACTCTCCTAGGCCACTTCTATTCATCTTAGCGCTGCTCTTCTTCGCGCCATTCTCATGAATCATAACGCGCATTTCGAGGCTACGAAGAATGCTCGTGAGATTGAGGGCCATCTCAAGGGTGAGATCGAGGAATTGCGTGCGACGACTGACAAGCTAGACACTGAAATACGCAGCTTGGTGAGCAAATATTTGTTGGATCATGCCAAGCTCGATGCTGAAACATGTCCCTAGCGTTCGCAGTACTCTCATACTGTGCAAGAGAACCATTCTTTGCGTTCAGAGCTGAGTCGCTACAAGGTGAGACCTGTGGCATACGGCGGAAATGTCCAGAGTTCGGCTGCTCAATATGCTCTCATGTCTCAGACAGGGAACAATAGCCCTGTTTCCCCTCCACGGCCATCCACGACCATGCCCTCCATCTCTCCGACTCCGTCGACAACTAGGGCTACTTCGCCAACCTCACCCTCGTATAAGACGCCTATGCTGCACTCGCCTCTTGCTTCTAGGATCACCTCCCTTGCTTCTCACGCGAGGTCTGCTTCCGTGGCTCCACCTACTGTTCATAGCTATAGATCTGCCACGCCGTCGGTTCGCTCTAAGACACCGGCGGTAGGTATGCATCGGTCTGAGTCTGCGCGTCCTGAGAAGTCGCGCACGCTGTCGATTTCAAGTCCGGCAGTCCCAAAAATTCTTCGTTCGTCTTCGAACGAGTCAAGCTCTGATGAGATTCAGAGCCAAAAGGACAAAGTGGCACAGTACCCCATACGTCCGAAGCATGCGCAGTTGTGGATACCTGGGCCTAATGCCAGCCCTCCGACGGGTGCACTTTCCACTGCCATGCGCGCGCGTACCACGTCTACCATGACGCCACCTCGATCCACTAGGACTCCAGCTCCCCGCTAGATGTCTCTTATTGAGGATTCTCTGTTTACATTTATCTATTTGCTATCGAACTTTCTCCTTCCGGATTTCCTGCTATAATCTACGATTAATACGGAGACTAATCCTCGTTGTACCCTTGTTCGTGACTGTGTATAGTTCCCCTTTTCATAGGTAGTTGGGCTTCGGTTTCTTTCGGGGTCTGTAGATGCGTACTTCACACGCTATCTTTCTATTTCCTTTATTTCTTTTTTCTTATTTCCTTTCCGTTTCCCTCTTCCTCTTTTTCCCTTCTCGGTCTCAATCCCCAGGCACCGTTCCCAATTCTTGCGAACGTTCTGCCTAACGTCCCTCACGGGTTCCGTGCGTTCTCACCTTCATCTTCTGCGACACCTTCTGATTTTCCAGTCTTGTCTTCTCCAGTTACTGCTACCTCGATACCACCCCCATACCCCTCCCGACAGCGACCTCGCTGCCTTGTAGCAATGTTGTTTATTGGCTCTCGGCTTTCTCCGTCTCGTCTCGTTGTCCTCTCGTCGTTTGTTTTTCCATACCTGCAGGGGTTTTGGATATTCCCATATTCCTGTTACGATGCTTCACGGATTTCACGTTTTTCTCTCCTAGAACTCGACGTTCTTTGGGCTTTACGATACATACACAGTACGCGTACAGCTATCGTACTTACGATATCACGGCTTCTTTATGTCACGAATGCCATACATAGTTTATACCTACGTTGGTGCCTATTCTTGTGTGCGAGTTCCACTTACAGTTCAAGCTGAAATATCAGGCTCTGTCAATGAGGTACCTGAACTTGGGCCATGAGATACTTTCTCAGGTGTGGCTGCCGAGATTTCAACAAAGATGTCAGATCCTCGGAGCTATACAATCATTCTACGCTGTCAATCACATGAACGCTTTTAGAAGCTGGTCATTGCATACAGTTGCGGACAAGCCAAGTCGACAAGTCTGGTAGCGCCAGAACGGCAGACTTTGGGGCGAAACTGATTTCGGATTCGAACTCAGGGAGGCCGAAAACGTCTGAAAACATGCTTCCGAAGTTTCTCCCGCGAGAAGTTGGGGTGGCCAAATTTTTCGGCCAAGAAATCTGAAGATTTGCTACACTACAACCACAATAAAATTGTCTACACCCCTTCCGCCGCGCTTCGTGAAGTGACAACTGGTGTGTCCTCACCTACAACAGCCAGAATTGACATCATGGCTGTATTTGAGACCTGGCGACGTTGCTTTTGCTTTCGTACTGCCCATGCCGCAGCCATCCCAGTAAGACCTCTCCGATATGCACTCATGAATCGATATGACCGATTTATGAACCGCCGTATGACTTCCACCGGGCATGCATTGAGTTTCAGACTCAATGTCCTTCCACCCGAGCTCATCAACGTCACCTTCCCAGTCTTCATCCTCTTCATCTTGGACAAAGGTAGGCTGGAGACTATCAAAACAGACCCCCATATCCAAGCCGTCCCCTTCATCACTGTCAAGCACGGCCTCCATTGGACTTGGTGCGCGAGAGCGGCGCAACGAGCCATCTGTTGAGTTTGTCGCATCTAAAGCACGGCTTTCAAACTCTACAGTTTTGGATGCATGCTTCAGTGTGCTCCCTAAAGCTGTCAGACTGGCTACATTTCCGCCTTGATTCTTTAAGCCAGAGATGTCTCTCCGAGCTCTTCTCTTTGGATATTTAGGGGCCATAGTGACAGAGAAAATACCTTCCCGGCATGCCGTTCTCATAATATGACCATTGGAATTGATCCTAATCACTAAGGGAGTGCATCGCGCCCGTACGAACTTCACGCCAGGTTAGGTGTATCCGTTATCATTTCACTCAAATGATGTCGTCAACATTCTATACTCATCGAATGGCGTCGAATACAATATTTTCATGATTTTAGGGATTTTTTTAGGGGGTCGGCCAAAATTTTGACGTTCCAAAAGTTAAAACTTATTTTTTGAAGAATCGGCTCGTGCAGTTCTGCTCATTGCAGTTCAGAATCATTGTACTACTGGTTTAAAAGCTTATCGGACATGTGTTGAACGCTACATCAACGGTCGACTGACTTTGTCGATTTGGCTTGTCCGCAACTGTAGAATAGCAATGGTCCTTCCGGCTCTTAGCCACGAATCCTTGGGCAGACTAACACGAGAACAGTACTACCTCACCAAAGTAGCACCTATGTACATCACCTACAGTGTCATGGATGCAAAAGTCGCCACGGAGCACCAGACTGCGAAAGCATGATGGAAAACTCGTGCACAACCTTGCAAGGCACTTCTGTACCGTCAACTTTTTAGGGGACGTGCTGACAAGACGGATCCAACAAATGTAGAAGTCGCGTTGTATTGGCAAGCTGAGACCAATTCTGGCCACATACTGCGCTCATTCCAAACATGCATAAACCCTCGGAACTGCAGTTCTTAACGAGTGCCCAAAAATGCTCCAGGTGACTTGCAAGGTGGTACAGTTCCCTTGAACTTTAAGCCACGATGTTGTGAATTGTGAATCGCAGTAAGCCACCGTGGCCTTGCTGGCAGGTACCGTTCTCAGCGAGGATTGTCGAATAGCGTGAGAGTCCTTAATCCCGATTACGATTGTCAATGTCATGAATTGCGATAATATTGCCACCCAACCCAATTCGCAATGACAAAATACGCCGTAGTGGGTATAAGCAATACCACAAAGTATTTGTAGTGCCTATCATCCGCCAGGACGTCCAACAACTACAAACGATCAGAAACGTCTTTTTGTCAGCATGGCGACGAACAAACGACAACTTCTGAAGATATGTCTGTCAAGGAAGTTGAACGAAGAAGTACTCACATAGATCCCTGTTCGAGGTAGGAAAGCACTGAATAGGGTGGCGTAACCCCCTAGGACGAGAAATGTGAGAGAGCTGAGGAGGATGATGGAGCCTGTGAGGAGGCTTGGAGGTTGAGAGGATGGGGCTCGTATTCTATGCACGATTAGAGGTTATCAGAATAAGAGGTCTGATAGTACTGGTGATGTTGCAATGCTCACGGATGGTGAAACTTCTCAAACCGCAAGTATGGTGATTCCCCACCATCGACTTCACTGTCGAGTGAGGACGAGGGACTGGGAGAACGTGTCATGGTTCATGCCTACAGATAGTATTTCAGTCAGATCTGAGTGTAGCCTCTTTCTGTTGGGTTACACTGACATAAGGGGCACGGTAAATCTTAGTCGGAGAGAGGGTGCTTATAAGGACAGCGGATTCAGTTGTGTATTGCCGAAACCGCAACTTTAGCCTTCGGCGCCAGCAGCTTTGAACACTCGATCGAGTTGCTAAGCGAAGACGGAGGCCTAGGTTGCGAAAGTTTGTGCCCATGTGGAGGAGCCGATTCTTCACAAAATACATACTTGGAAGCCCACGACCAAGTCTCAACAGACAAGATATCATTGTCGAAAGCGTCCATCAAAATCCGAGAGAAAACATATGATAAAGAACTACTAGGAAAGAGAATATTGCATATCTTCCTAACACCCACTGCAAAGTGAGGCAACGACAGACATTACAGTAAGAGGGACGTAGATACAACACAACGATAAACTCGTTAGAATGTCCGAGCTAATCGTAAAAGTGAAGGGCAATCGAGGAACGGGCGGGGGCATGACACAGGAAACCAGGCAGGCGGAAGGAGATGGCGGATAGAATAAATACGGCATTTAATGGTGTGTCGCCTTCACGATAGACACCACGATGATCACAATAATAATAGCGATGGCAACCCCGATAATTATTCGCATCTGTTCAGCAAAGAAGGTTCAGAATAGGGAGCAGAATATAGTGATTAGTAGCATTACCTTCATATCTTTCCACCTTGTGAAAGAGAACTCTGAGTGAAAAAATAACTGCGATGGATGTCCGGACTTACCACATGTTCTAGAAGCAACAAGTATGGTAAGCTTAGGAGAGGACTCTTACTACGCAGAATGGACATACCTTGCGGACCCGATTCGCCCCGCGACGGAATCCTTGCGCGGATACAGCCAAGTTGTCTAGTGTGAAGAACAATTCGTGAGATAGAGTCAAATGATAGGGAAGTTGTGTTGAAAATGCCGCCAAATGCAGTTTCTGGACAAGAAAGACGTTTCTGAGTCAAATGAAACGCATACCAGTCTTATCCTGAAGCTGATCCAGCCTCTCTCCTCGTTCTGCAACCTTGGTGATGTTCTCTCTCATGATACCGACGGTGTCGTCAATCTGCGCCTGAATGGCGGCCGTTTTGGAGTTGCCCGCAGTAGGACCAGCCGGATTCGGGGACGAGCCAGTGCGGGGAAGATAAGGGTCGTACGGTTCAGACCTAAAGAGAACATATCGTAGCAAAAGCGCACAGAGTGAGCTGTGAAAGCGACCGAGACATTGCGAGTACAACGAACATGATTAGAGCGTGGGAATGGGAGTCTGTTGAAGGGCGGGGTAGTCAGTAACTGGTATATCTTCGATGCTTTCAATGGGCTACTCACCGTGACAACGGAGAGGTGGTGGAGGACGAGGGCGGATGGAAGTCGTTGAGGCCGTTGAGGATGGTCGTGGGGAGTGAGCAAGTTGTTAGCTGTGACGCTGCGCGCGGCAGACCTGTAACGGCGTAACCGCCACCGAAACGCTCGCACACGGCCCGCCATATTTAGGTTTTTACATTTAATGTATTTAATGTACTAACCGTCGCTGACAGTACAGCGAAGTTTTACAGTAGGTACACTAAAATGGGCTGCAGGATTTACAGTCATTCATGAAGTGCTGGCTGGTGGATAGACAATGGTATCGAGTTTATTGGGAGATTTAACGTTGATAACGTAATTACCCTGAATGGCAATGACATACAGGGATTAGGCAGCGCTACTCCGGATGCAAGCACTGTTTGATATTCGACTACATCTTCAACACAAGCACTCTCTAATTCCTGTCGTTCTTTTGCTACTCTCAATGCTCCCATGGCTGCAGACGGACATCGGCACACTGGCTCGGTTTCACAGGTCCAGAACCACAAAGCACAACTCGCAAGTGCATATAATGAACTAGGCAAGGAGTTGTCGTCACACAAGATCAGGGTCGTCGGGAACTATACCCTGGGCAGGGTGATCGGCGAAGGTCGGTACTGTCGCACCCAAATTCCCTTCATTCATTTACCATCTTTCAGGCACTTATGGCAAGGTGCGGATGGGGGTGCACCGCTTGACTGGGATGAGAGTCGCCATAAAGCAAATCCCGAAAGCCATGTCGGCTTCCCTCACTCGCGAGATTCACCACCATCGTCAGTTGCATCATCCGAACGTCACACAGCTGTACGAGGTTATCGCTACAGAGTCCAATATCTGGCTTGTCACGGAACTTTGCTCTGGAGGCGAACTATTTGACTATCTTGCTGAGAAGGGCCGGCTGGCCGAAGATGAAGTCAGAGTGCTCTTTGGGCAGTTGTGCCTGGCCGTCGCGTATGTGCACGAGAAGGGCATCGTCCACCGAGATCTGAAACTGGAGAACGTCCTGCTCGACGAGCGATGTCGCGTCAAACTCGGCGACTTTGGATTCACAAGGGAGTTCGAGCGGGGGAGTCTGCTAGAGACCTACTGCGGCACGACGGGGTATGCCTCCCCTGAGATGCTTCTTGCTAAGAAGTACACAGGTCCAGGTAAGTTCTCATAATTCAGTTTGTTGCGTCCTATGTTTCGCCAATAGCTTCACAATTCTGACCCTCATGTATTCTTGAAAACAGAAGTTGACGTTTGGTCTCTGGGCGTGATTCTCTACACACTCCTGACCGGTACTCTGCCGTTTGACGATGATGACGAATTGGTGATGCGGGAGAAAGTCATCACGGGTGTTTTCGAGGACCCAGAATGGCTCACTGATGGTACGTGCAGAATTCCACATGTCTCGAAACCAGTATTCATTATTCTTTTATCATGCGCAGAGGCCCGCGATCTCATCAAGAACGTACTTGTCGTTGACCCGACTAAACGACTGACCATCGCCCAAATTCTCGATCATCCTTGGTTTAAAACGGCCGCCTCCATTCCTTCAGACCCTCTCTCACTTCAGGGGCTCGTGCCACCAACGTCCCCGGCCTCCCCAACTCTCGCAACGTCGTCTTCACCCCAAGTGGATCCGCAGCCTTCCTCGTCCGTAGCGTCGGACACCACTTTCCACTCTGCCTCTGATGAGCCTTTCCCGTCCAATCCTACTACCCCCGATGAGCATATTTCAGCAGCTAACCTTTCTCAATCTTCACTTGCTTCTGACCTTGAAGAGGCAATGAAGCGGCGAGCAAGTGAGGATACGCTGAGGAAACTCACTGGATCTGTTCAAGGACATTCGCATTCTCGGGCACATCCGGAGACAGTGCAAGAAGAAGACTTACCTTCTGATGCGCATCTCGATGCATCACCATCACGTCCATCAATATCTCGAACTACCACTACATCTTCAAAAGGTCCGCCGCAATACCCTGCACGCACGCCAGCTCGGACGAAGCGGCGTTCTGTTTCTTCCACGCTTTCTGACCCTTCATCGCCACCCCCAGGATTTGACAAAGACAAACTCAAAGGTGGTCACACCCCTCAGGATTTCTCATCATTACTCAGTACACCCGCACCTATCATCTTCTCCACGCCGCTCGAGCGCGACCTGCTCAATGACCTCTCTTCTCTAGGATTCGACACAGGTCAGATCGTGCACTCCGTTCTGACAGACGCTTGTGACGCCACGGGTGCGTTATGGTGGATGCTCAAGCGGAGAGCGGAGAGGAAGGGTTTGGAGGGTCCTCAGGATGATATGATCCCCATGGAGGCTGCTGAGGCCCTAGAACGTGCTAAAGCGGAGAGCTCCAGGAGGAAGAGTGAGAAGGAAAGACGCTCAAAGGGCGAGTCTAGCAAGTTAACCGTTCCTCCTTCTCTGGCTATGACGCGCTCTGCTCCGGAGTTGCAGTTCATTCCACCTACTCCTACAGCTGCAACTACCATTCGACCTGTCACTCCACCTCGCGCTCACTCACCAACAAATCCTCTGCTGTCGCCCACATCTTCTACGACTCCCTTGGACCCTTCAGTCAGGTCACATCCTTCCACACCAGGGGGCAGTGTCAAAGAGAGGGACAAGGACAAGGAGAGCAATCAGGGCTCGAAAGGCCGGAAGGCCCGGGCTGGAAGTGTCAGTATCATGCAGCGGGCTACGACTGCACTTGAAGCTGCCGGACTGGTGCGGAAGAAATCTGCCGAACGCGTCCTAGAAGACAAGGAGAAGAGCCTCGAGAAGCGATTGGCTAACGCAGAAGAACCTCGGAACTCTCATGGAAGTGCTTCAAGCAAGTTGACAAAGTCACCGCCTATGAAGACTCTGAAGGACATCGTTGTCCCGGGAACTCCTCCACAAAGCGTAGATGGGCATACCCCGTCAGGTCAGGTTGGCTCACCTTGGGTCATCACAAGTAAACAGTCTCCGCCCACGACACCGGTGAGCTCGCCTGGAGATACGCTTGGTGCTTTGCCCAATATCCCCGAGCATGGTACTAGGCACCGTAATCGTGCTAGCCTTTTGTCTGCGTTTAGGATGTGGTTTAAAGAGGATGCAAAGGGGAAGAGGAAGGAAACACCTCAGTTGACTACCGAAGCTCTTCCGCCGGCGAGAAGTCACCAGGTTGGTAGTCCAGGTTCAAGTCCAGTCAATGGGAGAGGTCGCGGCTCAATCAAACGGCGCACAATCACTGCTGGTGGGAAACGGACGAGCACAAGTCATCGTGCAAAACGGGCGTCGGTGTCGTCACGGAGGTCCAGTAGTGTTAACTCAAGAAGATCTTCAATTGCGTCCGCGCATATTCCCATTGATCTTATCACTCCTGTGACCAGTAGGAGGTCATTTGGCAGTCATACGCCTAACTCTGATCTCGAGGACCTCGTGTCGAGGCCGTCGTCCATGCAGAGCTTCCACCATCGACATCGTAAATCACCTTCGGCGAGCTCGTCGGGATCCATGTATCATGGCAGGAACTCACCTCTACCTCCAAAGTATCATCGACGAGGAGGATCAGGGTCGTCCACGCGAGTGATACGACAAATGCACCCGTCCAACTCGAGAGGTTCATCTCATCTACGGTCGAACTCCGCCTCTTCAAATCACTCGTTGGCTTCCTCACGTCATGGCTCACTCTACGATGTCTCGGAAACTGAGTCGCGTCGGAAGGGTTCTCCTATCAAGCGACAGTCTCGATCTTCCTTAGACGATACTCCTCGACGCGCAGCGCATGGCACCTCCACCTTCGTCGCCCATAAGCGCCAAACACCGTTTGGCAGCAGCAACTACCTGAATTCATTCGGCCGGAGTAGCTGGAAGAAGTCCTGGGGACTCGAACCACCTGGTTGGCAAACTCGTTCGGCCCATCCTGCTATTGAGGTTCTGGAAATCTTACCGCCTACGGATGGGTCGGGTGTCATTCGTGATGTTTTTACAGGTAGACATAGTATGGGCGATGAGTCTGATTGGGTTGATGAGGATGATGATTCACCTGGGTATGTTGGTGGATTGGGCCAGATGCCAACGCCCGCCTCGACGCCGTATCCACAACCACCTGATGGGCCCTTGATGTCTCCTCCGCCTCGGGGCTTTGCTCGTTCTGGTTCCGGTGCGTCGTCTAAACGGACGAATGCACAGAATGGGTTGACGCCTGTGACAACGGCTGGTCGGGCAGGACGAGGGAAGACGGGTGGTCGATCACCGGCGGGACGAAGCTCTCCGTTACCTGGTGAAGGCTCCTTTGAACCCCCGGATACCAGAGCTGGAAGACGTCAGCTTCCTGCGGGGCGTTCTGCTCCTGCGTTTCGACAAACCATTCAGGAGGAAGATGAAGATGAGGAGTAGTAGGTAGTTATTTACATACTTGGTACTTTTTCTGGATTCTATGGTTGGTTTTTGCTCTTGCATCTCGCGCTCTCTCTTTTTCATCAGTGCACAATTGTGAATATGCATATCGTTATGGATTGTTTTTAACTCTTTTGTATGAACATTTGTTATCTAGCTATTTCTTTTCTTTTTTTTTTTCGTCCACATTGCATTCTAGCATTTCCTTCGTTTGGGTCGGTAGATCTTTAAATAACAGGAAGATACCCTGTATTCTGTGAATCCGAGTTCGATGCTTGGACTGAATGCATATCCTAATCCTTGTGCGTAGCTCTTTACATGAGATGATCCTTGGATCTACAGCCGTGGCATTCTCTTCGTCAGATCTGACTCTCACCAGCTTGAGATGCAGGAACACCACGGACCACAATCATGACATCAAGCGGATTCCGATTTACAATGGTTTGGATACGGAACAAAGAAATTCGTCATTTTTTCCTGAAGCGATCTAGACACCTCATCAATATCGATTTATAAGCGCGAGATTGTGCCATAGCATGCGGACCTCTTGTACATGGGACATGATGGGTTCCATCACATAATGAGACTCATTATTTACCACCGATGTACGATACTCCGTACTCATGACTGTCTGTTCTACTCAACCAAGCGAAGCTAAAGCAGTTGCCATTTATAGGATGCGTTATCCAAATATGGCAAAGTCAAGAACCGACTCACGCGGGTTAACGTTAACGTTGTGGCCTGCAGGATACCATGAGGAAAGACGCAGTAGCGTCTTTGCTCTCACGACATCTTTGTGCTTTACTTCTATCATACTTTTCCTTGCAGAAACTTTTTTAAAGTTATATGTCTCACATACCGGGTCTATCTAAAGGAAAATGCATCGACATCTTCTTGCGGTACAGAGATGATCGTGCTGCAGGAATAAAGTTCTCCAGTGTTCCTCAACCTTGTGATTTACCTTCCCCACTTTTTGCCCAAATAACCGAGGATTTGAGAACGCTAGGCTACTATCTGCCGGAGTTGAAGATTCCTGTTCTGAAACTCGCAAATGATGGTATTCAGGCATCTTGGGTTGCGAGTGAAGGTGGAGTAAGATAGATTCCTATCTAATTCATTCGCCCACTAACCCAAATTTATTTGCAAAGTCGGAGGTACAGGGTCTAGAACTGCTAGCAAAAGAGAAGAGCAAAAGGGAACTCAAGGCTGTTATGGAGTCTCTGAACATGTATGCCATGTCTTCTCCGAACATATTGGATATTCATTGTTTTCTTTCTCTTTATATATTTAGCTCTCTAGTAAAGATCAACGTGAAGTATGTTATGATCAGTCTGCACCCATATGTCGCTGACTCCAATAACCATACTAGTGGCATCACCATTCTCGACCAAGCTCAGAGTGCGAAGACGGGTGGACCGGGAATAAGAATGAGAGGCCGCGATCCGGGCCTCAATTATGGATCACTGGAATCTTCCCCCGCCCCCTCCAAGCTTGCCAGGTTGAAGTCCAGTACTTCCGGACCTCACCATGCAGAACGAGTGATTGATAATGTTGACATCACCTCGCACGAGACAAGGTTGCAATTCATGGAGGTGAACGCTGCTGTAAAAAATAACAAAGCGAAGGACGATATGTTATGGGACTCTACCGAATCGGAGTCGGACTATGCTACAGAGGTGAGTGCGGGATGACACGAAGTGCTAAATATGTCACGATACATTCACTTGCTTAATGGTTGACATATATCGATAACAGGCATCATCCACGTTATCAAAAGAAGTCGGATATCGTCTTTTCACGGAGGCAAAGCAGGCTCATGAAGGTGACGAATTAGGCGAAGCAGGACCTGCCTCGAACCTGACTCCAGTCGCCATCGCAACGTTACCTGTGCAGGCCAAGAAACGAGGACTGGAAGCTTGGCTGATATATAAACAAACAAGCATGCCGCGTCGGGATACAGATAATGGCGACGATACCGCCGCTTCCACTCCAAATGCTGGGTTTTCATCTACGATGAAGGAAAGCCGCTTACTAGCGGAGAAAGAACTATACGAACAGATTGCCTCGGGTTGGACTGTTATCCTTTGTTGCATGGCTCCATACTGAACACTCTTTCATGCAGACCTTCGTGGACAACTTGACCAAGAGCGCAGACAGCGTAATCTCGCGGAGAAACTGCTGAAACAGGAACGTCTTCACATACAGAAGCTCGAGGCACAGCTTGATAAGCTTGAACGTATGGACTTTGAAAAGGAATTGGTTTGCTTTCCTTTATACGCGCCGGTCTAACGAACATATTGCTTCCATTCTATCAGTAGCATGATATCAATGAGGACCAAGTCCGTCATGATCTGCAGAAACCTCCTCTCGCTGACTCTTTTGTCTCTGTACAGTGGTGTCAGCATCCGCCACATGTATTCGGCACACCGTAGACGCGTCAGGGTCATGACTGGGAGCAATAGAGCCAACGTTCAAGCTGTTAAGCTGGATGCGACACTCGCAAAGCTTCAGGGATTACTGCTCAGGGGATGTGGTGCTCGTCCCGGCTCCTCACCCGGATCATCCTTAAACAATGATATGGCTGTAGGGAAGGCTACAAACACTGCATCACCGCAAGTTGCACATCTAGTGAACCTCCAGCCCAACATTCCTGTAGGGACAGTTGAAACTCCTGTCGATGATACTGCGATGGTAACGAAAATCACTAATGCACCAAACACCAGTAAATCATAACTTGCATATGAACAGATGCCTGCAACATCCGGACGAGGAGACAATGTTGTCGATGAGAGTAAGACATGGTACTATGGCTCTACTTTTGTGGAAGGAGAGATGGTTGAACGACTGGCTACGCACACTGAGGGCTCCGAATTGACTTTGCGCCCTCCCAAACGCCAAAAAGTGGATACCACTTCTGGGTCAGCTCAGAAGGATTCCGTTATGATCGCCCTATCCGAGACCAGTGGTCGCCGTCCTATTCCAGAATCCGAGTCAGTATACTCTGCTGTGGCCGGGCCATCAACATCAAAGCTGAGGTCCGAGGATAGCGGAACGGGTAAGCAACAGTCTCTTCCAAATGCTCAACGCATTGCTTACAAGCTCTTTTAGGGAAAGAGGGGGGCTTACATTTTCCTTTACCTGATAAGAACTGTTCACGACAGGACGGAGCAAAGCCATTCGCAGAGGAAAGTCATCAACGAACCAAATTGGAAGACATGGAAGGCCGCGAAACGGCCCCACAAGTGTTGGTGAACGAGTGCGGCGAACCTGCTTGTGCCAGTACCACGAACACAGAATGCCAAGAGTTGCTGAACGAGAGGGAGGGTAGGACGGAAACAGGTGGCGAGCTTGCTCGCAAATTGGTTGACTTGCAAAGTGCGCTCGATAACGAGCGTCGAGAACGTTTAAGACTGCAAGCACAGTTAGAGAAGGCGCGGCAAAAGGAGGTCGAGTTGTTGAAGACCATTGATGACTTCAAGCGCGAACGCAGTGATCCTATCGTGGTTTCTGCCGTCATGGATGCCTTCGTACGTATTTGGAATTTGATGAACAGTTTGGGCGCTGACGTCCGCACCCAATAGCCAAGGTTATTTGAATGAATAGTGTATAGACCACGTCATTGTATGCTCTGCGAACTGCAGTAGTTCAGGTCTATTTGCACCATTCATAAAAGACAAGTAATCTCGTCGTATACCCTCATAGTGTATACCTGTAAGATCAATGAAAACATGCGATACCATTCTACGATGACGATATTCATGGTAGACTGAAGCACGCTTCTTCCCCTTTCTCTCCTTTCGTTTCCTCCCTATCAGGCAACCAATCTGGGTATCCTGCTTTTTTTGGAGACTCCTCAGGCTGGCTTTCCTTTGCATCGGACTTTGCTTTGACTATCGGCTGAGGTTCCGACGTGCGTCGTTTTTTACGAGGATGATCTTGCCCCTCTTCCTTTTCAGTCTTCACAGAGGTAAAAGAGTTCGTCTACTGGGCTTCGTGGTATCCGACGGGGCCTATTCACGAATGTGAGTGGATTCGAAATCTAATAAACTCAAAGCTATGAATGAAAACTTACAAAGGGAGACCATATTGAAGAATCATGACATGGATATGCAGACCATCCGTCAATTTTCTCACCTCTGGAGACTTAGCAAAGCACATAAGGAAGCAGCTCGCTCGAACGGGTAATTCTTACATCCTGAGCGGACCAGTCCTCGCTGGCAGATTCATGCAGCATATGTACGGAGACTCCAGCTATGTAGGGCGGATACCTTCACCCCGGTCAACGTATGGTCCACGGTATATGTCTTGTACGCTGTCCCCATGCTAATTGCTGCAGATATACGGGTCTCTCGGAAAATATCCGATATGACCTACCAAATTCATGCTGAATGAGTACTTGGACATGCTTCAATCCGGCCGGCCGGACGATCCCGTGATGTCTGCTGCCAGACTTTGAGCTTTTGGAGAGTGCATAGGTGCTTCCGGCTAAGTATTAGATATTGTTAGTATGATTTTTCCTTGCAATGCAACTATCTAGAAGCGGTAGCAATGTCATGCACATAACTTACGCTGTATTCACTGTCTTCACCCGGATAAGGCGAAAATGTAAGCACCTTATGTGGATCAATGCTGGCGGAAGAAGCATTCCTAGTTACTACGTAAGTTACCTATTTAAGGCAACGTTGTTTGGCCCCAACTTGAACTTAGCCGCATCCTCTTTAGCTCTTTAGCCTGATTTTGCCTACTCCTTCGGGTCGCAATCTGGATGGCACAAATAGCCACACTATCTAGGGGAAAATGTGTCAACATCATTTATATGCAGTACAGGGGTGATCGTGCAAAAGCCTTGTCGGCTGCAGCTGGAGACAAGTTGGCCCCCAAGGTGTTCACGGACGTGATTGACGACTTCAAGAGTTTGCGATACCTTCCTGCCTATCCAGAAATCGAATACAAAATCGGCAGCCTTACAGCTTCATGGACTGTTGAGGGTAGTAGTGTAAGTTGCAATATCCGTTGCACGATGTATAGATATATGTTCACATTATTTGTCGACCGGCAGGAGGCTCAGACATCTTTCAACACCTTGGTAAACGACATGAGCGATGATTACCTTCGAACGGTTATGTTGAACCGGAGCATGTACATGGTTTTTGCTTTTCCTTATACGCGCTGGTCTAACGATCATATTACTTCTGCTCTATTAGTGCCATGATATCAATGAGAACTAAGTCCGTCATGATCAGCAAGAATTTCCTCTCGCTAACTCCTTTTGTCGGTACAGTGGTGTCAGTGTCCGTCACATATATTCGGGAAAGAGTAACCGTGGCGCAAAGGTCGTTATTAACAAGAAAGCTCCGAACGACAACCAACCAACTGTTCAAGCTGCTCAGGCTAAGCTGAATAAGAGCCCCATCAAGCTTCAGGGATCATTCTCCAGAGAATCTGATGCTCGTCTTGGCACTTCACCTGGATCGTCGTTAAGCAATGAGAAGGTCGCAGGGAAACCTACAAACGCTGCATTACCGCAAGTTGTACGTCTGACGCAATTTCAGCCGAACACTTCTGTGGGAACACTTGAAACACCTGTCGACGATACTGCGATGGTAAGGAAATTTACTAGTATACCTTCGCACCAGTGCATTCTAACTCGTATATGAACAGACGCCTTCAACGTCCAAACCACGAGACGATGTCGTCGCTGGGACTAAAAGATCGTACGGTGGCTCCACCTTTGTGGAAGGCAAGATGGTCGAACGACTGGCTGAACACACTGAGGGTTCTGAATCGACTCCGCACCCATCAAAACGCCAAAAAGTGGATATCATTTCTGGTACAGCTCAGAGGGATTCCGTTATGATCGCCGTATCCGACGTCTATAGTCGCCGTCCTATTCCAGAATCCGAGCCAGTATCCTCTGCTGTAGCTAGGCCATCAACGTCAAAGCTGCAGTCCGACGATAGCGGAACGGGTAAGCAATTGTCTATTCCAAGTGCTCAACGCATTGCTTATAAGCTCTTCTAGGGAAAGAGGGGGACCTGTATACTTCTTTGCCTGCTAAGAACGGTTCACTGGAGGACGGAGCAAAGCCTTTTATAGACAGAGGTCACCAGCGAACAAAAATGGGAGAGTCAGAAAGCCGCGACAGGGCCCCACAAGTGTTGGTGAACGAGAGCAGCACACTTGCTTGTGCCAGTACCACGAACACAGAACATCAAGAGTTTGAGAACAACCGAGAGGGCAGTAGGATGGAAGCAGATGGCGACCTTGCTCGCAAATTGGTTGACTTGCAAAGTGCGCTCGATAACGAACGTCGAGAACGTACAAGACTGCAAGCACGGTTAGAGGAGGCGCGGCAACTGGAGGCCGAGTTGTTGAAGACCATCGACGACCTCAAGCGCGAACGTAAGGATCCTATCGTGGTTTCTGCCGTCATGGATGCCTTCATACGGATTTCGAATTTGACGAACAAGTTGGGCACTGACGTCCTCACCCAATAGCCAAGGTTTCTCAAATAAATTATGTACAGACCGTCCCATTGAACTTTATGAACTATAGTAGTGTAGGTCTGTTTGCACCATTCATTAAAGACAAGTAATCTCGTGTCATTCCCTCACGACCTGCTAGATCAATGATAACATGTGATAACATTATAGGAAGAGGATAGTCATGCCAGACTATGAAGTACGCTTCTTTCCCTTTCTCTCCTTTCGTTTCCTCCCTATCAGGGAACCAATCTGGGTACCCTGCTTTTTTGGAGACTCCTGGCTCTCCTGAACATCGGACTTCAATGTGCTGGGTTTCGGCTGAGGTTCTGATGTACGTCGTTTCTTACGAGGATGATCTTGCTCCTCTTCCTTTTCAGTCTTCACAGAGGTAAGAGACATTCGTCGACTGGGCTTCTTGGTATCCGACGGAACCTATTCACGAATGTGAGTGGATTCGAAATCTAATAAACTCAACGATATGAATGAAAACTTACCGTCTTCTGTTCTTGTTGGTGAGCGGCCCTGCGTTTGACGACCTGCACGTTCTCAATAGAGAACTCAACAATAAGCGACCCCTTCGCGTTCTTCTTCGGACCTTGCTCCAACTCGTTCTTTAATCTTTCCAACCTTCCCTCCTCCTTTTTCTCTTTCTTCTTCTCAAGCTTGACAAGATCCTCCAACTCCTCCTTCCACCACTCCGCGACCAATTTGCTCACTTCAGGGTTATTGTTCGCCCATCGGAGGACTCGAAGCGCATCGGCGTGCTTGCCCATCTCGAGGAAACCATACCCGCGACTCCGCCCTTTGCCAGTGACAGGATCAACGCGATCTTGTTGACGAACAACTTTGGCCTGCTTGACACCGGTATTCCGTCCCTTAGCTTTTCCCTTGGCCTTATCCTTGCCCTTGACAGAATGAGATTCATCCTCATCCTCATCAGGGCCTTCAACAATCTCGGTCAGTTCGTCTTCCGTCAGGCCGGTACGGGTACCAGCTTTAACTTCGGCCTGGAATGCACGAACGGCATGAATGGCCAAACGCTTCAACATTCGCTCGGACACGAACAAGGGGAGTTGTCGGACACTGAGGCGAGTCCTGGAAACGTAGAGTGATGGGTTGGAGCGTAGCAAAGCGCGTCGAGCGTTGAACGATTGAGTACGGTTCTCCACTTCGGTAGCACTGAGCAACTGCGCAGCAGGAGTGTTGGGAAGGATGACTACGAATTCAATCAGCCGAGTTTCTAGACTAAACCAGAGCGGAAGACTTACGTCCTTCACGGAGAAGGTATAAATTACGCTTGTCTGCTTTTTCCCGTTGGCGTTCACCCGCTTCCTTCAGCTTCCCAGCTTCATCTCTTGTAACAGCACGGATAACATCCAGAGTTCTGCCCTGCAAGACGAGGTTCTGAGCCATAGATGCGGAAGGATCTGGTGTCAAGAGGGATGGTAGTGTGAACGGATTCTTCTTGGGCTGTAACAAAAAGAGAAATGAGCTATTTAGGTCATTAGTATAGAGGTGTCAGAACGTACGGCAGAAGTGTCACCGCCGGTAGTTTCTTGCCGGAGTATATCACTCTGCTCAATAGCTTTGTCTGCATCAGCCTTATTCCAGAAGCAGACGAATCCTGTTCCTCGGGAACGTCCCGTCTCATGATCCATAGTGATACGTGCATACCGAAGTGGTCCAAATGCTCGGAATCTATGAAGGTAATGTAGTTAGCAACATGGAACATTAAAACGAAAGGTGGAGTTAATACGTTGTCCTGAGTTCGTCTTCGGTCGCTTCGAACGGAACATTGCGAACGAACAGAGTTGTCCCAGTCTCGGGTGGTGGAAGTTGAGGTTTACCAGGATTCTCTTCTTCCTCGTCGACATTCATCTCGTCATCGTCTCGGCTTCCGTTGCTTCCCTCCTCATCGGAATCGCCATGGTGGACACCAATGTGGCCATCCTCCTCGTCAGAAGAAGCGTCAGATCCTGACTCGTCCTCGTTTGCGTCTTCGTCCGCTTCTTTCTTCTCATCGTTTTCCTCCTGAATTTTCGCCTTAGCCTCCTCCCACTTATCCTTACTCAACGCCCAATCAACAGCAATAACTCGCTCAGCTGAAGGCGCCAAAACGTCCATTTCGTCCTCTTCACCCTCCTCATCACTTCCCTTTTCTTCGTCCTCTTCTTCCTCATCTTCGACCTTCCCATCCTTCCCTTTCTGCTTGGCCTCTCGTTCCTTCCTAGCCTTCTCAAACTTCTTCTCTTCTCTCAATAACTTTTTCTTCTTCTGCTTATCCCTAACAAGCGCCTCAGCCATACCCGCTCTTACTCTCGTCCCATTCGCGCCCTCAATCGCAGCTTCGGCGTCCTTCTTACTGAGCATCCATACGAAAGCGTAACCTTTGGCCCGAAGTTTAGACCTTTCCGAGGAGTCCTCAGATTTCGCTTCGGGTTCCTTGACAGGAATGTGGATGGAGTATATGGGACCGTAGGGAAGAAAGACGGCGCGGAGGTCCTGTTCTGTAACGTTCCATGGCAAGTTACGAACGATCAGACGGCTTGCTCGACTTGGGGCTGGGCCAGAGGCACCATTTGCAGCGGGCGTTTTCATGTCGGCATCAAGAGCAGGGGTCTGTTTTGAAGATTTTGAGGGTTTGGTACTTGGCTTTGCGAGACCGTCAAGACGTTTTTTGAGAGTAACTGAGAGAAGAGCGCCTTTAAAGACATGAGCATGAAGTTTTGAGACTGCTTCCTGTGCAGCAGCCGGTGTGGAGAAAAGGACGTGTGCTGAAGCATCCGAATTATGAATTTCAGTGATTGTCGCGCAAATCGTGAATAACATGGCAACGCACCGGTGCTTTTATCTTCCAATCCATCTTTTTGAATCGGCCAATCGACCTTTTCGGCACCTTTATATTTGCGGACCTTCTTCCAAAGTGCTTTCGAGTCGATCGAAGTCGGTAGACCAGAAACAACTATGGTACGAATCGCGAGTGGATCTTTTGGACCCGCAGGGTGAATAGGTTTAGATATGCGTGCTGGTTTAGGTTCTTTTTTGACATCTTCACCGTCCTTTTCATGCTTCTCTTTATGGTGCTATTGGAGTCCGTGAATTCAGCTCATCCGCTTCATACAGTAACAAGATAGCGACACACCTTACTATCTGCCCATTGAACACGTAGTTTCCTACCTTCCAAGACTATTGGATCACTTCCACCATTGGCCTTGTCATAGGTCGCCTCTGCATCCTCTCGAATAGCAAAAGAGACATAGCCGACACCTTTGGAAGATCCTGAACCTTGGTCAAGCACAACGAACGCCGATCGGACGGGACCAAGGTCAGAAAACAGAGTATTCAAATCTGTTGAGGTAACGGAGTATGGAAGGTTGGAGACAAAGACCGTCGAGCTATGAAGGAAATGAAGAATTCAGTAACTTTCCAGATTTCGTGATTACAATGTGACTGTTCGTACCCATGGGGTTTGGACTCTGTGGATCCTTCCTCTCTTTCCTTCCGCTTTCCTAAGGAGGTGGATGCTTCATCCATTTTTGACAGATTCCCTGGAAAGCAAATAACACAAGGGTATAATTGCTCAGTACTTACTGAGTGTTCTGCGAAGCTGTCGCTGTGAAGCGTCTCGAAATTATTCGTGAAGCGATCGGCAACTAAATTAGGCAGATTATTCTCAGCACGTGTGGACGCGTCTCATTTGAATTTGGTCGCGTACTGGTCTGACTGAGTAACAAGATTTCCTGCAACATGTCGCAAAAGGCTCATCATAGTTTACATTGAGTCTTATACATGTTCTCAAAATCCCAGTATGCCAACTTGGAACCTTCGGATTTTTCTGTGAGCGGCTTGAGGTGAGCGGCCACAGTGACGAAGTAGCATTGGCTCAAATCTAGGAAACTTGATCAATGTACGTTGTATCCTGGTGTATCCATATCACAAGTAACATGAGGAAGAAAAATCCGGAAAGTAGAGGGAAGTGTAGACTCACTTTGTCTTTTCATTCGGTTGGGCTCTGGCATGACGGTAGTTCAACATTAGATTACTCATGTGTCCCTCGGGTTCAGACGATGTCCAGGGAAATAAAACTCTTATCGGAATTCTTTCGGGCAAAACAGCATAGACAGGCATTTGCTCGGGTTGCATATAGTGTTTCATAGATATTTGTTATTCCAACTGCTTAACGGAAGTCGACTTTCAGAACTTTTTGGTGCTGTCATCTTCTACGTTGCGTGAGCTCTTCTGACCACATGTAGATGTTATAAGACATTTTCTCAAGCAAGTCAAAGCAAAACATCGGCTTTAGTATGTTTCTGGAGATCGATTCGGCTGTGCCGGCTAGATCAAGAGGATCGGCACGGGGTTTCCAAATTTGATAAGATGGCTGCGAGCAAACGTGCCGTTGTCAAACAATTATACATCTTGCACTCTCACAGAGTCCGCCACCAACAAATATCTGGGCGCTGTCCCTGTCAGCGCTTTCTACTCTCTCCTCCTCCCGACATCAGCAGCCACGTCGGTCGTCGTTAACTATGTCTTGGAAGCTTGGTTCGAAGAGTACGTATACGAACGACACCCCTAGCGCCGTGCGATGTTACGGTGTACGCTTGAAATTCACTAACATGCTATTAAGAATCAAAAGAGAGCAAGGAGGGCGTTATCTCTCGCTCCGTTACCCCCATACCCTCCCGCTCAGTAACGCCTCGACCACCCGATGGATCCGAGAATACGTTTCGTTCGGGGATGCTGACAGTTCGCGTCTTCTCTGGTCAGTGCAGCATAGACACTCTGATCGGTTTCAGAGGTTGATTGACTTCATTTTGAAAACAGGGCGAGGGCTGGCCCTACCCCCAGGCGTGAAGGTGCCTGACATTGTACAGAAAGCTCTCGATGCAGCTCCGCCTCGCAGATCGACGAGCAATCGAGAAAGTATGCAGAGAAAGCGGAATTGGTGGCTTCCTTACGTCGTACTGGAATACGATAAGAACGAAGTGCTTATTGATGCACTCGGCGGTGATCTGTCAAAGCCAGAGTGGAATTATAGAGCTGACTTGTGAGTTCACTGATCGCCCAGATGTTCTTATTTTGTTCATTTGGTCCACAGTGATGTGTCTCGAACGTCGACTATCGTCGTTTCTGCATATCTCCGTACGGCACAGTGTGTCCACGGGCAGGATGACATGGGAAACGACATTCTCATGGCCCGTGTTGACCTGACGCCAACCCTGGATGCTCATGTTCGTCTATGGCTATCTTGACGTCAGTTCTAACTTGACTGAAATTTACTATAGCATGCATCGGATGGATGGTACAACGCAACTGCTGGCGCTGGTTCTTTCCACCTCAAAATTGACTTCAAGCCCGCCCGTCACGAATCACTAACCATCGAACAATTCGATTTGCTCAAAGTAATTGGCAAGGGCTCCTTCGGCAAAGTCATGCAAGTACGCAAGAAGGACACGCAGCGGATTTACGCCCTAAAGACTATCAGGAAAGCAAATATTGCCTCGAGACCGGGAGAGATCACCCATATCCTTGCTGAGAGAACTGTTTTGGCGCTGGTCAATAATCCGTTTATCGTGCCGCTCAAGTTCTCCTTCCAAACTCCGGATAAGTTGTATCTGGTCATGTCTTTCGGTATGTTAGTTAAACGCTATCTATTCGAAGACCCTTCTGATCATGTTGCAGTGAACGGCGGCGAATTGTTCTATCACCTCCAACGGGAGGGTAAGTTCGACGAGGCACGCAGTCGATTCTACGCCGCCGAACTGCTATGTGCTCTCGAGCATTTACACGGTTTCAACGTGGTGTACCGGGACCTTAAACCAGAGAACATCCTTCTAGACTATACCGGTCATATCGCGCTGTGCGACTTCGGTCTCTGTAAACTCAATATGTCTGAAACGGAAAAGACCAACAGTGAGTTTTCAATGCCCTATCGCCGTAAATGAGCGGCGGACATCTGACATTCCCGATAGCATTCTGTGGAACCCCCGAATACATAGCGCCGGAACTTCTCGAGAATCAGGGGTACACCAAGACCGTCGACTGGTGGACGCTCGGAGTGCTCCTGTACGAGATGATGGTTCGTCATTGCTTCCTTTGCTATCATCTCATCATCTCATTTCACCGTGATTGACCGAAACATCAGACCGGCCTTCCACCCTTTTTCGACGAGAATGTCAATGTGATGTACCAAAGGATCCTGTCAGACCCTCTTTTATTCCCAGAAGACATGCCTCGTGACGCCATGAGCCTCATGATTGGTCTCCTGCAGCGAAACCCTGCAAAGCGATTGGGTGCAGGCGGCGCTGAGGAGATTAAGCGGCATCCTTTCTTCTCCAAGCATATCGATTGGAATCGGTAAGTTTGGTTTAATTTTAGGTTTGAATCCTAGTATCCCTGGCTGACGTTTGCTCCAGGCTATTGGCGAAGAAGATCCAACCGCCGTTCAAGCCGAGTGTGGTGTGTACTTTCCCTTGCTCATAGGTTTATTTAGGCATCTCAACATTGCGTACAGGAATCCGTGCTAGATGTTGCAAACTTTGACCAAGAGTTTACGGCTGAACAAGCTCAGGACTCGCATGTCGATGATACGCCTTTGTCAGAGACGATGCAAGATCAGTTTCGAGGCTTCACTTACAACCCAGGCAACGAACACCTCAGCGAGAGTATCAGCTACCCGAGCGTCATGGGCTAAGCGTTCGGCATGGCCCATTTGCCGTCCTCCGCTTTACCAACGCAGTGTTTCACACATCTGCTTCTGTTGTGCTTTCTTGGTTCCCTTTCTCCCGGTTTCTCCATCGATATCTGGGTTCTTTCACGTCTTCATTAGACGTCCAGTATTTATTCCACTTCGGTTTCCTGCCGACCGGCACCCACCTACATGTCTTTGTCTTCGCCGTCTGTTGCTCTAGGTTCCTCACATATGTACATCTCATCCGTTGCATCCACGCATTTTTTGTTGTATGACATATCCGTCTCTCATTCCTCGCTCTCCACGCTTCCACTCTCTTTGCCGCTAGTTACTATAGCGATAGCTCTGACAACATGGACTTTCTGTCAATCTCAAATGTATCATTGGCATATGTCCCTATAGCCCCGTTATTTATGTATATACCAAGTTGTGAACCTTTGTAGCACCTCCGATGAATTCACGCTCTCCATACGAGAGGATGCACCTAGGCCCTTCCGTGAATGAGTCCCGGAGTCCCGGAATGATCGATCGCTATATAGAGGGCGAATTTGAAGGAATTGAAGTTGATCACCAACCAACATCATGTAAGTTGCAACCTCTAAGCCACTTGATCCAAATTTGCCTTATCATTCACCGGATTATAGCTGCAGTATGCCAATCGTATACCAGCCTGTTCCTCCATCCGATATTGAGGCAGCTTACGCTATAGAAATCGCTGGTAACGTTATCCTTATATGCTCACAGTTGCCAGCTTGCTCAAAGTATATGTCGTATTTCAGGTTTCCCTTCTGAGGAGGCTGCAAGTTTACAAGCATTCCAGTAAGCAACACTATGATTCGAATAGTCATGGTCTAACAAGGGTCCCCTCCAAAGGTATCGCCAGCGAGAGGCTCCGGACCTCTTCCTAGGTGCCTACCTTACAGAAGGAGACACTCGTACCCTCGTTGGCTATGTCTGCTCGACGCTATCTCCATCTCCCTCCCTAACACATGAGTCCATGAGCACGCATGTACCATCCTCACCATCGGTGTGCATTCATTCCATCTGTGTTTCCGCCACTCATCGACGAAAGCGGATCGCCGTCGGGCTTTTGAAAGCATACATATCTCGCTTAGAACAAGCCCACATTGACGGAGCTCCATATGAGAGGATCCTCCTCATTACACATGAAGAACTGAGGCCGTTATACGAGAAAGCCGGTTTTGAGTTCGTTGGACCGAGTGCGGTCGTACATGGTTCTAGGCCATGGTTCGAAATGCGAAGGGTCCTTGAAGCCTCATCATCTGTTTCTTCACCGCCATCACAAGCTCTTCCGCCGGGCATTTGGGAAGCTCTCCAACGTGCTTCCACTTCTCGCAATCGACCTGTTGCTCGCAGGCTCAGTTCTCTGCCGAACGGATTAGACGATGTGTCTGAACTTGCTACGGATACTTCAGTGTCTGTCAACAAGGTTGACTTGCTTTGCCCAAGAGACGGTTGTGGCAGCATCATCCTAAAGAATGGAGTTGCGACTCTCGTAGAGAAGGAGAGTGTGCAATTGGAGCCACCAGAACGTCAGAACCCTCTCCTGCACCCGTTGCCCACTCCAGGGGCCCCGCTTCTCAAGTGGTGGAGAGTTACACCTAATGCCATGGCATTCGAGAACATTGGCTTCTCTAAACCCGTAGGTTCGCAAGGTGCGTCCTTCAGAGCGATACCTTGGTGACGACTGTCTCATTGATTCATTTAGTGTCGCCGAATGGGAAGAAGCTTCAGCTTCTACTCTGTGCTGAATGTGATTTAGGACCATTAGGTTGGTGCGAGGAAGGTGGAACGGAATTTTGGCTCGCATCCAATCGCGTCGGATATCGACAGTAACTCGTGAGAAAAAGGGTAACACACTCCCTTTGCGTTTGATTTTAGGTCTTGCGGCTGCTCATTTCTGAGTCATATCCAATATGAGGCCGTGCACTATGGAGACAAACGTTATGGTAGACGGTGCCGTGATTCTTATCCCATTACGCGCATATATCTGGAATAGTTGGGTGCAAAGCACTCTCGTAGAGCTTGTCGTCAAAGAGTTTCACTAATGTACAGCTAATCAAACGAATGAAGCGCTCTTATACATATATACATATGATGTGTTACAGATCACGCATCCTTCTTTACAAACGGGAGGAATTCTTCGAATCCAGGCTTTCCATTCCAAAGTGCTTTCAGTCCAGACTCAGTAAGGAAAGCATGATCCTCCCAGTGGAAGCCTGGAAAAACGACCTCTGTTATAAGACAACCCGTGTGAGGCTGCTTCGACGGGTCTTCCTCTATCAATATTGAGATTTATAGGTGATTAGAGATCGGATACGCGGATGAGACATACTGGCGGCAGATACATCTTCAGGAAGAAGACGAGACTTCTTCCAGACGTTCGATCCGACGAGAAGCTGGAGAGTCTCTCCGGCATGGATGTTAGGACCAATGACCTGAATGATTCTTCAAGCTTAAGGATTGTGAGAGGTAGGAGTTTATATAGTGACATTACCTTCTTTTCCACGCGGGGCGGGTTCCCCGGAGTAATCAGGGTGTACTCAGCGCGACCTTGATGAAGGACGTGCATCGTCTATAAGTCCCATAATGGTAAAATCAAACTACACTGATCGCTACTCAACTTACCACAGACTTATTCATATGAAATACGCCATCGGGGTCATCAAAGGTCAGAAGATAGTAGATCGTCGTTGCAAGAGATCGAGATGCCCCATCTGTACCGAAGATCGTTCAATGATGCCAAGTTGTAACTTACAGATGAAGGCCTGCATACCCGCAAAGGGCGAAGGAATCTGTTCCTCCTGCCTGTCGGTTTCGGCAAAGTATCCTGGGTACTCAATGCCGCATGAGAACCTCGACCTCGGATGCTATTCTGAACTAGCCAACTTACCGCCTTCCGGGTGTTTTTGAAGACTGAGCTGCTTGATGAGTTCGGGGTTTGGGATCGGGTAGGTAAGATATTTGTTCTTGTCTGACATACTCAGGAGCACCTTAGACTAAGACGGAGGAAGTATCGATGGGGTAGAGAAGCGTCCATTTCGGGATGCAAGTGTAGTATTTGATGCTTGGCGCCTTGGCAAGCACTGAGGCTGGTGATTTTATGGTGCACCATGCTCGAGAGACACCTGCTAGCGTAAGCGTTGTTACCATGTGTGAATTTGTTTCAAAATCTTTATATGCACTTGCTTGCTAATCCCCGATTCCTAGGCAAAATAGCGCGTCGCTCATTAGAAGCCGTACCACTCATAATGAGACGTGTGTTTGGTACTATTGCCACGAGGTAAATATAGCATACTATCTCACAATTCTAGGTCTTTCATGCTCATGCGATATATAGGACGTCTTCAGATGCGTGACGGTATATCCGACTCCTGTCGGATTTATGGTCAATTTCCGTCCTAAGGCACTCTTGTTGCTTGGTCAGAACTCGTATGACGAGAGTCCAGGGATGCGTCAGGCAATCCTTAGGCAATGAGATGTAGTAGGGGGGGGGATATTACAGTTATCAAGATTCTAGGTTTTTGATTAGCTATCTCCCCAGCTATCCGTATGAGACCTTTTGCTCCGAGGTGAGGTTTGCAAAATTTCCTCTTACCCAACAAGTAAGTACATACGTCCCTAATTAAAATACTGATCTGTGCTGTGCTAGTAAATGCATCTCTATTGCCCGCGAGGACGACACTAGTCGGCGTGCTTGGTAATTTGGGCGTAATGGTGTCACCGCGATAGACTTCTCGGACTAGGGACCGGATGGAGATCGCTTACTAGTCCGACGCGTAAGTCTCTGAGTATACGCAGCGCAACATGCCAAAGCCTTTAAGGTATAAATACTAGATGGTTCGTATGCAAATTCTCCCGCTCGCTCTGCATATTTGGTTAGAACAGAAACAGAAATCACCATGTCTACCAGCAAGCTCTTCCAGCCTATCACGATAGGCGATATCGTTCTGCGCCATCGAGTTGTCCTTGCGCCGCTGACACGTCTCCGTACTACATCACAACACGTTCTTACCGATTTGGCCGTCGAGTACTATAAGCAACGCTCCAGTACTCCCGGTACTCTCGTCATATCGGAGGGTACCATTATTGCTACGAAGGCAGGTGGTTTCCCACACATACCGGTTTTTGAAACCGAAGAACAATTGGCTGCTTGGAAGAAGGTTAGTATTGGTCAGATGAGTGAAGACTTGGCTCACTCTTGCATATAGGTTGTCGACGTGGTACATGCAAACGGCTCCTCCATTGTGGCTCAGATCGCGGCTCTAGGTCGCGCCGCCGATCCAAAGATTCTTGAAGCTGAAGGTGGCTTCGAGCTGATAGGTCCATCCGACATACCTGTCGAAGGCGGTCCGAAACCACGACCTTTGACTATTCCAGGTGAGTTGCACCGATTTGCATTGAGTTGGAACTTTTTCAATAACGACTTCACCATTAGAAATCAAGGAATACGTTGATCTCTTTGCTACCACTGCAACCAATGCCGTAAAGGGCGTTGGTTTTGACGGCATCGAACTTCATATATGCAACGGTTTATTGATGGACCAATTTCTACAAGACGTCTCAAATAACAGGACAGATGATTATGGTGGCTCGATAGAGAATCGATCGCGGTTTCCGCTGGAAGTCATCAATGCAATCGTGAAGGCTGTTGGACCAACCAAGGTTGGTGTGAGGTTGAGCCCATGGAATGATGTCAATGGTATATTCCTCTACCAACCCTAATCGACCATAATTTAATTCTGTCTGAAGGCATGGGGATGAAGGATCCAGTCCCGACTTTCACTTATTTTGTATCTCGACTTGCCCAGTTACATCCTACCCTGGCCTACCTCCATGTGGTCGAACCACGAGCTGCCGGCGCCGATGATAGAGTACCCAAGGAGGGTGAAGTAAGTGATTTGTTTAAGGACTAAAGCTATTTTAAATACTGAACATCTACAGTCTAATGATTTCATTAGAGCCATCTGGTCTCCTAGACCGTTTATAAGTGCTGGTGGGTTCACTCGAGATCTCGCCATTGAAGCCGCGGATACCAAAGGTGAACTCATCGCGTTCGGTCGTCACTTCATCGCCAATGCGCGTAACTTCAGTCTTCGTCATACTGCATTCCCTGATTTTTCTTTTATCACAGCCTGACTTGCCCCGACGACTCATAGCAAATGTTCTTTTGAATTCATACGATCGTTCAACATTCTACGCTATAGGGGAAGCTGAGGGTTACACCGACTACCCATTCTCTGATAAACTGAAGGGAAAAGACGTGGGGATATAGACAGGCCATCGATAGACAACAATGTCCATTTAGAAGTAAAGCTTGAGGGCCAACAAGATAAAGAATACAACCGTAGCGATCAAAGCATTTGACTGGGATATGTGAAGCAAGAACATAGAGGGTAGGAAACCCATGTAGCTACAGATCCCGAATATGACGGCTACGATGAGGGCTGCAATTGCAGCTCTCCTGATCACGGTTCGCGCAGTCATTCGGCGAGCACCAATGGCGCCAGCGTTATCGATGTTGTTCACGTCTTCGGGAGTAAGGTCTGGAACATCTTGTAAATTTTGGCTGTGCGCGAGCAAATGAAGAAATATACCAATATCGCCAGCAGCAAGATATCCTTCCAAGCGTTCTTTCTTCGAGCTTGAGCTACGATATGCCTAGATAAGTCGCATATCGAACACAAGTCCAACCCGAACTCACGTCACGACAATAACGCCCTTCGCCTTCGCCCAGGCAAGAAGTACCTGTTCAGGTTTAACATCTAAACGCGTTGCGATGTCTTTCACAGGGCCATCGACAGGTCCACCTGGTTGATGGGTAAGAGGGCTGTCAAATTTAATCAATGTGAGTCGCATTCTGTCAGATTATGGAACAAAATGTTATGAATGTACATGAGGACGCTGTACGCCTCAATGGCAATGTTGTTATCGAAAGCATACTGGATCAAGGGGGTTTGGCGACCCACGACGTAGGGGTGAAGAAGAATCTATTGATTGAATAAATAATCAACAACTACCAGCAGTCTTCAAAGCAAGTGAGAATGAACCTGGTTTGCGGCCGGTTTGACCTTCGCAGAGGCAAGAAGGATCTCCAAGTCAGCAATTTGGAAGTTACTGACACCGATACTCCTGCGAAGATATTAGAAGGTGGGTTAAGTCATGGATAACACGGGACGCCTGACTTAGCTAGCCCGTCTGCTTTGACCTTCTCCATCTGCTTCCAAGCGGTAGGTATGTCTGGCTGGGCAAGTCGCGGATGGTGGATGAGATATAAGTCAACATACTTAACACCGAGCTGGAGTGTAACGAAAAAGACGTCAGGGTATGTCGAAGGTCAGTGATAAAGTTGGGTCGAAACGTACATTGTTGAGACTGTTATTAATGGATGTCTCGATATCGAGACCATTCAGACCCGAATACTTAGTAGTGATGTACAGATCGTTGCGATCTAGGCCGCTTTCCTTGATTGCAATTCCAGCTTCGTACTCGTTCCGGTAGGACTGCGCTGTGTCTAATTATAAATTACACAATATCAATCAGGTTACGAGTCGCGGCAAGTGCCTGTCGCTGAACTTACCAATGTGATTGAAGCCCACAGAAATGGCTTGGTCGACCTTGTCAGTCGACTGTTGGCCGTTTCCAAGCGTCCAGGTCCCGAATGCAATATTCGGGATGGAGGTTCCTGGATCAAAAAGAAGGTTTGTATGTGCCCCATGGCGTCTTGAACGAAGGCAGCTGACCGTCGTTCAACTTGATAACATCCCAAGGCATGGCGACTATCTGATAGGAGACGTCTTTTGCAAGTCAAGGTATTCACAACGAGCTCTGTTCGATGGTGGTTGTGCGAAGACAACCTGCGCAAGGAACATTGGAAATGTCTGTTGGTGAGAAAGTATCCACAAGTTGAACATGTGGGCAGCTACCAAAATAGCAAGAGAAGTCGAACGTGGAAATAGAACTCCAAACGTAGGAATGATCGCGTTATACATGGAGGTCACTATGTAAGTAGTGGCCGCCAACTACCCAAAAAATCTGCAAGGTAAAGCAGGATAACATGGCACAGTATACACCGTCCACATAAATGTAAGGTCTCTGACGCAACGGCGAATTTAACCCTTCCCGTGAACAGCTTCTCTCCGTGCAGCATCCAGAGCTTCATCTGAAAGATACGAGATTCTGGTCATAGCGCTCATAATTGCAGGGACCAGGGAACGACCGTTCATGTCCCTAGTTGCCTTCTCTAGCGCCGTCTCAAGGTGCTCCAGACGGTGGGATTGAGTAACATATTGCCAGTGCAGTTCTTTGTTCTTAAGTCGCTCTTGATGCAAGTCGTCTTGTAACGCTATGCCGCAATCTTAAACAATGAAAATGAAAGCGGCAGACGAATGGAACGTACCCACAACTAGACTTTCGCTCAGTTCAAGCCGATGTCTCAGAGTATCTTCCTGTCGTTCTTCCGGATCCGTGAGTGAATCGGCACTTCCCAGCGCCTTGATCCTCGCAAATAAAGCCTTTTCTCTGGAACGAAGTGTGGCGAGCTCTCTGCGAACATCCCACAGTGCGCGATGCGCTTCTACGACTTGATTGCGGTTTTCCGCGGATGGGGGTATAGTAGATGGTAGGACCGGCGCTTGAGGACCACCCCATCGGGTGCGTTTCATGGGCGGTGACTCCATAGGTGAATTGGCATCTGGCTAAGCAGATATCACGTCGAATCCCCAGTGCCTAGCTGCAATAGTGTATCGAGCACTCACATCAGGCTTTATTGATTGGACATCAATTGTTTGGTCACTCAATGAACGACTGATACTCAGTAGCCTCTCCATTGTAGAGTCGATGGCTGAACCTTCAGCTGGAGAATCATCAGCTCTGTCATTCTTGTGAAATCCAGCAGCGGATGTCTGGGGGATCAGGGGCTCTCTAGGGGAGTTCAATTCTCTAGGATCTTGAGTAAAGGGTCGGTTTCTCCTGGGAGGGGAAGCCGACCTTCGTGTACTTGACGATACTGGCCGTATGCGGAGAGCTAAAGGAATACTCGTAGCCTTTGACCATCTGTCACCGGTGTTGAGGTACCATTTCTGAGAGCCTCTGGGTAGCAAAAAAGTGGGCACGTCGAGGTCGATTTAAAATGAGACAGCGACACTCACAATTCGCATAACTTGATATATTTTCTGCCCCAAAGCTCGTATGTTTAGGAGGCCCTCCGTATTTCTAGAAGGGAAACTTGACACACATTGAATACTTCTCCAACATTGAAGCGGAATTCCTGGCTCGTGAAAATCCAGAATCCAACGAATTATAAAAACTCTGGTTGGCGTCATGTCAGAGAGGATTGTAATTGTACATTCAATGTTGAAGAAGCATCTCACGGTGCTCTCGTTATGCTCCGAGTATATTCCTTTGATTACTCCACTCTTCCAAATCGGCGCATACTTGTGAGGAAGTGGTATGCCTAAGGATCCAAGGACCTCCTTCATAGTATCGGGGTATTTTGGTACACGTTTATACTGGTCATCGACCAGCGACCTTGCAGCTTCGCCCTTCAGTTGGATATGGAGAAACAGTGACATAACTCGAAGTTGTGTGGCGATAGTCAAGTTTAGGATGAACGAAGACGTCCCGCCGAGCAGTAAGTCCACGATGTCCCGTTTGGCAGGATATTATCGTCGGGTTGTGCCTTCGTAATAGATAGTTGTAATGAGTGAGCAATGGCATGCGGTTGGTCGCACTCGTTCTGTAGTTTAGTTGAAATAGATTATTTCGAGGTTCGCTTTGCTGGTGATCATGATGATCAAAGCCGCAGAATTAACATCCGGCGGAACGAGCGCCCACAGATCATTCCCTTCGAATCGTGTATGAAAGCTAAGTACTAAAAAGGCACAGGCGAAAAGAACGGATGGAAACCAGCATCTATAAAACACGCTAGCAATGAATGAGACAGATCTAAAACAAAATATGTCATGAAATGGTTGCTAAATCATCGTCGATGTATTGCAGGCCAGGTTGTAAAAGCAATAATCAAACCCCGTGGCCATGCACAGCAAGCATCACGCCTTCAGTTAGTAGGGATAGCATTTCAAGAGCTTCCTGGACGGCGGGCACCATCACGGGATACTCATCCAGTCGCCTATTTGCGTGATCAAGACAATCCTCAAGGTCGAGTCGACGCTTTTGCTCGCGAAGGAGGTCCTCACGTATTTCGACCTTGCTTTTACGCTCCTCAGACAGTTCTCTACGAATAGCTGTACACATTATGAGAAAGGTATTTCGTAAGTCAATGTTGCTGCGACATACCGCGTAGATCATGGTCGCCTTCACTCTCGAGCGTTTTATTCAAATCCGAAGATTCTGCCTCGGACAGAGTACCCGGCGAGAAGTCTCGGCCCTTGGAGGAGCCTAAATCGTCTATTTGACGAAGTATATGTTCTTCTCTCGCTTTCAGTGCTGTCAACTGACGACGCACGTCCCACAGCTCGCGTTTCAACTCCGAGTCTCGATAGGAAGGCTGCGAATGTTGCTTGGAAGTAATGAGAGCGTTTGGAATGGGAGAGTCGACTGGCTTAGCAGAAAGGCCATGGATCCCAGTTGTGGTGGTTCGCGTAATCACGGCCCCTTCTGATGTCGATACGGAGTCTCCGGAAGAAATCTATGAGTGCTCGATTAGTCAAGACTCTTGCGCCGGGTTCAAGACATAACTGCCCACCTGAGCATCCCTGCGTTTTCCAGGATTCGAGTGAATATCTTTATTGTCACGAATGGGAAGTGACAATTCCGAATCATCGAGAACTGGAGCGTGTCGTCGTTCTCGCCGTCGTCGCCGCCGCCTTGAGGATGTTAGCTCAACCGAGAGATCTTTACGCGTACGGCGGGGAGACGCAGAGCGACCTCGCGAACTGGATGGTAGCTCTGATCCTTCCATACGTCGCAAAAGTCGGACGTCCGGTTGCAATGTCCAGTGCGACGAGTCTAGTAACTCTAGAGAGTCATAGCGCCGAAGAGATATGGATGATCTGGCGTATATTGCTAGAATGAAACGGTATGTCAGAAGTGAGCAATTCAATCCTACTTACATGCCTAACTTGTCCATTTGCTTCTTCGAACGTCTGGCATTGTTGATGCCGATATCGAACATGTCATAGAACCTCTGAGCAGCCAAGGAATCAGGAAATACGCAGAAATTGCAAGGCTGATATGTCTGATGCGTACGGCGTCGCTACGGGTCCTTTTGTAATAACAATCAACATAGGTATTCTTCCAATTTGGATGGTATTCGTCTGGTATAGGTAGACCCAAATTATTCAACACCTTAGCCAATTTGGCCTGATATGTCCGAGAAGACTCTGGGCTGTGTTCATCGTCCTGAAGAGCAAGGGCTAAGTGATCTTCGGTCTGAACCCGAAGGACGAGATCCATGGGTATGACTTATTCGGTTGGGTCAGTTAAACATCCAGTGCAGTTGTATAACTACATACAGAGCTAGATCGAACGGAAGGGACAGTGCTTGAATGGAATAGTGTAGCTTGTGTCTGAGGCTGTGATCATGGGAGTACATACGGCTTCTATGTATATGTTGTATAAGGTTCTGTCACGGAACTTCTGGTAAAGAACGAAGTGTATTGGATGCCGTGCCCGTGCCACATCACGGGCTGCCAGACAGCATTGACAGAACGTTCAAGTTAAAGTTACGATGTTCGCAATAGCGCCCACTTTTGATCCTGAACTACCACGACTGCTGGACAGTGCTGGACATCTTTACTACAGCTGGAGGGCGTCGTCACTGGTACATTTGTTTTGCAGAAAGCTTGATGGTCACTCTTGTTGAATTTATATCAATATCTTCGATCAGTAGGCACTATATATATGCTGCGTCTTACCGCCTATCCTATAGTGACTCCTACTTGGCAGTATTGCCATAATCCAGGGATTATGCCCCACGTTCCAATATACTAATGCAAGATGATGTGGGGTGCGGTCATGCCAACACGGAGTACAGTCAGTGTTCGGCCGCAACGCATGAGTAGTATGTAATGTCGTCCAGTTCCATGTCGGGTCTGACGCGGGAGAATAATGTCTGTATGCCGTTATAGTTTCCGAGTCGTATCATGATGTAGCGAGAATCGACACAGAACACCAATGTCATGAAGTTCGAGAGTCACAGTCACTTTCATAGCGACCAGGAAAATCAAGCTCATTCGACACTATGAATACCACGACGCCGAGAACTCCATATCTACAACTGCTTCTGAGGACGCCGAATGAGTTATTCTTATTGCTGTTTGCAGGAAAGTTGGCGCGGGCGGCTTTCGCGCGTTTTGAGGCGCGTTCGAACGCGAAACTTCTGAGCCCGTTTTCTCGACAACGCCTGCACGTAAGATAGAAGTTGTATATATATTCTGAATCGTAGAGACGAGGGCTAGTGCGCCCCATACTTTATATACAATTTTGTCCAACGTGAAACTTACGAGTGGTGACCCTCCTTGGGGGGTCTTAATCATTCATTATCTCCGTTAATACGCAAGTTATGATGAAGCGGAAAGCGGTCCCAGGCTCGTCGAGATGTACCTGAGTGAGCTCGACCAAAGAGAGGATGCGAAAAAATCATTTCAAGGTTCTCGCCGTGCACCTCATCGCGCACATTGGGCGCTTAGCATGTGTTCGACTCGTTGACCGAAACCCTCACATACGCGGCTTCCAAGATGCCCTGCACCTTGACGGTGTTCAGTGTGAACACGCTGAATAGTTCTCTTCTTGCAGCCAGTGTAGTATGCGATAGAGTCAACACCAAGTTTGTAACCCATATGCACAAGAACATCACGGAGATCATCTGAAATTGGTTTTCCCTTCACCATGGTAGTATTTGGAGATGTTTGGCTGCAAAGATTGAAGAGAGTACAGAGCGTATGTGAGGGTTTCGGTCAACGAGTCGAACACATGCTAAGCGCCCAATGTGCGCGATGAGGTGCACGGCGAGAACCTTGAAATGATTTTTTCGCATCCTCTCTTTGGTCGAGCTCACTCAGGTACATCTCGACGAGCCTGGGACCGCTTTCCGCTTCATCATAACTTGCGTATTAACGGAGATAATGAATGATTAAGACCCCCCAAGGAGGGTCACCACTCGTAAGTTTCACGTTGGACAAAATTGTATATAAAGTATGGGGCGCACTAGCCCTCGTCTCTACGATTCAGAATATATATACAACTTCTATCTTACGTGCAGGCGTTGTCGAGAAAACGGGCTCAGAAGTTTCGCGTTCGAACGCGCCTCAAAACGCGCGAAAGCCGCCCGCGCCAACTTTCCTGCGAACAGCAATAATTTACATATGCTAACGCGACAGCTTCCCTGCATCTGTGAAGCTTCGCAAATCTTCACTGATTCTATTTCAGCTTGATTGGGACTCTGTACGGGCCGTGACCCTACAGGGCCGTCTCAGCGTCCGCATTTTGACTCAGGTTCGGCCACAAGGTTCACCAAGTTCAAGTCGAAGCTTCTCTATCACGGACAGCCCCGTGATGTATCACAGTTTGTTGGGACTTTCTATAGAGGAAAGGCGCAACTTCTTCAAACGTATTCCTCATGCCAGGCATCGTGGTGTCTGTGTGTTGATAAAACAATCAGTTCGGACAACCCTTTGGGCTCTAACCAGGATTCCGAGCAGTCGCATCGAAACATTCGAAGACAGATTGTCCGCATGCACAGGCCGATTCATTCACCCCATCGTGACAGGGATTGTTACGTTGTTTCCGCCCCCCTTAAGGAGATACTGAAAGGGCAGCGTCAATAATATCTTCACGTATCAATAGCTGGTCACCTAATAATAGACCCGTAGGTAAGAATCATGAAGAAGACAGTGAAATCAATCTTCACGACGTATCGGTGAAAATATCCAGAGAATTACAGAACCTCTATCAAAAGTGTTGTTCTTTAAGCAGAGGGATTCTGCTGTTCAGAAACATACCACTGCAGTAACGGTGTGAGTATGATACGCACCGACGGACTAGACACTTACATCCCACATCCGATCCAATCCCTCCCGCATGCCAACGATTGGTTCGTAGCCCAACAACAGTCGTGCCTTATCGATGTTATGCCATCGGTTGGCACAACTAAACGTGATACGAAAGCGCGTGAATGTGGGCTCTTTCCCGATAAGCCAACACCACCACTCTGCAACGAAAGCCAACACCAATCCAACAGTCCTAGACAAAACAATTCTTCTCTTCTTTGTCCGTTGTTCGCCTGTCAGATCATCTAGGCGTGACCATACAAGCCGGGGTAGGTCCCAGAAACAAAGCGGTTCTCCATTCGTAATGAAGAACGCTTGACCTGCAACGGTCAAGGGAGCCTCTCCCCGATCAAGGGCGATCTCGGAGAATTGGTCAAAGCTACTACGTTTGGTAGGGTTGTCGGCCGGATTGTCCGTGGTCGGCTGTTCGACACCCAGGACATCATGATTGATCATGGTGACCGGAAGAGGGGGAAGCGATATCGAAGATACATACTCTCGGCGCCGTCTTAATTCAGCTTCAGACGGAGGTTCTTCGTTGAGCTTATCGGCCGCCAGGAGATGAGCATGAGCGACGTTGCCAACGTAAGTGTAGTCAAACCGATTCGTGTTGTCACCGACTTGAAAGTGAGTTCGGTTGGAATCGTAGACATCGCGCAGACTTTTAATCATGAGTCGATCGCCAGGTCTAGCCCAGAGGTATTTAATGTAACGAGAAAGACTAGCACGAGCATAGAGACGTACCCAAAAATCCCTGCAGGTCGCAAAGCAACGGTTAGCAGACCGTTTTGTCCATTGGCCTGCAGAACTAGGGTTTCAGCTTTCACCTTCGTCTCGTTGTATGCATCCATGGGTTTCTCCGGGAACGGCCGTCGTTCGTCTACATTGATGAGATCCTCTCCGTTGAATACCACGCCTGCAGAGCTCGTGTACACTAGTTTCCGTACACCAGCAGCCTGTGCTGCACGGATTACGGCACTAGTACCGTCGACATTTACCTTCCAGTACAGAGCAGGGGTCGGCAAGCCGGCGGGTGGTGAGGCAGTATGAATGATGCACGTTGCGCCACACTGTGAAAATGAGGTCAGACGTTTGCGACTACTCTCAGACCGGAGGAACCCACGAACTTTTCGTAACGCATCCGAAACCTGGTCCTCCTCACTGACGTCTCCTGAGAAGAACGGGACGTCGTGGTACCTCTGTACAACGTCGAACACATAGACCACGTCGCCTCTTGCCAGCAAAGCTTCGACAATGTGTCTGCCAAGGAAGCCACTGCCTCCAATGACAAGGTAGATATCGCGGACGACGGAGGACATGAGGTGAGTGAGGTGAGTGAGAGGTGCCAATTGGACACTTGGGCCAGCGCAAATGCAAGAATGTCCCTAAACAACGCGAAGGTCAACGTGAGAAAGGCAGTCCAATAGGGAGATATCGGTCTCAGAATCGGTGTCAGGCTAGCTAGGGTCCAGAAGTCGAAGAGTCGTGTACAGCATCTTCTAGTAATGATGGTGAGGAAGCGTTTCAAATGCAGCATTTACAAGTCCAGCCGTTAACTTGTTTCCATCGCGCCAGAATTGCTGCCGTTTCATTATCAAAAGAAAAAAATCAGAATGTGGTTGACAATTCCTGGATTGATGAAATTACGTTGCAAATCGACCGAATCTGAAACCATCGTGTCAGTGCTTCTCAAATGTTGTGATGCCCATGAAAGAGCGTTGAGACGCCTACGCTGAGTTAGGACGCAAGTCACTATCTCCAACGCTGGAAATTCAATTTCCATACAGCAAAGATAAACATCCACCTCCTGCACTTTGCAATCGATATCATTAGACTCACAACTCGCATGCAAAGATGGATAAACGTGAATCCGTACGATACGGCGTACCACCTATCCGTTCTACTGCTGGGAGACCTGCCCAATGCTGAAGACATGGTTTGAAAATACCGTTCAAACCTGATCAGAGACATAATCAAGGGGGATAGGCCCTGCGTCAGTTCATGCTAATAAACCTAGAAAAGATCAACATGTTAACAGTACTTCGATAACCGGACAGATCTACCTTTACAGGTCCAACGACTACAGCCGGTACCTAAGAAGTACCCTACGCAGGGCATCATGAGACTTGCGGAAAGCAAATGGTATAAAGCACACACCGACATTCCATGCACCTGCCTGTTCTCCGTCCAAAATTGTGACCTGCGGATCAGGTCGCAAAATAGCCACTACAAAAATCGGAGAACCTTGCTGTGCGTCGCCGAATGAGATGAAGGGTGATCATCTTAACATCACCAGTTGTTGTACTTGCGTTACGGAAGAAAGGACGGGTGTTCCATTCGGAGGGACAAGATCATAAACGATAGAATGTTAAAGGAAAGATTAATTTTGCCTGTTGACTGCTGCATCCTATATAAACATGCAACTGTGCAACGAGTGAGGGGAATGTGGATATTCCTGGAATATACTTCCAAGGGCACATAGTCAATATCGCTGAGCTGAACCGTATAACCGACTGCAAGTTAAGTAGCAACACAACCCAAATGATTCGTTCAGTAGGAAAGCTGAAAACAGTGCAGCTTACCAAGAGCAGGATCCCAATTTTTGATCATGGAAACCCATAATCAGTCGGTGAGACATATTCGAAGTAAAGTCAATTCGGACACGTACTGATAATGGCATCCACCACATAAACTCTGGAGATAAACTGAAAAGACTTGAGTACTCGGTCCCTAGGATGAACGTCGTAGCACTCGGGAATGATTTCATGATCAGCCATCATGCCTATGTTAGAACTCGCTGCATAGCGCACAGATCGAACATAATAACCCGAGACATGTAGCTTGCTGACCGTCTTATTTGCTCAGTATTAGGCAGTAAAATGTACAATCCGGTATCTTCTTTCGTTCTGTCAAACTTAGTATCCGACGCTAATGAGATAGTCCGCCAAGCCCTCAACGATAGGTGTAGCCTCGGGGGCCTGAATTGGTGCATCGTATTCGGCGACAAGAATGGCCTGCTTCGTCTTGACGATGATGGTTCCATCCGCCTTGTTAACATCATTAGTCTTCAGCAATCTTGATATGAAATCAGGCATGTGGCACGCACCTGTTTCTTGCCATAGATACTACGATCACTCACGGAGAGCGTGAAGAACTTCTGGCCCGCTAGACGAATACCACTGGCTTGAATCTGATCGGCCTTGCTGAAGCCATTGATCAAGGCTTGCTGTTCCTCCGTGGATAACTGCAGAGCAGGGCAAGTAATGACTCAATGCAAGATGAACATTATCAAACGACGTAGAGTGCGCACCGTGAATCCAGGAGATGATGCCCAGACACCACCTTGAAGGCCAATGATGGCGGCCCTCGAGATCTTGCCGCTTCCGACGAGATTGGAATCGACATACGCTGGGAAGAAGATGAGCGTGTGTACACCAAAGAAACATGGATATCTACTTTGCCAGGACATCGTGAGTTAGTCGTGAAAAGGAGATGGAAGATGAAGGTTAAGAGAGAAAGGTGAGCGTAGCTGAAGTAGTAGTCCGTCCGTACAGGCGATGAAGCGTATCTCCTGCGTTCGGCGATCGCCATCGATAGGAGGCTGCTCCTAACCCTGCCTTAGGTTTTGTTACTCTGTACTATACTCACTTACAATTTTGATAAGCATGATTACTAGTACTACGGCTCACTCTTACAACACACTACTATTTCTTAGTTACCCGGTCTATATCGAGTTATATCGCCTCCTACAAACAAAGGTTGAACTTTGTATTATCTCTGGCTGAGCCACTCTAGGCTCCCCCCCGTCGCTAGTATCGATTTTGATCGACTCCATTGCCCGCAACACAGCTATAAGTCCACATACTAGCTTCCTTCGAGCCTTCTCGTGCTCCGTGTGCTGAAGATGTTCGTTCTGGCTATGCAGGCCGCTACTCTTGGAGGAACAGATATACATATACGAGTAAGGTCTGTTTACTCTTCAAGTTTTACCTCGTCCATCTGTTCGCTTTATCTCATTGCTATGTTGCATACCCTGTTTTAAACCATGTACTTTCAGATGGCACTCGCTGCACTGATAAGCCTGGACCCAAACTTTGCTCTCTTGTTGGAAGGCTGGCGAAGGTTTTCTAAATGAACGGGAACGTTTCAGTCCCACGTCCTAGAAGCTCCATCTCTAGAATGCCCAGGTTGACGCGATGATTTTTCCCAATATTAAGCAGCACATCGCCTAATCTGGAGTTCAAGAAATCCTCCTTTGTACCAGGCTATCCGGTGAGATTGTACCATATCCTGGCAAGAAAATGATAGCTGGAAAGTTTCGCTGGTCGGCTGAACGTTACTCGGTCGACTGCACTCGCATTCCAGAGTACACACAGCCGGTGCGGTGGCCTGTATTTCAACACTTAAGTTGTTTGTAGTGAACGCTCACCTTGTTAGACTATCGTGGGGATCGTGTCGCAACATCTAACTCGAAGGTCCTACCTTGGCGACTCCAACGACCTTGCGATTGTTCAACACACAGGATACCTCTTTCGTTGCTGAGAATATTGGTGATGGCTTAGTACCAATGCGGAACTCCATAAATCGGACAAAGGGAAGGGCCACACTTTACTCGCCACTCCACTCCATGGCCTCCTTTGTTCACTTACCTCTCACATCCTTTCTCCCTCCGCTTCCTCCTCTGCTCTCAACATGTCCCTGGCCCACCGCCCTTTCCTGGCCAACGCACACGACCTTTCGTTGATTGCTATAGAAGAAGAGCCTGAAGATCTGCCGTTCACTCCCGCCTCGGGCTGTTTCGAACTGAGCAACGATGGGTGCGTCAACAATATCACGGATGTTGCAGATATCCTCGATGAGTTGGAAAGCTTGGCTCTTGCGACGAGGGAACTACCTGTTCCTAAATCTGTGTCGATGTCTCTGGCAGAATGGGGACGTGCCTTAAACATCCGCGTCATAGTAGCTCCAGGCAATGGCGGCAATAGCAACAGGAATGCCATCGTTCTCAGTGCTACGGACGTGTCTGGCGACACGTCACTGGTGCGTATTCAATTTCTAGCGTCTGCCATTCGGTTTTACTAGACAGACGCGACGCAGCATTCTATGCCTTCGGAAGACCTCTTTGAAGATCCTAGTTGTTATCACAGTGGCGGTTCGGGGCGTTCATCGTCTGAGTCCGCTATCAGTGAAACTACCCAATCCTCTCAGTTTGAAACATTGCCATACATGTCAGAAGACGCCTCGCGTTCATTTCCGTCTTTCGCCCTTCCCCCTTCACTGTGTAGTATTCCCGAGTTGGTCAACGTTCAGCGCCACCGAAAGCTTGTCCAGACTCTAGGATTGGAGGCTCCAGGAAAAGTCTCTCTAGCTTCTCATTCGCCTTCTCGTCTTGCCTCTTGCCGAGCATCGTCTACACCCCGGACTCACCGGGGTGGAGTGTCCCCTCGCTTTCCTAGTGCTCATGTATGTCACACAGAGGCCCTGCCGACACCTGAAGTGCCCAAGCCATCATCTGCGCGACCTTCAAAGATTTCCCAAGCTCTGGGCCTAGTAAGGCTCTTTGACATTCAGCTCCCTAGGCGGCGGCACAACGGTACCCCTATTCCTGCTCCTACTGGGCTTTTCTCGTGCACGCCGGCGACCCTGAACAAGATGACATCTCTGTAATGAAGATGTGGATATTCGAACGATCGAACTCGATACGTTCTCTTCGACGTCGTGGATCCGTTTTGGCAGCAGTGTATTTGTTCCGACATACAACACTATGTTTTTCTATCTTTGTGCTCTATATGTCACTCATTACCCCTCTTGTCCTCCTTGCTGCTCTTCCTTCTTTGTCAATGTTCTCCGACTTCGTTTTAATGCTCGATTCGATTGGCTGAAGATATCTTAAACAAGTGGGGCGCTGGATCAGAAAACGTAACTGACTCACGCTCCTCAGGTCTTCATTTGTGAAGGCCACATTCGTACTTACGGCTGCCCCTTTCTGGGACGTGTAGATGCCACCTGTGCAAGGACTTCAATGTGAGTATGACCAATCCAGATTTCAGTAGTTGCCGACAGTTTGCATGCCTCCGACTTCAGGAAAAGAAAGAGGCGTTTCAAGGTGTAAATATGGTCAGTTTTGTTATTCTACCCGACCAAGCTCCTCAATGATTCCCTGCAACTCTACCTGCTGCGGCATCATGATCTCGGGTTTCCAGCTCGGACTTAGCCTCCGCCATCTCCTCTTCAGTAGGGAAGGTCGCGAAGACATCCTTGATCTTGTCAAAGGGTGCAGCAAGGAAACCTACGAAGGTCTCGAACGGAGGCTGGTTAGGGGCTGAAGGATGTGACCTACAGGCGACATTCAGGCGACATTAGTACTGATTTTGGCATAGAATGTGTCAATGGTCGACCCCAACCTTGTCGGAACAAATTTTTTCGTTGTCTTGAAGCTCTGGGCGGACTGTCTACTGGCCTGTTCTCCGATCGCAGGTTCCAAGAGAGGTAAGTCATCGATTTCTTCATCGTCATTGTGGCGATGCAAATCCACCATCATTCTAGAAAGCAGACGATGAAATTCATCTGAGCCGGGCTTCATTGCTTCCAGCTTATAGAGGTCATCTTTTACTTTCTGGGAAGCAAAACAAGGCTTGATCATTGATCATAATTTCCGGAGCCTAGAGGGTGCATCTGGAAGGCAAACAACTTACAAGATGATCCTCTCGATCATGGTCTGCTAGCTTCTTGCCTTTCTCTCCTAGGTGCTTCTCCATCAAGGGATATACAATGATTTCTTCTCCAACAGCGTGTCGTGCTATTTCCCATCGAAGCTGAGTGGCCCAACGTGCTTGCGCATCGACATCGGCATTTTCATGGGCACGTGTATACTGGTCATGATACTCATACATCTGGTGGAATCATCATTTGATAGTCGCTCAGAATTACTACCTGGATCGTACCTCTTCGTGGTCCTCCTTAATTGCCTGGGTGAGGGTCTTGGATGACATGGCGCGCAAGCATATGCGATTCGAGAAGGCGGTACAAAATGGGGTGTTTCTGATAAAGCGAGATGTATTGGACAAAATAGTTCGGGAGAGCATGTAGAAAGATAATGAAATTTCCGGTAAGCCTTTATAGTCGTTGAATCACCGGCACCTGCACTCTGATCTTCCTTATGAACGCTGCGATGGAGCGAGCCTGTAATGCAATCGAGTGCTCTCTCCAGTGACGTCACAACGAGCCAATCACGGTCTGCGGATTTAGGAGTTGGTATACCCTGACCATGACGATGTGGAACCTGTAAGACCTTGCGCCAGGGAAAACACACGCAAGTCAGAGTGTTCGTTCAAGCTGGCCTCAAGATGTTGAAGTGGCTGTACCGCCAATCACGATACTCGATGTAAGTTCTCTGTACGATGATTATCCGAAGGCAGAGAATGCTGGCTGTTGCATCGTTGATTTTGTTGTCAAGTGCTACATTGCCAAAGAAGTGAACCTGCGGCGACCTTCTGAACAAAGCCTGTTGGTTCAACGAACGATGAACTTATCGATCATTGCAATTGATTTGGCGCCTAATAGAGAGACACCACTTTCGATTCAACTTGAGCTTTACTTTCCTCTGAGTCTTATCGTTCTCCTGGAATGTAGGCTTGTTTCAGCGTCGCTACCAACTACATTTTGACCAATACCGATACAGCCCACAGATAAAAACTTCATAACCATGTGTGTACCAAGTCCAGCAGGGGCTTAAACGAGTACAGCATCCCCCATGATTGATCAAACGATCAACATGAAACAGCCACCCGTAGCGACGGGAGTATATAAACCTCCTCGATGGCGATGTTATGTCTCTCAGGCTGGTCCCACTTTCGACCTTCATTTCACGACCCGTTTATTCTGCAGTCTTCTCTTCCCCTCGCTTTCTTCGCGTTTTCTAACGTTTCGAGTTCACGAAGCTTACGACAAGGAGAATCAACGAACCTTAGAGCATCTCCTTTCTTTAATTTGACCTTCTGAACGCTCATAATGGGTTACGTTGCTTCTCGCAAATTCTGCTGCTGTCTGCCGGTCAGATTTGGCGTTTTCTGTCATTCCTTGTTGGGTTTGGCGGCTGGCGGCGTAATATGTGTGTTCGGTTGGCTGGAAGTCCACAAGCTTGGTCTGTACCATCCTGTTGTTCGTTGCTTAATAGTGACTTATTTTCGGTTCTCTGCCTCTTTATTCAGTGACTAAGCAATTGGAGCTCGAATCCCGTCAACAGATAGCGCTTTGGTTCATTTCCGTTGCATGGTCTTTCACAGCACTCATTTCCTTGATGGGGTGCGTATCTCGTTGCTATCTGACTGAACCTCGTACCTGATGCTGTCCATAGGCTTTTTGGCTGTCTTTTCAAGATCCGAGCATTTATCACTTCCTATGCGTACACAACCACGATCAATACCCTCGTAAACATCGCTATCGGTATCTTCTTCGTTTGGACTCTATTCCATAAAGACAACAGCAAGGAGAGTTTCCTCGACAAGTGTGACGGCAATGGCGACGGAGACGGAGTAAAAGTAACGCACTGGTTCTGTCAACGTGGCTTCGATCTCATTCGCGTTCTCATCGTCATCGCTTTCGTGATCATTTGGATCTTTATGCTAGGTGAACATCGGATGCTCCGTTGACCTGACCTGGTAATTGACAGTTTGTTATAATCAGCCGGTATCTTCATCGTGTTCGACTACGTTGGCCAGCTTCACGAAGAACACGGACTCGAGGAAGAGGAAGAGGAGAAGAGACACCGCCCTCAGCAACCGGTTATCGTCAATGTGCCCTCCGAGACTGCGCCCGTTATGCGCACCACCTACGATGCTTCACCCGCTATGCAGGGTGGATGGACATCCGCCAAGTCACCGTATGTTTTCAACCTGCCGGACAATGCTTACGGAAACCGTCGTTAGTCACGTCTCGTACGACATTCCCTGACATCAAGTAGATTATTTCCTTTGGCAAGCGGGCAGCAGGGGCAAGGTTTGTTCAACTGTAACATAACGTCTTGTCGTAGTGCAGACGAGACTAATGAAGATGTCTTGGTCGAGAGCTACTAGTGACTGGATCTACTGTTGCGGCATGCTGCTCATTAAACCTAGCCTAGTCACCTGGTTTCGTGTGCGGATAGTGCACGACAAATGAGTTTCGTGTAAACGAAGGCAACCTTACTTTGTTATCATGCGACGTGTAGTAACGATCGCAAGGAATGTTGAGGACTACTCAATTTCTATTGTGCAAACATTCATACTAATGTGCTGAACCAAGAGAGAGGGTATTTTTTTGAAGAAGAAATAGAACTTCAAGTACTGTGGATGTAACTTTCCAGTCTAGATTGATGCAATTGATTGCCACGAAATCATTACAGTTGATGTGCAAATGGAGTCATGCCAGTATACATCCTAAGAGCAAATTGGGATAGAGCTTCACGCTGAGCACTTAGCTAGTTTAGAGGCTGTTAATTTGGGACAGTTAAGGTGAGGCTTTTTGCAATGTTGTGAGTGATATTGATTACATTAAGAAGAATTAGACATGAGGACATCATCTGCAAAGACAGATGCTTGTGCTTTTGACTTTCATGCAGATATCATGGCATACTAGAACAGTATTATAGTGTTTCATGACTGTAAACACTGAATACATAGTAACAAAGACTGTCTAAGAAACTTATATGGCATACCAAAATTTGTAATACAAAATCAACCTGTGGCAACTACCCCCTTTATAGCTATTTTGCCTCGACTAATGAGAAATGCAGATATGGAAGCCAAAGCTGCTGATGGTACTGTCATAAGAAAGATAGATGTTACAGCTGCCATGTAAGCAGCTATGATTGGTGTCTGCTGATCTTTTGGTAATATAAAAATGGCTTGAATACTGATTTTAACTGCTTGAATACTGTTTGAGGAAATATTATTGATGGCATTTAGCTTTTTATCAAGTTGACTTGAGAATATAGCACTTGAGATACTAGAGGCCAGTAAGAAGTAGTGATAGATCAGATTTTCTAGGAACTCACGCTAGTCCAAGAGATGAACCAATCAAAGTTATGAATGTAATCACTGAAGTTGCTTGAGGGACACTTTCAGGCTTGTTATGATATTGTGCCTGAGCAACAATAAGCTAGTAGTTTCTGTGTTAGTGAAATATCACTTATTGATAGCTTGAAGCATACTCCATTCTGAGTAACAGCACCAAGTCCAATTCCTAGCAAAATTTGATAACCAATAATTGCACTTGCTCTGGTACTGGGTGTCACAGCAAAGAGAAGTCCAGCTGCAACTGATGCCAATAGTGGAGGCCCCACTAAGAATGGCCAAACATGTCCAGTAGCCTGAAGTATACATATACACAGTATTTGTTACTATTATTTCAAGATATTAGAAGTCAAATACTTACAGTAATAGTTGCACCAGCAATAAAGGAAGCTAAACAATGTATAAAATGATATTTAATAAAAACCCAGTGCAAAGATCATCTCTAACACTTACTTAGAACTCCAGCACTTCAATTATAAGAGATAAGTAGAAGATAGAATTTAAGAATATTTAAGAACTTACATCATGAATGGTAGAATTGAAATTCCTGAAGAGGTTGCAGAATGCCCTTCTACTTGATAGAGAAGTGGCTAATCTGAAGGTAAGTAATTTCTTGAACATCACAAATTGAAAATCTTACCAAATAATACTATCAACACTTGTCAACCAAATAGTTTGTAATCAGATGAGAATAAGAAAACTCACATTCACTGTGATAAATGCAATATAGACAAAGAGCTGTATAAGAATAATAAGTAGACAAACAAGTAAGAAATACTGAAACTCACTGTTTGAATACAAGCCCCAGGCATATTTCCATCTACCAATATGCTAATTGGTAAAATAGCATTAGATCCTTGTTTATGTTCCCATACAAGAAAAAGACAAATGAGTACCACAGACTATAAGATATTAGCAGTGTTGACTTGAAAGGTAATGATTCACTTACAGCCACTAGTAGACCTATTACCAAAGGATCATTCCAAGATCTGACATTTCCACCCCATTGCAGTGGAATAAGAAGCAAGGTGATTGCTGCAACACTGAGAACAGCTCCTATATAATCAAGTTGCAGCCATTTTCTCCAGCCTTTGTCACTGAAATCAGGTGGTGACATTGAAGGAAGTGTAAAGTAGACCACAGCTATAGCTACTCCTCCACACTAGCTAAAGGTGAGTAATTTTCACACTGCAACTATTATGAATAACATACAGGAAGATTGATCCCTGAGATTGAATAATTGATTATATGAAGCATTACAGCGAAGATGATTGAAAGAAAGCTTACAGAAACACCATCTGAATATGGAGGAGATTAGATCAGAAATTCATGAGACAAGACCAACTCTTACCTCCATGAAACATGATCTAGGCAATATTGAGCAATAATAATAAGATCAGACATGTTGAATCTTACCTGAGAATGCACCACCTATCAAAGGTCCTGCTATGGAAGCCACGGCAAACACGCCGCCAAATAATCCCAGTACAATCGGTCTCTGAGACATCGTCGTTATCTGTACAATGCTCAGTTATCGAACAATAAAAATGAAAGCTGTAACGTACTCGAGCAATGATAGCCATGATCGATACCCATAGTGCCGCAGCGCCAACTCCGGCCACAGCCCTCCCAAAGATGAGGAAGTTGACAGAAGGCGCAACAGCGCAAAAGAGACTGCCAATCTCGAAGATGAATATGGCAAGAAGGTATACCACTTTCGCTGGAGCTATGGCGAGGATGCGCCCAAAAAGTAACATGAGACCAGCCTAAGACATTGTGTCATTAATAACGTGATTAATTGTGGGGAGGATATTGTAGACATCCTGCATACCTGAGGCAGAAAGTATGCACTGGCAATCCAGGTAAGATCTGATACGGCATGAAAATGAGAGACTATTGTAGCTAAGGCTGTCGACAGAATTGTTTGATCGAGAGCGATGAGCGCGAAGGACATCATGAAGGCCCTGCAGAAAAACCTGAGTTCACGGCGTTACTAGGTGCCATTCAGCTACTCACACACAGACAACACCCAGCTTACGCCCGTTCATTAGATACGAACTCGGTTCTCCGGCGTCGTTTTCTACAGAACGCTCAGCAAAGACTACGCCAGATTCCTGCATCGTTTGCAGAGTGATGTCCTCTTTCGGATTGTCCATACTAGTGTATTGAAGGCTGCTGTGACTGACTACAACGGAGCGACTTCAGTTAGTATGTGGGCGAAACAAGTAGAGACTGGTGGGGGATTTGCCGCTAGAGCTAATGCAGGCGTCGAACGAGTCGCAGGTCTCGAAGTAAGGCTCTGTCAAGACAAACGCCTGCATGTACTTCGAACCTTCCGTCAGAATGCATTTGGACCTTGGAAAAGTTTTAAGATTCACTTTGGAAACTCACGCCGTGTAATGTATCAAGGGTCCACTGATGGAAGACATGGCCCCTTTCTTAGACCTTCTGAATAGTCCGTGCGTTTTACATCAACAGCGAAGACTGCGGGATGTGAACGCGGTTGCATAGTAGTTCACCGGAAAGAACCCGAGGCATGGGACGTGAGGCAATAGTATATATTTATGTCCGGTTTCCGGAGCCCCAGATGCCTGAGCTGAAGTATGTGGGCCACACGCCCCAAAACCAAATATTTGCCTCCCTACAGAGTGTAATCGCGGGCAAACCCTGAAGCTTGAAGGCCTGAATGACGGGTACTAGGCAGGTGGTTTGAATATGTTCTATTACGTCAATAAGATATCTCGGGGCATCCATGCAGGTACAGGGGGTGCCTGGAAATTCATAGTCTAGAAGCGCAACCACAGCACCAAGGGTCTATCGATGTATCAGTCAGCCCTAGTGCCACCTGTATATTCATTAGTTGGGGAAGTATCGATACCTTAGTACCGGATCTTCATCTCGATTCCCGGCCAAGAACGGCACTCGAGGCGGAGATGGGAGATACCATATGACTGCGCTTCGATCCATCAATATTCAGCGGGCAGAGCGTCTGGTTGAATGACAGCATCGTCTGGTCTTGCAGACTGCTAAGGCAAACAGATATTTGCCGAGAACTATCAACTAGCGGGTCATGACATGGCAGATGCGGAAGAGAGAAACCTGAGCAAGCCCATACAGCTGGATCGTTGTCACACACAGCATGTCCAAACTCGAATTACTCCATCGGTCTCTGTGCTACGAATAATGCCATTGGGGTGAAGAGCTAGATACTCATCAGTTTGATACGTCCGTAAACAATAAGCAATGAAGATACCTTCGACTTGGCAGACTGGATGAGTAGATATGCAGCACTACGAGATAGGCTGAAGAATTGCTGACCGAAGGCTTCGTCAGAGGACTGGAAGGGGTCAGATAGAGCCTTCTCTAAGATGGAATACCATGGAATATAATTTTGCTTTTCCGCAAGATCTTCATGGAGTAGCACTTGCATACCACATAATTCAATGGCGGTGATAGCAGCAGCGATGGAACGGCCATTAGGATCTCTTTGAGGGAGTCCTATAGTGGCTTCGAAAACCTCCGTAAATCGGCCATGCTCAGGGTCGCTCGGGTCAAACATTGCGGACCAACACCATTCGTATATCCCCAACTAAGATATCCCGCATAAGGTCCGGACAAGTCTAATGGGGTTCAAATTTTACCTTGCCACCTGGTTTGAGCATTCTGCACATCTCACTGTAGACGTCGGAAAATGAGGGCGCGTGCTGTGTAAGGAAATTGAGTCAAATTGCAAATGTTTCAGAATAGAAATATGGCGTACCCGAAGAGACTCAACGGCATAAACGATATCGAACGACTCCGAAGGTAACATGGAACTCAATTCGGAATAGCTGTCGACTAAGCGGAGAGTCAGCAAAGAGCCGTTCACACTAAAGATGAGGGCACCTTTAATGAAGCTCAACCTGTCGGACATATGAAGTTGCTCAGCTCTTGCGATTGCAGACATAATCTTGGCACCTTTAATCAATAACTTTGTCGTGACTGAGTCTAACATACCTTTTCACGATCAGTCTCTACGCCGACAACTTTGACATTCGAAAATCGCACTAGCTCGACTGCGATTGTACCAGTCCCACTGCCTATATGCAGAACCGTCATTCCCGGTTTGAGGCGTAGTTTTCCGCACAGATAGTGTTCGTGTCGAGCGAGGGAAACGGACAATTCGTCTCCAGAAAATAGTCTGCAGAAATGCATGTCTGCTCGAGACTGTGGTGCTTCCTGTAACGAGTGCTGTTGCCTCATAGGCAAAAGAAGACGTTGAAACATGTTCGATAGTAAAAGAGTGAGGCGTATCAGAGCCAACTGAGGAGCCAAGCGCGCGATGAGAGCAAGAAAGAGCGATTTGAAAAGTTCCCGTTATATGAATATCTGACGCGTCTCAGAGTTCCAGCATATCCCAAGTGCAGTCATGGTACTGGAACCGGATGAAATTATGTTGAATCAGAGGCAGAGCTAGATAATCAAGAATATGTCACGAACAACCTTGTCGTATAGCCTGTTCGGTTCTGATTTGAAGGAAGATGCAAACGGACCATCATAATCAAGCCTGAGACTTGAGGCCTGAGGTTTGACGGGGTCTAGCTAAATAGTACCATACATACTGCGATAATATAGCATTTGCAATTCAACATTGAATATCAGGTCCCTGATCAAGCTGTGCGATCATGGTGTATATCCCGAAATGGTAGAATCATGATCAGGCGAGCTTCCAGCCTCTAGATACTCTCGGAAGATGATAGCAACTTACAAACCGACTTTTGGGTACAATCACCACTACTTTCCATTTTATTCTCATGTCCGATCAATAACACATTGATAGTTATGTCCGTATGGATCTTCTCATAATGTACATACATAATACATGTCAAGCCAGAACCTATCGCATCGCCATGTCTGTTACTAAAAGGTCGCATAAGTATTCTTTCAAGCTATGATGCTTTGCTAATCTGCAAATTCGTGGCGATCGTACCCCATTTCGGAAAGTTCAATTTCAGTGCCCCTTCTTACGAGAGCCTGGTCCGCAACTCGCAATGAAGAGACTTGACTTTCAGCTATAGTGATCAGAGTCATGTTGTCTGGATCAGCGGCTGAGCGAAGGTTCAAGATAAGACGGGAACCCTTAATGAGATCTGCAAATTAGTGACTAAGACATTTAATACCAACTGATTACTCACGCAAATCGAGTACACAGGTGGAAGTAAACTGAATGACGTGTGAGTCTCTGGGTGTGTGCATCGAGGCGAATAACTCACGGCGACAGGATACCGGATTTATCCTTCCAGCTCTGGATATTCACGAAAAGGGCCACCGTTAAGATTACGACTGGGAATGAACCATGAAAATGGGCAGTATAGCGATGCAGTCTCTGAAAACATACAGAAAATTCTAATAACGCAACAATGAGAAACCGCTGCAAGCATAACGCAGCGGACCTACATAAGGAAGAAGAGCGTCCCATCTTGAACAAACTGGAAGAGGAGGGACCGATTCCTGGTCGATACACTTGCTTCATGTGAGCAGTCGACGCGGGTCATCTGCAGAAATTTGTACATCATTAATGCGAAAAATGTGACTTCAAGAGGCAAGCACTGTATTAGCACCATTACCGTTCACACATGGAAGAATAGATCAACGTACAGGAGACTAGCATGTTGACGGACCTGAAAATGTAATCGGCTTAGTACTTTACAATCGGAAATAGTAGAATGCGATTACATACCAGACGAGTGGCATCACTACAATATAAGGTGCCGAATCGAGGACACACCCTGACCACGCCAGGCCAAAAGGAGGGCTCGATATGTTCTCCAAGAGGACTTCAGTGACGGATGTGTATATTTCGAGCTGAGAATGGATCAGTCAAAACAACGAAGCATAATGCAAACATTGTCGACTTACCCCAAATTCGACTGTCAGATCATCATGAATCGTCAACATCAATATAACAGATCCAGAGGGAATAAAAAATAAAAAATACCGAAAAGCAGGCAAAGCAATGAGACAAGCACTGTGGCGCAAAGGCATAAGTTATCTTCCACACATTGGCACACCCCCACTTTACTTTTTTTGTTCTGTCCATACAATGCATATATCCGAAGAATGAAAATAAGATTAATCGTGACTATAAAAATGACGGGGCCACCCCTGTCAGAAATCGTCAGCCAATGTGCATATATACCATGAATGAGTGACATGTTCTCACATAATATTGATCCATAATAGCGCCTTGCAGCTGAAGGCGAGGTGAGAAGTGAACAAAACGATAAGAGAAACCCCCGGTCTTACACCTATCACTCGCTTAGCACTGAAAAGCTGGAAGTTGGTAAGCGGAATGTACCTTCAAAGGCGGGTCAATCACAACGCCAACTGAACAAGAAATGTTATGACGATAAGATGTATCAACTGGGTATATCATACCGGTGGTAGTGAATCTGGTAGCACCGACAGTATCAGCCACGGACATGAGGCGCCACACAGAAGTATGCGCGACTCACATGACATGGGCCAATCCCCAGTATCGAGCAAAGTAGTAAAGGACCTTCACGAGACTTCGGCGTGCTCTGGATAAGCGAATTCAGCCAAAAATGGTGGTGGTATATACCAAACAAGAAAGAATGACCACGAACCCCCAGACATAGTCAATCTGCAAACCCGGACTTGTCAGTATATGATAAACTGCAGTAAAGGCCTGCAGAATAATACAAACCTCTTCAGAGAGCGTTATGATGTAGTCATAGACCAAAACCACGAGAACGGCGACTAGAACAAACAGAAGTGAAACACGGTGAATGTAGGTGCTGTCAAAGCTCACTTGAAACATAGTTGGCTGCTTGTACTAAACGTATTCCGTCGAACAGCGGTTTGAGAGCATCGTTGGACGACATCCCAAATTACGACAAGGCTGAAGGCGACTAGACTTGCAGGTTCTGAGAAACGATTCAAGCAGGAGCTCAGTCTTCGCAGTGTCCTATGATATGATTCACCAGACGCTGAATAATTACAGAATCCAATCAGTCAATCAACCGCCGAAAGTATGCAAAAGAAGTATCGCACTCATCTGACAGCATCACAGCAGACCGTGATACAGATGCGGATAACTCGAGGGTGGGACACGATGTGACGGATAAGTAAGCCTGAGAGATAGCTCCCCGTAAACATCAGAACATTTCCAGGTCACTGTTGTTGAAACCCCTCGAAGTTCCACCGATGTCGTGGAGCACCGGCTCCTTTGAAATGTCCAAAGATCAGTAGATTCAACTGCACGTTGAGTTCACCGAACAGGTGATGGTAATCATTGAGCGAGACTGGCCGTCCGTGATGAGCATTTTCACCTAGTTCATTGCCTACAAAGGGACAGTCGTGAGCCGATTGCAATCATTACAATGTGATAAATGGGTAAATGGGTCTAAGCAGGTTCACCGAAGGATTGGTCTCGAGTTACCATTATTGAGTAGACGGGTGTGTGTAGGATTTGACGTCTCTTTTATCGCGAGTTCCCCTTGTGACGTTCTTGGCAAAATTCAAGTACCGTCAGGAAATTCAACTCAAAGTTCAAAGTTGGGTCTCTGAATGCTACGGCGGTTTCTCTCTTTGGGTGCATTCGGCGATAGGCAAGCTAAAGCTCAATACGTTTAGAGCTTTCGAAGGGTGCATCTCAGGGTTCACCAGACCCTAGACGGACCAGTCAAAAGCAGTGAAGAGAGCGGTCAGTGGGATTTAAAATGTGCCAGAATCAACGCACTCATGCGCCGCATCCATCCAACAACATCTGATCCGACAGATACAGAAGGTATTCAAAGATACCGGCAGGTTCCTTCGGACACAACGTGATGCAGAGTTCATGTTCTAACAACGTCCTGCCACAAATGCACAGGGCACCGTGGAAGAGGCACTGCGGCCGAAGGTATTGAACTTTCAATATCAACATTCAACATTCGATATTCAACAGTCGGGCCTCTGCAGGGTTTGGTGTTCGTCAGTAGAAGTTGGCCTTGTAATCCTCCGATACAGAAGAGAAGACAACAGCCTTGGACAAACCAAATGCCAAGACCAAATGGGTGAGCGTGTGCACGCATGTTCGTTTCTGGGAATAGTTAATTCGAAGAACAAAATGTTTAGTTACCGAGAGGAACGAGCGCTCCTCTCGGTCGCATGCCGCCAACTCTGCTAAACCCGGGCAGGAGTCCTCCTCTTAGTGTCTCTAACTTACTAGCCACCTGTGCATACCACAAATCGTCATGAATATCAACGTCTACAGACGTAAATCTAGCTCGGTCACGTATTGTTGAAACGCTGAAGCGTTGTTGATGACAATATCGAGTTCGGAGATGATAGAAGCCTTGGAAATGAATCAACGGCCTAGTATGCTTGCCGCTGTTCTAGAATTAGCACAATGTGCAGGGTCCATCTTCCATGCTAGGAGGCCCGCATCAGGGGCCGAAGTCATGCTATGGTTCTGTCATACCTCTGAGCCAGCTGCCACGCCCACACCTTTCTCCAGCCTCGTTCCTTCTACCCACTCAGTCTGAGGACGGTCCTTGCGTTGGGTCTCAGTGTCAGGCCCCGCGTGGTCGCAATTGTGAACACTATGGTTCTCGATCTCCTGTCACACAACCCTCTTCTCACCGCTACCGTACTGTTTGTGGCACTGTACCTGCAATGGTATCGCAACCGACTCAAAGTATGCATTGATAATAGTCCTATACCCCCATGACTTACGTTTTACGCCAGAGTGTTGATCACTTGCCTGGACTACGAGTAGCGTTCTCTCCTCTCTCACTGCCTGGCGCATTACTGCCTACTTCCTCGTGGAATCCGGGCCTCGGATGGTATTGGCAGTGGCGCACGACCGGTAGGCTGTTCCTTTCTAGAATATCTTAATCGCAACTCATACAACTCAGCATACATGAACCATGAGAATGATATCATATCCATAGTACCCTTCGTATTCGGTAAACCGCTTTATTACACTTGTTCATCAAAGGTCGCGCAGCATTTGCTTTCGAACGAGACGAAAGTCAATCTAGAAAAGCCTAAGTTGCTGTCAAGAGTGTTTCTGTGAGTATCTCATCCAACAATCGAACAAGTGGTTTACATCTTTGGTATTCCCAAGTCTCTGGGGTGAAAGCCTCATCTCCGCGAATGGCAACCTCTGGAAGAAGTTTCGACGCCTGCTAGCACCAGCGTTCACTCCTCAGACGTGTGTATACAAGCCGCCGTGATATCCTTGACCATCCAGTCTCATCGCACTCTCTACCAGATTCTCGCTTGTCTTTCGGGAATCTGTCGCTATCTATCGCGAGATGCTTGCTGAACAAGGCTGGGATCGTGAGAACGAGGCAGCCATCGATGATGTGGGGCAACTTGCTTTGCGAGTAAGTGTAAAGTACTTTTGACCTATTGCCACCTAACAGACTCTGCGAATTCACCCTCAGATGACTCTAGTTGTTCTAGCGCGTTGTGGCTTTGGCGTTCCATTGTCTTGGTCGGAAGAAGCCACTACGGACGGTTCCATACCTTTCGGCGAGTCCCTCAATGTCGTCTGTCACACCCACATCGAACGCCTCGTTATTCCGAATTGGGCCTACAAGCTTCCAATTCAGAGGTGCTTGTTATACCTGTTAAGTTAACTTTTTGTAACTCACGTATTTTCTTGCAGACTGCAACACATGGATAAAGCCTGGAAAGCTCTTGGAGTATACATGCGCGAACTCATCGCTGCACGGAGAAGCGCAATTGACTCCACCAGTATAGAGGCGCAAACCGAAAAGGGCGATCTTTTTACTCGCCTGATAGAGGCATTAGACGAAGATGCCAGAATAGGCCTTGAGGAATCGGAAGTGGTGAGCTCTGCCAATTTCCCTGTGAAACTAAGCTGCAGCATACCCCCTGGCAGATTGGCAATACGTTCGCCTTGATGTTCGCCGGCCACGGTGAGTTTCAACGTTACCACTCCGGTGACTGTATATTCAATATCGGCGCGTTGCAGAAACTACGGCGCGCACTCTGACAGCAACTCTTGGATATCTCGCATTATACCAGGACGAACAAGCTAAGGCCTATTCAGAGATTGTGCAACTACTCGGTAGTCGTACTGAACTGGTCAGCACCCAGTTTCAACCCCGAATGACTCTAACCCACTTTGATAGACACTTGAAGATGTGACGAAGATGGACTTCATTCATGGTTGCTTCCACGAGGCTCTTCGTTTGCATCGTGGGTACATTAACCTAAGCATTTCTACACCCCCCTTATACTTGTCTCAAGCGGCTGGACCCATGCTTCCTCGAGACTTGACCAAGGACGTCTACGTCGAACTTCAGCATCCATACCCACGAACCATGTGTCTTCCTAAAGGCAGTCGTGTCATTATCGACATGATCGGTATTCGTGAGTTATTTGCGTTCTCTTACTGCCTTCTTCGACGCCCATTAACCCCTTGATAGATCATAACCCTCATACCTTCCCTGAGCCAGAAAGGTTCAAGCCTTCAAGATGGGAAGGTGTTCCTGAGCACGAAGTAACCATGTTCGGGTGGGGGCCCCGGGCATGTATCGGTCGCAAATTCGCCACCACGGAAGCTGTGACAGTCCTTGCACTCTTCTTGCGTGACTGGATGCTCGAAGTTGCGCTTGAGCCCGGCGAAACAATTCAAACTTACCAAGAGAGGGTGATGGGCCAGTCCCGTCTCCTCGGGCTTGCATTCGGTGTAGAGACTGTACCGATTAAGTTCTGTCGACGACACCCATTGTGAACGCCCAATCGATGGACAGTTTCGCCCGCCTGAGACTGTGTTCTTGGACTGACGCTTACGCTGGTATCCTGAGAGTGATGTTCGTCTTCCTTGTGTTTCCTCGCCGAACAGTTTGTGCATACTTATTTAAATATAGCCTGTAGACCGCCTGGTCAATAGTTCAGGACAATTTGTGTCCTGTCTTTACCGGGATACGAGAAGGATAGATACCCGTATGCAATGTTATACTCCTTGTGAGACCCTTACAACATATCATGAGTCTCTCGTCAAGCCATGGAAGAACTTGTCATCGTTCCTCATGCATATGCAAACTGTGGTTCTCCGGGGCCGACGTAATTGACTGGATAGATCTTTCAGAAGTATCCCTGGTTCTGCACGGCGTGTGTTCTCTCTGGATCCGGAAAAGATAACGTGGCTACAATCCGACTGTCCTGTATGTAAAAGTGAGGATGCAAAGGCAACTCAGGCCCTGACTAGTACATCTGTACCAGACTCCGGCCTCCGCTCAGGCTTGCATTTACCGAGTTTGGAATGGTATTCTTTCTGGCCGCGTATAACGGATTTCCGTTTTCTTGCACTTCTGTCATAAGCAACGTCGACCTCCGAGATGTTTCGGAATCTGATACAATGCATATGAAAGGACACACCAGAAGGCGTACTTTTAGGTTATCCTGTGGTTGCTGGGCAACTCTATTGAACACCGGTTGATGGTTTTGGACACCTCATCTTCATGTCACCTTCCATGGGGCATACTTCACCATTTTCTTGATGCAAATCTAGATATCATATTACCAATGCACTTCCGAGTCTGCTGTCCGATGCTTGACATGCGTCCTGGGCATAGGGTGATGTCCACTAGTCTCCCACAGGCAGTGTGTGCGGAGACGCAAGCTTCGTACCTTAGGATATCTTTGTCTGACACGCCTGCAGGCTGCAATAGAAACAACGGGGGAATGCATCGGAAGCGGAATGATCTTGATAGCACCTTCAGACCTTCCTCAGAATCCTAGTCGGTCTGCAATCTATGTGCAGAGTGATATATAGCCCACTTTTGGAACATTGATTTTCAATTTCCGGAGGCTAAGGGTCCTATCTATCACATCAGATATTGGATAGCATGTGTCTCTACGTACAAGTAGTCTTCATAAGGAGAAATCAAACGAATAGATTGATAACGGGTTCTGACACGGCCTGAAAGTTTGAATCACAGAAGAGAAGCATGGAAGACTTGAGTGTCAGGTTCCTAACTGACATCGGACGAGACGTTACCTTCTAAATAATAAGTCATGGTCATTTAGGCCGAGGAGATGGACGACATATCCCGTTTTCGGACTTTTACGTAGAGCTCATCCTTTAAGAACTGGATGCTGCTCAGCGTGGTGCGGACATGATCCGGGGTAAATTGATAGTTCTTGTCCAAGACCACGCCTGAAGCCGTTTCAGCCTGGATGTCAAACGACCGGATGCAAAGTATCATGAATGTCTTTATTGCATATAATGCAAAGTCACGTCCCTTGCACTGGAAAGTGATCATCAGTGCAAGCCCATATGGAGAACGAAAGGAGAACCCACGGCGTGAACCCCAACACCGAAGGCGGATACAGGACGAGGTGCTCCTTTCCGATCACCGGTGTCAATAAATCTATCAACAATGAATGTCTTCGCGTCCGCAAAGTACTCGTTAGAAAGATTCATGGCGCATCCGTTAGTTGCCAGGATTTCTCCGGCATGCAGCGATACTGCGCTTCCGTTCTTGGTAGGTACCTCGAGGTCACGCACAGCTGAGCGTACGAAGACGGCCACAGCGGTGAGGCGCATAGTTTCGGTCAACGCCGAGTCGAGCAATGGGAAGGTATCGCTTCCTAAGGACCATGGATTCGCCGCTAGGAGTTGCTCTATGCTCCCGAACTGCACATCGACTGCGTGATCAATTTCTCTGCGAAGCCTCTGGAAAGCGACACGGTCCCGGAGCAGATAGATCAGCAGCCACGTAGCCAGGCGACCGATATTGGAGTGGAGACCAATCAAGAATACCATGAAAATTCCGACGACGTCAGAAGAACTGCAATCAGCTGCACGCAATACTCTCCAAATATCCGTTGCTCCTGATGAAGCCTGTGGAATACCAATGTCCTCCTTCCAGCATCCCTCGATCCATGCATGGATCCTAGCTTTAAGGGATTTCTGGGCGGCTCTTGCTTTGGGCAAGTAAAGTGGGAGGGGGAGCGTCAGAAGCCGAAAATAGTTGTCTATAACTTTGAATTCTGTAAAGGTGTCCAACGGAAAGGAAGGTCCCCATAAAGCAGTCGAGGACGCATCGTGCAAACTACGTTCAACAAACATCTGCATTGAGACGCGCTCCTCTTTGCCGCAGGCCAACTTCCCGAATTCGCGTAGAAGATGTTGGCTGAATGATGAGGAGTATTCTGGAATGGATCGATTCGAGGACATTCTGGCTACGGTCGTGGTCAGCCGAGCGAGAAGTTTCAGGGGCATGTCATCCTGAAGACCGCCAACACATTTTAGGACATAAAACTGGAAATCGTGTCCATCTAATCCACGATATGGGTCTCGCAGTACAGGCCCAATGTTATCTGGATCAGAGAAAATGATAATATCCTGTCCAGCAAGGAACACCTTGTAGACGGAGCCAAGATTCTTTCTAAACGAGTTGCACGTTATGGGAAGACACCTGAGGACAACTAGGCACAAAACGCACTGGCAATTTTCAAAAAACCCAATTGCGTCATGATAGAAAGTCCATCCACTTCCTAGCCAAGGCCAGAGAGTGTGAGCCCTGGGCAAGTGCACTGTACGACCCTGCCTCCTGAAGAGTCGAAATATGAGATATGCAGCTGGGAAGAGAAGAATGAAGAGTCCGAGTGGTATCATATTAAGATGAATTCAACCGGTGACGTTGGGCTGTTGAACTTGAACTACATCTTTCATGGTCAACTGTAGTCTGCTTTTGTGCTTTCAGCAGTGAGCGGCTGTTGGTAAGCGGTGAATTGGCCTTGTCATCTGTGTGATAACAGAACGGCGGCAAATGACAGGCAACAAATGGGTTCAATTGTATGAAAACCTCACGAACGATTCAGAACCCTTGTTGGGATCATCAGGACCCTGATATCCCACGATGGTGTGCCAACCAAATTGAACGCCAGCCAAGCTTCCATCGGCATGAGTTGATAGCGCTCTTTCAGTGAGATCAATAAGACATGCTGGGTCTGAATGCTGCCGAGGATAACAATTTCAGCATGATCACGCTATCCAGGATGCAGACGACCTGTGGAAGATTCCTTTCAAAAGTGGATCAGCTTATCCGACTGTCATTGGTCAGACGGGGGAACGACGAACAAGAGGCCATGGGTGTGTTACTTGTATTGCGGTACCTTTCATTTTTTTTTGGTGTCCGCCCGATGTCCGCCCGAGTCTGTTGCCTAAGTTCAAAATTTTATCGTGGGTGTTAGCAAAGAATGAGCATCGAAGAATACGAATCTGGAATCTGCCCCAAGATGCGCGCCTGTGACATCGTATACATAGGGCGGACGGTGACCCTCCCGTTCGAATGTGGTAGTGCTGTCCGGACGGGGCGGAATGGCCAAATCCCAGACGTTCTCCATCTCAGTGCATGTTCAAATGTCAGGTTGTCTTCTCCATCGTTCCTGGTATCAGCCCCGGGCCATTGGAATGGAAGTCCGAATTCGGTGATAGCCGCGCATACCTACTGACTCTGTTGCCAGACTGAACCCTGTATTCAACGTCTATCGGGTGTCGGATACCTTCCCTAATCTTTGTAGGTCCATGAACTATACGCTTGGCTAGACGACTCATCAATGACAACAGGGATTGTCCTGGGATTCCCGCGAGATACACAGCAGTTCATTTATTTCAATAGGTGTGTTCGCCATCTTCAACTATCTTCATGAACAACACTGACAGCTGACATATTCAATAGGACTGATGTATGTGTTTATTGACTGGCGAATTATGGAGCAAAACTCTCATTTAGTTGTGTCCCATTATAGGTGCAAAGAGCTATCCATGCACCTCACATCGAATGGCAATCCTGCACGGACACATCGGTCTATATCAACCGTACCACCGGTGGTGCAGGTCATGACCAGAGTATTCCGTCGACTCTGAGCGTACTTCCAAATGCCATCGAGAAGAGTGTTCGTACCGTCATCGTTCATGGTCTCGCGGTAAGTCCTCGCTCGTTAGTTCATACATGTGGTGTATTGACGTGAGCACATCCGGTAGGACTTCATCCTGACCGCTGAAGGAACACGCATCGCTATCCAGTCAGTGTCGATCGCATGCCTAATCATCTAATTTTTACCATCCTCACCAGAAACATGACTTGGAATGGATTACAAGGGTTTCAGACTCCCATTGAGCCCGAGAGCTTCATCGTAGATAACATGGGTGCCTTTGGATCCTTCCACCAGGAGCGTAACCTGACCTGTAGGTATTCCCCAGTCCGACTTTCGACCAAGCGCTGATGCTTGGCCGTTCCGTCATAGACGTCGAGTTCTCCTTCAGCGGACATATGACTCCTCGTAAGTGCTTGACCGCAGCATCTGATCTGTTCATTAATGGTGCATTCAGAATTCGTCCCTTGGGCAGCGTTCCAAACTATTGCTTTCTTGCTCGGAAAGCGGCCCTCGCCCTCTGCCTAGCGCTTGCTGCTGAAACGACCTTGTTACGCTCTATGCGGGTCCATTTTAGTCAGTATACTCGCGGCACGGCAATGTGAAATGCAGTTTTGTGTCCTATTAATAGATGATCGATGAATATGGTCAAGTCTCCAATGAAAAGATCTATGCTTCGTGGGAGCCTCCTTTGTGTGTTATACAGCGAATGTTCATCCTCGTTGATATATGCTTCTCATTACGAAGATGGTTGATAAGAAGTCATGTTATGGTGGAAGCAGTGTAAGTGCTATTTTTTAAACGTCGACTTGCATAGGCGGTAAGTTAAACTTCCTCTGTCGGCTCCACCACTGACCATTAACATGAACAGGTCCTTTCGAGTCTTACAGTGACAACCATGCATCAGTGTGTTTGTCTCACGGTAACGATAGGTATTATGATGTGACTTCACCCTGTGAACTGTCTTTTTTTTTGAAGTTCGGACTCTGCAGATTTCGGCAGTATGCTGGAATCGGTGTATTACATCCGAAAGTTGACACATCGGCGCATATGTTTGGTTCGCTCCCGAACAGTAGGGGGGTATAAAACCAACATGGGCGAGGTCGCATGATGCTGCACACGCCCTATGGATTCGTCTTGGCAACGTTCTGCACCTGTATTTAGCACTCAACCCGAAAAAGGTAGCGAAGAAAATACCAAGTCAGTCCTGATCGAAGAGATCAAACCCTCAATTAGACCGTCAACACCGCAAGAGCTTACTCAAGGAGGTTCCCGCACGTCTTCTGTGTCTGCGACTGCAAGAACATTTAGTGACAGCCATGCGAATTCAACGGAAGCCGACGAACTAATCAATGATTGGGACGGCCCCGACGATCCGGACAACCCTCGAAAGTCAGCTAGGCATAATGTCTTAACGTCTCGACTCCAATCTGACTTCGATTTTCAGCTGGACGGTGTATAGAAAATGGGCTGCGACCCTTGCTGTATCAGCCTTCACTTTCATTTCTTCCATTTCGTCATCGATGGTAGCTCCTGCAGCTGAACAGATATCGGAAGAGTTCAGCATCCACAGTGGCGTTACATTATCAATGGTCGTTTCCTGTTATGTTCTTGCATACGGTATGTTTTGATATATCACACTTACCTCTATTTCTTCAATCCCCGATTAGCCGTTGGTCCTCTTGTTCTAAGTCCCCTCAGTGAAGTGTACGGTCGGTCGCGTGTCCTCCAAATTGCCAATCTTTTCTTCTTTGGTGAGCATTCTCTTCCTCCTTTGTGCTCAGTATCCTGATGCATTTAATACAGCATTTAATTTTGCGTGTGGATTCGCACAGAATACGAGTCAACTCGCGGTATTCCGATTCTTGTCGGGGTTGGGTGGAAGTGCGCCGCTTTCAGTAAATTCATTACTATTCGGCGTTGGCAAATCGGTGACCTCATTGCAGGTCGGTGGAGGTACCCTTAGTGACATATTCGCAGCTGAAGATCGTGGCAAGGCTATCTCCATATATTCAGTGGCGCCCCTAGTTGGCCCAGCTGTCAGTCCGATCGCTGGAGCTTTCATCGCACAAACTACCACATGGCCGATGGGTCTTCTGGTCATCGACGATAGCAGATGGTATTGTGCAACTTTTCGGATTATGGTTCTTGCAAGAAAGTGAGTGACTCTCATTGAACTCTATTCTGCATCTCTCATGGTTAGTGTCTATATAATGTTTTTCTCAGCCTACCCACCTGTCCTTCTTGAACGCAAGGCGGCCAAGATCAGGAAGCAAATGGATTCAGAGAAGAGGCTTTATACGAGTGTCAGGACGGTCTATCAATCCAAAGGTGGACGCAGGTACAGTTGTCGTACGCTCTGGTCGCATGGAAGCGATCTAATAACTACTTACAGCTGGAAGGAACCCTTCACGGAAGCTCTCATTCGACCGTTCATTCTATTTGCGCAAGAGCCAATTATCCAGCTGTTTGGGTCATATCTAGCGCTATCATATGGAACGGTTTACTGTGCGTAGATTGCTACACATTCTCTTGTTCACTCATCATTTTCTTTCCAGTGACAGTCACTACTCTCCCACAGATATATAGTACTGTCTACCATGAGAAGATCAGCATTGTCGGACTGCATTATCTGGCTCTGGTGGGCTTTCAACCAGCTGACCTCCGTCGTTTTTATACTGGGGTGCTAATATGTGGCTTATAACTTAGGGACTCGGATTCAGCTTGACTTCACAGATCAACTCTCGTCTCCTTGACCGTGTGTACATATACTACAAGGACAAGAACGGTGGCGTTGGGAAACCAGAATACCGACTGCGTACGTTGACGACAACAACACTATCTGAATCAACGTTATGATGACCATGTTGTAAAGCTGTTAGCATTCCAGTATCGTTAGGTTGACCGATCGGTCTACTCATTGCAGGATGGGGGGCTCGGGAGAACGTGCATTGGATAGTCCCAGACATAGTCAATTATCTTCTTTTGATATTGCCAGACTCGTTGTTGACGTGCATTGGGCTTTATAGGGCTTTGTCTTGATTGCGGCGGGCATTGTAGCAGCATTTCAAGCAATGCAGACGTATATTGTCGACGCATTTACATTGTATGCCGCTTCAGGTATGTATTATGCTATCTTCAGCTTTTCTACAATCTGAATATGTCTGCGTGAAGCTTTGGCAGCTGTATCCTGCTTCCGGTCATTAGCAGGCTTTGCTTTCCCCCTGTTTGCTCCTAATATGAACCAGGCATTGGGGTACGGTAAGGGTAACACAATTCTTGCAGCAATCTCGTTCGTTCTTGGGCCTCCTACGTATGTTTACCGTTTCCTGTAGACTTCTAGCCCTGACTTCGCTCACTTCTGCCAATAACTTGTCTCACTCACCTTCTGTTCTCCCTCCCTGTAACTCTCAGTCCCTCCTGGGGCTGTATACTCTATCTTCCTTTTACCTCACGACACGAACGACACCTGACACAACATACGCAACATGGCTGACGGACTGGAGAAACGACGCGTCAGTAAAACTCGGCATACTTCGGACAGCGTGCTATTGCAAGATGAAAAGGAAAAACACCATCGGAGCGAAGTCCATGGGCTGAAGAATGAGTTTCTGCATAAAATTGAAGCATTGAAGAAGAACAAAGACAAAGATGTGAGTTTGTTTATAGACGTTCCATGACAATTCAGCTGGGCGGGTGTAGATCAACTTGGAACAAGTCATTCTCACATGCAAGGCTCGATACTGCCGAGATGGTTGCCTTTCTGCGACGTGAAGCTGATACCTTCTTTTTTTCGTAGGCCGATCACTGGTTCTGGTCTAAGAAACGTTTCATATTTCCCCTTGGCATTATGGGTATGATTTGCGCTCGGTGTTGGCCCTTCTCTCACTAAATTCATGCTCTTATGTAGTTGGAGTTCTTATGGGCATTGCGCTCATACAACCCAGTGATCTCCCAGATATACAGACCCACCTTGCCCTTCTCCTGGACGAATTTGGCATGTCTCTTCCACAGCTCCCGGACTTATCCCGCGTAGAAAGCGAATGGAATCGACTACGAAGCAATATACCTGAACCTTGGAAACTCAATACCAACGGCTTGGAGTTCAAGGTTGGTGAAGAGATAGCAGCGAGGAACCTCAGTGCGAAGCATCCGGTGGTTCTTGTTCCCGGTATCATCTCTACCGTAAGTCTTCATTTGTTTTACTTCAAGTATGCAGCCTTATCGGGAACGCAGGGTCTTGAATCCTGGTCAACTGCACCAGAGTATCGCACTTTCTTCAGACAGAAACTCTGGGGCGGATTCCCCATGATTTCACAAGTCACGTTCAATCGAGAAAAATGGATGTCGGCTCTTATGCTTGACCCGGTAACTGGACTTGACCCTCCGCTGGCCAAAGTGCGTGCTGCGGAAGGGATTGATGCAGCAAGCAGTTTCATTCAGGGTTATTGGCTATGGTCAGTTTGAGCGTTGCTCGTCTGGGAGTATTTAAATCGATTGAAATATCTACTCTCCTATAGGTCGAAGATTATTGAAAATCTCGCAGTGGTCAACTACGATACGAATAACTTGCATCTCGCACCTTATGATTGGCGATTGTCCTATCACAACCTAGAGGAGCGTGACGGATATTTTTCGAAACTGAAAACAACCATAGAGGGATTCAGGTATTTGGTCCCATCTCAGAGGAGTGAACTAGTTGTGCTGATATCGGTATTAGAAATCGGGACAATCGAAGAGTTGTGCTTTGTGCGCATTCAATGGGAAGTTCGGTAAGATTCTCTGGCACCTGACTACATGTCTCGTATTGACAAAGTCACTTCATCAGGTCATGTTGGTATGTACATGAGGTGGCATATTGCACCCTTGTCTAGGTTGACGCTGAGCTTGAGCGTTATAGTATTTGTACGTGTCATTACAATGGGCCATTCATACTTACCTCACTTATCCCTTTCAGCTTCAAATGGGTCGAATCACCGCGTCATGGTCGTGGAGGACCCAATTGGGTGGAGGTGCGCACTCGACCCTGTTCCTACTTGTGAGATTCATTCTGAAGCATGCAGTACACCAGAATAACATAGAAGCCTTGATTACCATCGCGGGTACCCATCTCGTGTGTTATGAATTGTTCGACACTTCACAACTCATCGACTGATAGTCTAATCTAGGGTGTTGTTAGTTTTATCAATCTCTTCTTCCAGGGAATATTCGTCTGATGCTTATATTGATAGACCAAGGCAATGTCTGCTTTCCTGTCTGGTGAGATGAAAGACACCGTACAGATGAACCCTGCCGGTGCATACGGTGAGTCTAACAGATTCTTTGTACTGTTACTGTTCGATTGATACATCCAAAAAAGTACTTGAAAGATTCTTCTCTCGTAAAGAACGTCAAAGGTTGTTCCGGAGCTGGGCGGGAAGCGCGAGCATGTGGATCAAGGTTGGTGTGCTGACCAAAATACGTTCACTGTGGAGGTCTGACAGTTATCCAGGGTGGCGACGATGTTTGGGGCAATGCAACGTTCGCTCCTGACGACATGCCAGGAAGCAATCAGACTCATGGCAAACTTATAGCCTTCCGGAATGCAGTCGCGCAAACCGATTCTACCTTAAGCAACATGACGTCTGATACTGCCGGGAATTGGATTCTGGAGCATACACCTCCAGACTTCCAGGTATGTCACTTGCTACCTCGTGCAGACTCACGAATGGTCTTATATGTCCAAATATATAGCGCATGCTTGCTAGCAACTACTCATATGGTATTGAACGAGATGAGAAAAAGCTGAAGGCGAATAACCTTGATCACCGGAAGTGGACAAACCCTCTAGAGATTCAGTATGTCGTAGTGTCTGCGAGCGATTTCGCACTTCTTATATTCCCTCAGATTGCCAAATGCACCTTCGACAAAGTTTTACTGCGTCTACGGTCATGGTAAGGAAACCGAGGTATGTGTGATCCGATGTAGTCATACTAATGCTCACTGACATGATTATCTACAGAGGTCATACTGGTAAGAATCTCTTCCCCGGTGTATCGTATAGCACTGAATAAGAGCAGTCAGGTATACTCGCAGCGAATACGAGTATGATGAGATTCACCCTGATGACGTTGCTGGAACATGCCCAAATGGTACCGACTGTATAACCAGATGCACGCCTCTTGACCTACCTATGTCTCGCAAATCCTTCATCGACTCCAAGTACACGGACGAGAACCTCAACCCGAAGGTGCTGAATGGCGTGAAAATGGGCGAAGGCGATGGCACTGTCAGCCTACTGAGTCTCGGCGCAATGTGTGTCGAAGGTTGGAAGAGAAAACGTTGGAATCCATCCGGAATTCCTGTTGTGACTGTTGAGGTATGTTTGAGTCATTCCAAGGTTGCAAAATTGGGTCGTTGACCCTGTCTTTTGCAGTTACCTCACCGCCCAGTACTGACAATACCTCGCGGCGGTGGCACAACAGCAGACCATGTCGACATTCTGGGTTCAACGGCTCTCAACGAAATCATTCTCAAGGTTGCAACTGGTGTTGGAGACGAAGTCAAGGATAACTTCGTGTCGAACATAAGGGAATACGCCAAAAGGATACGTTGGGATTGATATCTTAGGTTTTGGGGCTGATTTAGAGTAGTGACATTAGACTAATGCCGTATAATTGCACGAAGCGTTGCAACAGCCGGACACTCGATTAGGCGGAGGATATTCATGAAGGTGGTATGACAGTCCAAAATGCTGAGTAGTCGACATGTAGCAGACTGCAAGAGAAATGATACGAGATTCGTCACACAATGTCAAGATTTACCAGACCCTATTATCTCCATTTGAATTCTCCCGACGACCATATCGATCCTCCATTTCTATTGCAAATGAAGGGGCACTGATAGCACTTTCGGAGGCAATGCGGAGGCCAGATATATCTGACTGATTGATGAATGAGAGCACGTCTCCTTTTCCTCGGGCCACTGTACGCAAATTCAAGATAAGGCGGGAACCCTACATGACGAGTGTGTTATGTGTCAGACCTAAAGGCACAGTCACGAACATCACGATGAAGAGACCTACAGCTTGGGAGAAGGCAGTCATTTGCCAGCTGTATGCAGATATTAGAATCGAAGAGGAACCTGTCATTTATGTTTGTAAAGTAGCACTCAACTTGTATGGGACGAGATACCATGGCAAGAGTTTCTGAACATTGATGAAGATGGTGCAGATGAGTACGATACCTATGCATCAAAGTCAGGCTTAGCATGGATGCATTCTTTCCGCAGAGCACATACAAAATGTCCTGAAAAATACTTGCAATTAAGCGGCTTCGTATATGGCCTACAGGTGATCACGTACAATAAGAAGTAAATCGTACCATCTTGAAAGAAGGTATCAAGCAGCTCGGGAGACCGCAAATTGAGCACAGAGCAGAATTGATTGATCTGGACAAACTTGTACATCTTCATCAGGAAAAATGTCACTAGTGTGTGGAGGAAGTCAGTGATTCAGATACACTGCAAAACACTCAGAAGATACATACTGGAGACTCAGTAATCACCGCCTCGATACCTACTACTTTACCTATTTCTCTCAACTCTGTTTATCGAGTACGAAATTGGGTCAGGTCCCCAGCCCTCAACGTTAACGTCGACCGTTGATGCACATTGATGCCAACTACACTTCCCACGCTTAGACTACGACGACTTGTGCATGTGAGCATTATCGGCTGCATACATGACATGCCAACAGGCTGAGCACAACACCTCATCCAATTATACCGACGAAATGTAAGAATACAAATCTTATGAGCTTGCGGGCAATGACGCCCCAAGCTTTCCGAAATGTACTATTACAATGGTATCCCTGTTTATATGCTAAGTTTAGGTGTCTGGTCGCACAATGGCAAGGTCCGACGATTCAGTCTGGCTTCTTGTGTCAGTATACTACGGCTAGTACGAGGTTGAAGGAAGATGATTGTGAGCGAGAAAAGGTCGTAGTGCGCGGGTGACTAGCCAGCAAAAATAAAGATGGTACTAGTGGAACTGGAAGCACAGCTGTGGTGGTGTACACAGAATGTAGAGAAACGTTGACTCACAAGTCACCAGCCTGTTGCAGCAGTCATCGTGAAGGCTTGTATTTGCACCTGTTGATGGCGTATTTGTGAGGATGGTGAGTAGCCTAAGGAGGAGAGGACCTTTGAACACCCGCCTCTTACCGTAGGGCCTTTGTTAGACCCAGCGGTTCAAGGATGGCACCAATGAGTGAGCGAAGATGGAAGACCGACACCTAGTTCAAGTTGTGGGCATGCACCCAGGACCCTAGTAGATGTGGTGTGAACAAAGAAAGGGGTTGACAGCAGGGAGACTCTGAGAAGAAGCTTCCCTCAGCAACTTTAAACTGGCTTTTGGGTGCAATCAATACAACTCCATTTAATTCTCACATCTGATTCATAACACAGAGTGATTGTAGTGTATACGTCAAGCTAGGACCCATCTCATCACCGTGTGTGCTTGCGTGAAAGCCCGCATGACTACACTTCTAAGCTGTAATGTTTTGCTGATCTGCAAACCCATCACGAAATTCCATTTCGGAGAGTTCAACTTTGGTGCCCCTTCTTATGAGAGCATGGTCCGCAAGTCACAATGAAGAGATCTGAGTTTCAGCTACGGTGACCAGAGTGACATTGTCTGGATCGGCAGCTGAGCGAAGGTTCAGGATAAGACGGGAACCCTGGATAGGTTCTTCAAGTCAGTGGCTAAGACATTCAATATCAACTGATTACTCACGCAAATTGAGTATACGGGTGGAATCAAACTGAAGGGTGTGTGAGTCTTTAGACGGTGAATGCATCAAGTGACGTCTCACGGTGATAAGAAAATAAATTTGTCCTTCCAGCTCTCGATGTTCATGAAAAGTGTCAACATCAATATCAGGACTGGAAATTAACCATGAGAACAGGTAGTATAGCGAAGTGATCCTTGAAAACATACAGAAAATGCTGGTGATGCAATTGTGAGAATTCGCTACAAGTACAATGTAGCGAACTTACGTAAGGAAGAAGAGTGTCCCGTCTTGAACAAACTGGAAGAGAAGGGACCGATTCCTGCCCGGCACACCTACTTCGTGTGAGTGGCCGATGGGGGTCATCTGCAAAAATTTGTACATCATTAACACAAAAATTGCAACTTCAAGGACCCGCAATCATTGTATTAGTATCATTATCATTCACATATGAATGAACAGAACAACATACAGGAAACTAGCATGTTGAATGACCTGAAAATGTAATCCGCTCATTTTTCTACAATCAAAAATAGTAGAACATTATTACATACTAGATAAATGGCATTAGCACAATACGAGGTGGCACATCAAATAGACATCCTGACCATGGCAGGCTGAATGGAGGGCTCGATATGGTCTCCAAGAGGACTTCCTCGATGGACGCATATAGCTCTAACTGAAAACAGGCCAATCAGGATAATGTAGCACAAACCAAAGGCTGTATATTCACTCCCAGTTCAACTACCATATTGTCATGAAAATCATCAAGTGAATATAACAGACTCGGAGTGAATGAAAAGAACAAATACTGAGAAGCAGGCACAGCAATGGAACAAGCACTACAATGCAAAGGTGTCAGTTATATTCCGACAATTGTCACGCTTCCACTTCACCTTTTTTGCTCTGTCCATACAATGCGTAGATACGAAGAATGAAGATAAGATTGATCACGGCTGTGAAAATGATGGGACCAGTCCTGTCAGATGTTATCAACCGGCATGCACATACACCATGCATGGGTTACACATTCTCACATAACATTGATCCATAGCAATGCTTTACAGCTGAAGGCGAGGTGAGAAGTGAATGAAGCGATAAGAGAATCCCCTGGTCTTACATCTATCACTCACTTAGCACTTGAAAGCCAGAAGCTGGCAGGTGAAACATACCTTCAAAGATGGGTTAATCACAATGCCAACTGAAGAAAAATATTATGAAAAGAAGCTGTATCGACTAGATATATCATACCGGTACTAGTGAACCTGGTAACAACAACAATGTCAGCCATGAATATGAGGTGCCACGAAGACGTAACCATGACTCACATGACATGGGCCAGACCCCAGTATTGAGCAAGGTAGTAAAGGACTTTCACAATACTTCGCCGTAGTGATACTGTATATGCTGAATGGGAGAACAACCACAGACCCTCAGACGTATTCAATCTGCAAATCTGCATCTGTCAGTAAGCAATAAGATGCAACAAATGAGTGCAGAATAGTATGAACCTCCACAGAGAAACTTAGTATGTAGTCATAGACCAGCACTGCAAGCACGGCAACTAGGTCAAACAGAAGTGAGACGCAGTGAATGTGTGCACCATTAGAGCTCACTTGAAACATAGTCAGCTGCTTGTACTAAATGTATCCCATCGAAGAGCAGTTTGAGGACATCACCTGAAGACATCCCAAATTATGAACGAGGCTGGAGGCAACTGGACTTGCAGGCTTCTGAGAAATGATTCGCTCAAGCTGGAGCTCAGATTTTAGTGTGTAGGATTCGCCAGATGCTGAATGATTGCAGGACTCAATCGGTCAATCGGCCACCGGACTTTTGCAAACTAGGCACCACACCCACCTGACAGCACCACCACTACAGGCTATGATATGAATGCTGATGTTTTGAGGGTGAGATGTGATGTGACAGATCAGTAATGGAGGTTTCTCTCTTGAGTTCATAAGTATTGTAATGGTCACTGCTGTTACATCCTCAAACTGCAGCTGCACTGGTTCCTTTGAAATGTCCAAAGGTCAGAAGATCCAGCTGCTCATTGGGTCCATCTTCGCTTGAAATCTGGAGATCAGGATTCAATCAAGAGGTGATAATAATCAATGAGTGAGACTGTGGGCGATCTGAACTATGATGGAGATTTCTAGTCAGTTCATCACCTAGTAAAGGACAGTCATGAGCTGCTTGCCATGATTGAGATGTAGTAAATGAATGAATGGTACTAAGCAGGTTCACGGAAGGATCAGTCTCAATGTACCATTGTTGAGGGAGGTTATGTAGAATACGATGTCTCTTTGGGTCACCAGTTTTCTTTATAAGGTTCTGGGAAATCTTCAAAACAATGTCAGAAATGTCAAGTCAATGTTTAGATGTCACTGCTGGTCCATTCTGATACAGTTCAGCAATAGGATACCTAAAGATCAACATATTTAGAGCTCTCGAATGGTTCACCGGACACTAAACTACAGGCTTATTCTGAAGGTCCAGTCAGAATTAGTGAATAGGACAATCAGTGGAATTTAAAATATGCTGAACTGTATCAGTCCAATTCCTTGAGACACGATGTGATGGAGTAGATGTTCTGACAGTTTCTTCTGACAACTGGATGGGCTACCCGGGGAAGGGGCACTGAAGATATCAATATTCAATATTCAGTAGTCTGACAAGGACTTCAGGCCTCAGTACACATGTATCATCAATGAAAGTTGTCGGAGTCGGCCTTGTAACCCTTTGATGCAAATTCCTAGAAAGGATAATATGGTGAATGTAACTATTATTATTATAAGTTCTGAAAAAGTTTGAAATGGCATTCAAAAATTACCTTGCCAGTGCCAGGTTTGAGCATTCTGCACATCTCACCATAGACATTAGAATACATGGGCGCGTGCTGTGTAAAGGTATTGAGTTCAGTAGTCAAAGATTCAGAATAAAAGTCCCGGCATACCCGAAGAGATAGACACAATGAATGACTCCAAAGGTAGCACAGAACTCAGTTCAGAATAGTTGTCGACTAAGCAGACAGTCAATAAAAAGTGCTATTGTTCACACTAAAGATGGGCGCACCTTTAATGAAAATCAACCTATCAGATGTGTGAAGTTGTTCAACTCTTGCAACTGCATACAGAAGCTTGGCACCCTCAATCAATATATTCATCGTGATTGAGTTTAACATACCTTTTCCCAATCTGTCTCTATGCTGACAATCTTGGCATTTGAAAATTGCACGAGCTTGACTGTGATTGTACCAGTCCCATTGCTGATATGCAGAACCCTCATTTCCAGTTTAAGGCATAGTTTTCTACATAGGTAGTATTCATGTCAAATGAGAGAAATGGACAGTTTGTTCCCAGAAAATAGTCTACAGAAATGCATGTCTGTTAGAAACTGAGGAGTGTCCTGTAATGAGTGCTATTGCCTCATAGGTAAAAGGAGATGTTGAAACATGTTTGATAGTGAGAGGGAGTGAGGTGTATCAGTGCCAACTTAGAACTAAGGAGCCAAGACCCACAGGAAAGCAAAAAAGAGCAATTTGAAAAATCCCTATCATATGAAACCCTACTCTGAGTTCCAGCATAGTCAAAGCATGGTCTTGACAATGGAACCAGATGGAAACATGTTGGATCAGAGCCAGAGATAGATCATGATACAGTATCTGCATCCATTCAGAAGCAGATGTACAATGTCACAGAAGGGCATGTCCTGTATAGCCTGTTACATTCAGACAGAGGATCCACAGTATAGGTAAGTAGGTGAATCACTGGGCCAGGTCTCAATGAGGAATGTTGGTTTGCTGTATAGTATTTTACGTGGAAGGTGTATACATTATAGTGATCC